CAGCTTTATCCATTTATCACACAAATACCCTGAGGGGCTGTTCCATCATATATTCCTCCTCCTGCCAAGTTTGAGAAGCAGAAAGGGCTTCCTGTGGTAGAGAGCCAACGCTGGCACAGGCCTCCTGCCAGGGAGCAGCGCCCTAATGTCTCGATGCGCCGCTCCCCGCTCAGCCTGCGCATCCCAACATGCACTGCTGCTGTTCAGGAGCCAACGCCCTTTCTCTTTCTCATCCACTACCTCCCTCAGCATCCTGAATTGATTCCATTATACAAGGAGGAAGGTGAGGGGCAGAATTTTAAAAGGCTCTGGAAAGTATTTTAAATCATGAATTATAAATTGAATTATGTAAGACATTGGCTGATCGTATTTTAGTGAAATAAAAAAAGGGAAAATATTTCTGCCTTTTAATAACTCAAACTCGGGCCTGCGTTCAAGGATTTTTCTTCAGGTTTGCTGCCGTGTGAAGCTGCCAACACGCAAACATTTACAGTACAGCTTGAGCCATTATAATTAACCTCATTATGAATAAATAGGCTCAAAGTAAATTATGTGGCCGGATGTGAACGTGAACATTACTCACGTCATATTTGCACTTTTTTCCAGTGTGTAACAGTAAATTTAATCAAGTGATAAAAGAGATTTGAAGAGGGAGGAGCTTTAGTGCTCCAGGTGTGCCGGCAGATTGGCCACTCCCTGTAATTAGGGTTTAATCATATTAGCCAGTATTTTGAGTTAGCGTTCACCCTCACTGAAGACCTTTTTGGGACTTGTACTCATTTTATAGCACTGATTTTGATGCTCTTGAAGCTGAAGTCATGTGTCTGAGCAGTCACAGTGAATAGTTCGTAAAGTCACTAATATGTTAAGAAGGGCAGAAAATAGCGTAAATAGGGTCAACTGTGTGAGCTAGCAAGGCAAATTCATCCTAGCGCCATCGCAAGTAAAGCGGAGTACACACATAAGGATATTTTTAAATCTGAAGAGATTTTTTATCTGTTACAGACCCCACACATGAAGATCAAAAATCAGGCACTGAACAGTTTTGATCGTACACGTGATAAAACATGATCTAACAAAAACGAAGAAGAAGAAACATCGCAACAGCCGGGAAACAAGAATGAAGAGGACACACAAGAGGAGGGAATGAGAAAAATCTAATACTAAATCCCGTACTCCCGTAGGCCATGCTTTATTATTTTTATTCGCTTTATTTGGTTCCTTGTTCCTCAGTCGGCTCGCTTCTTGATTGGCTACTTTCTGTTTCACTTTACAATTCACGGAGTCATGACTCAGGAGTCGTCGGTTAAACAAGTTTAATATTTACGATTGTCAGCCCCGACCCGTTTTGGACCCAATTATCAGGACAAATTCACTCTTAATACACCTCAGACCACAGGATAATCTTATAGGATAATCTTAGAAGACAGGAGATAATCTTCCGATTGTCGTCCTTGGTCGGGAGGAGGAAAATCGGGACAAAAACAGCCCGATTATCTTTATGTGTGTACCCCTCTTAACTCGTTGCAACCAATCTGAGCACTGAAAAAGTGAGCAAGGTCATCAGTTCCAACACTCTAAAGATATGATTTCTATATAATTAAAAGTACACAGATGTTCATTGCGACATGATAAAGCAGCAACCACTCAACATCCCTCCTTAGCAGGAACTTTAGAGCAGTTTAATAAACACAGGTTCAGAACTTTTTACATCAGCAGCTTAAAACTGTGATTTACAAATCACATCAACACAAATCTGGCAAATAGACAACTATATTGGACTCATGGAAGCATCGACATCCACTATGACTCGCCAGGGCCTTTGTCCACTAACAGTTTTTTTATACTTGCAATTCTAACCAATACACTTCTACATTTTCGGCACTTAGCATCTGAAGCCCAGAAACACGTTTGGTCGGCTGTTTTTTGCACTCACAGTAGAAAAAAGTTTCAACTTTTGAAACACAGAATTGCCTCTCCCTCAGTAACCAATCAAAACCAAAAAGGGGTGTGGCTTGTGGTGTTATTTAGTCAACAACAGCAATGTGGAAGGAGAAGTTAATCTCTACTCAAGGGTACAGTTCAAGGTCAAGCAAGACAACTTCCATGAGACAGAGATTGTGTGTGCAGCCTTCAGTGCTAGTAGTGGACACAGGCCCTAACTCCTCCTGAGGTTAGACAGTAAAATCACCACAACACATTGGCTTCTTTCATTCACCTTGGTTCATTCTTACACCGACTGAATATCAGTAAAAGTTTGGAGTTTATGAAAATGTTGAATCTTTAACTTTAGTGATATCTGTAGTTTTATGATTGTTTCACCCAAATAACTAAAAAAGCTTATTGGTATTTATTGAAGCAGACAGTTGCTGATTTATTTTTGCAGGTTTTAAGGTTCCTGCCCCTGAGATTTGTCACCACCGAGGTGCAAACGTGGTAGAATAAATTTCATTTGTGGTCCTTGAAGCATTAAAATTGAAAAATTCAGCAGCAGAGACGACACCTTCATTACTTTGGGATATCCACACCGCTGTTAGAAAAAAAATTGCTCCTCTATTTCAAACACTCTGGATAATTAACCCAAAAACATCAACAGGTTTTTATATATTTGTTTGGAAACACCATAAATTTAATTCATTTCATCCTCTATTGAATGAATTAAACTAATCCGCCAGAGGACAGAGAGAAAATAAAGTTTGTTTTGGGTCGGACTGACCTTTTTAACCGGAAAATTCATTATTTTGCAAAGATTCATGAACACAACAGTGAACCCTGGCAGTGCTGCCGGAGAAAATACATAAAAGAAAATGTCCTGCAGCTCTTTCAAAATAAGTGTCTGGTGAATGATGATAATGTGTAATATTTAGCACTATTTTTGTACCCTGAAAATGCAGCTAAAGGAAATGGCTCTGCTACATGTTTCTTTTTATTTATTTTTTTTGCTGGTAGCCTGTTAATAATGAGCAGTATGGTGATGTGTCAAATATTTTGCAAAAATACCTAAAAAAAAAAAATCCTCATTGCTTTTAACTGTTGTAATTTATCTGGGTCACTTTAAAACACTCGCTTTGAAATCGCCATGTAAATAATCTCTCTCTTGTTTTATTTTCAATGTCGATAGACTGAAAAAGTTTTCTTAAGTTCAAAAATAACCCTGAATCTATATACTGACAGTTTGTTGGGCTCGTCGCAGGTTTTAACAAGAACCGTGGGGCTTGTAGAGATGTGTATCTGACAACTGTTGTATAGAAATGTACATTTTTTTGTAAAGATATTTTTATCAAAAGGCATGTTTACTGTAACTTTGTAATTTCAGTTCATGTAAAAAAAAAGAAGAAAACTGTCGTAAGGCTAGAAAAGTCATCGTCATTGTAGATAAATTTGTGTTCTTATCAGTCAATAAAATGTTTGTGTCATATTTAAATGTTTCAATGATCAACACTTTATTTTACAAATAAATCTGAACTGAAGGACAAAGACGTGTCTGCTTTTGTCTGAAGGCGCTACAGTCACATCCGGACGGTTTACAGATGTAAATATTTGTTGCATCATTACAGCACGCCACTTAAAAAGCCATTCTCTCCGTTCATCAGAATACATCTTTCAGCGCAGACTGCTCGTTTGATCATGATGGGTATGGTTGATTATGCAGCAGTTTCCATCAAAGTGACACTTTAACGAGTTGCTCCGCTCAGTGTTTGAATACATGTCACATTAACGTCAGTCAGCTGAGGACCGGATGGCGTGGAGGCAGCTTGTCATCTTCTGTTTGGCTAATGGAAGCTGTCCTGCTGGCTGGGTGTTGATAACACTGTGTACTTAATACAATCTGACTAAAACAACATGTCCACCTGTGGCAGGTCATTTAACACCTGAGTAATGACAGCAGATAAGAAGAAAGAAACACGCCAGTCTGATTATATTAACTTCTGATTAAAGTTAAAGCTCCAGTGGGGAGTTTTTGATAGGTTGTAAAACAGAGTGTGTGTTTTAAGAAAGCCTGAGACCATCTATAAGTAGACAGACAATTTTTTCACTGCAAGTTTTAATGTCTGTAACTGCTGTGAGGGGGTGGGTACACTGAAAAAACACACTTGTTACTTTTCCCACATCAAATATTCCCTGTGAGTGATACATTTCGACTTTTTTTGTAATTTAACACCACTTTAATCAGCAAGATCCATAAGTTGAAACTAGTGAAGTAGTTTCTGAAGTTGTACCTTTGTTTTGAGGATGTAAGGTTCATCTTGACAAGTATGCCGTCAAGTTTAAACTGACCAAAATATTGCAGCAGATGTTGTGTTTACATGTTATTGTAAGTCATTTTGCAAGTCGACCAGGTTGCCAAAAGCAACATTTTATCCAGCTTGTAAGGAAGCTGATGACTGGCTGGCATGATTCACTCAAACCAGAAGTAAGTTTTGAATTATTATAAGATAGACCACAGTGTATAAGATAAGAAATTCAGACACAAATCACACCAGAAAAAAAACACATTTTCAGGACGGCAGAATTATTTTCTCCTTAATTCAAAAGGACGTATCACACTTTTGTCTTAAATTGTCATCCTACTGTAGAGAAACTTTTACTGCTTTTGAGACACGGTTTGATTTAATGCTGATGCTTCTCTCTAACAAAAAAAAAACGAAGCAGTCATCAGCACATCTTTTATAACCCTTACTGTTGTCAAACTGCAGCAAAGTGATTTAGAGGCAGAAAAGGACCTTGTTTCTCAGTTCAAAAGTATGTTGAAGTTATAAGGAATCTGCACCCTATAGCAGCAGCACTACCAGCTCTGACGGCCTCAGTTATTCAAGGTCTGAGTCTTCAGCTGTGTGCCAATGCAGGGCTCTAACCTTTGACAGGTGCATTTGTTACCTGACTGTGACTCTACTTAGAAAACAAACTGATCAATGAGGCATAATTTTTATTTTTTTTCCTTTTTTATTGTAACACAAGTAACACTGTTTTTTAATGCCACATTCACAAGTACATTAACATTCACAAGTACATTGACATTCACAAGTATTTTCATATTTACAAGTAGATTTACAGATGCTCGGGCAAACCAAGGCATCCTGGAGTAAACCCACAAAAAGGGGTTTGAAGGAGGGTACAGTTATGAGATGAGGGTAGGATGAGGATGTGGGGGTAAAGTTATGGGATGAAGGAAAAAGGTAAGGTTCTGGGATGAAGGTAGGATGAGGATGTGAAGGTGAGGTTCTGGGATGAAGATGGGAGGGTAAGGTTTCGAGGTGAGGGTGGGGAAGAAAGGAGGAGGGGGGTTTAGTTGGTTGAGGTGGGGTCGAGCTGAGGAGTTGATCTGGTTCTCTTCCAGCTCTTTGGCTTCCTCAACCCTAAGGCATGCCTGAACCTTTTCCAGGCTGATGGTCCAGCTGGAGCTGGAGTCTCTGGAGCTGGAGACACTGTCTCGATGGAAACTTCAGGCTCCTTCTGGAGTGTGAGAGTCGCAGGGGTGTCAGGTTCCTGTGAATAGGGATGAGAATTGGTCAGATTTTTATTGATATCAATGCCATTATCGATTCTGCTTATCGATTTAATTCTTTAGAAGAAGAAGAAAGGAATCATGAAGGGACTAGTTAAGATAAAATATAAATGATTTTGATGGACTGAACCATTTGGAACCGGTTCTCAACAAGAACCGGTTCTCCATTCCAATCCTTACCTGTGACTCCACAACCTCCTGTTGGACTTCCAGGGCTGGTTCCTCCTCCAATTTGGTTTCCTCCAGACTGCTGGTGTCATCTGTCTGAGTGGCCACATCTTCTGTCTGAACTTCAGAGACAGGCTGAATGTTCAGAGAAACTTGGAGGCTGAGTTTGGCTTTCAAATTCTCAATCTCTCTCAAGTACATCCTCTCCTTTTCTTCAGCTTCGTCCTGCAGAGTTTTGACCTTCTCGTCCATGCTCCTCTGCAGGATTTCATGCTTTTCTTTTTCCAGCTGGAGTTCGGTGTTGAAACTCTCCTGGCTGGTTTGGAGTTTCTCCTTCAGCTCCTTGTTCTCCTCTTGAAGCTGATTTAAAGAGTCCAGCTGAAGCTTCAAATCCTCATTTTCCTTCAAGAGGTCCTTCTCCTTTTTCAGGCTGTTCTGCACGGCATCGTCGACCTCTGCCATCTTTTCAAGAAGGACAGCCTGCTCAGTCTTCATGTCTGAGATGATTCTCTTGTCTTCTTTTACCCTATCCTCCAGAGACTTGATCTTCTCCTCAGTGTCTTGTTTGAGGACCTCAGCTTGCTGTTGGTGAGCAGTTATCTGTGCCTCAGAGGTCTGAATGATGGAGAGTGTGGACTCTTCCTTCATCTCCATCTCTTTTTGAAGGAGTTTGTTCTTCTGTATCTCCTCCTGCAGCTTTTCGCTGAGCTCTTCCTTGCTCATCCCATCATCTCCAAGAAGCTTTTCGGGCATCTTGATGACTGACTCAGTCTCCTCAGGTGAAGGCTCAGGAGATTCCTCACCCGTAGTTCTGGGCAGCTCTGCTGGCTTCACATCATCCTGGGGTGTTTGACCTGCTGTATCTTTCTCCCTCTTCTGCTGTTTGCGTCGGAGTTTCTTATTCTTTGCTCTGCTCGGCATCACGCTCTCCACATCTTCTGTACCCCCGAGCTCACAAAGCAGGTCAAACCGATTCCCCACATGTTTGGCTGTTTCAAAGTCTTCTTGGCAGACATCAGTCAGCCCCTGCTGATGTCTTGTTCTGCCCATCGGCTTTGAGGCCTCAACCTTCTGTCTGCACTGTCTCTTGCTTGGCATGTTGCTTGGCATGTTGATCAATTGGTTGGTTGTTGTGGTTTTTCAACTGTAACCTGCCATCAGCATGTCATTTGAATGATAACATTCCATTGTCATGTGACCTTGGGTTCCATTCCATTTAGCATTCACCTTTGGTTCCATTCCGTTACACTTGATCTTGGGTCCCATTCCATTTAGCATTCCTCTTGGGTTTCATGGCCCTTGCTAGTTGTTGTTTACTTAAAATATTACCATCCTAAATTGAGTGAACACACGGACTCCAAAGGGAGGTTTGAGGAGCAGGACACTGACCTCCAGACCTCGGTCGTAAAACCCTGCTCGACCATGTTCTGATAAAAACTGCATTCCTTTGGTGAAAGAATAAAAATGACTGATCATGACATCTTATGCATCCCTGAAAATCCCTGAAATGAGAATTTCATCTTGAGATATGAGATTAATTAATTTAAGATTGACATCAGGTTTGATTTCTGAATTAAACTTTTGTTTTTCTTTATTTTCCCATCATTAAGGCTGGGTGGTGCCCCTGCAACGAGTGCATAGATGTCATAATTTACAATTATTAATCTTCAGACATTCATTATAAATTCAAATCGCTACACTCGTGAGCTAACCTGTTCAGATACAACATGCCATATGTATTTTCACTGCCTCAAACTCAATCGCGTTGCTGTCACAGCACCATTAGGTCTCGGTTGTTACCTTACGTTTATGGATTTTAGTTTAATGTGATTATCTGGTACTGGCCCTGACTCAGTACATGCTATCATGACAGACAGACATCTCAACACGAGTGTCTAATCAGAACTGAAAACAGTCAGTCTGCTGTTGTGTCAGTCTTCTTGATTCCACCAAGACGCGTCATTTTTGCGTCTTATATTTGCATCGTTCCCGGTGTACGGACCTTAACTCCAGAAACCACATACGTACCTATTTTAAAATAACCCATCTTTACAGCAACGAATAAACAGCCAGGTTCAAACAAGGAAAATCATTTGTAATCGATTTGGTTGAAGATATTGTGGTTGTGAGTTTGGCAAATGAGAGGCACTGCTGTTTTGAATGCTAGGAACCTATGTGGTAAGCAAAAAGGCAAAAGGTCAACCAAAAGTTAGGTTGAGTTAGCATCTCCAGCTTCAAAACTGCCTCAAAAACCAGTGGGGGGCATCTGTGGCACTATGTCCATTAAGTCTCATAGCATGTGGGTCATAAGCAGAAAGAAAAGGTGTTATATTCATTCCTTGCAAAAGAGATATCAGATCTCAGTGGGACCAACCTGCAGAGATTAAGGTTAAATAAAATGAATAAATCAATTTAACTCCTGCTGTAATCACACTCTCGATAAACCCGAACACACCCGAGTTTATGAGTCTGTTAGTGTGGAGATTGTAACTGGGCCATTGTGCTTATAGTAATTTGTTTGATTTGGGATTTCTGAGATAAGCTGACTGTCCCCAAATGGTTCGGAAATCGGCTCTATTTTCTCCGCTTTTCAGCAGAAATCCCATGTGAATTATCCATGACAGTCAGTACAGTAGTTATAGCTGAAAAGTGAGCATGGTATTGTAAATGATGACCACATATGAGACCACTGATTGATTGTTCTTTCACACAAAGCCCACCAGAAAATCCATTCTTATATTTTTGACATTTAAATCAAGATGTGGAAAAACGTAGCGTCCTTGAGATTAACTTGAGAGCTGTATCGACCCGTGCGGTGAAATATCCTTTTCGTTCGCCGCCGTTACAAAGGATCAGAAGTGCTCAGTAATCGCTGTCTTGCTCAAGGACGCTTCAGCGGGACTTATGGGACTTATACCCGTGCCCTGTGATTGAGCAGTCGTCTCTAAACTCATTACACTGGCCCGCGGTCAGATTAACAAACAGTCCAGTTTTGATGCTGCACTTGGGAGCGCAGACGTGATTTAAAGGCCGATTCTAACCCTGATTTAACCTTGGTTTGAAGATTGAGAAGAGACTGTACAAAGCTCCTCAGAACAGCACAAACAGGCTGCCAGTTTTGTCCTGTCCCTCAACCACAAAACATTTCTAAGAAGAGTGAACTTCACGGCTGAATGATGACGATTCTTTCTGAGCTTGAAAACGACAAATTGGACAGACAGCTTTATTCTTTGAATAAACTCAATGTGATTTCTCATCTGCATCACAGAATAAGGTTTTTAGATGACCAAACTGTCTCTCTAATAACGTTGTTCTAACTTTGTTCTCACTTGCACAGACTTCTCAGAGATTGCCGATAAATCAGGTTATGCTCAAGATTTTTTGCTTATGAAATGAAAAGATTTTCCTGCCACAATGGCCAAATGTTTCCAGGTACTTCAAGTGGGTTTCTGTTGGGGTCTATGAACACAACATAAAGGTCCATAGCAGTGAAATATCCTGTTTTGGTCAGGAAACAACCGTATTTTACCCCTCTTTCCCGCCGTCTTCTCATATTAGTATTCTCTTGTAAATGTCCCCTATGTATACCACACAGACGATGAATTACTCCCACCCGTCCACTCTCAGGACTGATCCAGGGGGTGTCTGAAAATTTCCCTTATTCTCTAATCCAAAACTCTTTTTGACAAGTCTTCTGAGATAACTTCTGGTTCAGTGTCATGTCAGAGAAAATTGACCGACCCATCGATTGGATGAGGTCACTGCGGTGGCACTGAAGTCAAACATTTCCAAAAAGGCCAAGAACATGTCATCAAACACAAAAATACTTAAAGGAGACCTGCCATAAAATTTCATACCCATTTCAATCATTTTTTCATAATCCTTGATGTCCTCTGATCATGTTTGCGACATAATTTTAGCTGAAAAGTTATTTGATGGTTTGTTTCAAATCATTTTAGAATGCCTAAAAAACCTGTATGCCTAAATCTTTACAGAATGCAAACGACGTAACGGTTTATTTTCACATTTACAACATAAAATGAACATAATATGGACTTAATCTGACACACAAAAATGCAAAAAATACATTTTTGGTGGCAGGTCCCCTTTAAAAAACATGTTTTTTCATGATCTGCCAAACTTTTTTTTTTAAATTTAGTAAAATCTCTCTCATAATCTGCAAAACAATGTTAGAAATGGTTTTACATTTCATGATATTTTCAAATTTGTATGAAGTCTTTTCATGATCCTTGATATATTTTTGCAAATTTTTAACCCTTTTACTTTTACATAGCAGTGAAAGTTGGATTTTAAGATACTGAAAACATGATTTATAAAATATTACTGTTAAAGTTGCTCTCGCCATAAAAACAAGATTTGGTCTTAAATAAGTGTCTTCTTAAAAATCGGGGTCATCTCTTCAGCTTGTTGGTATTTTGTCAAGATTGTTTGTTGAATTCATTTCTTTTCAGTTTGAACATATTCACTCAAATTCTTACACTTTGCTGCTCTTCATGTACAGTTTAACATTTCTTCTCAATGTGAATAGATAAAGTAATTTGGTTAGCCAAAATTGGACATTTTTTGGTTTGTAAACAGAATTTTTGGGATACAAAGATTTAGAAGCTCTTGATGGTTCGATAGGTTTCTGAAGTCCACATATAATACTCTTTGAACACATCAATCTTCCCACCTACTGACAGTCCACCCCTCTTATCTCAAGGACGTAGTCTTCAGAGAAAAGCATGCTATTCATCAAAATGTGCTTTTTGTTAATTATTTCCAAACATAAGGTGCTTCGCAGAAGATCTAAGAACATAAAATCAACAGCTGCTCCAATAAAAGCAAGAAATACTCAAAGAAGCCAAACGCAACAAAAAAGCTCCTGACATTAAAGGAAATCCTTTCATAAATGAGTGTTTATAGTGACTGTGAAGATGCTTCATCTGCTCCGAGCTCTGCCGGGCTTTTAATCTGGGCGCTTTTAGAGAGACGTCCTTTTTTGTTCGACTTCAACATGGCTGACCTTGAGAGGTTTCAGGATGTCACTTCTTCTCTGTGAGCGGCTGTGTTAAGGTAGCTGGGTGGCAACAGATGGCTGATTTAAAGCCCCCCATTTATCCACAGTAAAAGGTAACGCAGTGAGGTTAATGGGGGGCAACTGCTATGCCACACACAATTAGCCTGCTGTATTAAGTCCACAACATCCGTGACTGGCACGATTGCACACAGCTGTTCCTGTTTAACCTATATATGAGGAAACTTTTCACCCCTACTTAATGCACCAGAGTTTGTTCATTTATACAGAGATGACTGGAGCTTGCGAAGTGCACAAAAAAAAAAAAAGATATTCAGCCCAGATAGCAAGCCTTCGGATGAAACACATTTTTAATTCCACCAGAGCTGTTCAGCTGCTGCAATATTGAATTTCTCCCTCTCTCAGCCCTGGAAATAAAAAATAGATTAAAATTATCGCTTCTCCCGCTGCTGGCTAGTCAATGATCTCTGGAAATGTGTGTGTATGTTTTTCAATTTAAACAAATTTATTTCTCAGTCTGCACCAAAATCATCATCCGGCATGTGCTTCCAGCAGCTGACACATTCAATCCTCCCATTTATTTCTTGTCTCGCTCCATTTTGGGAATGAATCAGTCCATTTCTATGCTAATTGTCGGAGTTAGCATGAAGATTTGCATCATGAAATATTCTCGATAATGGTGTTTACATAGATATGTGTGAAAATTCGAAGCAAAAGCCTCATTTGCAGGATGTAGAGGCAGAATAGGGAGAAAACTTTGGCTTCATTTCACACATAAATTCAGATTTTACTGCATATATGTGCACTGCCAGTTAAAGGGGATTTGATATGCGCATATAAACCCCTTAATACTGTACTCCGTTACCGCTGGTGAGCATGTGCCTCCTTGCAGAGATTCATTTCCCCAGCCTGCTGCATGACTCTTAATTAACACTTATATGCTATTAGCTCAGGGGTGCATGATGAGCATATTTCCACGTCTGATTTGAAAAATATTTAAATGAATCTGCATTTGTTGCCAATAATCTGACTGTCAGGCTGCAAGAGCAGAATGATGACTCCAGATTTTCATCTCTGCAGAGGCTAAAATTAAATCAGTAGAATTTATGACGCCGTTGAGGGAGAGGTGTTGCAAAGTCGTTAGATGGGATTCAACCCTGGCAGGCAAACATTTGCATGTCACTCCCCGTAGTCGATAAAATCCGCTTTTTGGAAAATATGACACAGAAAGTGGAAATTAGTTGATATATTGCAGTCAGACTGATTTCTAAGGGGTAAATATAAAAGTCAAATCTTCTACCGTTTCATGAAAAGACATTTTCACTGAATGTAGACCGAGAGAGAGGGATGGAAGCATTTAAACGCAACAGTACATCTTCCACAAATTGTTTTATTGCCAGTGCAATTTTATGCCTATTGGATGATATCGCATTGATTTAGGGGCTGAGAGGAACAATCAGTCGTCCTGTCTCCGAGCTGCGAAAGTCATCAGCTACTTTAGATGACATCCATCATGGGGTAATTTGAGATTGAAAACATGTCATGGTGATGTATAGCGACGGCAGAGTGGAGACTCGGTTTCATCATAAAGGTTAATCCTGTTAGATCTGAGTCAGAAATAGACAGCTGGGCTAGATCGGAGCTCTGGATCTGCAGTCTCAGCAGAAAAAAAGAGGTAGAGGCAGAAAAATGTCTATGCAGAAATTTGGAGAAAGAAAATTATTCATGTATCATGTTGCTTATAATAAACAAATTAGTAACATCAACATAAACAGTGGACTTTGGATGGTTAGATGATTGAGTCAACAAACAGCAGATTTTGTGAGTCTGAACCACCGGAGAACAATTCTAGATCTGAGTCCGAGTCAATCAATCAATCTTTGTACAGCACCAACTCACAACAAGCGTTATCCTAAGAAGCATGACAAAAATCTGGTCTAGACAAGACTCTATTTACAAAGACCCGATGTAAAGATGGGATAAGACCGAGCTCCATCTGTTAGAGCTACTCTTGCGTTTAACAAGTAGGTCAAAAAACATCAGAGTAGTTTGTGAGGAGGAGGTCTATGACTCGCTAAATGATAAGCACTCGCGGAGATATTTCAGCTTGAAAAGAGGAATCTTGAATTTATTGAAGCGAACAAAAATATTTTCAGTGTTGACTTCAAACAACGAGCAAAATAAAAAACGTAATTTAGCGGTAGATAAACTGTTTCACACCTCACTTGCCTCACTCCTTCAGCACCAAGCAAAAACCAAAAGACACCAGATGTCCTCACTCCTAAATCACAGGAGGAGGTAGACCTGGCCAGGAGGAGGGACGTAAGCGGCAGAGAAATGAATTATTAATTCACAATAATCATAACCTTAGCATCTCCAAATAATTCAATTAACTATTCAAAGAATCCATAGGCTCCAACAACATCCCCAAACACTTGGCAGCATTTAGCAAGTTACAATGGAGAAGAAAAACTTCCTTTAACAGGCAGAAACCTCGAGCAGAACCAGACTGATGTAAGACAGTCATCTGCTGAGACAGCTTTGGGTTTAGAGAGGGGAGAGAGTAACTCATGTTACCCATTTCCGGTCCGGTCTCATCTGGAGACATGCAGCTGCCTCATGTGTACTGTTGTTTATTCTACCATTACTGGCACGGCTAACAGTGTAGCAAGGCTAATAGCAGGTGGCTAACTCTGACTTTAGCTTGCTTATTACACGGTGTGACTGAGACCAGCACAGCAGGGAACATGGTGAAGTGGGTTGAACTGAAACTTGTTGACTTATTGTGTATTTCACAAACTGGTTTATTTACCGTTGAGGCGGACCACTCTTCTCCGTGCGTCCCTGAACTACCTGCTTCAGATCCGTCACTCTGCTGTGCTGTGAGGTAGGTAGTGGATGAAGATTGTCATGAGATCGCTGCGCCATCTACAGGATAAGTCGGGGAACTTTTCAAATGACGGAACATTTTCAAAGTGAAGCCGAATCTTATTCTCCACATTTTATTTCTGAAAATATCTGCGAAAATCTGCGAGTTTTAGCAGATAAACCGATTAGTCTCAAAAGGGCTAAAATTGACCGATTTAATCAGCTTGCCGATAAATCGGTCAGGCTAGTATGAAAGTCACATTTTTACCGTCTTCCTCTTATACTACTGAACAGTAGAGAAGAAAGTGTCAAATACATATCCTCTCACTGTCACTTTGAATGGTCTTTCGACATTATTACATAAAAACATTCACAGTAGCTTTAAAAAGAGGATTAAGAAAAAAAAAAAACAGAGCAGGAGTCAGTTTCCGGTAGTAGATATTGAGAGAAAATATTATTAAAATACAGAGTATTAAATTAAAATTATCTGTGAAATCAAAAACTAACAGCTAAGAAAAAAAATGTCTAGCAGCCAAACCAAGGAGTGGAAGGAGGATGAAACACAAATCCCCATGCAGTGAAACATCTGAGTGCTGAAACAAGAAGGGAGTAATCCTCATTACCTATGCAGCTGTGTGGGCTGAGTTATCCCGTCAGTTCTGCACTAATTGCTCCGAATCAATATAACTGTATAATCCAAAAGAAAAGTTCTCAGTCACATTCGTAACCTTGGGAGACCCCTACCATTGGAGAAAGGAGACTCTAATGTGTTTTCTGCTTTCCGGGGGGGAGAGGAATACCTGACATGAGAGGGAGAGGGTGAGACAGGCAGGCAGACAGGGGGAGATAAAGGGGGAGGATGCATTTTGAGTGATCCCTTTTGAAGCCGCGTGCTTTTGCTACACGCCTCAAGGTGTCACTTCAAAATTGAATCCTCTCCTTTGTACTTTGACGAGGCCGAGGAGACTCGAGGACAGCCCGAGGACGACGACGTGAACACCTCCAGGAGCCGCAGGCCACAGTTCCCCCCGCTGATAACAGTGTGTGTGAGCTGTAAGACCACCTGATAACTCTCCATGGTGACAGACTACTAATGGAAAAAGTTATTATGCATCTCAATGGGGAAATGATAACATAGTACAGAGAATTGTCACATTATAATTATGAGCAATGAGAGGGTAGAAAGGAACCCTTCAGGTTTTCGTGACTGAATCTGCTCCCGCTCCAATTATGCTCTCAAGAGGCTGCTGTCCATTCATGCAAAGCCACAAATTATTGTCACTTTAGTCCCAAATGTCACAATTATCATTCACATTGTGGCAGAACTTTTAAAGAGGGTGGAAAAAAAAAAGGTAATGCAGTGTTGAAAAGAGAGGAGAGGCTTTGAATTCAGCAGTTGGTATTTTTGTGTTTGTACTGAGGTTGGTGTTTTATCCTGAGAGAGGAGTTATATTTGAACAAAGAAAAACTCAAATAAAAGAGGAGATTTCACACAAACTCCCTCTTCAGTAATAATAGAAGGGTGATAACTCCAACCATTGAGAGTAAAAAAAGTTGATCCTACTTTTGAATATAACTCAATGGAGGGATTCAGAAAACTCAGAAAAAGACTGTAAATTAAGCTCTTTTCACAAACAGATTAAACCTAAAAAATCAGATCCTGACCTTGCCCTGACTTGTCCTTTCTCACAAGTAGTCCAAACCAATGTCAACCAATGTGCGTGTGCACGATCTGTCTGTCATGTTGGCTGCAGTGTCAGATTAGGAGATCGCAGAGCCGTTAAATCATGCCATGGCTTGAGACTACTCAATGATACAAGACCGGTCATCACAGCTGACAAGAGGACGAGAGCGAGCGCCAGACGACACCTGGAAATGCCGTTACTCTCCAGGTCAGTAAGCGGTAAGCGCTATTTCTCATCAGTTTTTATTTGTCAGTCTGTCGTGGTCGTCCCTGAATAACCTTTATCATTCCACTTTCACTCCTCCATTTGGTTTGTTTACACTCCTAGTGTTAGCATGTGTGTTACACTCTGTGCTCCCATTGGTTTAATAGATCTGACATTTTAGAGTGGTCTGGTGTCTTTATCATGTAGTTTGACCTCAGCTTTAGTATTTCTGGACAGAATCTGCCTTAAGATTTTTAAATAATTTGAACTTTTTTTTTAATGCTAGTTTAGCTAACAGACTGCTAACTAGCTAGTAGTGCCACATTATATACATTCAGAATTGTTATTATGCAAAATGAACCTCCCTCCATAGAGGTGTAGCTACAGAATACTGACTGAGAGATAATAGGGGTGTTGTAGTACAGCAGGAGGGGGCCTGAGCTCGTCTGGCGCTACCTGTGATAACAATACAATACAATGATGATTGACACCTGATACAGCCTATGGACGTACGAAGATTGCGTAGCTCACCCGGGGGATAGGCTGTTTGAGCCGAGCGTCATCACAGCGACTCTCCCGCTACTGCGCAAGTGGTGGAATACGAACAATGCTATTGCACAATGTCGGTTTCAGGAAATGAAGAAAAAACACCTTTTTGGCTTCAATCTGTATAATGAATGAACCAAGTTGTCCATAGTACATACAGTCTATGGTATCACCTCTTTATATGTAGGATTGTGCTGGTTAAACTGGGCTTTGGAAGGCAGACATAACTCTGGCTGGCTCTCCATAAGCTAGGCAAGTTTTGAATTGTATTCAAATCTACAGTATATTAAGTAAGAAAATACCCCCAAAATGTCACACCTGGTCACCAAGCACAGTGGTTGTTCTGTTCAGCTCCGTCAGATTTGCCCTTTTCAAGCAGAGATGCACAGCATACTTTGGCAAAGCCGGGACTCTGACATTTACACTTTATGTTGGGTGACATCCAAATCAGAGGGTGTTGGCGATGAGCATAAACTCAGTACACTGTGATGGTTGACCGCTGCTGCAAGCTATCCTATGTGTATGTCAGCTGCCAGTGGTCTTCCAGGGAGTGTTGTATGAAAGATAAAACAGCATTTATAAGTACAACACTAAGTATTGTTTACAGCAATTGTGCATTCTGGCAGTTTTTAGCTGTAAATTATGAGCTGAATCTGGCAACACTGCTGCCAATTTAACAACAGGAACCGTTACAGTGAACCACAGGAATCTGCAATAAAGACAGACTGGTGGGCTATTGAGAGCAAATGAGAAGAAAGTTTTATTTCACAGGAGGCCAACAAAGTCAGGAAAAAGTCCAATCAATTTCAGGCTCAACCTATATGGTAATTTGTGTTACCGTAGATCCAGGCCTAATACCTAAAATCAAGTTATCAGAAAAACCACCACTCCTGCTCATACTAGGGTACAGCCACATTAAAACCTGATTCACGTGACACTGACATTGGTTTCTTTTCATGCATTTGCTTGGGGTTAAAGGGATATTCTGGCGTAAAATTAATTTGAGAGATGAACGTTGATGACCACTTGCTTCTCTAGTTATACCAACTTTAATAACAACCGCATGATAGCAATACACAGTGGTCTATGTCTCCATGCGCAAACCTTAACCAAAACGCCACTCTTTAGCCACAAATAATGCTCAGAACAGCACCTAACTTCATCAACAGGACATAAAGGGTCACAGACATAGTACTAGCCAAACATTTCTTTAGCAAAGAGACTAAACACAATTCACCTACTCTCTTCCAGCAGCCGCTTGCTTGTAGCGAACCTTCGGGTGAGTCCATCGACTGCAGCGGGGTGACGCAGCTCAAGGAAGAACATTTATGATAATTTCTTCATGGAAATGCAATCAGACCGAGACGCTAAGATTAAATCATATAATTAATAATATGGTGATTATTACTTCAAGGAAATGATAAAGAAACGATCATAAATGTTCTTCCTTAAGCTGCTTCACCCCTCTGCAGTCAACGGACAACAAGCGGCTGCTGGAAGAGAGTAGGTGAGTTGTGTTTAGTCTCTTTGCTAAAGAAATCAGCAAAGCTAAAAATGTTTGGTGGCTAGTAATGGCTAAGACCCTATATGTCCTGTTGATGAAGTTAGGTGCTGTTCTGAGCATTATTTGTGGCGATAAAGTTGTGTTTTGGTTCAGCATGTGGCTCTCCATATTGCTATCCTGCGGTCATTACTCAAGTTGGTATAACTAGAGAAGCATGCGGTCGGCAACATTCATCTCTCGATGGGGTGTCTAACTTGGTGTTACGGTGTGTTTGACCATAACTTGATTTTACGCCAGAATATCCCTTTAAGTCTAGACATGTTCAGGAGGGAGGTCCATTTGAGAAAAGGGCTTTAACTGAGTTACGCTTCAACAATAAATCACATACGTGTCATGCACCCAGAACAAGGGAGAGTCAGGCCTTTTTCTTGCTCTCTTCCAAAGTTAAAATACCTACACAGCATTACATTAAGTCACCAATTAGCATGCTAGTGGATGGCTCCTGTGGGAAGTATGTTTATATCCAGTCATCAGTTTATTCCTGAGAGGATTTCCCTTGTGCAGACTTTATGAGAATAAGCTAATATGAAGTACTTCAAACTTTACAGTAGCTTAAGGTGATTTAGTCCAACACCTCTCAAGCCAGTGTCTTTTACAACAGAAGAAATCCAAGCTTAAGAAGTCAGGGGAAACCTCTCACACGGAAAGGTTACAAATTTTATGGCTTTTTCTGAGCACCCTGTATATCACAGAAACCAAAACTGTAGATCAACGAGAGGTAATTTCACAATCTCATCTACACTGCCAAGGTAAGTCCCGTACGCCATTGAGTGATTCACTCCTTTAGTGTCGTGGTCGTGTACGTTCGTCATACTTTTTCTGAATCCTTCGAGCTAAGACAAGGGGGAAAAAAATGAATTTTCCCAGATCCATTCCAGCCTCATTCCAAGGCCAAATTGCCTATTGATCTCCATCTCTTTGTCTATTAAAGGAGAGTCTTGCATGCCAAAAATCGGTCACAGCCACGACTGCTGCCTATATCTCAATGTTGATTGATTCTGTGGCTGGCCAGGCCAAACCAAGGTTGATGTGAAAAGGGACGAGGATGATTGTCTGTGGTTTCCGTCCACCTGCCAGTCGATGCACATGATCAGTAGAGCGCGGATCCATGCTTTAGCCTCGATTCTTTGGCTCAGCGTCACCCTCTGTGTCTCTGCCGTCAGCTGAAAAGGAAATGGATACTGAGAGGATGGTTATTCTATTCATCCAAATGGAGGGACTTCATGCAATCAATACTGTCAGAGTGGAGTGATGGAGCAGAGGCTGCAGCAGTGCAGGGACTTAACTGCGGTATTGTATAAGAAAGCTAAAGAAAAGGAAAATCCCCCCACTGTGACCCAGTGAAAGAACAAGAGTCGCTTTGATTTCTCTTTTCTAAGAATGAGTCCTCAGTCGAGCTTTGTGGCTTTCACTGGTTCGAAAGAGAGATGATTGATTTTCAGAAATCCCTCTGAACTTTAAGCTATTTTTATCCAACTATTGTTCAAGTTTAAGTATGTGATTGCAAGAACTGAGATTTTTCCAAACAGTTTGTAAAACTTTCTTCTGAAACACATGAATTTTTAAAAGTGGTAGGCTCTGGTTATTTAAGGTAAGACTACAGTAATGGGAGCATTTTTATGGAGCTCATAAATACAACAGTGAAAACCTGATACATAGTAATAAGAAGAAATCGAATCCTCTTCAGATGAGTGGTTGAAAATTTATTAATCTGACTCAGAGGAAGAACCATGAAGTGGAATTAGTTCATGTTTACTTGATTTACTAACTGTTATCGGGCATTAACGTCAAGCTTTGATTTCAGCTCATCATCAGCTTAAGATTTGTGTTTCTTGTGGGCGGCTAATGCTACATTACTCACTTAAACAGTCCTTTGATGAAGCTGCAGAATAGTAACATATGTTGAAGTAGATTAGAGATAAATTCACCTGTTTGTCTGAGTACAGCTTTGAAGTTATGGTTCAAGCCGTGGTTCTGCATTTGACTCCATTGTATACCTAAAAGTCTTGGATCTAGAACAATGAGCTGATGTGCTAAATACTTAATTCTGATTGGTCCACTAGTCTTGAGTTGGTAAATGACAACAAGTTGTGGCGCAGGTGTGAGAGCAGCCGGAGAAGCTACTGGACGCCAACTATCTCAGACAAGGAAAAGTGGAGCGACTTCCTGTCCTGCAATCCAGGCAACAGCAACAGAGCTGAGGAAACAACGTTAAAGGATGTGACATTTTCATCATTTCAAACTATGAACTGGCCTTAAAAAAACTTGACTTGAACTATTACTATAACGCTACAACTCAAACAATGTGATTGAAAAATAAACTGCTTATCAATTTTTTTCAATAGTGACATTTATCAATAAAAACCTTTTGTTGTTTATTATAACAGACCTGCAACGTGAAGGTTTAAAATGATACTTTCAGGTTGTTAAGGTACAAAAACGCTGCAAATGGATAACCTTAACTTTGGTTAACTGGTGGGTACTCATTAGCATCTGCATAACCACCTGCTCACTATACACTATTCCTCACATGAAGGCTAGCACAGACATATTTAAGTAAAAAGCCATTATGACTTCAGCTGAAAATGAACCTTAAATAAAGAAAGATACAGGTATTAAAACAGTATAAATCCAAGCTAATTCATGCTAAATTTCTCTTGGGGAGCTGTATATTTATGCAGGATGATGTGAATGCATCTGAACATGTGCAATTGGACAGAGTCTGTAAAAAGCTGTGTTTGTGAAATCATGAAATGTGGCCTTGCTCGCAGATATCCAGCAGGCAAAAAAGAATGTGTTAAAAAGCAACTGAGGAAAAAATCGGAGCCACCTGCAACAGGATCCGGTATTTTCTTAAACTATGAAAGAAACGTCAATAACCACAAGTATTTGCAGAAAAAAGATAAACTTTTAAAAACGTCCATCAGGAAAAAAGCTTCTCTTGTTCAAGGTTTTCTTAGCAGGTCGAAGAGAGGCATTTTGTCATTCAAGGATGTCGTGCCTGCTGAAGCAAATGGGTCGTTTCTGAAATGTCAAAGAAAAGGTGCAACCTTTCGAAAGGTTAGGCATAACAAGGGAAGACCAACTGTACAAACCTCAGTGTCTGATAATCAGCGTGGCCCTGACACCAGATTAACCTCCCTGCAATGTGACAGAAAGATAATAAAGACATCAGGATGGGAGGCCATCTTAAATTGAGTCAGATGAATCTCCATCATAACCACAATATTAACGTCTGCTCCCAAGTCTCAATAAATCATGAGTTACACTGAGGATGGCTGCTGAATTTCAATTTTATCTTTAGGCATAATTTGATTTTCCCAAACAGCTGCTCAGGGTAACAGAGAGGACTTGATGGGGGACTGATGGAGTGAGATTCAGAGAATCCAGTGAGGGAGGAGGGATCCACAGATGACCTACAGCTCGATTAGAATGGCTGAAATACCCGTCTCATTTAATGGCTTTTTTAATTAAAGGATGCGACGAGATCGATCCAAGGCCGTCTACGTCTGAAGTGGCTGAAGTTTTAAATGAGGCGGGATTAAACGGGTGTAGTTGGAATTACTGAATCCTGCGGGTCAAATGCTCACATTAGCCCTCCGAAGAAAAGCAAACACATCTGCAAAAGCTTTGTGAGATCTCAGGGGGATAACAAGGTTTGTTCACATCTTCAAAAACTGAGCCGGCAGTGTTTGCAAAATACCTCCTTGTAAAGTCAACCGAAGATGAGAACTTCCGTTATTATGATTTAGTCTCTTGGATGAGTTTAATCAATCACAAAATGCCACCATTCATCCTGGCTTAGAGGCACTTAAGAGAGAGAAGATTTTGTGACAAGATTTATACTCTTGATCAACTCAGATCCAGATTTTACACAAGTTAACCCGTCGATCTATGTTCCAACTTTCATCTATGGCCATGAGCCGTGGGGAGTAACTGAAAGAATAAGATCACAGACACAAGCCAGTGGAATAAGCCTCTTCAAAGGATGTCTGAGCCCAGCCTTAAAGCGCAAGTGAAATCATCGACTCGCTTAAAGGCGGGGTAGGCAGGACCTGAAGAAGCGCCAGTTGCTGCTCCAGTGAACCCCGCCCACAAACAGACGCTCGTATCGTTCTAATTAAATTCAGATATAATGCCGATAAATACTTCAGATAATTACAAATGGAGCCCAGTCAACGTGAAAGTCAAAATCATTGGTGCTACTGTAGATGCCAACAGACTACCAGCAAACACAATGTTTGCAGGACTTCTACAACGAGGATAAAGTGACATAGTCCAGGACCAGAGGTCAACAATTTAGCGGTGCTACAACATGCAGCAAGCTACAAAGCTCGACTTCTGTTACACTTGTCTTACTTTGTTAAAGCGGTTTACCTGTCCAGCAGAAAGGTTACAGGGTCCATAGGATCCCGAAGCCTTTCCCATCATTTATGCTGATGTTGACCCGGCTTTTTAGCTCTTGTCCGGTCTACCTCCTTTTTAAGCGCCCATTATTCCGTCAGAGTCTCCAGTATTTACTTGGTTTTCTTGCTTGTGTTGGCAGTCGAGGCCAAAGGAGGATTCAGACAATTTCCTGTACTTTCTGGTCAGTTTCTACTGTCCGATATTGTAGCAAGACACCACAAAAAAAGATGCTCTTTAACGGAATCCTGCCTACCCCACCTCTAATTCCTGCAAATCTAGACGCGTGAACGAATAGTAATTACTCACTTCATTTGCGCGTCAACGGTAATTTCAACATTAATCCCTGCCATCAAGTGACGGACAAAAGGTTTTTTACAATTTACCAGGTAATCTGATGACCTCCTCACTCACTTGCCTCCAGGAGAGCTCCTTTTCATTCCGGTTTTGGTATTGGAAAGAAAAGATATCATATAATTCGGGGCACCGACACGATCAGTTTGTCCTCCATTTTAGATACAAGTGAACAACCGTCCGTTTTCATACGTCACCCGACAACCTTTGTGCTGATTAGTTATCCCGATGCGAATATCCACTCAAGTTGAGACATTTTCAGCTTACGCCATTCACGTCTATCGCTTATTGCAATGATTTAACATTCGCGCGAATGATTTTACTTATGCTTGGTGTGTGGAGACAGTTAGAGGGTCAGAAGCTGCTGAGCAAAGTAGATCTGCTGCTCCAACACATCAAAAAGAGTCAGCTGAGGTGGTTCGGTGTCTGATAAGGATGCCCTCTGGGCGCCTGCTCTGTGGAGGTGTAGGGAAGAGACCTTGAGGCGGGCCAAGATCTCCCTGGAGAGCTTTTATATCCCATCTGGACAGGGAGCGCCTGGGGATCCCACAGAAAGAGCTGGAAAGTGTTGAAGGTTTGGGATGACTGGCTGAGACTGTTGCCCCGGCGACCTGATCCAAGATAAGCAGAAGAAAACGGACGGATGGATTTCTCACTGGAAAGGAAGTCTGCACAAAGCGGGTTACAGTAAGCAGCATTTTGGATAAACTTTAAATGATCATTTTCTACTTTTTCACTCAGTTTTGTTTGTATCTACACTCTGCGTGAAATAAACAAAATCTTGATTACAGGATTTTGATTTTAATATCGCTTGAAGAATTGATTTTCCAGCATCGTGAAAGATCAAGTTTAATTGAACGCCTCAGTTGATCAAACATAAACAAATCAATGTGGAGCGCTCGGTTTTAGATCATTTTTTTTGGCAGTCTCGTCATTCCGCTGAAAAAACACCATGACTGTGGTATTGAAATTATGTTTTTATTACCGTGCAGTCTTTTTAATTGACTTATTTTTTTTGCATCCTATATCCCAGTGTGCTAAGCTCTCATTTAGACTCTCTATAACCGTTAACAGTTGGGTGTCTGTAGGAACTATTATCACTGCTAAAGCTGAACGACCAGAAACTTCACGATCAAAACAAACCACCGTTCCTGCTTTCAAAGATTCAATCTGCATCATTCCTACAAAACAAGAGCAACTTCTATACCCCAGGCACTATTTCTCTCTTAATGAGTTTAGCTATTTGGGATGCATTTTTGATTTCGCTGCAAACTTTTTAAATGTTTTTTCCAGATAATTCATTGTGATAGAAAATGACTTCTAAGTGTGCGTCTGTTCGCGGAGATATTACACCACCTTCAACTTTTATTCCAAATCCAATCTGGAGGCTTCACATATCAATATGTTGCGCGGCGTGAAAAGATGCTCTGAAAATCACGTTGCATACAAATGTGTCGGCGAGATCATTAATAGCATCTGAGAGATGTGCCAAATTGAAAATGTAACACAGATGGGTTTTCTCACAGTTCATTACTCGTATTGCCTTCTGAGAACACAATTGTGGAAATACAGTGTGTGAGAGAGTGTGTGTATTCGTGAGTTGTGCGCTGTATGGGCGACAACAGCTGTCTGTGTGCAGATAGAAACGCCACACAGAGACAGGACCTCGACCTGCAGAGGGAAATCAGCGGATCCTCCCTCCTCCTCACTGTTCCACGCTCACTCAAACTTTCACACACTTTCATAATGAATCATCTTTGCTGCACAGTCAATAAATTCAGTGTTAGATATCCTGTGGTGTCTTACATTTTAATTGGAGAGCTGATCGATACCAACAGGCTGCTGAAGAACATCATGGGGGCGTAAATCGAAATGCATTAATATCTCTTATTCAGCCATGATAGTGAAGGGAAACTGTTTATAAAAACGCAGTTATTTTAAACAATACTCAGATTATTGTTGTAAATTTCTAAGTTAAATCTGATAAACCTGTTAAAGAGAAAACTATCTATAAGCTAATACCTTTTATCCCTTATTTTTATACCCCGGGTTTGTACGCTGCCACCTCAGTCTGGGATTGACTCTTTTCACTCAAAGGGTTTTTGGTCTTGTCCACTTGTAGACGAAGAATGACGTATCAAACATGAAACTACTCAAAACGATGTAGTGCATATGCCAAGCCAGTAAGTGGCGCTGTGACGCTGCCATGGAAATGAACCAAAAGACAGAGGAAGAGTACAAAGCAGGCGTAAAACGGTTATTTTCGCCAGATATGCACAGGCGCTTTAAGAGAGTTACGTTGTGTGTGACGTAATCGTTTCAAGAAAGAAACAGAGAGACATCCACGCGAAGATGAACAATAGTTGTTTAGGGATATATGCACTCTGGGAGCCATTTTCAGGGCGGAAAAATATTGATTAATATTGGAAGATATTAATGGTTCAAAATAATAAAAACTCTAAAAACTATAAAAAGACACATTTTCCTAAAACAGCTGTTGTAGTATGAAGAGTCCCTTGGTGTGTTCGGTGATTTTGAGGTCTCTACTGTGTTACAGTGGAGCTATTGATTTTTGTTTGCAGCGTCTTGCTCTTGTATCGTAATTTGCAGACGATCCCTGCGCACTCGCCCGGCTACCGGCTGTTCATAGAGATCAGTATTATCTATCCAGCTCAAAGAACGGCTTCTCTTTGTAAAACAAATCAGTTTTTGATTCTTATAGCTAGTTGTCTGTTCTACTACGACATGAAAGAGGCACAATTTGTGTTTAGACAACGTTTCGTCTATGAATCTGTGAATATCTTTCCAACTTTACCGAACTTTTTCTCACTGCTGCCATAAATAAGCTTTCCGGCACACGACACACAAAAACAAGCACCTGGGTCTTTCAGTTTTCGGCGCCAGCTACCATGAGGCTTTCCATCTTTTCAGTCTTTTCTACCCAAGCCCAGCTTCCAATATCGCTGTTTCTTCTCCTGGATTGACGTACCCGGCATCCATCGTTTGAAATCTGCCGTTCGCCACTCGCTGATGCGTCATATTCAGATCTAACTAACTAGGATTTTTTTTTTTTTTTTGACATGATTTAGAAAAAAAAAAAAAAAACGAGCCAGATTCCCGGCACCGTGCTGGAGGTCTTCAAGCCCTGCATTTTAAAGTCACAAGAAATGCCGTTTCCGTGTGAATGACACGCCGCTATGACAAAAAACTTTTGCGTTTGCTCCTGAATTCATTTCCCACTGGTTGAGAAACTGGTTGAAACTTCTACTAATGTCTCTTTGTAACCTTCAGATGTTATGAGACCATCAATAATGAGGCAGGAAATTCTTGGTTGTAAATTCTGATGCCTGAAATTGCTGTGAAAAGGGTAAGACTCAGACAAGATGATCGATACCGAGCTTAAAGCTCCTGTAAGGACTTTTGATTACATTTATGAAATAGACTGAAATTCATAATAATACCTTACTAATGCGTTTTCAAGATCAGCATGTTATACATGACCTAGCTTTCTCTTTTTAAGGTGCTGTATATTACCTGATTATCTGTCATTTGATTTTGTATAGTTAGTTATGATGTGGTCATACTTTTCAGTTTGTAATATTTCCAACATCTGTCACAACCAAACTTATCTTTATCTGAAATAAGACAGTGTTGATTTTAAGAACCAAAAAATCCAGATTTAACTAGATACAGCCCTGTATGAGCTTAATACTCTTTACTTTAAACTCTTTTAACACACACTGATGATGAAGTCACATAAAAAAGCCTTATTTTCAACGCCAGCTTAATAAGCAGAAATCTAACAGTGGTTTAGTGAGTCAACATTTGATATTTAAAGAGTTCAAATCCGTTATAATGGAGTTCATTTATCCACTTGCTTTGACAAAGAAAAACTGCTTTTATCCTCTCTGGCTCTTCACCAAAGATACTTACCTCTTTATCATCTCAACCTTGCTCTGAGCATAAATCTTTACCTTCATATACTTTTGTTTTCTGTTTTATCTGTCTTTGTGATACAGAATCAATCTCTGAGAAGTGAGATAATGTCACTGTCGGAGCGAGAAGTCATTAATGAGACATAGAAATGTAAAAGCCCTGTCTGTCTTATTGTTTCACTCCTCATACTCTTTATTATAAATCTATAAGTTCCAATAAGATCCTCTTTACACCAGCATGTTTAAGTCTTTTTTCCTCTTTTCTTATTGGACTTGAATTCATAACAAAAGCACAAATCAATATTTGATGCTTTAAATGGTGTTATCCTCTCTTTTTTTCTTAACATCAAGTATTGATCTGAAAATTTCCCCCCGTCCCGCTCTGACCCCTCCTCTCAGACTCCCAGCCGCCCCTCCCAGTTTGCCTCTAATATCTACCTGTATGCCTCCATTTTCCTCCATTTTAGTCATCTCGGTGCACAGCGGCGCTCCTGAAATCCATTTCCTCACAACACCTCTGGGCCCCTCGGCTCCCTGGGGTGAGGTGAGCCCTGCTGTCATCATCATCTCCTCTCGGCTTGTCTGCAGGTTGAAAACTTCCCTCTCTCTCTTATCCGCGGCGTCTTTAGAGTCCTAAACACCAGACACAAAGACAGACTTCAAATCTCACTCATCGAGGAAAACATCCACACAAGAGCTGTCCTCATTGTCGAGGTGTCAGACTTCATCAGGCGCTTCCATGAAATTATGCCACCAACACACACGCTGAACATAATTCCAGTTCTTTGACTCGAATCCTTGAAACTTCTATTTTTAAATTTTATTTCGGTGACATCCTGGCTCCAAAGCAGCCGAGCAGTCACTTCCCAGGTATCGCCTGTCAGTCAAACCTTGTGTGCAATATTGTGAAATATCTCTATTTTTTTTTTCATTGTGGTTGAAAGCTGGGTTTCTGTGGATAGAGCTGCTCATGCTCATTTCATTCATTTCTCAAAAACAATGTTTCTGCTGCTGGTAAACAAAAAAAAAAAAAAAAAAATCGACATTTTCTCAGCGCTGCAGAATTCTCCCAGGAAAGTATGTTAAGAGTAAAACTTTAACTTTTTCTAGGACATGTTTTATTCAGTTTCCCCTCATGAATTTTGATGGTTTTTTAATCGGTGAATTTAAAATTGATTCAATCATAAAGACTCAATAACCCTGCCAAGAGGGTCGTAAATATGTGGCCAGATTTTCAATAAAATTTGGCGAACGGTCGGCTCGGGAAGAGAGGAGCCCATTTGGATTTAAATCTCTTGGTGTGACTCCCAAACCAGAAATATTCCTTTAACAGCCTCATGAATTTCTGAACCTTCCCTACTGTTATTCACCGGCCTCTCCTTAACATACCAAGTCCGTTTTAGTCCAAAGTTAACAACCAGTTACAGCGTTCAACATGACACATGGCTTCCAAGCAAAGTATTATAGGGGAGACCAGGGCTTGTTGTCACACTTTTTACACTCTTATATATTTCTTAGAATCAATACATCATATACAAACGAAATGTGTACCAGACAAAAGACCAAAGTCTCTGACATTGCGATATACACTCACCGGCCACTTTATTAGGTATACCTGTCCAACTGCTCGTTAACACTTAATTTCTAATCAGCCAATCACATGGCGGCAACGTAGTGCATTTAGGCATGTAGACATGCTCAAGACAGTCTCCTGCAGTTCAAACCGAGCATCAGTATGGGGAAGAAAGGTGATTTGAGTGACTTTGAACGTGGCATGGTTGTTGGTGCCAGAAGGGCTGGTCTGAGTATTTCAGAAACTGCTGATCTACTGGGATTTTCACGCACAACCATCTCTAGGGTTTACAGAGAATGGTCCGAAAAAGAAAAAATATCCAGTGAGCGGCAGTTCTGTGGGCGGAAATGCCTTGTTGATGCCAGAGGTCAGAGGAGAATGGCCAGACTGGTTCGAGCTGATAGAAAGGCAACAGTGACTCAAATAACCACCCGTTACAACCAAGGTAGGCAGAAGAGCATCTCTGAACGCACAGTACGTCGAACTTTGAGGTAGATGGGCTACAGCAGCAGAAGACCACGCCGGGTGCCACTCCTTTCAGCTAAGAACAGGAAACTGAGGCTACAATTTGCACAAGCTCATCGAAATTGGACAATAGAAGATTGAAAAAACGTTGCCTGGTCTGATGAGTCTCGATTTCTGCTGCGACATTCGGATGGTAGGGTCAGAATTTGGCGTCAACAACATGAAAGCATGGATCCATCCTGCCTTGTATCAACGGTTCAGGCTGGTGGTGGTGGTGTCATGGTGTGGGGAATATTTTCTTGGCACTCTTTGGGCCCCTTGGTACCAATTGAGCATCGTTGCAACGCCACAGCCTACCTGAGTATTGTTGCTGACCATGTCCATCCCTTTATGACCACAATGTACCCAACTTCTGATGGCTACTTTCAGCAGGATAATGCGCCATGTCATAAAGCTGGAATCATCTCAGACTGGTTTCTTGAACATGACAATGAGTTCACTGTACTCAAATGGCCTCCACAGTCACCAGATCTCAATCCAATAGAGCATCTTTGGGATGTGGTGGAACGGGAGATTCGCATCATGGATGTGCAGCCGACAAATCTGCGGCAACTGTGTGATGCCATCATGTCAATATGGACCAAGCTCTCTGAGGAATGCTTCCAGCACCTTGTTGAATCTATGCCACGAAGAATTGAGGCAGTTCTGAAGGCAAAAGGGGGTCCAACCCGTTACTAGCATGGTGTACCTAATAAAGTGGCCGGTGAGTGTATATTACGATATTAAAAAATACAGGAATTTTCACTAGATGACCTGGATATCACTTTATGCTGAAATTTTGAGGACAGTTAACCTGCGCTGGTCTCACCTCTTTTTGTGAATGTTGGTAGAATGTCTTCTGTCTGTCTTAGAGATATTTTTAGCTTTTATTGTGCTGGGACGTTATTGTGGAAACAGATGAAAAAATGATCATAAATGTTCTTCCTTGAGCTGCGTCACCCCGCTGTAGTCCGTACTGGACTGGCCCGAGGTCTCGCTACAAACGAGTGGCTGCTGGAAGAGAGTAGGTGAGTTGTGTTTAGTCTCTTTGCTAAAGAAATTAGTCAAAGTTAAAAAGATGTTTGGTGGCTAGTACAGTAGCTAGGACCCTATATGTACTGTTGATGAAGTTAGGTGCTGTTCTGAGCATTATTTGTGGCTATAGAGTGGTGTTTTGGTTGAGGTTTGTGTGTGGTTCCATAGACCGCTGTGTATTGCTATCCTGCGGTCTTTACTAAAGTTGGTACAACTAGAGAAGCAAGCGGTCGGCACATTCATCTCTCAAAGGTGGTGTCTAACTCAGTGTTATGGTGTGTTTGACTTTATATTAATTTTACGCCGGAATATCTCTTTAAACTTCTTTAAAAGCTCAGTCTGTTTCAGGACATATCCACTTAATCATGATTCACTGCTCCATAAAACATATTTTTCATAAACTTTTATTTTGATATTTTCGTCTTATATTTAGGTTGCTTCATATGCAGCATTGTTAACCTCTGCTTTTATTTTGAAATCATCTTTCTCTGGTACATTGAGAGGTACAGGATGAATGGAAACAGCACCTGCTTAACGGATTTTGCGGCATGATAAGAAATACTGAATATCAATAAGAATAAAATGCACAAGCCTGGAGCTGGTATCACTCTCCTTCAGGCTACTCCAACACTCTTCCCTGCAGCAACACTCCCACTGCTCCTGAAGAACCTGAGCTGAACTCCCGCCGGTCTGCTGACCCGCTCACCCGCTTCAGGACAGCAGAGTCTCCTTGTCTACAGCTGAGACTTCCCCTCATTAACAAGCTCTTCACGCTCATCCCTTTCTCTCCTGAATCGCAGACCCTCGCTCTCTTACTGCCCTGCTCCAGTAATGTCCCTGCCTTGTTATAGAAGCGTTTGAAAAACACTTTCTTTCTTTTTGTCCTTGCCTTTTTACAACTTCTCTGCTATGCTTAAATTACTGAGATTGATTGTTCTGGGTTGCAAATGTAAGAAGGTCCTTTTTTTTTCATGCCACTTCTACCAGCAACGGCTTGTAATTGGCAATTTTAAGTCAGACACTCTGCTCGAAATGCCCTTCAAAGTAAAAGACCGTGCACCAGAATGCAAACATCTAATGAGTAGATATTAAAGAAAACACACGCAGCAGATCGAGGACAGAGTGGGAGCATGCTTTCTTCATTCGTGTGGGTTTTGCTGAGCGTGCACACTCTTATTCAGCACTTTTACGGCTACACCCTTATTTACATTTTTACGCTCCCTATAGTACTATAGTTACCCACCGCCTGCCTTTGGAAAAAAAAACAAACCCAGATGGGATTCAGTGGGGCTCAAGGGAACTTATATAGCAGCTGCTCAGAAAACAGGACCATCACAGTGAGAGCTTCATGGCCGTGTGAGAATAAGACGCACTCAGTGACCACAAGTCCGTGACAGCAGCCGCCACTAGAAAACCTCTTAAAAGTGTGGACCAAATGGTGAAGGTAAAACGACCTTTTCCAGAGAGCAGAAAAAAAGAGGAGAAGGATGACGAAATCTGACATCAAAATTTCTGAAATGCAACCAGGACGAAGTTTTGCAGCTCCAGTGTCTCCAAACAACAACAAAAACGAGCGATGAAATTCAAATGATGCAACAACTTTTCCTGCACTGGAAACAAACACGGATAAGTTTGCACTTTCACAATATGTGTAAGAAGAAGTATCTCCGTAAGATTCATCTGTGAGGTCCTCTTCTTCTTCTTCTTCTTCTGCATCAGAATCATTCTGACAGAAAGAGGAGGAAACTTCCAAGTTAATACCATCAAGTGTCATCTCCTCAAAATGAAAAATAAATGACCTGTTTTACAGCCTTTCAAAATGGGGCTTTAAATCTTTTACCAAAGTATTAAACATTTATGACTTAACAGCAATAATTAAAGTCAAGTTGGGAGATAACAACACCCCCAGTTATAATTTATGGCGAATTAAACCCTTGGAAACAAATCAACACCATGCAACTGGCACCTTGATGTGTTTCAGATGCTTTTTAACTCCAGTACACTAAAGTACACTCGTGTGTTTTAAAGCAGTGTGAGGCAAATTAACACGAAACTCAAGGCGGCAGAGGAAACTTTCACAAAAAAGGTATGAAACGGCATTTTTAGAGGTGGTTTCACACGTTTATCAGCACATTTGAGAGCCGAGAGAAAAGCTAAATTAAAGCTGAGATCCTTTTGTTTCCCCCATGATACACTCTCTCGGTGATGGTGCTATAAAATGCAACAGACATGAATATTTTACACTGAACTGTTTGATTATTCTTATCGTCCTTATTTCAATATTTTCAAACCGAAACACAAGGTCCAACAAAGTCCTTCAGAGTCTTTAAACTTGTTGTAAAACCAGCAACATGAGCCCCCAAAGCTGGTTTGTGGTTTTTCTAAACAAAACTGCTCTCCTTTCTCCAATATACAAGCAGCAACTCATGAGAATAAAGCTCTATATAACTGGGCCATCTTCTGATTTAAGTACGAAGTAACAAGCCAAAACAATCGACAAACATGTTACACAAAATACAGGAAAATTCAGGATGCAAATTCCACTTTGTGTCTTTTAGATTTTTAACCCTTGTGTCCAGTTGTGGCTTTTTTTTGTTGTCTAGTAAAGGGAAAAAAAAAAACATTTTTGACCTAAACTTTTGAATCTGGGTCAGGGTGTTTCTTTGTGGAGTTTGCATGTTCTCCCTGTGTCTGCGTGGGTTTACTCCGGTTTCCTCCCACATCCCAGAAACATGCAGAAGTGGGGTTAGGTTAATTGGCCACTTTCAAATCACCCGTAAGTGTGAATGTGAGCGTGGATGGTTGTTTGTCTCTATATGTCAGCCCTGCGATGAACTGGCGACTTGTCCAGGGTGTCTCCTGCCTTCGTCCGAGGATGCTGGGATAGGCTCCAGCCCCCGTGTGACCCCGGGAATGGGAATAAGCGGTAGAAAATGGAGAGATGGAAATTTAATTTTACAAAAAATTTTAATTTGTTTTTCAAAATTTGTACAAGGTCAAAAATGCACTGTGTACAAATTTACTACCCTTTGGTCTTGTTCATGGACGTTTTTAGCCACTTTTAGATAAAAGTTTTTTTCAATTTTTTTTTAACTTAATTATCTTTTCTGTGTTCATCTGTGTGTGTTTGAGCATGTGAATACTGTATGTTTTGAATGGGGATTGGGAAGGTGGGTGGGGTTTGGTATTTGTATTTTTATTTAATTTTACTTCATTGTTTTTGTAATATCCTACATTCTCTGTGTGAAAAGTGCTTTAAAAATAAAGTCTGATTGATTGATAGATAAAGCTCAGTCCTGGTCAAAACGTATGTATTTTAACCCTCTAAATGCCAATATCAGAGGTGGTGTCACTGATTCGAGCAAAAAAATCACACAAAATGACAGATTTTTATAATAAAAACTGATAAGCGGATGGAGATTTTTTACATGCTACTACAACCTTGTATATGTCAAACATTAGTAACAACATTGACTTGACATGTTTTTTCCAGAAGCAAAGGTAAAGGCTAAAAACATCCAAAACAATACTGCATCAAAGCCAATGATGTTACTTATATTTGACATATCCAAAGGTGTGATAGCAGGTAAAAAATCTCCAGCCTCTGATCATTTTTTATATTTAAAATCATTTTTTTGTGTATTTTTTCTCACCAAATCAGTAACATCACCTCTGAAATCAGCATTTAAAGGGTTAAAATCCAAAACAATATAAAATTATATATATATATATATATATATATATATATATATATATATATATTTATCTGATGTGTTTTTACAGCGGCTAAAGTTAGTGTCTAAAAACGTGCATGAATAGGACGAAAGGGTGTAAATTTTGAGCAGTACACAAGGGGTAAAGAAAAGGATTCAGGACCATAAAGAGGGAGTGTGAGAGTCTTCCTGAGCATATTTGGCACCACTCCTTTTCTGTCTGTGGGTGTATATGGGGGGGAAGTGTTTGGGTGTGTATGCTCATCTGTGTGTGAAAACCAAAGAGACAGAGGCAGGCAGAAATAAGCGTGGTGTGTTTTTAGCGGCTGACATCTGACGGAGGAGGAGGGGATGAACAGATGTACTTTGTTCATGCGTCTGACAGGTGTAGCAGAAAGCTCTCTCTCCTCCTCACTTCACTGACAGGCAAACAGCCGCTCTTCTGCGGATCTCCTCTGAGCCGTGCTCCTCCCTCCTCCCTCTCCTGTCCCTCAGACACCAAACCAGCCCACAGAACCCGCAGGTGGGACCTCAACGGCGACTCCAGCATCACGCCCGCGATCCTATTAAAGAAAGAAACTCGGTGTGCTGTGTCCTCTCGAGTGTAAATCCTATTTCATTCCCTACGAGCCAAACAGCTTGCAGCGGCTCGACGCTCCGGTGGTTTGTTGCAGATGGAAAATGGGGGCTGCAGAGGTTTGGATACGTTTGTTTTGGCGTTTGGTTGTGATCCAGGTATGGTCTGTGGAGTGGCGTTAACACGGATCCTGGTTGAGCCCGGATTTGAAGCCCTTGGTGGTCAGCCCTGAGGAAGTTTGATGAAAAGAAGAGACACACGCTTCTGAAACATGATCAGATGGTTTTTACTTCCTTTTTAACCGATTTAAAGGCCTGTCTGTGTCAAAACTTGCACTTATGTGTAAATAATTATGTGGTGTCATGTCATCTTTTAGTATATTTGTAAATATACCAAAAGGAATATGTTAAAATATGTGTCCAAGATGTCGTTTAGATGTCTTCATTCAATAACAAGCGTGATATTTAGAGAATTTCCACTCATATATATTCTGATGGCCCCTCTTACATGTCTTGTTTGTCCAACCAGCTCCGCAAACATCAGAAATGTTGAGTTTAAGGTAAAAATCTTCACATTGGAGAAGCTGCAGTCAACAAATAACGTGTTTTCCTTAAAGCTCCAGTAAGGAACTTTCTGTTTGGCGCCCCCTGTGGACAAAAAGATGCCCACCTCTTTCCTCATCTTGACCCATACACGTAAAGCAATCACTCACCATGAATATACAGTATGAGTAAAAAGGCTTTTTCTCAAGGGTGCTTTCAGCAGGAGTTACAGGTATTACATCCATTAAAAGGAATCTGCCGAGCTGAAGATTGAAAGACATCGTTCTGAATTTAAAGCTCCTATAAGGAGTTTTTTTTTCGCATTTAAGAAATAGTCTGAAATTCATGTTGATGCCTTTTTATGATAAACAAAATCAAACAAGACTATTAGGAACAGGACCAGAGATCTTCATATCCTTATTCTAATTATCTGCAAACGGTGCAAGGGGGCGGGTCCGAGCCATGCTGCTAAAGAAACAGTTTTCCTCATAAGTCTTCAAACTGAGTGACACATTTGACTGTCAAAATTCAGAAAAGCAGAATGAGATTTGTTGTTATCAATCAGCACCCATGAATTTAGCAGACAAGGTAAGCCAAGACTGCTTTGTCCACAGGGGGCGCCAAGATTGATATTATACAAAAGTTCCTTACAGGAGCTTTAATGTGTGGGTATTAACATAAACTTCAGCAAAAGCTCTCAAAGAAAAGAGCAGAAGCATGGCCGTCCTCTTTCAGTACTGTTACATATGATTCCTTTTTATTATTTGTATAATTCATAAGTGCCTGTGATACAGATGTCAAATTACAGATAATTGTTTTAAATATTCGTGATTCTGATTGACCTGTAGATGGTATTTTGCTTTTATAACCAGTCATCTATACCATTCCTCTACCATCGAGCTAGCTGGGATAATTACGACTAACAATCATTACAGTTCAGGTAGAAAAACAAGTGCTTAATGTGTGGCAGTTAAAAAGTAAAGCCATAGACTGTGTATACTATGGACAACTTGGTTCTGCCTTCTGTCAGCAAAAGGATTTGAAGCCCAAAAAGCTCTCTGTATTTCCGTGATTTTTCTTCATTTCCTGAAACCAACATTGCGCAGAAGCGTTGTATGCATTCAGCGGGAGTCACCAAGAGTCACTGTGATGACGCTTGACTCAAACAGCGTATTCCTCTGGTGAGCTACACAATCTTCGTACGCCCATAAGCTGTATCAAGTGTCAATCATAGAAAACATGAAACCCCTAATAACTTTTAAAAACAGAGCTGTACAAAAAAAAAGGACTTGAGCACAAACTAGTCTGACAGTAACTACATGTCAACATCACAACCGGGGGGAGAAAATTTTACATTCTGTGTAATAAATTTCTAAAGTTTGTCCACAGCTCCATAAGCTTTGCTGGCAGAGGCGGGATTTATGACCTATACTGCAGCCCACCAACAGAGGGTGCTGTTCTTGGAGTGCCTTCACCCAGCAAGGAGGCAGACGGCGTCCATTCTATATACAGTCTATGAGTAAAGCCTCATTACATTAGGATGGCTACATGCACTTATTAAGCAGAAAGACCTTTTTTGCCCACGTTTATCCATGTTAAAAAAATCTTTTCTTAAATGACATGATTCAGACAACAGAGGGGTTTTAGAATCTGTTATCCTGGCCTTCACGGATCTTCATTTCCAAATATGGTCGACTGACAACTTAAACAAGTAACACTTTCCCCTTGGTTTCTTTCTGTTCGTCATGCGTCTTCTATCCTTGCATAGTTTGAACATCACAGCAACATTCCCCTTTACATTATCTTTATTTTACAACCTCTATGCACAACTTGGATAGCATTTTTCCATCAGTCTATCATAAAATAAACCATATCAAACATGTCAAATCTAATCTTCATTACCCGCTAAGATCCCAGTAGAAGCAGCTAAATGAGATGGTGGTACAGTCTATGAGTTTATGATCGTGGATGCATAACAGAAACAGACATTACATCACTTCACCTTCACACCTTCAAGCTCATGTTCAGCCCAGCGTTAAACCCCCCAAAACAGATATTTTCTCACCTGCCAAACCAAAGCCGACTTTCTGAAGCTTTTCTTCCTTTAGAAAATCTAATATAGATGTCAAGGTTGGATCTGTCTCCTCTCTCAAATTCAGTTTCTTCCCTGACCTCGATGCAAAGAAATACAGCTTTATATGTTTTCAAATCGAGCAGTTGCAGAGCGCCAAAGTCTTACTGTGTTTTTTTTAAGCATAAAGGAGGTCGAGGAAAATCAGCTAATCACCTGGAATTCAGTCCGTTTCAATCACGCCTGGCATTTAAGCACTTTAATTAACTCAGTGAGGAGGCCTTTTAATCAAGGCATTTTCAACTCTACCCCAGGTGTTAAGACCAACAAATGTAAAAGCTCCAGCAGAATTATCAAACAGGAATAACAACCACTCTGAGGACGTTTCTTCAAGGACTTCGAGGACCCTTTTAACACGAGTAAAGACCTCGGATCAAAAGAGGGTTTCTTTTGTTCTCGGTTTTTTGTCCTAGCAGCTCTAACAAGCCTCGTCACAACAGTTTCAGATGTTGTCGTAGTTTTAGTTTGGTCAAACTCAGGGTGGAGGGCACAGCCATCAAAATCCAAGACCCCCAAAACCGAACATTAAAGCGTAATCTGCAGAATTTATAACCGTGAAGATGCAGGACGCTCAATCTGAAGAGGATGTTTTAATCATAATTTAAATCTTGGCTGTCTAACTTGTTGGCAAAATGCCTTTAGAGATATTAAAAGACCTTGATGAGGCTTTTAATTTGAAGGGGGGAAAGTTTTCTGTCCAATGAGGAGTCAAAGTCAAAATAAAGAATTTTAGGAGTAAATATACATCAAGGTTATTCCCTTTCAAGAAGGTTTGTGTGGTTTGTAGTCTTTGATTCAAAGTGACAGGTTTGACTTCTAACATTTTTTCATGACTAATAATTTTAATTTGAAAAGCATTTGACCTTAAAAATTAAGACTGACCCTTTAATTCGCTCTCTTTTCAAAGACAAGTACTCTGAATGGTTCTTGTTCGGGATCAATCGGTCAACGAAAGCATCAAAAATATTCAAAAGCATGTTTCCTTTTGCACATTTTAGCCAATAATATCCGTCCTTGACACCCGTGGCTTCATTTTTGATTCAAAAAGTGGAATAAAGTGAACTTCGGAGAGGAGTAGTTTACCTTCACGGCTTTGGAAATCATCGCAATTCGGATTGTGACAAGTGCAGATGTCAGAAGCGTCTCTGAAAAGGAAACGTCTGCACGGGAAAAACGCCTGTTTGTGTGTCTGTCTCGCACAGATAAACACGGTGATTCTTATTTCTGTCACAGGGAGGAGTGCAGGTGCTGTAACCTTTTGCTGCGAGTCCTGTCGGAGTGAAAAACCCAGCTGTGCGGCGGGGATGACACGCTGCAAATAGGCCTTCAGCTTCCTATTGGCATTCAGGGAGCCTCACACTTCTCTCTTTCTGTGCACCCCCACCACAAACACACACTCCCCCTCTCACACACACAAACTCACTTCCTCGCTTGTCACTGTGCATATTGATAAGCCCATCCAGAGCACCATCTTGTGGACGTTTTGCCTGAACATCACTTTTGATTACACTCGATTATGTGACTGACAGAGCAGCTGTGAGCGTTTGCTTAATTTAAGTCAAAGTTAGCATTTCTGTTTACAATCTGATGGAGTTTGTTTTCAATGAAGCATAATGAGTGTTTGTCTAATTCATTGTTCTTATCTCTAAACAAAAAGAGAACATTTCAGAGCCGAGAGCAGACGTCTCACGGCTTAATGGGACAAAAATGACAAATCCGCCCTCACATTTTACACGCACATGCAGCCGCCCCCCACCAGCTCATGCAGATTACACTGGAAACTCAATGAGCACGGGTACTGGCGTGATACTCGTCTCCTCAGGGTGTACTGGTGCGACCTCTCCGCCTGTGCTGCGGTGCAGCCATCTGGATCACAGCGGGGAGCACCTGACACCTTAACACTGCATCTGCTACACTCTCCCTGCCAATCGCTCCGCGCTGAAAAGCTTTTACTCTGGATTAGAAATAAATGGTTCTGCCCTGGAGGTGTTGATCTAATGCATTTCAGACCATAACTGCCATATTTGTGGAGACTTCCGCAGCTTCTGCTTTTATTGATAGAAAAATGAGGTTTGCAGCCTCTTTTCAGCAATATCATGATGTTTACAGCTGCATATCTTTATTTATCACAACCAAAGAATAGATCAATACTTTTAAAGGGAGTGGAGTTGTTATTCTAACTGTCTGCAGTGCCCTTGAGCTTTGTGCAGTGTTATAACTTCCTACACTTTAAATTACTTCCATATACAAGTATAGAAGCTGTCATCACTTGGACATGCCATGCAGATAATATTGTATGCGTCACATTACAGCTATAAACTGTAATGTAGACATCAGGGGTGGAAGAAAAAATTGATACAGCATCGTATCGCGATATTTTGTCTGGTGATGTATCGTATCGTCTCATTTACCAAGTATCGATTTCGATATTGATTAATTGCTCATTTATGATGATGGTAAAATAAAATCAACTGTTTGTCCAGTGAGGTTGGCAGAGGCGACTTCATCGAGCAGGAGCGCAACAAATATATATATATAAGGTTTGCAAGATGTGCTACATGAAGGTAAAATACAGCGTAAATAAGACAAACATAAAGGAAAGAGAAATGCTAAATTAGCTAAACAGTTGAAAAAATTCTATAAATTGCAATATATTATTTTACTCTAAAAGCATTTTGCCAACAACGCTCTCTTACAACACTGTGTAACAAGTTAAGGTCATTTACTCTGACCTCTATTGCTTAAAAATATCTAAATAAAAGTGCACAGGCATCTTAGACTTTTAGGGGAGAGTGGGGTAAGTTGAGCCACCCCCTGTTGCTTGGAAATGGTCGAAGAAATTGATCAAATATTTAGGAGACGGGCATCAATTCTGTAGTAGGGTAGTAGGGGTACGGCTCAACTTACCCCGCTCCTATGGTCAACTTACCCCATACACAGGGTAAGTTGACCATAGGAGACCACTTTTTAAGACAGCTATGTTTACACTCATTCTGTTGGTTTGCAGGGATGCACAACATCTTGAAATATGTGCAGATACACTAGTTAGAGACAAAACTATGATTGTCTTGATGTAGTGATCTGAGATATGTAAAATGGCTCATCTTACCCCACTCATCCCTGTACATTATGAAGCCATAGTTACTGAGCCAAAAGAAGCTCTCTTACAACACTCTGTGACAAGTTAAGGTCATTTATTGTGACTTATATTGCTCAAAAATATCAAAACAAAAGTGCACAGGCATCTTAGACTTTTATATCTCACATACTAGACCAAAAAAATGAATATTGGTAGCTTGTGGTGGCGCTTAAAAAGTCGTTAAAGAGCTGCTTCAAGTTTTGTGGATCACCTGGTGTCATAGTGGAAACTGAGTTTAGGGTTTTAAATTATCTTTCAGCACAATTCAACCTCATCATAGCACTATTTTCAGGGCTTGAATCTTTGTTTCACATCACTCTGCTCACTCTAAACACAGTCCATTCTCATTCCCAAAGCATCAAACACAGACAGTTTCTCATCCATACAGAAACACAAGCTAATCTCAGATATACCCGAGTGCTTCCATTTGACAATCTGACGTGGTAATATTATCACTCTATTAATAATAGATGACTACTGTTAGTCACAAAGCAGATGAAGAAAAGAGAAAGTTCACCTTGAGGTCATTGCTGAGGGGACAGACTGAAAAAGTAAAGTGTTAAAATTCTACACTAAGATAAGAGATTTTCATTATGGCGTCTTATCTCAAATCTAATTCTTATTTATGTCCGCACAGTCATGTTTCGGTTTGTTTACCAGCCTCAGTCCTGCTTTCTTTTGGCCCCGGATTTATAGACCAACTAACTCAGTCAGAGGTCACCGAGGAGACAAGCAATCAGCCGAGCACAGGTGCACCTATGACCTCTGATGTCAAGCTGCTGCAGAAGGATACAGCCGCAGCATACTGATAACAGCCCAGCACTCGCAGGTGGAGCAGAAAATCTATACTTCATCTTCAGCTGCACTCCAAACAGAGACGATGGTATGAAATGATGAAATAGAGCTCTTTGTTATCAGGAAAATAATCCACAATCACCTCTAGATGGGTTTAATTCCTTACAGCAACTCAGAGTCATTGAAAACGTAGCGTAACTCAAACTCCACATACTGTACGGATCATGATTTTAGGGAGGTTTTAGCAACATGCTCCCAAATGCTGCTGCAACGCTTTCTGTTATAGTTGTCTAATGTCTGGTACATGAAATTTTAACAATGAGGAGAAGAACTGCAAATCTTAGCCGGAAATACTTTTCTCATTTCACTCAGTGGTTACAATAATCTCCTCTGAGAGCTCTTTTTACAGTGAATTACTGCAGGATGAATTTTTGACACGAAAGAAATAAGGTTTACTGCTTTATTTACAGGGTTTTTTATTCAACCCAATTCTGTACAGGAGCTTTGACCACTTATTTTTCAATTTTCTTTTTTTCCACTTGCTCTCATGTTACAATCTCCTCATGACCTGCCATATATGACAGAAAACAGGATGTTTTGAGGGTTAAACATGGACAACCAGACAAAAATAAGAAGTGCCAAGATGTCAGCTCGAGTTCTTGGAAACTGTGTTGGTCACTTTTTAGTATTTCTGATATATTATAGTTCAATCAACAACCAACAGATACTCTATATTTAAATATTTAGATCATTAGTTTTAATTTAAGAGTATACCACTTTGTATTTAAGTCTATATATCACAAAAAATATGCAAAATATCCATCGAAAACATTTCAAAACAAGCAGCGCACACATCTGACCGTTAATAAGACCATGTGGCTTTAAACATGCACAATGTTTTCATTAAAACCCCCTTCTTATTACCACCATAGAAGGAGCATCTTCTGTTTTCAAACTTGTCTGCAGCCCTCACATTGATATAAAATGTCAGAAATCATTCAACATGGACAGAAATACAGCATATCAATGAGTCACTGTGTCTGTACCCCGAGTTTATGGCAGTCTCATTTGAAAGTCCATCATAGCTGTGAGAAGAGCTGAGCTGCATTGTCGACGTTTACGGGTTCCTTCGGCGGCTCTCTGACAATCTGAAAGGAGAGAAAAAAACCTGAATTTAGTACCTCATAGAAATTTAACGGCTGAGTGATGATGAAGTGTTGGAAATGTGGTGACTCTGCATTTCTACCTGCGTTTGTTTCTTTGGCTCAGGAGCGACAGACTTCGAAATGCTCTTAACATCCCTCTGGACTTCTGTAAAGATCTGATTGAGGTTTTCCACCTTTTCATTTTTCACCGCATTGATCTGTGAAGCCACAAGTAATACAACAGCAGGCGCCACATGACTCCAAACCACGGAGAATACAGAGCATGTGTACAAAAAACAACAACAAAACGGCAGAGATCTTACGTGTTTGAGTGTCGTTGTGACCGGTTTGGCTTTGTTTTTGACTTTCAAGTGCTTGTTTGCGACTTGAAAGACATTCTTCTGCTTTTTCCCTTTTTGTTTATTCTTTCCCATGATATCTAGGAGAGGAAAAATGATCAGTAAAGCTGCCAGGAGGAATTTAATCTAATTTCTTTTGCCTCTGGATTATCCTGTGCATTCTTCTTCGCTTGTTTGAAATCCCAAAGTGGTGCTTCTGGGGATCACAAAGACTTAACAGTTCACAACATGATTGGTTCTAACATTTCAGACAGTGTTTTACGGCTCAAATAAACACAAGGCTTACAAATGACAGATAATATATGGCACAAACACACTTAACCTTCCTCCTGTGTTAGCTTTTACTGCGCAGCTGTAAATTACACTAAAAACAATTCTCTATCATCCAATTTGGTTCTCATCTCTAAGTTACCTTGTTAGGCGTCATTATCCATGAAAATTTTGTTTGTAATAGGTTTTGTAGTGGGCCTCTGGACCTTTCTGGGTCAGTATACCCCTCACACAGACATCTATACTGAATTAATCTCACATGTCTGGACATGCTCGACGTTGTTTCTTGCGCAGGGAAAAACCTGGCAAAGTGAGAATTTCCTAAATCTCAGTGCACATATGATTTTAATTTTTGCTCTTATCATTAGATATTAATCTAACCGGGTCAACAGCGATCCTGACATAAAAAGTGTCATAATTTTAATAAGAGAGTTTTATCATTTATTCTATTTAATCTTTTATTTTTATTTTGTTGAAATAGAGGTTCCTGCCAGAGTCAAAAAGTCTTGATGCAAATAAACTAATTTATGTGGTTCTTTTAAGCATTTTAAAACAAAAACAGGTTGGTACAGAACCTAACACAGGAGGAGGGTTAACACAAATCTAAAAGATGTTTGTTTTTTTGTAACTTCTTCGTCTTTTCTGTAGATCTTGGCTTCAGTTTGCTTTGGTTTTGACATGTAAACAGTCTGTCCACAAGAAAAACAGGAGTCCTGCCTCTGACTAAATGTATAAATACACGCAGAGTACAAAGTATGGCTGATTAAAAATGTACATTACTTTAAGTTTCAGTAGAAAATCATCACTTAACGAAGAGAAACACCAAATATTGTTACCGTTTCACTATTCTTAAAGGCTCTCTTCGTTTATTACCGCAATTTACCCACAATATAACGTACTAATTTCACAGTTTAGCGACAAAAGCGTTAATGTTTAATTAACTAAACAAACAATATAAATGTCGTAAACTCACCGTCTTCACGAGTCAAGAAATTTATGTTGGTATCCTCGTGCTCAACAAACAAACGCGCCTTGACTACGTCACAAACGTGCGACGAAAGCTGGTTTCCATGGTTTCCACCAGTGGTAGATTTGCGTATTTTATGTTTTTTTTTAAAATCCGATTTAAAAAAAAAAAGCACAATTAAATGGAAAGAAAAACTACAGACAATTTGATCTAATTGAAATTTACATTCTGAGTCTACAATAACAAAAATACACGTTAACCGCTTTTATTTTGATATAAAAAGGAAGTTTAAGGTTTTGCGTGACGGTGTAAACGTTGATCGTTTGCGTAAATTTTCGGGCTAAATTAGGAAATCGGAATAAAAACTTACCTAAACGAACATTTAAAAACGAACATGTTTTCAGATAGTTAAAATTACGTTTTTAATACTGCGTTAAAAAGTACTTCCGTTCAAAGCTTTTCAAAATAAGAGCAATAATCCTTTTATTAATCAGACCTAATTATTGCAATTAAATCAACCGTCTATTTTAGCATTTATATCTTTACTTGAGCCTTGTATCCATAACTTTTAACATTTAAATGTTTTTTAAGGACTACTCACTCGATTATAGGTCTATAACTTACTAGATAATGATTAATTCGACACTTTATTTCCTCTGTTGGTTAAGTTTACTCGCATATCAACATGGTATGCCCCAGGAAAGAAATGTAAATTCGTGCACTTGCTTGTCTTCATGGTTTTGTATAAAATATCCGTGCTTTGTAATGAACACAAGATGGCGCCATAACATCATCACAGCTGAGCTCATAACAGGTGCCAGATCTTTTGAAAGATGTGAGATTTCTTTGTACATGAAGATGTACTGACCACTAGGGTGTACTCTAACTGTTGGACAAAGACAGGAAAGTTTTAGGCCTTTTTCTTCATACTTCACTGTTTTTATCATGTCTTATGGTTGGAAACAAATCCTATTGTGGCCTGTAGATTCAATTCTGATATTCCATATGGTATATTTTGGGTAAATAAAGAGACTGCCAAACAAAAAGCATGTCAAAATGTCCCAATTTGTCAGTCAGGGCTTCTCTCTATCTGAGGACACTGAGTTACCCACTGTGCATTTTTTAGTCTAATAGACGTCTAAATGTAGCCTAGATGACTGGTCTAAAATCAGGCTACCACAGGTCTAAAAATTAAAGTTTTTTAGACATCTAAATTTAGACCAAGTTTAGACTAGCTGGTTATACTATACTACACTGTATATTGCTCAACGGCTATCATAATTATTTTGGTTAAGAGATCAGTTATGCAACTCACAGTTACTTTTTGAAATGATGGTTGAAATTAGTTATAAAAAATAAAAAAAACTAGACATCTAATAGCCGTCTATTGGCTTTTCTGCAAACCCCTCAGATGTGCATAACCACTGCAGCACCATCACGGACACACAAATCATCTACAGCAGAACTTCAGTTGGTTCTTATCTGTCTTGCTGAGCCAGGCAAGAAAACACAGATAACTTTTCAGTCCTTATCCAAAACTGTTCCCAGGACTTTTCCATTCAACTTGTATCAATGAAGGGTTATAGTCTGGGAAAGTTTGATTATAGTTTTCTCCAAGTGTACCCTTTAGAGTTAATGTTGAATGACTGTGAAGTGGCAGCAGGTGCATAACCCTTTTTGGATCAAAAATAATAAATGACATAAGAAATAGATTAAATGTACTTCTTGCAATAATTGTGCAAGATTTCTTTTCTCCCAAACTCTCCTGATACAACAAGTTGGCCAAGAGTTGGTGTATAATCATGGATGTTTTTATGTCGGGACTTTAATTCCTGCAGCGATTTAATCTGTGTCACTGCTTTCGATTTGAAGGTGACACTGACTCGGCTGCATACTGCTGCCACGTAATTCCGTTACTTCCTGCAGGACAGCATGACAGCATGACAGACGAGCTGAACGCGTTAAGTGGAAGGTAGGGAAACCAGCGCTCGGTGTGTTAAAACGAGGAGAGTTATTTAGCAGATTCAAGTGGGGCTTGTTAATGAGGACTTTAGTACCGCAGAGAGAGAGAGAGAGAGAGAGAGAGATCCTCATTGATCCACAGTGTTGCAGCGCTGCGTTGCGGCGCATCTAAAACTCCTCCCGGTCATTGCGCGGACATCATGTGGCCAACAACAGACTGACAGACAAGCCGCTCACGGGGGGGGAACCCTATATAAGCTCTGCAGCTGTCAGGTGGAGGGCACTGGCTGCTCTGCACTAGGGGACGACTCGTTTCATTGGGAATTTACAGACAGACACTCATAGATCCACACTGTAAGAATGTCTCACGCTTGGGGATACGCAGCAGACAACGGTGAGGCGCTAATTGCACGTACACATGCTGTATTAATAACGCAGGGGTGACATTTAAGAGGGGAATGTGAAAACCAGTCATACTAGCAGAGAGTGTGCAGGATGAATGAGAGCACGGGGCGCTGCAGAGATTTCTAATTATGCGCATTTTTGCTGATTTTTATGCGCGTTTGACGCACACCAACACCCCCAAATGCGCAATCGACCTCATTTGAAACATGTTTCTTTCATGAAAACCGCAATCTTAACTCCTATCATTTTCCAGGACCCGAAAAATGGGCCGATAACTTCCCAGTCGCCAATGGACCCCGCCAGTCTCCCATTGACATCGTTCCTGGTGCAGCATCCTACGACGGGGGGCTGAAGCCGCTCAACCTGAAGTACGACCCCTCCACCTGCCTCGATATTCTCAACAACGGACATTCCTTCCAAGTGACCTTCGCAGATGACTCCGACAGCTCAAGTTAGTGAGACATTAATATTCTATGACTTCAGGGGAGCCAACAGGGCTTCATTTTATCCATGCAGAATCATAATAAGAGATGTGCAATGAGATATTTCACCCTGCTTATCAAAAAAAATCACATTTCTTCTATCTACAACCATAATTAAAATGCCTCTAGATATATATATATAAGAGAAGCTTTACACCTAATGGACTCAGGTCTGCAGATAAAAACGATCAGAGTCCTGATCCTGAATTGCAGGATGCAGCAACATTCACTCAAAATGCGCATGAAGGTGTAATGGATGCTGCTTTGTTTGGACTCAGCAGCTCTGACAGACTTTAGGACAGACTGTGCAGCTTTAATATACATTAATGCATTTATTAGTTTTTCTATAGATTCAAGATAGAGGGATTTTTGATCCAAAAGATGAAAAAATGTGTTTTTAATCTAGAAAATTAAGCCTAAAACACCCCAATGCACTGTAAAACAAATTTAGTTGTGTAATTCTCAGTATTTTTATGTCAGCTCCACCCATGTAAGAATTTCTAAGATTTCTAATTTTATAATTTTTATCAGTTTAAAGTCTCATAATGAAATCGACCAAAATATTCAAGATCGTTTCATATATACTGAGCTGTGACGCCACAGGTTTGCAGCCCAGCCCTGAATGATAACAAAGCATGGCGCTGACATAACAACCAAACAAAGGATCAGGCTCCTCTTTTGGTTTAAATTTATGCAAATTCATCTCAAATTAATCAAAATTTAAACCTCTACTTCCCTTTTTCGGTGCATTTTAAGAGAATTTCATATTTGTTGGTGATAAAATGTCCTTTTTTCGTCAGTTTTAAAGTAAAATACATTTTGGTGACCAGGCTGAAGGGCCTCCATTCAAGCGCCGAGCACAAAAGCATGCACGTACTAATTGAATTGGTAATGCAACCCCCTGTTAAACCTTTCCCACGCTAGCTCTTTTCTGCTGGAGCTGAGGTCAAAATCACAAAAACAAGCCCAGGCCGAGTTTTAGTATAAAACACCAGATTTACCTCCTTTTAAAAGAAGATGGAGGCTGTGTTTTTCCTGTTTTTTGTTAAGCTGCATTCATGGGAGAGATATAATTGTTTGTGCTTCTTCGGTGTGACGGATTTTGAATGTTTTGATTGTCGGTGAGCTGACTGAGATAGATAATGACGATTACGTAATCTACACACAATCACACGGATTATTTCTACTGGACATGCATTTGGGTGTAAAATCAAAATCACTTTTTCTAAGAATGTGACCCAGATAAGTTAGAGCCTCTTAATTCTTCCTTTACTGCTCTAATTTTCCACCGTGCCTCTCTAAATAAAGGACAGAATGAATCTACGAGTCAGAGTCATGCATCATGAATGGAAAAGATTAATATCACATCCTTTTCTGTTTCCTAATAATCCCCGTAACACCAACACAACCTCAGATTGCTCCTCGACCGGTTCTGCTCTGTCTTATCACTAAAAGCTCGACTGTAAAGAAACAAATATCCTTCCAGGAGAAGGCAGTGCGTGTGTCAGAGTGTGTATTCTGCAACACCACGCTAAAAATAGCACAATATACGGGATTATCTGCTGCTGTTTCTTCAACTTTGTCAACTGCAAATAGATTCATTATGTAACTTTAAAAGGAGGCTTGATGTTAACAATACCTGGACACCGCTTCAGACTGATTGTGGCGTTCGATTTGACCGTCTTACATAACAGGAACTGAGTCTGCTTCCATGAAAAAGGAAGTCTGTCACCATGACATGAGTGTCTGTGTCTCTGTGTGCAAAACACTCACATCTTACTCACCCTTGTTAATCAGTTCCTTGTGTTTTTATAGCTCTCTTGTTGTCATTTTTAATAAACAGTGGAAGCTGGTAAACTTCCATTGGGATGAACTGATTTGTGTGTGTCTGTCTGCAGCTCTGAAAGACGGACCAATCTCAGGGACCTACAGGCTCAAGCAGTTTCATTTCCACTGGGGAGCTTCTGATGACAAGGGCTCTGAGCACACTGTGGCTGGGACCAAGTATCCTGCTGAGGTAACCATACCCAGAGCGAACATGATAGCACACAATATTCAGATTAAAGTGGCCAAACAAGGGCTGAACATTTTATCTCTACTGTAGCCGAGTGCTACATGAGCGTAAACACAGTGAGGACTCAGAGCTGCCGGGTCAGAAGAAAAGGATGTAAACATGTCAGGGTTTGACAGGTTGGAAAATTTGCAAGCGCCCCCTGAGTGCAGAATGAGTCATCAAAAATTCAGTTTCCAGGGAGTAGTCGTCTCAGGGGTTTTATTAATATTCACACACGCTGAGGCCTGTCTTCAAAAATGGAAATCAAACGCAGATATATACTGAACTCTCTACTGCAAAGATTCACAGTGAGAGAGACAACTGACTGACGATCAGAGCAGGATGTTTCAGACAAAATCTGCTAATAAGAAAGATGTGCATCTTTGTCTACAGGGGGCGCCAAAAGTGGCACAAGCCAGAAGTTCGTCCCCAGAAGGCGAAATATTTTTTTGTAGGACAGAAGGAGAAGGTCCCGCCCTCCTTCATCTCTGATTGGCTAGAAGTGATGGGTTCCGATTGGTTATTCCTAATGACTGTGAAAAGTCATTGTCTGTCGAATTAGGGTTAGGGTTAGCCAGCCCGCGTTTGGCTTGAGCCCGTTATGACATTTCCAGCTTTTCTAGCCAATCAGAGGCGAAGAAGGCGGGACTTCCCCTACCATCGTACAAAAAAGAAAATATCGCCCCCAGGAGTATTAACCAATTCCTAAAACTGACGCGTTTTCACAGTAACTTGTCTGTTTTATCCGAAACACGTCTTAAGAAACTGCATCTCACTGATTATTTCCACTAACTGCAACAAACCAATACCAATGATCGACCAATACACTGTCGTATCCCTGATAATCAACACTAACAAGAGTTTTTTACAGTTATAAAATACACTAATATTCATACTGATGCAGGTTTATGACACACAAAAGCAAACCAGACCATTAGCGACATGATTTAACTTTTTTACACTCAAATTTTTAATGGTTTCCCCGTTAGATGAACATGAATTTTACCATCAAATGTGACTATTATTGGGACATTCCTGTGAGAGGACACCACATAAGCACATAAAGAACAAGACAAAACTGTTTGTCCACAAGGGGGCACCAAAACTGACACAAACCAAAAGTTCCTCACAGGAGCTTTAAGAGTACTGTTGAGCATATTTTTCAACAGGTCAGATTCATTTACTTGACGATAAGCAAGAAAATTGTGTCGTATGAACGGATTTGTTACCAATTAGTTTTAATTCAATAATTTTACTACTTTTTGAACCTATAAGGAACCCAAAGTGTTTGATCAAGTAATTCAAAATGTTTCTGTCTCCTCTCATTTCTTCACGCGGGATAAAAATATTCAAAAATACAATAAACAAAACTTTTAAGTTTAACAGACAACCTAAACAGATGCCTCGGGATAAAAGGTCAAGATACCAAAAAACAACAATAAGATGACTCTGGAGGAGATTTTGTTTCAATAATCATCTGTTATATTTTTCAGCTCCATCTGGTCCACTGGAACACTAAATACCCAAGTTTTGGTGACGCTGCCAGCAAGCCTGATGGTCTGGCTGTTGTCGGAGTTTTCCTGCAGGTCAGTAGCGTTACACGGAGTTTACACATCTTTAAGTCGTAACACTGTTTTCCTCTGATCATGTGATTTACCTCGAATATTTTGTGTGTTATTCTTTTACAGATTGGTGCTAAACATGCCGGCCTCCAGAAGGTTCTTGACGCCTTTGACTCCATCAAGTGCAAAGTAAGTTTCTGTAAAAACTGTGTTTGTTTTTAGACCCCTTTTAGGATCAGGATTGTATGACTGACACTCTTTCTTGTTTCAGGGAAAGCAGACCACTTTCAAAGGCTTTGATCCTTCCACCTTGCTCCCTGGCTGCCTTGACTACTGGACCTACGATGGCTCTCTGACCACGCCCCCTCTGCTGGAGAGCGTCACCTGGATTGTCTGCAAGGAGCCAATCAGCGTCAGCTGTGAGCAGGTATGTCTTCTCGCTGAGCTCATTCAGCAAAAGCAGAGGGATTGGCTGCATGCCACCGGTCTAGAATAGCCCTGTCTGCAAATCCCCTCTTATACTACGAGCGAAAATCAAGGGCCTAATTGTTCAGATTAGCTGCACGGCTGTGAGGAGGAGAAGAAGACGCCTCTGTGTTAGGAGGAAAGGCAGTACAGAGGCCTTTACTTTCAAAAGGTTAAAAAAAGACACAAGAGAATGAGGGCAAACACGAGTTCACACACACACACACAGACAGACGCTGGTGAGGTTGCCACACGGCGGTATGTCTGCGTCAGTGTGTGGAAAGTTTACAGGAAATGTTTGTCCCACATGAACCACGCTCAGTGGGTGAAGAGATGTACCTTCACTGTGTGATTTCATCCATATCATACCTCCATTTGTTGAGTATTTACCTTGAAAATACAGCCTAACCTCCCACTGTACTGGATACATGACCTCCAGCCACCTCTCAATGTAAACCAACAGCCTCTCCAGGCAGGTTTGTCCTTGTGGTTAGAGTGAGTGGGCCGTGTGAAAATTAACACAGCATGGTCAAATGTTTATTTCATGGCTGCGAGTAGGTGTCCCAAGAGTAAACATGTGAGGAGTGTTGACATAACCTTTAGACTCGGGGCCGTGTGAGGCTGCTCAGGGAGATAATGACGTGGAAGTAGTTGTGGATTAAAAGGGAAACCATTAAGTAATAAGTACCATAAGTTAATGATTGGGTATCAGCTGACTGTGAGAGCGAATGAGCGGAGTTATTTCATCCCAGTAGTTAAAAGTGAGTGTGTACATGACACTTAAGGAGCTGAGGCTTCAAGGATTCATTCATTAGCCAGAGTTAATGACAAATCTCATAAAGCCTTCTTACTCCAGCCTGTGAACAATGACTGACTCTTTTCTTTACAGCTATTTTAAGGTGGAAATAAGAGTTTTTTAGTGAACTTTAGAGTTGCTTTAATGGGATATTCCGGCGTAAAATTAATTTAGGGTCAAAATTATACCAACTTTAGTAACGACCGCAGATAGCAATACAGAGAGCCACGCACTCGACCAAAACGCCACTCTATAGCCACAAATAATGCTCAGAACAGCACCTAACTTCATCAACAGGACAAATAGGGTCCTAGCCAGAGTACTAGCCACCAAACATCTTTTTAACTTTGCCGAATTTCTTTAGCAAAGAGACTAAACACAACTCACCTACTCTCTTCCAGCAGTTACTTGTTTGTAGCGAGACCTCAGGCCAATCCGTTATGAAAATTCATTAATATGATGATTATTACTTCAAGGAAATGATAAAGAAATGATCATAAATGTTCTTCCTTGAGCTGCGTAACCCCGCTGTAGTCCATAATGGACTTGCTACAAATAAGCGGTCGTTACTAAAGTTGGTAAAACTAGAGAAGCAAGTGGTCGGCAATATTCATCTCTTGAGGGGGTGTCTAACTCGGTGTTACGGTGTGTTTGACACTAAATTAATTTCACGCCGGAATATCCCTTTAAGTTTTCAAACTTTGGTCAGCGCTAACTGCTCACTTACTTTGTTAAACAGTCTTCGTTAAGCGAGCTGACTGCTGGCTCTAGCTTCATATCTGATCAAACTTGACAAAATGACAAAGTTTGTTTCCTAAAGTGTAAAAATATTCCTGACTTCATTTCTCTGATAATCAAACTCGCTGACTCTGCGGCGAGACTTTGATGCGTTCTGTGAGTGACAGTCACAGGAGGTCGGCAGCAGTGACACCACCGTCTTCTCTCTTTTCACAGATGGCCAAATTCCGCAGCCTGCTCTTCTCCGCCGAGGGTGAACCCGAGTGCTGCATGGTGGACAATTACCGCCCTCCCCAGCCGCTCAAGGGTCGCCCAGTCCGTGCTTCCTTCCAGTAATGCCCCCTCCCCCTCTTTTGCCCTTTCTGCCCTTTTGCCCTCTCCCTTCCCCCCAACCTTTAGTCAAACGCCTGGAGTTACCTCTGTAGCAGTGAGCCACAAAGCACACATATCTCCCTCCGTCCAATTTTGAAAAGAAATTAAATTCCTGTGGCCCGTTGCTTTTTACGCCGGGCTGTCTAACTGTGAGATGGAGCTCTTGCAGGCTCTGTGTCTCCGTCGGTTTGTCTGTAAACCGGAAAAACTCGTCATAATTTATTTTATAAGTCAAACACTTCGCAGTGGCTTCAACACATCAACTCGCGTTTATCATCTGGTGGCAGTTTTTTTTAAGAGTGTGTGCTAAAATGACACTCAGAAAATGAAGATGAATTAGTCACCATGGTGCTCTGGAGGCAGCAGGAAGCTAGCCGAGCAGGCGGGGGGGGGGGGGAGGAGGATGAAACTATTTCCTCATTTGTTTCGAGGGTAAGGTGCAGACACGGACGCACATCGCCAGTCTGTCTCTAATCTCCGACCGACTGCATCGTAGCTGCTTAACGAAACGCTGCAGCCGCCGCCATCACAAACGATTGACTCAGAAAATCCCCCTCTGGCACACGCACACACAAACTCACTCACACACATGCACAGCTTTGTGCAGACATGATGCCTATAGGCAGTGACCTGCTTCCTGAATCCAGTGTAGACCAGCCAAGGACGTGAGGACAGAGTTTAGCCAGAACTGAACATCTCCTCCGTTTTTAATCTTCGGATCTGTCGTGTTTGTCATCCCTTGTTGTGTTTTTATAATTATAGTGGATTATTTCGTAAGCCTGACTGCTTCTGCGTAGAAAGTCTGATTCTGTGATTCCTACAGTGTTTTGTTACATAAAGATCGTACAGCAATAGAGAGGAAGGACCCTCTCCTTCAAAGTGAATCCAATGTGTAAAGACTGAACCTGACTGTGTCGATGCTAAAGCTGAAAGTGCACACTCGCCGTGTCGTGAATAAATGCACAAAGCCAAGGCGGAAATCACCCTGCCAAGAACGCCAAGGAAGGAGCGAACCTGCCAATAGATACGATTACAGTGTCAGCCTGCTGTCAGGCCATGTACTGAGAAGTAATTAACTAAAGATCGCAGAAGACGAGGTCCTGAAGTCCGAGGGTTTGGGCCCCGTTTGCACCTTTAAATAAAAGAGATGTTGTTGTTCATGCAATGTGTTTCCAGAAAGATTGTAATTAACTTAAAAAAAAGCAAAACGCCTTATGCCAATCATTGTTAGGGCCGTCCCATGAGTTTCTGTTGTTGTCATTCTATTTTGGAAGTGGACGTTTTACTAGTGGAATAAATATATTTTATGACTAACGAGCCTCATCTCTTCTTTCTCAAACATCACAAACAGTTCATATTTACCGATACCGATTGATTGATTCTGTTTTATTAATCATTGCTTCACGACACAGTGTTGACAAATTATCAGCACCAGTTTTTCATGTTTATCTGACAAGAGCTTATCTCAAAGATTAGGGGGAGTTCACCTTTGCACTCAGAAAGTCCCTGATATCTTTAGCAATCATGAATGCAGCTTTCTATTTCATCTCTACACGCAACTTCGCAAATAACCACAGGAAGTTGACTAAAAGAGCAACACAGCGTGATGAAGAAAGTATGATTTAAACAGAAATATCTTTGAAGAACACTTCATTTCTGTCTGAAGTAAAGTTAGAGGGAGAGATTAGCAGTATTTTCTTAAATACCGAGCTGCAACATGGGTAGTTGGCTTAGTTTGGTATAAAGACAGAAACAGGAAGATTCAAGAGTCAAGATTAAAGCTTTTTTATTGTCAGTTTCTGCGTATGTGAGTGAATACGCAGGACTCTAAATGCACATTTCTTTCTGGCTCATAGTGCAAAAATACAGAGAATATATTAGAAATACAAAACAGAGAAATGTATGACACAGTTGATAAGTTATTATAAGTCCCCATCTACTCTCATGCCTCCTGTATCCATGTATATATACACAACTAAACACAAGCATAACAAGCAACCAGAAGAATGATTCAGCTGTACATGTTTACATTTGACCGAAAATCTGCAGTATTCCTTTGGTGTATAGAGCATGTAAACAGTAAGCATTCATGAAAACACTGGAGTTCTAGTGCAAAATACAGAACGTAATGAGGCGTAATTTAACCAATGTGTGTCGATGACAAGGTTTGGTTGAACCGCCTAGTCATGCTAAGCTAACTACAAGTTCTTAAAGTGAAATGTGCAAAAGTCAAAGGTGCATTAGCGTCGTTAATTTTCATCTTGGCAACAGCTGCAAGTGAGAAGAGGTTGTGGTGTGTGGAAAGAGGACAAAATAGCATGTTTCAAAAATAAAATGTGAATTTTTTTAGCTTATTGCTCTTTTCAAAAGTCACTTTTCAAACACCGGTTGAATACTTGTGTAACTACAAATAAAACATATAAATATCTAATGTCAAAGTTTGGTTTGTTGTTTATGTTCAGAGACAGCAGCTTTGCTTGTTTTGATTTTGTCAGCACTTGAGAAAATATTTGCAAAGCTAACTGTCTATTGTCCGAACTACTGCAGCCTCAGCACTGTAGGCAGCAGAACACTCCAACTGGACGGATATGCTGCCTAATCCCATGGGTATTTAAGCTTCTTTAAGACAATCAAGAGTGTTTAAACTGCAGACTGAGGCTGAGTTTAGTGGGATCAATCCTCAAAAAAAATCCTCAACACATTGTTTCTTTCTTATTTCATCATATTTCTACTTCTTGCAGGAATTGTGACTTCCTCCGCCAACAAAAAGGACGCTGGGTGATGATCCCTCATCATCATGTGTTGGCTAGAAAACACAGGCAGCTGCTAACTCCACCGTACCGCAGATTTTAATCAACTGAGGTATTTCACCCTTCGTGATATGTGTGCAACACTTGACTTCTCACCTCTCTCATCTGCAGGAAGATGAGAGCGATTTTAATCAAGAGTGGGAGTGGGCGACACTTATTTTTTCAGCTGCTCTTGAAGCTCACTGGGAAACTGAGCGAGTCTCATATATGGCTAAAATTGGCTCAACCACACAGATCTCTGAATAGAGCTGGACTCGTCCCCAGCGCATCCCCTGTCCCCTGTGTGCCCGCTGCTGTGGTCCCGTGTCCAGCAAAATATTGATGAAAACAAAAGGTACTGGCAGTCAAAAAGGGTGTCTGGCTGCACCAGTCAAAATCAATAAGAGTCTATCTAATTAAAAAATACTATCAGATACAACCCAGACTGCAGAGGTTAATTAAGGTCGCCTTCGAAAACGTTTCATAACCAGGTCAGCTGGTTTAAAACAGGAGACAAAACAAGAGGAGTGTTGGTGGTCGAGCAAGCGCTCAAACAATGAGCATCAATCCATCTTTTTCTTTTCAGCCTCATCAAGTATGAGGAACTGTTGTCTTTCAGATGAACTGCGACTTCTCTGTTAGGGAAACTTTGCTGTTTGACGTTGTTTTGTGCAAGAAACCACATGCTAAACTCTGCAACCTGTGGTTAGCAATGCTAGGTCTGTCTAGTTTCAGTGCATTCACAGTGTTCATTCAAACTGCGAACACCTTTATGATTGAATCTGAAGTTTGTAGACCTGCTTGGTTTTAACCCTAGAACACTATCGCTAAAATTTGTAACACCATCACTATCGCCGGGTGATTTTTACCCGAAGTAATTTACCCAAGAAAAAGTCAAAATCTGGTCAAAATCCAGAAGAAAAAAAATGTAGAAACTGTAAACTTAGTTTCTTTTCCACCCATTCCTGGGGCATGTGAGTCTTCCCTGGTGAAGACTCAGGGTCTTTGGCACAATAACAGCTGCAGGAGAGAGAACCAAAATATGGCAGATTTTGAGAGAGTAAAAATGACCAGCTGACTCAAATATTTCTTATAACCATAGGATGGAGCGGGAGATCGACAGGCGGATCGGAGCGCCGTCAGCAGTGATGCGGACGCTTAACCGATCTGTCATAGTGAAGAAAGAGCTGAGCCGTACGGCGAGACTCTCGATTTACCGGTCGATCTACGTGCCGATCCTCACCTATGGTCATGAACTTTGGTTGAAACAAGCGGCCGAAATGGGTTTCCTTCGCAGGGTGGCCGGGCTCAGCCTTAGAGATAGGGTAAGGAGCTCGGACACTCGGGAGGCGCTCAGAGTAGAACCGCTGCTCCTCCACGTCCAGAGGAGTCAGCTGAGGTGGCTCGGGCATCTGGTTAGGACGCCTTCTGGACGCCTCCTGTTAGAGATGTTCCGGACATGTCCCACTGGGAGGAGAGCTCGTGGACCAGGACCAGGTGGAGGGATTATATCGCTCACCTGGCCTGGGAGAGACTGGGAATCCCCCTGAAGGAGCTGGGGGAAGTGGCTGGAGTGAGGGCCGTCTGGGCTTCCCACCTGAAGCTGCTGCCCCCAGACCCGGATAAGCGGAAGAAAACCCTGATGACCACCATAAGAACTCTATTGAAAATCACTACTTTGTGATAGTTAATCATAACCACTGCGCTAAATAAAGATAGCATGCCAATTCCAGGACCACTCTTACTGACTTAATTCGCCTACATGCAGCTATCAAATCCATCAAACCTACTTAAACCCTCTATCACTATTGCTGGGTGAAATCACATGCCTGTAGGAAAAGGTGGGTTTTGGATCAGTGAAAGAAATATGCCTTCAAAGATGTCAAAGGCAATGCTGAAGCTACCCAAAGACCAGTGGCGATTGCTCTAAGACTGCAAGGGAAGCTCGGCTTCCCTTAAAATGTCACCCCCCCAAAAAAAAGAAAAAGTGGTGAAATACGTACTGCTGTGTGTACATTTCATTAACTAAATACGCACTAGAAAGCCTTCATCTTTTGTTCAGACACTGTGATAAGAAGCTGATAATCACAGGTAACCGGCATAACTTCGTTCTCATTCATCCTCGCAGCGCCTCAGCGATTCACACAGCCGGACGCTGGGCTTCTGCTGACTTCAATGTGGAAGCTTAAAGTGGGTTGTTCCAGCAGCGAAACTAGACGCTCATTGGATAAATGCTGGGCTTTGTCCCGCCCATCGGAAGCCCAGCTTCACTGGAGTTCTATGACGAGAGGGCGGTCCCGACTGTCTCCCGGACTCCAAGCTTCTGCATTCATGATTGGATGAGCTGTCTGAGGCGAAATCCTTTTCTGATTGACAGCTAAACAAGCGAATCAACGATCTTGAAGAATAAAACATCTACCAGAGCATTTTCCAAGTTATTCATTCCGTTGTTCTTAACTGCTCCGGAGACTTTACCGATCCTCAGCGACTTTTGTCTTTGTTAAAAACGACTGCCGTTGTGTTTGGCGACTCTGTTCTGTTACATACTAATAAACAAATACAATTATGATGTAGGCCAGAAAAATGAGCTTCCCCTCATTGAAAGACCAGCAGCCGCCACTGCCAGAGACCCATGATACTCAGACAAACGCAACATCATGACAATCACGTAAACATGTTTGGTCGGGTGAAAATCACCCTACGATAGTTTTCTAGGGTTAAAGCTCTAAAGCCTGTTTTTCCCAAGAGTTGTAACATAAATCCAAATACTTTATGGATAAGTTCTTCAACTGGACAAACACTTCTCTCTCCACTCTCTCGGTAAAGTGCAAAAGCATCGATCCGCCGTCCTCTCTTCGTATCTCCTTGGAGCTTCCTTTCTGTCTTTGTGATGCATCTTTTTTTATCTCGCCTGGTGTTTTGACAGCTGGGCGAGGGGGAAAGGCCCTGCTGGGTGTCATCATGTAACACAGATGTGTCCATGTTTATTTGCATGTTTTGTCTCCCTGAGCACATGCCTCCACAAACAGGCAGCATATAACGCAGGCCTAGTCTGCAGCAAGGTCACAAACTTGATAAATGTCTCCCGCAGAGGCCCGAGCCCCACGTGACAAACTGATATCGATGGTGCATTGTTTTTTACATTGATCTTATTGAAGGTAAAGGCAAAAAAAATCGGGGATAATCCTTCAGGGTCAGTGCATTATGAGGAGATTTGACACACACCAGGGTCAGCATGTCACGCTTTCCCCCCCAGGCTTCTCGCCAGAGCCGCAGCTCGTTGCATAATCGAGCGTGGCAGGCGGGTGACATATATTAAGGAGACAGGAACTGCGCACCCATCCATAACCCTGGAGAAGAGAGCGTGAGGGAGTCCGGGGAGCAGCCTGTCTGAATGCACACCACTGCAGAATGCACTCAATAGATCTGACGGCGCACTTCTGTGGGACTCACAACCATGGCGAAACAGAGCTCTATTCAAGGACAGAGGCGCCATTTTCACACCATGAGGCATGCATTGACCTACGATGGCTCTGCAGTGTGCTGCACTTCATTTCACACTTTATAATAATACATCTAAATGTTTTGTTACCTGTATTTCCAATAATGTGTTAAAACCATAGACTGTATACAGAATGGATGCCGTCTGTCGCCTTGCTGGGTGAGGCCACTCCGAGAACAGCACCCTCTGGTGACAGCCTGCAGTATAGGTCATAAATCCCGCCTCCTCCATCAATCTTACTGGAGTTGTGGACAAACTTTAGAAATTAATTACACAGAATATACATTTTTCCCCCCTCTCTGTGCTCAGGTCCTCTTATTTTTACAGCTCCATTTTTAAAAGTAATTAGGGGGTTCATGTTTTCTATGATTGACACTTAATACAGCCTATGGGCGTACGAAGATGGCGTAGCTCACCTGGGGGGTTGTGATATTTTTTTTTTGTAGGATGGTAGGAGAAAGTCCTGCCCCCTTCGCCTCTGATTGGCTAGAAAAGCTGGAAACGTCATCGCACGCTCAAGCCAAACACGGGCTGTTGGCTCCGCACATCGAACAGAACATTACAGAACATTATCGCACTTCTGAGTCTCCGAACCCTCATCCTAAACCTAACCCTAACTCGACAGACGATGACGTTTCACAGCCATTGGGAACAACCAATCGGAGCCCAGCACTAGCCAACTCTAACTATACTCTCGGCAACTCTCCCGCAAGTGGTGGTTCCAAGAAGTGGAGAAAATCCCAGAAATACAGAGAGCAATTCGGCTTCAAATTCGTATAATGCCGAAAGGCGGAGCCAAGTTGTCCATAGTGTATACAGTCTATGATGAAAAAAGCTATTTGAGGCAGGAATAGAGAAATATTTGTTTGTAGTTCCCCCAAAAACATTTGCTTTGCGATGACTTTGGCGCCCCCTGTGGAAAAAAGTGGTATCTCTAAGCTCTTTGCTGATTTTATCCTTCATTTCGATAGTTTTCTGATCACTTTAACAACCAAATAAATCAGTTTCTGTAAATCTTGTAGTGGAAAATGCAAACCATAACTCACTTTCATATTACCTTGAAACAGTTAAACTCAGTCGTATCTCATAAACTTAACTTATAGCGGGGGGTTCAGTTCATGCTAACTCACATATAGATTTGCATTGTTAGCAATACAGCTATTAAACTTTCAAACTTTGTCATATTATTAGTTAAAAAGTGAATTTGTCCATTAGTCTTGGGCATTATGAGTTAAAGTAGAGGCATTTACAGTTGTAGGCTCAAGATAAGAAACTCAGATTCTGCTATACTGTCGTACTAAAGTGGTCCAGGTTGGCTAAGAATCATAATTATATCTAAAAATGGTTGTGACTGATTAGAGTAGAAACAAAGCTAATGTCAAAATGTCAATCATGTTAAATGATAAGCCTAGTATCCATAATGGGTTTTCATGTAGGTCTCTTCCTGTCTTGGTTGATTGGACCCTCGGTGTTAATGAGGCCATGTGACAAAACTTTTGTCCCTACTTGAAGAAGTCTTTTTGTCTTGTAAATCAGCTTGATGCACCAAGACGTGTTTATTTTATCACTTAAATGTGGTTTACAGGGCTCAGTTTGGTCCAGTGTCTGTAAGAGTTTATAGAATAGAATAGAATATTCCTTTATTGATCCCCCATGGGGGAAATTTTTTTGTCACAGCAGCATCACAGACAAGACAGAAAGTGCAAAATGAAGTTATAACAATAAGGGTCCTAATATTAAGAACTTAATAAATGTAATAATTAAGAAAAAAAAAAAAAATTGAAAAGAGAAAAGGGAGAAGAAAAAAATAAAGCTTTCTGCAATATACACAATTTAAATGCCATAAAAAAAGTGGTGGTGTAAATCCAGTTTTGTTACTGTTCATTGTAAAGTCTTATTGCAGAGGGGAGGAATGATCTGCGGTAGCGCTCCGTCCTGCAGGGTGGGAGTCTCAGTCTGCTGCTGAAGGAGCTGCCTAAAGCCCCCACAGTCTGGTGCAGTGGGTGAGAGGGATTGTCCATGATGGATACAAGCTTTGTTAACATCCTCCTCTCACCCACCTCCTCCAGGGAGTCCAAAGAGCAGTCCAGGACAGAACCGGCCCTCCTGACCAGTCTATTCAGTCTCTTCCTGTCCCTCTCGGTGCTCCCTGCCCCCCAGCAGACCACTGCATAGAAAAGTGCAGATGCTACCACAGAGTCATAGAAAGTCCTGAGCAGAGTCCTGCACACTCCAAAGGACCTCAGTCTCCTCAGCAGGTGGAGACGACTTTGGCCCTTCTTGTACAGAACGTCTGTGTTTGTTGACCAGTCCAGTTTATTGTTGAGGTGGACACCCAGGAATCTGTAGGACTCCACCATCTCGATGTCCAGACCCTGGATGTTCACTGGAACTGTTTGAGGTGTCCCCCTCCTGCGGAAATCCACAACCATCTCCTTTGTCTTACTGGCGTTGAGCTGGAGGTGGTTTGTGCCACACCAGTTGACAAAGTCAGTGATGACAGTCCTGTATTCCCGCTCGTCCCTTGACGATACACATCCGACGATGGCTGTGTCATCAGAGAACTTCTGGAGGTGACAGCTCCCAGAGTTGTAGCTGAAGTCTGAGGTGTACAGGGTGAAGAAGAGGAGCCACTTATGTGGGGGGTAAGTGGCTGTAAATTGATGTTGAGGAGGTTTGTTTAAAACATGAAGGAGGAAGATTGCAAGGGGGATAAATACAACCTCGAAGCACAGTATTGTTCCTTAACTTGAATATGTTTCTCTCGCTATTCTCTGCTGTTTCTTAAGAGAGCACATTTGGAGTGATAACGTAAGAAAGACGTATGAATGGCATATTCATTTCATATCTGTCCCCGCAGCGAAACCCCTCACGGCTCTATGCGCAGAATCTCTAAGTCATCAGTTCACAGATAGCGTTCAGGAAACCCTCCGCTTAACACTCAGGGAGCACGTAAACATTTCAATAGAAAGTTTCCTTTGTGGTTTCCTGCCCTCGATTTTCAACGCAGTTTTATCTAAACATCCACTTCTGAAGAAGAGCGTGTCGCTGGCATCTGAGGTGTGATTCATTTTAGTCTCACCGATTGAATACTCAGGAAGTAAACGTGTCAACACCTGCTTCCCTCAAGTTTTAAACTCTCATGGCCTCGTTTCTTGGATTTTAATTCCCAAACGGACTGGCCGGCTAAAGAAACGTGGGTGTTCATTACGCTGTTTATTCTGTATTTTATGAAAGATTTTGCGAACTCGTGAAAAATGCATCTAATAATCGAAGTTTAATTGTTGTTGTTGGAGTCGGGACACCATGGGGCAGCAGGATATTTGCCTCGATGTTAATCCTTTCAGAGGAAGCTGGTGGGCAGAAAACAAGCCCCGTCTCTGTCAATAAACAAGGTAAAAATGCAAATATTCAGGAGGTGGAAACCACTCTATTTAGTTCCTCTCATGAGGGAAAGCAAATAAACCCAGATGTTTGTTTTAATCTGGTCTATTTACTGGAATCCAGACTGAACCTCTGGATGAATTACCTCCCACCGTGGCCTCATTTCTCTCTCATCCCTCTGTATCCCCGTAATGGTTGGTTATTCAGACTATATTTTAATTTTTCCACCAAAGCAGCCACACCACCATCACCACTCTCACGAATATTGAAGTCATTCAAAAGCAGCATGATCGCCATTTCCACCTGGATTACAGTCCAGGATCACAAGTCAGCAATCTTCTTCATCTGACTTCAGAAAGTTTTATGAGCTGTGCGAGGAATCAAAGCCAGGGTGTTATTTTGTCAGAGATTCAATTTGTCTGAATGTAGAAAGAGCACTGAGTTCATGTAACCACATGGTCTGACTTTTTTCCTCTTGACGGTGGGAAAATCCTGAAACAGCTGAATCAGTTGGGGAAAAAAAGCAACAGTCAACGTGTCAGAGTCGGTAAATTTACAAAACTGCTCGGTCACATCCAGGAAAAGATGACTGGGTAAAATGAGTATTTGCTAGACTGCTCTCTTACTAAGTGGTTTGTTGGACTAGTATGAGTGCTCTGTACTGTGTTCATGTTAGGTGATCTGGTAGGTTGGAAAAGCTGGGCTGCAGATGATCCTGCACAGGCACAGGAACTCAGTGTGTTTATAATATGTCCGATTGTCCCTCTTGTCAGTTTGATGCGAAGGTCGAGTGTGTTCTCAGAATTTGGGCAGGCGCGAATTCTCTGAGTCAGATAAAACTCAAGGCTAGAGGCTTGCATTCGTGCCGGTGTATCAACAAATAGGTTCTCTGGTCCTAACATCCATCAAAGTTTATGCTTTGGGTTTTTTCACTGTTGCCATGGCTACATTCCTCAGGGTTCCCCCCCACACATGAGGATGAAAAGCATGTTTGGTACAATAGTCATCCACGCAGATCGGAGGAAAGTAAAATCACTTTGAACACCTCACACCTCTAGATAATGTAACAAGACCATCCTAAAACCTGATAGATAGATAGATAGATAGATAGATAGATAGATAGATAGATAGATAGATAGATAGATAGATAGATAGATAGATAGATAGATAGATAGATAGATAGATAGATAGATAGATAGAATTTGACTATCTAGAGACTGACTGACTCAATAAACCCATTTTTCAACTGTGGGACCATGCACTTGTTGCGGCACTGGTTTCTCATACTGGTCTACTGTGAAACTGCACATGAGGGGGAGATTACACAGTAGTAATCGCACGAACTCACAAGAACCCACGGATTCACGTGCAACAGCGCGATAACGAGTTGTCTCTATAAAGACAGCCACAGAGGCTAACCATAAAAGCAGTAGATTGTGTCCTTCCAGAGGAGGAAATCCACTTCTAGACTTCTAAAATCCGCATCCTCTCATCCATGGTGTCATCGGGCTTAATCAATGCTGAATTTATTCGGCATGCTCTGGCGTCCGGAAAAAATAGTATCTTGCGATCAGCTGCAGAGTCCGGCGATCTGCAGCGGGACGAAAAGATGCCGGTGGAAATCGACACATTAACTTGAATAAAAACGATCAGCTGCTATCGGCGGATACGGCCTTTTCGTAGCTGTTCCGAATGCAGTGAAAATTGGGGGTAAGTTTTCACTTTAAACTCTTCAAATCAAAGCTGTGAAGTTGTTCTCTGTCAAAGAAACAAGTTGTCTGAGGCGAGATGAATATTAATGCGCTTGTACTGGACTTTCTTCTTCCTGCACCTCATTACTCCAACAGGTCAAACCTGCACCACTAGACGCTGCAGCTCAGCTGTCATGGTATGTTTGTGGTTATTTCCTCCTGTTCACCTCCACGTGTGCATGTATCCTGTTTCCATTAGATATAAAGTTATTAGAAAACTCGATCGCAGGAGTTCAGCATTCCAAATAACAGGACGGACGGGTTCAGTGGACACATCTCTGTTTCTGAAACAATGGTGGGTCTTAAAAATGAGAGATGCAGAGATAGTGTATCATGAGAAAAAGACTCAAAGTGTCTGATTCCTCCTTTCCCACAAATTTCAGGCTGTTCTTTTCACCTTTTCTGCATCTAAACTTTAAGTTTTCTTTGTTGAGCCTGAGTGTGAAACTCCTGCCGCAGAAACAGCCGTGTGAACCCCGTATGACACAACATGAAGAATCGATCATGTGCTTTTTTAGCGCGAGGTCCCTCCTCCTGGTATCTCCTAACTAACATGTCAGTATTTTTCACTGATAACAAAGAGCAGTGGGGTTGATAGCAGAGGGGAGTGTCGCCTTCACTCCACTCGGCGGTACAGTAGTGCAGGACTAACCTTATCTAGGTCACCTACACTGAACCCCCAGCACCTCCTCCTCCTCATGCTCATGCTCTACTGGACACACTGATAAGAAGAATGAGTCCATTCAGAGCGTCTATCAGGCCGGCGGCTCGCTCACTGAGACCGTGCCAAACCTTCACCAGTCCCAGCCATGTCTTTGTCCATCCGATCGCCCATTCTTGACTCTCTTTGTCCCTCGCTTTTTCTCACACACAACAAGGAGACAAACTTTCTGAGGTGGAGGGATGTCTCGCCTGAATAGACAACAACAGTCGCCCATTCACTCTCCCAGTCCTCCCTTTCTCTCTTTTTTTTTTCCACAGTCGCTCAGCCCAACAAAAATCTCCTCCTTGTTCTTCCTCATGTCACCGCTGACTTTCTTTCCTGTCTTTGCTCGGTGAAATAAATGCGGCCGTTCATGCTCCTGTGCTTCTGGCGCTGGTATGCTGTCTAACATTACCCATGGGGGGTAAGGTTTCCTGTAGCGCTGCAGGAGGTCTGGTCTCTCTCACATTACCACCTGTTGGCTGGTTCTCCTGAAGGTGGAGGGGAGCAGAAATGATGCAGCAAAATGTGTACGTTCTAGTTCTTCATTCAGATTTTTGGAGAGTGTTGCATAACAGTGATGTGTTTAAATGCTGAATGGACCATGACCAGGGTTGATATTTCAGATTGTGGACGTGTTTGTTTTGGATTGTGTTTTAAAGGTCTTCTATCTGCGCCGCCTTCCTCTGTAATTGCATTCACCATCAGCAGATTACTGTAATCTATTTTATAGCCATCATTACATCTTATATGGCTTCCCATTACTTGGCAGTGCTTGATTTGTGTTATCATGAACTTCAACTTTACCACCAAACTCCAGCAGAGCAATGAAAGCGTGAATCCGGTCTGTCCAGCAAAGATAAGCATTAAAGGGACATTCCAGCGTAAATTTAAGTTAGGGTCAAACACACCATAACAACGAGTTAGACACCCCCTTGAGAGATGAATGTTGCCGACCACTTGTTTCTCTAGTTATACCAACTTTAGTATTGATGGCACAATAGCAATACACAGCAGTCTTCATCTCCATAAACAAACTGCGACCAAAAATAGCCACAAATAATGCTCAGAACAGCACCTAACTTCATCAACAGTACATATAGGGTCCCAGCCATAGTACTAGCCACCAAACATCTTTTTAGCTTTGCCTAATTTCTTTAACAAAGAGATTAAACACAACTCACCCACTCTCCTCCAGCAGCCGCTTGTTTGTGGGAGAACCCTGAAGAGTCGAACACCGAGCGCGGCAGAAAATTTATGATCATTACTTCATGGAAACGCAATCAGACCGAAACGCTAAGGCAGAAGAACTACCGAGTCTGGAGTGCGCATACAAGATACACAAGAGCTCTGATTGCATTTCCATTAAGTGATGATCAGAAATTTTCCGCTGCACTCGGTGATCGACGCGTAAATCCTCAAATTCCCCAAAGTAATGTTAGGTTTAAGAACGTCAGTTTTAAAATATTGAGATATTTGCTCATGTGCTGTCTCACAGAGTGGTGAAACTCTTCATATCCTTACTTTTAAGAGATTAAACCTCTGTTCATATCCAGTCATGTCAGGAGATGTTCTGACAGGTGCGCTTTTTAGCATTTTGTCTTTTAAATGTGTTGCTGGAATCCAAAATGATCATCTGTTTTTCATTGAACAACAATATTTTAAACTTTCAATGGGTAACAAAGAGTTTAAAACATTTACAAATCTGTTTTGCGAAGTTTGTCAACATGACATTGACAGAGATTTACTTTATAGCACCAAAACCAGTCTTTAAAGTTACTCGTAATCATGTCAGGCCAACTGGAACTGCTCAAAACTGAATTAATTAAAGTCAAACTAAGATACCGATAATGTAGTTGGAATTGATTTTCTATCGGATATCTGTGGGAAAACAGTGGTCCAAAGATGCTGTGGCAGTAAGGGAGTGTTACAAAAAGGTAAAACATTCAACCCTTTGCGTCAAAATAACATCAGAGACCGACTGTCCCTGTTCAATTGTTACCTGAATGTGCTCTGCGGACAGTCTCCACATTTCTGCAAACACACCAAACCCTTTCTGTGGTGAAACACGACACATTGTTCTTCTGGGAAATACATAAAGATAAAGACAAGAAAAGAAAACCTAAGGAAATCAAAGGTTCAGCTCATGTCACACAAACACACAAACATCTTTCACCACTTTAACAAAACATCACCACTTCTAAAGACTCTCTTTCATTTCAGGGGAGCGTTTGTCTGGCGCCATGTAAGTTAGGAAGGAAGCTCCTTCATTGTAAACAGAAATGTACAGCAAGATCACGCCCTAGATAGACCAAAGTAGCCTAAATAGCCTCAATGAGAGTGTCTAAAAGTGGAGGAAACGTGTGCGACTGCATGTGGTGATGAGGTGATAAAGTGCAGCAGTGGCGGTGGCGGCCCTCATCGTCTCAGACTGGTTCAGGAGATGGCCGAGATTCTGGAGGTCTTATGACAGTTGATACACATCACTCATATGAGCGACATGTAGCTTTATCTAAAGTGTTTGAAGTCTGGATGAAAATGTAAAAAGAAAATTCATTTATGATTAATTATCTGTCAGGTGGGACTTGAAAACAGCATGCAGACAGAGCAGAAAGGATGCTAATCAATCCTGTTTCGTTGGTCTCTTCTGTAAGTGAATTAAGAGAGGGGTTGTCATGAGAAAACTGGAGAAAATACTCATTAATAAGAGGGAGCTCACATCGAGACTTGGCCAACCCATGAAGCAGCAGCAGCGGAGGAGGCACCACAGATGAGTGTCGCAACAGCACGTTTTTAGAGCTGCCTTTACGTCATCTTCCAACATTGTCTCTAAAGGATTGGTACGACGCAATGTACCAGATCCACTTGTGTTCTGATTATCTAAACAAAAAGTTTTGAGTGTTTTTCTCATCTGTGAGTGTCAGCATGTGTTCTAGCCTCATCTGGAGAGGTGTAGGTGGTAATTGGATTGCATCCAGTGGCGGCTGCTGGTCTTTCAAGGAGGGGAAGCTCATTTTTCTGGCCTACATCATAATTGTATTTGTTTATTAGTATGTAACAGAACAGAGTCGCCAAACACAACGGCAGTCGTTTTTAACAAAGATAACAGTCGCTGAGGATCGGTAAAGTCTCCGGAGCAGTTAAGAACAACGGAATGAATAACTTGGGAAATGCTCTGGTAGATGTTTTATTCTTCAAGATCGCTGATTCGCTTGTTTAGCTGTCAATCAAAAAAGGATTTCGCCTCAGACAGCTCATCCAATCATGGATGCAGAAGCTTGGAGTCCGGGAGAAAGTCGGGACCGCCCTCTCGCCATAGAACTCCAGTGAAGCTTAGCTTCCGATGGGCGGGACAAAGCCCAGCATTTATCCAATGAGCGTCTAGTTTCGCTGCTGGAACAACCCACTTTTAGCTTCCACATTGAAGTCAGTAGAAGCCCAGCGTCCGGCTGTTTAAAGCGCTGAGGCGCTGCGAGGATGAATGAGAACGAAGTTATGCCGGTTACCTGTGATTATCAGCTTCTTATCACAGTGTCTGAACAAAAGATGAAGGCTTTCTAGTGCGTATTTAGTTAATGAAATGTACACACAGCCGTACGTATTTCACCACTTTTTCTTTTTTTTGAGGGGTGACATTTTAAGGGAAGCCGAGCTTCCCTTGCAGTCTTAGAGCAATCGCCACTGATTGCATCGTACTCACCTGCGATGACGCTTTGTCTTCTGGCACCTGTTCGACCATCACCTGTGCCTGTGTCCCCATTGTCTCCAGTCTCTCTCTCCCCACATTGAACAGCCACTTTTTAGATGATACTACGTTGTACACGTCTTGAAGTAGGTTTTGCTCGAACCACAGTGTACAGTAGTTTGAGCCACTTTTCTTCGATGTACACCTGATCCCCCTGGCTTGGCTGGCATCTCCATCTCCCGATCAGATAGCTAGAATAATGCATTGTGAATAGCTGCTTCATATATTCCTTTAGCTCATTAGGCAACTGCTCAAATGAAGGGCCTTCATAAGGTCCTCTACACGCAGGATAAGACACGGTTCTGCCAGTCAGCATTTCATGCAGTGAATGATGATTAATTAGGATGATGTCTTCTGGTGTAGCAGCAGGTTCAAGTGATACTACTGGGGCTGAAATAGTCATCTGACATTTAGAGGTATTTATTTTGGCTTTGGAGAAGCGTGCGTTGATTCGGCCAGTCTTCCACAATCTCATTTACAACTCTGAAGTCGTGCTCTGATCAATATTTGGATTTATCAGCTTTTAAAGAATCAAAATGGGAGTGTTACAGACGCTCTGGGTCTGGACTGACACTCCTAGCCAAGGACAAACCATATCGTTTTATAATCAACAGGAAATTAACACTTCAGGGAATACTCGCCCTAGCTTTCCTGCAACTGCCGAGGTCAACATGACTTTAAGAAATCTGGGAGTACTCAGGCTAAACTTACAAATATTTGCAAGACTGATCCAACAAATGTCCCAGCCCAGCATCAATCATTGGCACAACTGTCTATGATTTCCACCACAAGCCCTGAATTGGCCTCTTAGACATTTTGTGACTTAAAAAAATGACTTCTTCATGATCTAATGTCGCACAAAATCCTTACAAGACAACCGAAATGACCGGCCTTGTCTTCTAAATCAGTTTATCATTACCATCATTACAGGAACTCACGTAGGCACATGGTTTGTACTAATCACACTCGAATTTTGAGGAAGTCAGGTGTTTAATCTCAGATATGTGGGTTTCACATCCATCATGGCATCAGTAGAGATAAAGCCCCGCACTGACTGTGACACTGACAAATTGACAAATTCCCACAGATGATCACGAGGAAGATGAAGTCATCTGAGGTGAATCTGGAACGATTCCTCTTAAACGTTTACCCGCCTCTGAAACCTCTGTTGTGGTGGGAAAGAATAGGAGCAGCTGTGTAAATGTCAAGCGTATTGACGTATGGGGGGCAAAAACCAAAGACCATTGAGGAAAAATATACCAACTACCCAGAATTCACCACTAATAGATACCACCTATGTGTGCCAACTGTCTATTAACCTAACGGCATTTATTGAGGTCGTACAGGTGTGCTTCTGCTTCTGTGGGGTTATGTAACAGTTAATGGTTGACCAGTGTTAACCTGATTCAGGCAACTAACAGTGAGTTAATGAGTAAAAGTGGAAATGATAAAAAACCAGAGGTACGTTGAACTTCTGAAAACATAGAAATACTTCAAAAAGACAGCATCAATGATTTCCCAGCTGCGTACCGACTGTTAAAACAAACCACATATCTGATGCATCAGGTCCAGGGTGCGGTTGTCTCTTGTCTGCCCCAGACTACCAGCACCATATGTTGGTCCTCTGATAGTATACAGTTACTCTGATAACATACTGTACGTCCGTACAGAGGAGAATCTGAGCGGGAAGAAAACCGCAAAGATCTTCAGTTTAAGATTGAGGAGCAAATGTACCCCATGCTTGTTCTTCTTGACTTTATCATTTACTAAGTCGGCGGTTCTTTAGCTATAGATGTCATTGTCTGGTGTTTCTGAACCACATTCATGTTAAATAATTATCACACAAATTTGCCCTGATAGCCTCAACATAGGAGTGTGATTGTAAGACAACCGCTTTTTTAGGACGTCTTTTCAGGCGAAGACTTTTTGAAAACTAAGTCTTGTTTTTATAAAGAAAAAAGTTTTAAGTGAGAGTTCCTGTGACACAAAGAAAGTGTTATTTTTTCACTGAATCATCTCATGTATTTCGTTTTGGAGTAAATTATGATTAATGTGTAAATGAAGCACCAGTCGTATCAGCATTTTCATACAATAAAAATGAAAATAACCTCCACGTTTAAGGAATATCATGTGTTAACAAGCCACGCAAGATCACTTTGGGGACAAAATACATGCGTTAGAGGGTAGTGTTGTGTCATTCACGAATGATTCGTTCAAAAGAACCAAATCTTTTAAGTGAACGAACTGAACCGAATCACTTTGTCAAGTGATTTGTTTGTTTCTGTCAGCAGCGCGGTGCCACAGCACACTGCATTCCCTGGGTGAGCAGTTGTCGAGTTAGGGAGCACACACGCCGTCGCCTGAATCACTTGGTGAACGAATCACGCCGTGAACTGCACTCTCTGGAATCATTTTTGTCTGAGCGACACACCTTCATGGCGACCACTGTTCCCCGTTGTTTTAACAGATTTAGTAGGACACAGGTAGTGAATAAAACCTGTAGCTTGAGAAATGCGTGACCGATCCTATCATTGCGGCGATTTGTGAGGGGGCAGTGCACGTTCAGTGTGAATTCTTTCATTTTGAGCCCAATTCTTTCACTCACTAAGCCCAATTTAGTACACGAATAGCATACCATTGGACAGTACACCTAAAACCTCATGATTTATAAACAAGTTAATTTTTACAACCCTGTTTATCAACACACTCACAACACTCTCATCTCCCAGTCCCAGAATCTTTGATCTGAACTGAATCCTGAACCGTTCAGCTGTTTATCACTTCAGGAAGTTGCCAAGCGCTGAATGACTCAGTGATTCGGTAAACAAATCTTTTGAACGAATCTTTTTAGTGAACTGATTCTAGTGATTCAGTGCATCTAAAAAAGGGCTTATGAGACCAAAAGAACATGTCAGACTTTACATATTATTTTGTTATTTTACATGTATATTATATATATATATATATTTATATTTATATTTTGTTATATTATTTGTTATTTTGTCTATATACGTACATTCTGATCCACAATAAATGTGAATATTTTTAACATGTGATGGCGGTTTGTACAAAAAATAGCACTTTTGCAATGTTTGAATTCATCACTAAACATATCAAAAGGACTGAATTTTCCTGCCTTGGTTCAAAATTCAAAAGTCTAAAGTATAAAGTGACTCTACCAGAGATGCTGCAGCCTGTGTGTTCAGTGTAGCAAAAGCTGAAGCAGCTGAAATGTCTTCCAGTGAGCGCCTCGCCTCCAGGCCCAGAGTCTGTCCGACAAAACACGAAATGACAGCCTCATTGTAGATCGGACAAACAGCGAGACACGAAGAAGACCTCCAGGGCCACGGCTGCAAATCTGAAAGATGTTTGTCTGTGAGGGAACCAGAAATAGAGGGAAAATGACACAAAAAGTCCTGAAAAATAATGCATGAACGCACTTTACAACTGTTCAGGTGTTTCTTTTATTCAGTTTGAAGAGATTTGAGCCACTAGATGAAGACTGTTGGAGCAGCAGAGAGATTTTTAGCAGGTCAGATGTGTGAATATGTTGTGAGCTGGTCTTTTACGCCCGCTAATCTTTTAATCTGTTGACCTACAATGCTGTTTTCATCCCTCCATGTTTGCTATAATGGGTATGATTCTCTTAAGCTGTGTGCTGTACATAAACAGACTTAAGCTGCATTTTTCTGCTTCCTACAGAGCTTTCATTTCACAAAGATATAGGACTCCCACCCTGGGATTTTCAGGAGGTTTCTGCCCAATTCCTCCGCCATGAATCCAAGCCTTACTTGGACAAAAAGGAAAGAGGGGGACTTGAAAAAGGGTTCATCAGAGGTTACATAAGATCAGAAGGGTGCTTCCTCTCTGCAGCTCTGATCAGTTGTTCTGATCTCGTCGCTGATAACAATAATTGCTCTTAATTATCAGGCGGTAACACACAGAGGCATCAGGAAGCTGCTCTGGCTGGGTGTATGAAACGCTCTGAATCTGCTGCATGAGCCCGCTGACCTGATTTCTGCTTTTTGAAGTTTGTTTTTTCTATTTCTGACACGCACGGCTCGAGGCTTCTCAGCTGCTACAAAACCTCAAAATTGAGGTTTTGAATTTTACGAGCAGTTTTAGTCCAATTCTGGTAAAATTCGCCTGATTTTATGTGACTTTTCTTTGACCCACACATCTGATGTCACCAACACAAACACCTTATCAACCCGGCTTTAAAAAACAGATACGGACTGTGTCTCAGTGTTGGCAAAGCAAACACAAACCCCTCCGTCATTTGAAGTAAAAACAGACTCAGAGTAATACAGTGGCTGATTACCATCGGATTTCCTCCCCTGTGAGCTCGGGGGCGAGCGTGAGGGGGCCAGAGACCAGACACCTTATGCAACCAGGCAGGATCTGTGCAGCACCCACATATGAACCCGAACCGATGCACAAACAACAACAGAGACGAGGGAACTGGTTTGTCTGAAGAACAGAGGCGTCCAGTCTGAGGATAATGATCTCAGATTTATCTGTTTGTACATCACACAGGGCATGGAGTGGCCATCAGAGTTTAAGGGTTCACAAGAGGTAGGGACACATTCAAGGGGGAGGAAGGTGAAATTTAAGGGTTATCAGGTCAAGATTGAAGGTAACTAAAAATGTTAATACAACAGTTTTCGTCTGGGACTTTGATTTTTTCATCTTACATTTCAAAATGTGGAAATATTGATATTTATTTGCGTTAAAATCAGATATTTTAAATGCGGGTGTGAATTAGAGTAAAATCTTCAGATACTGCATAAACTTAACTGTTTGCATTTTGAATCAATGTGCCAATTATACAGAATGTATCAAAGCCTTTATTTTAAAGGTGCAGGAATAGATGGAGGGATTCAAATCTTCATTTTTTTCTCTTTAAGGTTTTGTTTTTTGGCATTTTGCTTTTATTAGATAGGACAGCTGAAGAGAGTGAGGAACCGTGGGGAGCGAAATGATTAGGGGATGACATGTAGCTAAAGGTTGTGGCCAGGATGCTTGGGCATTACTATCTGAGGTCATTACTAAAGTTTGTATAACTAGAGAAGCAAGCTGTCTGCAACATTTATCTATCGAGGGGGTGTCGAACTCAGTGTTTGACCCTAAATTAATTTTATACCGGAATATCCCTTTAAGCCCAAAATGCGTGTTGAGCATGTTCCATTAGTGTCTCTTGTTATACATATGTTCCCAATTTAATCAATGCAACATCGCACACAGGATACGTCGCAACATGCAACAGCTCGGTCCTAGATTTGTGTCTACGCTATGCCTCTCCAAAGATACACCGAGTCTATTTTTGATGAAGCACGCTTCCAACACACGTCAATCTACAGCGAAAAGGTCGTCCAAGACAGGATATCATGCACAGGACATCCGATCTGACATGTGACACTCCTGACTGTTTAACAGTTTTTGTAGATGAGAAATACTTCCTGGTTATAGATTTATCATGAACACAGAACGACCCCATGGTCTACTCTGTCTGAAGGTAACAGCGCAGCATAAAGGAACATAGTTTACTTTATGAAACATGAGTAAACCTGCAAAATCACAACGCTTGTTCACAGACAGTTGAAGCTCAACAGTCGCAGAATAAAATCCAAATTAGAAAGAAACCGACTACACTGCTGCGACACGCTACAAACACGCTTCCAGTGGGCACTGACTGATGGAGTCGGAACACAAAGGTGACGAAATTCGCCCAACACGGATCCACGGATTTTCAGTTTTAGACTGCTAGGCCATTGGCACCTCAATAGATGACTATTTAATGCAAAAATAAAAAATCCAAAGGACTTTTATATCAATCTAATATCTCAGTATATGCTTTCTTTGTATGTCATTTGTGGGTAGTTGCTAGTTTAGTTTTTCCCGTTTTGCGAAACTCATAAAATGTGCAAATTTCCACATTTTTTATTTGATCAGAAGGGGGTGACTCCTTAAATATTAAATCTTTTTTTTTAGACTGAAGCTAAGTGACTTCGATGCAAAAGTTGAATGAAAGACAAACCAAGCCTCCAGTTTCCTACAGTGTGTCAATGAAAGGTGTGTAAACTCCAGGAACATCCAGTAAATAAGGGAAAACTTGTTCTTGCGCCTTACAAGCTAATGGGTTGTTTAAGAGGCTAATATTTTGAGTCACAACAACACTCTGTTTTCAGGTTTACAGGGATTACATCAGCCTGCTTCCTCCTCAGACCAACAGCTTTTTCCTTAAGATGATTATGAACCAACAAAGGTCTGCATTTATCACTAATTCAGAGCGCTATAACTGTGTTAATTCAAGGTGGTTTGCACCTGAGGATTTGTCCTGATCCGAAGAAACAATGAAAACCTCTGTGAAAAAAGAGAGATGCTGAGCAGATGAGTGTTTCATTCCTGGTTTTGCATCAAGGTCATTCTTAAGATCACTCCCTCGAAGACAGATCTCATTATCTTTTTATAGCACGTAACAGCTTTAATCCAACCAATCCAGACCGCAAACACGCAGTCACAGTCGCTGCCTGTTGTTCTGTGAGTCTGCATGTTCACTGACCAATAAATATCAGCTGCAGACGGCTTTAAAGAGATTTCCTCGGACTGTAAACCTGATTCTGTTGGTCAAGCAGCTTGTTAGAGTTTCTCAAAGATTTACAACCGGGGCCTTCAGCAAACATGCGCATCACATTTCAACCACTGCTGCTAAAAAGTGAAGCCAGAGTAAAAGTGCAAAAAAAATCACAGTTTGTCAAGTGACTCTGGGGCAAAGTAAAATGTCAGATTATGATACAATACAATCGGATAGGATAACAATAGGAAAATGATATGATATGATAACGATACAACAACGTACAATACCGATACCAAAACGATAGTAGGATATGTAAGATAATGATACAATAAGTATATGATAACAACATGACAAAGACACAATAAAGAAACAATACACTATGATATGATGCAATAAAGTATGACAAATGGGATATGACAATGATACAATAACGATAGGATAAGGATAGAAGGATACATACAATACGATAATGTGACAATAATGATATGATACAATAATATTTTAATGATGATACAATAAGGGTACATTAACAATACAAAGAATGCTAACGATACAATAACGCTACAATAACAATATGATAAAGACATGATATGTAGGATATGATAATGATACATTATACAATATCAATACCATAACGATAGTAGGATATGTACAATAATGATACAATAAGGGAACATCAACAATACAAAGAATGCTAACGATACAATAACGCTACAATAACAGTATGATAAAGACACGATATGTAGGATACAATAAGGATATGATAACAGCATGATAAAGATACGATAAAGATCAATACGCTATGATACGATACAAAAAGATATGACACGTAGGATATGATAATGATACAATAACGAGACGATAAGGATAGTAGGAGACATATGATATGATAATGTGACGATAATGTCAAGATGCTACTTAAGCATGCAAAGGATAAGATAAGCAAAGACTGCTTTGGCCACAGGGGGCGCCAAAGTTCCCCACAGAAGCTTTAAATGGTTTGCTTTGAATTCCTCTCATTTTTTGATGCCTTGGGTTTACTGCACCAGCCGCCTCCCAGTGCTGGTTATATAAGTGGTGTTCTTTTTAATAAGGGATTGAACCCAATGAAGGGGATAATCCATCATTTTATATTCTGCATATTAAAACAGGGCTTCCAGGAATCCAATGCCCAGTAGAAATCAGTGCCCTCCCCTTTTAGTTCATTTCTCATGGACATAATTCATCAGCTGTGCTTTAAAAATTCATGTACAGTATGGCTGGGTCGCTATTCAGTGACTTATAATACTGTACATGTCTCCAGGATTATTCCAACCCTGTTAGACTATGATGAAGAAAATCGAAGTGTTATAATGCGTTAAATTTGTTGTTTTTGTGAAAGAGGAAATATTTCACAAAATCCACATTTGATATTTTTTTTGTTTTTCTTTTGACGAATGGATGCTCTCTCTTTCCTGCACATACAAATAAAATATCATAACAACACAGCACTGTTATCCTGCAACACAAAACACAGACATGCTCTTGTTTGGCTTGTGAGGACTAATGTTTCCTTGCCAGTAAACCCGGAGGAGATGAGTCGAAAGATAGATGCCAGAAATAACGGGTGTGGAGGGAGGGGATTCAGCGCACACACTCCATGTGCCAAGTCCCCCATCAAATAACACTTCTGTTGCCCTCTAACTGAGAGGCACAGAAACAAGGCCAGCTCCCCATTGTGCCCTTCCCCGCAGAGACCGGACTGAAAGAACAGAGGAGGCCTGCAGCGACTGACAGACCCCTTCAATCCCCCCTCAGTTTACATTGCGAGACAAAAAAGAGTGAATATGGAGACCGGCGATCTGAAGAGTTGTCTGTACATTTTAAGGAGGGAATTTTCCTCACCACCTGCCACCCGTTCATCCCCTGTTGGGTGGATGTGAGCTGCCGACACCTGCAGACAAAGAGCTGAAAAGCAAAGAGGGTTTTTAAGAGTCTGCTCACGTCTTTAACAGAATAAATCACCACACTCCCTTTGCACTGTAAAACACCATGCAGGAATTACTGTAAAATTAACTTGATGAGACACACGTTTAGGACTTTTTTATGCGCGATGTGTGCATTAAGTCCAACAATTTTATTATTTCAATAAACTTTTCTTGTAATTCTGACATAGTTATCTCTTCTGTACAAATGTAACCTAACCTAATATTTTTTACATTATTTTTTTAAGCCTATATATGCAGAAGAAGTGTAACCTCACTTGACTCTTCTTGCATAATACTGCAGATAAAACCTGTCTATTTAGTTCAGACTAACACTGACAATGCGCTTAGAGGGAAGATGTTTTCAGACGTTTCTATTCAGACAAACTCTGGGCCCCTTGGCAACCAAAGCATTTACTATTTTTAGAAGCCATTGTCTTGTTGTTTGCTGATTTTTTTTCTATTTGTTTATATTAGTCTTCATTTTTTGCATCATCAATTTTTGGATTTCTACAAACAAACGAACAAGAGGAAAAACAGATTGAACCGGACATCCTTCAAGAGTTTAAAATTTAACTTCTGCTTTGCCAGTTTTTGATGGCGTACGTGGAAACCTTGTTTGTGTTTGGTGAATTTCCAGCTGTATGCAGTAATTAGAAGCAAGAGTTAAACCTTGAGCCACAAAAGCCTGTCCTGTTGCTGGTGATGGTGAGTTTGCACAATAGCTTCCTTGGTGATGGCGTGTGTGAGGCATCTGCTAAGAGCCAAACTTCTCTCAGCGGCGAGCATTCACAGCCATGAAAGGAATATCAACAGTCCAGGGCTTGACGTTTTCTTTTTTTTCTTTCTACCAGAGTGAAAGGAAGCGCCAAGGATCTCAGCTTAAATCCAGTTGGTTACAGGCTCATTCAGATGCATATGAACCCGGCGAGTTCTCCCCTCTCTCTCCCTCTCTCTGCCTCCTGCTCTGGCTCGATTTTCTTTAGAAAGTCCAGTTTTGTGTCTCCCTCCGGCTCGAGGCCTCGGTTTCTCTGAATGTGTCCGGTGAATAGCAAAGTGCTGCTTGTGCAGCTGACCACTCCTCTATTTTGCAGAGACGTGCTTTGCATGGTAACATTAGTGAACATAATGCATCTAAATCTATTCCTAGTGGTCATTCATCATGGCTCTAATGTCGGACGGTCTGTATTTGTCTCTGGGATGATGACTACTGAAGAGCAGCTGAGAGGAAAGGACATACAGTACCTCTATATCTGGTGTATCTACAGTATGTGTGATTTATCTCCTCTGTACACACAGCCGCAGTTGGACATACTTGTCTTGGCGTAAACTACAGTGCAGTGTTTGACATCACACGTACTAGTGGATTCACTGCGGAGGAGAATCATGGCAAATATCCAAGTTTTTTTTATAGCCAGGCTGCAGGAAGAGCAAAGACAGTGCAGCATTCAGCCTGTTTTTGATGGCCTATCTTCAATAAGATATTACCGATATTAAAAGACCAATCAAAACTCAAGTCATGAGCAGCCTCTACAGAAGAGTCTTACTTTTAATCAAACCAAGTAGCTAAATGTGCTGTTTTCATATTAAAGCTCCTGTAAGGGGTTTTTGGTTGGTGATGAAACACACTGATATTAATCATGATGCCTCTATTTGACGTGCAAAAACAAACAAAACCATCAGAGAGACAATTTATTTTTTCTTCATTATTAGGTGTTGGACGAAGTGACCGAATGCACATCAAAAATTCATCACTGTGACTGATTCACTGTTTTTGACTTTGAAAAGACCAAAGGATGACGATTTTTGTAAAGAGACTAACAAGCAAGACCAAGTCACAAGACAAAACCAACAAAGAAAAATGATGTACTACTTGGTGAATACTACTACTACTACTACTTATAATAATAATAATAATAATAATGATAATGCTCAGTAAATGTTGGTTGTTTTATTAGCCACTTAGCTACTAGCTAGTAGCCTTTAGCTCACTAACGTGACTCAAACATGTTTTCTTCTCTTAAAGATGCAGACTGAAGCAGAGAGAAGTGGACCTGCAACTAAACTACAACCTACTCTTCCGCTATATGAAAAAAAGAGAAAGTATGACCAGTCTCCTGAATCTGTCAAAATAAACACAGCTGTAGCAGAGTATATCTGTGAGGACCAACTACCCATTTACACATTGGAGAAACCTGGGTTCCAAGTGAAAAAGTGATTGTCTTGTTTTTTATTTTAAAAAAATATTTCATTTTCTGATTATTTAGTAGTTTTATTTAATTTATTATTTATCTGCCGTTCGGTTTTTCATGTTAATAAAAATATTTTTTATGCCATTTAAAGTATTTGTCACTTTTTTTATCCCTGCAGTATCAAAAAATGGTATTGAGTATCGAGTATTTTCCTGGGTATCGATGTGAAATTTGAAATTTTTGTATCGTGCGAACCTTAACGTCAGCACATAAAAATAATAATTAAAACAAAAGCTCAGTTACAACAAGGCCTCAGAATTGAAGGCCAATTTAATTTGTCATAAGGAACTTAGACAATACAAGAACACTACAAAATAAAAACATAAAACAGGTAAGAGGGGGGCGCTAGCGAGTCGCTTACTGGAGCTTCAAGCAAGATTTGGGGTTTTTCCAAAAGATTTTCTGAACTTCCTAGTCATTCATTCAGACACTTAACTTGCTTCAAGCCCAGTATAAGTTAAAGTCTGGAAATACAGTTTACATGTTTTTAATAGAGTGAAAGTAAAAGCTGTATTTACAAATTTAAATACCGTCATTTTAAACTCGACAACTTTTACTGATAATGGATTTGAAGTGGTCATGTTTGTGCTCCGGTATGGGATTTTAACACCACGCTACTAATTACAAGAATTGATCATTATGGGTAATAGCAGTTTGGTGCAAGTCATTTATAATCATTAGCATAACACTTGAAAATAAAGCCATCACCAAGTATACAGTACCATTCGAACCCTCAAAACACAAACAGGAGCATCTCTTCCAACATTTCATGTTTATTCTAACTGCTAACAATGACATGGATCACAAAGCATAAGAAAGTCATTACTCAGTGATGGAGTACACCTCTAAATAAGGCAGCTGTAACCATGACAACTGCAGATATGACAGTTTTGGAAACTGGGCAAATGTCAATCAGACCAACACATCTTCAGAAAATGGTTAGATTTCGTTTTTTAACAAGGTTAACTGAAAGTACTGATGTTTTCTTGGATGTGTCATGGGACCAAAAATTCATGTTTTCTTTCTGAGCCAAATATTTAAGGGGATTTAAAGCAAAGAAAATACACAGATGGCACAGCAACTCAGTGACCCACTTCAGCGTACTTGCTCTGCAGCACTTTTAATCCGTGAGCTCAGTGGTGGAATAAAATTTGGGATTACTTGAAGTCTTACATAATGTAATCCCTGTCGGGGAAACAGATTCAATCAAGTCCGCATCCCAGTGGAGGACTTGGGAATTTCTTTTCATTTCAACCAACATTAGAGTTTCAGAACAGCGATGGACCGTTCAGAAAAGTCTCAAAGATCATGAGAACGGACCTCCATTATTATTCGTACAATAAACCAGCCGACAGAGAACAAACAATGACCAGATGTGTAAGCATTTAATTTCAGATATTTCTTTCACATGTCCTGCAAGAATACACAAGAGAACATAAAAGAAAACAGCTCAGACATTTCCCAGATCCTCCTAATCGTTCTGCTTCTGACTCCCGGGAAATCATAAATATCTTAAGTTTCCCTGAGTACTATTAGAGATAACACTCTGTATTATACCTAAGTATCATGGGCTGTCTTTGAGGTGCAGCTCTGAATGCACACAGACATGAAATAACACAGATGTCTCCTCTGTCATCATTTGAGCGTGTACTGTAACCCACTCAGATTACATAAAAGCCTGACGTCCCCAATCCAGTTGCTCCTAATGAATCATCTGGACTCAGCTTGTTTTATTTTTGGAAAAGGGCAACAGGAGGTCAGAGTCAGACACTGTTTATGAGCTTTTTTTGTAGGTTTTAATGCCACTTACTCCCCTGTATTCCTTGACTTTAGTATGATCTGTAGCCTGAGTGTTCCTGTAAGTGAATATGAAACTGACCTTTTCCACCAAAGGAACAGGCTGTACTTCCTATGTTTAACAAATACTATCATAACGACCTGTTAATAATCACTGTGTGCTTTTAAAAATGCTGCCAGCAGGTTCAGCAAACAAAATATTCAGAAAGTGAACAAACAAACACATTGCAACATCCTGAAGAAGACGTAACAATGAAAAGCATCAAAACAAGTTCATCTTATCATTTGGTACCAAGCAACCTCGTCATGCCTGGATGGATTTTCTACATCAAGGTGGGAACTGATAAGCAGAAGCAGCATGCAAATTATAGTTCTGTCAGCAAAAAAAGGCAGTATTTAGCAACCATCTCGGGTGATTGCAAAAGCACAGACTAACCAGAAGTAGAGTTCTTAAGAATTTCAGGCTCTTGAACTTTCGAGAAAGCCAACTTCTTGCGCTGTGTTGCCTTTATCGTGGTTTAGGAAGGACAAACTAGTAACAGTCATGCATGTTTTTACAATCTGTGAGCAGCTATCCAAAATAATAAAGAAGAGGGTGATGAGAGTGGTTGAGTTCATGTAAAAAACAAGTGTCTTAAAGGAATGTTCCAGCGTAAAATAAATTTAGGGTCAAACACAACGTAACACTGAGTTAGACACCCCCTCGAGAGATGAATGTTGCCGATTGCTTGCTTCTCTAGTTATACCAACTTTAGTAATGACCGCACTATAGCAATACACAACGGTCTACACTCACCGGCCACTTTATTAGGTACACCATGCTAGTAACGGGTTGGACCCCCTTTTGCCTTCAGAACTGCCTCAATTCTTCGTGGCATAGATTCAACAAGGTGCTGGAAGCATTCCTCAGAGAGCTTGGTCCATATTGACATGATGGCATCACACAGTTGCCGCAGATTTGTCGGCTGCACATCCATGATGCGAATCTCCCGTTCCACCACATCCCAAAGATGCTCTATTGGATTGAGATCTGGTGACTGTGGAGGCCATTTGAGTACAGTGAACTCATTGTCATGTTCAAGAAACCAGTCTGAGATGATTCCAGCTTAATGACATGGCGCATTATCCTGCTGAAAGTAGCCATCAGAAGTTGGGTACATTGTGGTCATAAAGGGATGGACATGGTCAGCAACAATACTCAGGTAGGCTGTGGCGTTGCAACGATGCTCAATTGGTACCAAGGGGCCCAAAGAGTGCCAAGAAAATATTCCCCACACCATGACACCACCACCACCAGCCTGAACCGTTGATACAAGGCAGGATGGATCCATGCTTTCATGTTGTTGACGCCAAATTCTGACCCTACCATCCGAATGTCGCAGCAGAAATCGAGACTCATCAGACCAGGCAACGTTTTTCCAATCTTCTATTGTCCAATTTCGATGAGCTTGTGCAAATTGTAGCCTCAGTTTCCTGTTCTTGGCTGAAAGGAGTGGCACCCGGCGTGGTCTTCTGCTGCTGTAGCCCATCTGCCTCAAAGTTCGACGTACTGTGCGTTCAGAGATGCTCTTCTGCCTACCTTGGTTGTAACGGGTGGTTATTTGAGTCACTGTTGCCTTTCTATCAGCTCGAACCAGTCTGGCCATTCTCCTCTGACCTCTGGCATCAACAAGGCATTTCCGCCCACAGAACTGCCGCTCACTGGATATTTTTTCTTTTTCGGACCATTCTCTGTAAACCCTAGAGATGGTTGTGCGTGAAAATCCCAGTAGATCAGCAGTTTCTGAAATACTCAGACCAGCCCTTCTGGCACCAACAACCATGCCACGTTCAAAGTCACTCAAATCACCTTTCTTCCCCATACTGATGCTCGGTTTGAACTGCAGGAGATTGTCTTGACCATGTCTACATGCCTAAATGCACTAAGTTGCCGCCATGTGATTGGCTGATTAGAAATTAAGTGTTAACGAGCAGTTGGACAGGTGTACCTAATAAAGTGGCCGGTGAGTGTACATCTCAATGTGCAAACCTCAACCAAAACGCCACTCTATAGCCACAAATAATGCTCAGAACAGCACCTAACTTCATCAACAGTACATATAGGGTCCCAGTCATAGTACTAACCACCAAACATCTTTTTAACTTTGCCTGATTTCTTTAGCAAAGAGACTAAACACAACTCACCCACTCTCTTCCAGCAGCCGCTTGTTTGTAGCGAGACCTCAGACGAGTCTATTACTGACTACAGCGGGGTGACGCAGCTCAAGGAAGAACATTTATGATCATTTCTTTATCATTTGGAAATACAATCAGACCGAGACGCTAAGGCAGAAGAACTACCGCTTCTGCAGTGCAAAATGATTAATATGGTGATTATTACTTCAAGGAAATGATAAAGTAATGATCACAAATGTTCTTCCTTGAGCTGCGTCACCCAGCAGCAGGCCGCAATGGACTGACCTGAGGTCTTGCTACAAACAAGCGGCTGCTGGAAGAGAGTGAGTGAGTTGTGTTTCGCTTCAAAAACAACAGAGGGGAGGAGAAAAAGAGTTTCAAGACCACTTCTAAGTAAATATTCCCATTTCTACAGACTGTTCCTTTAAGTCCCCATCTTCCCCTTGATGGTTCTTTGCACATGTTGCATTACTCTCACTTGCAGTTTTTTTAGTTGAATCATGACTGAAGGTGCTTCTTTGAGGGCCTCCGAAGAGGAACTGTTGCATAACCAGACAGGGCATGAATGTATCTACATGTGCCCAACATCTTAAAAACTAGAGATCCTGGAGAGTCCTGGACTCAAGTGCTACAACACTGCTCTGCATTTATGTATTTGATGCATGCATTCGCTCCAACCTATGTACAAACCTCAAGTTTTGCAAGAGTTTTTAAAATCTGTGGTTTCTGTTTTAACATGACCGTGATGTACCAAAACAATTATTGATTTAGCTCACAATTTAGTGTTTTTTCCATACTCAGGGTGGGAAGCACAGTTAGCACAGTTTCATGTGACAATAAATAATAAAATAATCGTCAGTTTGAGGTCACTCAAAATGTTTAAATGCATTGCTTTTCTTCAACACCAGTTAACAATATTTCAAATTGGCAAACCCAACCTGAAAACAGGTAAGAGGCTTGGTAGGATACACAGTGGTATCATCTGCAAAGAGATAACTCCACGAATTTACATACTGTGTTCAAAAGGCCTCTCTATAAAGATACATCGGGAATTAAGATCCAGACGGATCAAGTAAACTGTGGTGTCATTCATTAGCATACCCACTAGCCTCTGTACTTCCACCCATGCAAAATAATCCAAACCCAAAGATAAGAATTTGTTTAGTTAGATACTCTGGTCAGCATTTCAATATCTTTTCAGTAACCGTGAATGGTAGGCAGGCACACAGTGATGCAATTTATCAAGAAACCTCACAGTGACATTCATCGAGCAGCCTGCAGCTGTGACTCTCTCAGCCCTGATGATTGTGGCTGCCAGACAAGTATCACTAGTGGAAACTCTGCGTAATTTATTACATCCTAACAGGAGATACAGCGAGGAGATTAGTGAGTAGAGAGAGCCCAGATAGTAAAAGGAGATTGCAGCAATCACAAGAGACATGTTGACCCAATTTCGCTTGATGGATTATGAGATACAGCGTAAATGTCAAATCACAACAGCAGGTGGTGTGGGAACACATCTAACAAGCAGGATATAAATAATTCTCTTGTAAATTTTCTCACATTTCAGCTCATAAAAGCATCCTAATCCACCTGGGACAAACAGACAACACTTCAACCTCTAAATGTGGAAACAACGCAGTCTACTCGTAATGCTGCATACCACATGAGAACAAAAAGAGTAAAATTAGTCATATTTTAAATGATCAAGCCGTAGATAGATCTGCAAAACAACGGGGGACAAAGGAGTCTTTTCAAATTAAAACGAAATGCAAACTGTGCGTTAAAAATGGTGCCCTGTACCTGACATACCAAGTCAGATAGAGGTAAAAACATACGACAGCATGAAGTTCGATTCATGCCTTATCCGTGGAAAATGCTGGCTTTGCTGCCCATTCTGCAGCCAACCAGCAAATATTTTGGCCTCAATTTTCTGTAGCTGTCACGTCATCTATATTTTTGCACAATTTATGGTTCATAGACTTATAAATACTCCAGGTCAAGGGGGGCTTATGGGAAATCTAAGGTCATCAGGGCATGAAGGGGATCGGATGATACAACCTGATGAACTTATGCTGTGGCTGCTGCGGCAGACACCAGTTGCTCAGCTGCTGACAGGCGAGCGTGGTGGATTACCGTAGATCACTCAGTGCTGGAGAAAGTTCAAACTTAGCAGAGCTGCAGCGGCTCATCTATCTGCAAGAAGAGGAAGCTGGCACTTACTGCAGCACAGAGCCGTAGATAACGCCGCACTTTAACATCAAATCCCATAGCAATAAAAGTGAACATTGATCAGGTTTGTATCTACTCCTGTTGATTTATTATATTTGCGTGTGTAAAGTGACATACAAGAGTCCGATGGTTGCAGATCTTGTGAGTTTGCCGCTCCCATGCAGAGTATTTGGCAAAGGTGACGGCTGGCATGATAAGTGAGATAAATGTGTCATGAGTCGAGGACATGTGAAGATAGGACAGACTCAGTTACAGTATCTTCTCATCAGAGGGGACATGAAAATTACTTTTTTCTCACGGCAGACAAAGTGTTCTAAAAAACTTTAATTAAAGCTACTATAAGAGGTTTTATACTCAATGTTAGACTATAATGTGAAAAAGCTGTGTCTGTTTTAATTCCACAAAAAGGCCAATATGTTATTGTTAATTTACAGTTTTCAAAAGCAAATCCCACAATGCTTCAATCACAGCTAAGATGTTGCAATTCCTGCTAGTTTGGTTAGCTACATACACACACTTATGGCTACTCAGACTAGAATCTGTCTGAACCACAGACTGTAAAAAAAAAGATGGATAACAGGAGAGCGCTCATAAGTAAAGCCAAAATATTTTGAAATCTCCAAACTGTGCTATGACGTTTGTTTCCTCCATGTCAACAGATGGGACATGGATTAAACTCCATAGATTAAGCTCCTGTTTTAGTGTTTTATGGTTTGTTGTAGTTATTTGTTTCCATTGTTTTTAAAAACATTGGAAATATATATTTTACTTTTTAATATCTGCTTTTATTTTATCCATTGTTTTAATTGTTTTCGGATAGTTTTTTATGTCTGCGTTGTTTCGTCTATTTATGTACAGCCCTTTGTTCAGCTATGGTTGCTTTAAAGTGCTTTACAAATAAAGTTGAGTATTTAATTAAGTTGAAGATCAGACAAACAAACACAAGATTAAGACTATCAAGTTTAAACACACAGTTTATGCTGTGATTTCTGTCTGTTTTTCTTGGTTTTATCACCCTGTTAAAGACAAATTACGCCAACCCTTTTGGTATTTTAATGCTTTCTGCTTGACCTACATGCAGCGAGAGCTTTTAAAGATGGAGGACAACCTCATGAGTATTTGTCATGGAGACAAAACAAGGAGGAACGAGGAGAGCGGTTGAATAATTATATAAAGGTGCATGTTTGATTCATGTGCAGGGGTTTGAGCAGCTTCAGAGACCTTGGGGCAAATCCATCATTTACCAGTACAGTTCAATCAGAGGCAAAGTTGTGTAATTGCCCTTTAAATGACCCCAATTTTACGCACATTTTCAGGATCTTTGCACAGACCATTTTACAAACTAAACGCCACTTTTTCAGGGATTGTACTGCACTGTTTTTACAACGATGCATGAAACTGTATTTCCAGCTGTTGTAAATGTCACAAAGAAGCCATGAGAACAAGCCACTGTCCCCCAGAGGAGCATATTATACAGCCTCACAGAACAACAGTATTGACTTCTTGAGACGGCTCTATAAATAGCAGCGATGCCTGTTTCCCTGGGGCTCCTCGCTGCGCCCTAATGACTCTCTGCTCCCCCTCAAAGGGCAGAATAACCTAAATTCACCACAGTGCCATCTCGCCACCATCTCAGATTATCTCTTTGAAGGACGGAGCAGAACACATTAACAGCTTTACGCCGGTGTCCAAACACACGCTCGACGGCTGCTGTTCTTTGTTGTGACACAGAGGCCTGAGATGCTGTACGCCATCATCATCACGTCGGAAACTAATTAGTGATTCTGCTGCATCTCCTCTGGTGTGTTTCACAAAGGCAAGACAAGGCAGTGGGGAAAATCAAAGTCCCTGTAACACCAGGACTTCAATCTGCTCAACCAGTGTGAAATTTCAAGTGTTATACGAGCCAAATGAAACATTTCACATGAAAGATTTTTCAGGATTTTTCAAATATTTTGTGCCAAGCTTGGTAGTCGGAAGGGGGCGGGGCCAAGTGATGTCATGGATAACGTCTGTTCAAAATCAGAAACCTTAAAATCAAAATCTGTGTTTTTTTTTACATTTATGAAACAGACTGAAATTCATGTTACTGCATTTCTATGATATACTAAAGCAAGTAAGACCATTAGTAAAAATATAAAAAAAGGATGACTTCTATACGAAATGTTTGATGCCTGAGACTGGTGTGAGGGGTAGGTTTCATTAGAGCCCCTTAAAGGTGGGGTATGCAGGAAACCGTTAAAGAAGCATCTTTGTTTGTGGTGAATTTACAAAAAAGCTTTTAATATCAGTCAATAGCTATTAGTTATTGATGACATTTGGAAATATAAGGATTTCACTGTGTTTTGTTATGTCTGTGTAGTCAACATTTTAAATTTTCATGCCCGCTCTTTCTGACTGTAAACAAAGCCATTCTCTGCCTCCCCCAACCTGATTGGTTGTGAGGCAAACGCTGCTCCCTCGTGTTGTGAGGCACAGTTCACGTCCTCCAATAACGTTCACGAGCCCAAACAAAGTTAGCGTGCTACAACATCAGACGGTAGAAACCAACCAGAAAGTTCGGAAAACACAAGCAAGAAAACAAAGTAAATACCGGCGACTCTGGCGGAATAACGGGCGCTTAAAAAGGAGGTAGACCAGACAAGAGCTAAAAAGCCGGGTCAACATCAATGAAGCATAAACAACGGGGGGAACTTTGGGATCTTCGTGACCCTGTAACCTTTCTGCTGGACAGGTAAACCGCTTTAACAAAGTAAGATGAGTGTCTGTAACAGAAGTGTTTCTTGTCAAACGGGACCTGCTGCGTGTTTTGGCGCCGCTAAACTGTTGACCTGGGGTCCTGGACTATGTCACTTTATCCTCGTTGTAAAAGTCCTGTAAACATTGTGTTTGCTGGTAGTCTGTTGACATCTACAGTAGCACCAATGCTTTTTACTTTAACGCTGACTGGGCCCCATTTGTAATTATCTGAAGTATTTATCTGCATAATATCTGAAATTAATTGAAACAGTACGAGTGAGATATTTTTAAATGTTAAAGGTCGGCAGAATCATATACATCAGCATGTAGAGGACAAGATAAGTAAAGCCTGCTTTGTCCACAGGAGGCGCCAAAACTGACACATCCTTAAAGTTCCTCACAGGAGCTTTAAAAATGTTTTTAGTGACATTACTTTGATCATACTCCATGAGTATTTCCTCAGATGTAAAATTTTGTCTCCTATGTTAGTTAGCATGTGTCTGTATATACAGTCAATTTAGCTGTTTAACAAAATTTAATCTATTGAGCTAGTTCAATTGTTCTGACCATAAACAAAAATACAAAAATTTAATCATGAACTAGTAACAGTATGATACGATACAACACAGTCTATTCTACAAAAGTGTTTGAGGTTGTTACCTCTTTAGTTTTTCAGGGTTGTTTGTTGCTCAGATTGAAGTATGATTAAAGTAACAACATCTTGGCCTGATTTTCTGGAAACTCGGGGAGGAGGTGAAGCAGGCGCCGAGGAGCATGTCATTACAGTCTGGACAAGATTCAACCCACAAAAAAGCAGCTCAGGATCTCAAACAAGGAGGTAAACTAAATTTGATCTTGTTTTTGATGCCACGCTCATCATTGTACATACTAAAATCTACTTGTTGACTGTTATCAGGAGTTTTGCCTTTTTTAAATTAGTGTAACTGACCCTTTAAGCCTAAAAAAATGTCTACAGTGAGAAATGATGATTTAGCAGAAATACATGACCTATGGTGCATCCCAGTGGGAGTTTGATTACAACCAAATGTTTTATGGCTGAACTGAGTCTAAAGGTCAGGTTTTGTGTAACACTGACCATACTTTCCCCAAAAACCTGATTCATGACTCTGATAGGTGTGTCAGGAAGCATTTTCCGTTCCTCAAAACCTCCTCTGAACTGAATCAACTCTTTACACATCAAACTTCACATGACCTCTGACTTTGTATCTTGATTGTGCCGATTTCTCCAGAGGAAAAGCAAACTGGTGAGAAAAATGCTCCAGTCTAACTATGAATGGACCTGATGTGGCAGAACAAAGTGCAGCAGTGTGTTTCAGTCGACAGAGCGGTGTTGAGATGAAAGCGCCTGTCATCTTGTGTCAAACAGGATCGCTCCTTAAAGGCAGGCTGTAATTAGTGAAGTACAGATGTGTATCTTAGTGGAAATTGTGCAGCAGTTGAGAACGCCATTAGAGCTCAGAGATTGAATCAGCACGCAGGGACGATGTGAGCAGACGAATGGCATCGCTTTTGTGTTATGTAACCACTCAAAGAGGTGAGGGAGGCGAAGAGGGCGAGAAACTAAATACAGGAGCACAGCAGGGAGCCGTGGAGAGGAGTACAGTAAAGGTGATGGCTAGGGATGTGTATACTCAGAGCTGTTTACCGTCTCCCACAGCTCCTGATAATTTCAGGTTTTTCACTGTAAGAGCCAGACTGCAGGCCGCCTGCGTGAGTGTCAGAGGAGGCAGCGAGGGACGTGACCTTGCAAAGATATTGTTATAATGTAAACAGCCAGGCTGCTCAGTCTGCCAGCTCAGCTACTGACCTGATTCAGAGGGCAAGAAACAGGGCTTTCCTTTTTTAAACATCACTGCTCCCAAAATTACAACGTTTCAGAATGTTAATTCTGGACTTTTTGGGCCAAGTATTTCTGTCTTGCAGAGTCACTGTTTAGAAAGACTAAACATGAAAAAGGGTTTTCTAAGGATTTATTTTAACTATGACAACATGTTAAACTGGAGTGGGCAGCGCTGACAGCCTGGAATAAACATCTTTTTCTTGTGAAGTGTTTTCTTTTACTCTGACAGAATACTAAACTACAAATACTAAATCATATAGAGTTAGAGAGAAAAACATACACGCCCAGACACACTTTAAAAATATTTTGCAGCACTGAAATCAGATAAACATGACCTAGATCCAACCTCTATTTGTCAAAATGTACCACGTCTCAAAGCTAATATAAAAGACTGGAGGGTTAATTAGAACCTGCATTCAGTTAAAGTTTTACAGTATGCTTTCATTAATTGTTATAAAATTTAAAGCTCCTATGTGGATATGTGCCCTTTGACTAGGCCTGGGCGATTTGGCAAAAAAATAATCACGATATATTTTGTCATATCGTCCGATCTCGATTATTATCGTGATTTTTTTTTTTTAAACTGCCAGTTTTAAAGCATCTGTACTAAAAACTAAAGAAACTAGAGATTAGATCAACATTTTATTAACATACAAAGTAAATAACAAAGCAAATTGAATAGAATACACTTAGACAAAGATGAAGAAACATTTTAACTCAACAGTATAACAAATGTTGATAAATGCTAAATAATACAGTGAATTAGTGAGATAATGACGACGCCTTAAATGTCAACATTAGATGATGTAAACATTGATGATACGATTGATTGCTGCTTTGGTCCGGTGGTTAGTTGTGGCTAAACTGCTAAGGCTACTTTTGTCATCAGCAGTAACAGGCTGTACAGACTCTGCTCACATTTTCATCCTTTCAACATGACCAATCGGGAAGAACTTCTTCAAATGATTAAACAGATTTGTTGTGTAGCCGGTTTTTGAGGGCATCGACCGCAGACATACCTTGCACATCGGCGTAATTGCTCGACGTCACTTTGGAGATACTCGAACCACCGCCACACAACCAACGTTGAATAACTTTTCTTCTCAACAATTGCATCATCGGAGGATGACTCAAAGTCACGGCTGACATCTATTTTGTTGCCCTCAGCTCTGCGTTTAGCTCCATGTTCGGTCATTCTGTTTACTTCTTCTGTTTACTTCTCCGGCAACTTACAGAAGTGGAGCAGGAAAAGCTCGACTCTGATTGGCTGCTGTGTTGTGACGCACATTTCCGCTGTGTTTGCTCGAGTAAATATGCTCGCAGCTGATCACCGTAATCGAACTGAAATTTATCACAATCATCGTATTGTCTATTTTGTATGAGGAAACTTACCTGACACCTACCCCCTCAAACCACTTTTAGGCGTTAAAAACTACAACATAAAAATCCTTAATCCTGTTGCTCTTGGTCTTATTTGCTTTTGTATGTCATAAAAAGTCATCCATATTAATTTCAGTCAATTTCAGAAACATACAAAAATTCCTCACAGGAGCTTTAAGATAAAAAGATAATTTCTCAGCAACTTAAAGGAATTTTTATCTATGTTTTTCAGCGCCCACGATCGTTTGCTGAGTTTGTCCCGTACATGTCTGAGATCCAGAGATGCCAGATGAGAATTTTCACCACAGACAACGGCAAAAAAAGCTGGTTTGGGAGCACGCCTTCTCCCTTGGCAGCAGTTTCAGGCATTAAAATCAACCACAGAGGAATAGTTGATCCTGTCACTGATGATCTTGCGTGCTTGTATTGATCACATAGACGCGTCTTTTAGAGTTTTTGACTCTCTCTCGTAAGCAGTAAAAAATTCCTCACAGTAGCTTTAAAATTAATGCTGTAATATTAAAGGTGAATGCCTTTAGAAAGTTATTAGGTTAACTTATACTGTTATGGTAGGAAATTTGTCTTGGACTTCACAGTGCTCTGAAACATCAGCAAAACATCCACATTCGTGTTTTGCAATTAAAGGATGCTTTTTACACCATCACACCCCAGTGACTCAGTAATCCAGATAAATTTACTCAATTTCTTGAATTTCTTTCGAATCATCAGATTTCTCGGTTTCTCAACCCGCAGAGTCATACCAACATGAGAAGTCCTCCTTCAGCTCTCGCTTGTTTATTTGTCTTCTTCCCCCTTTGTACCAAAACAAAAACCTGCATCCTTCTGCTCTACATCTGCCAAAGTAATGTTAATAGTCCTATAATAGCTAATGGATTGTTCTCATAGTTTATTCAGTACATCCTCCTGCCTCTCTATTGTCTTTGGCATCTGGGAAACTGCTTACGAGGCGCCAGTAACAGCTTAGGTAAACTGTTGTGTCTGATGCTTTTTCTTTTTTTATCCCTAATGGATGAACAAATACTCACTTGAATGATATAGCTCAATGTATATCTTTGTTTGATTACATATCAAATCAAAGCACTTGCTGGTATAGTTTACTTAGAGGCAGCCATAATAAGTCATACTGTAACACAAAATCAAAGAGGAATGAGTCTACAGCCACTTACAAGCACTTCCTGTTCCACTTGTTGCTTAAATAAACATGGAAAAAGAAGATAAATATGGTACATGGAGGTCAGGTGAGGATACAATCAGGATAAGTGCACACAAACTCGATTTTAGGTGTTTACGAATCGGCCTGGATCCAGTTACACTCACATGAACACACACATCTCTCTGTCTTTGTGTTTTATAAAAGCACATACACTCCCAGACACTCCTTTGCTGACTGATCCTGCAAAGAAAAGGGAAGGAAGTGTTTGCTTACGCACAATCAGCTGATGACCAGCATAGTGTTTCCTGTTCTAATGACCTTCTGTCCACACTATGTAATCCCCCTGTATGTAGTAATAATGTTTGTAAAATATGAATGAACCACTCGTGGTGAGCTTTGGTAAGGGAAGTCGAGTGATCTGGCTTTTTTTTTCTGTCTGTTTCCTGTAAAATTATTTTCCAGCAGAGAGAGATCTGCAGCCAAGGACGAGATCAACCCAAATACCAGCATGTTGATCTGTGTACAGACATAACACACGAATGCAAGGCTTGTGTCAAAGTATAACAGGCTACCTCAGCTTAATGGTAGTACATGGTTGCTTGCTGCCACCTGCTGGACAAAACTTGGATTACAGCAAAATGGAGGCAATTCAGTTTAAGGCTGGTTGTTTGTAGCAGGTTCAAGTGATTGACATAGAGTAAATATGTTAGAATTCTGGAAATGTAAATAAAACAAGTATAATAAATGTACAACACAAGCTGAATGATGCTTACACTCACTTACCCACACATACACACACACAAGCGCACACAGTGTGAGAATTTAAGATATATTGTTAAGGAGACGTGGCCTGACACCGAGACTTTATGTGAGAAAAGAGCTACCTCTGAGAAACACTTGAGATAAAAGGATAAAAAATAGAAAATGGTAAAAGAAAAGAGTAAAACCTGATGGACTAAAACAAGAAAATAACATTAAATGAACAGATGAGAAAGAGCTCTTTACCATGTAAAAGGGGTAAAAGAAGTAAAAAAACCTCTATGACAGGAGTTAAGAAAAAGATGAAGACCAGAGATAGTTAATAAAATGACATGAAATGAACAATAAGAACTTTGATTAAAATGAGCATTTGCAACAAGAGAAATATAAAAAGGCAGTCAGTGAAAAGCCTGGTTAAAAAGGGGAGTCTTGAGTATAAAACATCCAACTCAAGCACAGTTATGGCCCTGAACCGTATGTTAGAACAAACCTTACAAGAAATCAAAGGTCTTTGTTGGCACAACTGAGAACAGGAAGCCTCCCCTTGAATCTTGAAATTGGCAGACTTAAAAATATTCCAGAAGATGACAGGCTGTGTGAATTATGTGAACTCAGTGAAGTGGAAAGTGAATCACATTTACTGTTATATTGCCCTTTGTATGCTGAACTGAGAGCTTCATCATTTACGGAAATGTGTGTTAAAAACCCAGAAATTTTCTGGTGCCCCGATGATGATAGAATGAACTGGTTGTTCAACTTTAATGTCTTTAAATTAGCTTATTTTGTCTCTAAAGCCTGTCTCTAAAACGTCAGGAGTGCTTATATGCTTAATTTGTTATGTCTGTTATCTGTCCGTCATCTTGTTGCTATTATATGTCCTGGGCACTTTCTGTGCATGACACAATAATAAAATAAATGAATGAATGAATAAAACAAATTTAAAATGATCTTTTTTGGTCTAAACACAATTCTAATCAAACTTATGGCAGACTAAATTCACTTTCAAGAGTGAAAAATGTTTTTATTTTCTTGGAAATAAATGTCTAACCCCTTCATCCATGTGCCTCTAACCTTCAGACTCCATGAATTGATGCCCATATCCTAAATATTTGGTGACATGATCAATTTCTTTTACCATTTCCAAGCAACAGGGGGTGGCTCAACTTACCCCACTCTCCCCTATGTTATCCAGAGGCACACAGCAAATTAAGGTTGTAATATTGAATTAAACTCATAACTTACAACTGTGATGGAGCTGGCTCAGGCAGTCCTTGTGTTCATCCTCCTCATCATCCATTTTGATGTGGAAAAACTGTCTCCAGCACTTAAGCTCTCTCCTGCCTCGAGTATCATCCGAGCTATGATTGTTTGCCATAACTCTTTGTCTTTTATTTTCTCACAAATCCTGCAAATATTTCAAAGTATCAGTAACGGTTTACCCTTATCTGTACTTGGGCCATTTTACAGAGTGGGTCTAAGGTCAGCATCCTTGATAATGAGCTTTAGGTAAGTCCAAAGACCAGTGAAGGCCTGTGTCTTAACTAATAAACAACTAAAGAGATATAGACTCTTAAATGGTTTAACTCTTACGAGTCATGAACAGCACGTTGATGACACAGCAATTTTATCGTACGTGTACCTGTGAGTAAACTAATACCTGTTAGTCCACCTGGTTTGTGAAAAATACATTTTTTTCCGGCCTACCGGAGCAACCGGTATTCATAATCTAACACACAAACAACGGAGGGTGGGCGCAATCTCTAAAGAAACCAATCAGAGCCCTTCAAGTGAAACGGAGCCGAAGCCGATTGGCTAATATCCATGCTCGTCATATATGAGTGTTTACTTACACTTCCGCATCGGCGTTGCACCCCACTGACGCTCTTTTGAAATCAAGCTTTGTGGACTGGGTTTAAAGATCTGATCACAGGTGTTAAAGTTAAACTACTGACAAAGTGATTTACAGAAAGATGCAGGCTTTAAGGTAAGATTAGGACCTGTGGAAATACTCGAGCCGTTTTAGGAAAAAAATAGTTTAAGATTAGTTTTACTCAAGTTACATAAAATAACTTTTTTCTCAAATTAGAGGCTGTATTATCACTTTAACAGTTATCTCTTACTGATATGAGAGTTTATTTGATTTTTTTAATAGATATTTGAACGAGTTTCTGCTTTGTCATTGATCTTTACACACCCCTTTAGCTGCTTGACTCACATATTTCTCAATATCCCAGAAATGTGTTCCGGGGTGCCTGGTCGTCTGCTGAGAAGCTGGATGGTAAAACTGTGATCATCACTGGAGCCAACACCGGGATTGGCAAAGAGACAGCCATAGACTTGGCTAAAAGAGGTTTGGGGCTAGATTCATGGTTTGGCTCAGTGTTTTTTGGAGTTTTATGGCTCAAAGTCACCCGAAACGCTCAGAAGAAATAATAAAAGTGTTTGATTTCCAGTTCCCTTAAAGCAAAGTTGACTTCTTTGATTCAGTTAACGGCCATCTAAGGGTCCAAAACCTCCAAAAGCATGTGTTTGACATGGAAAAAAAGACATATTTAACATGTTTAAACCAAAAGTAGGTTTATTTATGTATTTATCAGCTTGAAAAAAGCCAAAACTGATGAGTCAGTCATCATTTTTTTGCTTTATCATGATTACATGCATCATGAATACCACTGTTTGTTTTCTGGTTTCACAAGTCTTTAGTGGGAGGGGCAATATTTCTCACTATCATGATGATATAATTCTTCTATTTTTGTAATAATGACAAAGTGTCTCATAATGACGAATGAAACAAAAATCTGTCAGGCATTTCTGGATATTTACTTACAGGTTGGTTCAGTACATTACCTGAAGCTGAGCAAATCTTCTATACAACACAACAGCTTTTATTTACCTTTAATGCATTTTTATGGCGTCTTCTTTAACAAATATTTATCCAGCTTCCTTATGCTTATGTTAGTTTGGTAATCCCCCCATATTAAACTCAGTACTTTAATTTAGTCATGAGGGGGTGCTCTTTACCTTTTTTTTTTCATCCATGAATGAGTGAACACAAAACACCTGGATGTTTATTCAGATATTGCTGATGCTGTTTTACTTTAATACGGTTTTATTTATTTTTCATAGGGGCGAGGATCATCATGGCGTGCCGGAGCGCAGAGAGAGGACAGGCAGCTGTGACAGAAGTCATCGAGGGCTCAGGAAACCAGAATGTGGTTTACATGAAACTCGACTTGGCAGACAGCAAGTCGATCAGAGAGTTTGCTGAAGCCGTCAACAAAGGTTTGATGTGTTACTGAAAAAAAAACCTCACTTAAAAGGGTTTTTAAAGTGACTGTATTTCACCCCTTGCTGTTTGTTTTTAATTATTCTTATTTTCATAGATGAGCCAAAACTGAACATCCTCATTAACAACGCTGGAGTGATGGTTTGTCCTTATGGGAAGACAGCAGATGGATTTGAGATGCAGATTGGAGTCAATCACATGGGTACATAAAGCTTTGCCTAGTCTTACATTTCATTCTTTTAATATTTCTGTCCTATTTGACGGATTGAAATTTTATTTTGTTAAGTGAAACAGATTTGTAACTTTTACTTTTGACTTGAACTGACATTCATTGAGCCAGAGTGGCTCTGAGTCTGTTCTGCAGTGTACAGGCACTGATGTACCAAACACATCTTGATGTGGGAGCTATTCTGGCATCACAATTATTCACATACATTTACTGTCAGATAATATCCAGCAGTTCACTCAGACAAAGAATTACAAAGAAAAAGGCTGTTACTAAAAAAATATATATTTTTTTGCCAATAACATGTCGACTGAAGATCTACAGGACTTTGAAAACAGAACACACCCTGATACCTAAATGTAACCGTCACTAGAGGGCAGACATGTTTTTCTTTCTCAATGCAGCAAGTGACTTTTATTTAGACTATTAATCCTAGTTGATCTTTTTTGTTGCCTCAATAAAACCAAACTGCATTTTTAATAGATTTATACAACAGGTTGTTGGATAAAATAAGTCCATTGTTTTGGATGTCACTCTGCTTTTTGTAAGTAACGTATTTAAATCCAAACAAAATGTGACTGTATCTAGACTTGTAACTATAATAGCTCTAAATGAGAGTAGTAATATATCTCAAAATATAGTTTTTCGTGGGTTTTTGTTTTGTTTTTTTGTTGTTTTTTTGTTGTTTTGTTTTTTGCCCCACTTCACATCTGGTGGGATAAGAGCTCAGTATATCAGAATTATTTCCCCACTTGAGTTTGCAGACCAAAGTTAAAAGACATTTTAAAGTTTTTCTTTAAATCACACTTAATTGTTCTCCTAGTTTTATTTTTTTTAAAATAGTTTCTTTCATTTTAAGATGATATTTCAAAAAGAAATTTGTTTATTTTTCCTCAGGTCACTTCCTGTTGACGTATCTGTTGATTGACCTGATCAAAAAATCTGCACCGGCCAGGATCATCAATGTGTCCTCCATGGCTCACAGCTGGGGCTCCATCAAACTGGACGACATCAACAGTGAGAAGAGTTACGACAAGAAAGCGGCGTACTCTCAGAGCAAGCTGGCCAATGTCCTCTTCACCCGCTCATTGGCCAAGAGACTTGATGGTAAATTTTATACCTTTATCTCTGTCATTTCTGCTTGTTAGTTCAGACAGATGTTTTTTTTTATGTTGTACAGAGGCAGTAATCTGTATCTACTTGCCTTTCAGGCACAGGTGTGACAGCGTATTCCCTCCATCCTGGAGTCGTCCAGACAGATTTGTGGCGCCACCTGAACGGCCCTCAGCAGTTCATCATGAAGATGGTCAGTCCGTTCACCAAAAACTCAACTCAGGGAGCTCAGACGTCCATTTACTGTGCAGTGGAGCCGTCACTGGAGAAAGAGAGCGGTGGATACTACAGGTACACCAAACATTTACACATCAAACATCATTTGATATCATTGAGGAAGTCCAAAAACAAGTACCACTGACTCATTAATGACTTAGTAATTGGGTTTAATCAGTTACAATCACTGTCCTTGTGTGCAATAAGGATATTGACGTTGACATTGACCTACTTACCTTTTCATTTCCTTGAGGGAACCTTTCCAAAAGGATCAATGAAGTTGTATGTAATCTAACCTACAGCAGTAAAACTTTTAGAGGTGATACCTGTACAAGATTTATGGTGGTATTGGTCTAGACTTATTCTAGTACCAACTGGCCACAGTTTCTAGGGCTCTGAAATAACTGCTGAATGTCTCAGTTGTGTAATCCAGGTCCATGTGTGGGTTTTCAGTTGGGTTGTGACAGCCTCCATCTTATGAAACTTAAACATGGAAGGAACTTGTGAAAGGGGGTTATGGTGGCAGTTTTAGGAACTCTCATCAAACATCAAAAAACTCATCGTGGGAGCTTTAAGTTCAGCTGAATTTAAAATTATATTTTAAATAGTAAGGACATCTACTGATGGAGAACCTGGACCCATAAACTCTCTGATTCTGTGTTTGTTTGCAGCGACTGTGCTCCAGCTAACTGCTCAGCAGCTGGAAAAGACGACGTTCTGGCGGAGAAGTTGTGGGAGCTGAGCTGCAGGATGCTGTCGATAACGTGGGAATGAGGCAGCATTGATTTAATAAACAATTCTTTACTCAACTACCTGTTATATTTCTTGTATGTGTTTATTTTTATTTTTCAAGAAATGCTGTGGACTATTTACACTAACAACATCTTAATAAGTATACTGTATACAGTGTTCTGTTTAAGATATTATCACTTTGTCATAAACTTTTCTGTTTTCTAACAACTCTCCTGATGGTATTTAAATCAAAGTGAAAAATAACTCAAAAAATGAGTTAGACAGAATTATAAGTTTGTAATATTTCATATATTTTTCTGTATGTTCGGACAATAAACTACTTTATACAATTGCCTTGTGTTGTTCTTCTTCATCAGTATGAGTTTTATTTCAATGAACCATCAATAAAAAGTCCCTAAAATACAACTTTGTCAACTCGGTAACTGCTACCTGAATTATTAAATGTAGATGTATTTAGTACCAGCTGCGCCTTCACAAGAGGCAGTGACTGATTTTTGATAGAGGAATAGAAACAGCCAATAGACCTAAGTGCCAGTGTATGATAGCAGTTGGTTAAGGCAGTTAAATAAAACCATGCCTTGTTCTGGTTCTGGCTAAAATACTGACCTACTAAACTTCAACCCATGTTATAAAAATAGTTTGGATGTTGTATAAAATGTTAAAACTTAAAGTAGTTTTAACATTTTTTCAGTACAACTAAATTTGAGGGTTCAGTTCAGCCCTATATCAAAGAGACAGTAGTGCCACGGCAACGTATCTGATGTTGAAACTGTCAATGTAATTGTACAATAAAAAAATCAGGGTCAGTTTCAGATTCATGCTAGTAAAAATTTATTACATTATGAACCAAATTATGAGGTCAAGAGCTCAATGGTCCCAAGGATGTGAGGCTATATAACTATAATTTAAAGTAATCACAGTACTTTTGTGTGGATCTGAAATCTTTTAGTGGGCATGAAATGTGTCATATGTGTCATTACTTAATGAAGTTGTGTGGTTCCATTAAAAAAGTTTCTAATGTAAATCTTCTTAAACCTGCTTTTGTTCTTCAAGAGTCTGTAATAGAGAAAAGCTGCACCCACCTCATCAGTAAGAAAGAAACTGAAACTAAGTCTTTTAATATACAAGCAGCAATAAATGTGTGCACTGAAGTCCTTCATCTCCATGGTCACGTATACAATAATCATTAATCTTTAATTAACATTTAGGAGCTGACTATAAGAACCACAAACAATGTCCTGCAGTGATACCATCTCTGAGGGCAGTTGTAGAGTAAAGATATGCTGAGGCAGGACAGAACTGGACTACTTACAGGACTTTAAAACAGTGTTTGACATGTTTTTTCTGGATAAGATTTTTGCATGAGAGGATAAAAGTAAAAGAGGTTAAGGTTTACAGTATTGTTTCCTTTTAGTGATGATTAGTTAGGATGGAAAAACCTGAAGATGGTATTGCTGTGGTTGGCATCGGGTGCAATTTTCCTGGAGGTAAGTTCAAAGACTTTGGGAAGCAAGTTTTGTTTCCCCGATAACTTCTGTTATCTGTACTATTACCTTATTTGCCTGGAACCAAAGTTGCTGAGAAAATGAAAAATTTGATTCCAAAAACAACCACTGTTTATGTTTGGAAATCAAGAGACTGGTGATATTATAAATGCTAAATAAATAAATCTATTGAGCCTTTTTCAGACAACTCTTCTATTTGCAGCTCTTTGACTGAATGCATGGTTTCTCTTTCTTATCAGGAGAGGGGCTCGACAGTTTCTGGAAGGTTCTAGTGGAAGGGAAAAACTGTTCTGTACAAATTCCAAGAGACAGATTTGACTTGACCAGCTGGTATGACCCTGATGACACAAAATCAGGCAAATCCCGCACAGCCAAGGCTGCTCTAATCGATGGGTATGATCTTTAAACCTTACTACCAGTTTGTTCATTGTCACGTTAAAAACAATGCAAGTTTTGGTATTGATCCAAGGGTTTTGATTCTTCATAGGTTCAATGAATTTGACCACAAGTTCTTCGGCATCAGTGATAGTGAAGTGGAACAAATGGACCCCCAACAAAAGCAGCTCCTTCAGTGTGTCTACAGAGCTCTTGAAAATGCTGGGATTCCCATGGAGAAGGCCAGTGGGACCAGGACAGGGGTCTTCATAGGTAAGTCAGTAAAATGTGAGGAAATCACTCTCCAGTTTCTCCCTTTTTTTTTTCTTCTGTCTTTTCTCTATTTCTCGGAATTTCCCTTACCATATTATCCTCATGTTGTATTGTTTACATTATAGGCATGATGAACAGAGATTATGAGACAAATGCTGCACATGTGCATCCAAATGTGATCAACCACTGGACCAGCACAGGGCTCGCCATGAGCATTGCGGCAAATAGGGTCTCATACATCTTCAATTTCACTGGGCCATCACTGTCCATAGACTGTGCCTGCTCATCATCTCTTGTGGCGCTTCACCTTGCCTGTCAGTCCATTAAACAAGGTCTGTAAGCTGACTTAAAATCAATGCCAATTATAAGACCAGCCTGTAATGTGACTGATAGAGAGCCATTCCTGAGCATTTTGATCACAACTCTTGTAGACAAGGGAGACCCATTTAAGTAAGAACAAGGGAGGAAAAAGAATTTTGCATATGTTATAAAAAATGTGCTTTATTCTTAACAGATGACAGTGACATGGCTATTTGTGGAGGAGTCAACTGTATCATTGAGCCAAGAGTGTTTGTCGCTCTTAGCAAGGCCAAGATGATTTCACCTGAAGGGACCAGCAAACCCTTCTCCAGCAGAGCAGATGGATATGGCAGAGGAGAAGGGTGTGGGGTAGTTCTCCTAAAACCCCTAAACAAGGTCAGAAAATCAAAAAATGAATCAATTAGAGTCACTCAATATTGTGCAAACAAAGTACAAAGAAGTTGAATTACTTTGTAAAACTATACTTTTTCACAGGCCATACAAGACCGAGACCATATCTGGGGTATCATTAGCAAAACAGCCGTCAACCAAGATGGACACACAGTAACTCCAATCACTAAACCCTCCATGTCCCAACAAGAAGAACTCCTGCACAGGATCTACTCAGAGGCTGACATAGCAGATGTCCAGTACATTGAGGCACATGGGACTGGAACTCCAATTGGAGACCCAACAGAGGTAGGGAGCATCTCAAATGTCATTTCCAAAGCCAAACCTCCTGGTTCAGAGGTACTTCGGATTGGCTCTGTTAAGGGGAACATTGGTCACACAGAATCTGCTGCTGGAGTAGCAGGACTCATTAAGGTACTCTTGATGATGAAGCATGGGACCATTGTTCCCACTGTTTTCTTTTCTGAAGAGACTGCTAAGGTTGATGCCAAATCACTGAACATTAAGATTCCCAAAGAAGCAGAAAAGTGGGAGTCCTCCGGTACAAGAATTGCTGGAGTGAACAACTTTGGCTTTGGAGGTACAAATGCACATGCCATTGTCAAACAGCACAAACAATTAAGTGTCAAACTGAAGAATAATGCAAAACAGGCAAAGTTTTTTGTCTTGTCATCAAATTCAAAAAAATCTCTCACTCTGATGATGGAAGAAACCATTAGACAGCTAAGCACCAATGTTGATCTGGATTCATTGTTGTACACAGCAGCTTGCAAGAGGAGCCATCTCAGACACAAACACAGAAAGGCCTTTGTGGTTTCATCTATAGTTGATCTTCAAGAGAAGCTAAGAGCCACTATAAGCAAGCACGTAAGCCAAGCCTCCTCAGACCCAAGGTTAGTGTTTGTTTTTTGTGGAAATGGTGTCACTTACCAAGGGATGTGCAAACAGTTACTAAAGCATGAGCCTGTATTCAGGGATAAAGTCACAGAGATTTCACAACTTTTCCAGAGATTGAGCAGTCTGAATGTCTTGAACAGTCTTGAGAGTGAGTTTGATAGCAGTGACTCAACAGATCCAAATGTTGTCCAACCACTACTCTTTGCTATCCAAGTAGGGATTGCAAGCTTGCTCAGACACTGGGGTGTCAAACCAGATGCAATATTTGGGCACTCTGTAGGTGAGGTTGCAGCTGCTCACTGTTCTGGCCTCTTGTCTCTTGAGCATGCTGTGAAAGTTATTCATGTCCGCAGCTCTCTCCAAAGCAAAGTCACTGGGGGGAAGATGCTTGTGATCAGCAACATGGCTGTACCAAAGGTTAGTGCTCTTCTTCCAAAACACTCAGGCAGAATTTGCCTTGCTGCTCATAACAGCCCACAGTCCTGCACCCTGTCAGGCGATGGGGATGCAATTGAGAGCCTGCATGAGGAGCTAAGCACCTCAGCCAACAGTCAAGATCTGTTCCTCCGCATACTAGATGTCCCTGCAGCTTACCACAGTCACATGATGGACCAAATTCTGACAGAAGTTGAGGAAGCTATTGGAACCTTACAGGTGAATGGCCTTGACACAGAGTTGTTCTCAACAGTGACAGGCAAAGAAGTGCAACAGGGTGATTTCTGCACTGGGAGATACTGGGCAAGAAACATTCGTGAGCCAGTTGTTTTTGAGCAGACAGTAAGGTCAGTCACAAAAGGGAAGAAAAATACAATCTTTGTGGAGATAGGGCCAAGAAAGGCTCTGCAGAGAAACATACAGGAAACTTTAGGCAATGACACAGCTGTTCTTGCATCTGTGCAGCCAGAGAAAGATCATGAGACTTTGATGTCTGTTGTTTCTAGGCTCTTCGAACTTGGTGCCCATGTGAATTGGGACACTTGCTACAGTGGATCAGAGACAGTGCCTCTCCCAATTCCAAGGTACCAGTTTGATTGCTCCAACCAAGATGTTATCATTGGTGCAGCACAGAAGACCATGAATAAGCATCCTGTGCTCTTTCAGACAGACAGTGAAAGCAGTGTTTTCAGCTGTGATTTGATGTCTGAATCCTCTTTCTATCTGAAAGAACACAAGCACAACAATATACCTATCATTCCTGGTGCCTTCTATGCTGAACTGGGTTTGGCTGCATTTATGGCTAGTGCCAAACCACAAGTACCACTAAGCTCACTACAACTCAGTGTCAACTTTCACAGTCCTTTTCTGTTAACACAGAAATCACCGGAAATGAAAGTGCAACTACAACAAACAGAGACAGGAACCAGGTTCACTGTGCTCTCCCCATCTGCAAAGTATGCATCAGGTGTAGTGTTTTCAAAGAAAGAGAGGCTGATTGAGGAGCAGTGCATTTCACTTGATCCCATCATCAAAAGGTGCAAATCCATAGTGAGTACTCAGGAGTTCTATCGGTACCTCTCTCAAGGTGGTTTTCAGTATGGAGAGGTCTTCCAAAATAAGGGGAATGTGCATTATGGTGAAGATCTTCAGGAAGCTTTTGCGGTTGTCACAGTTCCAGAAGAAATCCGGTCTCAGTTACATGACTACTGCATACATCCTGTTGTACTGGATTATCTGATGCAGCTTCTTCCAGTGACAGTAGGTCACATTTTTGGCGATAGACCAGGATTTCCTGCCAAAATAGGAAGCTTGACAGTATGTGAACCTTTGCAAGATGAGATGATTGTCTATCTAAAAGCAACTGATGTGGGAGTTGATCACTTAGAGATCTGTGGCTGTTTGGCTGATAAAAAAGGCAGAGTGTTGGTTGAGGTCAAGCATGCCTCAATCAAATACCTTGGCAATGGCTCTCATGTGGTTGAGGAGTATTTCTATCACAATGCCTTTAGTGCTCTTCCAGAAGGCATCACATCTGCTCGTCCTCCAAGAGCACTGGTCTTCAGTGACCAGATAGGGATCTCTAATGGTCTCCAACAGTATTTGGATTTGAGGTCAAGATACATTTCTTGCTCACATGCAAAAGATTTCTTGAGACAAGGGTTTTCATCTTTCTTGACAAGTCTTAACATCACAGATATTGGAGGAAATTTTGATGAGGTCTTATTTTTGTGGGGTAAAGAAGATCTTACTTCAAAATCAAGTAATGTTGTCCTTCAGAATTTGGTCGACTGCTGTGAGATTTTTCGCCAAATAGTCCTTGAGCTGAAGGAAAACCACTTTCCAAACTCCATCAGAACAATCACCTACTGCTCATCTGACCTAACAGTGGACCACATAAGTCCAGGTTTTGCACTTGCTGGTATGACAAGATCATTTGCTGCAGAGATACCAGATCTTGCATTTCAGTTGATTGATGTGCACACTAGCTTTCCCAAAGACATTGAAGCCCTCTCTAAGGTTATTAGGTCTTGTCCTTGCAGCAAGTACCCAGAGTTGGTTGTTAAGGATGGGTTGATTCTGAGACCCTCTATTGTGCATACATCACCTGGAATCATTGACAACTCAAGAGGTAGTTTTACCTCTAACATGTCAGAGCTTTACATCCTCCAAACAGCTGATGCACATGAAATGGCTGAATTAAAGTCCATCCACTTTGAGGAGAAGACCCAGCCAATCAATGATACGTCTGTTGAAATTCAGCCCTTGAAAATATGTGTCCATACATCTGACTACTTCCCTGTGAGTGATTCACACCTGAGATTTGGCCAGACACTGTACTGGAGCAAACACTCAACACAGAACCACAAGCTATTAGCTCTTGACTTCAGTGGTACTATCACAGCAGTTGGGAAAAATGTCAGGAAATTGAAAGTGGGAGGCCATGTTGCTACCTGTTATCCTGTGGTGGCCGCCAGAAAAGTCAGAGTTCCAGAGAGTGTCTGCTACAAGACCAAGTGGCTCCCATTCCTTCAAAAGCAACCCTGTGTTTCCTACTTTGTGTTAGCATGGGAGATCCTTCATGTAGCCTTGCCCAGAGCCAGACAGAGTCTTGGAATCATATCCTCCACATCTGATTCAGCTCTGGTCAAAGTCTTGGCACTCACCTCCTTGGAGTCTGGCTGGAAAGTGATTGTTGGCACACAGTGCAGTGCCACTTTTGTAGACATCAAACAAATTGATGCATTTGTCATCCTACCCCCTTTTGATGAATCTCTGATTCTCAAAGTTTGCAACTTACCAAGTGTCAAAAATGTTGTCTTCGTTTGTGGTTTGCTGACACAGAGTTTGCTTGTTCAGGATATGCTCCACAGTATGAAGGAAGGTGTTCGGGTGCAGACAATCCAGATGCCACTTATTTTGCAAAAGGGATCCCTGAGTGCACGAAGTCCACACATTTACCAGTGGTTGAAGTCCATGAACTTGAGCAGTAAATTTGCGCCTCAGAGCTACAACTTCCAGAGTGTAAAATCTGGAAGTACCAATAGTCTTGACATGGAGAAACCACAATCATACTTCAGCTCAAAAAAGGTGGCTGTTATTTCTTTAGCAGATGATGTAAGTAGTCCATGGTCTGACTTTCCAATGCTGCCAACAAAGAGACAGCTTTTCCAAAAGGAAGCACTCTACATAGTGGCAGGCGGTCTTTCTGGCCTGGGCTTTGAAACTGTCAAGTTCATCTCACAGAGAGGAGGTGGGTATGTTCTCATACTCTCCAGGAGCAAACCCACATCAGACGTACAGCAACAGATACACAATATAGAGAAACAGTGTGGAAACTGTATCTCTGCAATGGAATGTGACATATCTGTGTCTGAGAGTGTAAACAAAGCTATCACTGTCATCACCCACAAGTTCCCTAGTTGTCCAATCAGAGGGGTGTTTCACAGCGCAGTTGTCTTACACGATGGGCTCATTGAGACCCTTGACAGATCTCTTTATGAGAAGGTTCTAAAACCCAAAGTCAATGGTGCATTGAACTTGCATTATGCAACACAGCACTGTCAGTTAGATTACTTTGTGTGCTACTCCTCCATCTCAGCTTTTCTGGGAAATGCAGCCCAGACAAACTATGCAGCTGCCAACACATTCCTCGATATGTTCTGTCAGTACCGGCGCAAACTAAGGCTCCCTGGGCAGTCAATCAACTGGGGTGCTCTGAACCTTGGTCTCCTCTTGAACAAGCAACATTTCCAGCGGTTTCTTGAGACAAAAGGGATGATGGTGTTGGATGTAGCTGAGATTCACCAAAGTCTGGAGCAATGTCTTTTGCTCAATCGTCCCCAACAAGCTGTATGTAGGTTTCATTTCAGAAACATCAGGTACAACATCCTCTCTCAAAATGCAGCCTTGACCATGCGTCTATCAGCACTGGTGGAGGAGGCTTTCCAAAAATCTAGAGAGATGAGTTCTCAATCAAGACCAACTGAAATTGTTTCTCCAAGAGAGTATCTTGTCTCACTGCTTTGTGAGACTTCCGGCATGGATAAAAGTGAGCTGAAAGATGAATCCCTTCTTTCGACTTTAGGCATTGACTCAATGCAAGCCATGACTCTGCAAAATACCATCTTTCAGGAGAGAGGTGTGAATGTTCCTTTGGTGAAGTTATTGGACCCAAATGCCACCTTGTCAGCAGTCGTAGCAATACTAAGTAAAGAAAGTGAAAATCTTTGTGCCAGTGAAAACTCTTTTTCAGTTCAAGAAATAGAAGATTTTTCTACAAGACTGTAAAATGTAGGAATGTCTGACTCTCTGACTTTCAGCATAAACATTGAGTAGACTCTATGAACTAAGAAACCTTCTGTCCATGCCACTTGTTTTTACTGCCTATTATTTCTCTTTTTTGCGGTGATTCACAAATTTTGGGGTTTTTTTCCAAGTTTTTTTGTTGTTGTTTTTTTTATGGTTGTAACCATGCGCAATGTTTTTAATTTTGAAAGAAATTTTGAATGTTTTTAATTTGTTCTTTGTCTTTTCCTAAAAAAAATGTTCATGTTCAAAATGTTTGTAAATGTTCTCCATGAAATTGTTAATGAAGCCAGCATTAAGTTCATGGTACTATAATTCTACTTAATTAAAATTATTATTGTATGTTTTTAAGTACTAGTATGATTATTTAAGAAAAATCTGTTTTCAAAACTTGTCTATAACTTTGACTTGGGTCATAAGGTGCAATATTTACATCAACTTTTATTTCTAAATTGCTTTGTACTACACATCTTACATGTTTTTACCTCCCTTTCCAATGATGGTGATTACAAAACATGTGATGTTTTCTTCTACCTGTAAATGTTCACCTGGGAGCATTTTTGATTTCTTAGCCATTTTGTGTTCATACCACTAATTTATCTTATTTTTTTAATGAGGAAACTGTTTACTTTAAGCACCAGATGGAAATAAAATGAAATAAAAACAGATAATATAGCATGTTGATGTTTAATGCAGTTCGATTGATTAAATGTGTCTACAATGTCTCCCACTGACCAAAACATTATTTGGTTTTATGTCTTCTTTGAGTTTTGTTGGTGCTATTTTAACTCAGAGTACTGATGTCACTCTTCATAGTTAAACTTTCTTGTACCAATTACGACTTATCTGTTTTTTTTTTGTTTGTTTGTTTGTTTTTTTCAAATAAATATTTTTGACACAATAAAACAGGTCTCTTATTGATGTGCATTTTGCTTTCATGGATTTATCTACAATATTTTTTCACAAAAGCTTACACAATTGCCATTTAATGTCACACCCTCAATATTTAATGTGATTTTTGCTCGTGCTGCCTCATCCCACATCAAGAAATTGTCTTTCCTTTAATAATAAGGATTTCAAGATTTTATAGTACAGTCTCAAAAATATTATTTCTATTTACAAATCCAGAATTTTGTGGGAATAGGTGCAACAAGAATACAAAGCCAGTTTTCTGTATAAACCTTGGACATGTACACCTTTAAGCTCTGAATGTTATAAAAGAAATAGAAAGACAGCTGGGAGCAGATGTTTTTGTCTTTTCAATGTGTTCAGACCTGAAGCCTTGCTCTTTAAACTAACTGACATAAAACTTTCAGGTCTGCCTCGGTCAGTATGGAGCTCAAGGAAATCTGCTCCGGCAGACCCACAAACAGACCACCTACAACACACATAAAGAGGCTGAGTACGACTCGACAATTTTAGAGTGTCTGAGCAAGATTCTGTGTCAGTGAGGACGTCCCTCAACTTGCGCACAGACACCTTCAGTGCTGATAGCCGGGCGCTGTGCCTGAGAGAAAAGACATTTGATTATGATGTACACACCTGAAATTGTCTGATCTGTTTGTGTGTGTGTGTGCGCCCCATATACATATATATATATATATATATATATATGGCTGTTTCCCAAATGAATCACTCCACCCCTAACCCCTAACCCCCATATGGAGTTTCACTGAATAGCTTACCATATAATGAGCTCAATCACTGGAGGTTTCAGACACTACATGGCAAGATGCAATGCATCTTCGGACACAGCCAGCGACTCTCCCGCCGATCGCGTACAATGCTACTGCACAAGTGGTGGATTGCAAACAACACCACTGCGCAATGTTGGTTTCAGGAAATGGAGAAAAAAACCGCGGAATTACGGAGAGTGTTTCGGCTTCAAAACCGTAAAATGGCGGAAGGCGAAACCAAGTCGTCAATAGTATACACTGATTCGGCGAAATGACCGGAAGTAGTACGGTCGCCATTACTGCGGTGTGTGCGAAGCGAACGAGAAGCAGTGCTGTAAGCAGCGAGCAGCGACACAAGCATCCCTGCACAACTATGTCAAGACAGTCTAGGAGGATGAGTGCCGTTGTTATAACAACAGTAAAAGACTACAGTTGTGGAAAAAGTCAATATTTTATTCTATCAACTTTGACTTGGCTGAGCTAATGTAACATCCATTCAGTTCTTAGGTCTGCGCGATCCCATGCCTCGCATTTAGACTTTGGCAGGCATGCATTTCTCTGCATAACACTGATAGCCCACAAAACAAATATTTAATTCCTACATTAATTTTTAATCACGTAGGCTTGTACATAATGATTAAGTGCCGGTTAGCTTGCAAGGGTCAGTATAAATGTAGCCTAGCCAGTGTTTACACACACATTTCCTCCTACTTCAGTATTTTACAATGAAATACTTCATACTTTTCATCTCATCAATTCCCAAATTAATATTGGTATTAATTTAAGATACCTTCATCAGTAACCGGAGGCCACTGTCTGACATCGTCAAACCAGGTGAATTTACTAATGCTGTCGATGATGCTCTCAGACACTATTTACTAGCATATGTTTATTTGTTGATAGCATGACAACTTCATGACGTCGCACACCGCAGCAATGGCGCCGCCACAAGATGGCGGTGTACACAAACCGCTCACCCGAATCGGTGTATATACAGTGTATGATCCAGGTAGAAGAAAAAATAGGACCTGTGAGATAGCGCAGTGTAAAAATTTAGATTTACTGCATTTGTAACATGATAGAAGTGTGTGTAAGTGTGTGTGAACGGCTTTATGATGTGGGCTAGACACAGGATTTGGGGCACGTACCCTCTCAGTGGTTCTGACGTACAGGAAGCAGGATGTGGTTTTGAGGCAAAAGTGAAAGTAAAATGATCAGAAATTTTAAGTTGTTCAAACAGCTACTGTTTCGATGAAGTCTCTTAAACTTCTTACATGGGAAGAAGAAGACACCATATCGTCCTGGTCTCTATGGTCCCGGTGAGTCTGAGGGGAAAGAGCAGAGTAACGATAGTACCGAAGATCTTTTTGTTACGCACTCGACAGAGATATAAAGTAGAGCAGTTACGTTGAACTTTAACTAAGTTCTGGAAAATAAAGGTACACGTTTGTAGTGGTGTTTTAATGAGTCGTGCTGCTTTGTGGCTTTTTTTCTTTCTTTTCTTGTGTTTCTGATGACTGACAGTTCAGGGAAGTTTGTGAAGGTATTCGCAGGTTTGGCATTTCCGGGTTAGTCACTCATCAACGGTAAACGGCCTTCAGACAAATAAGCTCTTTTTAAACAAATTGAGATTGATTTTAAACTACTACCAGGTTTTCATCCGTACGAGACATCATCTGAGCTGTAGGGGAGAGTGGGATAAGATGAGCCATTTGTCATATTTCTGATCACTACATCAAGACAATCATAGTTTGGTCTCTAACTAGTGTATCCGTATATATTTCAGGATGTTGTTCCTCCCTGCAAACCAACAGAATGAGTGTAAACATAACTGTCTTGATAATATAGCATGCCAAAAAAAAGTGTTCTCCTATGGTTTAACTTACCCTGTGTATGGGTTAAGTTAAACCATAGGAGTGGGGTAAGTTGAGCCGTATCCCTACTAGTAAGTAAGTAGTAAGTAAGTAAACTTTATTTGTATAGCACTTTTCACTGACAAAAGAGTCACAAAATGCTTCACATAGACAAAAAATAAAAAGATGTACATACAAATTAAAAGGCCAAAACAACATTTAAACAGTCATAGTAGCCCCAAAAACAATTAAACAAATGCCTGAGCAAGTAAGTTTTGAGTTGGCTTTTAAAAGAGTCAACAGAATCAATTAAGCGCAGAGAGAGAGGAAGATCATTCACAAATATAGGATACCCTATAACACTAACTTACCCCACTCTGCCCTACATTTAGCGTCTGTACGGGGCTCTGATGCGCAGGGACTGTGCAGGGTGCCACACTGGAAAAGGACTTTGGTGAGTGTTCAAAACGTCCCCAGAAAAAATGTTAGAGTCAATAAAAACAGTCTAACCTTGCTGTCGCATTGTAGTATAAAAAGTATTAAATTTTTTAGGCATTTCTTTCTGTCCTTAAATGATTAATTAGGGCACAATAAAGAGCTGTCGTATAACCGAACTCTCTCAACACTCAAATGTCCCAGTATCCGTCTGCATTTGATTAAGGGACTATTCAGAACATTTTTAGGTATATTGCCACTGTGTTCATCCAGACTTTTCTTGTTTTCTGCAGACAGTGAGAATGCTGCGTCAAGATAGACATAGAAGTATGCAACACGTGGCCATAAAGGACCAGTTTTCAGGTATTGATCTTGAAATCTTCAAACAGAGTTGTGGTTTAATGTCATGTTGTATGTTTATTTCCAATAACTTTAAATTGTTCAGACACTACTGTAACAGCATCAGTAACTCAAGCAGGTTTGAGGTGACTGATATCAAATTTAATACACCAGAGGCTGAATGATGTCTGTATTTTGGTCTCTATTTACATACATGGTCTTTTGTTCTCTAGGTCTCTGAAGGAGAACAGACAGTATCAAGCACACATGGCGTGTACATCACAGACTGCCTTTGATTACGTTTGGTCTGCCAGGATTCACCTGGTGGGAGAATTAAAGAATCTTCCAGTGATTCTGGAGAACTTGTATCAGCAAAAGGTTTTCAATGATGAAGAGGTCTGTGAGATAGAAACAGAGAGAAATGACTATGATAAAACCAGGGCAATACTGGACCGAGTCATAAAGAAAGGGGAAGCAGCCTGTGAAGTTTTACTCAGGATTATTGACATGACCAGGATGAGGACTTTAGAGAGAATATTTTCTTTCTCTGAGAAAACAACTGGATCCTCTAGTGAGCCCAAACAGTTTGACCTGCACCACTGGATCAGCTGCTTTCCTTTCAAAGAAGATACACAGATATATGGAGGCTGTTCACAAGGTATTTTTGAACTAAATTCTGATCGATATTGACTTGTTTGTTTACTCTATGTGATGCACATTAACGTGTGTATGCACAAACCGAATACAAGGTCACATCACTTCACCGGGTACTTATCTCTCATTGTTGTTTCTGTTGTAGGTCCAAGACCATGCCACATATATCAGGAGAAGTTGATGGAAAAAGCGCAAAAAAAGGTTGATGAATTTTGGATGAGAAACCAAAAACTGCTCAGCGTCAACCGCAAGTCTGATCTATCGTACAGCCCGCTGGTTTTGGACACACAAGGAAGTGGATCAGCATCCAAAATCAAGAAATTTAAGATAAAAAAAAGCAAGATGAGCCGCCCTAAAAAGCTCAGGACGTACATACCTGAAGACAAATCCAAAGTATCTCCAAGTGACCTGCTGAAAACAAACAAAAACATCGTCTTGGTTGGTAAGCCTGGAATTGGAAAGACAGCTCTCTGTCATGAAATCCTGAAGCTCTGGGTAGAAAGAAAGAGCGAGAAGCTGGATTACATGTTTTACTTTGACATGAGAGAAACATCCCACATCACAGGTGTGATGAGCTTAGAGGAACTCCTCTTCAGTGTGTACTGTGAACCAGATGATGGCAAAGACAAGGTGTTGCAGGACATAAAGCGGTACTCAGACAACGTGACCGTGATTTTTGATGGAGTCACAGATCTGACCTGTTCAGTGGTCAAACGTATCGTTGATAGGGACCTTCTCCCTAACGCGAAAGTCATCATCGCCTGCAGACCAGATGATGAGGAAGATTTCTTCTCTGGAGACTTTCTCACAGTTGAAGTGAAAGGCTTTAGTGAACAGGCCATCAAATCATACCTCTTACCAATTCTTGGCGAGGAACACAAGAAGATTTTGTGTGACTTGGAGCTGTTGACCCTTTGTCATGTCCCGATGTATGCACTGATGGTGGCTGCTTGTCTTTTATGTAAGACACTTGAAGTCTTGCCTCGCAGCAAAACTGAAATATATATCATCATTGTCCGTTTTTGCCTTCAAGTGAGCAGCAATAAAACAAACAAGCACCTCGACTCCTTCATCCAAGAGAAGAAAAAGGAAATCCTTTCTTTGGCTGAGATTGCTTTTCATGCAACTGAAAGAAAAAGCGTAAGCTTGACCGACCTTCACTGTGAAGACCGCTGTGTCCTTTCCTTTCTGAAACCTCTTGTCGTCAAACTGGCTCCCACTAAAACAAAAACAACACATGCATTTCTCCATTACACAGTGCAGGAGTTTTTTGCAGCTGTGTGGCTCTTGAAGAACCCAAATGAAATTAAGGATGTTTTTCAGCAATGCCTCAAAGAGGAGAAGCAACACATGAAACACCTGATTCCTTTTATGTGTAGACTGCTGACTGAGAAGAGCCCCAGCTTGATGGAACACCTGATTCCTGCTCAGGAGTTAAAAAATACATCAAACTGGTTCTTCAAGGAATTGATAGACAGTGGGCTTGACGATGACATACTATCCTTGTGTGAGTGCATATACGAGTCACAGTGTCCTGAAGCAGGCATCTCCTTGTTGAAGAGACTGAACTACCATCTTGATCTCAGCGGTGAGAGTTTGGATTCCTATCTTTGCTGCGCTGTGGCCAATGTGGTTGCTCTGTCGAGGGAGAGGAAAGTGAGCCTGGACCTTGAGGGTGTCTCTGTGTCAGAACAAGGAGTGAGAAGTCTACTTGGCTGCCTTGATAATGTCCAATGGTATGGTTTAACATGTCACAATGCTGCTCAGTTTATGACATACAGAGGAAGATAAAATGAAATGAGCTGTGACTGTACTGAGCATAAATACATCGATGTTGAAATTGGATGAAAATGATCAGCTCTTTTTTTCCTCCTCTCTAATTATTCTTTGAATCACAGGAGTGACCCTCTGCCACAACAGCTGTGGAGGATCATCCTTCTCAGCGAGGAGCAGCGTGAAAGTGTCACTTTGCTCAGCCGTGATGGACATCAGTTGCACCTTCCAGTTCAGGGTGAAAGACAGCTGTTTGAAAGAGCAGTGAGTGTCATACAGAAGAATCCAATGAAAGTGAATGTTTGTCTTCACTGGGACAGTGGAGCAACTGCTGTCAGCCAAAGTCTGAGCATGTCTCTCCTGGACGCTCTGCACTACATCAAATCACTCAGGTCAGTAGCCTGAAACCAAAAAGTGTCATTTAAAAAGACAATCACTGAACGTGACATAAGAAATCAAATATTACAGTCAGTAATGACAAATTCTGTGTTATTTTTAATAATACAGCTTCAGTATTAACAACAAGGGTCCAGGACAACAGGACAAGGAGCAAAGCCATGAGATGTGGGAGGAGAAAAAAATGAAGCTGTTACTGGATTTATGCCTGAAAGCAGCGATTCACAGAGAACTGGACTTTCATGTAGTAAAAAAGCTGGCCACACTGTTTTCTGTTGACAATGTGCATCATCTTCTCCTTGATTTTCATCAGCATGTCAAGAGCACAGAGTGTTTCAGTGTCATTCCAAAACTGAAGGCACTTTATGAGTCTACTCCTTCAGTCTGGACCATAGACCTCTCTAAGAGAAAGACCTCCATCCTCCTGGAAGTGCTGAAACTCCAAACTGAGAAGAAACATGTGAAGCTGTGTGGCTGTCCAGGAGAAGAAGATGAAGTGAAGATTTTCCTTCAGTGTCTGCCCTTTATCTCACAGCTCAGGTAAATAAATCTACTTCCTTATATTTTCTTTTGTAAAGATCATTTTCTGACTGAAGCAGCTGGTTTTTATCCAGTTTATCCGTCTTTGTGTTCAACATTTAATCAAATATCTCAGATAGAAGTTCTTTCAGACAGTTTATAAACTGCTACAGAGGTTTGAAGGATTTTTGACTCCAAAAAAAACAACAAGATTATGAGTCACTTTGAATAAAACTGCCTAAATGAAAGAAGCAACATTTCCTGACCATCAAATCACTGTATTTATCCAGGAAAAGGAGACTAGTTTGAAGCAGCTAACATGGTGACAAATAAATTACATGGAAGAGCTCAAATACTGACAAAGATCAATAACTGTTATTGATGAATGATTTAAAAATATGATTTTTAATCATAGTTGAAACTTGAGTAAGTTAATAAACCAAAGCTTGAACTTGATGAAGTTGAGTTAGTTGAATCAAATGTTGAGAGATCAAAGTTGAACTCCAGTCCTCATGGTGTGAGATGATTGATTCTTTGGTTGTTTGGTGAAGGTTTGCTTTTGCTCCTCCTGCTGGTTGGTGAACTGTATCCCAGTAAATCAAACAGTCTCTCTCTTTTTTATTTTCAAAGTGGAGGAAACACCTTTGTGGACTGAATCCAGTCCTCAGGCTTTTTGTTGAGAGTTTCATTTGTGACACTTTGATCAAAATGATCTGGATCTTCTTCCATCCAAACTTGTAACTTCAGTTTTTCATTAGATCAGTTGAACTGTGTTCAGCTGGCCCACAGATATTTGTAGTTTTGGAGCAGATTAACCATCATGACATATTACTACTTTTCCTCCTCTGCATCATGTCATGATAAACTTTTGTCTCTTTTTTGTCAGTATCTATGAACTTTTGATTGTAATTGTCTTTGATTCATAGAAATCTGAATATCACTTCACAGAACCTGTCTATTTTTCTGCTGTGAGCGTGATGTCCTTACAAAGTTTTACAGTTTCAGTTGCAGTTTCCTTTACGGGTCTGGAGATAAAGTCAAGTTCTGTGGGAGTCTGTTCTGTGCAGCAGCAAGTGAGGAGAAACATCTGGAGCTGTTATTGTCAGTGTGCAGATATGAGACATTCCCCTTCAAAGACTGGGAGCGTTTTGGTGATTTTGAGTACAGCCAGTGTGGTTTCCTCCTGGATCTGTACTCCTACATTAAGGATTCTACAACCAACAAAGGCTTGAGTGTCCTCCCTTCAGTTCAGTCTGTTTTCCAGTCAACTCCTTCAGTCTGGTTCATAGACCTCTCTAAGAGAAAGACCTCCATCCTCCTGGAAGTGCTGAAACTCCAAACTGAGAAGAAACATGTGAAGCTGTTTGGCTGTTCAGTAGAAGAAGATGAAGTGAAGATTTTCCTTCAGTGTCTGCCCTTTATCTCACAGCTCAGGTAAATAAATCTACTTCCTTATATTTTCTTTTGTAAAGATCATTTTCAGACTGAAGCAGCTGGTTTTGATCCAGTTTATCCGTCTTTGTGTTCAACATTTAATCAAATATCTGAGATAGAAGTTCTTTCAGACAGTTTATAAACTGCTACAGAGGTTTGAAGGATTTTTGACTCCAAAAAAACAACAAGATTATGAGTCACTTTGAATAAAACTGCCTAAATGAAAGAAGCAACATTTCCTGACCATCAAATCACTGTATTTATCCAGGAAAAGGAGACTACTTTGAAGCAGCTAACATGGTGACAAATAAATTACATGGAAGAGCTCAAATACTGACAAAGATCAATAACTGTTATTGATGAATAATTTAAAAATATGATTTTTAATCATAGTTGAAACTTGAGTAAGTTAATAAACCAAAGCTTTAATTTGATGAAGTTGAGTTAGTTGAATCAAATGTTGAGAGATCAAAGTTGAACTCCAGTCCTCATGGTGTGAGATGATTGATTCTTTGGTTGTTTGGTGAAGGTTTGCTTTTGCTCCTCCTGCTGGTTGGTGAACTGTATCCCAGTAAATCAAACAGTCTCTCTCTTTTTTATTTTCAAAGTGGAAATCCTAACAAAGTTTTACAACTTTGGTTTCAGTTTCTGGTCTGAAGATGAAGTCAAGTTCTGTGGGAGTCTTTTCTGTGCAGCAGCAAGTGAGGAGAAACATCTGGAGCTGTTCTTGTCAGTGTGCAGATATCAGACATTCCCCTTCAAAGACAGGGAGGGTTTTGATGATTTTGAGTACAGCCAGTGTGATTTCCTCCTGGATCTGTACTCCTACATTAAGGAGTCTACAACCTACCAAGGCTTGAGTGTCCTCCCTTCAGTTCAGTCTGTTTTCCAGTCAACTCCTTCAGTCTGGACCATAGACCTCTCTAAGAGAAAGACCTCCATCCTCCTGGAAGTGCTGAAACTCCAAACTGAGAAGAAACATGTGAAGCTGTTTGGCTGTTCAGTAGAAGAAGATGAAGTGAAGATTTTCCTTCAGTGTCTGCCCTTTATCTCACAGCTCAGGTAAATAAATCTACTTCCTTATATTTTCTTTTGTAAAGATCATTTTCAGACTGAAGCAGCTGGTTTTGATCCAGTTTATCCGTCTTTGTGTTCAACATTTAATCAAATATCTGAGATAGAAGTTCTTTCAGACAGTTTATAAACTGCTACAGAGGTTTGAAGGATTTTTGACTCCAAAAAAAACAACAAGATTATGAGTCACTTTGAATAAAACTGCCTAAATGAAAGAAGCAACATTTCCTGACCATCAAATCACTGTATTTATCCAGGAAAAGGAGACTACTTTGAAGCAGCTAACATGGTGACAAATAAATTACATGGAAGAGCTCAAATACTGACAAAGATCAATAACTGTTATTGATGAATGATTTAAAAATATGATTTTTAATCATAGTTGAAACTTGAGTAAGTTAATAAACCAAAGCTTTAATTTGATGAAGTTGAGTTAGTTGAATCAAATGTTGAGAGATCAAAGTTGAACTCCAGTCCTCATGGTGTGAGATGATTGATTCTTTGGTTGTTTGGTGAAGGTTTGCTTTTGCTCCTCCTGCTGGTTGGTGAACTGTATCCCAGTAAATCAAACAGTCTCTCTCTTTTTTATTTTCAAAGTGGAAATCCTAACAAAGTTTTACAACTTTGGTTTCAGTTTCTGGTCTGGAGATGAAGTCAAGTTCTGTGGGAGTCTTTTCTGTGCAGCAGCAACTGAGGAGAAACATCTGGAGCTGTTATTGTCAGTGTGCAGATATCAGACATTCCCCTTTGAAGACAGGGAGGGTTTTGATGATTTTGAGTACAGCCAGTGTGGTTTCCTCCTGGATCTGTACTCCTACATTAAGGAGTCTACAACCTACCAAGGCTTGAGTGTCCTCCCTTCAGTTCAGTCTGTTTTCCAGTCAACTCCTTCAGTCTGGTCCATAAACCTCTCAGAGAGAAAGACCTCCATCCTCCTGGAACTGCTTAAACTCCAAACTGAGAAGAAACATGTGAAGCTGAAAGGTTATCCTGATGATGAGAGTAAAGTGAAGATGTTCCTTCAGTGCCTCCCCCTTATCTCACAGCTTAGGTAAATCTGTATCTATTTGATGTACTTGGGTTTCTAGAAAAAAATAAAAATAATGATAATAAATAAATAGTTGAAGTTTCTGTATATTCTGTGACATCTTTTTTCTTGTGCTGCTAAATCTTTCTGTCCTTTTTCAGCTGTGGTCCAGAGTTATTCCAGAGGGTCTGTACATCCATCTCACTCAGATCCAAACAGGAGGCTGAACAGGCGGCTTTACTGCTGCAGTTGCTTGGATTTAACCGTCAGTTAAAAGGAAAGCTGCTCAGTCAAACATGCCAGTCTGTAGGGCAAGTTCTTGGTCTTTGTGGTCCTAGTGTGGATCTCATCCTCACACCCCAACAAATATCAGTCGGAGACGCTTTACTTGTATTCAGACAAACAACAAAACTACGCAGTCTGAGGTTTGTATCAAACAATGACTTTGTCTTCAAACAATACCATATTGAATTTCCTCTTGAGGGATAAATAAAGTTCTTCTTATCTTATCTTCATCCACCCTAAATATCTTTATCATACCTCAGACTTTTTTTTTCAGACTTTCCACTGACATGGCCCTGATTCTTTCTCTGTGGGTAAAAAGAGGGAGAGTGGTCCCTCTGTCAGTTACTGATGAGCTCTCTCTTGTCTCTGAGACATTCCAACCTTCAGAGAGCGTATGGCTGAAGGTTGTCAGTAGTTTGGCATACCTGTTGAGACATTGGACAGTCAGACGTTTAGACCTGACAGAGTCCAGGATCCCTGCTCAGGCTCTGACTCCACTGCTGCTTCACAACGGCCCTCTGACAATCAAGTACAAGTTTTCCCGTATCTCTGAGTCATTTATTGATGTGATATGAAAAGTTCAATTATTGAATTATAATTGACTTTATTAAGATCTGCCCTCACTTTCTTTTTCAACAGACTGAATGAGAAGATTTCTGAGCCGCTACTTGACTTCCTCAGTGAAATTCAGGATGAGGATTTGACCAGGTCTTTCTTAAGTAAGGTCGATGGAGACCTGACCCCGTTTTCTCTGAACTGGGAGTTTCTGCATCTTCTCTTGCAGTCTTCATCTCAGACTTTGACTGTGAACATGAGGAAAAACAGCTTCCTACAGAGGAGCGTCACATGTCTGCTTCCTTTTCTGGACAGGGTTGTATTTGAAAGGTTGGTTTGTTTACTTTGATAAAAAGTTCATTCATATCATTAACCTCTGGGATTTCGTGGTTTGTCTTGAGAAAAAATTAGTTCAGACAAGGAAAAACAGATTGAGGCGACGGTTCACATTGGTTTCAGCTGTACAGTTAAAGAGTAAGAGTCCGTATCCTTGTCAGAGGAATTGCTCTCTTCATCTCTTAGTCAAAGTCTGCTGCCAGGATGGTCTGTGGAAAAACTTGTGTTCAATAGTCTGATTTGAATGCACCATCTTTCCTGTGGTGGATAATGTGAACCGTTAGTAATTTAAAGTGTGCGTTTAAAGGTGGAGCAAAGACTTAAAGGGATATTCCGGGGTAACATTTATTTAGGATCAAACACATCAAAACACTGAGTTAGACACCCTGTCGAGAGATGAATGTTGCCGACCGCTTGCTTCTCTAGTAATACCAACTTTAGTAACAACCGTATGATAGCAATACACAGCGGTCTCAACCAAACGCCACTCTATAGCCACAAATAATGTTCAGAACAGCACCTAACTTCATCAACAGTACATATAGGGTCCCAGCCACAGTACTAGCCACCAAACATCTTTTTAACTTTGCCTAATTTCTTTAGCAAAGAGACTAAACACAATTAACCCACTTTCTTCCAGCAGCCGCTTGTTTGTAGCTAGACCTCGGGCCAGTCCATTACAGACTACAGCGGGGTGACTCAGCTCAAGGAAGAACATTTAAGATCATTACTTTATCATTTCCTTGAAGTATAATCACTATATTAATCATTTTGCACTGCATACGTGGTAGTTATTCTGCCTTAGCGTCTCAGTCTCGGGCTGATTTTATTTCCAAATTATAAAGAAATGATCATAAATGTTTTTCCTTGAGCTGCGTCACCCCGCTGCAGTCCGTAATGGATTGGCCTGAGATCTCGCTACAAACAATCGGCTGCTGGAAGAGAGTAGGTGAGTTGTGTTTAGTCTCAGTTAAAAAGATGTTTAGTAGCTAGTGCTGTGACTGGGACCCTATATGTACTGTTGATGAAGTTAGGTGCTGTTCTGAGCATTATTTGTGGCTATAGAGTGGTGTTTTGGTTGAGACCACTGGCTCTTGGGACCGCTGTGTATTGCTATTGTGCGGTCGTTACTAAAGTTGGTATAACTAGAGAAGCAAGAGGTCGGCAACATTTATCTCTGGACGATGTGTCTTACTCGGTGTTACGTTGTGTTTGACCCTAAATTAATTCTATGCCGGAATATCCCTTTAATTAGGGTAAACACTTTTTTATGTGGACGGAGAGTCATATACATAACATGGTTTGGGTATATACACACTAAAGTTATAAGCCTTTACTTCTTCTAGCTTTGTTCATGAGTGCATTTAATGTTTGAATCCTTTGAATTGTTTCATAAATGAAACTCCTGCTAATATACTTTCAGGCCCTCTCCCAGCTTTGTGTTGACTGTCATGAGAGAGATCTACAAAACTCAAGCCAGTTCCAGTATACCTGGATTACTGAGGTCATGTGATGATGTGATCAACCTGACCTGCAAACAGATGGACTCGGAGGACTGTGCTGCTCTACTCTACACCCTCAAACACAGTGATGGAGTCAAGCTGAACCTCCTGTGGACCCTCATACCACCAGGAGAAATCAACTTGATCCTCTCTATGCTGGACAAAGTTTCTCACCTTAGGTCAGACATTAATGCAGATATGCATCTATTTTCTTTGTCAACAATGTGTTAGTGAACAAATTTTCCCGCAGTGTTGACAGGGAGCTGCTGCTGAAAATGTTGCACAGCTGTGCTGCCTCTGATGCTGTGGACGAGAGAGCTGCCAGTCTGCTGAGAGCTCTGCAGCACAGGTTGGATCTGTCGTGCTCCTCTCATGTGGAGATGTCAGAGGAGGGTCAGAGGGAAACTTTCTGTCTGGATGTTGCAGACTGTTGGGCCATCTCCACCGTCCTGGGGTACAACATCCAGGACACAGAACTCAATCTGCAGGACTGTGTGGTGGAGTCCAGTGGACTGAACCTGCTGCCATCTGTCCTAAACAGAGTCAAGCTCAGGTGGGGAACCAAAAAATAACCAAGACCATGGCTTTAGCTGAAACAGCTTTCTAGACCCATTTCACACTTTTAACACCCTGTTCTTTGATTTCATTTTCCTGCATAGAGCAAGCAAAGTTGTTGTCCTCCAGCTGATGTCTATATTGGTCGATGAGTTTTACCCAAGAAGTTGGGCAGAGTCCCTTCATAGAGCCCTGGGTGGAGATCTGGATCTCAGCCACACTGAACTGGACCAGAAGGCGTGTGAAGGTTTGGCCCTGATGCTGGACTTTGTTGAGGAGGTGACAGAGCTGGACCTCAGTCACTGCCAGCTAACTGACCAGCTGCTGTGCACACTGATCAAGTCTCTGCACAAAGTGCAAGTCATTGAGTGAGTTCATTAAAGAAACTATTATGTAATGCAATATCAGCTCGAGCAGTAGTGGGTGAGTGAGGCAGTAATGTAGAAATACAATACAAGGATGAATCATGCAAACAGATATCTTATCATGGTCTTTATCGTCTTTGGAGAAATATGTGAATAAGAGGTGAGGCAATTTTAGGTTCAAATGTTTATGAATTTTGTCAAAACTCTGATTTCTGATCGGTGCCGACTCTGTAAATACTCACAGACAGCAACAAAGATGAAGACGAAGACGGCACATTTACCTACAGAATCCTCCATAATGACATAACTGTTCAAACTGATTGTAGCTAGGAAGCTGCTCTGAAGGGAAAGCAGAGGAGCATGTAGGACTGCGGCTCTGCTCCCTGATCTCTATATCAAACTGATTGTAGCTAGGAAGCTGCTCTGAGGGGAGTAATGAGGAGCGTGTAAGACTGCGGCTCTGCTCTCTGATCTCTATATCAAACTGATTATAGCTAGGAAGCTGCTCTGAAGGGAGTGCAGAGGAGCGTTTAAGACTGCGGCTCTGCTCACTAGTCTCTGTATAAAAGTGATAGTGGCTGGGAAGCTACTGTAAAGGAGGCGCAGAGGAGCATGTAGGACTGCGACTCTGCTCCCTGATGTCCACTCTGAATTGTCAGTAGTTAGGACTAATAAATTTGGCCAGATTTCTAGATGGCTGCTCCATCTCGAGTGGGATGAATGCCGTCCCAACTAATCAGACCAGGCTTGCCCCAAAACGATTTCCAATTATTAATGAAGCCCATGCCGTTTTGCGGACACCACTTGAAAGCCAGTGGTTGTATGATGAGATACGGCTACACATCTAATCAGTTGTCTGATCGGGCAGGAGACCAGAGAAAACTACGTAGTCCGGCATGGTTTTGGCATATTCACATACCGATTCCACGTTCAATTTAGTGACTTCCAACAAGCGGTCAGCAACGTTCATCTCTCGATGTGTGTCTAACTCGGTGTTAAAGTGTGTTTGACCCTAACTTCCTTTAACGCCAGAATATCCCTTTAAGATGCAAATATTTGAACTGTGTTCACTAAAGGGGTGTTCAGACCAAACGCGACCAGGTCGCGTCGCGTCGCGTTGGTTGGTCACGTCGTGTCGCGTGGTGCCCTGGTGTGTTCACAGCAGATCTAAAGCTGCAGTCGCAGGTCACGGCTGGTCGCTGCTGACCTGCTTCTCCCACCTTCCTTCTCCCTCGTTTTCTCCCTCATATATACATCCCGCAGCCCCCTCCAGCGCTTGCGGCACACACACACGTTGAAACATGTAGCCTAGCAAGCAGGGGATGTTTGCTATGTTTTCAGAAAATAGTCTGCTCACTGAAATAAATAAACAAACGACCAGAAAGCCCAAAATCATGGGCCACCTTCGCCCATGCCTCCTCCTTGGAGGTGCGGTCCCGGTAAAACGCGCACCCCACGTTGTACAGGACCGGGTGATAACTCACGGCAGTGATAAACTACTCCTCCATTGTGATTCTTCTTCTCCTCCCCCTTGCTTCGCCGGTTTGTTATCGTCAGCAGAGCCCTGATTGGCTGTCGCGGCACGGAGTCGCAGATTGTCACTCCCAAAGTTCAAATATTTGAACTTTGGGAGCGACGCAACTTGGCATCCTGCGGCCTCGGCGACGCGACTTGGCGACCATGCGCGACCTGGTCGCCAAGTCGCGTCAGGTCGCGTCGCAGGCATCGGGTCGCGGTTGTCCATAGACTTTGCATTGGGAGCCGTTGCCGACGTCGCCGACGTCGCGTTTGGTCTGAACACCCCTTTACAATTCATCAAACCGTAGAGTCAGTGGAATTTGATAATAATAATTAAAAAACATCAGTTTAACATAGAAGGCTGGTAAAGTGAAGTATTTATCAGACTGAAAGGAAGAAAACTTGAACTTAATCTGTGATTGTTTTGTGCTTGTGACAAACCAACATAGCTCACACCAGCAGCAGGCTGAAATGATGTGTCACTTCTTTGTTTGTGTGTTTCACAGTCTGAGTCACAATAGGATCACTGGTGCATCAACGTCCATGTTGCTCGAACTGATCTCCAAAGACTCCTGTACTAAGACAGTGCGGTGAGCATGGATGAATTTTCCTTTATGCAGACATTTCAAATGATTTTCTTGCAGATCAACCACTGAACATTACAGCTCACTAAATTTACACTGGCACTCATTATTCTGGCTGAATGAGTGATGTCTGCTTTCCTGGTCTTGTCTCCTTTATTTTTCTAGACTCTTTGGGAATACCATGGTGGATCAAACACCTTTAAAGAAGAACAAGCAGTTTGAAATCTGGTGAACTAGATGTCACTGTGGTGGTAATGTGATGCTCCGAGGAAAAATGTTCTATAATCTCAGAATAATCTGTTGTTGATTAACATTCAGATATGAAAAGGATGTTTTATGGTGACTGATGCTTTAAAAAAATGCTCAATGAAAGAATAAAGTCCCATATTTTAAGAAAATACGAGTTCTGAAGAGCCAGGTTAAATATTCAAAACAGAAAAGGTACAATAATATAGAAAAATGAACTCAAAGAAAAAAATGTCATGTTGAACTATTTTTAACTTTTGTCTTCTTGTTTTTTCTATTTTTTTTTTAATCTGTATATGATTCTGTGAATTGTTTTTTACTTTAATAAATTTATTTTGCTAATACAAATAAACCATCAAATCTGTCTTTACTATAAGTAACAGCACTGCGATGTGTCCTTGTTATTTCAGATCCGGATTTTGTTTATTGATATTTTTTACTTTGTGATTCAAATTGATGAGAAGGTTGGAATAAGTGAAGAAATAACTACTTGTGTGTCTCGTCTCGTAATCCAATAGATGGGTTTCTGTGCAACGTCATCACAGGTATGCGCGTGCAGCCAGGGGGCAAAAAGCGGGACATTTCTTATTTGTTTACTAGTGGAGTCAACGGAGAAGGAAAATGACAAGCAGCTGTTGTGCTGTAAACTGCACAAAAGGCAAAAGGATGGATGGAAACTGTTTAACATCCCGAGGAGATCTCATCCTTTTGCTAAGAGAAGAAGAAGAAGGTTCTGGCTCTAGGCCATTAAAAGAGGGTCCTGAAGGTGCAGGTATCATAAGGTTTTGCCTTAACTCCCTGTCTCTGGCTGGGCAGAACACTTGCTCTCAAAGCGCGAAACCCTGAACTCGTGTCATAACATTTTAAATTTTGGACATGGCCACAAAGTACATAATTATACGCATCCAAAGATTTGTATGCACACAAACTGTCCTTTGTGTACACACTCAATTAGATGATTATATATGTCGGGCCATATTATAGCTGGCCATTTGGACATATCTGCAATCCATTCTATATCTCAATAAATCAAAATAAATATATTCTAATTTATAGCATACTTGAATAAATTGTGCAACAGAAGCCTGCAGATGACTATAAATGTGATTTATTGTTCTCACATTATATGAGGAACTGTGGTTTCAAACTATGTCCCTATAGTATTTTCCTGCTAATAAATCATATAAATCATTTAAGTATCCGGCACCTCGTTAAACTTGGATGTGCCCCTCTTGTACAAAGCCTATGGGTACAATACCTGCAAGAACCTTATTCTACTTTCATCCCTGCATATTTGTACAAAAAAATAACTCAAATTGTATGAACTGGTTGACTGAGAAGTATTTTCATCCAACTTCTTTTTTCAAACAACAGTGAAATGGTGCAGCCCCAAAGCAAAATAAATAAAAAGTAATTTTACACATTTACAACTTGATTCTTTATACAAGTCAGAGGCCTCTTTGCTACAAGACAATTATTTATCATTCATTACAATAGTTTCCAAAGTGCCCAGTGTGCTGTTGGGGTCCAGTATCCTAACTAAAGGTACATTCACACCTGTCTCTTGAAACAACTTATTCTGCAGAGTCATGGCCAACATTGAGTCAATACCCAGAGCACACAGAGCTGACTCATCATCCAGCTCATCTGCTCTTACATTACTGATGTCGCTGATTATTTTTCTCACACTTTCATGGGGGGAAAACGAACTCTGACACACAGATTCATTACATAAATCATCCTTCAGTTCAATTTCCACTAAAGCCGACAACCGCTTTCTGAGAGATTCATTCTGTGAAAGAACGTGAATCTTCAGATTTCTGAAGTTAAACATGCAAATAACTTGTTGTGGTTTGTTCATCAGGAGACATTTTTCAAGTGCCTCTTGAACATCACTCACATCCATTATCATCATCCCTTTGGCCTCCAGGAACTGTTGGAAATGGTCTTTGTTCAGCAAGAGACCGAGGTTCAAAGGACCCCAGTTAATGGACTGCCCGGCAAGTCCAAGGTTTCTCCGGTAATGACAGAACGTGTCGAGGAAAGAATTAGCTGCCGCATAGTTACATTGTGAAGCATTACCGATGAATGAGGAGATCGAGGAGTAGCACACGAAGAAATCCAGTTTGCAGTGAAGTGTTGAATAATGAAGGTTCAGAGCCCCGCTCACTTTGGGTTTCAGAACCTTCTGGAACAGGGTCTGATTGAGGGTTTCAATCAACCCATCATGCAAAACTGCAGCGCTATGAAACACGCCTTTGATTGGACAACAGGGGAATCTTTGTTCAATTTTTGAGATCACTCCTTCTACTTGCACCAACACAGAAACATCACATTGGAGATTGATGATTGTCACACCATATCGTCTTTGAAGGATTTCCATCTGGATCTGCAACTCATCAGACAAAGTTCTTCTGGACAGTGTTGCAATACAACCTCCACCATTGCTGGCAATGAACTTCACTGTTTCAAGTCCTAAGCCAGAGAGCCCTCCGGAGACAAGGTACACACAGCCTTTTTTGAAGAGTTGACCAGGCCTTTTAATCAAGATATCTGAATTTGGACAACCAGATTCCTTTAGTACAACTTGCTTCACCGTGTTTGTTGTGAAGTAGGATTTAGAATCTGCATCAGTCTGAGGCTCTTTTTCACTAACCAAATGGAAGATCTCTCTTTTAAGTGATAGGGATCTTGTATCAAAGCCCAGTGATGTGAGCCAGTTGGAGATATTCCTGGTTTGTCCCAGTAGACTGGCTTTCTGGAGTACACTGGTCACATCCAGTTTATGTACATGCATGTATTCAGTCTTCAAACTGAACATGTTTGCTGAGAGTGAGGATGGCATGTTGCTATTTACAAAAATGACATGTCTATCATGACCATCAATGTCAGAAATGTGCTGCCAAGAGTGATCGAATGGAGGCAGAAAAACAAATGCATAGCTCTTGCTAAAATTTGGAGGATCTCTTGTCACGTGTGGCACAGAGGAAACATTCCAGCCTGCCCTGTTTGCTGCCAGAGATAAGACTTTAACCAGTGCAGAGACAGGGTTGGAGGAGATAATGACCAACTTTCTGGGTTGTTGTTTGACCTTGACTAAAATTCTCTGCAGGATCTCCCACGCCAGTACAAAGTACGACACACATGGAGTGTCTTTCAGAAATGGAAGCCTCTTTGTGTTGTAGCAAACTGCTTCAGGAATTATGATCTTTGTTGTGGCAGCAACTGGATAACATGACGCAATGTGATCTCCTACTTGTAGGTTTTTAACATCTTTCCCAACAGCTGTGACAACTCCACAAAAATCTAAAGCAAGTACTTTGTGGTTGTGTGATGTGTGCTTGCTCCAGTACATCGTCTTGCCATAATTCAAATGTGAGGCAGTGACAGGGAAGTAATCTGATGAATGCACACAAACATTGCCTAATTGTATCTCAACAGACTTCTCTTGTGTTGGATGTACATTGTTGTCATAAGGGATGGCAGATAAATGAGCCATTTTGTATGGATCATTTGTTTGTACTGCAAAGTTTCTCTGATAAATTGAGTGCATATCCTCTGCACACAAAGCCCCGTCTGTCACAGCTGTTCGTGCTATTCTTGAGGTTGATACTCGCCCTTTACTGATCATGACCTCTTGCTGTTTGCAGGTGTTCATGATGTGGACGAGTGATTGAATATCTTCACCTGCAAGAGAAGCAAGATCAATCAACTGAAAAGAAAGACCTGCAATCTCTGCAGCACAAGCTCTCATCATGCCAGAAAGCACAAAACCAGCACTGACATGGTCCACATTTGTCTCTGTTGATCTGTAGGTTATGACCCGGACAAAGCAGGAGCACTTGCTCTCCTTCAAGGCAACGACAACCTGTCGAAATAGCTCACAGCAAGTCACCAAGCTGTCCAGTATCTTCTCAGATGACAAGTGACTCAGGTCTTCTACACCCCAAATGAAGAGAGCATTTTCCAAGTCTCGATCGGCTTTAAGTGAGTGGAAAATTAAATCTCGAACTTGGTCTCCAGTCCAATTTTGTCTGCTCTCCACAAACACTGACTCTGGGTGTAGGTATGGCCTTAGTCTTTCGGCAATTCCAAATTTGTCTTCAAAAACTATCACTTTCATTTGGTTGTTATGCAAGCTCATAATTTGCGGGACAGCAATGATTTCATTATGGAAGAACCATGACTGGACATCGGAGCATTTACCCAAAAAGGATATCCTCACCGCCTTAAGTTCAACCAGTACCTTACCCTCTAGGGTGTAAAAGCCACCGCATACTTCAAGGAAATGTTGAGTCTCTTGAGTGGCTCGCAAGTACATGACCATTTCCTCTTGTAACGGGCGCGAAATGGTTGCGCTACCAACAGCTGAGGGGAAGCCTTGTCTAGCTGTTAGTCGTCCAGTAGCCACCACAGCAGCCATTTGCAGGAAATAGTCCAAGACCACAGGATGAATAAAATACTCATAAAGATGTTCAAGAAGTTCTGCAGGGATTTGAATTGTTGTCAGAGCTTCTTTGAATTCATCTCCAAAGTACACATCATCTAGCTGTTTAAAGACAGGGCCGTAATCAAATCCTGCTTGAGAGAGAATCGAATAAATCTCTTTTGCTGTCATGACCAGTTTGCATCGTTGAGTGATACTGTTAAGACAAACAGCCGGCTCTTCTAGCAGTGGTTGTCCATCGGTACATCTGTATGTGCCTGAGGCATGTGTTGCACCTGAAGACTGTATTTTAAACGAACCATCATTCTCTGAATGTTCCAGTGACACTTTCAGCTGATGACAGTCTGAGGTCAGTGTAAACACATTCTCAAATTTCACACTTAGCTGGAACAGAGATACCGGTTTCTTTGGAGTCAAACTTGCCATCAGCGAGGCCAAAGCTAGTTCAACATAAAATGCCCCGGGCACTATGGGGACACCATTATTCTTATGCCCCCAAAGATATGGAGCAGTCTCCCCTGACAGATTGCATGAGTACTCATTATTGCCCTGATTTATTTGGGATATCAGTATATGGGAGGAATAATCCCATGGCTTGTCACCTTTTCTCATCGCTTCAAAATCAGATTCCTTTTTTGTGTTGTCAAACTGATAGACTGGAAAAGCCACTGGCAATGTCTCAAAACCTCTATAGAGCCGACACCAGTCCACATTGATGCCAAGTTCAAATAGTTTTGCCACAGTAGACAAGATTGTGTCACGGTCTTTCCCCGGCTGGACAGAGGGAAGAACTGTGCCGTTATTTCCCAAAGTCTCATGTATGTTCCTTTGGAGAGCCCTACGCGGTCCAATCTCCACAAAGACCACACTGCTCCTCGATGACCTGTCTTTGGTGACTGCATGCAGGGTTTGTTTGAACAAAACAGGGTCTCGGATGTTTCTTGCCCAGTACCTCCCTGAAAGAAAGTCACCACTTGAAGATTCCTCTCCAGTCACAGTTGAATATAGTCTGCACTCTTTGTTGTTGGCAACCAAAGGATCGATACTTCTCTCAATGTCATCAAGTATGGGGTCCATCATATGGCTGTGGTACGCTGTTGGCACATCCAGCTCATGGAGAAAGATATTCTCATAGGTGAATAGACTCTTCAACCTCTGATGGAGGTTGTTTATAGCATCTGTATCCCCTGACAGAGTGCAGGACTGGGGGCTGTTGAATGCTGCAACAGAGATATTCCCAGAAAAGGTTGGAAGGACATCTACAACTTGCTCTACAGCCACATTTCCAACAACAAGCATTTTCCCCCCTGTGACTTTGGCCTGAAGAGCGCTGCGGTGGTACAACACTTTTACAGCGTCCTCAAGAGACAAAAGACCAGAACAGTGAGCCGCAGCAACCTCGCCAACAGAGTGTCCAAGCACAGCATCAGGTTTGATACCCCAGTCCCTTAGGAGAGCAACAATGCCAACCTGAACTGCAAAAAGTAGAGGCTGGATGACATCTGGCTTTTCAAAATCCTCATCACCACATTCAGCAGAAAGCCATTGGCTGATGGTGAGGCTTTTATGAATGTGGAAGAGATCCTGAACTTCTCTGATCTTTTCTTTAAAAACAGGGAACTCTTTCAGGAGCTGCCTGCACATACTCCTGTAGGCAACCCCATTTCCACAAAACACAAACACCAGCTGGATGTCTGACTTTGTTGGCTCTGCTTTTGTCTTCAAAGTACATGACAACTGGTGCTCTAAATCTGAGAGAGAAGACATTAGGAAGGCCTTCCTGTACTTGTGTTTAGAGTGACTTCTTCCACATGCTGAAGTGTATGCTAGTGCTTGTAAATCAGCTGTTTGATGACTGCCAATTCTCTGCTGTGTGTCAGCAATAGTTAGGTGATATGATCTCTCAGTGGATGCAGATAGTACAAAGAGTTTTGAACAGTCTTTTGGGAACTTTGTGAAGAAGTTGGTTTGTCTGTGCTCTCGTACGATCACATGTGCATTTGTCCCCCCAAACCCAAAGCTGTTGACTCCAGCCACCCTCACTAAAGACTCCTGTGTCTCCCATTTTTCAGCTTTGGTTGGAATACTTACATGCAGAGCTTTTTCATCTACACTGGCACTGTCCTTTGAGTAGAAAACTGTAGGTACGATGGTCTCGTGCTTCATCATTAAGAGTACTTTTATAAATCCGGCCACTCCAGCCGCTGATTCTGTGTGTCCGATGTTGCCTTTCACAGATCCGATCTGAAGAATGTCTGAACCAGGAGGTTTGGCTTTGGCAATGACATTTGAAATGCTTCCTGCTTCTGTTGGGTCTCCGATTGGTGTCCCTGTTCCATGTGCTTCAATGTACTGAACATCTGCTATGTCAGCCTCTGAGTAGACCCTGCGCAGGAGTTCCTCTTGTTGTGACATGGACGGTTTGGTGATTGGTGTTACTGCACATCCATCTTGGTTGACGGCTGTTTTACTGATGATACCCCATACTTTGTTGCCGTCTTTTAGAGCCTTAGGAGATAAAGACACACCATTAGACGGCTCCCTACTGCATTTTAGTGTCCTGCAATGATTGTAAAACAGACTTACATGTTTCAGAGGTTTCAGGAGAACAATGCCGCAGCCTTCCCCTCTACCATAGCCGTCTGCTCTGCTGGAGAAAGGTTTGCTGGTTCCCTCAGGGGAGATCATCTTGGCTTTGCTCAGAGCAATGAACACTCTTGGCTCTATTATACAACTTACACCTCCACACAGAGCCATTTCACAGTCTCCTAGTTGAAACAGAGAGAAATTCAGTATAATTGCTGCCCTACATCCACTTGCTTTAAGGCATATACATACATATATGAGGAGAAGAGGACCAAATACCTTGCTTTAGGGCCTGGCAGGCTAAATGTACCGCTACCAAAGATGACGAGCAGGCACTGTCAATGGCTAAAGATGGGCCAGTGAGGTTGAATGTGAATGAAATTCTATTGGCCGCCACGCTCATAGCAGTCCCAGTGCCATTGTAGTGGTTTATTGAATTAGAAGTATTACTTCTCAGCATCTCATAATCCCTGTTCATTAGACCTGCAACGCAACAAACAGGCTGAGTGTGATACAAACTTTGTTACATGAGATTTAGAGTAGTTTTTAACTGTGTAACAGAAAATCATTGGTTACCTATGTAAACTCCAGTTCTGCTTCCACTGATGCTTTCCATTGCTATTCCTGCGTCCTCTAGTGTCCTGTATGTGCACTGCAGAAGAAGTTTCTGCTGTGGGTCCATGAAATCTGCCTCTGCTTCGGTAATGCCAAAAAACCTGTGATCAAACTCATTGAACCTAAAATGTAAAAACAGATTTATCATACTCAGACATCACTTAACTGGGATGTTACTGGTTCATCTCTAAACACATAGATAATCCTTACCCTTCAATAAGAGCTGCCTTCGATGTCTGAGTCTTTCCAGGTTTATTTGCATCAGCATCAAACCAAAAGGTGGTATCAAACCTCTCTTTTGGAATATCCACAACACAGTTCTTTCCCTCCAACAGAACCTTCCAGAAGTTTTCCAGTCCCTCACCTTAAGTTAAAAAGCACAACAGCGCCTATAATTCACACACGACAACTTAAAATCAGTGTATCGAAAATCAGTAGAAAAAGCACCAAAGGTTCGTCATACCTCCGGGGAAATTGCATCCAATCCCGATAACAGCTACAACATCCTCTTCCTCCTCCATTGTTGTTCGAAGATGCTAGAGAAGCTGTGGACTTAATTCAAAACACCATTAAGGCATCTCCATCTGTGTCTGTCCTGTTACTGTCCTGAGTCAAAACTAGTGCTTCCCAGCCTTTATAAGCACTAAGTCGGGGATCAGTGAAAATGGACAAGGAGACACAACAATGACCTGACTTGTTGCATCTCAGCTGGCCTCATCTGTAACCTAATACTCCTGTTGTAAGTAAGAGCATGGAGCAGCAATAAACTAGGGCTTTGTATTGAAATAATCAGACTGGCTTCTTTTAGGATTTTCTGACATGGCTCTTGAATATGAATGAAAAAAAATGCTTTGGTTGGAAAATATGTTCTGGTAAAACAAACTATGAAGACACTTGAGCACAATATACCAGGACAAAGTTAAAAAGTGGTCACATGGTGGATGGACTGCAAATGAATGCATCCTTTTTTAATGGATCAGTGTGTCTGCAAAGGTAGCAGTGATCAGTTTGATCAAGATTTAATTGGAAAAAATGATAATATGTAGAGTTGAAGACACTGATAGTGATAAATCATGGAGAATCGCCACCTAGTTTCTGCAGTTTTAGCACTTTTTAAGCCCTCGCATTGTGTCTGAATTCAAACTCAGCACTCTCAGTCGGTGTTTTTTTCCCCTCAAAATTAAGTTTCAATTAGAAAACAGACCAGGAAAGACCAACTATGAAGACATGTTCATGTTCAAAGCAGCATTATCAGTTTATGAATGAGTAAGCCACCACTGCTGGGCTAAATGCCCCCTAAGAGGTCGTAATATGAACAAACTTCATTTTTTCCACAGGTGCAAAACACATTTATGAGTAAGAGAAACCTTTATTTGAGCTTCAAAGGCTTTAGCTAAAGAAACAAACCAAAGCACAAAGACACGCTTACAGAATATATACATAAACCCTCGTTTATCTGTTACAGATGACCTCTGAACTCCACACATAAAGGCCTACCACTAAGTTCAGACAAAGGAAACATCTTTGGGCACTTAAATAAATAAGAACACACATACAGAAAGTATATCGCAGATGTAATTTACATCATTCAGAGAGAATAAATCCATATGAAGTGTTCAACACTGAACAGGGGTATCACCTGCACCTTGCTACAGCAAAGAGGTACATTCTGGATTGAGGTAATTTAAGGTCCTACGGTGTTCACAAGTCTGTACAAATTTAATACGAGACCCTGCAGTCTAAATGAAATCATCGCACATTAATCAATCATAAATTTGTTTAATTCATTCGCCTTTTCACTGATATTGTAAAGAATCCTGATTGTGATGTATAAAACTATTGCAGCAGCCTTTTTTCTTAAAAAGACTTGGATGTAACCTCAATGATATCTGCAGCCTGTAGATTCATTTGTGTAAAACAAAAAGCCTTTTGTCTGATTGAACTATGAAGTGCTTTAAAAACGCTGTGGAAACAAACGTTTTCTCTACAGGAAATGCAAGACAAAAAAATTAATAAAATAAAATATAATCGAAAGGGGTTAACAGAATCATTTCTGTGTCGTTTCCACCAAATGATGAGAGGGGTACAAAGAAATGAAATACAAGGCCTCCAAAAGGCCTGTGCACAACTGCACAGCTTCATATTTACAAGAGTTTAAAATATCTATACTGAGGTATCTAGTGGTCCAGTGATTTGCCCTCCAGCACCATCTGGATCTCTTTGGCATCCAGAGTTTCGTATCTGAGCAGGGCATCTGCTAGCGTCTTGTGCTCTTTGCTGTAGGTCTTCAGGATGTTCTTTGCACGTTCGTACGAGTCCTAGACAAAAAAAAAGGATCCGAAACTTAGAAACAGATTTTATAACCATCTCAGTTTCAAAAAAAGCTGATGTGCTGTGGGAATATCTCACCTTTAGCAAAGCCCTGACTTCTTGTTCAACAGCAGCTTGTGTTTCGGGGCTCTGCTTGGTTATATCGCCATAGGTCATTACACCAAGCTGCAAGCAAACACAAATGACACCTTAGGTTGAAGGAACAGTAGACCTTTTCATGTTAATAGTCACTGATAGTTACTGTCGTTGAGAGTTAGACAGATTTTCTTTGTCTTCATGTAATTACAGGCTACAGTTTCATGGAAAACTTCTCAATAAATCACCCTCAAAGTGCGCTACTATAGTGACAACCTTAAATACTTCTTACTTAGTCACTGGGTGGTCAAGGAAAAATTCACACTAATAAATGCTGAATACATAACTGCAAAGTCAACCGCTGTTCATTGTGAAACAAAGCAACCAAGTTAAACATACCTTGTCACTCATGCCAAACCTGGTCACCATCATTTTGGCTATTTTGGTTGCTCCATCAAAGTCACTTGATGCCCCTGAAGAATGAAACAAAACAAAGCTTTAAATGAACATTAATCTGCAGTTATGATAGCAGAGTGATCCAGTTTTAACTTTGGCTCTTGTTATTCATTAATAAAGTGTTTTTTAAGACCAAACGTAGGTGCTTATTGCAGTATTTATGTTTCCTGGAGAACTTCTTCGATGTTATAGTTGTGTATGTAGCTGTAAACACCACAACCACATCAAGTCCTCATGTCCTCCTGACTCACCCGTGGTGATGTAGTCATCCCCAAAGATGAGCTCCTCTGCGACTCGACCGCCCATACTGACGTCCATCTGAGCCAGAAGCTGGGCTCTCGTCTCACTCCATCGGTCGTTCTCCGGGAGCATGGACACCTTAAAAAAGAATTATAAGCTTTAGATTTAACAAAGGGGATTAAAAAAAAAAAGTGGTGTAAAGTTGGAGATGCCGCTGAAGCTCACATGGCCAAGTGTTGGTCCTCTCGGCATGATGGTAGCCTTGTTGATTGGCATTGCATCTTTGGTGAAATAGGCGACAATAGCATGGCCAGACTCATGGTAGGCTGTGATGGTCTTATTCTTCTTGTCGATTTCCACACTCCTCCTCTCAGGGCCTGGTGTGAGAAGGAACAAAACCAAAAAGGATTTTCAGGGATTAACACAAAAACGTACGCTTCATTCATTCATACTTTCTTTTCAGCCGAACTAGAGTGTGTCCAGGTAATCGGTCCCACATGACAGGAAGCAGAGTGAATCACTGTGTGCACTCACCCATGAGGATCTTGTCCTTAGCGAACTCCAGGTCTTTCATTGTGACCATCTCTTTCCCGTCCACGGCTGCCTTCAGGGCTGCCTGGTTGACTAAATTCTCCAGCTCTGCTCCTGAGAAGCCCACTGTGCCCCGTGCAATTATCTCTGCCTCAACGGCTGCGAGAGTGCAGACAATGAAAAATGGTTCTTTATAAGACTTAAAGACACAATGGTGACTTTTACAAAGATGGAAAACAAAGGTATTCTCTCACAGGCTGACTGCTTTAATACTATGAATGGTTTTAACCAGAAGTAGAGCCTCAAAAGTTACCAATTATAGTTGTTTCTGCAGAATGATTTATTTGTGAGGTATTATCTTTCATATTTTCCACTGAGACCTACCAGGGTCCACCTTGATCTTTGAGAGGTACCAGTTGAGAATTTCAGTGCGTCCTTTCACGTCTGGCCGAGGGACTGTCACCTGCATGTCAAACCTTCCTGGTCTTACCAGAGCGCTGGAAGAAGGAAACACAAATAAAAAGTAAGATTCCCAACACCTGGATTCTTTATTTCCTTTTTTTTTCCATCACTTGACAGCCTAAAAGTCTATAAAAATACATCTTTCTGTTGAATTTAATGTCATTATATGTAAAGAGAAGAAATACTGAGAGCTTCTTTAATCTTTAAAGAAGCTTTAAATTTTTGAGCCCCTACTGATTAGTGAAAAAAATCTTGGTGAAGACAAAAATCTTTGCAGATTCCACATTTTTGAGAAATTAGGCACAGCCATAATGTTGTCGGTACCTGGACGACTTTTTCTGTTGTTGTCATTCACTGTCATTGTAAGTGTGTGCAGTTCAAAATACACAAAATGAACTTTGGATCATTGTTATTAGATGTATATTTTGATGATAGATGTGCCCTTTTGTACAAGATATGGAGATTTGTTAATTAAATTCGTCTGTTTTTAACTTAAAATGTAAACTTATCTCCTAAAAAACATTTTAAAATACTGATTTATATATAGTTTGATTCACTATGTTATAGATTTCTCTTCTGGACATGTGGGTATTACTTTAACCTGATGTCACACAAAGTTTTTTGTTGTTTATTTGCTGTCTCTTTGGTTAAATTACCCCATGATGATTTTGTCCCTCTGTGTTTACGCGTGAGAACTGGATTGGTCATGGAGAAACGACACCTCCCTATTTAAGATGGTTTCTCTTGAACAAAAAAACTGTTCGCCTGATGAAGGTCTAGTGCCGAAATGCTGCAAATAAATGATTGATTGCGAGTTGGGCAGTGTGCGAAAATCCCTTTGCTACATTTAGCTTCTTTAATCTAAAAGTTTATTACCCGTTGAGAGTATTTTTTTTTAAAACTCCCAAAATAAGTGAGTAAAATACTCGAAGCTGTTGTCTCGGAGAAGCTGCTTTAAAAACAGGTCAATGATAGTATCTGTTTTATTATTTGTCTGCCTGAAATGGTTCAAATCAGACTGTCACAAGGAAACTAGGACGCGGATCAAACAGCCTGGGGTATCAGACAAAGTTTGCAGAGTCGAAGCTGAAACACTGGGACTGTTTTGTTTACATGAACTAGATCTACTGACCTCAACTCAAACTGGTTATGTTTTTAAAGCAGGTTTTTCTCTTACATAAGCCACAGACAGGCTTAGTGAAAACATAAACATACTTATCCAAAGCCTCAGCAAAGTTTGTAGCACCAACAACGATGACGCCTTCATTTGGTTTAAACCTGTAAGATACAAAATGACATTAATGTAGACTAATGGATAAAATTGAAAGTCTGCAGTTTTTATGATGTTGAAGCAGAGAAACGGACCCGTCCATTTCAGCCAGCAGCTGGTTGATGGTTTGTCTGGAGTAAGGATGCATAGGAGACTCAATCCTCTTTCCACCTACACTGTCCAACTCGTCAATGAAGATCACGCAGGGAGCATTTGCTTTTGCCTCTTCTGCAAAACACACACACAAAAAAAACCAAAAAAAAAAACAAGAAGTGAGTTTCTTTCATCTTCTAACGGTCTCTCAGATTTTCTCACATTGAGCAAACTCACTGAAAAGGTTCCTGATTCTGCTGGCACCAACACCCACAAACATCTCATCAAACTCGGACCCAGATGCGTAGTAAAACGGCACGTCGGCCTCCCCCGCTACAGCCCGGGCTAGCAGAGTCTTTCCTGTGCCTGGAGGACCAACAAGAAGGATCCCTGTGAAGAAAAAAAACAACAAAAGATGAGATTAATTCAGTCCAAGCTGAAAACAGTCAAACAGTTTCTACCATTAACAAAAGGAGTTCAACAGGGATCAGTTCTGGGTCCTGTTTTATTTGTCATCAGCATGAGATTATAAAGTTCAGGACTCGACAGCGCGACCATTTCACTCGCGTTTGTGACGAAAAATAGATGTGTGCGAATTGTAAAATGTATTTGGGGGCACATTATTTTGCATAAAAAAAAAAATCAGCCGAGGCAAAAAAAGTAAATACCGGTGAAGTTAGTTTTAGGTTGGCTATCCGACGGACATGTCATGTGACCAAAATGACCTAAAATTGATTCTAAATAATAGTACTTATGTCGACCTGCTTCTGCCTTCACATCCTTGGACTCAGTCTGTCACTCTGCTCTTAGATTTATAATGAGATCTTTTTAATCAAGAGATTATTCACCTTTATAGATATTATCTTAACTGAACTTGCCTACTGGATCCTATCAAACTCTACCAGCTGTCTAATGCTCTGAGTACCATTGGTTATGAACCTGGATCTTCAATTTTTGTGCTCCAAACATGGACTCATAAATAACACGCTGAAGATCGACACTCTTGTTTCTCTTAAAAAATTCAAGTCAGATCAACTCCGATCATTTCATCTCAGGGTGAAGGTGTTTTGACTGAGTATTACTCTTTGATAAAGTCAGGTTTATATTTAGACATCACTGTAAACAAGGGAAACCTTAATGATGTTGATGATGATGATACAGGTGAGGAAGAATAGTGCAATACAAACAAGAGAAAGTGAAAATGGGGAGAAATTGTGTATAACTATACCTTTAGGCAGCTTTCCACCGAGTACAGTGAACTTCTGGGGGTTCTTGAGAAACTCCACAACATCCTGTAACTCATTCTTGGCCTCCTCTACTCCTTTGACGTGCTCAAAAGTCACATTCTTCATCTGGATGGGATCGACCGCCGAGTCAAGCCCAGATGTGGTGCGAAACCTCACTGTGAAAATTTGAAGCAACTGGTGATGCCAGAAAACCTTCTCAATTTATTGCAATTTGTCATTTAGTTGGACTGCTAGTTCCTGCTAGTGCACAGATGTAAATACTGAGATTTCACTACGTACTACCTTTTCATATTGTCTCTACTTAAGTATTACTACACATTGGTATGCAGCAGAATGACCAATTAAACTCTACATGCACACTAGCAGACAGTGTCAACTGACACTTCTATTTCAGGAGGCATTTGGCAGAGGGGATATTTTTAAGGTGCTATGAGCTATTTCCTTCACTGTCCTCTCTGGAGGCACTAATCAGCTTTGTTCTATTCACAGTGTGCATGTAGGTTTTTTAAGATGATTTGCAAGCATAGGAGAGAATAAAAACGGAAACAAACCAGCATCAGAAAAGGAGCCTTTACCGGAGAGAAACGGGGTTCTTGACAAGCCATAAATACCAAGAAGGAGGAGGACCAGCAGGATCAGCCTGGTTCTCCTCAACGAGTCTGTCGAAACAGAGCGGAGAGAATTCTTTTATGTCAATTCGAAGATCAATTCGAAGTTTTACACCTGCTGCGACTGTTTCGCTAACTACCGAGGATTTTCACATGCCTTGTGTTCTCTGAGTGTAAGCCTGAGACTTCATGAAGCCCTCGGTGAAACCGGTTTTGAAAGCCTCCTGCTGGTTCTCTGGAAGGTTTTTTTGTTTCAGCACTTGGTCCAGCGACTGTGCCTCTTGTCCTTTTTCCCGCTGGAGCAACCCCTGCAAGAAAAAACTTAGTCAGCTTAAAGAGAGATCACATCTTCTAGCTGGCTTATCCCTGTAGAATAGTGCAGCAGAAGCATGTTTACCTTCATGAAGGCTGGTGTGTAAGGCTCAGGCTCCACAGGACCGTCATAACTTGATTCTCCTCGTCTGGTCTTCGATCTAAGTGTCTTAAAACCTCGACACTGGATCAAAACTGAACAGACACATAGTAAAATTAAACAAATTGAACTCTACTCTCTGTGTAGTTTGTGTATATAATCAGATTACTGACTAATACCAGGTGGAGAAGGCTGAGTCAGGATCTTACCTGGCAAAAACTGTAACTCTGCAAGAGCGTCTTTTAGAGGACTGTGGTATTGTCTGTGCAATATTGGGGAGCCAAAAACTCCCAACCTTCTGTGCGAAAACCCTGTCAGAGAAATAAATCCAATCAGATAAAGGTGTCTCTTCCCTAATGTGACACTAATTTCGAGTCCGAGCTGCTCACCGTGCTTGTTCTGGAAGAAGCTGCCTGCGGAAACGTGACTGGTCCTCCATGCCGAGGGAACAGCGGGAGGTTCTTCCAGTAAAGGTGTTGGTAGCAGCCTGCTAACCAGCTCATCCAGCTGACCTGCTCTGATGTCTGACAGACCGAGATCCCTCAGACTCACACTGGGCTGTGAGGAACGGATACAAAAAAAGGTCTTAAACACCTTATAAAGAATATTTTACATCACTCATGGTTTCTTTTTATTATTCAGAGTCTTAAAACTTGCAGGTTGACAACATGGCAGGGATGAGTAAATGATTGAATGTGCAGGTGTTTTTCCTCTATTGGGTAGGCATAAAAAAACATGTGCTCTTCAATCAGGGTGGTGTTTTCAGTGTAAACCATATTTCAAAGCGAATCCACCAGCTGACGGTGTTTTGCCCAGCTAAGACACTTAGCCAGAGGCGGCAGCAGTGCATCTCCTCACTGTGAAGGAACGATGCACAACACCTGCCGCCGCTGACACAGAGGTTAGGAGCTTTTTTAGAGATATAACCCCATCTTTAGAAACAAAGCCAACAGACTGGTAGAAAGTAAATACTGAGAGATTTCCCATACAAGCACAGCCGGAAACACCAGTATCTCTGCATATCAGCCCCCTCTGAGCAGGTGTTTTCTACGCCGGGACTGACTGTAACCTGGTTAGAAAAGTGGACACTGAGTCTGAAAAACTGGAGATTTTTTCAGTTCTTTCGTTGTAACAGTTCCACATTTAGTTGTTTACATCTCGCTATACGTGACTTTCCATCTGCAGAGATGATTTTTACGAGTCCGTGCGTTAACACACAGCATGTTAAACAACTTGTACACCTCTGGGCTACATGTTCTGCAGCTATGCGTCACTGTTCTCTCTCTGTACAATGCTGTGGAGTGTGTATGTCAGTCGGAAAGGACTAGGCTTTTTCCAACTAGTATTTAAGACTGGTTTAAGACTTGTTACAATTTGCTTTCCTGTTTGACACTGAAAGAAACTTCAGTATGTTTTTCTTTTTTTCTATAACCACTGAAAGCCTTTGAATAGTTTGTTTGTGAGAGCTGTGTTTAGCCTGGTGGGGTTTTATAAGTATATCCTGTTCAGCATTTCTAACACGATAGAATTTTTTAGATTTTAGAGTACATATTGTATCGTGTCTTCATTGTGTTATGGATCTCACCTCTTTTAGGAATGCACTGTGGTCTGAAGCTGTGTCTTTGTGCAGGGTCTGGACTGAAGCTGTGGCTGAGTTCTTCAGAGAGTGTAGGGCATTGATGAGCTGGCTGAGGGGCAGGATCATCTTACAAACACACAAACAGAGAAGGGTAAACACAAACTTCTCCCCACGTTGTGACAAATTTATTCAAATGAGATTGGCTCGCTGAGAAAACAGCACTGTTTCGTGGGGTTAGTATGGTGGCCGAGAACCGCCACTGCTGCAAAAAAAAAAAGAATGCAAAAAAATATATATCGATATATTGATATCGATATGGAGTTAATCTATTTCTTCTTATCTATTTCCAAAAATGGGAACAGTACATATTGTTAAACATTTACACGATCTACAGGATGCCGGTGTAGTGTCAGCTTCAGTTCAACTTTATATCGACTCAGGCGCATTGTAGCCTAACCAAATGACACATTGAAAAGCACTGGTTAACTTCTGTTCTGGCTTTTTTTTATCTGCTCCGTTTCTTTTTTAATTTGCAGCGGGCTTCAGTTTCTTTTTTTTTTTTTATTTGCAGCAGTGGCGGTTCTCGGCCACCGTACATCAGGCTTTTATTTCCAAATAACACAAAAAGGGCAGTAGCATTATGTCAGTGTTATTCAAGCTGTCTCCAAACAGAGAGCAGCATGACCCTCACACGTCAGATGTACGTGAGTTACGTAACCTCGGCTCTTTGAATATTAACTTGGCAACCCTTCGCTTCACTTGTATTCCGTCTTAAGTCACAGAAGCTGCAAACATCCCCGCTTAAGCTGCACACCTTGAGCTTTTCTCGGTTTCCAAACAGCTGACTAACACAACCTGACGTAAGCGTGGGCTCAGTATGGGGAGATATGCCAAACATGCTAACATTAGCCGAGCTTATCTGTCATTGACCGTTACACGAGACGTGGAAATAACAGACAAAAGAGCCCCCTGGTAACATATCTCCCCCTAAAACACATCCGCGGTGAAGCTAAATGTGATATTAAAGGGCAGAGAGGTTAGCAAAAGAGCGTTTCGCTACGTTTAAAAATGCTACCCAGTCGGCTTACCTGCTGGGGTTGAAACGACGTTGACAGGGAAAACATTTTAGCCGGATTATACTTGAGAATAATCACAAAATGGAGGGTTAATCTATGAGGAGAGACTCCTCTGGTTTGACTGCGCTGAACTGAACCTCCACAGAGCGGTGTCCTCTTGTTTCCACTGTTACACAACTTTCAACAGCTTAGCTAACACCAGCAAATGGATTCTCCGGCTTCTCCTGAGGTCAAACGGACTACAAAATGACGTATGTCGTACTCACTACCGGGTGCGGCTTGCGTCAGTTTCTGCCAGGAAGCTGCTGCTAGCCAATCAGAGGCGAAGGGGGCGGGACTTTCCCCTACCATCCTACAAAAAACATCGCTGCCAGGAACACAACACGCAGAATAAACTTGATAGAATTTAAAAATCCGTAATAAATATATTTTTAAAAATTGATTCAAGATTTTTGGTGAATGTTGTAAGAAAACAAAGTGGTTTAAGGGGGGTTTAGAAATCTCTATTTACACAACCCTTTGAGTTTTCCAACTGCCTGATTAAAATTATATTTTACGAAATACAGTCATCATTCCGTGAACATATTTTTAAGTAGCGATACGAATGATAACTTTTAGTTTGAAATAGACCACTAATCTATCATTATAACAAATAAAATACTATTTTACGCTTTTCGAACAGGCATTTCTTAGTATACCTGAACAAAACGTTCATGAGGACCCAGTGTCAGAGGTGGGGAATTCAAAATTTCAAAACAAACCTGGGATTGTTGTTTTCTCATCGAAGTGTGCACTCCGGGGCAGCTGGCTGTTCAAACACAGCCGAAGTCCTCTTTATAAAACTCGTAGCATCATGGAGGTGGATGAAAAGCACGATTCGAAAGCAGCGGAAGCCCCTAAAGCGCCTTCAATCGAGGATTTTATCATTTTGAAGCCCATCAGTCGAGGTGCTTTTGGTAAGGTGTACCTCGCTCGGAAGAAGTGCAATGCCCGGTTATACGCTATAAAGGTGAGCATAGTCTATCTTTGACAACCTTTGAGTGAAACTAGAGTTAAATTATCACTTGTACCGAGTTCCTGGTTCCTTTTGCGTCCCCAAGAAGTAATCATTCATAAAATTATGATAACAAATGAATGTGTAATTTAAAAATATAACATTACCATGTCTTCTGTACTTAATATAACATCAAATTATAGTCAATTAATATCATTCTAAATAATTAAAATCACTTTTATGCTGATGAGGGTAAGGTTTTTGGCCTGTCCCTCACTACTATTTTTGTAGAATTTGTAAAATGTTGGCAAAATGTTAAAATTTTCACATTTACATATTGTTTTAAGTATGATGTTGCATCATCTCTCAGCTAGAGACTCGCCATTATCATTTAAATGACATTATATTTTAGATTGGGCCATTTCTCAACATTTCTAAAATATATTATTCACATTCTAAAAAATATCTGATACAGTAGATATAAAAAGTCTACACACCCCTGTTCAACTGCCAGGTTTTTGTTATGTAAAAAAACTAAATCAAGATATATAATTTCACAACTTTTTCTGCCTTTAATGTGACCTATAACCTGTACAACACAACTGAAAAAATAAACAGAAATCTTTCAGGGAGGTGACGTAAAAATAAACAACTGAGATCATGTGGTTGCATAAGTGTGCACACCCTTTAATAACTGGGGATGTGGCGGTGTTCAGATTTAACCAATAACATTCAAACTCAGGTTAAATCAGAGTCAGCACACACCAATTAAAGTGCCTCTGATCAACCCCAAACAAAGTTCAGCATTTCTAGTTGGCTTTTCCTGATATTTTTGTAGCCATATCTTCCAGCGCAAGCCATGGTCCGCAGAGAGCTTCCAAAGCATCGAGGGATCTCATTATTCAAAGATATCAGTCAGGTGAGGGCTACAAAAGAATTTCTAAGGAATTAAATATACCATGGAACACAGTGAAGACCGTCATCATCAAATGGAGAAAATATGGCACAACACTGACATTACTAAGAACAGGACATCCGTCCAAAATTGATGATAAGACAAAAAGAAAACTGGTCAGGGAGGCTACCAAGAGGCCGACGGCAACACTGAAGGAGCTGCAGGAATTTCTGGCAAGTACTCACTGTGTAGTACATATGACAACAATCTCCTGCTGTCTTCATACGTCTGGGCTATGGGGTAGGGTGGTAAGATGGAAGCCTTATCTTACAAAGAAAAACATCAAAGCCCGGCTTGATTTTGCAAAAACACATCTCAAATCTCCCAAACACGTGGGAAAATGTGTTATGGTCTAATGAAACCAAAGTTGAACTTTTTGGACATCATTGCAAAAGGTATATTTGGCGCAAAATCAACACTGCTCATCACCAAAAGAACACCATACCCACAGTGGAGCATGGTCTTGGCAGCATCATGCTTTGGGGCTGTTTTTCTTCAGCTGGAACTGGTGCCTTAGTCAGGCTGGAGGGAATTATGAACAGTTCCAAATACCAGTCAGTGCTGGTACAAAACCTGCGGCTAGAAAGCTGAAGAGGAACTTCATCTTTCAGCACGACAATGATCCGAAGCACACATCTAAATCAACAATAGAATGGCTTTACCAAAATAAGATTGAGGCTTTGAAATGGCCCAGCCAGAGTCCAGACCTGAATCCCATCGAACATTTGTGGGGTGATCTGAAGAGGGCTGTGCATAGGAGATGCCCTCGCAATCTGTCAGATTTGGAGTGGTTTTGCAAAGAAGAGTGGGCAAATATTGCCACATCAAGATGTGCCACGCTGATAGACTCCTACCCAAAAAGACTGAGTGCTGTAATAAAAGCCAAAGGTGCTGCAACAAAGTATTAGTTTAAGGGTTTGCATATTTATGCAACCAGGTTATTTTAACTTTTCTATTTTTTATTTTTTTCCCTTAAAGGTTTCAGTTTGTTCTTCAATTGCGTTGTACAGGTTATAGGTCACATTAAAGGTGGAAAAAGTTGTGAAAATATTTATCTTGTTGTCATTTTCTTACATCATAAAAACCTGGCAGTTGAACAGGGGTGTGTAGACTTTTTTTATCCGCTGTATGTACCATCTACTGCATATTTCTAATTAGAAATATTGTATTCTGTTAAGTTTATGTTGGTAGCAGGGTTGACAAGATGATGAAAACAGCCAGGAGAAAAACGGTTATAAAATTTGAAATAACACAGCCTGAGATGGCACAATCTAATTTCCTGCCATTTTAAACATTCTTTGATTTCTGGGTACTTAGAAAATTAAAAATTGAAACTATATTTAATTGTTAATTTTTAAGTTGAAAAGGCACCGATGTCTTGGAATGACCCTCCTGTTTCACGTTGTAGTTGGTTGGCGGGAGTAAGATTAGTTTCCCCTAGTCGTATAAAGGTGTATTTTAGTAATAAACCTTTATAATATAACTCAACTACGGACTCTCCATCCATCTTATTATGTTGTGTTTTCTTTTCAGATGATGAAGAAAGCAGACATGGTTGGTAAAAATATGACGGGCCAGATGAAAGCAGAAAGGGATGCACTCGCTCTGAGCAAGAGCCCCTTCGTGGTCCACCTGTTTTACTCCCTTCAGACAGACAGCAAGATCTATCTGGTAACACCCACTGGTAAACCAATGATAACACTCCCACATGACAATACAGAGCTGTTGATTGATCTGTTTTGTCATGTTGATTGCAGGTTATGGAATATCTCATTGGTGGAGATGTCAAATCTCTGCTTCACATCTATGGATATTTTGACCAGGATATGTCTGTGAAGTACATTTCAGAGGTGGCTCTCGCTTTGGACTACCTCCATCGTCATGGTATCATTCATAGGTACTGTTCTGCCTTTTCTTTCTTTCCTTTTCGCTTCTTTTAAGTCAAATCTAAAACCTCACTTTTACAGATTTGCTTTTGATGTGACGCCGTCTTTTCCCTTTTTTTTCTTTTACCTCTATCTTATTTCGACTTACGCTCCTTTTAGCCTTTGTTTTACTTATAATCTTTTCTTATTCAACCTTTGAGGCCTTTTATTGATTTTATTGTTTTTTCCTGCTCATTTTTCTCATTCCATTTATCATTAATATTACCATCATTATTATTTTATTATGATTTTATTATCATTTTTGTTATTGTCTTTTTTATATTTACTATCCTGTTTCCTGCTTTCTACCTCCCCTTTTTTATTACATTTCTTCTTCTGACCTATTTTATGTTTTTATTTTGGTCCTCATGGTCTCATTTTATGTTGTAGGGTCCTCGAATTGTCTGGGTTTCTTATGACAAATGAAATTGGCCTTCAGTTTGGAGGTTTTGTTTTTAACTGAGCTTTTGTTTTTTATTTGTTTTTATTTCCAGTTATTATTGTTATCATTATTATTATTATTATTAGAAGTAGTAGTAGTAGTAGTAGTGGTAGTAGTAGTATTCTATGCTCATAAAGAGGGAGTATTATGCTTGTTTTTAGGTTTAGCACTCCAAGAGAAGCCTCTTCCAATGTTGCCATGTCAGTCATTCACGAGACATATTGACGTCGACTCGAATGATTCATTTTCAGGGACTTGAAGCCAGACAACATGCTCATATCCAACGAAGGACACATCAAACTGACGGACTTTGGCCTCTCTAAGGTCAAACTTGACAGAGGTATGAAATGCATCAGCTCTTCACTCTAATAAATTGTCACTATCACCACTATAAATGTTCCTAATGTTTCCTTTTGTTGTGTTTGTGCTCTCCATCAGAGCTGAGCCTTATGGACATCCTCACTACTCCATCCTTGGCTAAACCTAAACAGGATTACTTCCGCACCCCGGGTCAAGTCCTCTCTTTGATCAGCTCCCTTGGATTTGTGAGTGAATTTACATAATTTTACTGTCACATACATTTGATTCCTAGAATTTTGTTTTGTCAGGATTTTAATGTAAAACTTTTTCTTTCACACAGAACACACCTGCAGGAGAAGGGAAGCGTCACTGCAGTGCATCTGCTGTATCCAGCCCTATGTCCTGTGGCAGAATGAAGCCCAAGAATAACTCTCTGGGGTCTCCGTCCATGAAGAAGAAAGATCAGCTGTCTTCTCCAACTGTCTTCCCCTGGAAAATGGGTAGATGGCTTTTTGTTATTGCTTTGTTTCACAAGAATTCACAAGTAACGCAGTAGCTTTAACACAGTTATGAATCCAGAGTGCAGTTTTCTGGCGATCCCTTACCTTTGTAAATGTCCTCTATGGTTGATCTGTTTCCAGGACTGAAGAACATCATGTTTAGTCCTCACTGCCTGGCTAGAAATCTCACTCCTACACTGATGAAGACGAGGAAAAGGTTTGAGACGATGAGTGGAGGCAGCACCACAGACACCGAAGGCGGCGTCATCAGCCCTCTGTGGGAGTGTGAGGAGGTCAGTGATCTTATTAAAGTGTTTTATCTTGTAGTCAGGGTGATCCAGACGGACACTTTTACCTGAAAATACAAATATTTGCGATTGAGTGTCATGAATTGACAGACAAAGACACTTTTATAATGTTATAATGTCTTAACCGTTTTTCTTCTCATCCTTGAGTTCAAATAAATGATTTCCTTTCTTTTCATTTTTGTATCGCAGAAAGAAAATGAACAGAGGAGTCGACAGAACTCTGAACAGAACTGTGCGCTAACCAAACCCGGCAATTTTGGTTTCTCTGCAAAGACCGCCAGCAATCCGTCAAATAAGTCTAACTCAGGCCAACTTGCAGAGAAGAGGCCCCACAGCACATCAGTTCCTCCTGTGAAGAGAACGTTCTCTGATATCGAGAAAAGCCCAGATCCATTCGAGGCCCAGGCCAAGAAGAGTAATTCCCGCTATAAGAGGTGTTTTGAGATCCCAGATGACAGTGTGGGGTTTCACACCGGCCTGACTGGAACATTTTCTGCAATCCAAATGGGCGACTTTGTTGCCTCCACAGAGAGAGTGGAACCAACCGAAGACAGGGTCCCAAAGCGCTCCAGTCCCATCGCCATTGCAAAAAGTCTATTTTGTGAACTGGAGGAGCCGCCGGAGGACGTATTTGAAGATGGAGCCAAAGACTTGTCTCACTCGAGTTTCACATCACCACTTGCAGGGAGCAATGACGTCTGCAGGAGCCTGAGCCTCGACTCTGACGGGTCCATGCATGAAACCTCTCTGACAGCTGATAGTCATGCATCTTTAAAGCCGGAAAAGAGCTTCACACACGCAAATTCAGCATCGTTTGAGGAGCAAGATGATGGTAAAGACTCATCCATCACTGAATCACTCCCACAGACCAGATCTGCTGTCACGACTGAAACCCCTAAACTCTGTAACTTAACTCAGAGAGGTGAATCTCAGTGCGCCTTCCTCAACCGGCTCCCTGATCTCTGCGGCGTGACACAGTCCCCCTCGTTCCTCAAACCACGAAACGTCGTGGCTTTCCGTAGCTACTGCAGCTCCATCAACCGCTCGAACATGTCCCGGCTCAGCGTCGGGTCTATCGATGTTATGGATGTGTCCACAACAGCTTCTTATCACTCTGCATCTGGGGCAGCAACACCAGTACAGAGAAGACCCAACTCCAACAGCTCTCTTTACCAGGTGAGACACAGTTTGAAGAGACGGGATGATGGGAAAGAGGTGTTTGGCATTGGTTCTCTGATTGTAGAGCCTTCACTCAGCATAGGCAAACTTGGTAACTGCAGGTTGGTTGTACAAACGTCAAAGAAGAAATCACAAATAAAATAGATTTTGATGAGTTTGCTGTTCGGCTTTATGATGAGGATTTGAGATGATAATGTAATGATCAAAAACACATCTTCATGTGTGTGTGTCCTCTTACCTCCTTCTCACATCAGACCCCTCAGCCCATGTCGACCTCTCACACCCCTTTCAGGACTCCGAAGAGCGTCAGAAGAGGAGCAGTGCCTGTAGAGGGTGCTCCCATTTTAGGAACTCCTGACTACTTGGCTCCAGAGCTTCTTTTAGGGAAACCACACGGTAAGAAAAGAAATGTAAAGAAGAAACCCGACATCGAAAAAAAGAAAAGAGAGCTGGTCAAACACATTTGATGTTGCATTGTTGATGTTGGAGTCCTTGTGACGGGCATTTTCTTTGAGTTTCAGGAAGTTGTGAGTGCGGTAAGTTTGTGACATTGCTCGCCTTTCGCAAGCGAGCCTGCATGTTCGCTCAGCTTGCTCATACGCTATAAGGAAATGTGCTGATCCTCCTCCCATTTTCCTTTCCCTGCTGGTTCTGGTTCTGGTTCTGCCCCCTGGACGGGTGAATTAGCTATGGGCCTGATCAGAGGGAGCAGGGCGGCGTATTTAAAGTGTGTGATTACAAGAGCTGGAAAAATGGGATCATCCCTTTGTGTTTAACTAACTGCATTGTTTCAAGTCTGGAAATCAGTGTTTTTTTTAAGGCTGACGTGCTTTTGATTGGACAAGAGGGTTTGTTTTTGACATTTAGCAACTGACACGTAAAATGTCGCCTAATAATGATGAACTGATCGGACATTTTATGACTCGACTGTAAAGCTGCGGGCAGTATTTCTTGTCAGTTGCACGATGCCATTGTTTAGCATGGTCACTGCCATATTGATTCATGAACAGTATTTCTGTGACATGAATGATTCTGTGTGATAAATTTTAATCCTCTGCTGCCAAGTATTTGTCTTAACTCACTAAGAACGTCTTAAACAGCTGTAAATTTAACTTTAATACTTTATACTTATAACAGCTGTGAAAGTGACATATTTCTCTTGATAATATTTCCTCACAGTTATTTAGAGTCCCACTCATGAATGAAGAGATGTAAATGAGTTGAACCCCTCCATCCTCAGTCTAACACAGTCCCTGCTTTTGCCACTGCGGTGTAGTCAGAGCACTCTAACAGGAATCATGCGTTTGGATCCAGATACTGTCTGAAATGTGTTTTTTTTCTTTAGACTACATGGTGGATTGGTGGGCGCTCGGCGTGTGTCTTTTCGAGTTCCTCACAGGTGTGCCGCCTTTCAACGACGAGACGCCACAACTAGTTTTCCAGAATATTCTCAACAGAGGTTGGTTTGTTTGCTTGTTGGTTTTACTTTTCTGATCATACTGGACAACATGCTCATCACAGTCCCATATGATGGTCCTCTTAGCGGTTTTCAATGTTTCTGAGATGTTTTTTAAACATGGTTCAGTCCTGTTCAAAACCATCTCATCGTAAGCCATTGTAGATGATCTGCAGCCTCTCAGTTTCTCCATGCAGTGATCTAAGAAGGGAGAGTGCCGACGTGTAGACAAATGCAGAGGCAGAAAAACACCAAATTAAACTTTGCGAACTCCTGCCAACATCAGGACAAATGTTCTCATAACAAAACAGTACGTACGAATAAAAGTGGCGACTCCTAACTATGACGTGTCTGCTGTCGAGGATCATGAACTGTTGATAAGATCCTTTTAAAGAACCCAGCTTATCCAAGCGGTGCAGGGCTCGACACTGGCATTTTCGACTAAAAATAGATGTGTGCGAATTGTAAAATGTATTTAGGGGCACTTTTGCGCATAAAAAAATAGCCGAGGCAACAAATGTTTTTTCATATAAATACCGCGGTGAAGTTAGTTTTAGGTCTGATATTCGGTGGACATTCACCGCGGATCTTTCTGGTATCTTAAACTCTCCATAACCAGGAATAGCAACAGCAGCAGTGAGGTTAAATCTTCTCAGCATCCTCGCTGTCATCGTCAGGTGTTGAATAAGGGACCGTCAATAAATTACCGGTTGATGTTCTTAGAAAAGGCTGTTTTCCTTCGATAGCTTCCAAGTCATGTGACCAAAAAAACTAAAATTGATTTCAAATAATAGTACTTAAGTCGACCAATAAGACAAACATTATTTGATCAATTTTCATTGTGCCCCTAAAGCTCTTTGTGCGCTCCTTACTTTTTCAATTTCGGAGCACACGCACTCCATGTGAAAAATGTTAGTGTCAAGCCCTGCAGCCTCTGTTTTCTTTCGTCCCGCAGCACCCAGAACAAAATAAAGACTTTTTGTTTGTTTTTGCAATCAGCAATTTCTGCATACGGCTCTACCCTTTTATAACACTGATTCAAAACCTTCAATAAGCATCAGAGGAAGCAGAATTGCTTGAGGAGTTGGAGCGGTTTGGCATACAAATGCAAAGTGCTCCTGTCGTTACATCATCACCGGAGCAAACGCCATTCACTGCGGTAAAGCAGAGGCTTGAGGAAGTTTATAATACAGGCTGTAATTGGTGCAAAGTCTGTATTAAACATCAAATATGCTGAACAATGTCCTCTTAATTCCCTGTGCCGTAAAAGATAGTATGAAGTGCAGACAGTCTTTTCTTTAACTACCTCTTGTCCGTCGCTCTAGATATCCCCTGGCCTGAGGAGGAGGAGGAACTGCCTGAGAATTCAAGAAACGCAATTGAAATCCTCCTCGCGATGGACATGACGAAACGAGCTGGTCTGAAAGGTGAGGACCTTTTTTTCCTCTAACTTTAAATATCGATGAGACCTTCATAGACCGTCGCATAAATGTTACCTGAGAGCTGGATTTCTTCTGATAACGTTGCTCGACATTTTTGTCACTTCCATTCCAACCCTCATTGTCTGAGATGATTTGGTTCAAGTCTTAATCATGCTTTTAACTCAAATCAAAGCTTCTGGATCGGTTTCAGGTTTGAGACATGTAAAAGAGGCTTTATCTGTGGACTATGTCATACTTGCTTTGGGAAGTACACTCTGGTTCTGAGTCGTTCATTGTTGTCTGAACCTCCTCCAGAGCTTAAGTGTCACCCCCTGTTTGATGGCCTGGACTGGGACAACCTGCAGAACCAGCCGATGCCTTTCATTCCTCAGCCAGAGGATGAAACCGACACTTCATACTTCGATGCAAGAAACAACGCTCAGCACATCGCCGTGTCGGGCTTCAGTCTGTAGAAACAGACACCATCAGCTGTGAGAGCTCGGGCAACACGAGAGAAAACACACTATATGCTGATGAATCTCTCTCTCAAACACCCGCTCTATTATGCAGAATAATTTACAGCGATGATGCGGGTTACGATTGTCTGTCTAAGGTTGTGATTGAAAAGAAAATACATTTTACCTGTTGTGCAATAAGGGGCTGTAAACGCTAAAGATGTTGAAGCGATTAACTGCTTCTGTTACTGTATTCTTAAACTTCAGCACTGCCGTATAAACCTCCTTAGAGTCAGTTCTCCTATTAGAAGCTTCTGTTTAACTAACAGGCTTTGATTTCAGCGTTGTTCTTGGTCTTGTTTAGATTAATAATAACTTTATTTGAGAGGTCACACCGGCCACTGATGCGATCTTTTTTCGCTGATACACTTCTTTACAGCACTGAGCGTGATTATGAGGTTCCACTGCCGTTAGTAAACTGGGTTAGCGGGCCCCCCTGAATTTCGGTCTCGCTGGGTAAATGCTAAAGAAAACATGCTAATATAATATATGGATGAGTGTATTTTAAATGTAAATCTTGTTAATAACATGTTGTGTCCTTGTTTTAAGATGGGAGTAGGTAGTTTGTTCCAGATCTGGTTTTGGCTGCTTTTATGTCAGTGTTATTTTCTTCTCTCCACACTACTAGTTCTTTTAGAGTCGTTTCTGTGGCGTTTCCTGCTGCTTGTAAGATTTCATCTTGTTCACTCCAGGAAAACTACTTAAATACAAATAAAATGTGTTTGTAATTTGGTGTATGTTGTCCTTTTTTAAAAATACTTTTACATACCCGTAAGTAGGGCTGGGCGATAAACGGAAAATTTACCTATACCGAAATTTACGACAATAACCAACATCATTTGCCCATGTTAATGTATTCAGTGTCAAAAAAAAACAAATAAATAGAAGTTGGTTTTGGATGTGTGTAGGTGGTCTCATGTCCCTGTCTACGTTGGAGACTTGACTCCACCCCATCCAGTCAGTAACAAAGAGGGAAAGACAGATGAGGAGATGGAGGGCGGTTCAAAAGTTGGAGCGGCAGCTGAAGTAGACAAAGGCTATGTCCAACATGAATCCAGAACCCCTAACTCCCAAATGGGGTTTCACTATATAGCCAACTATGTAGTGAGCTCAATCACCGGAGGTTTCGGACACTAGTTGCGGCTGTTGATTTCACCTCTCTTGAATTTTATGATGTTGTATAAATGTATTTGTTTTTCCGGGATGTTCGTGAAATTTAAAGAAAAAAAAACAATTTTTTTAAAAGGCCTTATATTTTCGTGCTGAATATTGTTCGCTGCGTCACATTGTGCACGACACTATATGACGCAGCAAACACTTGTTTTCCAAAAACTGTACGGATCACTTGTGAGTAAAGATAAAAAACTCACTCTGAAAAAGGCAAATAGGAACGGGTTCTGTCTTCTTTATCAGACTACGCCATTTCCTGGCGATTGAACGGCCAGTAGCTTCTCTATCTTTGAATTGCCGCTGGAGGCGCAATGCATGACGGGGATGCCCACCACCGGTGAGTGACCATCAGATTGTCACAACATTTTGCAATGCTCAATGGGAAATTTTGAGTCACCTAAACGGGGAACTGGAATCGATCACTCAGGTTTTGGACACCCCTCAAAATGGCGCTAACACCCATATAGTCGCCTTTATAGGGGTTAGGGATCCATTTCGGACACAGCCATAGTTAATGAGGGACGGGATGAGCAGCTTGTGGAGTTATCGTCCATTTATTGTTATTGAGGTGAACTCAATATATCATGATATTAATGAGGCCATATCGCCCGGCCCTACCTGTAAGTCACACACAGGTAAATAGATATTCATAGATACATATCCAGAGTCCCAGATGACTTGACCATCTTATTTGAATAATCCAAACAAATTGTGATGCTTTATGAAAATTTTATTCGAGGCTCAGATTATCACATGCATACACCGCTCTACCACAGGCAGAGAGAGTGCGAAAGCCTTGGTACGCTTCAGTAGAAAGTTATACTTTTTTATTAAAACATAATGGCTCTGGCATGATTAGTGCTACAGCAGAAGCAAACCTTTGTAAATATGATACAGTTATCTCTATTTATAATCGGTGAGAATGCAATTAAAATACTGCATTTTAATCTGAACTGTACATCTATAGTTACACTTTATAAAGCTCTCACTGCTTTGCAAACAACTCATGATCACTGTCACTCGCACACACACGCACACACACACAAATCTTTTAACAGTATTCTCATAAACATGTTATATCACACGTTAAAATTATACAATAGAAAACAGGACAGAGTAAACGACACAGAGGGTGACAGAGTTATTCGTTAATGCGCTCATTTCTAAGTGGCTCACTAAGATTCATGTAGATTTGGTCCAGCACTGAAACAGCTCTGCTACAGTGTGTGAATGTAAAAAAAATCTGAATGCCGTCTCCAGTATTTATGTACCTTATGATGTGGAGGCACTTCTTCTACATGGAAAAACAATGAATTTGAGAGTTTGGACCACATTCAAGTAAAGCGCGGACAGATATGACGGGTGATGTGAACCTGGTTTCACCGACACACAACATTGAGCAGTCACTTTAAACATCAACCTCATTTATACAGTTGAAATCTGGCCGCGTATGCCTTCATCTGAACTGTTGCTAAAAGCAATAAATATTAACTTATTCTCTGAATTTAAACGAATCGAAACACATCAATATACATTACATTCAATCCTCGCTTCTAAACTACAGTCATTACAGGATTTATCATAGCAGCATTACCCGGGCAACTGATGTCGGTAAAAGTGTGAAAACGTATCGCCACGTCAAGCGTTATGCTCAAAAACTACAAAAATGGGGCCCTTTTCTTGTGCAACAAAGCCTCAGTTATGGGAATAATTGAGAAGCTACTGTAACTGGTTTCTAAGTTTTCACCTTCTCGACGCCAACCGTTCCAGTAAAGTGGTATCATCTTCAAAAGGTCGTCACGGACTGCAGCCCTTACATTCATGTTCCTATTTGATTCCACATCAGAGAGACTTCCTCTTCCTTCTCTCTCTCTCATACTATCCGCACCTTCCTCATAGTGCAAAAGCTAATTTCTGGGCTGTGAGTTGAAGCAGAGGGGAGGGGGGAGTTACAGCCATCAGCAGCCCAACCGAAGTCCTTCAGCGGACTCTTCTTCCTCGTCCGTGCCAGTCTGGAGGTTCAGTTGATTCTCCTGTTGAAGAGGCAGATAGTTTAAAGGGATATTCTGGCGTAAAATTAATTTAGGGTCAAACACGCCGTAACACCGAGTTCGACACCCCATCGAGAGATGAATGTTGCCGACCGCTTGCTTCTCTAGTAATACCAACTTGAGTAACAACCGCAGGATAGTAATACAGAGAGCCACGCGCTCAACCAAAACACCACTCTATAGCCACAAATAATGCTCAGAACAGCACCTAACTTCATCAACAGGACATATAGGGTCACAGCCATAGTACTAGCCACCAAACATCTTTTTAACTTTGACTCATTTCTTTAGCAAAGAGACTGAACACAACTCACCTACTCTCTTCCAGCAGCCGTTTGTTTGTAGCGAGACATCAGGCCAGTCCATTACGGACTACAGCGGGGTGACGCAGCTCAAGGAAGAACATTTATGATCATTACACTGCAGATGTGGTAGTTCTTCTGCCTTGACGTCTCGGCCTGATTGCATTTCCATGAAGTTAGATCATAAATGTTCTTCCTTTGGCTGCGTCACCCCGATGTAGTCCGTAATGGACTGGTCGAGGTCTCCGTACAAAACAAGCGGCTGCTGGAAGAGAGTAGGTGAGTTGTGTTTACCGTATTTTTTCGCAGTATAAGGCGCACTTAAAATCCTTCTGGCTTGTCGGAGCTCTGCAGCTAGCGTAGCCTCGCGGAGTTATTGAATGAGTCAAATAAAGTTTGACTTATCTGACTGTTTTGTTTGGTTTAATGCGCTTTATAATCCGGTACGCCTTATGTATGAAAATAGACGCGTTATTGATGGTGCGCCTTATAGTGCGAAAAATATGGTAGTCTCTTTGCTAAAGAAATGAGTCAAAGTTAAAAGGATGTTTGGTGGCTAGTACTAAGACTGGGACCCTATATGTACTGTTGATGAAGTTAGCTGCTGTTCTGAGCATTATTTGTGCTTATAGAGTGGCGTTTTGGTTGAGTGCGTGGCTCTCCATATTGCTATCTGCGGTCATTACTTAAGTTGGTAAAACTAGAGAAGCAAGTGGTCGGCAACATTCATCTCTCGATGGGTTTCTAACTTGGTGTTACGGTGTGTTTGACCCTAACTTAGTTTTACGCCGACATATCCCTTTAAGAGTTAAACTGAGGTATGTCATTTTAAATTTGAGCTGTATTATTACGTAGAAAAACAAATCACCTCCTCCTCCTCTGCAGGTAGAGGCGAATGAGCCACTGGACCACGAACGGCCATATGACAGCGAAGGCCAAGCTGGTCGGGGAAATGTCAAAAGGCCACCAGGAAGGTTTCTAGAGCAATTTTAATAATAAACATGATTTTAAACAACACATATGAGTAACAGCCGGCTTTAAATTTGTCTGAATTTACGTCAGAAACATCATGTTTTAATCTGCTTACCTGTCTCCTCTTATTCACTGGAGGGGGCACATAAGCTGGAGACAGAGACATCGATCTCGCCTGTATGAATTATGAAATAAAGGAGAAACACGTCGATAAGCTTTTCAAACAGCAGCTCAGAGCACATCGTTTCAGCTGAGAGCTTTTCTCCTCTGAGTGTTATTTACTGTGTCAAAGTACAAACTCCTTATCTCCTCCACTGCAGAGCTTTGATTACACACAGAAACCCAAACCTGACGGGGCCAGTTTAATTTTTACACAGTTTACTGTTTGTTCAACATGACGGATGGACGAAGACGACCCTTTTTTTTTAAACAAAGTGATGCTGACTCGATAAAAATATTAGTAAACTCGCTTTACATTCAAGAATAAAACAACGCAGTTTGATACAACACTCAAACTCGTCAGCTTTGCCTCTACTGTTCAACCCAACTACAGAAAACTTGTACATGTAATTGAGTTATCATTTGAATCCTGTTTAAAATACTCTTAAAACAACAAATTTCAGATTTGCAGTAACACAGCAGTTTTAAAATGTATATTTACTGCAGTATTTTGATGATACTTATTGCTAAATTCCGTATTTATTCCTAACATCTTCAGTAACATCTTAAATTTGCCTCTTTTGTTCCTCTGAATCTTTTCTTGTTAGCGGTCACAAATGCAAAGACATGAATCCTGATACCTAAAAAGATTCGCCTGAAAAATCACCAATAAAACGACGATAATTAAAGATCCTGTTGGGAATTTTCTGTTTGTGGCGTCAAAGTGGAGAAAGCCGTATGAAGGCCGGTTGAGCCGAACATTATCGGACCTGATCTTGTTTTCTTGTGACTGTCAAATTAAACATTAAAATCTGTGAATATTTTGGAATAATCAAAGTCGACGTCTTCTTCAAAAACTCCTCACTGGAGCTTTAAAAGTTTCCACTCGTCATCTTTTGTGTGAATGATCGCTGCACTTGTGGATTTTATGTACTTCACAGTGTAAATCTTACCTGTCACAGAGGAAAATTTGCATAATTATACGACTCTTCAAAAAGACCTGCTGACTTTTCTGTAAACCTCAGAGTTCGGAGAATGTCTCTCTGTCCTGTCACCGTTAATCAAGTGTGTGTGCTGAATATTTTTGACTGAAACACAACCAGCTGGTTTGGATCCTCTTGTGCTGGATTTATGCGAAACTCTTCGGATTGAGAGAACAGACAGGTCTGACCTGGCTGGCAGTCAGAGCCTCCAGGGTGTGCAGCCTCTCCAGAACGCTCTGCATGTCCTCCTGCAGACGAGCCAAAGCCACAACTATCTGCTCGTTCAGGCTCCCCCCGGGCGTCACCGCTCCACCCCTGCGACTCCCATCCCCGTCTCCGGCGCTGTACGTAGGCACCAAAGATTCAGAGGCGAGGCCCGGAGACCTGGAGCCTTCAAGGAAAACAGAAAAGTCTAGCAAAGGGGACGATTCCTCAGAGTTTGAACACAGTATCGGCAAACTCTTACCTTGTCCTCTTCTGACCAAAGAGCTGTCCGGCATCCCTGCATTCAGCCTCTGCCTCTGTGAAACTGATCCACCGTTGTCTCCATCTTCACCTCCACACCTGAGAACCTGAGGGGGATCATGAATGTCCTCCTGGAGTTCTCCTGCTGCCTCTGACTCCTCTTGAGGTGAGGGGTTGTGGTTCTCGTCTTCGTCCAGCTCGTCCAAAGAGCGGTTATGCTCCGAGTTCTGCAGAGGAAGCACAACACGCACATGTCAAGATGAAATACATCGTCATGGTGGACAAGTGATGTGATAAACAAGTTGCTTTGCCTCTTCCTGGCCAAACTGGTCCACAGAATCGCAGTAGACTTCGCTGTCTGAATCACTCGCCAGGTGACCGGGGCCGGAAACATCCACGCCGGGATCTGAGAGGGAATTATGAAGAAGGAACCACTAATTTAGTCCAATCAAACAACGCCGAACAGAACTGATCCAGCTCAGAGAACACTAAAGCTGAGTAAGACCATGAAACATGACGCCCCTCACCTGTGTGACCGTTGAGGACAGGTTCACCCTCCGGAGACTCGTCAGCGCTCAGGCCGCTCCTGGAGTGACCCCCGTTTGTTAGATGGGCGCCTCCGTTCGCCACTTTACCGTTTGAGAGGGGCGCTTTGTGCCTCCTGGCTGCAGCTTTCTTCTTCGGCTGAGATGCTGCAGGTTTCTTGTCTGAAATAAAATCAGAAGAGAGTTTTTATTTTTATTTTATTTGACTTTGTCGTCTTTTTGTTTGAGTTTTAAAAACGCACTTTTACTCTTTGGCTTTTAACACATCGTAGAATTATTTTGCTTGTTATCATCATAGCGCCTGCCGTGAGCATGCTTATTTATTTATTGATTTATTTTTGCATTTCTGTATTCTTGTTCGCTTTATCTTGTTCTTCGTTTTATTTGTTTTTAGGTCTGAATGTACAGCACTTCGACGACCCCTGTGGTTCTTTTAAATGTGTTATAGAAATAAAGTTTATTGATTGGTTTATTGATTAAATGTCTTCACCTTTTTTGTTTTCCTTTTCTTGTATCTCTCTCTATTTAATTGTGTACACTTACCCTTTGCTGTTCTTTTATTTAACTTTTGTTTTTTTCCTTTTTTGATTCATTTCTTTCTGTCTTTTTTCTTTTTCTGATTCTCTTGTTTGTTTTTCGTGCTTTTTTTTGTCCTTTTGTTTTATTTTCATTTCCTTGATTTTTTTTTGTCTTTTCCGTTGTCTTTTAAGTTTAATTTTTTTATTTTCTTATTCATTTAGTTTATTTTATTTTTCTTTTTTATTGCGCTCTTTTACTCTCTTTTTTCTGCTCAACACTTGCTGATTTTTCTTTATCTACTTTGTCGTGTTTATTTCGGTTTGGTCACACTTTGAGACTGTTGTTGCCGAGTTCGGTCGACACTGTTTAAATAACACTAAAATCTTTTTCACCTTTTCTGGTCTCCCTTATTAGTTCTTCTTCCTCTTCTTCTCCTTCTTCCTCCTCCTCCTCCTCGTCTTCCTGCGCCTCTTCATCCGACCTTTCCTTCGCCTCTTTTGGTTTCGGTCTACTCGGCCGGATCTGCAGCGTACCGTTCATCTCCATGGTTCTGATGATGCTCTTGGTGACGCTCTTCGAGGGCATTGAATTCAGCATGGTGCCAAACCCTGAGCGACAACACGAGGGGACTTTGTTATAATCAAAACCACAAACACGAAGAATCCTTTTGGATGATTTCCTCCAGTTATAATCACAGTAGGTGATTTACAGGGATGACTAACTCTTCTACTTTTATCAAGTCTCCGTTTATCTGCATCTATTCACGTCTATTTCTGATGCCACAGCAACCTTCAACGTGCAAATCTGAGCTCCATCCACAGGCCTGACAGGACTGCTAATAAGCACTAAAAGCAATCTACGCTACAACGCCAGACAAATACAAAGCCATAATCACAGGGATCAAATATTTACACAGCGTCGTACTTGCCTTCCAGTTGCTTAGCAAACTTTGTCAAACGGGCTGAGCATCAAACAGGAGGCAAATTATAAAGATTAAGCTCTGCGTGCTGCTTTTTGACAGACAATCAAAAATGTTCAGAGCTGCTCCGAACGGATAAAACCCACCAGTGCTCAGGTCCGATATCTGGGAGATCTTTTTCTTCTCCTCGATCAGCTCGTAGAACGGGCCGAGCACACGCAGGAGCTCCTCCACCTCATCAGTCATGGGCATCCCCTCCAGGATCTACGAGTCAGTAAAAGGGATGTTCAGTCCGAGTCCATCAATAACCCGGTTATTTTCAAGGACACTGAAGAAACATACCAGCTTCATCTCCTCGACATAGGCTGTCATTGCTTCTTCTCTTGGCATATCTCCCAGTGAGTTCCACGCATCCCTGAGGAAATAAAGTGAATCGAAACAGCAAAATTAAATCACTTTATTGAATAAAATATCAAAGTACCGCTGAGTTATTTGTTTGATTTTCAACTCTGTCAACAGCCCGGTTTAATCCAGGCCAGTGCAATCTTGGGCGTCTGTGGGTCAAACGTTTATTAGTAACCAGGGCTAGTCCTCGACTTCTCTTTTATGACCGCTGTGCTGATTTTTTTCCTTCATCTCAGACCGTGAGGGAAGCGGTCCAGCTTAGTGGGTAAGAGGTTACATTCCAAGTAGAGTCCAGAGATCACTGAGCATAACTTGAGACCCAACAGAGGGGGAACCACAATGCCAGAAAACACTTTTTTCAGTCTTGCTCTGCAACGTGAGGTCAAGAAAAAACATGTTGCACAATGTGTTTTAATTCAGCAGTGCATGGTTTACTTCACATTTAATCTCATGATGTGTTAGTCAGCTCAGCCTTGAGGGAAAATTATTCTTCAAAGTGTTACAGAGGATTAGGTCTCCTCAAAACACTACTGTTTGTCATATAAATACCAACACTGTGCAGGAATCATGTTGAGAAAAATATTTCTAAAAACTCAAAGACAGAGTTTGTGTTTTTTTAGTGTTACCATTTCGCTTTGCCGACTGCGTCCCAGAAGCCAGGTCGGGGTATATTACACGCTCCTATGGTGGCTTGTTTGTAGTAACTGTAGAACTTGAGCATCATGTCGTTGGAGGGCTGAAAGGGACCTAAGGAGGGAAGTGAAGAGAATTAAAAAGTCATTTTTCAGACTTCAGAGATGGTGTCGTGCTCATTTTCAAGCTTTAAAATGTCCTCCAATAAGCTTTGATTTAAATAATTAAAGCTCAATAGTCATCATGATCTTTGGAAACCATCATTTCAGCTTCTGTCTCTTTAAGGAGCCCCAACATTTTAGAAGCCTCCTCCACTGTTGCAATGCAAAAAAGTCCCATTTCTCAAAACAAAATGCAAAAAAAATGAAATACTGTTGTCTGTTCTGGAAATTTTTCTCAAGGATTCAGATTTTTAAGAATGACAACATTTTACTCACAAGAATAACTGCAGTTTTTTACTTGAATTTTGCCCTAACACTCTGTCGTTCAATTCAGACTCAAAAAGTTTGGACATAGAAAAAAACAAGACTTCTGAATTTACTCTTCTCTTTTATGGAGGTTTCGCCATCTTATGGCACAATTTAAGCAATACTTATGAATCTTTTTAAACAAGCCATTCTGGGCAGTCTGCAGCCTCATCCTGGGATCACTCCAACTAGGGCTGGGCGATAAAACGATAACGATCCATATCTTAAATTAATTTCCCTCGATATCAATATCAAACATGGTCAATATGTTTTTCGGTAGTTGACATTCTGCCATGTTTTGGTAGACTATACGAATAACCAATGAAAAGAGGAGTTGCTCCGGGTTCACTTCGCACTGAACCAATCATGTGCTGATTTAGAACAGAGTAGCAAACAACTGTGTAGTAGCAGGCAGCAGCTACACACAACCATACCCACTCGGAATGCGACGTCGAAATAACATCTATTTAACGTATTTTTTTGATGATGAGGTACAATGTGGACGTCATTTCAACGTCTAAAAGAGGTCCAATACTGATGTCTAAATCTTGGATCCTTTTTGCACGTTGTGCCGACATCTAGATTTGGTCTTCAGTTGACGTCTAAATTCTAAACGGCAGAAATGCAGATGAAAGGTCCTTACACACCGGGGCCAACGCGAATATAGAACGCAAAATTACGAAATATTCTGAGGGGAATTTTGACAGGCCTGACTATACACATCAAGCCTGATGCGATTTTGCGACTTTCTGGGGGGAAAAGACGCATCCCAGGGAAGACCTTTCCCAGAGAAAGTCCCGCCCCCTTCGCCTCTGATTGGCTAGAAAAGCTGGAAACGTCATCACACGCTCAAGCCAAACGGTCAGCACTTATAGCCAATCAGAGGCAATAAGATAAGTTCACTTGATAGCGGTCTGAGACCACCTCTTCAGGCGGACCAGAGTTCGTTAATTTGGTCTGCACCAGAGTTCGAGGTCAGCGGTCACACCGACCCAAACGAACCGCACCAAGGGAGGTAAACACTCCAGGGTTCGGTTCAACCGGACTAAACGAGGGTGGTGTTAACGCGTCCTACGAGACACAAATTTCATTATTTTGACTGAAATGAAAAATTTCTCTTTCCCCATATCGCCCAGCCCTAACTCCAACACATGTCTACCTCACAGTCTGACATTTTGCCCATGTTTGGTTTTGAAACCCAACACTTTAACCTGGTGCTCATTTGTACTATTCGCAAAGGCTTACTGCCACCTCTTTGAAGGTGCGGAATCACCTATTTATACACACCTATGGAGGCAATGTGAAATGACAGACCTCCAAGAGTGACAGGTCTAACTGTGTATTAAGTTGCAGGCTGCTGACAGGGAAGCTGGTCCGTGTCAAAGTGGATTAGGCCCTTTAAATCGCACAAGATCCAGGACACACCAAGCTGTTCCCTTGCACCTGCTTTCTTGAGCCTGACATCATTCTGATCGAGACCCACAACCCCCACGGTGGGTAGACGAGCCTGAATGACGGGCTGCACCGGAGTGTCCACTCACCATCCGGGGGTAAACTCTTGATCACTTTGACGGCGGCATCGAACCTCAGCTGGATCAGACGCCTCTCCTCCTCCGCTGTCACACTCTGGACCTCCATCGTCTTAACACAACACCTGCAAAACGGACGTAAAATAAACACAACAATACGACATGACACAGACTAACAATGCATGCAAAAACCTATCTTTCACGGGACTTGGAATACCTCACTTTTTAACTGCCAAACTCACAAGTTAATGTACCTACTGTATGTTTTGGCCACCAGTAGGAGGAGGCTGAGTCGGTTTTGTATCTAGGACACTATCTAAGGTGCGACACACGTCTATTTTCACCCACATTTAGTGCTAAATTCAACCTGAACTCGACGCAAAAACTAGAAAAGCGACGATACTCACCGTTCAAGCCAACGGCCTATCTGTTTGTCAGAATACGACCTGTCTTTAGCCCTCGACCAGACGCCATGAACGATATGATAAAGCCAGGCAGAACTGCACTCTGGGAGTTGTAGTTTCTACTGGGTATCAACTAGCCTACAAGTTCCAAAATCTTCCGCATTAGTTAAACAACACGGTTCAGGGTGAAAATATAGTTTCAAGACCCGAAAACGACTTCTAACGAGCATCGTATCTCTAAAAAATGTGTTAAAATTTTTTATACTGTTTTGATCCGATTAAAGATTTATAAAGCGTTTATCTGTAGCTTCAGTTCTGGGTAAAAACTACAAGTACCAGCATGTCCTCGTCACAATCCAGTCAGGATTTCTCGCCGTTGGAATTGTGATATGTATGAAGAACTTCGAAGTAAGACTACCCACTCTGTTCTCATTTGCCAGAACCGTAGCCATAGTCCAAAAGCGAAATTAGTCAATAAATGTAGTTTAGCCATTCAAAATTGAGAAACCAGTCTGCGAACCTTTGTTGGTCTACTTATGCATTTGTTACATGTATGTAACGCACTTACTACCTACACTACTTTCCCGATTTGCTGCAGAAATCTTGCATAGGGGACAGTTTGTATGAACTAACACAACTAACTAAAAATAATAATTACAAATGATTTTGATTAAATCTGAAAAAATACACCTCATAGTAATGGCATTTTATTTAATAATTTATATATTTTTTACAGCATTATTATGACTTTACTCCCATAAACACTCCTTAACTTCATGCAGTTTTGACTTTTATCACCTTATTTTGGACACATAATTTCGAATTTTTATTACACAATTTTGAATATATATTCAGATTTTTTTCATGACAGTCAAGTCTTCCTCGTTTTCATTTTTCATAGGCGGAAATTTACGGTGGCCGAGAACTGCCACTGCTGCAAATAAAAAAGAATGCAAAAAATAAAAAAAGAAGTCACAACAGATACTGATGCAAAAGAAGAAGAAACCAAAGCCCGCTGCATACAAGAATAGAAACAGTGCAACATGTATATAACGCACTTACTACCAACATTACTTTCACGATTTGCTGCAGAAATCTTGCATAGGGGACAGTTTGTAAAAAAAAACAAAAAAAACAAGGATGCAAATATAAAACCCCACAAGGAAAGTGAGCTGCTGGGGACCAATAATGAAAAATGAGCAGTAAGTAACTCCTTTTTTTAATTGCCACTTTTTTTTTTGCTTTGTTAGCTTCTATTGTGACTTCTTTTTTTTTTTTAATCTGCACTGTTTTTTTTATTTGCAGTGGGCTTCGGTTTCTTTTTTCTGCATCTGTAACTTCCGTTGTGACTTCTTTTTTTTTAGTTCTTTTTTAATTTGCAGCAGGCTTTGGTTTCTTCTGTTGTGACTCAGCCACCATTGAAACCAATTATACAGTGGCCGAGAAGTGCCACTGGTGCAAATAAAAAAGCATGCAAAAAAAAAGAAGCCACAACAGAAGTTACTGATGACAAAAAAAAGAAACCAAAGGCTACTGCAATTAAAAAAGAGGTGGTGCCGCTAAAGAAAACACAACAGAAGTTAATGACGCGAAAAAAAAGTGGTGGAGCAGAAAAAAAAAAGTTACTTATGTCGAGAGGACGAGCAACAAGAAGAGGAGAAAAAAGGAAGTGGAAAGGTTATTGTTTAGTTTCACTTGGTACACTTTTCAATGTGTCATTTGGTGAGGCCATGTAGCGCTCACTTCTGTTGTGGCCTTTTTTTTTTTTTTTTGCATCCTTTTATTTTCGTAGTAAGTAACTTTTTTTGCATCGCCTCTTTTTTTTTTTTTTTTGCATCACTAACTCCTGTTGTGGCTTTTTTAAAAATCTGCACCGTTTCTTTTTTTATTTGCAGCAGACTTTGGTGTCCTCTGTTGTGACTCTGTGGTTCTCGGCCACCGTACAAACTGGCTTCTATATCAAAGCCACACAAACATTAAAAAAAACGCAGACTTGCTTGCGCACCAAACACTAGTCCCGCTTCTAACTACAGAGTGAGCACTCTTTACTTTCACAAGCGATCTTCGGGTTGAGGTTACGCCAAAGCGAGGGCAGGAATCCCACAATAGCAGGCTGAGGATCTTTTTTTTTTCTTCTCCCTCTCTCTCTCGAAGCAGAGCAGGGCTGGTGGCTGTTTCAATCAAAGGGAAGGCAGAGAGGGAAGGGAGGCTCTGCGGGGTGAGATGTAAGATGGCAGAGCTACAAATGTTGTTAGAGGAAGAGATTCCGGCCGGCAAAAGAGCACTCGTGGAGAGTTACCAAAATCTCACCAGAGTAGCAGACTACTGCGAGAACAATTATGTCCAGGTAAGAGAGTTATCCTCCGAGCTGCTTTTGTCACGAAAAGCTCGGGATTTGAATGGTTGTTGGGACAGGAAATGTGGATAAAGAAACTGCTCAGCTTCGAGAGCTTTGTTACAACAGTTTGGTGCTTTTACTGACCGTGGGAGATTCGATCACCTCTTATATGTTTGGACCCGTTTACAACATTTATCCTGTTTATACAGAGGGTGTGTCGACTTTTCTTTTTATTATTTCACCGGGTCAAAACTGCTTCCCACTCTCACTGCTGATAAGAAGAAGGCCCTGTGGGTTTTTACTCGTCAAACAAGTTTCAACCGTCTTTAAAAAAAAAAAGATTTGTTTTCATTTACATGGGAAAGTTGAAGCTGTTAGTTCGTGTTAATGGATGCTGACACAGCTCAAAAAAACACAGAGGGAAAATAAATGTCACACTCAAACCATAACATTAATATTAAAGTAACATGGCAGTCCATTACACTCCATATGGTCATTAAACTCACCATTTAATACCGCAAAAACAGTTTAACTCCCCATTGGGATACTACAGTGATATTACATTATTGAAAGTAGACATTATGAGCTTGTGCAGCAGCTTTTACTGGAGCTGCACTATGTTTTTTAACCCTTAAACAATTCAGAATGCAACATTAAAGCATGCAGCGTGCATGGAGATGTGCAGAAGACCAGCTGTAGAAGACAGGAGGGTTTATTTGAGGTGCTTCATCTGCAGGAGTGCAGCTGGGAGACACAGGGAGGAATGTAAGGCGATTGTTAGTTGGTCAATAAATGTTAGAGATATTGATTTTTCTCTCCCTGAACTTACTCATGGGTGCAGGGCTTGGTTTTCTCTTCACACACATTCACAAGTTCAAGAAGCTGTTTTTTTTTAAACCCTGAATACTAACATGATAGCTCCTACGTTTCGAGGTGAATGCGTTTCATTTAATCCGCTGACCACAGAGGGGTTGGTCTGTTTTATCGTGCTCCCTTTTTGAGCAGAAACTGAGTGACAGGCGAGCGGCAACAGTGGTGAGAAAATATTTTCAGCAGGAAGACAAGCCACCATATCAGCCTGAGACAGAGGGTGTGTCCGCTCCAGCTGTACTCCCTGAGGACTCCCTGTAATTTTGTTTTCTTCCTCGTCCTCGAGTGATTCAGCTTCATGAGGCTCTGAAGCTTTGTGCCACATGTAGCAAAGACAGGCTGGCGCTTTTGCCCCCATTTTTGCCTCAAACTAAAGTCGGTTAATCTTTGATTTTTGCAACAACTTTTAAAAGTGACAGAGGGACCAGGTTGTGGACCTCAAATTGGGAGGTTCCTTGTTTGTGTAATGTTTACCACAATGTGACAGAGCATTAACAATGGTATTAATAACAACAGCTCAGTTTGATATAGAGAAGCAGGAACCACATGTTGAAACTTCTCATAAAGATGTTTTTAATACACCAGAATCACAGTATTTGAATCGGAATCTGCAGGGTGTTGCAAGTGTTGAAGGAGTGTGATTTTGCTTCTCCTAGCATTGATTTAACGTCTGTTTAGAACTACAGGTAGGGCTGGGCGATATGGGAAAAAGTTTATCACGATATATTTTTTTCATATCAGCTGATAACGATACATATTACAATATAAAAAATGAAATTTAACAGTGCTTATTGGTTGCATGTCTTTTGCAATACAATAAGCTACTGCATCTGTGAGGTCTTTGTGTCTCTTCGACATTTTGTTGTAAGGTGTTGTGCTAGAGAAAGCTGACTGAATGGTCGGCTGTTTTGGCTGCACATGCGCCATGATTTGAGGTATTCCCTGACTTTGCGAGAACATGTACTCGACATAATATGTACATAACTCTGCATCTGCACTTCACGTGTTAAAGTGCTGTGGTTGTGTGTAGCTGCAGCCTGCTACTACGCAGTTGTTTGCTACTTGGTTCTAATTCAGCACATGATCGGTTCAGTGAGAAGTGGACCCAGAGGAACTCCCCTTTTTCATTGGCTGTTCGTATAATCTAACAAACCATGGCAGAATACAGACTATTGAAAAGCATATTGACCATGTTTTATATTGATATTGAGGGGAATTAATTTCCGATATATATTGTCATCGTTTTATCGCCCAGCCCCAACTACAGGTCGACAGATATCAGATTTTCAACCAGTGCTGATGCTGATAATGAGAGAGCAGGTCAGTCGATGGCTGATACATGATACCATTATCAGGTTGTTGTGGTCTTTTTTTAGAGCCACACCAATTCATTGGGCTTGTTTGAAATGATCAGCATCACAAAAAGCCGATATCACAGTAATCTTTACTCAATCATTAATGATCAGACATTTTATTTAGATTGTGACTTTCCTTGTCTTTGTCTCTATTTTAACCCCAATATTTACCTTGTATTTTTTCCTTTATAGTAATTTTAGGTAGCTGGACAGAGATCCCAGAGTCCCTTGTGGCGTCACGTCACTGGACCTAAATTTTTTTCCTTTTTTTTTTAAATCAAAGACATTATTTACGTTGAGCTTATTTGAAGATTTCAAGAAATTGTTGAGTTTTGTCAAATACAAACAACAGACATGATAATGTGTCACTAGCATCATATTCACAATTGGCAGACCTGCTCTCACACTATCGGTATTGGTATCGGCATCAGTTGTAATGACACTGATATCAGTCAACCAGCAGCTGTTTTTACATTTGTTGAAATAAAACAGTTTAATCAGATAAACACATAACAAATTTGCTGAATGTGAATGAACATTTTCTGTGAACTTTTGGTTTTCTGTTCAGCCGTATGGAATCATGAGAATATAAGAGTTTAAGGTAGATATGAGTTTATTCATAATTTCATTATTTCATGCTCATTACAATCTTATTAACATGGTAATGAGAGACGCTAACATGTGAGATGAATTTTAATTAATTCATGAAATAGAAAAAACCCATTTGTTTATGGTTTAGATTTCAGATCATGCCAAATCGGTAGTTAATGGCTTTATTGAAACATCAGAACAGAATTGACAGTCAGCTCTTGCTAGTACCGTATTTTTCGCACTATAAGGCGCACCTGATTATAAGGCGCACCATCAATGAAGGCGTCTATTTTCATACACAAGGCGCACCGGATTATAAAGCGCATTAAAGCAAACAAAACAGTCAGATAAGTCAAACTTTATTGAACTCATTCAATAACTCCGTGAGGCTACGATAACTGCAGTGCTCCGACAAGCCAAAAAGATTTTAAGTGCGCCTTATAGTGCGAAAAATACGGTAATTGTTAAAGATCTCAGCTGTCAATCAGTTGACTCCAACTTCCTCTTACTAGTCCAAAATCAAGACTAACTTATCATGCACTACGAAGTGCCTGTGCATGTTTGGTTAAAACTCATTTTAGAATTTTAATTTTTTTTCATTAAGCAGAATTAGAAAGCGTTCAAGGTGTCCTCATGAGTACCCACGTGTGTCCACATCTCATCCTTAGTGAAAACAATCCATTATAAATAAGTAGATTCTACCTTTGTGTTACAGTGCAGTCAGGAAAGCTTGCTCCATGAGTAAATTTGTATAAAATGAACAAAGTCAGGGGACTGTTTTGCAAGAATTCTGCTTTAAGTGGAGAGAAACTGTCACAACGTCAGGGTTAAACAAAAAGAGAGAAGGACCCAAGTGCAGATTCAAAACATGATTTATTAAGGAGAAGCAACAAAAAACACTTACTTTAAAATGTCCAACTGAAAAATCCAACAAAAGGCAACTGGGGACAAATAGACACACACATAATGAACCAACCAGGACAGAGGGGAAGACAGGGACTATATACACACTGGGAAACGAGCAACAGGTGATGCTAACGAGACACAGGTGAAACTCATGAGTGATTAACGAAGGAGGGAAAACAGAAACACAAGGAATCAACTACTACTGCACTCAAATAAAACCAGAAGAAACTAAATAAACAAAACATATGACAGAAACAGTCTCAATGGTTTTATTTAGATTATGATATGACGATAAATCTGACCCAATGAGATACAAAACAGAGAAATTAACAAGTCTTTGTTATTTATGAGGAATTAAATGTATGGAAACTGTTGAGAAAAACGCAATCTGACTATTAATTTGACTTTTTTTGTAACTTTACTAAAAATCGAGGTGAAGTTGTGATTTGTGTGTCTGGTTAATTTGCGTTTGTGTCCTCAGATTTCAGCAAACACCTTCGTTAAAGCGCTGACGTTTAAAAAAAATCCGGCTTTTAAGCTGTTCAGCACACGTTGCTCACTCTGTGTGAAGTGAGTGTCAGACTAACAGCGCACTTTTCATAAGCCCTCGCACTGTCTGCTGGAGATACACACAGACACACACACACACACACACACACTCTGAACTGAAGCACTTACACATCAACATGCCTCAGCTTGAATCAGCTCGTCTTTTCAGCACTCCTCCCTCACACTGCCATCTCTCGTGTTAGTGTGTGTGTGTGTGTGTGTGTGTGTGTCCCTGTCATGGAGGCTCTACTGTTGTTCTGTTTGCAGCTCAGCAGGCTGAAGCAGATGGTGAAAGCCACATTTGAACAAGGACACATCACTGCCCCACTTTCTCAACTTCACGGTGACTTTTGTTCGTCCCAGAGAGTGTGTGTACAGCAGCGTCCGTGTATGTGTGTGTACATGTGTGGGTGTGTGTGTGTGTGTGTGGTATATGACACACTGACAGGTCAGAGTTATGTTTCCTGTTGGCTCTGCTGACTCTGAGGTCCAGAGCTCCCTGGAAATGTCTCCTCTTTGTGCCAGGAAGTGGCTTCAATAACACAGCCAGAAAACACCCTTTCACAATAAGACATTAAAACAGAGATTATTTAGATTAATTCACGTTTTTTTTCCTTCAGGATAAAAGCCCTGTCGACCCTCTTGGAAGTGTTTATCCTGCTTCTTTTTTCCTGTTTCAGTGGGAGTCAGCAGCAGTCAGTTTTAACCTCTGTGACAAGGACACAGACTGTATGCAAAGTGGGCCACCTGGCCGTGTTGGCAATGACTGAAGGGCTGCTGGCTGCTTAGTTCAGCGCAGTAACACGACCATTCAGACTCTGTCGCTGTACTCAGGCTGTATTTGACATTTGTAGATCTGATATGTTTTTGTATTGAATAACTGAACTTGGCTAAACACTTTAAGGGATATTCCGGTGTAAGATTAATTTAGGGTCAAACACACAGTAACACCAAGTTAGACACCCCGTCGAGAGGTTAATGTTGCCGACCGCTTGCTTCTCTAGTTATACCAACTTTAGTAACGACCGCAAGATAGCAATACACAACTCACCTACTCTCTTCCAGCAGCTGCTTGTTTGTAGCGAGACCTCAGGCCAATCCATTACGGACTACAGTGGGGTGACGCAGCTCAAGGAAGAACATTTATGATCATCACGGTAATGCAATCAGACCGAGATGCTAAAGCAGAAGAACTACCGCGTCTGCAGTGCAAAATGATTAATATGATGATTATTACTTCAAGGAAATGATAGAGTAATGATCATAAATGTTCTTCCTTGAGCTGCGTCACCCCGCTGTAGTCCACAATGGACTGGTCTGAGGTCTCGCTACAAACAAGCGTCTGCTGGAAGAGAGTAGGTGAGTTGTGTTTAGTCTCTTTGTTAAAGAAATTAGGCAAATTAAAAAGATGTTTGGTGGCTAGTTCTATGGCTGGGACCCTATATGTCCTGTTGATGAAGTTAGGTGCTGTTCTGAGCATTATTTGTGGCCATAAAGAAGCGTTTTGGTTGAGGTTTGTTTATGGCTTCTCAGACCGCTGTGTATTGCTATCGTGCGGTCGTTACTAAAGTTGGTATTAGAGAAGCAAGCAGTCAGCAACATTCACCTCTGGAGGTATTTCATCAAAGAGTCTTCAATCAAACTGTCATATTCCTGAGAGTGGCTAACAGTAGCAGAGCTAGCACCACCTGCCGTCAGTCAGTCTATATGCCTGTTACATGTCAGTTTAAGCAGGAACAACACGTCTATCCTCATTTTCAGGATCTGCCTCGCTGATAAATCATTCCTCCTCTGAACTCTGGCGTAGATAAGCGTGTATAAACAGCGTACAGTAAGGAGGAACAGGGAAATAAAAGCAGGATGTTGTGCTGCGAATAAGGAGGTCACACGGTCAGATCAGATCCAGATCCAGTGTTGTAATCTCCGAGCATGTGACTGCTGACTGAGCCAACATGATGCCCGCTTGTGCTCGGAGTCTGGACTGATTTGAAAAGAGCAGTTTTGTGGTTTTCCGCTCAGAGCTGCTGACTCTGAGAGAAGCAGAGGACAGGTGAGACGTCCTCTGTGTGTCCCGCTCGGATCACCTCGGTGAACCTGTGCCGTGCTGTGTTATTCTCCCAGGAGGATTAATGGCAGTTTCTCTCCTGGATGAGTCCAGGTCTTGAACACAACATCTCTTCCCTATCACAGCTCAGTTTTTCTGGGTTACTCCGAGTCCTCATTTCTCGTCCTTCTTTCTCCGACTTTCCCTCTCTTCTGCGTGGCCTGGTTTTCCTCGCAGCGTGGCGGCTCTCGGCCCACCAGCCAGGCTCATTCATCCTTTTGACCACCTGTCACTCCTCCCCCTCAGCTGACTGAGGTTTGGTTTGGTCCAGACTGCCGGACTGATCTGATTCAGTCTGCTTAGAGTGTATGTGGGAGTTTCAGAGCTCACTGACTCATTGTTTCACACCAAAACTGTCTGCTTGTAGTTTGATGTAGTCATCTTTTGGAAGGGTCGCTCGGTGTGAATAATTCAACCGCACACCTCCTGTGGCAGCCTGACCCACAAACATGAATATTAAACGTGTATTTATACTCCTTGATCAGGTAATTGTGTCTTTCAGGTGCAGGAAAGTGACTCTCTGCCCGGTTGAACCAATTAACAAGTCGCTCAGGAAAGGTTAATGAGTTCCTCCACGTGTCTTCGGCTCCTTTGTGACTCTTCGCTGACGTACTGAAGGAATTTTTAATTGTGTGTTGGCAGTTCTTCAAGGTCAGGTGGACCTTATGGCCTCTCTGTCAGCCTCCATCTGCCTCAGGTGGAGGAGCAGGAATTAGAAATTCACTCAGTTGGCTGCCGAGTATTTTAAGAGCCGAGACCGAGGGGAGGATTAGAGTAGTAAAGTCTGCTGAATTTGACTCTTTCACTCCTCCATTAGATAAACACTTTGTTGTTTAGATCGTAAACAGTGTATCCAGGAGAAGATCAATGGGTTAATTCTAATACGGTTTAGTCCATTGATTTCCAGTAATTAATGCTGCTTACAAAGAGTGTACCAGCACTCATGGCAGCATCTGTAAAGTTAAGTCACATGTTGAGCTAGATTATAATCTCATAATTTAGCACAAATATATACAAATGAGTCTTGGAGCGTCTGCAGTTTAGATGAGAATGGGTTAGGATGAAGATTTTAGACGAGGAGCATTAGCCTTATAAAATCTGAATGTAACAGGGTCTCAAAATACTGACCTGACTCATTAGAGGCCCTTTCGGTAAACTACAATACAGTGAAATATGTAGCAGAAGTGAAACAGTGAAAACTAGCAAGCCCTGCTGCAGCTAACTATGATATGAAACTATACTTAATTACAACTGAAGCATTTTTATTAAAGTTAGAAGTTTGTATGGTTGCGCTAAAGCTGTGATTCTCAACTAGTGGGTCCCGACCCAAAAGTGGACACGTTCTGGATTGGCCACGAACAGCTGATCAAAAAAGTAAATATTTGATGCGATATTTTTTAGATATTCAATATTTTCTGCATATGCAACTAACTCGGTCCATCGGGACTCCAGTCAGTGCTGCTCGAGTCAGCACTTCTATAACCTAAAACATCAGCACTGCCAGATGGACTCCAACAAACAAATAAATGAATGAAGTCTGGGTTTTTATTATAATGTCATTGCTGAAATAATGAAGTATGACCCTTTAAAATGAGTCCTTTCATGGGGTCATATTTCATCTGATCTGCGCTGTCATCAAATTGAAATTGAAAGAGAAGCGGCAGCTCTCAGGAATGACACATTGTCTTTTTATCCGGGAAATGTATTCAGGCATGATTCAAACCTTCCTGTCCCAGCTGGCAGACTCAATATTGGGTTTTACCTTCCATCTGCTCTGTAATACATCACTGTGTAATGACCGGGAAATAACACTCAGCTCTGAAACGTGTCTTTCTTGTTATCTCATATTCATTGGCTCCATCTTTTCTTCCCCCGAAAGCCACATCATTACAGAAACCCACAGAGCGCTGGCTTTCAGCCGTCACACTTATCTCGCCCTGTCCACTGCGTCCAGTCTGCAGTAATCAGCGGTCGATACATCACACGCTGTCAGGTGCCATGTGAGCGCCACGACCTTCTGGTTTTATTAGCGCTGATTTCACTCTGCTTTCGCTGTGGAGGAGTTCGAGTCTGTTTCTTTGCTTATCTCTCAGCTCACAGAAAAGGAAACAAATCCTCCGAGGTTGTGTTCGCCGTTTCTTTGTTTCCCACTCGTCCTGCGTCCTTGAGCTCTCGAACAACACTTGAAAGTTTTGGAGATCTTTGACATGTTGCAGGATTCCAGACATTCCTGAAAGTTTTTCCTGTTCCTGTAGCATTTCCCCCTCCGGACAAGTGGGAGCGCATAATGTGGATGTCAGCTGTGCAAATCCAGGAGCAGATAGCACAGTGAAAGCTCTGTTTTGTTGTCTCATGTACAACATGTTTGAACATTCAGTACAATACAAACACGCGGAGCTTGTCCGTAAAGGTTTTTTTTTTTAAAGAGTGTGAATGTTTGTGCTCTGAGCTTCAGCGGGATGATTCAGTGAGATCCGCTCATGAGTTTTGTTTTAGGTTTTTGCCAAACTTCCCTGATTTTATATTAGTCATGTCTTCCGGTTTGGAGCGGTGCTCATTTTGTCCATTTCATACTCACGCTCTGGCTTCTGGGTGGAGGGTGAAAAGTTTGTCATCCTGCAGAGGAAGTCTGGACTTATTCTGTCTCAAACTAGTCAACACACTCTGACCAGATTGTGCAGAAATAAAGTACCCACTGTGACGTCACCCACTGGTTTGCAAACCACAGGTTTGAAGCTCTAGGTTGGGCGGCATGGCTGTTTACCATATTTGTGACCATATTTGGACTGCAGGGCGGAGCCAGAGGGCAGTGAGGGGTTAGCAGAGGCCAAGTTATGAAAACTATGCTGTTTATATTTGAGGTTGGTGAGTCAGAAAGATAATGACGACATTTCCCACAGATTGAGATTCTATTTTTAACAATAGTTCACTGGTTTGATTATTTACTGGACTGGGCGACGTGAGCTTAAGAGACAGCACATGCTGGGTCCACTGAGACTCCCATGATTGACACGAAACACCTGATAAGCTGGTAGGCTGCAAAGACACCTTCACCAGCCAAAGCCAAGGCAGGGAGAGCAGCAGCAAAGACCTCCACGGTGCAGAAGAAAGCAGGAATCAGTGGTAGTATGTAAGGCACAGGTAAAATCAGATGAAACACAAACAGGAGGAAGATGGGCGAAGGTTGGTTGCATAGTTGCTTCCTCGTCAAACAGTTTTTTGAGGAAGCAGGAAGAGAAAGTAGTTTAAATACAATACTACTTTGACATCTGTAAATTAAAGCTAATCAGCATAAGCGTAGTACATGTATGTGAACCAGCCTGCCTGAACTAACACCAAACTCTAAACTTACTGACTTTACTTTCCGTTTCTCTTTGCCTCTCTGATCGTGTCTGATCAGCAGCAGGTTTAAGTTTAAGACGCCCAAAATAACACAACCTGCGTCATGAAACGTTTCACTGGCTATTGCTCCCCCCCCCAACAGGTGGTCTGCGTCTAGCTGAGGCTTGTTAATGATGGAAAGTTTGACAACAGTCCAAAAGCGAAGAGTGCATAATGATTACGACAGGAGCCAGCTGCCTTTAACTCTGAAAACTGCATATCTAAGAAGAGAGTTACTGTCAGACCTCTATACCCCACTCCCCCATCAAGTGCTGTGTGCAGGTTTGCATGCATAGATGAGAGACTGTCTCCTGGATAGTTGGTGGCAATCTTCTAATGGAAAAATAAAGGAAAATGTATAAAAGGTCAGCCAATATACAAGGGCGTCTGAAAATATACTCGGGAGGCCTGCCCAGGTATCATCTGTGTATGTGAACACTGAATACAAACTGTGTTTTGGACCAAGACAACAACGAGGTAGCAGCAATCTATACCATGATACACAACATTTATTAGGCTTTAAGACCCTCTCCAATGAAAATCATGTTTTTCTTGTTGTCTACTATTTTTTTGCTCAGAAATTTCTTTTCTGAGTATTTCTTCATACAAATCGCTGTGACCCAAACGGCAGGGTCAGAAACAGTGAGATTTCTTATGTAACCAATCCTAGCTCCGCCTCCAGAGCCTCACTACACGCGGAGAAATACAGAGGGCAATCGCGGAAAAGGCGTGTACGTTAGCGGATGCAATGATCGTAAGAAAGCTAATTATGATTTTAACTTTCAACATGTCCCTAAAGATATTAATGTCTGAGAGCTGAATAGTTTCTATGTTACCTGCTACTTCTACTACACCGGCAATGTTAGACTGCAAGCTAGCGTGAAGAGGAGTGCGCAGAGCAGCTCCGTCTCCGCCCACAACTCAGAGGCGAATCGCTAATGAGCTACTGGAGCTCTGCAGAAGAAAAGCCCTTAAAAATGACACAGGTAATGTGATTTTTGGTAAAAACTTAATAATCACAAGACCACTGATAACTCTTTAACTAGTGGAAAAAAAAAACGATCAGAGTGGGGCTTTAATAACGTCCACACAGGTGCCTTCTTTAGAGGTTAACCCCACAAATGACCAAATCTGCTTTAAATGTCTGCTTTTTAACACCGTCTCTTATGGAGATAGACTCACTTTTGTAGCTCCCAGTGGCCATTTTGGGAACTGCAGCTTTGGCCCAAAACATGCCCCGAACATAACAAAAAAAAAACATTATCTTGTTTGAAAAGCGTGTTTGCTCACTGTTATCGTCAGCCGTCATCAGACCAGACTGGATTGGTGACAGCGTGAAAAGAAAGTATTTCAACGAGCTCAGATCTTCAAAAACTTCCCAGAAGGCCTTTCCATTCCTCTGGCTGCCACTCCTCGTATCATATTCTCTGTTTTTAAGCTGAAATAAAGCTCTTACCATCAAAAGCTTCAAAACCGTTTCTCTCTCGGAGAATGTTTAACTTGAGTTTGACAATTGTTGTTACGTTGGCGCTGTATCTTCGCTGTAATTAAGTGCTTGTTTAATTTTCGAGCTTGCCTCAGCTCTCAGCTATAATTTCATTATGTTTACAAGTACCCAGCATTCCTCTGTACTCCCTTTTTAAGCCCAGCTGAGGTGCTGACAGCCTGTCTACTACCGCCTGGATCCTCTGCAGTCTCTTTCAGTCATTACTCAGCTCAGAAATATGAGATAAAATGCCCCAGGAGTGCTGAAGCTCTCTGGGAGCTCGCCTAAGTCCCTGCAGCTCACGTTGCGGTTTGTGCGCTCACCTCTCTGCTGCTGTTATTTACTTTTTTCACAGAGCGAGCACTCCCCTTTCCTCCCTGCCTCGCTCGTGCACTTTTTGCAGAATCCTGTGTAACTGAACATCAGATGAGGTTAGTTTGAAGATTTGTGGACGTCCGGCCTCTGAAGCGTGAATAAGTAAAAGGATGAAAGGGCTTTAACTTGAGCAGACGTGCAAAGATGCTGCCAGTGGCGATGCGATCAAGTGTCACATCTGTACTCCCAACGCCCACCACTCACCTCACATCACATCAGGAGAAAAATTGCACGTTTTATTTAGCATATTTTTGGACATGTTGCCACTCTGCATTAAATAGTTTCATCGTTGAATAGTTAACTAACTCTGAGGAGATAGTAGGCAGCGTACTGTGCAGCTGATCTCTGGATTTAAAGATTTACAGCTGCACGATTAACACAAGCTAAAGATTGAAGTTCATGATGACCAGAGGAGAGGGCTCGCTATAGCGTGGTCACTGTTTCTCATGAGCAAGAAAAGACTGAAACTTCTGCAGAAGGGCCGTCTGGGCACACTCAATTTAAGGCCTATTTTCTGCGCTTCAGATGGTACTGATATAACTCGCCCTGTTTCATCTTTAGCTGTGTGAGAGACAATGTGTCCGCTGCTCAATGTGGCCATTGTTTTCTCAGATCGTATCAGTGTGAAGTCATAAAAAAATCAGTTAGTTACATAAAAACGAGTGCTCATGCATGATAAACTCCGGCTATGAAAGTGGATTTGACACATTTAGGAACATCAATTGCAGCTATTGTATAACAATGGTTAAAGATCACATGTTGTGCTTTGGCTGAAAGGACAGAGTGTGTGAGAGACATGCAGGATTAATTTAACACATCACACTCTGTGCACTCTGTGTTCTGTCGCATCAGTCGTCCAGCAGTTTCCTGTCCCACCAGAACCACCATCATTCAGTTGTTTTTCTCTTCTTTCTTCTTCGCTTTTATTAGTGAGAAAGGACAGAAAGGGTTAAACCAACAACTGCAATTTGAACCGTTAAAGGGATATTCCGGCGTGAATATGAGTTACAATCAAACACACACTAACACCGAGATAGACACCCCTTGAGAGATGAATGTTGCCGACCGCTTGCTTCTCTAGTTATGCCAACTTTAGTAACGACCGCAGGAGCGCAATACACAGTGGTCAACGTCTCAACCAAAACGCCACTCTATAGCCACAAATAATGCTCAGAACAGCACCTAACTTCATCAACAGGACATATAGGGTCCCAGCCATAGTACTAGCCACCAAACATCTTTTTAACTTTGCTGAATTTCTTTAGCAAAGAGACTAAACACAACTCACCTACTCTCTTCTAGCAGCCGCTTGTTTGTGGGGGAGCCCTGACAAGTTAGTAAGAACTAAGGCAGAAGAACTACAGCGTCTGCAGTGTACATACAAGATACGCAAGAGCTCTGATTGCATTTCCATGAAGTAATGATCATAAATGTTCTTCCTTGAGCTGCGAAACTCCACTGCACTCGATGATCGACTGGTCAGGGCTCCCCCCCACGAACAAACAACAAATGAAGTAGCAGGAGCTGCCTCAGCTGGGCGCTTTTTTAGTTTAGGGTGCCTAGTGTACCCCAACAGGTGTTCCCACAGCCAATCATAATCTGTCTTGGTAGGTGGGGCTGTAAGTCAGGTAGCATTAGCTGCATCAGAAGGAGAACCAAGGAACATTTTACCATGGCATGTTTTAACATTTGTCACTTATTTCCACTGCTGTGAATGAGTAATCGAGTCGTGAGTCGCATGTTCAAAAGCTGTAGCCCTCATACAGGAGAGGGATCTGACCCACACTGTCTCTGACCTATCTTGACTAAATAAAGGCATAATATGGATCCATTAGTTTTGTATCTTTTTTGTACTTTTAACAATGAAAATCACATCTTTAGATTCCTACATTTCCCAGAATACACCACTTAAAACCAGCATCTCTGACTGATGATAAACAGCCATATCTTTGAAATGGCATTTTCTTGAGATATACAGACTTATTATGTTTCTTAATGTCGGATAAATAACTAAAATACACCTGAGGATCAACGTTAAGTAAAGAAAACCCAACTCTCAAATGGAAACAGAAGCGTAATTTTCCTTTATTTTCTTTTTATTCGTGTTAATTTAGCGGTTTATTGACATTTGGAGGCTGTACAAATCTTTATGTCCCAGATTAAGCAGCTGTAACTGAGCTCCACTGCTGGGAAAAAAATAACATAAACAGAGTCTCTGGCTTCCAGCGTGATATGTAGGCCAGCAGTTCTGCACAGGCAAGCATATGCTGCCCTGTAATCTGTGTAAAATCTCGTCCCTATACGACAAAAACTGCCTCCTCTTGCAACTTCGAAACTGCCGACATGGATAAAAGCCTGTTTTGTTTGTTTGTTTGTTTGTTGTTTGGTGTATTTTCCTGCAGCTGCGTCTTCATCTACCCTGCTGCATATTACAGTGTCAGTAGTAGGTGTCTGTGTGTGCACATGAATGACTTATGTGCTTTCAACAGATGGCCTTTTGCTCTGGGCCCTCTGGAGGAATCTCTCCTCCTTCCTGAGGCGGTTATCTCACAACACATCTGCCGCCTGATTCTCGCTAAAAGAAGCCCGGCTCACCCGGGCTGAGGGTAACAACACAGCTCTCCAGGTTGAGAGTTTAAAACTGTTCGGTCTGCTGCTGGATTAGTGACACTCTGCAGCCATGAGGAGCTGGTTATACTACACACAGTGGCATGTTCCTGTTCTCCTCTTCATGGGGCCTGCTGCTCTGTTTTTTCCTGTTTTTCCTCCCGCTGATAATCATCGCTACCCCCTGTCACAGCAGCCTGTTATCAAAGCCCCGTGTCGTCCCTCCAGGCCTTTGGACTTTATGAGTGAGTAGAGTCGAGGAGAGCCTGCAGAGATCAAACATGCAGGCTCAGTTTGGAGCTCGGCTCCTTGCCTCAGCCTGTTTGATGTCGGACTTGTCATTACGGCAGTTTGTCTGGTTTAGCCACTTTCTGCGCCGTCGTAACTGACACTTTGGTGTGTGGGAGTTTTCCAGACTGGGAACAAATCCTGCATCGCTGATTTTAACAAGACTTTCTGGTTGATAGTTCTGTGTTTGTGTTTGCTTTGTCTGGGTATTGTGCAGAAATGCATCGTAAGGTTTAGCGTGTATTAACTCAGTTAACCACTGTGTTTATTGGCCTTGTTAGTCCACTATTTATGCTGCAAGCTTGCTGAGAAAAGCAGCCCCCAAGTACTTTTGATGCCAATGCTACTAAACAGCATTGCCTGCAGACTTAAAGGTGCAGTGTGGTGGATGTTTTTGGTGCTAAAAATGGTGGATTATACTTTTAGTCTTTTAGTCCTCGAAGGCCACTGTGGCTTCACTGGGAAGAGGGGTGAGCAGGAGAGTGTTGGTGTCTAAATCTGACTTCTAAAGCAGAGCTGAATAGGGATGGGCGATAGGGCCTCAGATCAATATAATGATATATTAATCAATAAATGAAAATAACTAATTTTCAAACCAAATTTTATCTATTTATTATTTTGATATGGGAATATACCGATAAGGGCAAAATGATGTTGGTTATTGTCGTAAATTTCAGTATTGGTAAATTTTCGGTTTATCGCTCAGCCCTAGCAAGAACTGTGCAGGTTTCCTTCCTCAGAAATGTGGTTAGTGTTTCATCTTCAGTCCTCATAGCTCCACTATAGCTGCTGCAGGATGTGTTACATCATATCAAATCTCTGCAGAGTGTGGTGTGTGGTATCCTGAGGATGAGAGTTAGAGGGGAGGTTGTCTTGGCCTCCTCTATTGGCCCAAATCCACCACAAACCTGACCTAAATAAAAGCTAGAAAATGGATGCAAATCTTATGCGATAGTAACGCTAACAGCTCCTTCATCCTTTTTTTTCCCAGGCTCAGGACAAGAGGAAAGCTCTGGAGGAGACCAAAGCCTACACCACCCAGTCCCTGGCCAGCGTGGCCTACCAGATCAATGCCTTAGCCAACAATGTGCTCCAGCTGCTGGACATCCAGGCCTCGCAGCTGCGGCGCATGGAGTCCTCCATCAACCACATCTCCCAGGTCAGAATACACACAAATACACACTCGCACTGACCACGGAGCGTACAGCTGTGAAGAACGGTACCCCACATTTCCCGCTTCTCCTCTCACTTTCACACAGACTCGGTTATTTTCAAACACAGTGTGAGGCCTTCAGAGGAGTCTACAGTTCCTTTTTTGGGTTTGGTTTGTCCGGATGAATGTTCATCCAGCTTAATGACTGCGGCTCTGTTCGTCTGTCTTTTACACTCATAAACAATGAGAAACATTGAGCACAGTCAGTCTAACACTCACAGGACAGCAGCATTAATGCACTTGGTGAAAGTTTGTCTTGTGGATTGTAGTGGCGAGGAATATGACCCAATACTCGTACCGCAGTATTTTTGTCCTTCTCTGGAAATGTATTTTTAAAAGTCGCTGCTCAGCTGTATCCTCCAGCTGAGTCTGTGTGAACAGTTTTTTTTATTTCCTTAGAAATCTGTCTAATTTTACTGCTGGAGTTACAGTAAATTACAGCTGAAAATACACCATTTCCTGTCATGGCTGTTTCATATTTTATTGTACTACAGCAACATGATAACAGGGTTTTTTTTTTTATAGTGAAGGATTTGTCAGAAATGAAATGTGTCTTTTGAGTTAATTTAGCTTTAGTGGAGCTATATTTGGTGGCAGTTTTCACTAGCGACAGCATTTACAGCCTGTTTTTTTTTCTTTTTTTTGGCCACATATCAGACTGCCCACTTCCTCTGGACAACAACCGAATAATCAGCTGAAACAATCTTGTCTTTAACCGAACTCGCCAACATTAAACTGGTGACAGAAAAGAAGAAAAGTTAAGGAGATCACGGCGCAACAATTCACTTTTACTGTAAACACTGACACCAATTAGAGAAGAGGAGGAGGTCTCTGCTCTTAAGGGTCTGAAGCTTTCTAAATTTAGCTCTAAAGGAAAAAAAAGTACAAGAGAAATGTTGATATTGTTGTTATAAAACTGCATCATAATGATTGATTAATTAGTCTTTTGATTGTAGTGATAATTGTTTTGATGAGCAGGAAGTGTCACTTTTTTAAGCTTAAGGTCCGATTTTACCAGGTTGACATAAAAGTGTTAAACCATCAGACCCAATCCCTTAACAGTCAGATACATTAGACTTTAATACCCTTATTAAGACTCTTATATATAGTCCATAAATTCATGTGATTCTATATTTATATCGTCTGAATATCCCCGCAGCTCTGCCAGCTCCTTGTTTCCTAAACCAGGGGTCCCTAACCACAAAGTTCTGGACTAGCCCTGGTCCTCAGGTGGTTTTAAACCGGGCCGTGAAAAAGCAGTCAAAACAAGAGGGTCGAGTTCAGTTTCATAAATGTACTGCAGTGAGTTTGGTCATTTATAGGCCGACACTTTATTGCATAACATGATTATTTTCCCTCTCACAAAAATCAACAATATTTTCCGGTCTCTGAAGTGGACTGGACCACCTCGGCTCAGGATTTTTCATGGTTAAATTAGATTTTCGAGTGTTTTCTTTGGTATTTTAGGTTGTTTTATTACTTTTACTACTTCACGTGTCTTGACATGATATGAGGTGGTTCTATCAGGAATATGACAGCTGCTGTGTCGTCAAAACGGTCGGGAATCCTGGTCCTAAACCTCTCCTGACAGTGTGTTAAACCCCGGCTGTTAATCTGATACGAACACTTAAGCTGCATCGCTCCTCTTATGTCAGATAAGACTAACCTCTTGCAACAGTGTCATGAAATGTTGTTTTCAGACGTCACTTTTCTCCCTTTCTATACCATGAAGCGTGGGCCATGTGCAGGTAAATCCAGCCGCTCATCCAATGAAGGCATTAAGAGCTCAGACAAATCAAACAAAAAGCTCCCACCATGTGGCATCTCGTAGATTAGAGCAGCGAGGCATTCACCAAACCTGGAATAACTGTGAAACTCTCCTCTTCGAGCTCCAAACGTTCACTATGATTTTTAAAAATGAGACATGTCTGAAAAGTGGAGAAGAAGAAGAAGCTTCACTTTTCTTCTCTCTTCGCCTTATCTGTGTTTGCCCTCCGACTGAGATTTGCTCAGAGTGCCAGAAATTCTTCCAGGATGCACTGAAGGTCAGATTTTCAGCCTAATGGAGGGAAAGGAGGACTTGTGAGACTCCAGGGCTTCAGAGGGAAGAAGGAGGGAGCGAGAGAGAGAGAGAGAGAGAGACAGATCCTGCAAATCAGAGAGAGAGAGAGAGAGAGAGAGAGAGAGAGAGAGAGAGAGAGAGAGAGAGAGAGAGAGAGAGAGAGAGAGAGAGAGAGAGAGAGAGAGAGAGAGAGAGAGAGAGAGAGAGAGAGAGAGAGAGAGAGAGAGAGAGAGAGAGAGAGAGAGAGAGAGAGAGAGAGAGAGAGAGACAGATCCTGCAAATCAGAGCAGAGACAGAGAGAAATGGAAGATGGATGGTGACATACGAAGAAAGACGAGTGAGCGGCTGAAAAAGGCGTATGTACACTCCTGCAGGTTTGAGTCAATATCCTGACAAACAGCGTTCAGCTGGCACCAAGGTCACCGTGACGCTGCTGCTTTCCTCGGTTGCCATGACAACCCTCCGAGCCACACTGAAAAGGCATACAGTCCCTGAGATCTGAACTCTCCCAATCTCAGCTTATTATCGCGACTTCTCCGAACTGTCGCTTGTCTTGTGCTCGGGGAACTCCAGCCCCCCCCCATTAATGTGCACACTGGTGTGTACTTTTGGTTGCCGTGGCGACGCCGGACGAGCTGGTGTCACATCAGGTCAGCTTCTAGTTAGCAGACAAATGTCTCCTGCTTATGTGGAGTTCGTTCTTCTTCTGTGTTTTTTTGTACGAAATGCAGAAATGGAGTAAAAAAAAATCCAAACTCATTTGCTTCCAGCTGATAATCATGAATCACTTTCATCTCTCTCCACGTGTCCCTGAGAAATATGAATGATTTAGCAGCTTTGCCTTGATAACTGGAAAACTAGAAAACTCTGAATGCTTAATGTCCCTGCCTCGCACACACAGCATCTTCATCTTCCTCTGGTTGTTTCTTTAATGGATTAGACGGAGGAGAGGTCCAAGTGTAATGAAGCGTACGTCTGTTTTAATAACAGAGCGGCCGAGCTGTGGGCTCTGAAGGCTGTGGGTGTGTTTTATCTCCCTCTGCTGTCCCGTTCAGAGGTGGATCATTATCAAGTTGCCTGCGCTCCTCCAGGCCTGTGCTCATGAAGAGGAAAGACTTGAGCTCGCAGGGAAGAAGGTTTTCACAGGTTAATTCTTTCAAAACACAAAAACTATTTAAAACAGCCGAAATCACACAGGCTGCACATAATAACCATGTCAGTTTACGTCGTGAACATGTAGCTGTAATCCAAGCGACTCTTTAATAATAACAAATCAGTCAGCATGTGGTGAGACGCTGCCTGGCGTCAGAGATGTTTCCTCTGGTCTGCCCACAGTTACGAAGAGCTCTCTCTCTGCTCAGGGTGTGTCTGCACAGCGGTGGCATCGCCCAAAGTGGGATCAGTGAATCGCTCTAAAGTGTGGACAAAATCAGCCGATACAGGAGTCCAAGAAGGTGCAGATCTTTGAGTGTCCACTAGAGTTTTGTCTCATTAGCTCATTTAAACTGTGTGGATAATAAACCGAGTTGGCCGACCTCAGCTCCACCTTTTTGCCTGTGTTTACGCCAATCAGAAGTTAGGGTTAAAGCCTCTGATATAGGGCTGGGCGATATGGCCTCAGATCAATACTACGATATAGTGATCAGTTTACCTCGATAACGATAAATAGACGATAACTACTCCACAAGCTGCTCAACCCCTCCCACATTAACTTCCTCTACTTCAGCCGCTTCAACTTTTGAACCGTCCTCCGTCTCCTCACCTGTCTTTCATGTATATCAAAACTTTATTTCGCTCAATATTAATTATGAAACATGGTCAATATGCTTTTTGTAGGGCTGGACGATATGGGAAAAAGTTTATGACGATATATCTTTTTCATATCCATTGGTATAGATATATATCACGATATAAAAATCGAAATTTAACAGCATTTAATTTAAGAGTAACAGGGAACATTTACGACTGACAAGTGATTTTTTTACATCGTGATATATATATATATCAATTTTTACAGATATGAAAAAAATATATTGTAATAAACTTTTTTCCATATTGCTCTGCCCTAAGTGGAGTCACGTCTCCAACGTAAGACAGCGTCTCAAAGGGACATGAGACCACAGCCTACCTACACACATCCAAATTCAACTTTTATTTGTTATTTTGACACGGAATATACTGACATGGGCAAAATGATGTCAGTTATTGTCGTAAATTTTGGTATCTGTAAATTTTCAGTTTATTGCCCAGCCCTACTCTGACATCATCCACTGTCATCATAACACTTCTTCAGAAACTGAGACGGGAACCATGTTTTATTCAGTCCGGTGTGCTGTCCCTTTATTTGTATTGTGTTTATTGTGTTTGTACGTGTGCAGGTGTCAGTGGCAGTTTCGACATCGTCATCTGCATGTTGTTTAAGATGATGATGCAGCTGTTTCAGCTAACCACAGACTAAACTAAATGTATGACTTTCCTCTCAAATATCAATTTTCGTCTTCCTACAAAGTGGCTCGAAACATCCCCCTTTTAGGTTTCTCAATATAAACATGAACAGACCTCCTAGTTTCATTTCTGCACTATTTAAACCGATGCTGTTTAGTCCTAAAAAGGGTAACATGTGAGGTTTCGCTGACTCGAGTTTACTGCACGTGTTTCCTGATCGTGACTTAACGTAAAGATCAGTTTTCATCTTTTTAGACAGCTGTAGCTTTTTCAAATTAAGATGAAAATTATCAACGAAGCGAGTGTGTCATCCTCTCTAGAAAAACCAAACGATTAATCCATATATTTAAATTTGTTCCCGAGTTGATATTTATCAGTTTGAAGGGCAGTTTAACTGAATGTGTGTCCTGTTGAGTGCTTTCCTGCTCATTGACATTCAGTGTATATGAGGCTGGAGTATGACTCAACAAAAGAGAAACCGGTTTGTGAATCTGTGTGCAGCTCCACGCTCAAATGTTTGTGTTTGTGTTGAGAGGTATTTGTTTGTGTGTAAACTCCCCTGCTGTTGTTGCCATTCACAAATCGAGGTCTCTCTCTCTCTCTCTCTTTGCCGCTGCTACACTGAGGCAGAAGGGCTGATGGGAAAATAGAGCAGCTCGTGGGGCTTCCACCTTGTGCTGCGTGTGAAGTGGCTGCTAAGAGGCTGCAAACAGCGAGTGCTTTGTCTGTACGCCGGAAGAAAGTGCCTCACATCGAGGACCTCTCTGTGATCCCCGAACAGAGAGGGAGACAAACCTGTGTGTGTGTGTGTGTGTGTGTGTGTGTGTGTCAGTGTGAGATCTGACATTTAATAGAGAGATTTCCCCTCAAATCTGATCTGCTGAACACTCAGTAAATTTGACTTTCCAAGATTGAACCCAGAGGCGTGCAGCGACACGTGAGCCGTGTTTAAAAGTTCCAATCTGAATTGTTGTTTCGGAGCCTGCGGCAGCTTTGGTGGAGGTGTTTCAAAATTATACAACAGAGGAATAAACGAAACTTTAACTGGAGAAACTTGAGCATGAACTGGAGGAGAGGAGGGCTGGGAATAACAGGAAGAAGACTGAATAGCATTTTGAAAGATACTAGGGCTGGGCGATATGGCCTCAATATCACGATATCACCCCCTCCCACATTATCTTCGTCTACTTCAGCTGCTACAACTTTTGAACCGTCCTCCATCTCCTCACCTGTCTTTCCTTCTTTGTTTTGGACTGAATGGGGTGGAGTCATGTCTCTGATGTAGGACCATAGCCCCTACCTACACACATCCAAAACCAACCTTTATATTTTTATTTTTTTTGACACTGATTATATTGACATAGGCAAAATGACGTCTGTTATTGTCGTAAATTTCATTATCTGTAAATTTTCGGTTTCTCGCCCAGCCCTATGAGATACCTTCGCTGCAATTGTCTCTTAAAGGGGCTTCAACCTGCAGTTCTCAGCTCTCGAACCCTCAGTTTTTGCTTCCCCCCACACACCTTCATGAGTAGAAACAAACAAAACCTCATTATAGAATCACCACTGACAAATTTAGCATGACCACATGACTAAAAAAAACCCCACTCAGACTCTTTTGATGACTTGTGTGCAGTTTATCTGAATAACCGTCCCCCCGCCAATTCATCGTCTGAAGAGTTTGTTTGATATTATAAGCGAGAACAAATGACCAATTCTTAAACCGCTATCTCTGGAAACAATAAGTCACAATCAGGAAACACATGCGGTAAACTCGAGTCAGCGTAACCTCACATGATGTGACTCTTTATTAGAACTGAACAGAGTCAATTTAAATGGTGAAGAAATGAAACTAAGGGGTCTGATCATGTTTCAAAAGAGAAACTTAAAGAGGATGTTTTAGAGCCACTTCGTAGGGGGACAAAAATTGATATTTTAAAAGAAGATTCATACACAAAGTTTAGTCTTAGGTTAGCTAAATAGCAGAATTTTTCATCTTTTAGCATGTATGCACCATATTGTCATAGGTAATTGGATTTTGAATAGGTTATGTGAGATACTAAAGATGCAGCGTGTGTGTGCATCTGTTGTTTGTAACTTACTGTAACAAGACGATCGTTATTTTAGAGCAGGCAGCTGGATGCTCCTCAAATATCCCCTGTATACGTAATTTTAGCCCACATATACAGTAGATAGGCCAGCTTTTCTTTTCTTTTCGTAAAATTTTACCCTTATTCTTGTCAGTTTAGGACTTTTATCTCTTTAATTGACTTTTTTCTCCTTAAACTACAGCTTAATTTTTGTAATTTACAGCGTTTCACTCAAAGTCTTGAACATTACAACCCTGAATGTGGTCTGAATCCTTTGTTGTTTTTAAGTAAATCAACTAAAGTTTCGTACAGAACCACAACTGGCAAAACACACAAAAAGTCCCACGCAACAGAGTAATGAAAAAGTGAGACAAAACAGTAGTGATGACTAATAGAGTAGAAAACCTCAGATGTTACAGCCCATTATCTCGATGCTGCAGCCGTGTCTGTAATGATGTAAATGGCCTCCACTTACATTTGGAGCTGGCCAGAGCTCCCACTGAACCCTGTGACCACAGAGATGAAGCAGCAAACAGCAGTCTGGGAGCAGCAAGCAGCTGGCACACACACACTCACAGACACACACACACACACTGTACACTCCCAGTTATTTCCCACAGCTGTGAGTTTGACTCTTTCTGCACTCACAGTATCGCTCTTATCTCATCACAGGGGGAATTTCATCATTTGGGTTCATAATTTCAGCTTGTTTTTCATTCCTGTCCTCATTCCTCGGGTGCACTCTAGCTCCTGTTTGTGTGTTTGTGTGTGTGTGTGTGGAGCTCTGATAAGGACACACACTTGCAAAGACTGAGGAGTTGTGTCTGTGTGCTGCAGTGCTGGCTTTTTGACCTCCCGTCGAGGAAGAGTGGCACTGATCCAAACAGGAAATGAAGCCATATAGGTCTCCCTGTGTGTGTATTTCTGTGTGTGTGTGTGTGTGTGTGTGTACGCTCCTTGTGTTTCCTGCTGATCCCTCTTGCTTGCCCGCCTGTGTGTTTTCACTCTCTCTCTCTCTCTCCTGCCTCTCCTGGTGGTCTCTCCCACTTGCCTGGCTGTGAGATGCAGACGAGGGTTTCTGTATTTCCTTTCTTCCTCCCTCACGGTCGGATATCTACACTCTTCGTGCCTTTTTCTGTCCTCGGTGGATTATATTGACGTGTCTGAGTGTGAGGAAGAACGTCTGTCTGTGTGGTCTCTACCCTCTGGGCACAGGTTATTAAAGGTTAAAGACACGGGTTTGATATTGGAAAGTGCCGAGCTGAATCTAGAGAGTCCAGAGGATGTTTTGAATTAGTTAGAGCTTCCTTTAGAGGGCTTGACACTAACTTTTTTCACAAGGAGCACATAGGAATGTAGTAGGAATGCACCAAGAATTTTAGGGGCACGATGAAAACTGTTTAAATAATGTGTGTCTTATTGGTCGATATAAGATATTGGTCTTTTGGTCACATGACATGGCAGCTATTAAAGGAAATGTTCAAAATTTGCCTTCAAAAATTTTTAGAAGACAAATTAGGGAAATAAAGAGGTGTGTCTCATTGTCTGACCTTAGTGCTTTTATTTGAAATCAATTTTAGGTCAATTTGTCATATGATATAGAAGCTATTTAAGGAAAACAGCCTTTTCTTAGAACATCAACCGGTAATTTATTGACAGTCCCTTATTCAACACCTGACACCGGTAGATCCGATGTGAATGTCTGTCGAATATCCAATCTAAAACTAACTTCTCAGCAGTATTTACATGAAAAAAAACACTTGCCTCGCCGGATGTTTTTTATGCGCCCCTAAATACATTTTACAATTCGCACACATCTATTTTTAGTCACAAATGCAAGTGAAACGGTCGCACTGTCGAGCCTTTCTTTAGAGCAGTGGCTCTCAAGTCCAGTCCTCGAGCCCCCTTGTCCTGCATGTTCTGGATGTTTCCCTGCTCCAACACACCTGATTCAAATGATCAGCTCGTTATTAAGCCATTTCAGAGCTTGATAACGAGCTGATCATTTGAATCAGGTGTGTTGTGTGTTGGAGCAGGGAAACATCCAAAACATGCAGGACAAGGGGGCTCGAGGACTGGACTTGAGAGCCACTGCTTTAGAGGAATACTAGGACTTCATGCACATGGAACACTACAAAACATAACAAAAAAAGTCGGTCTTGGGCTTGTGGCTCATGGCTCTGGAGCTGGGTGGAAATTAATAGAAACCAATGATTAAAGTAATGCAAACTGTATTGAAATTCCAAACAAAACACTTGGTACAAACCCAAAGAATGCCAGACAAAATGAACACAGTGAAACAAATTCACATCCAAATAATAATTCTAATTTAGGGCAAGTAAATGGGGAGAAAACAAAAACAATATATGATATATGATCCATGATACTAGAAGATATGATTGGATATGATTTGATAAAATACAGAAGAATACTGTATGATAGGATATGATACAATAGGGTAGGATTTGAGGCCCAAGATTACAATATTATCAAAATACTGCATTCCCTTGTTTTTTGGTTCTAAGGGGGGTTAGTGTAACTCTTAACTTCTTCACATTGCTCCCCATTCACACCATGTAAATATTGATATTGAGGCGTATCTGTATGAGTTGAGAGCTCACATTCTGGTTGGTATGAAGGATAACCTTGTATTTTCTTCACGTCTCACCCCTTTTTAAAATGATTCCTCTGATATTAGTCAAACGGTCTGAAACCACCAAAAACAAAAGGAGATTTTAACATTTGTGATGTTTCTATTAAACATGTTTGTAAGTTAGTTGATTGGCTGTCAGATTCAGCTGAATGTCCCTCGTCACTGTTGCTGCGTTGGTTTCCATGAAGGTGTTTGTAACTGTGTGAGTTGTAACAGCCTGAGTGTGAAGAGCTCATATCCACTCTGTCCAGCACGAGGTGAAGTGTGACTCAGTGCTGACGGGAAACGACCGCTGACTGACGTTTTTTGGGAGCCTGCGGTTCCTTCAGCTCTTACTTCTCTTCCCACTGCAGAGCATCATTATTACCACAATTTTTTCTCCCACTCAACGACCACTCTGCAATTAAATCTAATCACCGCACCTCTGCTGTGCAGCTCGCCTTGCTGTCATAAACACCACCGGTTTGAAATGACTTCTTTCCTCGTACAGGAGCCACGATCTACAGCTTCTGGTGTTTGTTATTATCTCCGTTGTTGTCTGGCTCTGAGTCTGGGCATCATGTAGTCTCACTCTCAACTTGTATGTGAAGTTCACAGCTCAGTCAGGGAACAGTTTGGCCTCAGCCCAAATCTGAGATTGGCCAGTGTCAACCGAGGTGTTTCCATATGTGCTGTGTTAGCAAACAAAGCGTCGACCTTGGCTCGCAGTCTTGACTCTTTTTAATCGACACTTCGGGGAGGAACAATCCCTCCAAGGTTTCACACTTCCAGCCCTCTCAACCTCCATCACACCCCACACGGGTTGATAGATTTACCAGAGGAATCCGGTTTTCGAGGGATGTTTAACAAGAAGCTGCCAAAGTGAGAACTCCCCCACGGGGCGACTGACCTCCCATTTTGGCTCTGAGTGTAGATGAAGCTCCGGCGTTTCTCTGTTTTGCACTAACTGCTCAGAGAAACAGAATTCGGTCATTCTGACTCGGCAGATGACAAGCTTCAGATGTTCTGGCTGTAATCACGCTGAGAACCGGAGCAGACAAAGAGGCATTGGCTCTGCTTTCACAGCTACTTTGGCTCTGTGGAGAAGTGGGGGTGTTGGACTGCGGTGCTGTGGGAGATGACGCTGGACTGAGTGAGACGCAGAGGATAGAAAACTGGGAACTACAGCCTGAAGCCTCAAGAAGAAGAAGAAGAAGAAAACATGTGACAGGAAGTTTAATGAGTCAAATATAGGACAGTGCGCCCTGGAGCAGTAGTTTTATGAGTGTTTGTTCCCTGATGGGTCACAAGACAAGCCTCAGTGGTCATGAGATGATTGACAACGAGTGAAATAAAACTTTCATGACAAGAAAACAGAAGAATTTGGATATTTGGGTGGACATTTAGAAACCTGTGCTTATTGTGAGGGGAATTCTGCCGAAGAAGTGACGAACTCGACGCAACGAATCAAGTCTATTTAATCCCAGCAATACCTAATCCAGCACCTGATGATGACGCCCAACAGCTGCAGTGTCCCAAAGGAAATTGCCGCCATAAAACTTTAATGTCTGAGACAGAAAAGTCCTCTTCAGTATCTGATTTATCACAGCCCGGTGTTAAATTTCACTGACATTTTATTGCTCCACCACCAGGATGTAAACAAGCACAGATGACTGATGGTACTTAGTATTTTGATCTAGAGAAGTAAGAATCGAAATCGCCTTTTTTAAGCTACTTTAACCCCATGAATTAACTTCTCCCTCCCTTCCTTTCATGCTCATATCTTGTTGGTTTTTCTTCGTTTCCCTGAGTCGTACTCTGACTCCTGATTCATGAGTCACATCGATGCATAAAACCACACGCCGCCTCGATGACACAGCTGAATTTTCTCCCCGCCGAGCTCTACACGTGTCGGTTTTTCCAGATTCCGCGAGAGCGACGTCTTCCAGGACCTTTTCCCTGAGTAAGTTATATCAGGAAGCACAGGAAATCGCTGTAGTAGGAGCCAAGCAGGCAGGTTAAGAGTAAGTGGGCGCAGCAGAGAAAAGCACACTTCAGCACTCGTAGCACTTAATCATAAAATAACTGCTGGAACGAACCGAGCATCACAAATTGTTTAAATCCGCTCTCGGGGTCGAGCGTGGGTAATGATGTGAGCAGAGCTCTGCGGAGAAAGAGCGTTCAGTCATCTTATCCCTGAGAAAAGGAGAAGAGACGCTCATGTCCTCCTCAGACTGTCTTCACCCGTTAGCTGCTCCCTCCATTGTGGTAAATCATCTCGTACAGTAAGCCCAGAAACGGAGGGTTCAGATGTGTTTAACAGACGTGTGCTTCTTAGTTATTATCTCCTCATAATCCTTCAGAACAAGGATTTTCAATTCCTGGACTGCTGTAAAGACAAGCTTATCTTCGCTCTCAGCCAGCTCCGGCCTTTAATAAGACCCTGCGCCACGTCCGATTTCATAATCACGTCGTGCTCGTTTTGATGATATTACACGCCAGTAAAAACGTGTCCTGATGTTCTTGGGCAGCAAACCCTGTTAACTGAATAGTTGTCAGTGTTGTAATACCTCAGAGGAGCAGGAGGTAGATGATGCGCTGACAGTTTTCTGGAACACGTCTTTTTAAAGATTCTCAAAATATCAAAACAACCAGTGAGTATTTGAACGTCTCAGATTGGAAGTTTTGGAAACATGTATTAACCAGCACATAAAATACATGTAATCTACTCATGCATCCCTACATTATTTCAGTTATCTTCTCTATATCCTTGTATTCCCAATTATTAATAAGGATGAAATACATAGAGCATACAGGAAAATAGGGCTGGACAATAAACCGAAAATTTACCAATACCTAAATTTACGTCAATAACCAAAATAATAATTAGCCATAATAATAACCAGAATCAACCGAACTCAACTACACAAATTTACAGCAAAAGAAACAAACAAAAGAAAGTGTGTAAAAGCAACAGGGTAAGATGACAGTAAAATAAACAACTTTTTGATATCTGATGAATTAGGGCTGGGCGATAAACTGAAAATTTACTGATACCCATATTTACGACAATAACTGACGTCATTTTGCCCATATCTGTATATTGGGTGTCAAAAAAATAAATAAATGAAAGTTGGTTTTGGATGTGTGTAGATAGACTATGGTCTCATGTTTGTTTAAGACCGTAACAAAGAGGGAAAGACAGGTGAGGAGATGGAGGACGGTTCAGAAGTTGTAGCGGCTGAAGTAGACAAAGTTCATGTGGGAGGGGGTGAGCAGCTTGTTGAGTAGTTATCGTCCATTTATCGTCAACGAGGTGAACTGCTCAATGTATCGTGATAATGATTTGAGGCCATATCGCCCAGCCCTACAGAGGTGGAAACGGAGGAAAATACTGAAAAGAGTGGACCCAATAAGAAAAATTCTCCCACTTCTTGAACTCTTTATACCCCACCATATTGACATGGTGGATTTAAGGCATAGCTGCAAACTCTTGTACAATCTTAGCCAATGAAAACAAGGTCAGAGACTGAAGCCGTTTTTTAAGTACCAGGTTGTAAAGATGTTTTCTCCTCTCTGTAAAAATGGATATTTTTATAAGGGCTCCAACAGAGTCTTCTTGGCCTCCTTGGTCCTTAAATGGATCCAAAAGGAACTGCAGTTTTTTTGGACATCCCTACTGGCTTCATGTGTCAACACCCGAGGTTTATGGTATCGACAAGTTTAGCATTTCTCCAGAAGAGTCTGATCCAATTTGAGATATAACCATCTCAATCCTTTTATGCATTTTCTTATTTCTTGGGTCAGCTAGATTTTTAAACTTTTGCTTGTCTTGTTTGCCTGTAATAACATCCAGTTTTATGATTGTTATTATTTAACTTTAAACAGAAAAAAAAATGAATCTTTAGTTTGTTCTTTATGCATTTATTTCCTCCCGCCTGTAGCTGAAACACTTCCTGTCTCTATCTAGAGTTGAATGCTATCAATAGTCATTTGTCTGGCGTAACCACACACGCTCACAGACACGTTGGTATGTAGGGTGTGTTTGGTCGGTTGCAGCTCTTTCCCCATGTTGTATGTAAGCTCACCACTACGCCTACAGTACACGCTGTGCAGTTTTATGTGTTTGTCGGCGTGTTTGTGCATAGCTTGGGTTTTATTGAGGATATCATCCCATGGCCAGTCTGCCAAAGTGCTGAAAAGGCTGTTTTCTTGTTTCTCTCTGTTTCTGTGCTGAAGTGAAACCGGCTGTCTTGATCCCATATCAAAGACTCCCTTTTTTTCCCTCCTGTCTGGTCTCCTCTTACCTCATCCTTCAAAACACCCAGTGTTTGTCTGGTAGGAAGATGTCAAGTTACGTTTGCGTAAGGCTTCAAAATTCCAGTCATGGTCTTTTCGATCGGCTCTGCCACTGAACCGCGATTTATGCCCCCCTTTTTTCTGATCTTATGTGGATGCAGTCTGTCGATGTGTGACCTGTTTTCCAAGTACCTCAACCCAACCCGAATCAACCCCTCAGAGTGGGCCGTCTGAAGCTGTCTGAGAGGGACGGCTGGGTCAGATAAGTTCACCGTGGAAAAGAAAGCAGAGCTCCATTTTCAGATTTATCATTGACACATTTTTCAAGGTGCTTGATATAAAAAGAAGTGAAAACCATGAAGCGTCTGCGCTCTTATCTGTATTGCATACACTAAATTGATCGTCTAAGATTTCAGTCAAAGGCACACACGCTTAGAAAATTAGATTTTCAGTTTCAATATTTGAGGTGCTGTCTCATCCCGACTACTTAAGAATTGGAGTGCTGTAAATCGGGGATGTTACCGCCTCTGAATTTGGGGAACTCGCCATCTTTGTCTGGGCGAAATAAACTATAAATATGTGATGTTTCTCAAAAGTAGAGGTGTCCAGATACAACTTTTTTACTTACTTTACGATACCGATGTTGTAGCCTTCAGTATCAGCCAATACCGATATTAACAAACTTGTGCATGATAAGTTTTGCACTCAGCTGCAATGTCTGCCAGCATCACTCCTTCTCCTTGCTATTTTGTTGGTACCTTAGTACACACTGTTGTTGTGATTACATGGGCTCTGCATGCTGGATCCAGGCGCTGCTAGATAGAGGTGCCAGAGTGGAATCTGGAATGGACTGCTTGCATGTCGATATAATCCGATATTTGTTTTTTGGCTGATATCAGACCGATATCAGATACCAATATTGTATCGGGACAGCCCTACTCAAAAGGTTTGTAGGATCAATAGTCAGACATGTTCTCATTGGTGTCTGCTAAGACTGCCCAGGGTGGTTAAAGCATCACTGTTTCCTTAAATGACGTGGTGAACCTCCATTAACGTCCCAGGGTTTTAAAGTCCAAACATTCCCAATTTTGGACTTTGTTTGCCGAAACTTTCCAACCAAAACGGCAACACTCTGAATTTAAAAAAAGAAAAGAAATAAATAGCAATTGAGACGTATTTAGGCACTTGTTGCTACTAACAACACAACAAGAGTTTCTCATCTTGACTCAGTGACTCACTCATGTTCAATAATGGGAAGAACTTTTCCAGTCCAAAGTGATCTCAAGTGGATTTTTTTGTCTGTCTGGCGAGGACATGTGGATGACGGCGGTGTTGGCAGCAGCCAATGAATGACCTCAATCCTTAAACAAACCGCTCAGGTGGCGCGCTTTTCTCTGGTTGTGGGAAGAACTAGGGGGGAGGGTTGAAAAAAAACTGGAAGAATGCAAAAAGACAACAAACTGGAAGGACGTGGGGAGCAGGAGATGATGGAGGCGACCTGTAGAAAGAGTCATAAAAGAAAAGTGGGGGCTCTTAAATCCTAAAAGCCTGTAGCTGATGGATAAACCTAACAAACGCCAGAGCCAGAAATGTCCGTGTTTGGGGAAAACACCCGCAGGCTCTCAGCAGATGGGTGACAGTGGCTGAAAACACATTTGAATGATCCACCTTTTCATTTTGGCAAGATGTATTCAGACTTCTTTCCCCTTCCACTAAACAAACGGACCGTTGGGAACAAGTAAACGCCTTCAGTCCCAGGCAAAAAGTCAAGGGAAGAGACGAGCTGTTTAGAGGCTATTGCTCAGATTGGAGCTCCCCACTGTGTGGGCCAAAAAGGGGTCAAGCCTGAATGTGGACTTCGGCTTTGACAATTGCATTTTTGACAGATCCGGTCCCCGTTCTTTAAGCACAGGTCAGTGGGTTAGAAAAGCGCTGTCAACAGAGTTCAAGCTCTGAAGATCTCAGCATGGGAAAGTTTTGGATTCACACCTCTGAAAACACTTTTATAACATCATCTCACAGGGTTACTTCCTCTGAATACAGGAAGGAGGTGACCTCACACCATTTAGCCCTCTCACTTCCCTCCATTACCAGCTGCAGTGATGTTTGTCCAAAACCAGACGCCTTACAAATTTAGTTTCAGTTTTGCAATGACAGTCATCTTGTAGTTTATTTTCCTCTTTTCAAGTCAGGTAAAGTCAGCCTTTACTTATTTATTTGGGGAATTTAAAAAGAATTATCGTGAAAAAAAGTGCTTTACAAAGTTAGAAGTAGAGAGAAAATCGGAAGGGGCCCAGGACAGACCCTTGAGGGACGCCACAAGTAAGAAGGTTAGCTTGAACCGCCTGAGTGCGACACCCTAAATTTAAATGCCACCTACTAACCGGAACAAGAGGCAGCCTTCAGCTCAACGAGTTTCATTTCTGTGATGTGGTTTAACCCAAGACTGCGACTTTTCACATATGTCATGATCGGCTTCATCTACATGTCCCGGACTGTACAAATCTCTATGATAGGTCAGTGTGCCTGGGGCGATGTGAGGTGAAAGTAGGCTAAAGCTTTATTTTGGAAGTAAAGCCAGACCAAGAATGGTTGAGCTTTTCTCTACTCCTCCTTCCATCTGGGCCCACGGTTTCCAATCCCCGAACCCCATCATTCCTCTGCAAATGAAAGCCAGAAAGACTGATTAGATTTTGGCCCACTTGATTCCAGACAATCATGATTTATGACACTTTGAGATTTAGGTATTATCTCCAATCTGGGGCTTAGCTGGTGGCTCAAATACAATAGTAGAAGAGTCCTGCTGTACTAGAGTTCAAAGTATTACTCAAAAGGAATATTTCTGTTTTGGTTTGTTGGAAGGACTTTGTCATGGTACGTCTTTTTTTTTCTGTCTATTTAAGAGAGTCTCATGTTGAGGTTGAAAACGATGACTGCTGTCAGCACTCTGTCACCGCTCGATACTCAGACAGACAAAACAGAGCGCTGGATCTGAACGGATGTTTCCCCTTTCTATGAGAAGTCTCCAAGGGAGCAATTATGTATGAGCAACTTCTCCTGTCATGAAATATTGATTCCTCTTTTTCCTGCAGTTTGGAACAATCAACTTTCTTGTATCCTTGCATATCCTGGAAGCTTTTTACACAGACACTAGAGCCTGTCAGCCCGCTGTTTAAAATTAGACTGATACTGTCCAGAGTTGCACTAAATGCACGCTACTGGACTACATAGACGTCCGCTGGTGTTGATGCTTTGAGTTGAGTGATACTTGAAGACCAAGTCAGTCATACAGTGGGACAGTGCGGCATAAAGATACAGAGCTGAGTCCAGCTCCAGATCTCCGTGGCATGAAAGGATTCCTCTGTTGGTCCTGGTGGCTGACTCCTTCCCCCCAGTGAGAGACCATCGCTTTAGAGGTCTGCCCTCAGCAGACATTACAGCCTTTCATCTCTCAGGGGGAGGGCAGCTGCTCCTGGACTCCTCTTGGGAGTCGAAAGAGAGTGGCGGTGAAATTTCTGAACATCAAAACCACCTGGACTGTCTTGTTCAAGACTGTGCCACCCCTAATATCTTATACAGAGTCATTATTCTACCACAATTGATTGTATTAGTGCGCATTGACTGTTGTGAATCCATTTACGCCTTGGTGATGAAAAGCACAGCCTCGTAATTTCATTAAACCTTCTTAAGCGGCTGTACGACGACTCCATGCGGTCCCCGGGGGGTTTCTTGTTTGCATGTTACGACTTCCCAATGAGACATCGATCACATCTTCTCCTCTGTCATTTACAGACGGTGGACATCCACAAAGAGAAAGTGGCCAGGCGGGAGATCGGGATCCTGACGACCAACAAGAACACGGCGAGGACCCATAAGATCATAGCGCCGGCTAACATGGAGCGGCCGGTGAGGTACATCAGGAAGCCGATTGACTACACTGTACTGGACGATGTCGGCCATGGCGTCAAAGTGAGTCCATCTAACATCCTCTGCTCGATGTTATGTTTAATTTATGTCTTCTTCTCTGTCCTGAATCTACTTCCTAATCAGATTAATCTATCTCGGCTTCGTTCTTCCACTTTCTTCCTCAACTATATCTAATTTTCTCCCCTCCCCCTTTCCTCTATCTCTCCCTCTCTCCATCTTGCCAGAGGTATTCCTATCTCCCTCCTTCCTCCCTCTCCCTCTCCCACTTTGACTCGTTTTCTGGCTCTCGCTCCATCTCTTGTGCTTTCTCTTTCATCTTCAGAAAGCACCCCTCCTGACCCTACAGGAATATGTTTCAGTGTGGGTTGGTGGGAACGGGTTGGGGGTGGAGATGAACTGAAAAAGTGATTACATCATACGGCTTTCAGAAAATAGCTCTATTCTTAGAGCGCTGCGAAAATGGCAAATTTGCGAGACCTTTTTAAAGGCACTTAGGCTCAGCACGCCCCCGTAATCCCGTTCTTCAGTTTCTTTAAAGAAGAATCGAGTCGGTACGATGAGGTTTGTAGCTCAAATCCGCGCTGGACTGAGATGATCTCAAATGATCAAAGCGCGATATTTCCACTCTCTCTCCTCCATCAGGACTCGCTTTTCAGGTCACGGGGTCATCCTGAAAGTGGTGGTAATGACATCATTTCCTGATGGCCCCGGGCGGTTTTCGCCATCCCGATCCTGCCTCCTAAGCCTACCCCCCCCACCCCATCAATCAGCCAATCAATCGTAGCTTTCACACAGATTGGATTAGAGGCCCCACATTACCGTCCCGTAGCATTAGAGGCATTGATAAGGCCGGATAAAAGCCATTGTGTCAGTCACAATTTACCCTGTGTGGAATTAGGTTGGACGCTTCCATCATGATGGAGTCATGTGATGGCTAATGGGGAGTGAAGTGTTTTATCCCAGCGTGCAGGTCCATGTTTTCACAGATTATTCTGGGTTTAAGTGTTGGAAAATGTTCTGACTTAAGACTATCATAAAGCAAGAGTCTTTAGATAAATTAAGAAATGTGTGTTATTCTCTTTCCAATGAGAAAAACAATCAATTCTCATGTCTATATGCTAAATGTAAGATTGGGCAGAAGGCTTTTAACTTATGCTGTGTTCCAGTTACCTCAGAAGTCGGAGCTTGGAATGATGTTACACCCGAGTTGACAGCGTTTCAGTTAACAAGTTGGAAAACCAGGATGGACGCCTACAGTTACCCATTTTTAGATATTGTTTACAATTGTCAGCTGTTGTTAGCCGTTGTTAGCGATACCAGTTGTAAACAACGCATAACACAGTATTTTACTCTCACAAACACCGTAGCACCGTGTTCATAGTTAAATGTTGCGCAGTGCAAGATATACCACTTATTTAATATCACAAAAAACAAACAGAAGTGCTAATGAATAATACATAAGAACTTTTACTGTTACTCTTTACTGTCGATGCACTGCGCTGCCATCTTGAATTATGACGTTGTCGTCAAGTCGGGGTTGGCGAGGATCGTCCGACTTTCCGAGTCAGAAATCCGACTTCAGGGGTGCGTTCCAGATGAATATCCGACTCGTAGCTCGGAAATCCCGACTTCTGAGTACAACTGGAACGCAGCATTATCTTTGGAAATAACCAGCCTGGCTCTGCCTTCAAACTCTGCTTTCATACAAGATATTATCATGTATTTTATAGCGTCAACACAAGAAAACTTTGAAGAGATCCGGTTTACTTTCTAGTCTTAATGCTAAAGCTCAGCCAACAGATATATGGCTAACTATGAACATACGTTAGGGCCTGTGTCCACCAGCAGTGTTTTTAGCACTCCCAAATATATTGACTTTTATGTCTGTTTTGATTTGATTCACTGATATTTACATAGTGGTGTTGTAATATTAGCAGCAGCTATACTCTGAAAATGCACACATGATAAATGACTGCGGTTAGTTTCTCGTCTGAATTCACTTCCATTGTTGACAAAATTGGTATCAGAACTCCCACCCCTTCTTGATTTTGATGGCCCGTGAGAATTCACATTAATGAGTGCAACACTCTTCGTATGATGCTAATCTGTTGTTTACTTTGGATGCTAACACTGGACATGCTTGGCTGCATTGTTGCTGTCAGTGGACACAGGCCCTTATTCATTACAAGGTATCTCTCTATATGTAATACAATCTATTATCTATATTCAAATATTACATTTTGGTCTACTTTCAAACACAATTTGATTTATGCACATGTTTTAAAATTGCAGGCACTTTGTAAATTAAAAGCCCTCACCACTTTAATTCCACGCAGCAAACTAATACTCTGGCACTTCTTATCACGGAGCGTGATCTCCACCGCCAGATGGTGTTTACCCAATCATGAAATTGTAGATGTTTGACTTTTCTGTTATGAGCAGAACCACAAAAACACGCTGCAACCATGTGCTGGAGTGTGACGGAGCAAAGAGGCTAAAATCATCAAATTCTGGTCTAGCTGGTTGTGGGATTGACCCCCCTAGTGATGGTATGATCACATCTCGGAAAATTTAAGATATATTGTTAAAGAGACATAGCCTGACGGCGAGACAGTACGTGAGGAAAGAGCTACCTTTGGACAACAATGGAGATAAAGATAAAAATGGTAAAAAGAAAGAGTAAAACCTGATGGACTAAACAAGAAAATAATATTAAATGAACAGAAAAGAAATAGCTCTTTACCATGTAAAAGGGGTAAAAGAAAGACTAAAAACAGAGATAAAAGAAACATAAAGAACTTTGATTAAAATAAACATTTGCAATAAGAGAAATATAAAAAGGTGGTCAGTGAAAATCCTGGTTAAAAAGGTGAGTCTTGAACCTCTTCTTAGCCATTATAACACAACACTGTCATATTACAAGTTTCAATTCTCAGTAAACATTACCTTTTACTTTGGATTTTCTCCTTTTATGATATTTCCACCAAACACTGTGTTTCAGTGAGTGAATATGATGGAGGATTCAGACTCGCATATCCACCACAGCCTGCGGCGGCAGCCCTACATCACTCTCCTCCTCTCATCTACGCATGTCACAGACCAAAGAGCCAATCGATACTCGACATCAATACTCCATATTAATTCATACACAGGCCTGTGACGGCTGCTGTCAGAACCCGGCTTGTATAGAATATCTATATCTGTGGTTTACTTACCGACCAGGATCGATACTTTAATGGGAGTTTAAATCATGAGTGTTGCCTCTAGTAAAGTGTGAACAGCGCAACAGCTGCCTGAGTGTTTGCACTGGCCTGGATGCAGAACTAACAACAAAGCATGAGCAGAAACACAAAGGATGAGCGCAACACCACGCAGCGTTCACATACATTATTAAAAAGAAGCCGAAGATCCAAAAGGAGAGGAGATGAAGGTGAAAGCGCCTCTAAAGATGATCAGATTTCTCTCTGAACACAGCAGCATCGTATTAATAATAAGTCGAATCCGACACATCGGGCTGTTGCTGCATCTCAAGTCGCTCCGACTGTGACGTGATGCTTTTTAGCTTTAATACCAAAGATGAGATTTATTCATCCAGTCAGCTGATGTTTAATCTAGTCAGGGGGGATTTTGGGAATCCAGAGATGATGATGTCAGGTGTTTGAAGCTTGATTGCAGCCCTTTGATATTTCATGTTGTGTCGGTTTTGAGTTTACAAGATTAGTTTAAAGTAACAGCTCAGGGTTTTTTGAGGGACTGTAATATTCCTCTCAGCGGAGTCAACAAAGTCATGACTGTGTTTTTAATTTCTCTCTCTGTCTGTCTTTGCATGCGCACGCATCAGCACTGTCCCTGTAAAGCCTTTAGTGTCTGGAGCAGGAGTTTTTCACATTAGAGTCTATGTACTGCTCCCTCTTTTGCCGCTACTCCTACAAAATAAAAGAAAATCAATCATTTTTCAAAATAAAGCTTGTTTTGTTGACAGCATCGTTTCTTAAGACCCGTTGAAAGCCAGTCCATTATCCATAAAATGTTCGTCTTGCAGAAAACTGACAAGAGTATAGAAACAGTAAGAAACAGGCTGATTTTATCTTGTTACATTAGATTTAAAAAAAACACTTTTGCACAGTCATGAACAGACTTGCATGTTTTGCATGTCTACAGCTTTAATAAAGGGCATGTTTGAGACATAAATTGGGTTGGTGGTTGAAGCTCACTCTTGAGTTGCAGCCTTCAAGTTGCGAAAACACAACATGGCTTCAAAACGGGACAGAGCCATTGTTCAACTAACTATACCAGATCTTTTTTAACACTACCAAAAGAAAAAGGAGTTTTCTTTGTGAGGAAATACAGGAAAAGTAAAGCAAGTCTGCATGTGAGACGAGAAACATTGTTCAACTTTGTGATAAATCCAAGTATGCATATCCGCTTAAACTCTGAGTTTCTATGTCTAGCTGCTTTTCACTTGTTTTACATGCAGGGGCGGGTCTTGGGGGGCCATGTTTAGGGTTTGCTGCCATTTCATTTACACCAAACATTTTCTTTTTTTATCAAGTCATTTTTCGGCATGTTTGTTTAAAATACTCACATTACAACAATGATGAAGTTAGTTGTCTGGCTACTCTGGATTCCCCAAAAATGTCGCGAATATTGTCATACTATCCAGGCTAGGGGTCGATCGATATTGATTTTTCAGGATCAGTACCAAAACTAAAACTAGTACTGATTATTTGTTTTTCACGAGACCAATCATCGATATGCAATTGAAGTAAGAATGAAGAATTTTAAAAACTTAGCGTATCAGAACTGAAACAGTCAACTAGGGCTGGGCGATATGGCCTCAAATTAATATCATGATATATTGATCAGTTCACCTCTATAACGATAAATGGACGATAACTACTCCACAAGCTGCTCACCCCCTCCCACATTAACTATGTCTACTTCAGCCGCTACAACTTTTGAACTGTCCTCCATCGCCTCACCTGTCCTTCCCTCTTTGTTACAGACTGGATGGGGTGGAGTCATGTCTGTGACGTAGGACAGCGTCTTAAAGGGACATGAGACCATAGCCTACCTACACACATCTAAAAATACCAAATATACCGATAGGAACAAAATGACATGGGTTATTGTTTTCCATAAATTTTCCATTTATCGCCCAGCCCTACAATCAACATCATGTGACAGTTAACCAGTCACACTTCACAGGAACGCTGCATCAAACAGTGGCGAGATGTCTAGTCAATCAGATAGTTTTTGGGTGGGGGATAGACATAGACATAGAGGAAATAGAAAGACACCAGCAGCAGAGCACAGAAATCAGAGACTGATCACTATCTGTTTAATAAAGAACAGATACAGATTATCATCCAGATATCAAATATCAGCTCAGATAAGCAGCACAGATTAAAATGCACACTATGGTAAGAACTAAAAATAGGGTTTATTATTACCTCAAGTGTCAGGCTCATAAATGAACCTCTAAGTCACATCTTTAGAGGAGATAACAGCTTGGTTGTTGTCTCACTCATTTCACTCTCCTACTGTGTGGACTCTGATTTTGGGGGTGTCTCTTTGGTCCTCACCCTCCACTCATGATTTACAATGTCCACGATCTCCAGCACTGACCTGACAGACTCCCTGAACTCACAGACTGCAGTGCTCCAGTTTCTCACCATTAAGCCTTTTGGACTTGATAACGACCTTAATCTGAACCTGTCTGTCCACCATTCAACTTGGATGTAACTAAAGCTTTTTTTTTTTCACACTGAGTCTGGGTCTGTGCAGCCAAACACAGATACCGCGTTTCCCAGAGAGATAAGGAAAGGCAGTCGCGGGGCCTTGGCATTTCTCATGACCTACATTGTAAATAGAATCTCATTTAGCTTTGATAACCCCAGGGTGGGTTATATTTAAATGTGAAATTTACCATTCACAGCTTTATCAGAGGCTTTTTTTTTTTCATTTTTCATGCTGACCTTTGCCTTGAATTTGCTTTTAGTTTCATTTTCTATTTTCCTCATGGTCTTGTGAAGCTCCAGTGCTCTCCTGCAAAGGCCACTGGGGAAGCTGCATTATAGATGAGCCACTTGACTCTGCAGTTGTCAAACTGGAGATAAACCCTGCTGCTGTGTTGCCTTTATATTCTCTTTGACATCTGCCCACTCGAGTACAAAGGTGTTTTTTTTATCGCTGCCAGTAATGTGATAACATTATCTCTTTCTGTTTGAGCTCAAGTGTGTCTAAAAACGTATTTAAATATACATAAACGCTCAGTTTGTTTAAAATACATATTTTTATGTCCGCCATGTTCACCTCAAACTCCCTCTTCATCAGAATATCTCCGTCCTCTCTGAGGTTTCTCCTGTCTGACTTTGACACAGGGTGTGGTACTGTAGGTCTGACTGAACAGCCACAGTGTTTCCTCTGGTTGTAACTGCTGACCTGCCCAGGTCTTACAAAATGTTTACTCAGAGTAAATACAATGGGGAGTGATTTTTTTTTTTCTCTCCTCCTGGTTGTACTTTGCCTCCTCTGATCTGTTGAGACATGGCCGTTTTGACATGCCCTCTTTCTGTCTCTCTCCTCTTTGTCTGTCTATTTTCCTTTGCCTCCATAAGTGGCTAAAAGCCAAGGTAAGTGTGGTTTGTCACATGACCCATTGTACTTTAATGCATAATTGATAGACCTGCCCAACTCCCTTTCACAGCAGACCCCTGTACATGTGGTTACCTTTGTCATTCCCATGTTATTCCCATTAACCAACTTGTTCTGTAGTCCCCTTAGCCCAGAAAATCCCGGCTCTGTAACCTCCCTCACCAAACCCCCTCCCCAAATTACCTACCTCTGTCCTTATGTGTTACTTAACTGTCCACAAATGTTGAGTACTCAACTTTAAAACCTTATAGGCTTCCCAGACAACAAAAACAGCGGCGCTGATATTAATGAATTGGCTATTCACAACTTAAGTACCTCCCAAAAAGTCATGATCTTGTGTAAAATGTGGATAAAAACTGATTTTAATCATTCAAAACCTTAAATTAAACTGATATGAAAGCCGATTTTTCAAATTATTTTATAAAACTGAAAGATTTTTTCGTGTGTGAGTAATATTCTCAGTGTAAAATTGTAAATTATTTCAGGATTTTATATGAAAACTGATATTTATGGACATTATCTTTGAGCCCTTGAGGATTAGTGCATTAAAATAAGCCTGACTCTGTAGTGGAAGTCACCGCATGGGCTCAAAATCACTTCTTAAAAACATTTCTGTGAACGCAATCCATTACTGCACCACATATGAGGCTAAATCAATAAAATTCATCAGTTCTTTTAGCTTAATTTGAAGTTTTGAAAATCTGTTTTCATCAGTTTTACACAGCATTTCAAGTTTTTTGGACCTGGTATGAAGTTAATCTGTAGTTACATGTTTGTAAAGGCAAAAGTGTTTCGTAAGAAGCCTTGCTGAACCAACCCAGAGGTTTAAAACCTGCAATCAGCAGCAAACACCCAGCGCCTGAGTCAGAAACACGCTGGGTTAACATTACACACACACACACAGCTAAAACATATACATCCAAGCAGTGGAGCTGTTTTCATCTGGGCAGCCTATAACTATTAATTTTTGTCACACAAGTTGTAATCATCCGTAATTTGTCCGCTAAATGAGCACCTCTTTTTCCAACCACAGCAACATGGAAACAATCAGTCAATCAGAGGAGGAGGAACGCTATCGAGGACCAATCCGCCGACGCAGAAACCACCGAGCCCTCCCATGTCAGGGCGCGGCACGCTGGGGTAAGCGTCCCGTGAAAGCAAGATTAATCCTCTAATTATGAAACACTGAATGAAGGAAAAAAACAGCTAATAAAGGGGCGATACGAGAACATGCAGTCAAGTAAAATTCAGCAATTCCAGGACGTTATAATTTCATTCAAGTGTGATTTGTAGGTTTTGCTCTCATATATATTTACGGATGACAAACTGATTGAAGTGGAAAGGATTTAGTAAAGTGGAAATCTGTGAACTCCTGACAGGTCTCACACCCTGATGAACTCAGCCACCGTCTGGTGCGCCGCAGCAGTTTGCATACCTAATCAGATATTAATTCGAGGGGTAAACTGGCCTGAAGTTTCCCTCGGCGGCGTAAAATTAGGATTTAAAATGCTCAAGAGCAGTTTTGATATCAGGATCACTCTCACCCTTGATTTATGTTTCCCCTTTGTTTGCCGCTGCAGACGCAACACGCCCTACAAAACCCTGGAGCCGGTGAAGCCGCCGACGGTGCCCAACGACTACATGACCAGCCCTGCCCGCCTGGGCAGCCAGCACGGGCAGCAGCACAGCCCGGGCCGCACGGCGTCAGTCAACCAGAGGCAACGCACACACAGGTGAATACAGAAAAACCAGCACAGATCCACAAACTACTGATCCAGAATGATGATCACTCTCTATCTATCAAACATAAATGCAAAATATTCACTGAATCTGCTTCTCAAGAGTGAGGATTATCAGCTTTTATCAAATCAAATCAAACTTTATTTATAAAGCGCTTTCATACAAAGATGTCATACAAAACGCTTTACTGTTTATTATCAGTGTTACATCACCTGGTTTATTATTTTACAACTAATACTTTCACTTCAATCAGCTTTATGAGCTTTACAGTTACCTGCAGTGATTTATCGACTCATTGACGAATGGATTTAATCACAATCATAGAAGGAAATGAGTCTTCAATGAAATAATTAGAGCAAGACTCCTAATAGAGATGCAGAAGGATTATGTTGTTGCATAAGAGATTCACCGAGCAGTCATATTTATTTGCACTTTGCTCAAAATGTAGACACATAGAAACCGAAAGAGACGACCACACACTGAAACACGACAAAGTCCAGTCAGGTGTATTTGTAACGCCAAAATCCAAACACAACAAGTCGATAAAGTAAAAAAGAAAATTCTGGGAGCGCAACAGAGGAGCTCTATTTTTTCTCAAGCAGGAGTGCAGTTGTGCTGCAAGTACATGGTCTAGCTAGAGTAGAGGTACAATATATAAGGTGCCTCCAAAAAATGCAGGAACACATAAAGAAAAGGACCCACAGGATAGGGCTGAGCAATATGACTGAAAAGTAAAACGTCAGTATTTTTCACAGCAGTTTTTGATATTTTTTCCTATTTATTTCCTTTAGTAAAACAAAATTATTAATCAGTTCACGTCTGTCGTCTTCAGGGACGTAGGCTGATCGGACTCAGATACATTACAGATGCAGATCTTGTGAGACGCATTTCTCCCACTGGGCTCTGTTTATATACAAGCATTTACAACTATGCTTCCCATAGTTGTAAGGATTTAGAGTTTTAGAAATCTAGATTTGCATTTTTAACCATTCTCTTAATCCACTTTTATTAATAAAATCAGTTTTATCGCCCAGCCCTACAGATCTTCTAAATCTACTTAAACATAAAGCCTGCTGCATAAGCGCAGTTTTAATATAAAAGTGCACTTACATAAATGAGTAAAAACACCCCGACAAACTTAGATGAACACATTAGTCAGTATGAAGCCTGATATTAAGTTCAGCAGAAAGACTTGCATGAAAAATCTAATGGAAAAAAGTTAGAGTGTCAATCAGCGTCCCCCAGATTTTAATTCTGAGGTACTTTATATTTTTATTCTAATGGCTGTGAGTGAAATAAGAGCAGCAGCTACACCTCTAAACTGAACACTAATTGTGCACTCAGTGTTTCAGTAATGTGCTCAGTAAAACAGCCCTCTAAAAACCAGCGGTCCCCTCCATGTCAGGTAGCTCTAATCTCTTCATTTAGTTCAGCGGCTTTAAACACTTTCACACTCCTCCTCCTCCTCCTCCTCCTCCTCCTCCTCCTCTCCGCTGCACTAAATCTAACGTTTGTCTGACAAGGCTTCGAGGATTTCTTACCACGGCCAGGATCGCTCTGATATTAATATCTGTAAAAGCTTCTGATATAAAGTGCCGTTTGAAAAACTCAAACGACCGCATGGAAATCCTTGAACGTAGCTTTCAAGGTTCCGGAAACTTCAAGGCGGAGAGAGCGGGAGACTCTTTCATCGAAATTTGAGTTACGAGCGCGTGAAGTCGCCTCATTAGCTAAAAAGCCCGTTATGCTGACTGTGGCGCTCATAAATATTACATAATTTTATTTACCCCACCGTTAGCCAACTTCACATGTTTGTTTGCACACAAGTTCCCCTTTATCATTAAAACCAAACTCCACAGCGTCTGGTAATTAGCCTCACATGCTAACAAGCAAAACAAACGTTACTGATCGGTGGTTTTCCAGCTGCACTGATGTCCCTTTAACAGACTGCTGCTGTCCTCAGAGCGAGGCCGGACCCTCCCTGTTTCACTTAATAATGCTGTGGCATCACTATTTGATTACACAGGCCTGAAGCCGGCTCTGCTTATTCAGCTCGTCTGTCTCTGCCAACCTCAACTCAAGTCTGAATTCAATATCAGCAGCTGCTGTTTGCTCCCCTTTAATGTCTGATATCTTTCTGCCGGACAGATTACGTCATATAGAGGTATCGATTTCACAAAACTAAGTTACTCCTACATTTATGACAACATTTGCTTACCAGGACCTCCGTCTGAACTAGCCAAACAGGACCCTTTAAAGACAGAGAGTGACCTTTCGGATGAATCGTGCTGTGTTTGACCTCTAAAGCAGAATATTTCACTTGAAGAGTTTTTCAACAACCTTAAAAATTCGTCTTTTTCACTAAACCATCCTGTGTTGAACCTTGAATTACAGATCCTCCAGTCTGTGTCTGAATGATATTTCTCATCTTCCTCACTAAATTATTTGGCATTGGTTCATTTTAATCTTATTAAAAATCAGGAAAAAAGTAAAAGGAAATGAAAATTCTTGCGTTCAAAACAGACAGGAGACAAATCAGCCAGATAATACAAGTACTTCTAAAGCATCATACCATCAAACATAAGATAATATAAAATATATATATTTTTTATATGGATGAAATTTGTTTAGGAAATTCTTGGCTAAAACAGAGAGAATTTATTTTAGAATTGCATCTAAAAAGTTTAATTTATTTTATTTGAATCAAGTTAGATTGATTTGAAAGCACTTTTATTGAACTATTTCTGTTTTCTTTATCAGGGAGAGATACCCTTGGCATAGTTAAAAAAGTTAGAATAGTTGAAAAGTTGGAATATTTCAGTGTCCTCCATCATTATTGTAGGAAATTGAAAATGTAATACGTGTATATTGAAGAGTAATAACATATAAACTAAAAAGTTTAAATAATTTTAATCGAAGCACTAGGTCAGCACTTCTTTCTTCCATCTGCTAACAAGCTTTGTGGAAATGCTGATTTCCTATCCCAGTGGGATTTTGCATCTGCCCACAGCGCCAAAACTCCTACCCGAGCATCATCAAAATTCAGATTTAAAAAAGGCTTGAAATTTTTTATTGTACATGTAATGAAGATATGAAAGTATATGGAGCATAACTTTTTAAATAAAGTACCAAAATTGAACTTTTTTACTCTAATTGCTGCATTTAAAATGATGAGAGCTCAGCGAAGTGCCTCACAAACAGCTACAAACAAAAATTGTAGACAGACAAACTGAAGTGGATCGTGCTTATTAAAGGTAAATATATAAAAAAAATGAATAATGCAGACAGAAAAACTTTTCCACAAGTCACCAAAGATGTTGGACTGTAGACAGAGCAGGAAACTAGGAAAGGGAACAGGGAACAACACAGGCCAGAACCAAACCTGGTTCACACATGATTCACCCGCTAAGCCAAACAAACGCCCCAAAAAGTAGAAAAGGTCGATCAGAGGACTGGGGAACAGCTTTGGGTTGACGTATTTTACTCTCTGAAGGTGAAACCAGCTTGTTTCGAGGCATTAAAGCTTCTGTAAGGAGTTTTAAATAGGCTACATAATGGGCTGAAATGAACAGTAATGCAACTCTATGATGTACAAAAGCTAATGAGGCCAATGGGTGACAATGTCGATACTATCATTTTTAATGCCTTCAAGAGCTGTGAGGGAAAACTTAAAAAAACAGCTGTCGTTTCTTTACCCACAGCAAAATATCCAAGATGGGTCATTTATCTAATTGTAAAAAGACTTTCAGACAAAATCATCAATAATAGGAGTTACCATTTTGTCCACAGGGGGCGCCAAAGTCAACAGAAACTGAAAGTTTCACAGCACCTTTAAAAACTTAAACTTGGACTGAAAAAGTGAAACATATGAAACTCCACATGAAAAAAAAGACTGAGTTTCAAGGCGATAATAGGTTTATTCCACAGCAGCAAAACTTGCCGGAGTTTTGGAGTCCCCTGCTGATCAGCATTCGGTGTTTAAAGATGCCAGTGAAGATAACTTCTCAAACTTTAATCACCTTAACTTTGCTTTAACACACAGTCTTTTACACAACAGCTGTTATGAAGGAGCCCTGAGCCAGAACCACGCTGCATTAGATTATTATTCTAGATTACAGCAGCCGCTTTTATTCCTCTCCTGCTGTTCCTGTGCTCCAGGTTATTTATGCTCATCTGAAAACCTCAATAACAATTTCCAGTCTTTGTAAGCAAGGACTCAATCTCTTTCATCTTAGATTTTTCTTCAGGCTGCTTTGTAAGTCTATTTTTCCTGCAAATCATGTCGCAGTGCCTGAGCAAATACTTTTTACATATTGTTTTTTTTTACCCTCGCAGAGAACAGTGTCTTCTTTTTCATTGGCTCAGGGGATTTTTGTCAGCTGTGAGCAAGCGAGCTGGAACTTTTTACAGCGTTACAGACGGTGGATTTCTAAACAAGGAGCGGTGTCAGGTGAAGGCTGAGCAGAGATGGAGCTTTTGTTTCTCAGCTTGTGTTTGGGGGCGAAAGGGTTAGAGGAGGAAAGGGGGTACGTTATGGAGGGATTAGGATGGATCAATCCAGAAGATGCAGATTGAAGGGGGGAACGTCAGCGCTTCAAAAGAGAGATGACATGATAATATTGTTCAGCCGTTATCCCCACAGACACTCGGCTCCCACAGCCACCAACATCCTCAGAGGGGTAACCCTGCTGATGCCTCAGGGCTCGGCTGACACAGATCAGAGAGGGGAGCGAAGGGGGGGATGACGGGGATAAAGAGATGTGGGGGGAGGTGGGAGGGGAGCGGGGGTTCAGAGGAATGGGAGCGAAGACTTGGGATGAGGGCGCGAGGGTGAGAAATCATTTTCTGGGCGATTAGGGGATGAGAGGGAGAGGTCGATGGATGGTGAGGGGTGAGAGGTGGAGAGAGGGATCAGCTGGATGAAAGAGGCAGAGAGAGGAGAGGTGGGATGAGGAGGGGCCGGAGCCGGAGTGAGGAATAAGGCCAGTAAGAGAGAGGGAGGAGGGGGATTTAGTCGGTCAGGGCATTGATCTACACGCCCCGGGGTCGAGCGCGGGGTGAAACGGCTCTCAAACAGGCCGCTGCAGAGCTGACACACATACTGCTGCTCTTTAGAGGCTCAGGCTGAGCTGAACTGGATTAGACATGAGGACTCTCCAGCATGGGAGACTTGTTATTATTCAATATTTCACTAAACCAGAAGTTTGATAAGGAATATAATTAAATACCAAATATACAGAGATGTCAATTCCAGATTCTCTAAATACAGAAATGCACATGAGCCCTTCCGTGTTTATTCGGCGCTGCTGTAGAAACATGGAGGTGCCAGTAGGTGGCCTCAAGCACGAAAACAGCTCACATATTATATATTTTTTAGTCCCGCCTCCTTTGCCTCTGATTGGCTAGAAAAGCTGGTAACGTCATCACACGCTCAAGCCAAACGCGGGCTGTCGGCTCTGTACATCGAACAGAACATTATCGCACTTCTGAATCTCCTAATCCCAACCCTAACCCGACAGACAATGACGTTTCACAGCCATTAGGAATAACCAATCGGAGTCCAGCACTTCTAGCCAATCAGAGGTGAAGGAGGGCAGGATCTTCCCTACCATTCTACAAAAATAAAATCACAACCGGGGCTGCACTACGCTGCTGCTACGCTCCAAATACACATCCTGTATGCGATACTGAGTGCTGCTCTATAGAGAAAATACAGAACGCGCTCAATACTGATCCTGTATGTTTTTCGGCTTTAGTCTAAGTTCGCAAAATGAGATTGATTTTTAACTTTTGTTTTTTGGTGGATTTGTTTGCCGATGATGATCCTAAACTTTTACAGTAGTGTATTTCATTTTCATTCACAAACCACAGAGAAGGAGAGGAGGAAAGGAAAAAACTTGCAAGACATGCAAAAAACTACTACTGATATAGATTGTTCTTTTACCGTTTCTAAAAGGTCTTAAAAATGCTGGAATCTGATCCGAACTAGTGGGCAGAAACCTGTCCGACTGTAAGCCTCCTCATTAAATTATACATCATTTGTCAGCAGCAGCAGCATCTGAATCTCTGGCTTCAGTTCAAATAGATCAGTGAAATCTGCTCCTATAAAGCTGATGTTTTATGTTGTTTGGATATGAGCTCATTTCATTGTGATTGAATGTGCTCTATAAATAAAAAAAAAAAAAACTAATTCAATTAAAATCCAGCGCGGAATCACTTTTTTTTTAAGGTAAATCTACGTCAAATAGAAATCACATAAATGTGTATCTGCAGCTCAGTCCAACACGACAACAGACTTTGAGAATCGGCACGAGAGGATATCGTTTATGCTGAGTCATGATTCAGAATTTGAATGAAGTCTATATTTCTAAACGGGACACAAGCAGCAGAGTTTTCATATCTGCACTCCTCTATATAAGCTGCTGAGCACTCGGAGCACGCTGCCCTGAATAAAACCATGCCCTCTTTCTCTCCTCCTCCTTCAGCGGGAGCAGCGGGGGGAGCGGCAGCAGGGAGAACAGCGGCAGCAGCGGTATTGGCATTCCCATCGCCGTGCCTACACCCTCCATCCCCAACTCTGGACCAGGTGAGCTCTCCCGGCCGTATTCAGAGACAGTTACCCGTTTCTCCTCGCTCATAATAAATGAAGGAAGAATCGTGTGGAAGCAGCTTCAGGCGGTTTTTGAAATCAGAATTAAAAAACTGCTTTAAAGAGCCGCTGACCCACCAAAGACTGTCATTAGTGCGAGTTTCAAAGAGTTTTCTTCTCTCTTCTGTGCTTCAAACACTGGTTTATAAAAAAGTCTCTGTTCTGAGGAGAGCACCGGGTTATAACAAAGAAGAAAACACGCTTTCTGTGTTCAAAAGGTCTCCGATTTCACACTCCAAAGCACTGAAAAGTCAGTCAAATAAACTGTATATATATATAAATATGTATGATAATCATAGACATTACTTGTCATGGTGTAAATGTAACATGCTATTTGCACACAGTGAAGACTCTGCTACACAAAGCCTACTGTATGTTTACCAGACGGGGATTATGGCGGCCCATTGTGTTCCAAGCACAGCTGATTCTCTTTCCAACTGAGTAAATAGGCCAAGCTGTGCAAAGACCTGCTGCTTTACAGTAGAGCAGTAAAACACACACACATGCTACACACACACACACACACACACCTCGCTGCGTTTACAGTCAACATACGCCGCACATACATTCTGTTTGACTTTGGCGAATAGTTTGATCTGGAGGAGAAACATCGAAGGTTTATGTAGCAGCTTTTTTACCTCGGCGCAGGGATCAAACCAGCAGCGCACAACTAACCACAGCTCTCCTCCTGCAAGCCGGTCGCCATGGAAACACTCAATTCATACCACAAAGAAGTGTGTCCAAGTGTGTGTGTGTGTGTGTGTGCGCGGAGCGGAGCAGCGCCTTGACAAAGTCGAAGTGCTCCTCCGGGCCCAAAAGGGTTCTTGAGTGAAGTGAAGTGATGTGATGTTATGTAACAGAGAGAGGAGGTGCAGTGAGCCTCACTAATGGAAGTACTCCTTTCAGTCCCACCCATGTCTGCTCCCCCTGGAGCTCCTCCACCTCCCCCACCCCCTCCTCCTCCTCCTCCCATGGCTGGGTTCGGGCCCCCAGCACCACCTCCTCCTCCTCCAATGGCTGGGTTTGGGCCCCCAGCACCACCAGCGCCTCCTCCACCACCACCACTGCCAGGCATAGGTGAGACTCCTGGACTCCCGAGGCCTCCGCTGGTGGGACCGTCGATAATCAAGATGATCGGCTGTGATCTTCTCTTGATGGAGGCGCATAAAATAAGGGGGTGATCGGGTGACTGTTTGTACACACTGTGAGCAAGATTGCAAAACAAACAGGCTGCAAATCCAGAATTCTGGAGAAATACTCAAAGACAGGTAGTTATGGAAATGACCAAAAGAGTTCCCCTCAAACTTTCTGTGGTGTCACAGTTTGAAACTCTGGAAGTTTAGGTATCCTTCATTTTCTCCAGAGTTGATTTTCCTTTAATGAAAATATAATTTAGGGACAGGGACTGACCTGCTGATCATCTTGCTCGCATTGAGAACAGACAGTAAATGTGATTGTGTTGGGAGACGTCAGTTCACAGTCAGTGTGGGAAAGTAACATTTTCTCCGTCCTTACCGGTGGTGGTGATGGTGCTTCTTTATTTCTAACTGATTAGTTATAATTGGTTATAAAAGAAGTCTCAGATCTCCTAAGGCCTGCAAGAAAGTGAATTTCTGCCTGCAGTGCATCCAAAATAGTTGATTTAATTTTGTACCTCCACCTGCTGCACAACTAGAAAAACGACCAAACCTGCAGCTGAAATGATCGTGGGTGAAATCCATTTTCAAAAATATGAAAAATAATCCGCCTTAAAGACTTTGAGACTCCTTTTTTTTACAGGTAAGTTTGTATTTAATGACTTTTTAACTGGAAAGTGTTTTTGTTCAAAGCTACATCAGGCAAAATCAAAAACCTGGACTGGGATTTGAAGGAGGCGGTTTGGTTTTTCTGATAGTTTAGCTTAGCCTGGCAAATAGTGTCTTTATGCATAACACAGTTTTCTTATGTTTACGACTAAATAAAGGGCGATCTTTTCAATATTTGCACCCAGTAACTCAGAAATGTCAAAATAGAGAATAAAAAGGAATATAGAGAATATAAACTGAAGATATTTGATCATTTGAAATAAAAACTTCTCAAAATTGAACTCCTTGAAATAAATAGAATGATAAGAACAACTCATGACAGATTTATTCGTTGTGTCAGTTTTAAAGTGTGATTTATGCTCCGTATGTTACAATTAAGGAGGCGAGAATTATGACCAATACTGCAGGCAGCCACCAGAGGGAGCTTTAAATGTTTTAGTTTCACTTTCAGAGAGTCTGGTTATCGTGCATCTTCTTATACAGCTAGGGTGACCATATTCTGAATCCAGGAATACGGTCTGGTTGAGTTTTTTTTACACGCTTCTAAAAAACAAAACCCCGGACATTTGACAGATTTTATAAACTCCCCCGGACAAGGAAGAACAGCCCTCAAAAAAGAAGACATGTCCCGGTAAAAGAGGACGTATGGTCACCCTAATGCAGCCCCTGATCTCTACATAAAAATGGTCAGGTAGTACCGGAGAAGTTATGAGTTTTAAAAAAACAGCTCATTTATTTCCTCTCTGTGATACAGAAACCCTCTCTCTGCATATTTATCTGTCATTCGATTCCTGAATTTGAAAACATTGAGCCAACACTTCATTACGAGACATCCTGCCTCACAGCTGACATCGATTACTGTCGTATGATTTCCCGATTATGAAGTCCAAACATCCAATTTTGCCTGGTGTAACTTTGATTAACACGGGGTATTGACTCTGAGTCACTGATTGATACAGGCTGTGAAAAGATACCAGCTGCTACTACTGTGTGTGTGTGTGTGTGTGTGTGTGTGTGTGTGTGTGTGTGTGTGTGTTTGTACAGTAGCTGCTAATATCTGATTGACTTGAAACACGCTGCAGATTTCCAGCTGTAGTTACTTCTCCCGTTTTTGAAAATACGGAGAAGTTTCTTTGCTCCCGTGTTCCTCTGAAGATTAACTTCCTCTGGTTCCACCCATCCCTATCTGAGAGAGCACGTCCCCTCCTCAGAGACGGAGTATTATCTCAAAATGAGAACAGGAAATTCTCTCTTTAACCTCTCCCTCTCTTTATTTTTGCCTCTAAAGACACACCTACACGTACTGCATTTGCAAAACCCCTTTTTTTTGTTCGACGCTGCCTTTCAAGGATTGCCACGTGAAAAAAAAAAAAAGACACATCTAATCCAATTTTTCAAAGATGTGTGAAGAAGATATCCCCGCTGCCAGTTCAGCTGAAACCTGAAGGATGCTGCTGTCCTCTCTTTACCCGCTAAATCCTCTCCTGCAGTTCTGCTGCATCTCTCAGGTTCAGGGTTATTCAGACCAACGTTTGGGTCTCCTGTGTTTTATTTCACCTCGATAAAATCATCAATTAACAATCTGCATTGCTTCCCCAGCTCACCTGCTTCCCCTGATTGGTTATTGATCATGTTTCCATTAGGGTGTGGTGCTCTAATCCAAACCTAAAGGCTCTGCTCTTTCACCATCTTGATGATTCATGTTTTGGGTGCTTCTCCATCTCTTTCTCTCCTCTGTCTAACCTCACTTTCTCTCTTTGGTTCTTCCTCCCTTCCCTCTCTTTCTTTGGGTGCTTCTAGTGGTTGCTCCCGGGCCTGGTCTGGGCCCCGCTCCAATGTCCCAGTTTGGAACCATCTCGCGGCAGATTTCGCGGCACAACCCCTCCAACTCCTCTGTCTCTATGGTTTCGGCCACGGGCACCTACCGCCGGGCGCCGTCGGTCACTTCCCAGTTCTCCTTGCAGCAGCAGCAGCAGCTTCAGCTTCAGCAGCAGCAGCAGCAACAACATCAACAACAACAGCAGCAGCAGCAGCAGCCTCATATTAACGGAGGCACTCCAGGCTACGGCCAGAACTCAAGTAAGGCGCTTCTGTCTCCGATCCAAGCCTGTTTTTAAGATCACCGAGGCACTGAGCTTCACGTTTTTTTCCAAATCATGCACTGTCACAAACTAAAGCCGGCTAACCTTTGCAGCCAAAAGTGAGTCACTGCTTTCTGAAGGTCAGACTCGCACTCTTGTTAGAATTATTGACTCACCTTTGAGTCTGGAAGTGCGGGTTAAGGCTTTTTATTGAACCGTGGGATGTCTTCAGTATCGATGCAGAATGTCTCATTCTTGTGTCCTACAGCAGAAACAATGCGGTCAATCGATCACTGCTGTAGACTCAGTTTCTGGCCTCTTGTAAGAGTGACCGGTGAATATATTTCTCTGTAGATCACGTGGGCTTTGAGAAATAACATCATCATCGCAAAGTAAAACCGCTGATCCAGTTTGTCGTCTTCACCTGTGCTTTGAAACTCCTGTTTATCATCAGATTATAGCGTCTTCTATCATTGGCAGGCCCCTGAAATAGTCTCTTCATGGCAGACTTTAAAGGGATATTCCGGTGTAAAATTACACACACCGTAACACAGAGTTAGAAACCCCTTCAAGAGCCGAATGTTGCCGACCACTTGTTTCTCTAGTTATACCAACTTTAGTAACGACCGCACAATAGCAATACACAGCGGTCTACGTCTCAGCCAAAACGCCACTCTATAGCCACAAATAATGCTCAGAACAGCACCTAACTTCGTCAACAGGACATATAGAGTCCTAGCCATAGTACTAGACACCAAACATCTTTTTAACTTTGCCAAATTTCTTAAGCAAAGAGACGAAACACAACTCACCTACTCTCTTCCAGCAGCCGCTTATTTGTAGCGAGACCTCAGGCCAGTCCATTACGGACTGCTGCGGGGGGACGCAGCTCAAGGAAGAACATTTTTGATCATTACTTCAAGGAAATGATAAAATAATGATCATAAATGTTCTTACTTGAGCTGTGTCACCCCGCTGTAGTCCGTAATGGACTGGCCTAAGGTCTCGCTAAAAACAAGTGGCTGCTGGAAGAGAGTAGTTGAGTTGTGTTTGGTGTCTTTACTAAAGAAATGAGTCAAAATTAAAAAGATGTTTGGTGGCTAGGACCCTATATGTCCTGTTGATGAAGTTAGGTGCTGTTCTGAGCATTATTTGTGGCTATAGAGTGGCGTTTTGGTTGACCGCGTGGCTCTGTGTATTGCTATCGTGCGGTCATAACTCAAGTTGGTATAACTAGAGAAGCAAGCAGTCGGCAACATTCATCTCTCGAGGGGGTGTCTAACTCGGTGTTACGATGTGTTTGACCCTAAATTAATTTTACACTGGAATATCCCTTTAAGATCAGCCAAAACCACATTGTTGTCCAAAATAATCAATATGTCGTCTTGGGATTCACACTCCCAATATGTAAGCCCCTTCAGAAACGAAAGAGCTAACACTTGAAATCAAGATGAGGGTTAACACAGAGCTCTTTAAAATCCAAGTTTCAAAGCGTTTGCTGAAAGCAGCAAAATAAAGCAGACAGCTCTTTGAGATTGAGGAGTTCTTTGAGCAAGAAGATATCAAAACAGCGAAGGCAGAATATAGCGAACATCTTTTTTTCAGATTTACACAGTTTGAAGAAAAAAAGCTGAAATAAATAAAGACTGGGCTCTTGTTTTTCCACTCCTGATCTGATCCGATTTAGAAAAATCACCATCAGTCAGTCGAGGAAAGAGTCTGTTTCTCTCTCACTTGTGACTGAAGACTTCACTGATATAGAAGCTGAAGTGGGTGGATTTCCACCCCTCCTGAAGAATGCAGTCACACTGTATGGGTTTCATTTACGCCTGCTTTAGATCAGATCCCAATGTGGGCCAGATGTAGACCATCACATACCGATCACAATGTGCTCCGCAGGCTTTCTGAAGGCGGTAACATTATGGACGGACAGATGTGTTAACAGGTGTTGGAGCGGCTCTTGAGTTTTACTCGCTAAAGCGCTGAGTTTAAAACGTCCTCTCGGTGCTTATCAGCGAAAATGTTCGAGTCTATTGATTAATCGGTGACTGGAGGATATAAAGGCTTAAAGCAGACATGCATGTATAATTTTCTAAGTCCGTATGTCATTAACCTCAAATGACCAAGGTTGTTTTCTTGAGACATTTCAGGGTCGCTGAGATGTAAACACAATCAGTAGAAAACAGCTGTTTTTGTTGCATTTTCTTCACCTGAAAATGCAAACTTTTTATCCGCACACTGATATTTAGCTTCTGCAGCTAAGCCTGACAAAAGCAGCACATCAACCCAGAGCACTCAGTCCATCTCCACACCAGAGTGAAGCTGGTTCTGCATGCCTGCCTTGGATTTGGTTTTGAAGTACATGAACATTCAAGTCAAACAGCGCCTCCCTGTGGTCATCAGCAGTACTGCTCTGTCCAAAGAAGAGGAAACCGTCCGATTGACAGAAATCAGACATAATCCGCCTGTTTATCCTCTCAGCCTCAGTGATCCTCTGATACCATGTGAAATCTCCTCACAATCACAGACGTCACTCTTTAACTTCCAGCTTCACAGAGTGTGTGTTTGTGGAGACGCTGCAGCTACAGACAGTAGAATGAATTAATCTGTTGAATATTGATCACTTTGATTAAATCTAATATGACATTTCTTTGGTATTAAAGCCAACAGATTAATTTATTGGACTAAGCTTTCCTCTCTGTCCTGTTAGATTTCTACAAGCTCATCACAGTTCCTGTCTGTGTCAGTCTGGTGTTTGCTTGTTGTTGTACATTCTTGGTGACTGATGGGCTTTCTCCTTTCTCTTTTTTTCTCTCCTTCTTTCTCCTGTCTCGTCTTCCTTCTGCCGGCTTTCAGTGTCTATCGCTCCTCCTCCTCCTCCCATGCCACAGCTGACTCCACAGATACCTCTGACTGGCTTTGTGGCCAGGATGCAGGAGAGCAGTAAGTGACGAGGCCTAAAGACATACTTCGCCCTTTTAGTCTGTGCCGACCATTACCCTTCTCAACAACTCCCAGCATGCATTGTGCTTGCTCATCATCCTTACTGTCCTGTCTGTGAAGATCAACTTCTTGCAACACTAAATTATCTGAATATGTGTCCGACTAATGCTGGTTTTAAAGCACCTTAACAGGCTTTTGAAGACAGATTTGTTGAATTGTGGATGAAATTAAACATCATTTTGTTGTTACTAGAAAAAATAATCACTCAACAACATTTTTGTCATATTTATTGATACTTTGAAAAAATCTATTAGTCATCTATTAGTCACCAACTCAGTTACAGAAACTTCTTATGAAACGGAAAAATACCATCTTTTTAAAATAATTCTGATTTAGATGTTTCTTACGGAATCCTGAACACTTTAAATTGGTGAGGAAATTTCTAAATGTGGGTAAAGTATCTTAGAGCAGGAGCAGAACAGCTGTAAAAACGAGCGAGTTAGCCGGATAACGGGTGGCAACCAGTGTGAAAAACCACTAATACCCAAACTTTGAACCATAAAGTTAGACGATTTACCAAACAGTCATATTAAGTACAAAGTTAACATTTTTGTAAAAGTGCATCAAAAGTACAGACGTTGTAGATATCAGTGCTTTAAGATGATGGATTACAGGGTGAGTTAAAAAGTGGGTTTGATGTCAGAATTTTGTACATTTTTCTATGAAGACTTTCAAGATTTATTATCAGGATTTGGTTATATCTAAAAACAATTACAAACCTGAGAATTCTGACCTTTTTCCCAGAATCCAAAAGTTAAAAAAAGTCTGAATTCTGACAAAAAGTAGAATTCATTCAGAATTTTGTGATTAAGGCTGAATTCCTTCTGTTTTCTTATTAGAAATCTTGGTTTAAAGTCAGGATTTTATCTTTTTTTCCCCTCATAATTCTGTTTTTAAATCCAGATTTCTGACTCTGACCCCTGAATTTTGACAGGTAGATGTAAGACTGTAAAATCTAGCCCAACTTTTACAACTGCTATAAAATATAAGACATAGTGATGAGTCATATCTCTCCCTCAGCTCGACCTCCATCAGCGGTTTGCCGCCCAAACATGCAGCACCTTTGTATTTTCTGTAAACTTGAAGGGTAATATTTGATAGTGTTTATGGGTGTATGTTTATGTATGAGCGTCCAGAGAAGTTTGGAAACCACTGGGGTACAAAACAGGTCTGGAGAAGGTTGTTCTCTCTGTCGCCCTCTGCTGTTCAAAATTCTGCAGCACATCAAAAATATCAACTACTTCTTTAAAACTGACTTCACCTCTAGACTGGATTCATTTTTAAGTATCTGCATAAACGAATTCAGTCAGAGACGTTTTATAATGTTTGAAAAATGTAAATCAAAACACCCAGTCTGCTGACGTGTTTCTAGATATTACCTTTTTAGTGTATGCTTTTGTGCAAACCTGCTTAATTAGCGTGACTCAGCATGAAAGACGATCATTGAAATGTTGATAAATTCTGCGCCGTTTCTCCTCTTTTTATATGTGCATGTCTGAGTATCTGCAGAGCCACAAGAGCAGCACAAACACCTAAGAGGCTTAAACACTCAGAGTATCATCCTATTAAGAGATGCATGAAAACGCTAACAGTGATGCAGCCTGTTTTATGTGTCTTACATTCGCACCCCTCTGCATGTCCTCTCACATTTCTGCATGATTCAGCCGCCGTCCTCTCAGCTCTGAGCTCATGTTGACCTTTTGAACCAGACTAATCGTTCGTAATTATGACTTCCCGTGTCTTAAACAGTTGCAGATACCCCGACTCCTCCTCCCCCGCCGCCTCCCGACGACATGCCGATGTTTGATGACTCCCCTCCCCCTCCACCGCCTCCTCCAGTCGACTACGAGGAGGAGGATGCTGCTGTTGTGCAGTACAACGACCCCTACGCTGATGGAGACCCACAGTGGGCGCCAAAGAACTACGTGGAGAAAGGTTTGAGCAAGAAATTACAAAGAGTAATAACTAAAGCTGCGTTCAAGTTAGCTCAGAAGTCAGAGCTGGGAATAACGTAACACCCGATTTGACGGTGTTCCAGTTAACAAGTCGGACAACCAAGATGGATCGCTACTGTCAGCTGTTGTTAGTTGTTGTTAGCATTACCAGTTGTTAACAATGCATAACACAGTATTTTACTCTACAAACACCCTAGCACAGTGTTCACAGTTACCCCGAATTTCCACCACATCCGGAATGGCTTCGATCTGGAACTGTGGAAATTTTTGCCGTCTCCCAATTCCTTCCAGATACGTTGGTGAGGCAAATTTCGTGGTGGATTGCGGACAACCTTTCACTAGTTTGTTTCCGCTCGTTTGCATGGTGTGAAATACGATCCGCCTGAAACACGGAGTGTTTTATTTTGAAAGAAACCAGATGTTTTATTTTGTGTCTGTGCCCGACTTCCTCTCCAGCACGGGTTAATCTTTGCTGAATTTATCCGGCATGCTCTGGCATCCAGGAAAAATAGAACTCTTGCAATCGGAGTCCTGCAATCTGCCGTGGAACGGAAAGAAGCCGGTGGAGATTGACACATCAACTTGAATGGTTACGATTAGCTGCGATCGGCGGATACGGCTTTTTCGGAGCCGCTCCGGATGCGGTGGTATTTTGGAGTTAGTCGTTGGGCAGTACAACAATTACCACTTATTTAGTTTCACAAAAACAAAAATGCTAATAAATAATACAGCACAAGAGCTTTCACTGTTACTCTTTACTGGTGATGCACTGCGCTGCCATCTTGGATTATGACGTCGGGGTTGGCGAGGATCGTCTGACTTTCCGAGTTGGAAGTCCGACTTCAGGGGGGCCTTCCAGATGAATTTCTGACTCGGAGCTCGGAAATCCCGACTTCTGAGTACAACTGGAAAGCAGCATCAGGGTCATGCATAGTCAGGTAGAATGGGGGTGTGGCTTGTTTGATTGACAGGTGAAGAGGTAGCTGTTTTGATGTGGCTAGGTCATCCATCAGATATTTGCGATTCACCGAACAAACTCTCTTCCTCTTTCCAGTGGTGGCCATCTACGACTACAGTAAAGACAAAGACGACGAGTTGTCTTTCATGGAGGGCGCCATCATTTACGTCATCAAGAAGAACGACGACGGCTGGTTCGAGGGCGTCTGCAACGGCGTCACCGGCCTGTTCCCTGGAAACTACGTGGAATCCATCATGCACTACGCCGACTGAAGGGCCCTGACAGCAAGAGCACGGTCTATTTATTCAGTCATATCATAACCCAATGACAGACTGACTGCAGCCATCTCCACTCAGACGTAACCGTATGATCCCCGTTTTTTGATATGACAGAATGTTCTCTCCCTTACTGATTGCAAATAAAAATGAAAGTAATATCTATTTAGTTTATTTTGGTGTTATATGGGCGGGTTGGGGGACATGTATGGAATATGTAAAAAATATAAAGTTTCTAAGGATTCAGACTGCACGTGCTCACAGCGGTCGAACACAGCTGAAGGACTTTAACTCACCTGGAACGAAGATATATACGAACAAGAGTTTGAGGTGAAACGGAACAAATAAAAGTCATGTAAGCACCTGTTTGATTGACAGTTGTAAATACCGTGAGCTGCAGAAACTCGGGTTTATGTAATGTGAATTCAGTGAATGTTGATTATATGATAGTTTTATTAGTGGTGCCCTCCTCGACTCCATCAGAAAAACAAAAAACGCAGGTGGTCCGTCGAGGATTTACAAATTTCAAATACTGTGTAATGTATCTCAAAGACAGTTACTCCTGAAATCAGTCTTGGCGTCAAAGCATGCACAACTTTTGAGAGTTATAATGTAATCTTAAGTTTATTGCCATTATGCTTCCATTTTGTTTGTAAATGTATTCACGTATATTTTTTAAATTTTTTTTGACGACACTGTTGAAATCACTGAACTGTAAGACTCTGAAGTGAATCGCCCATCCTCGAAATGAAACGGAGTTTTATTTTTCACTCGCTCTGATCTGTTCGAAACGAGAAAACACATTCCAGTTTATCTTATGTCACGTCACTGTTATTAACTTTATTCTAACCCTCATCAAACCCGACAGGATCTCTTAGTAATACTGGCGATAACAGGCTCTGACTTACAGCGGTGATGTTTCGTAAAGGAGTCGTCGTGCCTGACACTGCCATGAAGTAACGATTCAGATGTAGACCAACAAACAACTCGATACCTCCTCAGTCTTCAGCGAGCGTCAACAACCTGCTCTGGGTTTCAGGACATGAAGTCCTCTGGGCTGCACAGGTGTACATATTTTATCCCGGGTAACATCAGCCAATCATCTTTTATCAGGTCTCACTCAGGTCTGGGGGATCATCTTAGTGTTTTTCAGTTGGCCCTTAAACATGCGTCTAATTTTGACTTCTACTTCAGGACTCTGCAGCTAATGCCTTGATAATTTGCCCGTTTTTTCGATTTCAAAAGTGTTCCAGCTCGCTCTCTCTCTCTCTCTCTCTCTCTCATGGGTAGAAATACTGAAATCTGTCCCTGTCTGCTCTTCATTTGTACATATAATATGTTGATTGAAAGATTAATGTACAGTCTTTTTATAATAAACAATTCTATGTACAACATGCAAGTGTGTGCTCACTGTGACAGTAGACTCTGTTTTAGTTGTAGCATCGTATCTTAGACGGTATACAGAATGGACGCCATCTGCCTCCTCGCTGGGTGAAGCCACGGCGAGAACAGCACCCTCTGGTGACAGGTTGCAGTATAGGTCCTGGTTGCGATGTTGACATGTAGTCAATGTAAGACTGGTTTGTGCCCAAGTCCTCTTTTTTTCTGTACAGCACAAGGTATTAGGGGGTTCATGTTTTTTATGATTGACACTTGATACAGCCTATGGGCGTACGGAGATCGCATAGCTCGCCTCTGATTGGCTAGAAGTGCTGGGCTCTGATTGGTTATTCCTTATGGCTGTGAAACATCATCGGGTTAGGGTTAGGAAATTCAGATGTGTGATTCTGTTTGATGTACAGAGCCGACAGCCAGCGTTTGGCTTGAGTGTGTAATGACATTTCCAGCTTTTCAAGCCAATCAGAGGCGAAGGAGGCGGGACTTTCGCCTACCATCATACAAAAAGAAAACATCACGGGGATACGCTGTTTGAGCCGAGCGTCATCACAGCGACTCTCCTGCCGAACACGTAAAATGCTACTGTACAAGTGGAGGAAATCCGAGAACAATTCTGCTTCAAATTCGTGACGGAAGGCGGAGCCAAGTTGTCTATAGTATATACAGTCTATGGTTTGTATAGCGAGCAAAAGTAGGCGTGATGTTAGGCGACCAGATTTCTGTAATGAAATCCGGGGATATCTGGCGCAGGGGGGGCATGGGCTGCGTGATCACATCACAGACAACATCTTGGTACTACTTGGTAGCAGCTCACGCCCCCTGTGAAAACTGTTGTTCAGGACTGCGCACAACAGGCTTACTTGTGCTTCCTACCTACTCGGTTACTGTAATAACAGTTGTTGTAGTCTACACCCAACATTTTTTATACTCATTCATGAAACGCTTAAATTGGGGACATTTCCAGGGACAGGTCATCCAGTACGGGGACTATCTCCCTAAATCAGGGATGTCTGTTCACCTTAACTTACTGTGGAGACATACTAGCAGTAATCTGACAACTAATGCTAAATCACTGCACTCCACTAGTTCACCTTCTCAGGTACTTAAAGAAATCCTGATTTGTGGACATGCTCATGGTTAGCATATGAATTTTGCATGTTCTCTGTTTCCTCCTCTGAGTTTGCTAACTGGACTGTAAACGACCCAGCCGATGGAAAACGAGGTCTTGTTTTTGTGTCGCTGGAAACACCAAAGTTCACTGCACACCCAGAGGCGATAATGTCATCAGACAATAACTAAAAGGTTCCATGATGGCTGTGAGGGAATAAAAAGGGCGAAGGCATGGTTTAAATAAAAAAAAAAACATTTATTGAGCACACACAGTCGTTGCAGATGTTAAGGCCTTGGTTGTTACAGGACACTTTTCATTACAGAAGCAGCCTCATGGATACATGACTGTTTGGCCTCAGAGGTGTGGACGGATCTGGACAGACAAAAGTAATAGATCCAAACTATCACACCGACTGACATTGTTTCACTCCCTCTGTGTTTGATATATAACCTCTTTTTTTTTTTCTTTTGCAACGCCGCCACGGCTCAGCGCCAGCCAGAAACACTTAGGAGTCACAGTTAGCTGGTTTGAGTCCGGGGAGGCTGGTGCAGGTACAGTACTATATGCGGGGAAGGGATAGGGTGCACTTTCTCAGCTTTAAACATAATTTATTCATATATTTCATTTAAAATTTGTTGATTTTTTTGTTGTTTTTGAGGAACTCAGCCTGGTGAAAGTTTGGATGTGATTGAGAGACCCCTGCCTGATGTTTACATCCCATAATTTTCACTATTCAGCTTTTTTGTATTCCAAAAAAAGCTGCAGGGATCCTTCTCTTGACCGTCTTTGTTCGACCCCGCCCGCGCTGACACTGAGGCAGAGTATGTGGGGTGAGTTTTCTCACAGGTAGGTAGCTGCCTGAAGTGGAGTCTAGCTGAGGTTTATTTGTCCCGGGTGAGAACCATCTCAGTGAGCCTGATGAGGGCGTCCCTCTCTGCAGACGGCCTCAGCATGCTGATCTGCCGGATGGCTTCTTGACAGTAGCGCTGGGCCAGGAAGTTTGTCTGCTGCACACCGTCGCTCTGAAGAAGAAACCGAGGTATAACCCAACCAAGGTGAGCTCTCATTTCATTTACATCTCTCTCATATTATAAAATGTAGAAAAACCTCGATGGTTTCGAAAATCAAAACTTTAAAATTTTCAGTCGTTTTCATATTTAGCAGATCTATGAGCAATTTCCTGCATGTTTTCTTCTCTGATGGGAAACAAGAAGTAGTCCCACAAGATTTTCAGTGAAAAAAGAGCCTGTCCAGTCTCAGGATGTTCATCCCAATTTACCACTTTTGAGGAATTAACAGATTTACAAATCCTTTCTGAGACACACCCAACACTTCCCACACAGAGACGACACCTGGGCAGGTCGTTTAAGTTTAATCATAAACCTGTTTTACATGTTTACTGTCTTCTCTCAAATCTGGATTAAGTTCATTATCTGTAATCACTGATTTAGACGCTCAACCGTCACTCTCTACTCACACCATAGAACACACTGTAATACCATTAAAAACTGTACTTTTGTAGAGTTGTAATTGTTCTCCTTGATAAAGTTTTGCATGTTTTATTCGTCTCACCTGAAGGACGTACTGCCAGGCTCGATCTACGTCTCCTTTAGAGCTGAACCGTCTCATGATCATTGCGTGAAGCTCAGGAAACTAGAAAAACAGAAAAAAACGGAGGTTTACAAACAGCAGGGGGCGCCACTTTGGCCTGGCAGTTACAGCTTGTTTTAGTGTACAGAGATTGGAGTCTAAAGCTCCAGATGCAGCTGGTTTAGTACCATGTTGAAACGTTGATGTAAGTCTCACCTGTTGGCAAGCAAACAGGACCGGCCCTGTAGCCAAACCCAGTTTGAGATCTGCAGCTGAGGGCTTCCCCAGCTGATTGGCCCCTGACGTAAAGTCTAAGACATCATCCACCAGCTACAGGAGAGAGAAAAATCATCCCAGACAGTTATCTTTCTGCACTCTTAAAATTCAATTATTGAGTCTCTTCATTTATAAGTTTCAGGTACAGAGTCAAGACTATTTCAGAGATCACAAATGACCTGAAATGCGATGCCCACGTTCCTCCCGTACTGATAAGCGATTTCATGAACTTCCGGATCAGAATTTACTAGAATGGAAACCTTAAAGCAAAGAGAGGAAAAACAGTCAACAAAAAAACACAGGCTGTCAAAGCCGAAGCTTTCCTCCAACTCAGCGGTATTAGTGTGGAGACAGAACGTACATACTGCTTTACAACTGTTTGCAATAAGACTGGCTGTCTTCTTGAAGGTTTTCTCGAGGTAGTGTTTGAATCTCTCGTTCTCGTTCTCTTTGGAGCCCAGCTGCATGAACTCACCTGGAAACACAAGTAACACAATCAGTATATGTGAGAGCGGAGATCCTGAGCGAGTAACTACAGCTGTCAGACAAAGATGGTGGAGCGAATTAAAACAGGGAATTATTTGCTTCTAAGGTGTAGTGGAGGAAAAGCATGAAGTTTCTTTAACTTGAGATGCTCTTGTCTGAGGTCAAGCACCTACAAGATTTACTGAAGTATTTCAGTTTCAGTGTTGTCAAAGTGTTTTTAACCTTCCAGTGTGCAAAGTGACCTTTGTTACTTTTAGGTAAAAATCTAAACTTTATTTCTAGAAATGCACTGATTCATAACCGAGTGAAACTCTGTAAATTTTGAGATAACACTAAAGACAAAAACCTAAAAAGGACCATCTCCCAATGAATTTAATTGATAAATTATTAAATGCATCCCTGACTGTGTCTGATGTATCAAAATGGCCTTAGCAGGAGGATCTCCATACCTCGCACCAGATCCTCTATCACCTGGGACAACACCTTCACCACTGTGATGTTACCGATACGGGCCAGAGCCATGGAGGCAGCAGAGAGGATGAAATCTCCGGCCAAGATGGCCTGAAGGAGAAAACAAACAATTGAGATCATTTTCCTTTTTTAAATGTTGATTTTAAAGAAAAGGACATCTTTCCTTTCTCTTACCTTCCTTTCTCCCCACATTTCATTGATGGTATTCTTCCCTCGTCGTTTATCTGACCCGTCTATAACGTCGTCGTGCACCAGGCTGGCAGTGTGGATCATTTCTGAGATCATTGCGATGGCCCTCTGACCTGGGAGCAGATCTCTACAGAGGGCAAAAACAATAAGTGTTTGAAGGAAGTAAGTTCGTATAAAAACCTGGATGGTTTACAATCACTCCTATGACTGTATCAAAGGCCGATCTGTGTGAGCAGCAGCAAATAAAACGGAATCTTCTGGTGAAATATGAAGCAGTAAAGTGATCCGGTCTTACCCGGATCTGTTGCTGTGGATGTTTAGCGCCCGGGCCATCAGGACGACTATCATTGGTCGGATCGCTTTGCCTTTGCCATCAAAGTAGTAATCACATACATACTTCAGCTCCTCTTTGGATACAAACAATTCCTGTGAAGCAAAGTTTTAAAATCTGCGTCACAACCAGCCAGAGTCGGAGATAAACATCTGCAGAAAACCACGACAGCAACAGATTTCCTGCTCTGAACGCACCTTTCTGATGTCGTCGTATAAACTCTTTAAATCTCTCTGCGCGAGTGTGAAGGGGTCTAGAAGCTTGGCATCGCTGTGTATTTTTCTGCAGGAGCACGTCTGTAGTTTGGGATCCAGCAGCCTGGACTTGTGTCTGAAAGAGAGACAGAAAAAACACAAAAAATCAGGTCAAAAAATTATAAACACGTCATGTAATTTAGGATTAAAACCACAAGTTGAAATCACATCAAAAAGTTACAATTAGGATCCTTCAAAACAGACTTTTTTTAGGGGTTTAACCAAGTCTGTGACAAACTAATACAACACTTTAAAATGCAGTGGACATTTGGTTATAGACTTAAAAAGTGTAAAGGAGAATAGCAACAATCAACTGAATAAATAACAGCCATGCAAAAAAGTACTGCCTTTTGTTTGTTTATTTTTTTTAACTAAAGTGACAAAAATTTGACAATATATACTTTTCTTGGATTTCTATGATAGAAAATAAAGACACCTTAAAGCTCCTGTAAGCAACTTTCAGGTGGTGTCAAAAGCCTTTTTTATCCGACAATGTGATTGTGAACATTGAGGAGCACCTACCCCCTCGTAACACTTTAAGACATTAAAAACTACAGCATAAAAATCATCATTACTGATGGTCTCATTGTGTCATAAAAAAGCATTAAGATGAATTTCAGTCAATTCATAAACATCGAAAAACTTCTCACTGGAGCTTTAATTTACATACTGTCAGTTGGACACAGCTCTAATGAGAAATAGTTGATATTTTGAATAATTAAAAGTCTCTATTTGCTAAAACGAGCACTTTAAATATTCTATATATAACTTGTAGACCATAATTAATAATAAAATTACTCATTAGTTTCTGGTTAATGACACTCACCTGGAGATAGACGAGGTAAAGTGTAAACGTTTCAGGTGTGTTTCTGTTGGTGTAACTGATGATTGCCTCTGAAATAAAAGAACATTAATCAAAAATTACTTCAGAATGACCTTTTCAATGATTTTTGACACTTATGATGTTATTATCGTCATGAGAATTGCGTGTTGTGTGTCTGTTGTCCTTCCACACCTTAAAAACAACATTAACCCTAGATCACTATCACGTATCGAAACATGTTAACGTGATTTTCACGATGTTGCGTTTGTCTGAGTATCATGGGTCCCTGGGTAGCTTCAGCATTACTTTTGACATCGTTGAAGGGATATTTGTTTCCCTGATGCAAAACTGCTTTTTCCTACAGGGTAACTAGGTTTGATAGCTGCATGTAGGGAATAAGGTCAGTAAGAGTGGTCCTGGAAATTACATGTTATCTTTATTTAGTGCAGTGGTTATGAATAATGATCACAAAACAGTGATTTTCAAGGGAATTCATATGCTATAAGAAATATTTTAGTCAGCTGGTCATTTTTACTCGATCAAAATCTGCCATATTTTGGTTCTCTCTCCTGTAGCTGTTATTGTGCCAAAGACTCAGTTTATAAACTAAGAAACTAAGTTTACAGTTTATATTTTGGGAATTTTTTGTTCATGAATGCCTTATTTCAGTTATTTTGTTGCATTTTTGTATGATCCTCTCATGTCACTTTTTCCCTTTGAACATTGCACAGTTAAAAATAAAGAAAACTACTTTAATTTGTCATGTTTTGTCCTCTTTTGATATATTTTTATGACAAGGACTTTTTCTTAGGTATATTATTTCGGGTAAAAATCACCCGGTGATAGTGATGGGGTTACTAATTTTAGCGATGGTGTTCTAAGGTTAAATATAATAATCATTTTAAAAATAATCATCATCAAAAATCAAAACAATGACAGACTCTGATAAAGCTTTTGTTTTTGAGTTATTTCACATCCTCTGAGGGTGTCTTTAGCTCTCTTGTTGTGAAATTTTGTAGTTTCACACTTGTGGTTCTTCAGGAAGTAACTACTTCATAAAACCTGAGGACAGACATGTTTGTCAGTGCTTCATAAGTGAATGAATGAATGAATATAGCTTTATTGTAAATGAATGGGAGGTTTGTACAACACAGGTTAGACTGAGGTGGGCTTCTGGCTCAGTGAAGGACAGGACTTAGTGTAATCAGCTGGAAAGTCAGGGGCAGGTCTTGACCTTTCTGCCTGAACCTGGATCTCTAAATGAGCCAACACCTCCTGCAACAAGTCTCCATTCATTTAACAAATATACTTAAATAAAAATAAAAGAGAATAAAGAGAGTACCTGCATTAACACTTCATGTACCTAACTCTTTAAGGAGCAGAAACAGAGCAGTCTGCAGAGGGGCTGACAGCTCCCGGTTAGTGTATGACCTTCCTGGGTTTGACAGCACTCCCTGCCCGGTGTCCTCACACTCACAGCCCCGCATACTCACCTCGTTCCCCGGCCTCGAGTTCGTGGAGGTCCGCCCCAGAGAGGACGCCGTGAAGGACGCGGACCTGCTGTTAGACTGCCACAGCGTCTCAAATAAACTCGTGTTCCCACAGATTGTAGTCCACCTCTTGCATTGCCTCCACCACGGACCCGCCATGTTCCCCAGTAGCGTGCATCGGGACAGGTTATATATCGGAACGGAACCGGAAAACAGGAAACCGGCGACCTCTCATGACGTTGCATAACGAGTAATCTGTGCTGCTTTCAGGTGCAGCTAAAAAAATATTTAATTTTTTATATGGGGAAATATTCACGTCCTTACAGGGATATTCCGGGGTAAAATTAATTTAGGGTCTAACACACTGTGACCCCGAGTTAGACACCCTATCGAGAGATGAATGTTGCTGACCGCTTGCTTCTCTAGTTATACCAACTTTAGTAACGACTGCACAATAGCAATACACAGTGTCCAAGGAGCCACGCGCTCAACCAAAAGCCAGTCTATTATGGACAGCTGTGGTTATTTAATTATTTAACTAATTTGTTTATTTACTATTTGAACTGTTGTTATTATTATTATTATTATTATTATTATTATTTGTTATTATTATTATTATTATTATTATTATTATTATTATTATTATTATTATTATTATTTATTTTTTAATCTAATTTAATTGTATTTTATTTTTTAGGGATGTAGGTAAGAGTTGGAAAATTGTAGTTCTGTTGTTGCTATGGAAGTTGTTAACCGTTTATAAAATAAAAAAAAAGATGAATAAATTGTTTTAAAAAATGTTTTTTTGAGAATACAATTTTTTCTTAATCATTATTAAAAAAAGAACTTTCTTGAATCCTTTTGCTGCCTTAAAGACGTCTTCGGGGGAAGTTTCCCACTCGATACTCATTTTTCTATTTATTCTGACAGACCCCTGAACGCAGCGTAACGTTGACAACAGACACTAGAGCATTTATTTCTCTGCTAAATTTAAGAAAACAGTGGTAAATGTGAACTTTGGCGGTTTTCCCGTTTCAACCAGAGGTGTAGATGTTCATTTAAAATTGTAATTTTATGGAGAAACACTGGTGTATTTATGAGGAACCAACAACTCAGACTGGGGAACCGAGTTAGCCAGTTAGCTACAAACTTAGTTACTCTGTTATGTCTTAAAAAACAAACAAAGTTAGTCACTTTGTGGGTTTATGGTTACAAAAAGATTAGTTCCTTGGTTAATTGCTGCAGAAATAGCATTGTGTTGTTCTGTAGAAACTCACACCATGTCCAGTATCCACACAGTGTTTGTTTTTGCTGTTGTAGCAGCAGTAAGTGTCCCCCCTGTCCATGTCCTTGAGTTCTGCCAAAGCACTGACCCAGACTGCCACAGTCATGACACCTTCAGGTCCAGGTGGAACAAATCTGTCTCAAACCTCACACAGAATCTGGACCGATTCAGCATCTCTTGCAAGAAGCTCATGGGTAAAACAGATTCTGATGTTATCAGAGTTTTAACTCATTAAAGGTTTGTTCACAGTTATTCCTCTTTTGCAGAATCATTCCCAGTCGATGAGGTTGATGGAGACTTTGTCCGCACTGTGAAGAACTGCATCTTCTCCAAATCCATTCCCACACCGCTGAAAGGCCCGTTAAGACTGGCAGCAGTTTCCAAGGTGGTGTTTTCATATAAACAGCATCATTTTAAGGTTTATTGAACAGCAGCAGATGTTTCATTTTCAATTTCCGTCCACAGGATGTCATTGAAGGTATCTTGGATTTGGACTTGGCTCTAACTCAGTCTGATGACTTCCTTGGTTTTGTGAGTGGGAGTCAACTGCTTCCAGGATCTGAACCTCTTACGCACCGATACGGAGGTCACCAGGTAGAGTTAACCTGAACACATTCAGCATAAAGTCACTTTTCATGAAGAAAGAAAGAGTTTCAAACCCTTAATTTGTCTCACAGTAATCAATCATGTTTGATGATATTGAAATGTACAGATAATTTCTTCCTCTCCACCAGTTTGGATATTGGGCGGGTCAGCTGGGCGATGGTCGAGCCCACGCTCTTGGTCAGTATACAAACAGGTGAGGGTTTTTTTAAGTAGGTTCTTTGCATATTTATAGCACTGTTTGTTTAAGCTGCATCAAAAGTTAAAGCTTTGACTTTTTACAATGAACAACAGGAGAGGAGAAGTATGGGAGCTGCAGCTGAAAGGCTCTGGGAAAACACCATATTCAAGGTATGCTGTGTCTTTGTGTAACTGGCATCCTTTCTACCCTTCCTTCCACTTATCTCTGAACAAAAAGTTTCATTATGAGGTTTTAATACGTCACAACAGATCAGGAGACGGTCGAGCTGTGATTCGTTCCTCTGTCAGAGAGTTCCTGTGCAGTGAAGCCATGTTCGCCCTGGGAGTACCAACCAGCAGAGCTGCAACGTGAGACTAATGCATCTACTACGTGTGCAGTTTTTAGTGTATTTGATTATGATACAAAAGTATTTCACCTGTGAGCTGTGAGGTGTTTAAAAAATCATTTTCTGAAGTGTTCCCTGTTCATCGTTTTCTCTGTTTTAGTCTGGTTGTAAGTGAGGAGCCGGTGTTCAGGGATCAGTTCTACAACGGCAATATGAAGACAGAGAGAGGTACAGGTGCTCATCTGAAAATACTTCAAACCTACATTTTAATGATGATTATTAGCTAATCTTTATGGTATATTGTAATCAAGTGTTTGATGTTGTTCATTTTCACCAGGAGCAGTTGTTCTCCGTTTAGCCAAGTCCTGGTTTCGGATCGGATCTTTGGAAATTTTGGCTAAAAGCGGAGAAGTGGATCTCCTGAGGTGAGTCTCAGTGGTCTTTTATTTCACATACTACAGCTACTGTAACTGTTGGACAAAACAATTTTAATATTCACCAAATTTAATTCTGTTAGAAAGCTGTTGGACTTTGTGATAGAGGAACATTTTACCTCAATAAACCCAGATGACCCTGATAAATATCTGGTAAGTTTGGTCAACAGTTTGAATTTGATGTTTCTTGAATAGACATTTTAAGTCTTACAGTATATCCAAGTTTATATACAAGTGTGCTTTGTATTCTCATTTTTTCAGGTGTTTTATTCCACGGTTGTAAGTGAAACCGCACACCTGATAGCACACTGGATGTCAGTCGGTTTTGCACACGGTGAGAAACTCTCTTGCTTCATCATCTCATATTTAAGTCGTCATCCACATCCACTAACATGCGCGGTGTTTTTACAACAGGTGTGTGCAACACGGACAACTTCAGTCTCCTCTCCATCACCATCGACTACGGGCCGTTTGGCTTCATGGAGTCCTATAACCCCAGTGTGTACGATCATGCATGTCCGTGTATCATCAACATAAGTGTCTGTATGTCCTGCTTTAGTCAAACAGAGCTGTGATTTTGCAGATTTTGTCCCCAACACGTCCGACGATGAGGGCAGGTACAGAATAGGAGCTCAGGCGGACGTCGGACTGTTCAACCTGGAGAAGCTCCTGCTGGCTCTGAGTCCGGTGCTGTCCGGAAAACAGCAGAAAGAGTGAGGACACCAAGTTTATGAAGATACCAGACCGTTTGTTTGCATATTAACCGATTTTTCATCTTTTCAGGGCTTACATGATTTTAAAAGGATATGCAGATATTTATCAAGAGAGGTGAGGCTCCATGTTTTCTCTTGTACTTTTTCTAATAAATGATTGTACACCGCAGGTTACTTATATTATTTTTCTAGACTAACACATGGGTTTATTTCAGGATTTATGAGCTGTTCAAAGCCAAACTGGGGCTTCAGGGTGAAGAAGAGGATGATGGGTACATTATTGCCCTTCTGCTGAAAGTAAGTCCAAAACAAAGTCCCACTTTATGCTAACAGGCACTAGTGAATCGTTAAATCTTTTCAGTGAATGAGATTAATTTGTGTTTTTCTCTACAGCTGATGGAGGACACTCGGTCAGACTTCACCATGACGTTCAGAGAACTCAGTGAGCTTTCAGACCAGCAGCTTCAGAACCAGGATTTCACACAGGTAGATGTAAAGATAGTTTAAAAGTTTAGTGAATTTACCAATAGTTTATAGTTAATAGTTAAATTTGCACATCTATTCTGAAATTCAGCCTTAAGTTGATGCCGTTCGTTTCATGAATTTTACCTCTCTGGTTTCTGTGTTAGACATGGGCTCTGGAAGATTTGTCATCCCATGAGCTCTTCTCTGATTGGCTCGGCTTGTACCTGCAGCGGCTCAGCAGGTATGACCTAAAAAAAAAGATGTAAAGCTGTTCACACAAAGTGATTAATTTTGCGTGGAAATTCAGATTTTTTCACTTATTTGCCTGAATGTTGATGAAGTAGGATTTCAATTCAAACCCTTTCACTGTGTTTAGACAAAACGAAAGTGACGTGGATCGCCAAAACAGAATGAAAAGTAAGCCACTCGTGTTATTTATCCCTGAAATACTATATAAGTTTAATATCTTTGTCTAAATGTGAGAAGTATTTTGCAGATGTAAATCCCAGATATGTGCTGAGGAACTGGATGGCTGAGTCTGCAATAAAGAAAACTGAGATAAACGATTTTTCTGAGGTGCGTTGTTCATTTAACAAAAATATAACTGTTCATTTTTACTCCTCACTGTGTGTTCACCTCTCATTTCTCTCTCTCTGGTGTCACATATTTGTCTCCCACTAGGTGGAGCTGCTGCACCGTACCCTGTCCTCTCCATTTGTTACACAAGACACTGCAGAGAAGGCGGGATATGCAGCAAGACCTCCACAATGGGCGAGAAGGTTAAAGGTCAGCTGTTCCTCCTGAATGACACCTGGATGTTGAAGAAACAATAAATTTGATCAATTTTAAACCCCGTAAGAGTGTTTGTGGTTATTTTTCAGGTAACTCTTTCGATGCTGGTTGTTTATGTCAAATGAATGGGGTCCAGTTCCACAATGGAAACAATCTCTAGAAATAAAAAGTGTTAAAAAAAAAAAGATGAATATTTTTAAACCAAACAGAAATAAATTGGACCAACAGTCTGACTTATTGTGAACTTTTCAGCTACCACCAAGTAGGCCGAGTTTGAGCACACAACACAATACAACACAAGACCGGTTTGTGTATGGTACTCATACATCACCTTTAAAGGTAAAGTTAAAGGTAGAAAGTGATTTGGGATCATGAAAAACGACAGACTTTGGTCATTTCCCAAATTGAGACTAAAAATGAGGTCGTACAGTGGAGCTCTGCATCTAGACCCCCGCCATATCCCTCTGCAGATGTAACCAGGGAAACCACAGCGCACCATTTCCGCATTTTAAATTGGCGTAAGTGGCGTGAAATGATGGTCAAGTGGTTTCAGAAATTCAACATTTAACTGTTTTGTATTTTTGCACAAATACGGCGTGATTCAATTTGATATTTCACGAGAATGCACAAAATAATGAGTCGCTTTTTGACAGTTGAAATGGTGGGACAAAATATGTTTATGTTGAGAGTACTGGACATGGTTGGTCATTCTGCTGAAAAACAACAGGATCACCTGATCGAGCAAAACTTAAGGTAACTTCTTAAACTTTTTTGTTTTTTGCGATTCTAAGCTTCTGTAGATCTCCGACCAGTTTGGTGCTTTTGTGATGATGAGCTTTATTTCAAATTTCCTGAAAAAATAAAGCTTGGAGGCCTCAAACTCAAACAAAGTGAACTGTGGGAGCCTGTAAAGCTTATCACTGCCTCCTCAATCCTAAAATCACCTTCATACCTCTCTGATATTTATGATTGTAATCTTGATTTAATTGATCTCCTTTGTCAGAAAGCCCTTATAGTTTTTATTTAACTATTTTCAAACTGCTTGGTAGTCGAATACTCTCTGCAGCCCTTGATTTAGCTTCATGGATTTGTATAGTCGCTCCGTGTTACAGTAAAGTTATAAATACTCCAACACCTCCACATGACCAACAACTGCATCTGCACCAAGGCTTAAAATAAAGTGATAATGAAACAAAAGCTCACAGGCACAACCCCGACACAGTACGGCGAGTGGTTGAATGGAACAAGTGACAAAAATAGTCACTGTAACAACAGCTTCATGTCTTTCATAAGTGTCGTTGATTTGTCTCCCTCTAGGGGGAGCTGCTGCACCGTACCCTGTCATCCCCATCTGTTACACAAGAGACTGCAGAGGAGGAGGGCTATGCAGCAAGACCTCCACAATGGGCGAGAAGGTTAAAGGTCAGCTGTTCATTCAAAATGACACCTATTAAAAAAAATTAAATACAGATACTTGTGAAACTTTCAAGAGTGTTTATGGACGTTTCTTTTTTAAATTAAACTATTTTAATGTCGGTTGTTTACAGCAGGTCAGAAACGTGAAGGTCAAGACTTCATGACTTCATGACAAAAGAGCACAGGTGAGATAAGCAGCAGATTAAGCACAGGTAAATCTAAATAAACAGGTTTAAAAGTGTCTACTGATCTTAAACCCAAAGACAGAGAGTTATGACATGTTGGAGCCTCGACACACTCGACTAACAAACCCCGATCAGAGAATCTTTAGTCCTGCTGCGACTGTAAAGCTGTTGAACCTCTTTAAAACAGACAGGTTTTAGTCCATGCTGGGTTTTGAAATTGGTTTTGAAATGGATTCTGAATTTTCTGGGTCGGTTGGTGTTACGCATAATCACTTTTAAAGTTCTGTTTAAAGGTGGGGTAGGCAGGAATCTGTTAAAGAAGCATCTTTTTTTGTGGTGTATCTACAAAAAACCTTTAATATCAGTCAAAAGCTATTAGTTATTCATGACATTTAGTAATATAACGATATCGCTGTGTTTTGTTATATCTGTGTAGTCAACATTTTACATTTTTTGAGGAAGCCCGCTCTTTCTGATTGTAAACAAAGCCGTTCTCCGCCTCCCCCAACCTGTTGACATCTACAGTAGCACCAATGCTTTTTACTTTCACATTGACTGGGCCCCATTTGTAATTATCTGAAGTATTTATCTGCATTATATCTGAATTTAACTGAAACGATATGATCGAGCAGGAGCGTCTGTTTGTGGGCGGGGCTTGTTGGAGCAGAGAGGGAGGGGAGAGGAGGAGCTGAGGAGAAAACTGGTTGGGAGGGAGAGAGTTTACATTCAAGATTTCTCCCAAAAACTGGCACTTCCTCTGATCCTGACTACCCCACCTTTAAGTCCGTAAAGTGTTCTGACCTGCTCAGAGGTTTAAACAGATCCTAAAATCATTTTCATGAAGTGTGCGAAACAAAAGTAATTGCCATTTCTTACGAGTAATAAGACAACCACAAAAAAAGCAAAACGAGCCAGTGAGAAATGACATTCAGTGAGGATCGTACCACCAGGATTTAAAAGTATTTATTCAGGCAACAGACATTTAAAAAGAAAGAGTCTTTATACAAAGTTGTTGACAAAGTTGTTCAGTGTTTTACTCGTATTTACAGCTCTCCATGCAAGCGTTTGTAGATATGTACAATTCTGTAAATCTCTGGCGTTATCGTATGAACAGTTTCTCTTAGTTTAGTCAAAGAAAATTAATAACATTTTTGATGTTTAATCAGATTCATCTTGTTTTTAAAGTCAAATTTGACATTTAGCTTTTGGTTCTTGAAAAAGGTCACTATCTCTTGGCTCGTAAGATAAAACGTTGGGTATCGATCTCCGCCGTCTTCGTGTTGGAGACGATTTTTCTCCATTTCGGTTTAAGGCTGGTCAGGTTGGTTGTTGTACGGGTGTAGTTGCCTCCATAATCCCTCACTTTGTCTAAGAACTGCCTCTCTTTTTGTTCATGGCCATCATCAGTTCTGACATGAAGTCCCCTCCACCTCCTCCACCTCCTCCACCTCCTCCTCCGCTCAGCGATGGTGTAGTCCTCCTTGGTGGAGCAGGAGGCATCTTCTTCACCGAGCCAGACGGCCGGACAGGTCTCGGTGCTGCAGTAGCTAGAGGCGGCGGGGGAGGCGGTGGAGGTGCTCCACCCCCTATGAACATTGGTTGAGGTGGAGGCGGAGGTAAAAACCCTGGATCAGGAGGTGGAGGTGGAAGAGACTGGTCCATACCTCCATAACCAGCAGGAGGAGGTGGTGGTAGGGAGCTCACAGGTGGAGGAGGAGGTGGCAGTGAACCAAAACCAGCGGCGGGAGGAGGAGGCGGGAGGAAGTCTGGCGGGTCCTCGAAGGAGTCGTTCATAGGTGGAGGCGGAGGCGGAGGAGGGAGGTTGTCCATCGCAGGTGGAGGTGGAGGGAAATTCATTGGCGTGTGTCGCTGGGGAGGCGAAGGTTTTTTGAAGCTCTTGGCAGCCAATGGAGGAGGTGGAGGAGGGAGGACCGGGTCAGGGGGTGGTGGAGGAAGGACCTCACCCATTGGCGGGGGTGGAGGTGGAGGTGGAGGTGGGACAAATCCAGAATCCTGGAAGAGTAAAGCAACATTTGAAGACATACTTTTACACCATGAAACCAAATACAATCCCAGGTCTAAAGTGAGTGAGGCTGTTGGTGGCATTATGGGTAATGTAGTATTTTCTAAACTTGTCTCATACACGAATAAAAGTCGAGATAAATTTGCAAATACATAAAAGTTACGTTGCAGCAGGTTATAAGAAACTATACGACACTTTTTTATGTTTATTGGGGTCTGAATAGAGGAGAATTTCCTCTTTTTGAGTTTTGGGAAGCAGGAGAGAAAAAAAAAGTAGAACAAATACAATCAAAAATAAATCTATAGTGAAAGATCATTAGTCCAGTCCTATACTGTACCATCGAAACTGGTCCTGGTTGGGGTGTCGTAGCATGACCGTTGGCCTGGTTTGGTGATTTGGCTAGCAGAGAAGAAAAACCACGAGTGAATATACCGCACATGTTTTCATTTGTTTCATCACGCTGAGGTTGTTTCACATCACGGTGAAATCTTTACCTCTGATGGTGGGTGACGGGGTTGATTGATTGGAGCTGGATGGAGACGGAGTGCTGCGGTTCGTCCACGCAGAGCTCACCACCGCTTTCTTCTCAGACGTTTTATAATTATCATACAACGATACACCGTACTGAAACATACAAGAAAGAAGACAAATGTTAATCCAAATGGAGATGATTTCTTATCATTATTAGACGCAGAAACACATCAAACCACCGACCTTTGCGATACGAATCCCCGTCACCCAGAGGTTCATGGTCCAGGCGTCATCACAGCACAGGTATTTGATGTACTGAGACTCTTTCTGGATCTGAGGATGCTGCAGGGATAAACGCACATGGTAGATACACCAGATAAGTCACAATGAAGATCATGTTGAAGATTTATTCCCAGTTATAGAAACCCATCACAACTCAACGGAATCACATGAAGTGGATGCTTCACTTCTTTTACAGCTGGGAGATCTTTTAAAAGTGATTCATTTATTAGCAATAACCCTCTAAAGTATTTTTAATCAACAAACAGACTCATTCCAGTTACATTAGTCCTCTGTAACTGTGTCTCTTCCTACCACAAGGGGGCAGAGTTGATCCAGAACCCTGATTTTAATGGTTCGAAACAAATATTCAAATGGGTGTTATACTTTCAATTCCTGTTTGGATTTGTCTTGTCTGCATTTATGAATAAATAAGGAACCGGAGACCTTGCGGTTGAACATGTTCGACTGATTACATCCCATAATTCCGAGCAGTTTTGAAAGTATTCAGTCTCTGATACTCCAATAGTCTTATTTCTCTGCCAATAAGTGTTCATCATTAGACCGATCTGAAGGCTATTTTCTGTGTCATTGCTGGGAATGATTTCCCCCCCTGAAGAAGGAGCTGATCTCCAGAATAATGGTCGGATATCAGTTGCACATAATGAGGATGTTGTTAGCGATCACCTCAGGCGGCTCCTCTGAATATATAACAACTACATCGTGAAGATAAACAGATTCGTCCTTGAGTTGGTGCAGTTTTTCGCCGCTTATAAACACCAGCAGGAAAATGTGTCAAAACACCAAGAATGAAGAGTTTGGCAAAGAAAAGCTGGAATTAAATCATCTTTTCATTTAAAACAGCTTGAAGCAGTTTTTAAAAAATGGTTTTAGCTCAAACTCTTATTTTTAAACGTATCCTGGACCTCCGTGTAGTCCCCTCACCTGAGCTGAAACTTTGAGGACTCTGTCTCTCACAGGTGGGTAATTCAGCTTCTCTGCCTCTCTAAGCTCTTTTTGTTTTGATCCTCCACAACTAGGCGAAAAAGTATCTGCTGATTCTTGTGTTTCGTGGCGAGATAGGGGAAAAGAAAGAAAGCAGACTTTCACATCCGTTTAGGACTGACCACCAACCCATAAAAGCTCCACTTCTCACATGCAAGTCAGCATTTCCTACACTGAAATGAGTACTGTAGGTACCCTCCATCAATCTTAATATTCCCACTTTTCAAGTTCTCTGTTTTAATTACTTTTACCGTAAAGATATATCAGGAACCACGAAAAAAAATCATTTCTTTCTTTCTTTCTTTCTTTCTTTCTTTCTTTCTCACCACTTTGGATGAAACTGCCTCCTTTCACTTCTGTAAAAAAATACTATTTATTGCTTTTACATTTCCATCTGTGCATCTCACAGTTTACACTGAAACCTCCATGTCGCTGTTTACTGATAAGTCGAGCTACAATATGTTCCTCATTACACAGAATAGCAAACTGAATAAAAAAGTGTGGCAGTTTGGGGAACTTGCAGCTTCTCTCTGCTAATTTAACTGGAAAAGAGTTAAAGTGAAATCTGCAAACCGACAAATTTAAAGCTCTTTTACCTTCAGGACGAAGCAGAAATCAGTCGGAGCTTTGTATTTGCTCTTGAAGTCTTTGCCGTAGTAGATGTTTAGATTGTCGAACTGGACAAAGCAGACGAGGTCTCGAGACGACTGAAAAGAGAAGATAGTTTGAGTTAATTTGAGTTAACTGGGTAAATTTGGAGGTAAGAGACCCTAAGACATATAAAGTAAATTGTTCAGATATTTCGCTTAAAGCCGTAGTCCAGATTCAACTTTCATTTCTTTGTATTTCTGCTGATTGTGCAACATCTTTCATCTATCTGCTGCAGCTCAGCTTTACTGTCTCTACTGTATTAGCCCTGGAGTATTAGCTTGAGCCGTGTGTTTATATCCCAGTCTCTGCCACAAAATGCTGCCCCCCCTTTGACCCCTGACCTTTGTCTTCCCTTTGGGCACGTAATAAATTCCCGAAGCTCTCAGCTGGAAGAGCCGCTGCTTCCAGGACTTCTTGCCGTCCTCTTTGAGGTGCAGCACAGCCTCCAGATCGGGGACAATGATAGAGGTCCCGCAGAAGTTCTCCTGCAGAGGTGGGGAGGGGGATGAAAGAGAGGGGGTTACTGAGACGAGGTCCCACTGGGAACACTGAGATTTCACTTACAGCATGTGTGACTTTATTTACCTGGACCAGTAACTCCTTGTCCTTGTCTTTTATGTCTCTGAGAGTTTTCTTGTCTTTTTTCCAGAGATAAAAGTTCTACAGAGATAAAAACAGCATTCGTGATCATACATTTATCATTTATCTATGAACATAAAGAGTATTTTAAGTTATGCTCCCGATCTTTAAAAGTCTGGCTCTGACTTCCATGAACAGACTCCAAAACTCAGGACTTTGAAACAATGAGAAGTTCTTGTTATCCTCTGACTTTGTCCTCCGATTGCACCTACATCTGAGTATTTGTGACTTAAATCCTGCAGAGACTGTCATGAAAGTTTAGACATTAATTCATCGATTATATATCACCAAAAACTGCTAAACTACAGCACCATTAGCCTGAGCTATAGGTCTACTTTGTTTTTAGCGCTAAGAAGCAAATATTAGCATATTACGAGTCAGACTCAGGGATGTAAACAAAATCACACCCAAAGTTTTTTCACATGGTCCTGAAGTCACGACCCACTTTTATAGAATTCAAACCAAGCAAATTTATTTTTTATACATAAAAAAACTTAAAAGATTCAAATCTTTAACACAAATACACCCATTTTATTGAGTTAAGTGCATTTCAGAGCACATGAACTGAGGACGACAACTACTGAAGCTGCTTATATAGAAAATATCAAACATCAAATTGCACAAAATAAGCAATTTTTCAAAATAAAAGACGTGTCAAACATCAGATGCGCATTACATATTTACTTTTTTGACCGGCTGTTTGCGACCCATCCAGAATGTGTCCGTGACCCACTTTTGGGTCGGGACCCTCCAGTTGAGAACCACTGATCTAATACATGTATTAAGTACTAGATTGGGTAGTGACTGGTCATTTTTGATCAGCTATGGTGGAAAAAATGCTTAATATACGACGTTATCTCCTCTAAAGTTTTTAGCGCTAAGTTAGCGTGCTGTCTCACCTATCTAAACATGCTGACCAAGATCTTCATGGGTGCTCTTCAAAATATAAATATTTTTAGAGCTTAATATCACATTTAAGATGATAAGCATGATGAATAAACCCGCTAAGTCATTGTTTTGATGTAAATTATAACCTTTTTAATCCTTCTGTTTTCTTTTATGGAAACTTATTAAATATGAACATAAAAAAAGCCAAGTAATGCACTTACTTAAAACCCTCAAACTTTACTCACTCAACAACATTGAGGATGGTTTGGCTTTCTGTGATAGTTCTGGTCTGGGTTTTTGAGCTACAGGGGGATTTCTTTTTGGTAGCTCTTGTCAAAAGTAAAAACTGTAAATTAAAGTGGACATACTGTATAAAACAGACCCGTCTTTGGTAAGGGGACGGGGAGTACATGATGGAGTATCTTTAAAAGGAGAAAGTGTCATCAGTTTTTCTAACCTGGCAGTTCGTCTCTGCCAACAGACGGCCTCCGTTAAACACACTGAGATTATTAAGGCTTCCCGTTATATCAACAAACATGCCACGATCTCCATGTCTTTTGCCTGAAGCTGTTTTGTCTGATATATTACAGTGAGGACACAGTAGTAGGAGGTCATCGCACATAGAGGAAAAACATCCCATAATTCAGACAGTTCAGTAGTGAAAATAGCCAGATGCTGGAGATGGATCTGTACAAAGCAATGCCAAGAATAACGAGCTGGCCTGTGTGGGGCTCTTGAAAAATCACATATGCTCCACCTATGATTTAAAGGATACATATTAAGGGGCATAAAAAATGATTCGACCAACCTGTGGGTTTCTGAAAACCTCATTTTTTTCCTTCCGCTCTTGGAAGAGGATTTTATTCTCGCTGTCTCTCGTCCATGCTAGCAGAGGCTCCACGAGGTTCTCGTGATCTTCGAAAAAACGTTCTGCCAAAAGAAAAGCAAAATAAGAGGTCAGGAAACGTGCAAAGGTGGTACTCAGATAATCTTGTCTTATGAAGTTTAAGCATCATTTGATTATTTTCTTTTACTCTTTTGTGCAAATAAGATGCAAAGTTTGTCAAGTTGTACAAGAAGGAGGACTGGGCGATCATATGGCCGTGATTAATGATTGCGATAAATATTAGTTCAATCATGGTGATCAGCTGTGAGCATATTTACTCGATCAAACATAGTGGAAACGTGCGTCACAACAGCCAATCAGAGTCGAGCTTTTCCTGCTCACTTCTATAAGTTGCCGGAGAAGTAAACAGGAAGTAAACAAAAGCTGGAGCTAAATGCGGAGCTGAGAGCAACAAATTAGATGTCAGCCGTGACTTTGAGTCATCCTCTGAAGATGTCATTGTTGAGAAGAGAAGTTACTCAACGTCGGTTGTTTGGAGGTGGTTTGGGTATCTCTAAAGTGACGTCAAGCAATTAAGCCGATGTGCAAGGTATGTCGGCGGTTGGTGCCCTCAAAAACCGGCAACACAAAAGAGTACCTCCCAAGTGATTCGCAAAGCATGAAAATGTGGGCGGAGTCTGTAACACCTGCCACTGCAGATGGCATTTAGCATTAGCAGTTTAGCCACAACTAGTGGTGCAGCCACCAGACCGAAGCAGCAATCAATCATATCATCTAGGTTTACATCATCTAATGTTGACATTTTAAATGGTTTTTATACATATTTTAGTATGTTTATCTTATATAATTTGCTTTGTTATTATACCATGTATGTCAATAAAATGTTGAACTAATCGCTGGTGTCTTTAGTTTTTAGTAGAGATGCTTAACTGTGATAATAATCGAGATTGCACGATATGACAAAATATATCGTGATCATTTTTTAATTGCCAGATCGCTCAGGCCGAACAAGAAGTTCCTGCAAAATTGGCGGCTGGGTTTAAGTTTGTGAAACTCAATTGATATGCTGATGATAGAATGATTAATAAATAATTAAAACACGTCTCCTCATTGGTGAGAAGATTTATTATTCATCCTCCAAAGCCTCCTCTGTTTTGGTGTCAGAACAAACACTCGGCCTCGTGTACAGCGGTTCACTCCGTCAGAAAATCTTTAAGTCAGCTGAGCTCCCCTCAAAGGGAGGTTTCACAGCTGTACAATATTTCAAGTGGGATTAATTAAGAAAGGGTTCAATAAAATTCCAGCCTCCCATTTCGATGGAAGGACTTTAAGTGGCACTAAACCTCAAAAACACATTAAGGCCACTTTTCCACCTCCTCCTCTCCGCCCACCCACACACACAGTGCAACAGATCTCCATCACGGCCCGAGCGTTAGACTGTAGTTCAGCCCTGCTCCCCAATTACAGGATACCAGGCGAGGTAGAGGTAGACATTAAATAAATTGCAGCCAGGGTTCCAGTCCATAGTTTGACTATTACAATCATTAAACGGATGGTGTGACTTTGCTGCTGAAGGGAAAATCCTTTTGAAGTGCATTAACCACATGGTGCGTTTCGGTGGCGTGCATGGCGAGCACATGGGCGACTTTAACAGCGGAGGTTTGTTTGAGCTCTGCGGGTCTTTTCTGGGATGTACTTCCCTCGGCTTTTTGTTGATAGAGATTGAAGGTCGTTAGAGCAGGAATGTGACACACACTCTCGGGGGTTTACAGGCATTTAAATTTGGAGACATTTTAAGAGTTTCCATTGTCAAACTATCATACTGCCCACTTTGTCAAAGATGACACGAGATGAGTCAGATGATCCAAACATCAGAAGTTTAGTGGGTATGACATGCTTTAAATAGAAGAGTCAGACGGTTAATTTTAACAAGGCTGTCGTTTGGTTAAAAATAAACCACTGACCAATGGGGAAACTCGCATTTCCTCATTTGTTTTTTCTCCTGCAGCACATTATATCGCTACCATCAAAGTTTGAATGAGACAACTCCCCTTGTAGAGTCTTTCTACAGCTATTGTTCGAGGTTAAAATGAAAGTATCTGGTGTTTAAGAAGCTCCATATGCAGTATTTCAAACTGTATCCATGAAAGACTCTGTTTTTGACTTGTTGGAGAAGCAAAAAACAAAACAAAAAAGAGGTAACTCGCAGTGTTTTTGACTGGATTTGCATTAAACAGTGACATAATAAGCCTGTTGAGCTTTTAGTCTCTGGAACACTTTTTTAATTTGGCTCATAATAAACATGTGAAAACAAAAACTTGAATAAATGTGGTTTAGTTAAAGCTTCAGTAAGGATATTTGAGCTCAAACGGACTGAAATTACCGTATATGACAGACAGAAAGAAACAAGACAATCAGAGTGAAGAGTGGTTATTTCTGATAACATGTTTAATTGTCAGATGAGGAGACTGCTTGATTAGTCTTTGTTTATATTTACCAAGGCGAGGATTGACAATAAGTGATACGTGTGACTCTTAAATTTCGTGCGCCTCTCTTTTATAATCAGAAAATAACATTCTTGAATGGAAAAGATTTGCGCAAAGAAGTGGGTAGTGGGAATCCTTGTGATATCTGTTCAAAGACAACAATAAATAGACTCCAGTAAGTGGTAAATAATGATAAAGCCAAATGATTTAGAGCTCCCCCTGCTGGCTGGCTGCAGTATAGGTCATAAGCCCCGCCTCCTCCCATGTTAACAGATGGAACTTGGCTCATAAAGGCTTTTCTTTTTTTTCAAGAAATGAAGACATAGTGTCCATTTTTTCAAAAAGTCAATAACCCAAATACACCTTTTATGTTTGTGTATCAATCCGCCGTTAAAAGTAGTCCCTAACTCATTTACTATCATCTCAGTTTTGAGCCTTTTTTCTGACAAACAACCCCCGACGCCCAGCTCTATTTTGAAAATGATTGATTGTTTTAATCAAAGCAATAAACTCCTGATGTTTTTCTTGGAGATCTTCATCTCTAGAAGGATAAGTAAGGCTTGGCATATTTTTATACTCTTACAGAGTTCGCTGAAAATGAGAAAATGATGGAATAATCCCGGGCTTATCCTTCAATTTAGTGTTTCACGGCTAGCTTGACTAACTGCCTCTAAAATTACCTGAATATAATTTTCAAGCGAAATAATATTGACTCAGATTTTATATCTCGCAGAGGTTAATGACTTTACCGCCAGTGTCTCATTAAAACAGTTTCAGGGGAGTAAAACGAGCCTCGGCTCATGACGTTTAAGACTGGTTCTGTAAAAATGTGAATTATCTCGATAACAATCTGATGGAGTTGTTAGAAAACAGTGAAAACAGGTGGAAACGAGCTGCGGATGGAGAAGTCCAGCTGAAGTAAATATAGCGCAAGCAGCTCAGACGGAGGATTGAGATCATAAGGCCTCTATTTCCTCATGACAGGGAGGATGACTGACAGTGTCCGATAGAGCAAATTAAACCCACCTGTCTGTGCTCTGAGTGTGAGACACAGACAGAAAGAGAGAGAGAGAGAGGGTATAGGAAAGAGGAGGAGGGGGAGAGAGATGGATCGGAGTCAGATCAATGTTTCATTGTGAGCTCGCTGCAGTGTGGCCGCCATCGTGCCAGTAAAAACACAGTCCATCATCTGGACCTGAATGAAAAATCCCACCCTGCACAGTGTGAGTGTGTGTATGTGTGTGTATGTGTGTGTTAAAGTGGCAGTCCACATAACCACCGCCATGTTTTCCTCACACTCTTGATATATTTGCCTCCCATCTCGCACCTTTTCCTGTAATGTTTCAATCAACAAATCAGCCTCCACTTCGTCTTCGCGTTGAGGCCGTTTCTGTTTCTAGTACCTTTTCAGCCACCCAATAATTTACCCAATTGTTTCATACCTCTGCTGAGATCATTTCTATTATCCCAGTGAAAATATTAAACTGTCAGAGGGCGTGAAAAACGACTAATCTATCGTATAAAGACGGTAAACTGAACCCCCCTGGTGCTAAATCAGTGAGTAACAACATGTTGATGGCTACAGCGGCTGTTGATGGATTAATCATTGGTCATAAACACTCCTCCGCATGTGTGTGGACACATGGGTTCAAGTCCCACCCAGGTTAAAATCCTCCTCGTTGAGTCATCATGAGTTTTTGTATTTCTATTCATAGCTACGCAGATGACACACCGCTTTATGTCGCCGTATTTTCCGATCATGCAAGAGTTGTGGGCTAATTTTAGGTGTTTCTCAGTGTGCAGCCTGGCTTTGGAGGTGTTAAACATTTCAATGACTCATCATCAAAGAGGAAGTTAAATTAACTCAAATGCAAAATGTCCCCCAAGTTTTTCATGTATGCACATGCACATGCTAACGCTGAGTCATATTCATAGTGCAAGCTACGAGGACAGGAAGTCAGCCAGATCTTCCAGCTCGACAAAGCAGATACATTAGACTCTGCGTCGACTTTAACACTCAGGCTAGTGTCATCAGAACCCATATAGGCAAACCAAGCTACAACCAAAGTGTGCGACCTATGACTCAGAGCGCACAGAAAACTCTTAGCTAGATGACTATAAGATTAAACGTCTTCATGTTAGCTAGCCCACATCAGAATAGCTCGTCTTTTGAAGGAGTTATTGATAGCTTTCTTGTTAAAGGCCCAAACAACCAGTAGTGTTTTGTGATGAGCATGTGCTTCAGTTAAAGGGAGATTCCGGCGTAAAATCAATTTAGGGTCAAACACACCATAACACCAAGTTAGAGACCCCTCAAGAGATGAATGTTGCCAACCGCTTGCTTCTCCATGAAGTAATAAACATAAATGTTCTTCCTTGAGCTGTGTCACCTCGCAGTAATCTGTAATGGACTGGCCCGAGGTCTCGCTACAAACAAGTGGCTGCTGGAAGAGAGTAGGTGAGTTGTGTTTAGTCTCTTTGCTAAAGAAATTAGACAAAGTTAAAAAGATGTTTGGTGATTAGTACTATGGCGAGGAACCTATATGTCCTGTTGATGAAGTTAGGTGCTGTTCTGAGCATTATTTGTGACTATAGAGTGGCGTTTTGGTTGAGGTTTGTTTATGGCTCCTCAGACCGCTGTGTATTGCTATCGTGCAGTCGGCAACATTCATCCCTTTAAGGGCGCAGTCATAACGCTGTGGCGCTCCACTATCTAGATGCAACCAAAGCAAGAACAGATCTCATCTTGCTGTGCAGTGTGGTGTTTTGCGACTATCTGGGATCAATTAACCTACAGATACACAGTTTTAGTATCTCATAACAGCATTTGCATTTGTTCCTCCACTGCTGTAACTCACCGAGCTGCAGTTCATGGTTGGTCTCACACAGGCTCCAGTTCACGTTGCAGTCACAGTGAGTCTTCTCAAACAGGTTGTCCAGAACCTCCCTGACGCTCTGCCTCTCGTCCACCATCAGCGTCTTTGTGCTGCCGTCGTTCAACAGCACCTTCACCACCAACTGTGTGAAACAAAAAGAGAGCCGGGGTTTTATTTCACTGGACTTTTCTGGGTTTTAACACCGAATCTAACCCAAAAATACACTTCGTGAATAGATTTTCTGAGCCCATGCAGTGATTTCCACTACAGAGCCGTGCCTTTTTTTAATGTGGTGCTGCCTTCACACATAGAGTAATAAACTTCATCCAGTCTGAACTTCTTAGAGATTCAGCTTCTCAGAAATCCCCTTGAAATGCAAATTAACTAAATAAGTCAGGAGATGTTCCTCCGAGTGTTTTTTAACATCACGTAACTTTTCAGTATATTTCCAGTGTTATCCCAACTTTCCTGAATTGTGTTGCTAGAATCAAATCTCTCATCCTCTAGTAAAAAAGTGTGCTGTCTTTGCAGAATCTTTCAATTAAAGGAGGTTTTAAATGATTTACAAACCATCAGCTTTCATTCAGCGTTCCTACTTTTTTTGAGACTAAGGTTTCATTCCTGAGCAGATTGAGAGAAGTCGTCACTCTGATCGTACGTCACACTACAGCAGGATCGGGCGTAATGATCTACAGAATGGTCAAAAATCTGGACTTTGCTTACTTTTGTTGGGATTCATTTGTTAGGGGGAATCAAAATGAGCTCGATTATCGTGCGGAGTATTACCTACAACACAGTCCTCTGGCTGTAGCTTCATATTCAACAAACATAAATAGCTTCATTTTGGATAAACAGAGATCTCAGAGAAAGAATGTGTATTTCCTCTAACTATTTATTGAAGTTTTGTGGTGTTCTGGGTCATCTGCTTGGCAGATTGAGGTTTTAGCATGTTGCTGACTGCAGCAGGTGTCCCTGAAGTGAAACATCAAACCCAGCCTTGGAGCACATGCAGCTTGTTTTATTTTCCACTTTAATTACGGCCTTTCCAAAGTAAATAGCTGTTTCTGTTTCCTGATGTTAGCGAAAAGACTTGGAGCATCAGCGTTTCCGTCTCTTCGTTCTGTTGAGCGTCTTTGGCTCTTTAATAACTTCTCCCTCGTTCGGTTTGACTCTTATTGCAGTCTTAGCACCTCTGCTCCTCCCAGCTTGGCTGAGATTAATTTTGTCCTGGAGTGGAGCGATGCTCTCTCCACACGGGCTCATATGGCTTCACACTTCCTCTCATCTGAAACAAATCCAGCCCCGGACCTGCTGAGGAGTTTCACAGAACCGAGGTCAGCCAGGCGCTCGCCTCGTGTCGTAAAAATGTGGGTTTTCAGAGATGTTATCGGGTGGATTTAAAGTGTTAGATCACATGTTGCTCCGTCTCACCCTTCCCTGGAAAACAATATGGGTTTGGCGTACGGTTGAATGAAATGTCACTGGATATCGAATTATGATTCCTCATGCTGCACTTCCTGGGTATCTACAAAATACATGATCCGTGTCGAACCGGCGGGTTTATCTGAAACCTAAGGGCCTCCGACCACAGATGGATCTGCTGAAACCACTGAGATCACACCTCGCTCTCCTGCATATAACAACCAAGAGACAGATGTTCTTGTGAAAGTGGCCAGCCGTCTGTGTTTCCTCTGCTCTTATTTTCGCCAGGCTCTGCGCACATTCAAAACTACTTTCGCAACGATGATACAGACTTCGAATGCGGTCGAACCCTTGTCAAATGTAACACTTAAAGACAAGAAATAAGCGGCAAAAACCGAACCGCATCACATCACTCAAAGTTAAAGTCATGTCTGCAGCTGGCATGATACCAGTTTGGGTTTTGTGTAAAATTGCAGATGTTGATGGGAAGCTCTTCATGCAAGACCGCATGTCAGATCTTTTCTGGACCGCTTTGAAGATGAGATAGTGTCCATATTCTGCCCGGAGAGGAAACCGTACCGTCCTGCAGGATGTTGGCAGGATGAAAGTAGCCATCCATTACCCTGATTGATGGCTCTTCCAAAAGAAAAGAAAGAGCCATACTATGTTTCAACATTACGTCTTTTACTGTGATGTCCGTACAGTTGTAATTCACAGCGTCTTTAAAGTTTATAGTTGCCAGTGGATGGAAGATCAGAGAGATGGACTCTAATATTTGGCTGTCTTACCTTTTTCACTTTTGCTTCCTTCAGCTTCTCGAGAGCCAGTTTGATTTTGTCCGCTTTCATCTGCGCCTCGATTTCCTCCTGAACGGGACAAATAATGAAACAGTTTAAATATAATGACAAACAGATGTACGTCTCCTATGAGTCCTGATATAGTATGAGTCCAAAATATGCCATCATGCTGTCATTGCGGTACAGCTACCCTTGTATACACAGAAAATATTGGACGAAAAATCTCTTTTGAAGTCAGCAAAGTGCACATTAATGTCAGATCTTAAAGAAAATATACGCATTTGTGCATTTCCTGGTCTTATATGATCATGTCAGCTGTACTCTTATGTTTGTACAGTCAAGATGGAGCCGCAAATAGTCGATTAAGATAGATTAAAGGAATATTCCGGCATAAAATTAAGTTAGAGTCAAACACACCGTAACACAGCATTAGACACCCCGTCGAGAGATGAATGTTTCCGACCGCTTGCTTCTCTAGTTATACCAACTTTAGTAACGGAGACCTCAGGCGAGTCCATTATAGCAGTGGGGTGCCGCAGCTCAAGGAAGAACATTTATGATCATTTCTTCATGGTAATGCAATCAGACCGAGACACTAAAGCAGAAGAACTACCGCGTCTGCAGTGCAAATGTTCTTCCTTGAGCTGCGTCACCCCACTGCAGTCGATGGAATCGCCCGGTGGTCTCCATACAAACAAACGGCTGCTGGAAGAGAGTAGGTAAATTGCGTTTAGCCTCTTTGATAAAGAAATAAGGCAAAGTTAAAAAGATGTTTGGTGGCTAGTACTATGTCTGGGACCCTATATGTCCTGTTGATGAAGTTAGGTGCTGTTCTGAGCATTATTTGTAGCTATAGAGTGGCGTTTTGGTTGAGCACATGTCTCTCTGTATTGTTATCCAGCGGTTGTTACTAAAGTTGGTATAACTAGAGAAGCAAGTGGTTGGCAACGTTCATCTCTGGAGGGGGTGTCTAACTCGGTGTTATGCTGTGTTTAACTCTACGTTAATTTTACGCCAGAATATCCCTTTAATTTCAGGCTTCCTGCTTGATTGTGATTGGTCAAAAGCTCCTTAACAAAGCATTTATTTCTGAAACTCTGCATGCTGAATTTTCAAGTCAAATAACATGGAGGATATTTTAAATGGTAAATAAACTGTATCCTGGTCATTTGCATTTTCACTGTTTATGAATATAAACATGAGGGCGGTCTCTCTCTCCTCATCTAACTCTCAACAAACCGGCCAAAGAGGAAGTTTCCTGGTATTTTGAACTCTGGTATCAAAAAGTAAATCCGTACAGTTTCATTTCTGTTTCTGGAGGTATTGTGTTTTGTTTTGATTTAGTTTTAATTCCAACATCTGAGGCGTTTCGCATAATCTACCGAATCTCCCTCAGCCAAGATCAGATCGTCTTTTCTTTAGCTTATGAATTGGGCGCTTTCGCATTCAAATCTTGCCAACAGTGCAGATTTAATGAACTTGTACACCTCGAACAATGACACACTCTCTGCCTCAGCACAGCTGGTGTTTTTACCTCAGAAGGATGAGGTAACAAGCCCTGCTAAAGCAATAAGCTCCCGTCTGGCTCGGCCCCCCCGCCGCTGCCAGATCTTACCTCCTCTACTCCAACCTTTGGTATTGATCCTGTTACTCTTTTCCTGCCTCATGGCTCCGTGTGCGTTTGATCTGTTCCAGACAGACTGCTCGGCTGCTGCGCCTCACAAGTCTCTGTAACTGTAACAGATGCCTCCATCCGGCAACCGCTTCGCCATGATCTCACCGTCCGACTGTCGTAAGAGCAATCCTACTCTTCCCATTTCCACAGAGACACAAAGGACTCACCAGAAACTCATACGCTGGGAACAGGGGATGTTTTTGTTGTAATACTGTCTTGTCACGCAGGGCTCAGAAAGCGCTGGCTGGTGGTAAACCAAGACACGCCACCGATGAAACAGAGATTGTGTCATCTTTGTGCTTCATGTCACTGAGTTATTTTTCAGGGTCTCTCTTTGAGCGTTGTGGTGTTTTCCTTCAGACTTTACCAACCCAAATCAGATCTCTATTTCTCTGAAGAGCCCAAATTAAAACTCTCACTTCTTAAAATTTGGACCACTTCCCAGTAGCGCGGTCAGAAGGTTGGTTCTCTTATCTTCAAGAATGGCTGACTCACCATCGTGGGCTTTGCAGACTGAGGAGGTGGAGGTGGTAAAGGGGAGGTGGAAGAAGAGGCCGGGGTGCTGACGTTGCTGCTGGTGCCGCTCTGGGGTGATGTAGGGGAAGCGGCGGCGGCGGGAGCAGGCTGGGTGCTCAGGCCTTTGGGTGGTGCCGGTAAGCCCTGTGGAGGCGGTGATGGCGTCCTCAGGTCATCTATCTGCGCTGCGAGTTTCTCTTCAGTTGCGTTGAGGTCGGCCACAAGATCGGCCATGAGAGCGTCCAAATCAGTGTCCTCCAGGTCAATAAGGGACGCTGGAGTGAAAATACAGATGGTTATTTTGGCACTTTATGTTTTAACCTTCACTGTCAGCCCAAAGTTTTGTCGTGTTAAAGATTTCTTAGTTTATTGCATGTGCTTTGAACATTTACGACTTTCATTTTTCACCAGCTCCTTTCTTTATGCACCTATTACGCAATTCACAAATGAAAGTAGTCTGTTTGTCCCTCGTCCATCTTCCCTTTTCTTCTAAAGCTTCACAGCTGAAGCACCATAAACACTTAATCATTGACAGGGAAGTCAGTGTAAATCCGTTGGTCAACAAGAAGACTGCAAGAAGTTTCAAATGAAATATCTCAATGATGACTGGATTTCAAAATCTGTACTGATCTGTTTTCCCCAGAGGATGAAGTGTGTGGACACTTCCTCCATCGCCACCGACGCCGAGACAACCACTTCTGCGTGAAATGTCTCAACAGGCACTTCAGATTCTACCATGAAGTTACTCATTAACAGTGTGAGACATGCTAAACCAAGTTAAGGATACATGCAAAGAGGACACGACTATGCGGGGGCGGAGTCACAGAGTCGCATGAAGTTGATTTTGAGAGTATTTCGGGTTGGATCGAGTGTCTTTTACACGCTTCTAACTCAGTAACTCAGTACCTCTCCACATTAGACAAGCTCCTTCACTGTCCATTTTTAAAACTCATGTAAAAATTCACTTTAATTCCTCGGCTTTTGACCCAGTATGACACAGCATTTGTTTTATTGCTTTTTATTATATTTTAAAACAACTATTTATTGTTGTTTTTATGTTTTTATGTTATTATGTACAGCACTTTGTGTCAGCTTTGGTTGTATTTAAAGTGCTCTATGAATAAAGTTGAGTTGAGTTGAGTAAGTCTACGTGACACAAACTTGAAACTTACGTACAAAACTGCGGACATTTGAAGGATTTTAAAAAATTCCCCAGACAAGGCTGGAAAAGGCCGGACAGCCCCCCAAAAAGAGGGCATGTCGGGGTAAAAGAGGACGTATGGTCACCCTAATTTAGAGCTGGAGTAGTTGTAGCTAGCCTTCTTGAAAATAAGGTTAGGATAGGGGGACCATGTCCTTTTTTTAACGCCCTGTTCTGGCCGTCCTGATTGTTTTTTATAAAGTGATGAAATTGTTTTTCATTGGGCCATTAAGATGAAGAGGAAAACTAAAGATAAAGGGAGCCTGATCTACCAAGATTCCAAATCATCAATCAAATTTCATCTATATAACGCCAATTCACAACAGTCGTCATCCCAAGATGCTTTCTAAAGAAAAAGAGCAGGTCTAGACCACGCTCACTATTTGATGAATTATCAAGACCCAACCTAAAATGGGATTATGCCTATCTCATCTAACATGAGTGACAGTGGCGAGGAAAAACTTCGTTTTAACAGGCAGAAACCTTGAGCAGGACCAGACGCATGCTAGACAGCCACCAGCCAAATAAAAAATTCACTGTGATTGTACTCCGTCAGTCTTAGTTAGGGTGGCCATACGTCCTCTTTTACCTTGACTTGTCCTCTTTTTTGGGGGCTGTCCGGCCTTGTCCGGGGGAGTTTATAAAATCCTTCAAATGTCTGGGAATTTGTATGGAAGTTTTGAGCTTGTGTTGCGTGGATTTACGGAGTTAGAACCGCGTAAGACACCCAATCTGACCCAAAATACTCTCAATATTAACTACACGCAACTCCATGAATCCGCGGTTTTTGGGGATTCAGAATATGGTCACCGTCGTCTTAGTGGAACGGCTCTTTAATAGTCAATAAGGCGATATTCTTGTCTTTGATCGCAGACATCTCGTCAACATCGGCATCATGTCAGCTGAGTTATTGCGATCATATCAGCGAGCTCATCCTCAGCTGCAGTTTGTCAGTCCCGTTAAAAAGTGTTTTCTCAGTGTTTCTAAAAACAGCTTTTCTCTGTACCTTGAACCTGACTTGACAAGCCTAAATACTTAATGGCACAGCTAATTAAAGACAACAAGGAAAGGGACACTTAGAGTGCTAATAACAACAGATGCTGTAACCTTGCTTTAACATTAACCTGCTTGTTTTACAGCTCATTATAGCCGGAGTAATTAGCACGTTCCGGGCCCTCAATCTTCATCTGAAATCACCTCTTGAACAGAAGCCAGCAGAGGAACCGAATGTTGTTTTTGTCCCTCTCTGCGTCACTAACTTTACAGGTAATCTTGACAGGTAACTGGTGAAAGAAGCTCTTGCAGGGTTGTACATGCGAAATAAAAATCTGTAACAGATAAGATCTTTAGTCACCGTTCACGTCTGTGAAGCCGTAGGATAACTTGACTTCCTCTTTGGCGCTTGGAGGAGGTTCAGGAGGGACCGTTTCCTGACCCAGACTCTGGAGGACAGAACAGACAAAACAGGGTGTTCATATGAGCATGAAGAGACGATTCTAACCATGTTTACCCACAAATAAAATTCACCTAAACATCATATAAGACAGTTTCCACGTCACAATATCACATCTGCTCCCTAACAGGGCTCCTATTTGTGTAATATTTAAGCCCTCCAGGTGAAATGTCAGGGATTTACAACACCTGGGGGGGTTGAAACATGATCAAAGTGATCAGCGGGGCCTTTCACTAAAAAAAAAAAAGTGTAATCTTTAGCTGCCTTATGAGTTTGCCTTTTGACCTCCCCCGCAGAAACCAGTGTAATTTATGGTTGTTGGGTGACCACAAAGAGTGATAACCCCCAGCTGTGTGTGCTGTGCTGACCAGTGTGGAGTGTCTGAGTGATCGATGGTGGGCTTTAGTGACTTTGTCATCTGCCTCTAAAGGAGACAAGTCTATTTGAGGCGTTTAAGGTGTGAGATTTAACCACAGGCGGTCTGGACGAAAGTGTGCGTGAAAGAAAAAAACAGCCTTTCAGTGAGAAAAGGATTAATCGCTAATAAAAAAGGATCAAACATGGTGAGAGCAAAGTAATCTGCATAAACAATCTGCCAAACCTTTTTATTTTTGAATTATATTTTAGGGTTTAGCAACTCTACAGTACAAAAAAATATACGTTATCTGCAACATGAGCATAATACTATTTAAAAACTGCCCAAAGTGGTGCAAAGTTTTATCTTAAACTGGCTGAAATCCAAAATTGAATAGTGTTGTATCAGGGTTTAACTAACTTTTTATCTGCCCTTTGAAAAGTAACTCTCTCTCTCTCCTTGTATTGATTTTCTTTAACTGATTTTTCTCTGCGGCTACATTGTGAGTTCACGTCAGAAAACTGCTTTCAGCTCAAAATACACATAAACTTTATAATTATCTGTATCAAGAAAAGCACCGATAGTCTTGGATTAACAATAAGTGTAAAAGACATCTTTAAATGTGCAGACAAATTCTTTGCTAAAACTTTATGACTGTTCAAACTTGGCGACTAACAACTGTGTTCGCTCACCTGTGTGAGGAGGTCCATCTCCCCCAGCAGGTCTGTGAACATGGCGTCTATGTCGTCCATCTGTTCAGAGAAAAAAAGAGGCGTTAGAAAGGAAACATACGACACGTACTATACCTTATGGTGCAATACTAATCCATACCATACAATACAGTCTGATACAGTACGATATGATGCAGAAAGGTGGTGTGGTGCGATACAATACAAAACAATATCATACCATACTGTACCAAAATGTTCGATACAATATAGTGTAATAGGATACCATGCGGTGCAGTGTGATACGATTTGGTGTGATACCACAGGATGTGATATAATACAGTGCAATACTATTTGATATGATACGATATGATGCTGTTAGCTGTAGTTTGGTGCATTGCAGTACCACTAGATACAGTAAAATACTACACAGTGCAATATGATGCGATGCAGTGCAGTGCAATACAGTATGTTGCAATACCATACTGTACCATGCCATACCATAACATACCATATGTTGCCATACAATACAGTGCAATATAATATGACACGGTGCAATGTGATATGATATAATACAGTGCATTGTGATGCAGTGCGATTCAATATACAATACAATGCAATACCATACCAAAAGGTACAACACAATACAATAGAATACGATATGATAGGATATGATAGGATACAATATAATATGATACGATAAGGTGCAATATGGCACGGTGCGATATTATGTGGTGCAATACCATAACAAAAGGTACAATACAATACAATACAATATAAGATACGATGTAATACAGTGCGATACGATATAGTGCGATAAGATACGTCGCGATACCATACCATATCACACCATATATGATATGAGATATGATACATGATATGATATACGATACGATACGATATGATATATGATATGACATATGATATGATATGACATGATAGGATAATAAATATGATATGATATGATATATGTTAGGATATGAGGATATGACATGATATGAAATGATATTTCATGATATATCATATGGGATATGATATGATATGATATGATATGATGATATGATACGATACCAATAAATAAAACAAATCAATTCAACTGTGTTAGAAACTAACAATAACCAGGATACAGAGAACTTATACCGAGACCACCACAGCAAAAAAAAAAAGCGCCATATTATAAATAAAAGACAGCATAGTAAGAGAAAGATAAAAATCACATCCTGATAGTTTTGCACAGTCCTTAAGATTAACAAAACATTCAACAATTTAATCAAAAGGAGCACAAAGGACTCTATAAGCAGTTATAGTGACTGGATGAAGAGGTTTTGACCTTCATCGCTCAAACATCTAACACTTTAACATGTGACCAAACTCACTCCATCGATGACTGGTATCGATTAGAGCTGCAAGACGGCGAATAACTGCATTGATGTGATACAGCTGTCAGTGCGAGTGACAGTGTAGGAATGCGTGGAATGAAGGGGTCGACTGCTTCGGCTTGGCAAAGCAAGTGTTAAATACTCATGAATTTTACACAGCCAGTTATAAGACACAGCGCTGCTACTTGACTTTGAAATGCATGCAGTTGTAATATATGCCTGGAGGCCACAAATCTTGCAAAACAACTCCAACCCAGACTCGGTGAAGAAAACTAGGTATGCATAACTTCCAGGCGTTCAGAACTTGTCGTGTCTTGCTCCACACGCTGAAATGTGTAGTGCGGTATTTCGTCTCTCTGCAGTCTGTCCAACATAGGATCATAATCAGGAGCTTTATTTTGAAGGGATTTACTGCTCTGATGTGACTCTGACATGTTTGTTAATCTTTAAACACACTTGGGTGCCACGCTAATGCTGAACTACGCAAACTAGTCTCACGGGAGTTCCAGTTTTTGTGAGTCATGACCCACAACTTACTTCTGCAATCCGTCCTTTGTCAATACAGACCATCATGTGTCGAAATCATGCCCTGGCTTGCACATTTACAGTACAGAAAGTGTGTTTTAGTTCAATTTAATGCCACTGAATACAGTTGCTGTCTCTTTCTCTCGACACACTCTTGGGGTTTCCATCTGCAGCTATGTTCAGTCCGCTGTCTCTCACACATGTTTTATTTGAATCCCTAATTTCTCAGAGTAAATGTTATGATGGGATACAGTGTGCAGTCAAAACAGAGCCCATGTTTTCTTACAGTGGAGTCTGAGCAGTAGCAGGACGGTGTCAGTGGGAGTTCACTCAGTCACACTACATTGGTGCTAAGAAGGGGTTTTTACTTCACCAATTCCTGAATAGTAATGTGCTGTATTTGAGCTCCTGTGCAGCTCCGGAGCGTATTAATGGACCGGTGTGGACTATAGAGACAGAGCGGGTAGCGGTACAGTGGTCTGATTGAAGGTGTTTAAACCTGTAAGTGTAGTTTCTCTAAGTGCTGAAGTAGTCAAAACTGAGTTAGACGAGCCTCATTACCGTTTAAGACGGCCCACTGGTGAAGATTAAGGTAACACCTTTAGATTGTGGTTCTGTGGATGATGATAATAAACACAGATTTTCTTTTAGCTACACGACTTTGATTAGATATGAAACCCTTGAAATATAAAGACTCTTTTAATGTTCGTCAGTTCACGTTTGCTCAAGATTTTAAGATAGACAGTTTTGGTCTTAACAGCGCGAGTTTTAAATAATGATAATAATAAGTTAATTTTTGTCTAACTTTTAGAAGCAAAGGTTTACAAAGGGCTTTGACAAACAAGTACAGGAAGCATTGAAATAAAGTACAAGAACCCAACACCAAGAGAAACCGAAACGATACGATACGATACAATACGATGATACGATATGATATGATATCATATGACTTTTTTAATGTCTGTCAGTTTACTTTTGCCCAGGATTTCAAGAAAGACAAACTTGGTAGGTATGTCATTTTAGTCTGGACAGGGCAAGTTTGAAATAATGATAATAATAAGTTTATTTTTACAAAAGGCCTTTGACAGACAAGTAAAGGAAGCATTGAAATAAAGTACAAGAACCCAACACCAAGAGAAACCGAACATAAGGACCCAAATAGCAAAACTATCCGGACCATCACATGAAACTATAAGAAACTTGAAGAGGCCGTAATTGGAGTCCATGCAGCACAAGAACCGAACCCTCTGAGATCTTTAGGAACAGCGAAGTGAGATGATTTAAACTCTAAAGAGGTGAAAACAATAACACAGTGAAGCAGCGAAATACCTGTACATGAATGTGTTTAATTTTGGTAGGTCTGTTGTTTTGGTCTTAACAGAGTGAGTTTTAAATAATGATAAGTTTATTTTTAGGTAACTTATTTGCATGGGTGTGTATGTGGCTTTTAGACCTTTTGCAGCCGGCCCCAAGTGGACGCTAGAGGAACTGCAGTTTTTGCACTGCTGCTTGTGTTCTGAGTGACTCCTACCATTACAACCTCTGGTGCTAACAATAGGGGCGACTTTTCCCACCATCACGCCTCTGTGACGTTCACATACACATTCAAGCCGAGGCGTTAATATCCTTCTTTAAACTAGCAACACAAACGGGTCTGTGTGAACATGCATTCATACCGAGAAAACAGAGTGTGACTGCACTCTTTCTTTAACACTACACGGTTAGTTTACTGGTGGTTATGGTTATGGTAATAATCTTATGAGCGCCTCATTTTAAACAAACCTCATGGTGGCTGCTAATTATTCACCCCTTTTTTATACGTCTGCTTTTTAGTGCTCTAAAACTTTCACAGAAAAGTCTCTACGGGGGTCTGTTCACCCCTAATCTCATCTCCTTCAAAGCAACAAATGCATGACTAAACCTCCAGTCTTGCTGTGACAGCCCATTAGATATGAAAATATTATCTCTAACAAAGTGTAACTCTCTGCTTTCATTCATCACACAGTTTGGATTCTGTTCAGTAAAACTTTTCGATCCGACAGGAAAAAGGAAAACATTTGCATTTGGATTTAATCAGAACCAAAGCAGGGCATTAGAAACCTCAGAGTTACACTGTGAAGGAGACACGTGTGACTGATGGTGTTCCAGGCAAGAGTTCATACAACTCTGTGACATGGTGTTTCCAATTTGAATGTGAAACAATCAATATCATTTCGACATCCAACACATGGCGAGTGCATGTTTGATCTGAAGCTTACCAGAAAGTGTGTATCCTCTGATTCCAGTGACGCTTTCACATCAAACATGCTAAAATTCTCTGATTTTGACGGTATAAAGTGAAATAATTTCCACAGAGATTACATTTTCTGTAAAAGTTGGCCAATTATTTCCATGTGACATGTGCGTGCGTGCATGTGTGGGTCTCTTCATAGCATGTAGGCTCACAACTCCGACACGTGACACAAATGGTTTGCCCCCTCAGAGGAAGTGGTTGAAGGTAAACTTCCTGCCAGCGTTTGCAATGTTGAAATTGAGAAGGAAATGGTGTCACAAACAAGCACCTCCAAACTTACGTACTGTTTCCTTCACTCACTCTGTGCCTGGAAATATCATTTTCCTGGACTTCGTTCGTGGTTTGATTCAGATTCAGACGACTTTATTAATCCCTAAGGCGGATTCGCTCATCAAACATCAGTCGATTTCAGTTTCAAAATCAGCACGTACCAGTCATTATGGAAAACATCTCCTCAATAATGACTCTTTAATTATTTAATTATCTTTTCCTGCGGTGTCACATTTTATATTGTGTTGTGACAACCACAATAAACACACACGTCTTCATGTAACGACCGCAGGATGATTCGGGTCTGTACGTCAACCCTTTTGTTCCCTTTCACAACATGGAAACGCTGCAAGAGCTGAGGTCTATTTTTAAAAGACACACAAGGAAAATATTTATTCACTCTGGAAGCTTTTTTGTTTTTTTTTCTAGAGGCCAAATTAACTGAATGGAGAGTCCCTAAATCATGCAGAGGAAGAAACGCCGAAGAGTTTTAAAGTGTAGCGTTGGCAAGACTTAAAAAAGAGAGAAGATTTGGCTCAAAGAGGCGGAGGATGAAAGCGGGTAAAAGCCACTTCCTCTTTACGTAAAATACATGATTAACTGAAAAGAATCCACTCTAAGTGTCCACATTTCACTTATAGATGTTTAAATTAGTCTCCACTTTCATCTACAGCAAATAAACACCAAGAAAAATGAAAAACGTTCGGTTAAAGCTGTCTCATTAAACCTTCAGACATCACTTTGACAAGTCACAGCAACTTCTTTGCAAAGACGGAAACATAAAGCTGCAGCTAACTTGTTTATTTCTGTTGTCCTGGGCGTTAGCCTTCACATATCTGATATTTCTGCTGCGCTAATTTGATGAAACGTCTCAGCAAGCGTGAACAACAGATTTAGACCTCGTGTCACAGTTCTGAAGAGACTCAAGTACAAGACAGATTTAAGGCCGAGACAGAATTTTAATCAGCATACTAAAGGGGCAGGTAACAGTCCAATCCAAAGTGCAAAAAAACAAAATCCAGTCGAGAATCAAGGGGAAAAATCTAAAAGGCAGGAGCACAAACAACAATCTGGCAACAACAGCTCAGACTGACTGTTTAAATACCGGCAGGTGATTAGTAAACAGGTTACAGGTGTGAGCAGAGGAGCGAGCAGCTCCAGCAGCGTCATGTTTAAAACTTTGACTCATCAAACTAAATAATCGGCTGTTCAGAAGTTTGCTTGTTTTTTTTAAATAATCAATTACATGAGATTAATTCATGGTTAAAGACGGTCCAGATTCATCTTCTTTTAGCTGTACCTTAATTTTCTAACCCTCAGTCATTGGTGTTTCTAAACTAAACAAGTTATCGTCAAAGATATTAAGTTTAAAAGCTGAGAAAGTCTCATTAAAGTATGTTTTAACAGATTTAAAAGATGTTTTTATGCTGGCTGAATATACTGCAGGTTTTGACCTTAACACCCGAATGTAATGAAGAAAAAATCTGCTTCATAAAAGACGATATTAGTGAGATGGTTAAATTAATAAAATGGCTAACAGTAAAATATAAGTGTGCAGTCAGGTATAACACAACAATGACTGTCTCTGTGCATGTTTTATCTACTTCGACTAAATTTGGATAAACTTCAACCTTTTCAGACTCTACAAACAAGATTTAACCACCTTCTTGTTGTCCCTGTAGTTTTCACCTCTTGGGAAGTTAAACTAATTTCAGGCTTCGGTTTTTGTTCTTACTGAACAGAACTAAAAGTGGTATCAGTCTTTCCCTTTAAATCCACTGGTCTCTAAAACAAAGAGCTGTAATGAAGAAAAAATCTTTATCTCAGGATACTTTGGTTGATTTGGGTCTGCTGTGGATTTACCCTGAAGATTTTAATCCGGGATTTTGTTAGAAGAGACAGTTTGGCAAGACGACTGACGCTCAAAGCGCTTTAAAGCGAGCTCAGCTTTCCAAATTCATGCATCTCTGTAAGGTGAAATAGACGAACTGTAATGAGAGAATTTACATGAAAGCTTTACATGAGATCTGTACCCTCATTGTTGGACGATGCTGCAGCATGAAAACATAATCATACAAATACGTCTCTGCCTCGCGCTGATTTGTTTTCCTCCCAGAAACCGCTCTGAAATATGTGATTTGTCAGCATTTATAAAATATTACTGGAAACACTCAGGCATGAAAGATGGCCTGTTTCCAACCCACACAATGCATGGAGAAAACACACGGCCGTATCTCTGGGATCCCCAGAATAAAAAACAGAGAGATATTATAACATGCAACGGACTTCTGCATTCCTCCAGGAAGAGTTAACCCGCTTAAAAATCTCAAATACATGTTTCACTCCGCACATGTGTAACTCGAGTCTCAGGGGGCGAAATGAAAACCAGACAATAACAATAAGTAGCTGAATCGAAGCTCAGTCTGTTTACCGCAATGTACAGAAACCCGCCCTCCTTTACTCTGATCAGATATTTATACTTTAGTCTCGAGCAGATGTGTTTACAGAACTGAATGTACCCTATGAGCGGAGCAGAAAGAAAGCACCTGAAAGCATCGAAACCAGAAGTTAGAAGTGGCTTTTAACAATACCAGAGAGTTTGTGCTTTTGTTGATATCAAACATTTCCACTCACGGGGGAAAAATCCCTCAGCCTCTTTTCAAAATACATAAAATCCCCACTGAACATGACTCATCTGGCTGTTTTTCTGACCTTTCCTGCTCAACATGAGTTTAAAAAAATCTTAAAAGTGCTCTGTTTGATTTGGTTTCCACTCCTTTGACCCAAATACATTTTTTTTAATTACTGTAAGTTTTGTTTTATCCAAAAAGGACAACTGGTCAAACTGTGGTCAAGCTGTAAACACTTTTGTGGTTTTGAGGCTGTTGAAATGTCGAGGTCTGAAACCTGAGCCAGGTCCACCCATGAGGAAAAAAACAAGAAGATACATGAACTAACACCCTTTTTCAACAAATGAAAGTTCAACTTCCTTATCACTCAACTGTAACATGATAAAGCCTCGTCTTAAGAGTCCGAAAATATCCTGTTAGCTTTCTAAAACCATAACTACAAAGCTTTAAATCACAGATCTTGACAGGATGATTAAAGCTTTGAATATTTTCTTTATTATTTTACTTCATGTACAAAAAGTGAACAAATCGCCTTTTAACAAACCCGTAAAACAATCACAGCTGAATAAAATAAAGCAGGTTTAAATGTTCACTGAAACTCACCTTTTCAAACGTTAAAGTCCTTTTTTTCACGAGTTAGTTTCAAGACAACAGCTTCATAGAAAAGCAGCTCCACCTCACAATCTCATTCTCTTGCAAAGCTCACCACCAAATAACAGTTACATGCAAAAGCACATTTGGGTGTGTGTGTTGATGATTGCATCTGTGACTCTCTGACTTCTTGACTTCTTCCTGCTTAATGCGGAAGTTCAGGTCCAGACCTGTCACTGCATTCTTGCAAAGACCTCAACACTTTCACAACAGTCCTGTCGAGGCAGCTTCAGGGCCGTCCCCTTATCTGCACCGCGCTGGATCCGTCTCAAAGCTGCTCTCAAAGCTGGACGGAGATGAGAAAGGCTTCAGTCCAGTTTGGAGTGACTGCGGATCTGGAGGTGTGATTGACAACCGCAGGAGCAGAGGATGAAGTTTTTGGAAGAGGGGGAAGAAAAAAAGAAACGTCGTCTTGGTGCATTGGAGAGAAAATGTCTGAATCAGCAGAAGGAATGTGGCGCCCTCGGTTAATAATTCACTCCGCTGAAACTGATTTACAGCAGGTCTTTAGGCGGGAGCAGTAATGTGGCAGCACCCATGAAGTGTGTACCAGACTCAAACTCAGCCCCAGTGATCCAAAGTCCTCTGAAGAGAGGTGTTACTTTTGGACACATCCTTACATCTTGATTTATGGTGCAAAACTTTTTTAAAAAGTTGAGGTGGTGAAAGTACAAACTCTCTAAACTCAGGTAAAGTCCAGAACAGCCTCAGACCAAAACAGTCACAGAAGCTAGAGCTGGGCGATAAACCAAATATTTACCGATATCGAAATTTACAATAATAACTGACACCATTTTGCCCATATTGGTATATTTGGAGACAAATAAATAAATAAAAGTTGGAGATGTGACTCTACACCATCCAGTCATTAACAAAGAGGTAAAGACAGGTGAGGAGATGGAGGTCGGTTCAAAAGTCGTAGCGGCTGAAGTAGACAAAGTTAATGTGGGAGGGGGTGAGCAGCTTGTGGAGTAGTTATCATCCATTTATCGTAATCGAGGTGGACTGCTCAATATATGGTGATATTGATTTGAGGCCGTATCGCCCAGCCCTAACAGAGGCTGGTTTCCACAGAGAAGTCTGGTCCTGCAGAGTTCAGAAGGACACCTTTCCAGTCCTTGAAAATTGGTAGGTTAGCAGAGCCGACCCAAGGCATAAGCGAACTAAGGCCCTGCTTAGGGCCTCACGGCCAGTAGGGGGCCCCCAAGAGCAATCAAAATTTTTTTAAATGTTTTTGGCATGTATAAGTGATGCTTTGTGGATGATCCAACTTACTATAAAAATAAAATAAAACAAAATAAAAACATTTTCGTGCTGCTGCTGATGTAGGCCTGTGATTCTTACTGCTAATATGTCAAAGCTCTGCTACCGTTGTGTGCCTTCTGCTGTGCAATGTGCACTGAGCATCCAAAGAGCAGGTAGTTGTGGGGCAAAACAGTGTCGCAAAAAAAGGACAAAACCTTCAGGAGCAGAAAAAAGAAAGCGAAAAACACCAAGATAAAAGTATGTTTGCATGTCATGGAATGTTAATCAAAAAGATTTGTGAAGGTGTGTGAATGATCAACAATCAGTACCATTGGCAGAAATAGAGGGCCCCAAAATCAAATTTTGCTTAGGGCCCCATTGAGGCTTGGGCCGGCTCTGGTTGTACTCGCAGGCGGGGAAATCCCGAAAAAGTCAGGGTGGAATTCAGAGAATTTTGGGAAATGTTCTGGACATGTTCAGGGGTGAAGTGCTCTACTTTCTCCTGAAGTCTCTCTGCTGGTTTATGAGTGAAATCGTTTATCAGTGTTCACCCTGTTAGGTCACCAGAGTCTAAACAGAGCTCAGACTCCCCTCTCTTCCCTCCTGAACTCCTCAGACATTCATCAGAGTATCTATGTAAAAAACGTTCTCGCAGACACCGACGCGCTCATGTTTAGGAGACGCTCGGAGGAGAGCTGCCTTTGGGTGTCCGTCTGTTTGTCAACCCCTCAGAGAGGCAGGAAATGAGTGGTGTCTGGGACACATGCCTGTACCCCGAGTGTTTGTTTAATACATCACAAGTCACGAAAGGCTCTTGAACGCGTTCAAGGTTATTTGGTTTTCCCCCCGTGGTGCTCGGCTTCCCTGTGTGATGACAGGACTTTGCCACAAAGAGGGTGGTCTGCATTTCCCACAGGAGCCCTGTTTAGTCTTGAGGGAGAAAATAGGGCACAGACGGGCTAATTAAAGCAAAATAATGTGCATGAACTTTTCAATGTTGATCTTTTGAAGGGTTAAGGAAATAAAAATGAGTTACAGCAACGGGGGAAAGTTAATATAAGCAGAAAAAATGAGTCTCTGCAGGCTGAGATTTATAAAAAAGATGTGAAATCTTGTTTTTCGGCCTCCCAGGTTGACTCAAGGAGAAATGCAAATAAATAGAGCTATCTGTGTCTGCATGGTCAGATAAGAGCCAGAGGCTATTCATAGCTTGACAGCTTGACTCTCCTTGGTTCCCCCTGAAAATAACTGACCTTGTTGCACCACACTGATGTCTTAAGAGAGTCTCTCTGGTTTTAAACACAGTCCAGCTGGAAATGGTCGCAAAATACAAATACTTGTCCCGGTAGATTATTCAAGTTTGTAGGTTAAAATACATCCTATACGAAAATAACAAAATGATGATGAAAAGAAAGCTAGCTTGTTACGTTTAGATTAAATATTGGGTAAATCCAGCTGAGGTTGAAGACACCGAAGCTGCTCTCTGCTTTGCTCTCTTCTACGTTTACACTAAACACAAGGACAAAAATGGGAAAGATGTTGCTAAATTCAGGTCTCTCAGTTCTTTAAGATACTATAAATAAATTATCAATTAGCATGATTTATCATTAGCTTGTTAGCCAGCTTGCTACCTTAGTTAGGGTGACCACAGGATGGAGTTTTGGAGTCGCCGTAGTTTATTTTGAGGGTTTTTTGTGTCCAGTCGAGTGTTTTTAACACGCTTCTAAATCGGCTAGTCCACGCTACACAAACTCAGAACTTCCGTACAAACCCCCGGACATTTGAAGGATTTTATAAACTCCCCTGGAAAAGGCCAGACAGCCCCCAAAAAAGAGGACATGTCCGGGTAAAAGAGGATGTATGATCACCCTACCGTAGTGTTGGGCAACAGACATCCAGTTTCGTACTGTCATCTTGGATTGGACCATTGCTAGAGACTTCAGCGACATCCTTCCAGGTCATGTCTTGTCTGAGTGGGACATCGTCCTCTGGGCGTTCTCGAAACATTTGGGGTCAGACTGTCCTGAAAATTTCCAGACATTTTCAGGAATGAAGATGTTAAATCTGTTGGAGTAAGCAGATAAAAGTTGAATCTTAAACAGATAGAAGTTGTCTCATATCAGCTTTTAAATGGACTATTCTATTTGTAATATTTATGGTGACCCAACATTACCCAAACTTTCTTCACCTCAAACCTCCTTTTCATGGAGAAAGGCCAAACTCATTAGTGTAAACCCATCTTCCACATGGTCTAAGAAGGCCAAGTGAGACATATATGGAGCCAGCAAAGCCGTAAAACAGGCGGACGAGAACCAGCAGCAACAAAAATAACAGATGACATCGACCAATACAGTTAAAAACAGTAGACCTATGGCCACTTTTACCAAACACTTTTAGGTTTCAGACATAAACCTGGAGAAAATAAAAGCAGTATTTTAGTCTAAAGTACCGCAGAACCCCAGATGGTAAGGTGTGATGGCATGCCTTAAAGCCATTAGTCTCCGTCACGTTAAATCTGAGCGCTCCAACACACCTTCGAATACCTTCCTCAGGCTTCTCTGCAATAAATGAAAATGAGGTGATAATGACAAAACCAGTGGGCACCTTGCAGAACCATAAAACATTTGTCAAATCCAGCACGGCAGAGGACAATTTGTCACCGTGATGAAGTGATGAGTGATGAGCGTACAGGAGTGTTGTAGTGCCCTCTGTTTGTACTCGGCTGTACTGAACATGCCAAACACGTCTGAGCTCAGTGGGTGGTGGAGAGCAGGTCAGGCTATCAACCTCAGCTCCTTGTTTTCTTCCCCGAGCAAAGATCTGATGTGAATCTTTATACCAGGAGGATCTACTTTGTATGTATGCAACTAATTTATGTTTCAAACCGGCGTCCTGCTGTGCTGTGCCGTGCAGGATATGCTGGACAAAAAAAGTGCAACAACCGTCATTAATATTCAGTTCTTGTTGTTATAATGAGTCAAACTTGCTTGTTTATTAGAAAGTAATGGTCATGAGATAAAGTCAATTTATGAACTTTAAATGACAATATCCAAACTTTAAATTGAAAATACATCGATCAAAATGTTACCCGAGATTAAAAATCATTAAATTATGAGATTTTAAATGTATTTTTTTTTAAAGCAGAACAATGTAAGTAGTCAAAATATTTAAAAAATATATATATATCTAAAAGACTCTGTTACAAGTTGCATAATTAAAATTTGGTGTGATATGGAAGCCTAAAGTGTCACACAGCGGGGTTAAATGAAGGAAAAGGACCCAAAAGCAAATTCGAAAAAGATTTATTTAATGAAAAGCAACAAAAACTTACTTTCAAAAGTCCAACTGAAAAATCCAACAAATAAAAAAAGCACTGGAGAAAAAACAGACACACAATGAACAAACCAGGACAGAGGGGAAGACAGAGACTATATACACACTGATAAACGAGCAACAGGTGAGGCAGACGAGACACAGGTGAAACTCATGAGTGATTAACGAAGGAGGGAAAACAGAAACACAAGGAATCAACTACTACAAAACAAAACAGGAAACACTGAAAACTAATGAATAAAACATACAGAACAGAGAGAAACAGGGTTAAACACAAACTTAAAAACTCACAAGACTAGACTACAGAGGAACAGAAACACTAGAAACCTAAATAAACAAACATATGACACAAAGCAGACAAGTGTAGTTTTATTCTGTTTTGTGTTTATGTACTTTTTTATTTGGTTGTGTTTAAAGGATCTTAACTAAGTTTTCTTGGAGCTTTTTTTGCCCCATGATGACGGGACAATTTTCTGGCGATCTATAAAACAAACAACTGACAGTGATCACATGACTACGAGGTTTCATGCTGACATCGCCCACTCTACAGACATAAAGGAGGCCCACTGCTGCTTGTTTTTTTTTTTTTTATTTCAAACTTTGGGGATAAAAGTTTTGATTATCATCGTTCTGTTTGGTGGGCTGATCCCAGAACAGCGGTGGACATATTGCATCAGGTTTTGCTTTCATCTCTGCACTGCTGGTCGCTGAATGGTGACAATGAGGCCTGACACAGTCACTCTAGATCTGATAGGAAGAAAACGTAATATTAGTAAGTCAGTATTTTTCTACACACAGATTAATAATTGACCTCTCTTGCAGAAAAAAAAAGAAGAAAGAAGAAAAAAAGAAAAAAAAGTTTTGATTATCAGACATCAAGTTGAAAGCAGAAGAAAATTAAGTCAAGGGAACACCAGGTAAATAAAAAAATAAAATAAAGTATTAAAAAGTGTAAAGCTCCTGTGATGATTAATTAGCTGGTTATGAAACAAAGTAAACTCAATATGTAGGTGTCTTTGTGATCTGCAATAGCAAATAAAACCAAAAACATACATTTTTTGTGCAATTATTTTTATATCTGAAACTTTAGGGTACCCCCCCAATAAATAAATAAATAAATAAATAAATAATAATAATAATAATAATAATAATAATAATAATAATAATGAATAAATAAATAAATAAAAATAAAATAAAATAAATAAATAAAAAATAAAAATAAAATAAAAATAAATGACTGAAATAAAGATATAAAATTTCAATCTTGTCTTTTATGGTCATATTTACTTCTTTTACACCTCAAAGATGCATCACTTTTTATCCCAGTTTGTTTTATAACCTCTCAAAAATTCCTTACAGTAGCTTTAATTTGAGATTATAACATGTTGATTAAGATCTACTTGCCAAATTAGGAGATTCTGCTTTAAAGTGTTAGATTTCAATTTGTATTCATGACGTATTTCCATAGAGTCTGTTTCTTTTCTTTCTTTTTCTGGCTGTATCAGATCACCCATGACATAAACCAACAGAAAATTAAACTACACAAACATCCGACCACAAATCAGCCTCAGATAACCTCCTGCCAACATGTGGTTGTTGTGAATCACTGAAATGAGAGAGTAAAGGAGAGTGTCCCGAAAGAAAAAACAGCTGTGGCTTTTACATTCCTGACTTCTTCTTCTGCCACAGGTCTCTTTAACAAAAAGTCTGACCTCTGTTGGCTCTGTCTATAAAGAGGGGCGCTCAGTGTTGACAGGGTCCGGTTTAACGTGGAGGACGCCGGGTTAGAAAACCAGCAGCTGTCTCAACATTCAGGATGTGTTTAACAAAAAGCAGTGCCACCTTTTTTCCTGCGACTTGGATGGGCCATGAGGTCAGAGGAAAGTCAACAGTGAGCAGAATGAAAAGTGGCAGTCAGTAGGGGAGAGTGGGGTAAGATGAGCCATTTTACATATTTTAGATCGCTACATCAAGACAATCCTAGTTTTGTCTCTAACTAGTGTATCTGCATATATTTTAAGATGTGCATCCCTGCAAACCAACAGAATGAGTGTAAACAGAACTGTCTTGATAATATAGCATGCCAAAAAAAGTGGTCAACTGGTACAATAATTCTTTTTCTTATTATTATTGCATATATTATATATATTATTGCATATTTTGTAAAAAGCCATTTAAACATGAGAATGTCTTTAAGTGATTCAGAACATTCAGCTGTATTTTTGAAAAGGAAAAGTAGCACATTTCAACAATCTGAACTGAAACTCTGATCCTCTCATCAGACTCCTTTACTTTCTCAGTTACCCCAGAACTACAATCATGACTTTATTAGTCCTCTAAACTAAAATGGTGGACTTTTATGTTAGGTTTTTGACCTCATGTTGTAGCTCATAGATACCACAATTGATGTATAAAACAAACTTAAAATGATCTTTTTTTTTGGTCTAATAGACGTCTAAATGTAGTCTAGACGACTGGTCTAAAATCAGGCTACCACAGGTCTAAAAATGAAAGTTTTTTTAGATGTCTAAATTTAGACCAAGTTTAGACTAAATTTAAATCAGGGCTAAATCTAAACTACATTGTATATTGCTCAATAGCTATCATAATTAGTTTGGTTAAGTACTTGGAGATCAGTTATGCAACTCACAGTTACTTTTTGAAATAAATAGTTTTCAAATAATGGGTTAAAGTCATAGACTGTATATACTATGGACAACTTGGTTCCGCCTACCGCCTGTATACGGATTTGAAGCCAGAAAGTTCACAGTAATTCTGCGATTTTTCTTTATTTCCTGAAACCAACATTGCACAGTAGCTTTGTGCGCATCCAGTGGGAGAGTCGCAGAGAGTTGCTGTGATGACGCTTGGCTCAAACAGCGTATCCCTTGGGTGAGCTACGCAATCTTCGTACGCCCATAGGCTGTATCAAGCGTCAATCAAAGAAAACATGAACCCCATAATAACTTTTAAAAACAGAGCTGTACAGAAAAATGAGGACTTGAGCACAAACCAGTCTTACAGTAACTACATGTCAACATTGCAAGTAGGGGAGAGAAAAATGTATATTCTGTGTAATAAATTTCTAAAGTTTGTCCACAGCCCCATAATCTTTGCTGGCTGAGGCGGGATTTATGACCTATACTGCAGCCTGTCAACAGAGGGTGCTGTTCTCGGAGTGGCTTCACCCAGCGAGGAGGCAGACGGCGTCCATTCTATATACAGTCTATGGTTAAAGTACAACATCTAAATTCTGTCTAAAAATAAACAGAATCCAGACAATTGAAACTAGGTCTAAAAAAACTAGACGTCTAATAGCCGTCTATTGCTCAAATGAAACTTATGACAAACTAAATTCACTTTCAAGAGTGAAAAATGTCTCAGACTCCGTGAATTGTTGCCCATCTCCTAAATATTTGGTCATATTTTCAATTTCTTTTACCATTTCCAAGCCACAGGGGGTGGCTCAACTAACCCTCTGTCTCATCTTACCCCACTCTCCCCTATGCAAAGACAAATTTCTTCTTTTTTTTCTTTTAAAGGTGAAAATAAATGAAAAATCGTCTGTTCAGTTTGTCTAGAAATGGTCTTTTTCTGCCTCCTCGGTGTGGAGGTCCTGTGCATGCAGAGCAGGGAAGGTGAAGGGTTAATTTGTGGCCGGGGAAACCTGATGCTAATTAAGTCTTAGGAATGCCACATACTGACAATGTAGTGCAGGAGCCCTCAGAGTGGCTCAGACATGGAGAGAGCCAGCACTTATACGTGAGTCTGATGGTTTTATTCCTTGCTGACAGTCCGGGAAACCAGTCTCATCAAACCCCTGAGCTGAAGGTAATTGAGGACCGGGGGTCTCTGCGTCAAGAAGCGTAAAGTTTGAGTTTGGACAAAGTGGATTTAATCTCAAAAGAGACGACCAGTGATGGACTTTAAGACTTTTTAGAGGATTTTTCCTGATTTGGGAATCAAAAAGCTTCACTTGCATTTTTCTTTGCTCGCAGGAGGAGAGGAGGGGGAGAGATAACTTGACGCAAAATGGTTTTAGTATCACCGGCGCTGTTGCTGCTGCTCTCTTGGGTATCACTGCAAGCTGTCGCAGAGATTTGCCGCGGGACGCACTGCTACGGCGCGGAGACAGGCGATCCACGACCGTGCACGGGAGCGCACTGTCCGGGGAGCAGATCTTCCAGACCGCCTCGACAGTTCAACCCCGCAACACAACAGGGCAGATCTGCGCATTTAGTCGGCGGTCAACATCATGCATACCAGACTCATCCAAGGGCGGCATCGGACGCTTATCCGGCTGTGAAGCCTCTGCGCGGGCGGCACGGTGACAGCAGCAGCGGCACACGGATGAGAGCGCCTGAAGTTTCTCCTGCAGGGTGCACCGATCCAGACTGTGCCGCCCTTGTGAAGCAATTTCAGCCCACAAATGACACCCGAGAGTGCAGAGGGATCGAGTGCAGGCTGCCGGTGAGGATACGGCCAAAAGCTCGGGTGAAGTCCTGTGTGGGAGAGGGATGTCTGGTCGGGTCAGAGGAGAGCGTCTCCTCATCCTCCTCCTCCGCCAGCCAGCTTCCTCCTCTCCATCTGTCCGACAGAGCCGCGCAGTTTCTGGGAGATTTTCCCGAGCTGGGATATCCGTCGCCGGAACTTGGCAGCGCGCCTTTGGGTGTCCAACTCACATGTGACATCAAACCAGGTCTGCTTTTACCATCATGTCATGAAAAATGCTGTAGGCTCACAGTGGGTTTTAGCCTCGTAAAGTTGTGCAAAATGTCCCTCAAGCCCCAGTCCAACCACTGTGAGACATTTCTGGAGAAGCTGCATGTGTAACCATTTGGATAATTATTGACTTTAACCTCATTTCACCCGCTCATGACCAAAAAGGGAGTAATGGTCTGAAAGTAAGGGGAGATTTTGTTGACCTTCAGTCCAGAATGATATCTGCAAAGCAACCAGATCAACTCAACTGTAAAAATGTCTCTGAGGCAATTGTGCAGAAAATGTGGAGAGCTTTGATGCTGGTCCATAAAGGAAACTTTCATTACACTCACAGTGGCTGGACCAGTTGAATAGGTTCACTGAGTGTTCACACACTGTTGGAGTATTTTAGACATCTGTGCCAGCGATAATCTTTACATTTCTTCCTCTAACGCTGTGATTATTAAGAGATTATTATGCTCCAATGCTATTTTTCTGCCTATTCTGATCTGAGTACGATAGAAACAGAAGATTCCTATACTGCATTCAATATTTGCCATCATTTAAAGGGATATTCCGGTGTAGAATTAAGTTAGGGTCAAACACACTGTAATACCGAGTTAGACACATCCTAGAGAGATGAATGTTGCCGACCGCTTGCTTCTCTAGTTATACCAACTTTAGTAACGACCACACGATAGCAATACAGAGAGCCACGCCACAACCAAAACGCCGCTCTATAGCAACAAATAATGCTCAGAACAGCACCTAACGTCATCAACAGGACATATAGGGTCACAGCCACCAAACATCTTTTTAACTTTGCCTGATTTCTTTAGCAAAGACATTAAACACAACTCACCTACTCTCTTCCAGCAGCCGCTTGTTTGTTCGGAGACCTCCAGGCAAGTCCATTACAGACTACAGTGGGGTGTCGCAGCTCAAGGAAGAACATTTATGATCATTTCTTCATGAAAATGCAATCAGGCCGAGACGCTAAAGCAGAACTACAAGTGCAAAATGATTAACATGATGATTTTTACTTCAAGGAAATGATAAAGTAATGATCATAAATGTTCTTCCTTGAGCTGCGTCACCCCGCTGTAGTCTGTAATGGACTGGCTCGAGGTCTCGCTACAAACAAGCAGCTGCTTGGAGAGAGTAGGTGAGTTGTGTTTAGTCTCTTTGCTAAAGAAATCAGGCAGTTAAAAGATGTTTGGTGGCTAGTACTATGGCCGGGACCCTATATGTCCTGTTGGTATAACTAGAGAAGCAAGCGGTCGGCAACATTAATCTCTTGAGGGGGTGTTTAACTCTGTGTTATGGTGTGTTTGATCCTAAATTAATTTTACACCGGAATATCCCTTTAATGGCTTTAAACTGTACTCCCCACCTGATATGATGACTGCTCAATACATCCAGGCTCACCATTAGAGAAGAAGTGGCTAAGTTTTTGGAGCACACCCCCTTCCACTGAGCCATGTGTCTGCTGCTGCTGCACAGATGGATCAATTAGTAACACGCCTGTTTTTGTGTTTGGTGATTAGCTGCGTGAAATTCAAACAAATCCAAACAAGATGAGATGATTGGAGGCGCTCAGAAGGATTCGTTCTGTTTGACATTTTTGGTGGACCTTTCTTGACCTGCAGAATTAGCTTTTTTGGCCTTGAAGGACACCGTTACTCCACTAAAGGAAAGAGTGAGCAAGGGAGTGTTTCAGTTTAAAATCTGACAACTAGATATCCTGTAATAGTCCCATCTCTGCTCAGTGTACCTTTAATTTCCCTTGAGGATTGTTGTTGTGGACTCTGTTCTGCAGGCACACAAACAATAAAAATCATTTACATCCCATAATAATCTGCAGAAAACTCAATGCAGGTTCAACAATACAGAAACCCGAGTGACAGCAGCCACACAGTGACATACTGCATGATAATTTAGACAGATACAGAGAAATTGTATCAGTATTTCTATTAATTAGACATTAACCGAACACGTCTCTTATTCTACTTGATTTGCCTCTCAGGGGAGAATGAAGTTCCCTCAGAAGACGCCCTCATCTTGCACCTCCAGCTGGCTAAAGGACAGGAGAAACTGGTGGAGGCCATGCGAGCTCAGCAGGTCGTCATCCGAGACCTGCAGCAGAAGCTGGCCGACCAACAGGAGGCTCTACTGTCGCAGCAGAGGGAGATCCTGGAGCAGCAGCAGCGCATGTACGAGCAGATGGATGTGGTGAAAGCGCAGTACGGCGTCCTCTCGGACACCATCAAACAAGTTTCCTTCCAGGGTCTGCAGGGCGAGCTGCAGAGCTACTTTGAGAGCCACCTGGCGGGGCTGCAGAGCCAGGCCCGCAGCCACCTGCAGAAATCTTACGCTGTGCACAAAATGGACATGGATGCGAAGGTGATGGATGTAGTCGGAGAGGCTCATTTTCCTCAACCTCTGCTGGGGTGCCCTTCACCGTGTGGGCAGGAGGAGTTCTGTGATTTTCAGAGGGATCCACCTCAGTGTGAGAAGTGCACAATGTGTCCACCGGGCTTCTTCTTGATCTCACAGTGTTCCCCGACTGCAGACAGGATGTGCCAGGTACTGTTATCGAAATAAAAACATGTCTGTATTTTTAGTAGACAAACTTTCTCACTTTTATCTTCGCCGTCTTTGGAGTGAGAAAACCAACTCCACTGCAGATCTAAACATCAATCAGTATGTTTGCATTATGCACAAGAAAGTTATGTATTAGTCCAAGTGAGGCCAGACTTTTAAAATATTATCGGCATAATATCAGTTTTGACAGATAACAACTGTCAGCAGATATGGAAAAGGTGATGTGATAACAGCTCACATGTGTTGGATGTATAGAAGTGTTGGAGACAGACAGCAGGAGCATTAGTAAATGTTTAAGTAAAAATAACACATTTATCGTCTCTGATTTAAAAACAGACAAAGAAGACAAAGAGCATTTGATTCTAATAAATCAAGTAACAGGTGAATTTTGATAGAGGTGAAACTTTGTGTTCTTTACAATGAAAAAACATGAGCATGTATCAACATCAAGTATCAGCTGAATAAGTTTGAACATAAAGGCAGATCAGATATCTGCAAAAATCTAATATCATGTATCCTCTACTTGTGTGTAAATAATAATAATAATAATAAAAATAAAGTATCAGATTTTTTATTGCGCTTTTTGTCAGAGACCCTCAAAGCGCTTTACATTGGATACATCATTCATTCGCTCACTCAATCACGCCCTGGTGGTGGTAAACTACCTTAGTAGTCACAGCTGCTCTGGGCCAGACTGACGGAAACGTGGCTGCCAGTTTGCGCCTATAGCCTCTCCGACCACCACCACACAACACTCACAATCATACACCAGTGGAGGACACACACTGGGAGTAAAGTGATATAAGTGTCTTGCCCAAGGACACAACGGACAGACTGGGGATAGGGGGGAATAGAACCGCCAACCTTCCAGTTATTGGACGACCGCTCTACCTCCTGAGCTGCTGCTGTCTCATTTGTACCAACAGTCAAGTATGGGTGCTTTCTGTAAAGTTGTCCACGTTTTTTTCCAGTGAACATGCAACTTGTTAGCCTTTTGCTAACTTGTTTGCTGACTGTTTTGGTATGGTCTCAAGGCAACTGGCTAAAGGAGGACATATTATCACCGACCATAGCAGATATACTTTTATCAATAATCCATTCTCAATAATCCAAGGTTGGATAGTTGTATTTGCAACTATTAGTGGTTGTTTCAGTCTGTGTTTTTTAGGCATTTGACAAAGTTGTTGAAACAACAAGGCTGTTTTCCAGCCGTGGCTCATGACTGATGAGACACTCAAAAGAGAAACATGGATCCACATCTATATTTGTCATTTTCAAGTTTATTAATGTCATACAGAATATCCATTAATGTGAATAATGATGTAGGTACACACTTCAAAATACATTTACTACAAGGTGAACCCTCGTCTAAGCAGTTAAAAGATATTATTCATGATGGTAATTTAAGGTTTTGTGTATTACAGGACAGAGATGAATGCCTTGAGTTACCAAACATCTGTGGAGAGCGAGTGAAGTGTCTCAATACTCCAGGTGAGCTCAGAAAATTGCTTATTTTGTGTGATTGATGCAGTTTATCTAGTGACTGTAGATAGTGTGAAAAAACAAGAACAAATCATGCATAATCACACCACATTTGTACTCTTCTAGGAGGCTTCAGGTGTCTGGGAGTCTCCGAGAGAGAGGCAGCGACGGGTCTCTGTGGTCACGACTACTTCTACAACCAGGAGCTGCAGGAGTGTCAGGCCTGCTCGGACTGTGATGGAGAGCCTGTCGCTGTTTCCTGCACAGCTATCAGCGACGCCGTCTGCGGCCAGCCCTCAGAGAGCCGGCTCTCCCAGACCTGGGTCGCCAATGTGGCTGTTCCTTCTGCCAGCCCCTCTGGCACCCACATCTTCCCCGGTCTTCAGCTCAACATACGAGGCAAAGAAAGCTCAGATCTGCTGTCTAACGAGAGAGGGCAGGTGAGGTTCCTGCAGCACGGCCTGGTGTGGCTGGATCATAATTTTGCAATCAAGCACAGCTGCAGAAACTTCCTTCAAGTCGGTATGAGGCTCAATGGGAGCCAGGAGGAAGAGGGTCAGGACCTCAGTGGAGTTCGGATCGAGCAGCCAGATGGGAAGTACTTCCAAGGCGTGAGTGTGAGCAGCGGAGTCGAGGTGGAGCCGAACCACACCTTCACTCTGCTGCTGAGGAGCCCCAATCAACACTGCAACCAGAGCAAGGATATCCACGTCTACGATGTCAACACTCCCTCCTTCAGCCTGCTCTGGCTGTCACACGATACTGGCGCTGTAGCCATGACGGCTCAGATGTCTCTGTTGGCGCACTACCAAACGAGCTACCGTCCAACTTTCCGCATGACGTCAGTGTCCGACCCGTATATGATCATACTTACTCATGACAACCGTGGTGTGCGCTTCACAGAGAGCGGGGTCGTCAAGTTTGTCTTCCAACATGCGTTATACTCCATGGGCCACACCTGCGTCCGCGAAGGTTTCTCCCTGATCGCCTACACCAATCAGAACGGGACCAACCAAGAGGCGATGCAGGCCTTCAAGACCGGTGTCCACTACAGGGATACCTCCATCACCCTCTCTGGAGCTGTGAGCGTGAACAGCCAGGACACACTCAGCTTCGAGATCCAGTCTCCGTCCCAGTGCAACATCCGCTACTTCGGAGACAACACCGGGATCAGTATGCTGAGTCTGATCTGGATTCCTTCAGCAGTGTCATCAGCCTTGAGCGCAACCGTGTCCAGGACTGGTCTGCCCTCCGGAGCAGTGAGGAATAAACCTCTGTTATTCCAGCAGATCAGCCCGGACACCCCGCAGGTTCACTTGGCCCGCACAGGAGAGCCGAACAGCCGTAAGAACTTTATATTCCACGAGAGAGGGATGGCGAACATAGCCCTCAACCTGAAGCTGATACACTCCTGCAATATAGTTAAGCTCACTTTGCAGCAGGTGGGGGGTCAGGGTGGGCAGGCGGGTCCTGTGGCTCAGCAGGTGTCTGGATTTATGCCTGAAGGAAGCCAGTGGGCCAGTATCGGGCTGAGGGCCTCTTTGTCAGTGCAGAATGGCACGGCCGTCTACGTCACTCTGGACTGTATCAGGGGGCGAGTCAACCAGATCACTCAGGAGGGCGGCACTAACATCTCAATCCTCTGGGTCGCAGTGTGACCCAGGAAAGGATGAAGCCTTCGCCTCTGACTATTTACTTTGTATTAAAAAAAAGACAGTTTTGCACATTATTGAATTGCAGAGCAGATTCAACAACTTACCAAAATAAGGACGAAGAAGACGAGGGGGGTGAAAACTGTTCTTCATCTTGAGCTCCCGTTTTGTTAATATTGTTAGATTTTTACGTTAAATCTCTGTGGGTATGAGTTACATACTGTAAGTACTGAAGTACTTCGGCTGGTTGAGCAGTGACCAATTCTTTATGGAAAGTGAGTGTGTGTGTGTGTCTGTATATGTGTGTGTTGTACCTATGAGTGTGTATCTGAACATGTAAAGAGGTGCTCTAATATGTATGTAATTTTGTGTGTACACACATTGGCATGCCTACTTTTTTGTAGTGTGAGTCGTACGATATGTTTAGTACTGTATGTTACGAACACTTTTGTATTTCATAATGCATTTAAATCACAGTTTGACATTTTGAGAGACTTTCCTTTGAGAGGTCAATAAGAAGATGAAAACCTCTCACTCTGTTAGCTTAGCTTAGAAAGACTAGCCTGTCCTGTTACGATCAGTTTGTCCTCCACTTTCCAGATAGATGAACCTCCACTGGTCCATTGTTAGCATAGATCACCTGTGAATCTTCATGTTGATTGGCTAACAAGCAATTTTCTTGGATTCAGATTTTATAACTTTTGCGAATAAGCGAATGAAGCCAGTAGCGCACCAATAGGTCACGAAATTCACTCGTCTACTGACTCGCTCAATGTGACATCAAGCCCAGCAACTGGCCTGCTGGTTAGCATCACAGTTCCTTACATTTGCATCATTTCTGATGTCGCTGCCTAGTTTGAACCCATCTCCTTCGACATCCCTTTTCTTCTTTGCAAAAATTTCAGTTGGTATAATTGCAGCTACAACGCCAAGTTCAGAAGCTTCGCAGACACTGGCGATCTAATGAGTGTAGACACCGTAATGCCATCTAGTGTTCATATGGAGTATTGGAAAGGAATGCAAACAGTCCAGTGCTCAAGTATATCGTGCTCCCAATGGCTTACACCCATAGACTGTATATAGAATGGACGCCGTCTGCCTCCTCGATGGGTAAAGTCCCTCCCAGAACAGCACCCTCTGGTGACAGGCTGCAGTATAGGTCATAAATCCTGCCTCCGCCAGCCATCCTTACGGGGCTGTGGACAAACTTCATAAAATTATTACACAGAATATACATTTTTCTCACCCCTGTTCGCGATGGTGACATGTAGTTACTGTTATTAGGGGGTTCATGTTTTCTATGATTGACACTTGATACAGCCTATGGGCGTACGAAGATTGCGTAGCTCACCCGGGGGATACGCTGTTTGAGCTGAGCGTCATCACAGCGACTCTCGGCGACTCTCCCGCCAAATGCGTACAACGCTACTGCGCAGTTAGTTTCAGGAAATAAAGAAAAAACATAGAAATACCGAGACCTTTTCCGCTTCAAATCCATATACAGGCGGGAGGCGGAACCAAGTTGTCCATAGTATATACAGTCTATGCTTACATCACTGTGGCATAGCTCCAACATAGAGTCGGCGCATTATTACAAACCAGGCTTTACCCTAGCTTTGTTTGAAGATAACAAAATTCACTTTACAAGCGCTTTGGAAGTAAACAAGATCAAGACCAGGAGCCTCCTCTACGATACCAACATGTCAAAGCAAATTCTCATCTACAAGGAAGAACGCTCACCAACATGATCAACTATTTTCATACAGGTTACACAAAGGTGTTTAACAAAGAAAGCCATGATCATGAGTTTGTGGATCATTGGACAAAACCAGGATAGATGTTTTTGAACCTACAGTCATCTTAAGCTGAAGTTGCAAAGAATGAGGTTTCATTTCTCTTCATTGACCGTAAACTCAGAGTAAAAGTTTCCAGGATGTCAAACTGTTTCTTTGGTGCTCTGAGGAGTTTCTCACACTAATGTCATGTTGTCAATAAGCAGAAGTTGGTATCTGATGATGTTTTTATGATATTTATTTGGGTTTTATACAACAAGGCCTTCGCATTTACACTATAACAAACATATTTGTCAGATATAGATTTGCCGAGTGCTGAGTAAGCAGTGTTTATATCCAAGCACATTCATTCATAGCCTTTGTCGTATGTTTATTTGCACACATGTAGTTTCACATAGTATTATACGCCGTGCAAACATCATACTGTGTTATTTTTTCGCCTAAATGCCATTTCCCTGTGAAGCTGCTCATGCGTTTCAAGCCTAATTGCCTCTGTGTGCGCTCTGTCCTCTAAACAATTAGGCACAATTAAGTGTTTCAGGGACTTGGCATCGGAGCCGCCGGTGAAATTCTTCGGCTTTATTTTCCATTCATTATGCTCAGTGATTCTGTTTTCCTGTGGTTAGACTCCCTGCACATGACTTGTTGAATATCGATGCATGCGTTACTGTTCATCACCAAATAAAACGTGCATTTATTTTTGACGGACGAGTATTTACACTGAGGTATGTAAAAGCTTTGTTTGTGTGCTTGCTGAGGAAAATTCAGATCAGATAGATTATTTAGAAGTAGGAATAAAAGATGTTAAACAGTTTTGTACGGTTTAATTGATTTAACGTGAAGCGTTCCTGCACGGCTACATCATTCGGCCTCCTTTATTACATTAATTTAAATATCTTGACGTTGATTTCATGGTGGACTTACTTATCACGACAATCATATGGACAGCTTTTATTTCCATTAAGGGAAAGGGTAAAAGTTTAACACGCAGACATTACTCATTCAACATACTGAACCTATTTGAAAGCAACCTTATTCAGCAGCAAAGGTGCCAAAATTGCAGACAAAATACCTGGAAAATCATCCACTCCATTTTCCTCTCAATTGGTCTTAATCAAGTTGAAATTATTTTCCCATCTATTTCCTATAGAGTAGCTGCTTTTTGGATTAGAAATAACAAATAGCCTGTGAGTCAATGAGAAGGGGAGAAGAAGAAAAAAAAAAAAAAAAAACGTCTGGTTGTGAACAATCAAATGTTTCTGTCGGTCGCCTGAATTGAAAACAGGTGTTCCAGCGGAGCGGCGCTCCAGATGTCTGACGCTGTAGATCAAATAAGACCCACAACACTAGAGGAGCTTCAGAGACATCAGAGAGAGAAACTGGGACAGAGGAAAAACACAGGAAACAGAAAAAGAGTTTGTCTGTTCAAAACTTTGAACCCCTGTCAATGTAGAAAATGTTGATTAAAGGAGCTTTTAAGGCGAATATGACGGGATGTGAAAGGGCTCACCTGTTGAGCTGAAACCCCAACCTCACCCCTCAGATTTAGTCTTTCTGTCTGTTAAAAACACCAAACAGATGATGAATTTATCTATTTTAAAAAGTTGGTTGAATCGTGACGACAGTAGCTTTGTTTGCTGCGATATCAGAGAGCTAGTTATCGCTACTTTGCTGAGAGCTCGCCAGTAAAACCAACTTTAAAGGGATATTCTGGCGTAAAATTAAGTTAGGGTCAAACACAACGTAACACCGAGTAAGACACCCCATCGAGAGATGAATGTTGCCGACCGCTTGCTTCTCTAGTTATACCAACTTTAGTAACGACCGCACGATAGCAATACACAGAGCCACACGCTCAACCAAAACGCCGCTCTATAGCCACAAATAATGCTCAGAACAGCACCTAACTTCATCAACAGGACATATAGGGTCACAGCCACAGTACTAGCCACCAAACATTTTTTTAACTTTGACTAATTTCTTTAGTAAAGAGACTAAACACAACTCACCTACTCTCTTCCAGCAGCTGCTTGTTTGTAGCGAGACCTCAGGCCAGTCCATTACGGACTACAGCGGAGTTTCGCAGCTCAAGGAAGAACATTTATGGTCATTACTTTATCATTTCCTTGAAGTATTAATCACCATATTGATCATTTTGCACTGCAGATGCGGTAGTTCTTCTGCCTTAGCGTCTCAGTCTGATTGCATTTCCATGAAGAAATGATCATAAATGTTCTTCCTTGAGCTGCGTCACCCCACTGTAGTCCGTAATGGACTGGGGTCTCGCTACAAACAAGCAGCTGCTGGAAGAGAGAATGTGTCGGATTATGTCGGAATATCCCTTTAACACACTTGAAACAACAGCTGAAGTTTTTCAAATTTTGTTTTAAATGCTCCACATTCACTAGGGCGACCATAATACGTATCCCCAAAAAGAGGACACGACTACACAGGGGCGGAGTCACAGAGTCTTGGCAGTTTTTCATACAAAACCCTGGACATTTGAAGGAATTTTTTAAACTTCCTCGGACAAGGCCGAGAGGACATGTCCGGGTAAAAGAGGACGTATGGTCACCCTAACATTCACACAACGAAAAGGCCAAGAAAGGAGGAAGGTTTTAGATTCCAAATCCAACACATTCACTCTCATACATGCACATGAGTTAAGAGTTGAGCACAGATTTAACTTTAAACCTCAACTCAAACTCCTGACCTGTGGTTTTAAGCTTTAAATGATGTTAAAACATAAAAAGGTACCCTACCGTTAAAAAGGACTACATGCCAGTGTATCAGAGGAAAAACAGAGAGACATAATTCATCACTGAAATGCATCTGTTGTGAGTTAATATGCTTTCTGGAGGTTTTTTGTGTGTTTGGAGTTCACTTATACAATCGATGGCATGTGAGCAGAGCTGTCTGATGAGTAACAAAACAAGAAAGCTGTCCAGTGAGTCGAATATTCCGACTTTTTATTCCTGCTTCTTCTCTGCGTGTGTATCTTCATCATCTGTTTTTGTGCGTTTAAAAAATACAACATGGTGTAATGTTAACAGACGCATCAGTCACAGTGATTTGTGGGTGAGGTGAACACCCTCCTAACCCAAACCTGGCCCCAGTCTGCTGCGATGTTGACTTAAAAAGGACAAAGCCGGAGACAGGCCCGCTTTAATCAGAAGCGGATGTTACTGTAAGAGCCAAGGTCTCATGTCTACGGGGAAATGTTTAGACCATGTGGTCAGGTTTGATGCTGCAGTCCTCCACGCCGTGTGTTACAGTGGTACTCGGCGGCGGATATATGGGCTGTGAGGAGAGTCTGATTTTTTATCCAGGTTGTGGGTTTCTTTTGGGGATTGAACACGATAAATGGACTAAATATGGGCATGAGATCCTCTGTGTATATCAAATGACTTCCATCTGGAAGCTTCACTATTCGACTCTGACCAACACTTCATCGCTAAAAACCACTTTTACACTTAAAATAACAGTTTTATTCAAGTTTGGTTTTCAAACGTTCGAAAAAGACGACAAAAGCTAACTCATAAATGTTGGTCTGGACGGATTTAAAAGAAAGTTTTTATCCGGCTGTTTCCTTTTCAGCCACACACTTTGAACTCTGGGTAATAAGTGTTGGATCGAATCAGCTGATGTTTCTCTAACAGCAAACCGAATGGTCTCTTTAGGGCTTGTGTTTAAAGGAGAAGTGTGAGGCCACATTAATCAGCTGCTTGGATTTCAGATGTCTCTTTGGAGTTGAAGTGCTCTGATTTTAGCGCTCAGCACCGACAGGATCTGGACTTTAAAATACAAATTAAATCAGAGACAGTTCAGTCGGTTTTTAATTAACAAATTGATCATTTTGGGGGTCAAAGGAGGACAGAAATAAGTTTTGTTAGACTGACTAAACGTTACTTTCCGTCAATATAGTGAGAGGCAAAGTCGAGACGAGCCTTTAGCCTCTTTAGAGTCAATCACGCCCCAATAATACAAACTCATAACCTTAATATCTTCAAAACTAATGAGTTTATAAAAATTTTAACTCTCAAACAGTGTGTGCGGAAATAGAATAAACTAATCAGACCAAAAATGCTCCTAATGCTAGGCTGTAAACATGTTTAATTTAGCTGTACAGATGAACTTTTTAGAATGGGTGTGTATGTGGATTCAGAAGCCTCTGGAGTCAGCCTCTAGTGGACACTCAAGGAACTGCAGCATTTTTACATTGGCTTTATCTATCCATTGAACAGCTGTGAAAATGGCTCCCCATAAAGAACAGCTACGATTAGCAACCATTGTACAGGGGTGACCAAACTCTGACTTGGGAGGTGGAGTCACGGACTTGCACTGAGAGTTTTTTGGTCTTTTACGCGTTTCTAACTCAGTAAGTCCATGTGACACAAACTCCAAACTTCCACACAAAACATTGGACATTTGAAGGATTTTATAAACTTCACCAGACACAGCCCGGACAGCCCTTAAAAAATAGGACATGTCCAGGTAAAAGAGGACGTATAGTCATCCTACCATTGTAGGCTACAGCAGCTAACGTTAGCTTGACATCATGTCTGCCGTTCGCCACAAAGAATCTAATTTTTGTTTTTGAATGTTAAAATTAGCCGATGTCTATGGTTGCAAAGTAGATGAATAGGAATTAGTTCATGTGCTGTCAAACATATTTTACTGTAGAATAGGTCAGACGTCTGTCCGGAGTTTACTATTTCCTGATTGTCGGTTTTGGATCGTTTATGAAGCTGTTCAGTCATAGTTATTCATCGAATTCTCTGAGTTTTATTCGATATATCCAGGTGTGACATGACACAACCCAGAATCTTTCCTCCATCTGCCTCTGAGTTCAGTCAGTCCGACTGAAACTAAGATGTAGAAACTGACGGTTGTTCTCGCTCCTCATTTCACAGTGAATCCTCCATATCCTCCCTTTCTCCTGCATTCACTCATCTGTCGCAATCTCCTCCCCTCCCTGGTCCATCTGTGCCGGTGTTTTTCTCCTCATTAGAGAGATTACTGATGCATGAGGGAATGGGCTGGCAGGTCAGCGGCCACAAACACAGAATGAGCTTCATATTGAACAGCCAGGGAGAAGTTTCCCCGTCTGAAAACGGTCTCCTCGTAGTAAGCGGTATTTTCTTTCTTTAGGATATTTTGGTGAGCTGAAATCTTAAAATCACCACATTAGACATGCTGTATCTCCCTCTCTCAAACTTGGCAGGGGCTCTGCATACTTCCCGCTGATATCCCCTGATCACCAGGAATGCAGATTTTAATATAATTCCTCTTAAGTTGACCTTACTGCGTGAAGAACTACTCAGTCTGGAAAAACACACACCTGTGTATGTGTGTGTGTTTGAGTGTAAAATAAACATCTATATGTAAAATGGCGTGATGACTGTCCCGCTGTCTTCATGACGAGGCCGTTAAAGTGCTGATGGTGAATAATGGGCTGGCTGAAAGTGAGCGAGTGAGTCCCTCTGGTGTATATTTAAATGGCGGAGAGATGCTCTCTCACTCACTCCAACTCCCCGGTGGTCCGTGAGGTTAATTGCTTTCTCCGGCAGGCGCTTACAGATTAACTATCTCACCGAATGCATCCATACAAATGACTCTGCACACACCACAATAAGTTTAAGGGAGCCGTGTGTGAATGTGCGGGCGCATCGGCTCGTAACAGAACATAGTGTATGCATTTTGTATTTTTTGATGTCTAAACTCAGTGCGAGGGGGTAGGCGTCGTCTTAGTCGCTAGAGAGACAGCCCTGATTTTACATTTTCTACATAAAAATGACACTTTGACTTTTAAAAGTCAGCAGGCTGAGATTTTAACCATGTGACAAAACCTACATATACAGATGATAAATTAAAAAAAGATGGCTGTGTCCAAAGGGGGGCGCCAAAACAGACACAAACCAAAAGTTCCACACAGGAGCTTTAAAAGTGAAATGTGTGAAATATATGTGTGTTTGTCCACACTGTACCTTTAGTTTAAGAGAGCAAATTAGCATCGACATGCGATGAACCACTTTCTCCACAGGGGGCGCCAAATTCATAACAAACCTGAAGCTCCTCACTGCAGCTTTAAACTAGATAAAAAGGGTAAAAGATGGTATTTCTTAGGCCATTGTGAGTTTAGATGGAAGGATCGGGGTCTTATCAAGGAAAAACAGAGGATTTCAATTTTTGATGCAAAATAGATTATGAGATAAACTAAATTGTAAATGTACAACAATAAAGTTTTGAAGTTTTGAGTAAAAAGTTTATGATTTATTAGCATAGTTTTTTCATACTTTATTTCATTCAGTAATATTTAAAACATTCAATACAAACAAGAAAAAATCTCAAACGTGAATTAAAAAAGAGCAGAAAGAAGAAAACTCTTCGAGAGTCTGCCCCTCTTTCATAATTTATAAATCAACAAAACACAATAAAAATAGACAAGAGCTGCAGGCCAACACGCCTTTTTTACAGTTCAATGTTTATTGTTTTCAAAAACAAACAGAAAAGACCACGATAATTCACATTTTTCCACAAAACAAACATACCTGTATTTACTCAACATACTGGCTTTGACACTTTTTTTGAAGATAAAATTTGATTTAGCTTCTTTAGTTCTGAATATTGACCTTTTTAATATTTAAAATCCTTTTAAATTACAACAACTTTCTCTCTTTTTTCAAATCGGCTCTGGATGTTGACTAATAAAATATCACAAAAAACAAAACAAACAGAGTCGTACGTTTACCAGAAAAAGTCTTAAAGCTCCTGTGAGGAACTTTTACTTTTGTCCGTATTCAATAATCAGGACCCTGTGATCTCTAAAATAATGGTCACTCAGGTCTCGCGGTCTCACTTCTCTTTTCTGGTCTCTTGGTTGTGAAATCTTGAGCCGTGTGAGATCCTTTGACCCACAAACCTACAATTCCCCGCTCGCTGGCTGGACGGCTGATAAATAACACAACACATGGTGAAAACAAATGTCTTGGCAACTTCTTCTGCTGTCAGGCAGGCATGCGGCCTCTCCCCCGAGGTGAGCCGGCTTTCATGTGTGAACTGAGCGGTGTCAGGGTGAAACCAAACACTAACGGATGACCCGGCGGCTCCCGGGCTGACATCAGGGCAGAGGCAGAGTTCAGGCAGCGGAGACTGTGAGGTGAACGCCACCAATTCTTAAAGACACCAACATCTGGCTCGGGTTAGCTGCCCTACAAACACTCAAACACACACATACCCACATTCTGTTTTTAGGAGAGACTTTGGCGGGAGCAGGAGGATCCTTTTGGTCTTTCCGTCAGACTGCTTTGGTTAGCCTCGCTCTCTGGTTTTACCATCTGTTCGCTCGCCTGTAAATCTCCGCCTAGTTTGGGAAAAGAGTAACCTTTACGTCTTAAACTTTAAGACGTGTTTGCAACATTTTCCTCTGTGTTTGGACAAAGCAGCTCTTCTCTGTCTCCGTATAATCACGTGTAGGATTAGAGCGTCGGTCTTTTACAAGGCCTGTGATGTGCTCCACATGCTCGGCGTCGCTGCAAACACTCAGCAGATCCTCCAGGTGATAAACGGCACATGTGGGAACATCTGTGATCAGCCTAGCGGGGTGAATCTCTGGGAAATGTCAGACCTCTTTATTTAGCCATTATCCTTATTATTCTTTCAGTTAATTTCCAACCTGATGAAAATATTTACACCCCTACGCCGTTATCTTCACGACAGAGAAGCCCGTCTTCTGCAGAGTCTGCAGCGCCGGCGTGTCAAGGTTGATTGAAATTAATTTGGTCTCATGGCACCGGGATCCAAAATGTGATGTCAAAAGTACACAGAGGTACCTCCTTGATGATAATTAATGGAGGATGAGCTGACAAGTCATTTTGTGTGTGTGCAGAGGAGAGAGGCAGATTGTTAAACTCCCCATGTGGCCTGTTGAGGAGAAGCGCTCTTATAATGACTGCATGTGTTTATACACCAGGCCGTCCAAGTCCTACGGGGGCCAAATTCAGAGGTTCAGAGGTACTGTCATTCAGAGGTTTTAGTCGTGAATGCGGAGGTTAAAGGTTCAACTCCTCGCTTCCTTCATGTGTTGCCTCCTGTCCATCTTCAGCTTTCTTTCCTTTAAAGGTCCAGTAAGGAACTTTCAGCTTGTGTCAGTTTTGGCGCCTCCTTGTGGATAAAACAGTCTTTTCTTGTCCTTTACATCCAGACAAAAAAACTTTTGTTTTTTCATTTTTTGCTGTGATAATTGTTATTGTTTTGAAATTTCTCTTTGCTTTTGTTTGTTTGTTTTCAGTTTACTTTTTCGTGTTGCACACACATGTTCGAAAAAAATAAATAAAGGAAAAAAAAAATTATAATAAAATGACAAAAAAATCTCGTCCTGACACCTACTCCCTCACATCTACTTCAAGCATTAAAAAATAGTAAAAATGGTCAGTTTTGTTGGATGTGGTCTTTTTTGTTTTTGTATATCATATAAAAAAGGTGTAAATACAAATTTCTGTGTTTTGTTTACATCTTAAAAACTCTTCATTGGAGCTTTAAATGCAAAAATAAAACCACTAAGATCTTTGAAAAGCATTTAAAGGTAGAGGATTAACATATTCAAGTTTGAACACACACAAAAAAAAAAAGATATTGAAATCGACGCTAGTGTCCGATCAAAGCTGGCTCCAACAGCCGAGTAACACTCAAAGGGTCTGAAAGTAAAACGTCAATTTTTACAGCAAAATAAAACGTGTTTACAGCCACAGTTAAAACAGTTTGGGGTATTTGACTCATTTCTCTTTTTGCACAAAAGGAGGTGATTTGTTTTATTGCGTATTGATTTTACAAAGACTAAAAGATGAGTGTATTTGTGTTTAATCAGAAGCACACCTGAGATGACTGACAGGAGGTTTAAAGTTCAGTCGAGTCATTATTTCCAACATGGTGAGAGCGACTGATGACGCGTTTAAATTCATCCTTTATATAAGTATAAAAATAAACAGAACAAAAAAACCATAAAGTCGACTCTGAGACAGTTTCATAAACGCTGATCTTATGAGACAGATTTTCCGACTCTCCTGCTGCAGACTGATGATGTGCTGGAGATCGATCAATAACTCCATCCAACAGTCTCATTGCCTGTCATGCAGGACAATCCAAACTGTGGTGTGCGAACTCTCACTGATGATTCCCTTGATTATGTTTGTAATATTAAAATCATCCAACAGTTTTTAGTCAGGGCCAGCTGACTGTCTGCTCCCCAGATGGTTTATTCTAAATATTAACGCACACATCTCAACTTCTGATGCCTCATAAATAAACAGACTTCACAGCTATTCTCCGTCTGCTTCTTATGACGTTTAAAAAAGACATTAAACTTTCTTGTTTTGCACTTTAAAGGAGCGCTGTAATCAGAGTTCATTAAGGGAAGGAAAGTAAAATTAAGATCTAAGAGAGCTAAGAATGGAAACTCACTTTACAGTGCCAAAAATTTCAGCTGCATTTGCAGTTTTAGAGACTTTGTTGCCGCCTGGTGATAAAAATGTGAAGCAGCAGCGCCATCTAGAGAGAGGATGTGGCTCAGAGAAATGTCACCAGAGAGGCAGTTTTGCTCAGATTTGATCAAAATTACTTAAATTTGGACATTTTGAGAGTTATCCTTAGAGTTCAAATGCATTTTAAATAATAATAATAATAATAATAATAATAATAATATTTTTATAGCCCTTTTAAAAACAGAAGTTTACAAAGTGCTTTGACAAACAGTCGTAAAGCGCAGAGCATCAGCACATGGAAATAAAAACAAATAAAAAACAAAAGCTCAGTTAAAAACAAAACCTCCAGATTGAAGGCCAATTTCATTTTTCATTGGAAACCCAGACAATTTGAGGACCCTACAACATAAAATGAGACCATGAGGACTAAAATAAAAACATAAAATAGGTAAGAAGAAGAAATGTAATAAAAAAGGGCGGTAGAAAGCAGGAAACAGGATAGTAAATAAAAAGACGATATTAAAAATGATAATAAAATAATAATGATGGTGATAGTAATGATAAAAAGGAATAACAAAGGGCAGGAATAAACAATAAAATCAATAAAAGGCCTAAAAGGTAAAATAAGAAAGGATTATAAGTAAAACAAAGGCTAAAAGGACGGTTAGTCGAAATAAGATAATAGAGGTAAAAGAGATAAAAGAAAAAAGAGTAAAGACGACATCACATAGAAGCAAGTCTGTAAAAGTGAGTTTTAAAATTTGACTTAAAAGAAGCGACTGTCTCTGCTCGCCTTATCTCCTCTGGCAGGTCGTTCCAAAGTCCAGGAGCTCTGATGGAGAAAGATCTTTCATCTTTAGTTTTGAGTCTCGACTTTGGAACGACCAGGAGGCCTTCGCCAGAGGATCTGAGGCTGCGAGCTGGCTCATAATAAGGTATTAAAAGCTCTGAAACGTAGCTCTGAGCGAGTCCTTTGAGTGCCCTAAAAGTAATCAATAAAATCTGAAAATCTATTCCAAAACTGACAGGAAGGGAGTCTAAAACTGGAGTGATGTGATGCGGTCGACTAAAACCAGTTAAAAGCCGAGTTTTGTCTGTTTAAACGAAGCTCCTGCTGACTTTTTGATACAAACTTCCACATATTGCAATTTTTGATCTGATTTGGCGCTTTGGGAAATCATGTTTGCATAAAAAGATTACATAAATAAGACCACCACTGCACTGGAACCACTTCTACAACCTCACCCTGTAGTGCCACTTCACTGTCCTACTTTCCCGATCAAGATGTTCTCACCTGTTTATGTAACTGTGGTGACTTCTGCTCATGGAACGCAGCAATATAAGGAAGTGAGAATTGGAAACAGAGCTCAGCGTAAGAGGAAAAAAACAGGAGAAAGAAACAGAGAAAGAAGGAGAAGGATGTTTGTTTTGACAATATTTATTTCTATTTTCCCAGGAGTAACATATAGTTCAGGACAAATGAATGTTTCAGAGAAGCTAGCACAGCAGTTTGCGGAATACATGACTCAAAACCGCACCATATTCAGTGAAATTAACCGCACTCTGAGTACAAGTGATCGAACTGTTCTCATAAACAAACAATAATTCCTGTAAGCGAGAAACCAGGGTTTATTTTTTACCTTTACGTCTGAGTTAAAGGCTAACAACACTTGCGTTGCACAAGTTTTTGGACAATCAGGTCTAAATCCGGCTCGTTCTGGTTCTCCCACAAAGTCAAGGGCCTCAAAGCGAAATCAGAAACAAAATGAGAAAGTGACATGACAACAAACCGTCTCAGACACACAAACAGGACGACAGCAGGGCAGTCAGGAAAGAGGAAAGCGCTGCGAGGATACGTTTACTGCTACCAGAGGGCGAAAAGCAGAAGAGAAAGATAGAAAAGGTCGTACAGGTGCAGAGCAGAGAAAAGCTTTCATAGAGACATGCTGAGGGACTACACATAGAGATATAATACGCTACGTTCGGAGCTGCGACAGTCTTCAAGCAGAAGAGAGAAAGACGGAGGATAGAGATAGATCAAGCGCAGAGAGGATTACAATGCTAGGCGAGGTTAGCATGCTGGCGGCACGGAGAGAACTTTACAGGAAGCCCAAGACACAGAGATCACATGTAAAGGCTAGAGCGACAGTGCACTAATCTACAGGCTAGGCTATACATCAGACAGGCTAATTACAAAGCTACACGTACTGGATATATGTATGTATATATTTATATATATATATTTATATTTATAGATAGAAATAGGTATATAGGAGACAGTCACACAAGCTGGATAGGCAAGGCATCGCATGCACGTGCAAAGGAAGCGAGTCTAGCAGCAGCAGCAGCGGCAGGAGGGATAACATATTTGGCCTTCTCAGACTACCGCCGTGAAATTCGTTTGGTGCTGAGATAGTCTGGATGTTGTTCGTGTCACAGTGTGGACGCAGAATTGATCCAGGGCGTGATCAGACTTCAGATCAGTACATTTTTAAAGGATTAAAGATGTTAAAGCCTTTTTTATTGGATCAAGGACCGTATAGAAATTAAGGACGACATGACAGCAAACCCAAAAGTGAAGCTGAACATTTGACTGAAAGCAGTAAAGGTTGTAGAACCCGCCCCCTCCATGTAAACCGATGGGGCTTGGGTCAAACTTAAACAACAAATAAATCAACAAAAAAAAAAAAGATCTTGAAGCAAAAATTGGCAAAAAAAGTAACAGCTGTTGACCTTTTGCAAAAAGACAACCACTGACGCATATATCATCAAAAAAGAGACCACTGTTAAGGTCCATACGCACTGGGAATGGCGCAAATATATGACATGAAATTACGAAATATTCGGAGGCACATTTTGACGCGCCTGACTATACACATGAAGCACGATGCGACTTTGCGACTTTCCGGGGGATAAAAAAGACGCTATGACTCTCCACAAGTCGAAACTTTAGAAAAATCGACTGTGATGCGAAAAAAAAAAAAATTGCCGCAATATCGCAGGACGGGAAAAAAGTCGCTGATGTGAACGCTTGTATTGACAGGATACGGGCCCGAAAAAAAATATTGACGTCTGAATTAATCGCATGAAAAAACGCTCCCAGTATGTAAGACCTTTACCCTGGTGCAAAAATTATAAAAAATAGTGACCGCTGCCGCCACAAAAAAACATTTTAAAAAGTTACAACTGTTGGCCTGGTGCAAAAATATTTTTTAAGAAATGACCAGTGTTGACGTGGCACCAAACATTAAAAATATGGACCCTTATGGACATGGTGCAAAAATATTCTAAAATTGAGCGTTGCAGAGTTGGTGTGAAAATTGTCGTAATAAGTGTTCACAACTGAGGTGTGTCCAAGATCACAGAAAAACTTTCTCGGTTGTTTTGGCTTCACTTTTGTGCAACAGGAGGAGCTGTAAACATGTTGTCCATCTTTTTATACAGCCGATGAAGACGGAGCGTTTCAAAACCTACAAACGTAAAAAAATCGAATACTTGCGTTTCAAACGGACCCTTGATTCATTCACATTCGGACCAGAAAGCTTGAGTTACATTTCCGAGTATTTTTTCTCAACATCAACTTAATGAACAACCATTGGACATCGCACGTTATCAGGTCAACGCTAAAGTGCACGACCTCCCCGTTTGGAGGAAAAACTAGACAATACCGGCAAATTTATACTAAGGCAACACAGTTACAAACACACTAAGTACACATTGGCACATACCGTCAAGTATCACTTGTGCACGGAAAACAGAGTGCTTCAGAGTTAGAATGGCTTTGCATATTCATTTTAAATCCAAAGAGCTCGTAAGTACGTCGAGGTGAAATCTGTCCGTTTTCTTTAAAGCCACTCCCTGAAACACGTTTTCTTTGAAATAGCTAGAAGAGTCACAAACCAGGTCAAGTATCTGACATACGTACATATACATACACACACACAGGAGAAAAGCCTTCTGGACAAACAGGATGAAAATACAAGTAATCTATATTAGAGATAGAGAAAATATGAATAACTTTACCTCACAAATAGTCTCTGGTTATATGTCTTATATACATTTATGTATACACAAAGATATGTACTTAGGACATCTTGAAATACTATTTACAGTCTATGATCAAAAGTGATTGTACACTGAGCGACCATGTTGAGCAAATTGTGCTTTTCTAACGTGTTCTAATGGAAATGCTACAGAACCGCTGTCTGTTAAACCAGCGTTCACATCCAATAACTATCCTGCGTACTAAAAGCATGTTTTCAGGTTTTTGCTAACTACTGTGCGTAGTAGGAAACTTGATTATCGTTTAAATATTATACACATAAATTCAAAGTTTACTCAGATATTCTGCAGGGTATATATTCATATTCATATATATATATATAGAGAGAGAAAGATTGGACCCATACTGGAGTATTGCTCGTGAATGACGAAAGACAAAATCTCAGTTGCAATGCCGTAGGGGGCGCTCTTCCTCCCCCGATGATTTAGTGCAAGTGATGTCAGGTATACAGTAGCTGCAAATCTGTTCATGTTCCTGTTTTCAGAAAACAACACAGACTGTTTATTAAAAAGAGGTGGACGTAGCCGTGAAAGTGCATTCTTCTCTGAGCCAGCAGGGGGCGACGTAACTGGGTATGCTTGAGGGTGGGGTTATATTTGACTGGCAAGTTACTACCAAGGCAACCTCCCAGTCAGGGATAGTCCATGAGGCCAGAATACCCACATTTGGACTCTCTGCCAAAGTTCAAATCTTAGCAGGAGTTTTTTTTTTGTCTTTAGGTGTCGTGTTAGACTTAAACTCACCTGAAAGGTCCAAAAAATGTCTTATATCAAGATATCACGTGTCAAAATAAGATCTTAATCTCTTGTAATAAGTAAAATACTTCTGAAGTTTCTGTCGGATTAATAAAAGTTACATTTCTTTAAATAAGAAAATGTCTTTTTTTTACTTGTTACGAGCAATTCAGGTCTTATCTTCTGCGTATAATATCATAAACATTTTTCTGGATTTGTTGAGTAAATGTAGCAAAAATTGAGCGTATTGAGATATTTTTACTATAAATATGTAAAACACTTGGAGATTTTTCAGCTCGCCATCCCCAGACTTTACCCCTATTCCATGTAATCCAGATCCCAGTGTATATTATCACATTGGCTACGTCCACTTCCTCTACACAGTCAGTTATTATCGCCCTTTCCCTCATTCTGAAGATCTCTGATCCATCTTTAAGTGCTTATTCAAAAACAGCTTCTGGTACTGTAGTTCTGTAGATGAGAGGTTTTACAGTTTTAAGTTATAATCCTTAAGATTAGAGCTCTGGTTAAAGAAAATACAACAATATAAAGTCTTATATATTTGTGCAGTGCTAACTGTGAAAGGACTCTGGAGTGTAGTGGTCATTTTTGGTGTTTCATTGTCCTGCTTTCGGACCAGAGACCACAAACTTGAGCTTTGTGCGTGATGCAAAAATACCCTGTTAACCATCAAATCATGGAGTCCAGTGGAACCAGTCCTATGTATGGGAAGCTGTTTGTTTGTGGTGCTTTTATCAAATTAAACCATCTGATCTGAATCCAAACTAAAAATAAAAAAAGTCTTGGAACTTTAATTTTGGTTTTCTTTGGAAGACGTGGCCACACGATTAACTCGCCAATCAGGGCCTCTCGTTAAACTCTTTAGTTAAGCTTGTTTTTAACTAAATTTAGCTGCTATTTAAACTGCAAATCTGTTTGTTATTTCTTTTTATAACTCTATAAAGCTCAGTGCGTTGAAAGTGCTCGAACAGAAACAGCTGAAAGGCGGTGAAGTGAAGGCTTTGGTCACCTCTTGGGGTTTTGGGCCAGTTGGCAGTGGCAGTTGCCCACTTTGCCCATTTGGTAACCAAGTTTAGCCTCCAAGACACCAGAAGAGCTCAAACTAAAAGTTGATTCAAAGTAGATTCACGCTTTGTATCATCTGAATTTGATCTGTTAGCTGTAATATATTCAGGAAGTCTGTTTAAAACCAATGAAATCATAAGGATTATAACTTCACATCACCTCTGACTGTGTTGATTAGATATTCATCGTAATGTGTAGAGTGACTCAGCGCAGTTCGATATACAGCCTGGTTGGAAACGGTGCCCATTTTTATATGTGTGTAGCTGAATGACATCAAACAAAATGGGCTTAAGAAGCTTTCATCACTTTAAACACCCTAAAAAGAAGTGTGTGTGTGTGTGTGTGTGTGTGCATGTGTGTAAAAAGAGTAGAAAGTGTCCATAAGCAACAATATTAAACTAGCGTCACAAGCTGCAGAGCAAACTGTCGAAGGCTGACGTGATGCATGATACATGCAGATTAAATGCTTTGAACTGACTTCGCTGTGGTGTGAATTTGACGGGGGGGTCATTTTGTCGACGGTTTTGCGCACGTTCCAGCCTCCTCTTGGAAAAATGGGATACTTATGGTACGAGCCGGTGTTACTGTACATTACCAGCAGAGGGAGTGTTGTCGAGAATCACTGCTTGAAGGACTAGGTGCGGATGTAAAAGGCAGTTGATTAAGCTGAGGTAAGGTGAAGTGCTTTTTTTAAGTTTCAAACCAGAAGTTTAAAATGTAAAGTTACAAGAAAACACAACCACGTTTGGCACTTAACGACATACTCGGCAAATGAGAAATGATTCAAAAATAAACTCTTCCTCATCGACCTATTGCACAAGCGTTTCATATCACAAAAAAGTACTTATGAAGTTACGTCACTTACACTACTCTCAGATATACTACACTATAGGAAAGGCAGACAGAAGCACTTTTACATAGCTTTGGACCCAGTCAGCCCACAGCAAAGCTACAATACATAATATATGGATATATCTTTTTTTTCTCAAATATACTCTTAAATATGTGACTTTGGAGGAGAGAGAGAGAAAAGAAAAAGTTTACCAGTACATTCACGACAAACAATTCATCCGTCAAGGGGGAAAAGTAGGGGAGGATTTGGTGAGATGAGTCTTATAGATCCTGGCCGAGTCGTTCAATCTCCTCAATAAGAAAATCGATGTCCTCGAAGGTAGCAGCCGGATTAGAGATCACCATGCGGAAAAAGTTGACCTTGTCTCCTTGTGGCTGGTAGCCGACCATGGTCGTCCCGTACTCCATCATCCTGGCTTTAATCACTGGAGCCACCTGAAGGATACAACAACCGCGGTCAGAGGTGGGAAATCATGACGTGCATAAACTCTGGAGGAACTGAGGAAACTGGCTTATCAAGAGAGGGTTAATGGCTGATAATTTTAGCCCGTTTGAGACTAATCAGCAATCGGCCAAAACTTGCAGACTTTGCCGATATTTTCAGAAATATAGCGCAGAGAGATTATAAGATTCGATTTCACTTTGAAAATGTACCGCCATTTGAAAAGATCCCCGACTTATCCTGTAGATGGCGCAGCGACCTCATGACAATCTTCATCCACTAACTACCTCACAGCACAGCAGAGTGACGGATCTGAAGCAGGTAGTTCAGGGACGCACGGAGGAGAGTGGTCCGCCTCAACGGTAAATAAACCAGTTTGTGAAATAAACAATAAGTCAACAAGTTTCAGTTCAACCCACTTCACCATGTTCCCTGCTGTGCTGGTCTCCGTCACGCCGAGTTAACAGTGAAGCACCATGTTAGCCATCTGTTATTAGCCTTGCTACACTGTTAGCCGTGCCAGTAACGGTAGAAGAAACAGCCGTACACATTACGTGATCGAGCTACTTCTCTTACTGAGGCAGCTGCATGTCTCCAGATGAGACAGGTGTTGTGCCATAGAATGCACCCCATCCACTCATTAGCTTCTTAAAGTGGAACAAAATGATCTCATATTTAGAAAAAACACGAGTATTGGATCATGACAACATGTCAAATGGAGCAGCAAACTTTCGTTCTGTTTTTATATGTCTCAAAAAAGCATATATAGATGTGTACTTGGGTATGTAAATTGTACAGTTAGCTGTCGAGGTAGAGAACATTATATTTATTCTGAATCAGAGGGCTATTGTTTTCGGCTTATCTGAATAGCCTGACAGAAATCATTACAGGCACACGCTTTTGAATCCATCCAACGGTAAGGAAAACTTGGATTATTTCGCCTTATTATGTACTTTCAACCGCGCTTCCGTCAGGGGGTGCATTTTACGGCAGGGGTGCATTCTAGGGCACAACACCAGACCGGCAATTAGTAACGTGAGTAAGACGCGGAGGCACCGATCGGCGCAGGGGAGGGTAGTTGAAAACGCCTTTCTGGTCCGAGTTTGATCAGTCGGTCTTCCTGTCGGCGTGAAGAGCAGTAGCCAACAGTATATCTACAGTAGATAGTATACAGTAGATTTATATTTTTTATAACTTCATAAAAAATTTAAAAAATCGCTAGATTAATCGGTAATCGGATTTTTTCCCCCCTAATAATCAGTATCTGCATCAGCCCCAAAAAATCCATGTCGGTCGGGCCCTAAAATAGACATATTATTCAAAGAAATGATGCACTGCTATATCAGTCTGATCTGAAACCATGACGACAAGACAATGTCAGACAAAGTTGTTGAAATATCGAGTTTGGTTTTATGATCAACATGAGCCTGTTGGATTTCACCCCCTGATGATTTCCGTTGATTTTACTGACAGATATGAGAGAGAGGGATCGATCCTTTTGAAACGACGTTGAAACAAAGTTTATAGAGATACTGTAAATCCTCATCTTGGTAACCGTTAAAATATGTATTAGAGATTCATAACTTGAGGCGACAGTTGACTGCAGCTTCAGCTTAAGGGCTTAAATCTAACCGTGACTCATATGAAGTGCCCTCGAGGTCCTGCATAATCCAGCATGAATTTTAATAAATCTAGAGGGTATTAAGTTGAAATTAAGTTGAAAAAGACTTATGAAACTTCACCGCCTCTTTCGAGCAGTCGCAGTAGGTTTTGCAGAGAATCACAGTGTATAAAAGCTGCGTCGCATCGCATTGCTCTGGCTGTTTCTGTACTTCCATCAAATAACGTGTCATTCCTTCTTAATCTTTTGCAGGTTGTCCGGTCTACGATTTCTGCTCAATAATCATCAGCAGCTGCGAGTTTCCAGCGAATCAGTCTCTTTGACAGTTTTCCCAGCTATCCTTTGGAAGCAATCGCAGGGGAAATTAGAAAAATAGAGGAAAGCTCCTTCAGTTTCCCAAACATCCACGTCGGGCCACATTACATCACCCCCTGATCTTGGTGTCGGAGTGTGTGGAAAAGAGAAAACTGGCCAAACACTCGGTTCAAATGAGGCGTAACTGCTGTGCCTTTTTCAGTCAAACTTTGGGAAAACTAAAGGAAATCGCTCCATTTGATTTGCTGTGACAAACATGGCAAAGATTTATGGCGGATGATGTTGCGGAACGAGAAAGGAGAGAGCGCTTTGTATGTCGGGCACGCACACCATCTGTTTGTCCTAATTGTCAATTATTAGGCCCCTGCTGCTGTGGGAGCCTTTGAATGACGGCCACTTTAGCTAACTGAATAGCCTCAGTCCCCTGTGACAATGTACCCTATTTTTAGAGTCACGGTTTACAAAGTATTTCACCTTACTCTTTTAATCCTAAACATTTTCGTCCCTAATCAGGAGGGTATATGATGGCTGGACAGGAAGACAGGCATATAGGGAAAATAGAAAATGCAGAGGAAGGTGTTTTTACTAGATACAATAAGGTTTCTTATCTCTGCTCACTCACCTTGTGCAAGCGTTTCTTTCTCTCCTCTTTGTCCTCCATGTAGCGGATCCCGGGAGGGAGGTACCAGAAGCAGACGTTGGTGTGCTGAGGCTGTGGGAGCAGAAAAAGTTGACAAGAGATGAGAGGAATACACAGCCAAACGTACACACTCAGGATGTTGAATGTCACTGATTTCAGATTGTTATTGTCTTTTCAAAGTCATGGTGGAAAGTTTTTACAGTTTTCCTGTGATTAATGTTTGTGAGATCAGAGAGGAGATGAACCAGAAACAGAAATGCACATGACACAAACATAACCATCCCATAATGATGCTTTTGAATTGAATTGAATGAATGTCACTATTTTCTATGAGTCTGCAGCATCACTTTGGAGCTGATGATCTCAAGTGTAAAAGGGTTTTTAAGTGTAGCTAACATTAGCAGAGCTAGCACCACCAGCCTTTAGATCTCCTCCACAAGCCTGTGCTGGTTACACATTATCCCAGTCCTGTGGTCGTGGCGCGGTTTAACCCGACTCAGCCTACACACGTCATCTCCATTTTCTAGACATCTTGACGTGAGAGTCTGGATCTGGATCCTTCTTTTTTCTTAGGTGATTAAATTGACTGTGCTAAACCACCTTCATTGTTGAACCAACTTTAGCAGTTCATGTAAATCAGTTTTAACATCTTTCACAAACCTTCTCTTCAGCTGGCGGCGATGAAAGTCGGGTAATATTAAAATTAATTAAAAAAAACAGGGTAACACTTTATTTGACGCATATCTCTATAACGCATTATAAATATATGTGTAATGTATTATAATCACATTGAGCACTGTATAACTATAGTTATTAACATTCATAAATGATAATAAATCTTTATAGCATCAATCACAACACATTATAAAGCATTTTATTATGACTTACAAGGTCAGATATTATAATGTGTTATAACTGTTAACAGTTGCATTGCATGTGTGGGCATTGTCAGTGAGTTGTTAACAGTTAGAACACATTATAATACCTGACCTTGTAAGTCATAATAAAATGCTTTATAATGTGTTATGATTATTGCTATAAAGCATTATGATCATTTATGAGTATTTAAAACTATAGTTATACAGTGCTCAATGTGATTATAATACATTACACATATATTTATAATGTGTTATAGAGATAGGCGTCAAATAAAGTGTTACCAAAAGAGCACCAATAATTCACTTCATAGATTAACAGACATGTGCCCAGCTCTGATTTCTAATATATTCTGTATATTGAATCCAGTAAAACTATTAAAGGTGAGTTTTATGCCAAGTCCTGTTGCTTCCTTAACCTTTATTTTTTTTTAAATATCAACAATATCTGTGCGACTAAAATGAAACTGAAACGATGAAAATCTAAAACAGGTGATTTTTAGCAGGCTGCCATGAGTTTTACAAGCCACCAGATGTCACTGTGTTCGCTGAGTCCAAACCACAAATTTAAAGAAAACTTCATATGGCCTCATCTGTTCAAATCTTAAGAAATTACACATCAGCTCATAAATATACAAACATATACACACCATACTTTCGCATACTCACCTTTAATCCTCACCTTAAATCTTACAGTTCCCTCAAAAAGAGAGGTGAAAGAAACTCTCGTCTGTCTATTTTCACCTGCTGAATCTTATGAGCTCAAAATTGAAGTCCACCTGGCGCTCACATCATCCTTCACAGATACTCTCAAACTGTCTAAAAGCCCCGCACAGCTCTGGGTTTTTTGGCATGTGAAGCCCTGTTTGAGCTGCCTGACTGCCTGCGAGTGGAAGCACATTCATTACCAACAGCTGACTGGCCATGCGCACCAGCCTCGTTTATAGAGCCGGGCCGGTTCGGCGCTCGTGTTTTCAGCGTCAGATTGATGTAATGGCTCAATGGGAGGTGCAGACAAGTGAACACCTGGGCCATCACCCTCTGGGTTATGATGCTCTTAGCCCCAGCAGGGAAACAATAAGTGTTGAAACATTAAAGAGCTTTCACTGTAAATGACTCTGGGTGTCCGAGCACTCCTTTCACAGCAGAGTTTTTAGCTTAATAACCCCGTCATCCCCCAATATGTTTGTGTTGCCGTGGCTATGCTTGGGAGAGGATATTTCAGACACAGGCTATTCATATGCATATGAGCAATTATGGGCTGTTATGCTATTCATTAAACATAATAGCAGCACATTACACTGGCAGCTAGAGGTAAAAATGGCATTCACACAACACAAAGCAAGAGCACACTGCGTGCCAATCACATCACCCGTAATGACACTGAACACGCTGAGGTAGAAGAAGCCAAGCAGGCTAATGTCGGCTACTTCTCTGTGATTACGTGGCTGCAGGAGAGTGATCCTTTTAGAGGAAGAGGAACCTGAACGTGGACATACTTTTCCATCGAAGACCATCTCGTATCCTTCTCTGTCTTTGATCTTGTTGTAGAGGTACTCTGACAGCTCCAAGCACTTGTCAATCTGAGCCTCGAACCCGATCGTTCCCTGTGGAAAGACGGGTTTGAATCGATTATAGCAGTTTAGATTTGAAGAAAAGATTAAATAACTGTGTGGAAGTCATTGGTGTGATGTTTCTATTGAGGAGAAAGAGTCTAATCTAATTTTTTTTGTTGGAAAACTGCATAAAATTTGTTGATTAAAAAGGACAGAATAATTAGTGCATAAACATAAAGGTACAATGTGCAAAAATGAAAATATTCAGTGACATTTAACAGTCAGGTTTCAGGTTGAAATTCTCCCTCGCTCACCCCTCTCATCTGTAGAGCCACAGAATGGATGGTGGCCTCTAAAGGACAAGAAGCTGCATGGACGCATGATAAGTTCCATCCTCTGTTTGTCAAGTTTTTGTCAACTTAAAATCCTTTTGGCTAGTCGGAGCACTGCAGCTACTGTAGCCTTGTGGAGTTATTGAATGAGTTAAACAAAGTTTGACTTATCGGACTGTTTTGTTTGGCTAAATGCGCTTTATCATTCAGTGCGCCTTACGTATGAAAATAGACGCGTTCATTGATGGTGTGCCTTATAGTGCGCAAAGTACGGTAAAATATTTTCTTTTCTGTTTCCCTCTGATTTATTTCGTGCAGCCGCTCTCTAAACACGAAACACATACGCCCATATTTTTTTCCATTTTCTGCAGCTGTAGAGACAAAAGAAACACTCCACACTGTATCTTTAGATATACAACGCTTGAAGGGTTCAGGGTAGTTCAAACTCGTGTAGCAGTTTTATCTGGACAAACAAAAAGTAGTAAAAATGCAGGGAAATGTTTGGGTTTCTACATTTTGGTTTTTAACTGTCAAGCTGCTCTGAACCAAAAGCTCCTGGAGAAGATTATAAAGTTATTTGAGTTAAATTGGAGTTGAATCTGGTTTGATAAATCGATGTTACAAAGATTACAAAGACGGTTTCTCCGTACCTTAGCTCTCCACATGAGCCACAGCTTGAAGATGTCCACATGGCGTCCACACTGCAGCGCCTTGTCCCCAGTGTCGTAGGACAGGTCGTAGTGTTTGTCCTGCTGGAACAGGTAGCAGGCGTGCATCTGGTTGCAGCTCTGCATCAGACCCTGAAAAAAAACGGCCAGAGTGTGAATTATAACAGAAACAGAAAAAGAAACATATCATCAGAGTGTGTTTCAGTTTGGATGAGGCGTTACCTCCTCTCTGACCAGCAGGGCCGAACACTGCAGCGGGACGGACATCATCTTGTGCGGGTTCCATGTCACTGAGTTGGCTCTACGGTTCACAGAAATATGAACCGTAAATTTAAACACTTTTACGATTTGAAAGCTTTTACAGTGTTAAAAAAAATAAAGTCACTCACCTCTCTACTCCATCCAGCTTCCACCTGTGTCTCCTGGACATGAGCAGACTTCCTCCCCATGCGCCCTGACGGGACAGACGGATAAGGATGTTCATGAGACACTTTTTCGGTTCATATTGACCTTTTAGCATCAGGGAGTTACTGCAGATTTGTCAGCTGTATATCCTTCATGCGAAACTCCCATTCCAACACACCCTAAAGGTGCTCTACAGGACTGACGTCAGGTGAGGCCACCTGAGTCGAGTGAACTCACAATCCTGTTCAAACCCCAAGTTTAGGTTCATTTGAGCTTTGAGTTTGGAAAAGGCCATCAGAGGTTGAGACATGGATGGAAGCCATACTCAGGAAGTCTGTGGTGTTTAAACTGTGATAACACGATATTAAAGAGCCGTGAGCGAGTCGAGAAAATTGTTAGAGTTGATACGAGGCAGGATGGATCCTTGAATATTGTTCATGCTAAATTATAACCCTAACGAAGGACATGCGTGAGGCAAATGGTGGTCACACCAGATACTGCCTGGTTTTCTAATCCCCCCCCCCCCGGGCGCCCCCATTGCAGTAAAACTGCACCTTTCACAGTGTCCTTTTATTGTGGCCAGTCTAAGGCACACCTGTGCAATAATCATGCAGTCTCATCAGCATCTTGATACGCCACACCTGTGAAGTGGATGGATTATCTCAGCAAAGGAGAAATGTTCGCTTACACAGATTTAGACAAATTTATGAACAATATTTGAGAGAAAAATGTCTTTTGTGTACTTAGAAAAAGTCTTAGATCATGAAAAATGGGAGCAAAACCAAAAGTGTTGTGTTTAGATTAGATATTTACTTTAATTAGGAGTTAAGCTGGTGTAAATGATAAAGCTGCGAGTTGATTTAAGCCTGTAAAACTTTGATATCTCAGCCTCTGTTTCTTTTATTTTGTTTTATTTAACAATCCTTTACATCCATGAGTAACTGTTTTAACTTTACACTGGACTGTAACTTGTAAAACTTTGGGTTTTAAGTTTCTTTCATCTGTTTTTCACTTTAGAGATGCTTTCTTTTTCCACATTTAACCTTTTTGATGGTTTTCCTTTCATACCATTGTCATAAACTCTTTAATAATATGTCTCCTACTTTTTTCCAATCGGGACCTCAGAAGGTCACTCTTTCTTTGGGAACCACAGAAACACATTTTCCTACAAAAACAACAACAACTCCTCGTCAGAGACTGTTTTCTACAATCTCAGCCGGTTGAGGGATGATAGATAAGGCCATTTATGTCTCTTAATAGAGGTGTCCCCCTGTCAGGACTAAATCACCTTCATTAATAGATAGAGCTCCTTCAGTGAGAGGAGCCATGATGGCAAAGTCAGGGGAGGAGATGATTTACGGCCTCTGTTCCAGTTTTTCTAATCCCCAGTGTTAGATAGGAAATGGCTGGCTCCTATCTGGGTCAACCGCAAGCAGTTAGAGGCGAGACAGACATAATAGATTTGTCAAACTCAGCAGTGAGTTCTGTATTTCTCCACATCCTTTCCCTAAAATCCCTACAGTAGACGGATATCTTATATAACAGGTAATAACAGTGTCCTGAAGGAGGACACAGGGGTTGTTGATGCAGATTTTTGTCTTACTGAAGGTATTTCGTCTCACTTACATCCACATGGAACCAGACGTTGTACTTTTTGCAGATGTCGGAGATGGCGATGAGAGGGTCAAAGGCTCCGTACACGGTTGTTCCAGCGGTGGCGCTCACGAAGAAAGGGACGAAACCCTGCAGAGACAAGGAGACACAAAAACAGATATTTCAGTGTCAGCGCACTTCAAGATCCCCTCTCATCATCTCTGTGTTTACAGTCGACTGAGTGCAATAAAATCAGTCTGTCTGCAGAATTTATAGCCGTGTTATAAACCTCTATCTCTTTACCTTCTGTTTGGCCTCCTGTATTCTCCTCTCAAGGTCAGCCGGGATCATTTTACCGCTGCAGAGGAGGAAAAAAAACAAAACAGGCTTTTAGTTGCTTCTTTTTAGTTTTTTGTGAATTCATTAGTAATAGAGGGACTTTTCAGATCATTTAATATGCCAAAGAGCAAATGTATGGGTGGTAAAACACTCTATTACAAGCAAAACTCTGCTTTTGAAGGATTTCAAGCAAACAAGCTGATGTTCTGGACAAAAAAAAGGCCATTTGACTTATTTATGTTGATGAGCTGGGGCCACATTTAAGAGACATGCCTGAGAAATGACGTTGAGAAATACGAGTCATATTTACTGGTAATGTACTGATGTACTGTTTGAACAGCAGTATTGGCATATAATGATCCTGTTGATGCGTCATGCAACCATGTCAGTAGCTGATATTGATCTGTATCCTGTAGCAACCTATTTTATCTGTTTTTACTGGACAGGAAAAGTCCACTGCTGGACAAACTGAGTTATTTTTCAATATCAAACATGAAAGAAAATGAGTGAAATGTGTATATGTTTAACAGCTTCCATGAAAGATCAGGAAATCTTATAGCTCATTTGAAAATCAGACACAAAAAATGACAAAAGGAAATTTTAAAAACGATCTGCTTCAGACTTCGGTCAGATTTTTGCTGTTACTTGTGAAATACTGGGTGCCAAACTGTTGCTCGAATACTGACATTTTTAAGGGAGTTAAACTGAGAAGAAACATTCCTGTATCATGTTGGGGTGGTTATAAATCCAAAGATTTTAGGTGCAAGTTATAAAAGTTTGCTCTCCTGAATTTGTGCTTTGACATGATGACAGAATCTGAACCGAGCCCAAAGACTTGTGTGGTTCTCAGCGGGCTCTGCAGCTAAAAAGACGCTAACAGTGAGATCTCAACCATCCACACTCTTTCTGTAAATCAGTGGATTAACTTGTGAATGTACATTTTTACAATAGAACTCTCTGTTGGACTTGTCTGGAGCTTGAATGACTCCAGCAGGTCGAGCTTTAGTCGAATTTCTTATATGCTCCTCTCCTGCTGAGTTTCATCCATTTAATTATCGACTATTATGCCTCTGACTCACCATAAATGTCTGGTGTGTGGTGTATTTTTTAGATAAAGACCTATAAAGGAGGGGTTAAGAAAACTATGAATTTTAAGAATAAGAAGTTTTGTTGAGGAGTTTGAAAAAGAGACGGATAAGTCTACAGTAAAATGTCAATAAAAAGGAAAAATAGTTTCACTTAAATGAGAAAAATAAAGATAGAACTATTGAATAAGAGACCAGACCAAGAGTAAATCCATTTTCCATCATTAGAAAACTTACACAGCTTGATATTTTACCTTAAAGTAGCTAAAATAAAAGGTTTTCAACTTTACCTTTCATCAGCTTTAATGCAGATCACACTCTCTGTCCCGATGCCGAGGGCTGCTGCGCCTTTCTTGATTGAGAAATGGCTCTAAACGAAAGAAAATAATAAAGAGAGGTTGATTTTTAACTATTTGCATATAAGTAACAAAAAACAGAAGCAGAAAACCAAAAATAAAATCTTACATGAGGCCAAAACGGACAAGTTTGTGTGATTTTGTGACTTTTTTCGCTCGCAGCATCTTTCAAATGTCCTTTAAAGATGAAGGAGCTGACCTATTATGTGTCAGACACAGCAGTCACCTCAAGTCCTCCTGCGTCTGACACTCATAATGTCAGCGTTATATCAGCACTGCTGGTGTGAAAGTGACACACAGTGGCTGTAAAAACACACATCAAACACTGCTGCTGCTGCTGCTAATGTGCAGATATGTGGAGTTACTCCAGAGCTGGAGGGGAAGGTCTTTGACATTTATTTCAGAAAAATGTGATTCAAGCTTGTTATTTCAGACACATATTAGGGTTGTAAAGGAAATATGAAATCATAAATGCGCACATGTTCGGATGTGAAGGCCGCCAGTCTGGGGACAGATGACATTCCTTTCTCCTTCACTTCAGGGAACATCTTGAAGCGAGCCAGCAGCATGGCGTACATGTTGGAAATAGCACCACCTGGAGGACAGACAGGGCTCAGTGATTTACAGCGTCATTCCACACGTCTCAGTCTGAACCGGCAGCTCTCATGGGAATGCTGCAGTGACACAAACACAGCTCCAAAAATGTCTGAGCATGTTTAGAATAATCAAACACACAGCAGAAATAATGAGCTTTTGTTTACAATCTTTCGAGAGACATCACAGCATCCCAAAAATTTATAGCTCGCTTCTACAGCGTCAGAGCCAATCAGAGTCTTTGTCACTGAATCCTCCTGTGATTGCTCCTCATCATGTGTCAAACAGAAGTGCAGAGGAGAAATTAAAGAGTGGAGGGGAGGTGTGGCGGGGGATTTAGTTAGAAAAGAAATGATTTTATGCTAATTGGCTGTGAATAGAGTTCCATTTATATCATCAAAATGCAAATTGACACATTACAAAACACATACATGGAGGCTGTTCCATTTTCACAGAAACAGAGGGGTGGTGGGCGGTGGCATCGCCCTCACATACCAGGAGAGAAAATGCCGTCTCCTCGCCCGTCCGCCCAGCCAATGATCTCCCTCATCTTCTTCAGAGTGACGTATTCCAGCAGCACAAAGACAGGTGCTACCTCATAGGTGAACCTGTGTTACACAAAGTAAGTCACATGGGGCCGGTTACACAAAATGGGCTGTGACTCATCAATTAAAAAAACAGCTAGAAAACGCACATTTTTTGGTTGTTTGAGGACGTGGTTTGTGTTGGAAATGATCATTTTAGAAGAGGTTCATAAAACACAAAAGAGGTCAAACTATAAGTGTGATAAATGAGAGATTTTTAAGGATTTATATTCTTTCATACAGCTACAAATCACAAATAAAATTACTCTCTCTGTGCAATAAAAGTTTACCATTTTTAAACTATTTTTGCCACATTAAAAATTGTATTTCCACTGTTCGGCTCCTGTTGTTTTTCCACAATAATGCAGAGTGTAGTAGCAGCTGTAATTTTCATAACACCAGTGTCAACATCAGGCATATTTTGCAGCTCAGTCGCCGGAGCCAAAAAACGCTGAGTTTATCACCCAAAAACACACTCACACACTCTCGCCAAAATTAGCTTCAGATTAGGCTGAATTTAATTTCAGAGCTAATTTTCTCCCCTTGAAGCCCCATGGGGATGGGAGGTGAGGGGGAGGGATAAAAGGCAGAGGTGGGAGGGGTGCAGAGGGGCGGGGAGGTAAGGGGGGTCTGCCTTTCATTTCACCCTTTTCATTTGGCATGATTGAGTGAAAAAAAGCCGCTATCAGCGGCGGCAGACGCAGAGCAGAGAGCACACAGACGGACCCGGAAATGGAATTCATTGTTATTATCATTATCAGCATTTAACATCATGATGAAGCACGGGGCCACATACTTACATGTTGGTGTTGGCGGTGGATGTTAGCCAATCGGCTGCCAGTCCGACCATGTCTAATCCTGTGGAGAGCTGATTGAAGTACCTGGGGTGGGCTGATGAAAAGGAGCAGAGGGAAGCGGTGTGAGATGGCTGCAATTTAAACATTTTATCTGGCAGCGTCAGGCAGGAAAATTGAATTATTTTTTTTGAAAGTGTTTATGCTGAGTTTGTGCAAAAAGGGCAAAGAAGCTTTCATCGTCCGAGCACTTTAATTGCAGGTTAAAAATCACACTGCAGTGATGTCCTAAAGCATTTGAGGAATAGTGAAAGCATGTGTAAAATATGAGGTTTCAAGAGCATTTAAACACTAAAATTAATTTTCCATTTTTCTAAACAAAGCAAATGACATAATTACAGCAGGAGCTTTTTCGAAATGACTTAACACAAGAAAGGCCCTAAAGAAGTGTATTAAAGCTAAAAAGGTCAGACTTTCCTTGACATTGTGTGTAAGCATTTTGCAGTTTACACCCAAATTTGTCAGGTATAAAAAAATACGGATAAACATTCTACAAAACAAAATAATGTAAGCAGGTAAGTATAAATAATGATTCATTTATTTAGAAATGCTCATCCTTTAAGTGGTGATAATAAGTAGACTTAAAAACATACAAATAATAAGGCAAATGCTTTTAACAGATATAAAATAAAATAATAAAGATAGTCTACAAACACTGCTCATTAATAAACACTTGTTTTTTTTTCTAATGGCTGCTTACAACAACCAAGTAATGTCATAATCCTTCACTGTGTGTCTGTAAAATAAAGGGTTAAAGTGAATATTCACATACAGATCTATAAAAGTATGTCTATATTTGTTTTTCTGAGGTAGTGATATATCTGTCAAGTGCTGTTTATGTGAGTCAGGGGGAGAATAATAGAGCTGGCCTATGAAGCCTGCTGGTTATTAGCCTATTATCTGCTACTTGGTGAACCAGATTTACTGCGTCACTGCGTTTATCGGTCTGCTGGGTACAAGGAGGGAAAAGAGGACAACTTCCAGGAGGAATCTGAACAATACATATCGTGTATTTGTCGATTTATTATCTAAAAATACACATTTTTATGTATTATTTTTCCTCTCTGTCGTGTTTTATCCTGTTTTAACGTGTCGTTGTTCGAAATTTCGAGAGTATCATTTTACGTAAATATCAACCTATCACGTCCCCCTACTTTGATTTGAAAAATAACGGTTGTCGTTGACGTTAGTTGTAGTGCTAGTTTTAGTGGAAAAATACAACTTCCACTCGATTAGCCTCACTTAAAGCCTTATTTTTCCTTCTAGATGATTCCTAGCATTCTTTATTCGTTTTTTGTGTAAAATGTTGATAATTACTGTGTCATTTTGATGTATTCAACACGACAAAAGACAACAGGCCAGCGCCAAGGCCTTACAGATTCAATCTTTACATGTGGAAATTTTTACTTTAACCGTAAATGTTAAAACCTGATTCAAAAATCTAGAATTAAACGCCTAACATGAGTCTACATTGACTCCTTAGCCTCACCTGTTTTAATGGCGTATTTCAGCGTCGCGCGACAACTGATCAAGATATCATCGAGGGTGGCGGGCTCGTGCTGCAGCTCCCAGTTGTTGAGCTGGAGCAGCTCGTTCGGGTAATGGAAATCAATCACTTTCGTTTTCCGGTCGAAAGACTCCACTATGTAGGCGAGTAAAATATCCACAACTTCCTGCAGGAAGGTCATCGTTTTGGCGTCGCCGTCCATGGCGGGTAACAGGTCTAAAAGAAAAGAAAAAATATGAGTTTAATTACGTAAAAGGAGACATTTTTTTTTTTACCTGGGAGCTGTAAGGTGTACTACCGTGAAGGGTGGGATGCCATCATGCAACAGTGTCATTTACAAGCGTTTTTCCCCTCAAAAATACAGAAATTAAAAAACAATTTACGGCCTATAAAGACATATTTTAAAAGCTTTTATTCAGAGCTTTTCCTCTCAGTGAAAAAAAGGAAAAATCTCCAAATGATTCAATCTTTTACATCCACAAACCTGAGGTTTTTCTGAAGGTGACCTCAACAGAAACAGCTTCAAAAATGCCTCACAAAACCCAGCAAAGATTTCAGACCATAAGAAGACATTAAGAAGAGTTTATTTGGGATTATCTTCGACTATTTGTTTATAGTTTATTTTCTCAAAGCGTGTCGTGTATTTTAAGAATAAAAATTAATCGCTTTTGGTTATTTAAAAAGGCATGAGGAGCCAAATGCACAAAGTTTTCATTCATTTTGTGTTGTTAAAATGTTTTAATGTAAAATAAAAAGCCAATTTGTGACCCACTTGGATACATAAGGATTGCACAGTGTCTAAAATGTCTATTTTTTCTAGTGTGCTTTTGTACCTGTTGAATAGAGATCAGAGAAGCCCACAGCAGCTTTGGTGCAGTTGCAGGATTTGTTGCAGCCGCAGGTTCCGCCTGTTTCTGTCTCAGGCGGCTGCTTGGCGGCAGGCTCGGCAGGTTTCTCCACCTCTCCGACATTGAGCAGCGCTTTGGAAACCACAAAACACCACAGGGCGTATTTTTTACCACCCAGCTGACACCAAAGACAGCAAATAGTGTCACCTACACCTCCCCGAAAACCCTCTCATCTCCCCTCTCCAGACATACCACATAATTTCGATCCAATTCCTCCGGAAAATTTCTGGGCCGCCGCCTGGCACCAAGCCCTGGCTGCAAGAGAGGGGACATAAATCAAACAAGCGTGAGGAATTCAGGCCCAGTTGTCCAACTTTTGTGTTACAGTTGAGACAAATCGACCAATTCGGTTAAATTCTTGCAGGTGAGTCGAGTGTAAATACAGCAGGCCTTTTTGCAGCGCACTGGTTTGAGACAATGCGCTGCACTGGGATTACTGGTGTCCACCAATGGTAGAGGGAAAAAAAGCCACTCACGCGTACTGGGGCTTTGACTGCCGGTGTTGGCCCCCGCATTATCTCCGCCAAGAGACCAGAAACCTTGTGATGCCATCGTTACCGGTAGTTAGAAGCTGCACGAGATGACAGAGCCCATCCACGGCACGCGACGAGCCGGAGCTGTATGAAAGCTGATGTGATGCTGAAGCTGGAGCTGGAGCTGAGCGGACCTCTGGAAACCCAGTCGTGCATCCGACACGCAGCGAGAACGATGCCTCCAAAAATGAAATGTATGAGAGGAGAAAACGAGGAAAAAACGCGTCCAAGGTGCTCCGTCTGCAGGTGTCCACGGGCGCACGAGACATAAAGCGGCGTCTTTCAGTGGGGGGGAAAAAAAATCCGCAAATTCTTGACTTCACAGGCGCTCACTCACTCACACACACACGCAAAGCCACGCTCCTCACTCCATCGAGAAATGTAGTGCAAGTTCATGCGCAAAAATGTCTACATTTACAATTAATGGTTCAAAGAAAAGCGAAAAAAATGAGCAGCAATTAAAAGGAAAGGTGATTTCAATGAGTGGATAGACACCACAGCTGCGGGTAAATATGCAGCACGCGTGCCATGCCTAATTGCATCTAACCTAAATTTCACGTCACCACAGAAATCCCATCGTGATTCACTTCAAGTCATGACGAACCGCGCTGCGTCGTGCGTCGTGACTCCTCCATACATCTCCAATATTTCCCGTGGCCCCTGCGTGCTCAGCTTACCCTCCATGCAGACACTGAATGCCAACTAATTCATCCGCCCGCCGATCGCAGAGCTTTTTTCTCGGGGACCGGAGGCGGCGGAGGACTCTTAATTGCGCGCCTCCGGTGGAGGAGTGCAGCGGGGAGGCGAGGAGGCAGAGTGCGCATGGGTCCCCTCCTCTCTCCTTCAGGGCTGGGGCGCGTTACTCCAAAAATATCGAATACTCGTTACATGATTTCTTCTTTAAGTTTACCTGTTTTATGGAAGAAATTCTCATTACTTCTTTTTTTACAGCTGAATCTTTTATTTTGGGTTTTTTTTACGCATAAATATAAAGAAATGTATCACCTTATATGGTCAAGTTTCAATGGCTATGATATGAGAATTAAACTTGGAGTGGGAAAACAGAAATTGTCACGCTCAAACTGTCTTTTGTGAATTACTGCTAAATGTCCATGTTTTTATTGTTTGGAAGTGAGTGAAAAGCAAGCACAGCCTGCAGGGATCTGCAAAATCTACATCTGTTATGATTAATGACAGCAATCAGCAGCAACAATTCAACGCCAAAAAGAGATAGATTTGACTAAACTGAAGCCTTCAGCAAAGCCATAATAAAACAGTGATGTTTGTGAGTGGAATTACACTCAGTCTGCTTCTTAAAAAGGCCTTTCTAGTCATTGTTGATAATTTTTTGAAACACTTAAAAGATCCAGCAGATATTTTCAGCCTTTTTATTTGCAAAATTTTCCACCCCCTTGTCCTGAGTCTTTCCCACAAGTCCCAGTGTGTGTGTGGGTGTGTGCAGCCAGAATGTCACCAGGGAGTCACTTACACTCCCCGTGGGGCCTTTTCCCCTCAAAATGTCACATAAAGGTTGAGAGGTTGAATCTCTAAGAAGTAGATATGAAATAGACGACTTTCACACACACAGGGGAGTTTAAACTGGCTGGTTTGATATCAAAATGACACAGCTGCTACTGATACATGCAACATTTTTTTTGACTGGAATTGATCTGAATTTGGTTTTTAATCGTTTCAAAAAGACTGTCAGATAAAAAAAAAAAAAGGAAAAAGAAGTAAAATGTTTTATATTAAAATGAAAAAGTTTTGATGCACATTTTTTTTTCACATTCATTTTTGCATACTCAGTTTTGTGAATATATAATCCGAGGTTTAAAGGCTTCTATTCGTAATTTGCAAGCTGCCTTATCATATTTGGTCTTAGCCATAGACTGTATATACTAGGCTGTATCAGGTGTCTGTAATAGAAAACATGAACCCCCTAATAACTTTTAAATACAGAGCTGTACAGAAAAAAGAGGACTTGAGCACAAACCAGTCTTAATTATATTCTGTGTAATAAATTTCTAAAGTTTGTCCACAGCTCCTTAAGCTTTGCTGGCGGAGGTGGGATTTATAACCTATACTGCAGCCTGTCAACAGAGGGTGCTGTTCTCAGAGTGGCTTCACCCAACGAGGAGGCAGACGCTGCCCATTCGATATACAGTGTATTGTCTTAGCCAGTGCAATAGTGCCACAAACTGCAGTTCATTCAGTGTCCACTAGAGGCTAGCTCCAGCAGCTTTCGAAGCCACATACACACCCATATTAAGTTCAAAGCAGACGAGATTGACAGACCAGCAAATTGTTGCTGTTAGCAAGGAGGCTAAAGGCCCACCTCAACTCCATTCTTCACCTTTTTCTGAGTTGACCAACGTTAGGTCAAAGCAGCATTTCCAATATGTTCATAGGCTTTGAACAGGTGATAGTTTCTCAACACCATATGACCTGGGGTCTGTTTATGAAAAAACAAAACAAGTTATTCAGGTGTAAGAGCGAAGTATTTTTATTTACATGATCTAAATATGTTTTATACACGTCTAATGAATGTATGAATGCAAAGTGAAAGCTTTAAACACAGCCTGAAAATGAACGTCTACTTTACAGCTAACATAACAAACCCTTCGTTTACTTCCAGATTCAAAGGTGTAGCAGTTTATTTACACGTACTCTCTTTGCGTTATGCTGTGTTTAGATTAATCAGACTCGTTGGGACTTCTCATCGATGCATTTAAGCGTCAAATCTTAAACAGCTTTATCGTCTTTGAAGAAACTGTGACAAACTCAACAGTTGTAAATTTACAGATCTGGAGGGAGAGAGTTCAGCGGTGTGTTCAGTACTGTTTGATGAGCCTTCGTCTTTGGGAGGTCTTCCTCAGTAGATGTCTGAAGTCATATGGATTCTCCTCAGTCTGACTCTCAGTGGAGGGCAGTCTGGGAACAGAGCGCCTGTCAAAACAACAAATCAGAAAACAGAGAAATTTAACACAAAGCCAAAGAAAAGAAGCGGAGAGCGGGGAGATGAAAAGATTTCATATTGTTTATCATCTTCAGAAATCGTTTATCATGTGAGCGTGTGTGGGTGCTGTCTGAAACAACAACACGGCGAGAAAACAGATGAGATCTGTACGTGTATTTGTCACCATCTGTCCTTTGACCAGCCCGGATACAAAATGCAAGTGTGGCTGTTTTTGCAGAGAGAAAGCTAGTATTAAATATAGTATTAGATAAGTATTTTAATTGTACTTTTAAGATGTCTAAAGGCAGAAAAAAATCCAAAATCTCAAACCTTTTTTTTTCATGAAAATTGGCTAAAAATGGTACCGTAATCGTTGACATCCGTTAACATGAGGGAAGTGGAGTTTATGACCAATATTACAGTCAGCCAGTAGGGGGAGCTCTCAACGTTTTGGCTTCACAGTCATAAACTGAACATAACAGCTAAAAATGGTCATTTCCTGAACTTTCCAGGCCTTATCAAACTGAAAAACCACATCCACATTAAACAGGGTCCTTACCTAACAACTGACACAGCAGGGCGGATAATCCATCTGCTGTCTTTCCATTTGCAGCCTCCTTAGAAATCTTGTATTCACACTCTAAAATTAAAACACAATTTTCTCTCTGGGGCCAAGTGTTCTCTAATCTTATGTAATGTTAACTGGATTATTATGGGGATTAATCTCTGTTTATGCTGACATCCAAATGCTCTGAAATGCTTGTTTTTAACAGAATGCGCAGTTGTGGCATTAATCTGTGCTTGTAAACACGCAGATATGTGTCTTAGTGATATTATTTATGTCTACTAAATGTAGATTACGGCATCGTACTGTTTGCTGAATTTCTTTTGGATACATGATAAAATAATATATGATATAGTACACAGATGTCAAAGTTGAGGGTGTTTCTTTCAGCTGTAAATCCTGAATCATGTCCTGAACGCAGACAGGAACGAACCTGTTGTCATTTCCTCGTTTTGGGGGTCCCGGCTCAGTCACAGCCCTCTCTCTGGTCTGTCTGCCACCCACAGTCGTCTGCCTCCTCTCTGTAGACCTTCTCCTGTCAATGGACCGTCTTCTCTCCGTGGACATCCGTCTCTCCGGTGTGGCGCGAGTGGACAGGTTCCCCGTGTGGAGGGTGGGTTCAGACCTGCTGGTGGACAGTCCCTGGTAGTAGTGGTCGTCCACATCCAGCAGCTTTCCTTGACTGGAGGAGGAACAAGACGGAGAGAATCGATATTGAGAGGATTGGACATAGATAAGATGTTTAATATCAGCGATAAAGCAAAAGTTTCCAACCAAAGGAAGGAGTCACGAAGCATGATTCAGAGCAGACCCTCCAGAAACGACTTAATTAACAACCGTCTTAACATAAATCAAATTAAAAAACACAAAAGGAAAATACTTCTGCAGGTAAAAGAGACATTTAAAAAACTCACTCATGCATTCAATCTTTGTTTAGTTTTTACAGAGAAGGAAACAAAGAGGCTTTACATCGACTCCTCTCCTCCTACACACCATTTCTGTTTCTCCAATATGAGATTAGTCTTCTTTACAGAAACATCTTCTGAGCTGGAGAGTAAAAATTGTAGGTACCTGGTAAGACAGGTATGAAAAAGTGTAGTGTAAAAACTAATTAAAACTGTCAGGCAGATGTTGTAGAGTAAAAAGAACATTAATATGTGGAGGACACCAAGTTTATAGTAATGACTCTTCACAAAAGCACTGAAACTTTTAATTATGTATAAATCAGGAACATTAATTAAACATGACAAGGGCTGGGCTTTGTCTGAATTGATCAAAGCGGGACCCAGAGTCACAACGACCATCAAAGCAGCGGCTATTTATCTTTTTTCAGTAGATGCATGGAAAATAGAAAAACACAGGTAAGCGTGAACACAAAGAAAAAGTTTGCTGCTTGATAACAGTCCCGACTAAGCCATACTGAGTCAAATTTTACAGATTATTTTAATGTTCTGAAAGTAGAGTTGTTTATATAAAGTTGTTTATACTGCAAATCAGGCATGAGAAGAATTGATTTCAGCGGTTCGGATTCTACTTAAAGCTCCTGTGAGAAGTTTTCTGGCCTCAATAGCTGCGTTTACATGGGCACATATAATCGGAATAAAGGCCCGATCGGAATAAAAAGCATCATGTAAATATTCCGATCGAGTGGGGTGGTTTATGCCGATCGTTATTCCGAAACGCGTCCATGTTAACACTTATTCCAATCGTGACTCTCTTACCTGACTTGGTCTCGACTCTTTCATTAGGTTTCATTATTAACACTCTGGTGTAAAACACGATCGTAGGTGCCGTATCTGCTCCTCCGATAACATAATGAGGCGTACATACAGCGTAATGATGTCACATCTGCACGCACAGAGCAACTTTTGACAGAACAGTAAAATAAGTACGCAAGGGCGCCATCTAGTGACAACATCAAACAAGGGGGAAAATCCTGAATTGGATGAAGAGAGCCGCTACCCCATTTGTTGGTTTGATACAGCACAGGCATCAATACAACTCTTCTTCTGTGGTTGTTTTAGTGAAATTAGACAACTCTGCGAATGTCCAAATGCTTCTAATCGGAATAAAACTTGTCAACTCGTCATGATCGGATCGTTAGATTTTGCACCCATATAAACAGTGGATTCAGATTTTCAAATCCCTCAAATTTTTAATCGGATCAAGAAATTCTGCTCATTTAAACATGGTTATTAAAAACGACTTAAATTCATATTTTTATATTCCATCAAAATATCTCGAATAGCAACTTTAGCACTTGGTTTTATTTTCCTTTCATAGCTTAGAAAGGTGCTGCAAGGAGAGTAATAATCCAGCTCTCAGTCTGCCCAACAGACTGTAGACTGACCATCATCTCTGCAGTGAAGCTGAACCTTCCCTGACCTCCACCGCAAATAGTGTCAAAAAGAGACTTTCCATGTGGAGATCGATAAGTTTCACACATTATTAGTATATGTTATTGGAAATCAGTGTCTGTCTGTGTGGCTGCAGAATCGCGGGAGAGTCGACAGTTTCCTTCCTAACTCTCTGATGAGTTTGAGGCCTGACCTGACCTCGTAACCGCAGACACACAATCATCCAGCTGATGAGTCCTGATGAATGTGTTGTTCTCGGGGTCTGAAGTGAAAATTTACCCTTGATTGTAATTATCTGCCTGTTCTCTGGGCCGCTGGCTGAATTATGTGAAACAATTGTGTAAGAGGAAGAAGAAATCTCGCTGACATTGAGCTTTTTAATCACAGATCTGGATTAACGATGGGAGACATTTGTTAAATAGAAGCTCGGAGCTGAAGTCGTATAACATCAGCCTATCAACTAAAACTCAAACAAAACTGTTGGAAACGCTGACAGAGTCTCTACTTTTAGGACTATTTCTGCACTCGAACTGAAAACCAGGCTACACAGCAGAGGTGTGATCGATTGGTGCTTTAATATTGGTAATCAAACTCTAATATTTCTTCTTTACTCTGCCCCTCTATCCCTCACACCCATTTTCAACCATCACCTTCGTCTTCTCCTCAGGTTCCACTCGTCTTACCACCCACGCTCCCTCGTCTCCCGTCCTCCTCGGCTGTCAACTTCAGCCCGAGATGCCATCTTTCCTGCTGACCTTCTCATCCTTAATGATGCATGTAAACTGCTCCTGTCCATCGCCGGCTTTATTTATCTGCTAACAAATTATTACCCTTGATGCTTAGCGCGTCGTGTGTGTGTGTCTCTTCAGACTGCTGTGATGAAGCACCGTGCTCCCGTCTTGTTCAGCCAGCCTCTATCAGTCTATCTTCACCCCCTTCACCTCACTCACGGCCTATCCCGCACATAAACAAGCATGAATACGCACATTCACACGCTCTTTTTAAAGAAAGATCTACCCGGCAGCACTAAAATAACCCTAAAGACCAAATATTTCTGATCCCTGACATTAAATTTCACTGAGTACATTGAGCGAGCGTCACCATAGTGAAAGATAAGGCTAATTAATTTCCCTGAGGATGTGTGTAATCCTGCAGATCATTAAGTTTGGACCCAGACACTGTCCTTATGTTGGTGCTGAGCTACAGTCATTACTCAGGACCAGGTGTGCCGAGCCAGCGGGCAGCAGGCCAGCCTCTTAAAACAGCAGTGATAGGTTGTTAAAGTTACTTTGAAATAAGAAACCGGACACTTACTCTTCTTTCCTGGGCTTTCGTTTATCGTCCTGGACAGACCTCTGCGTGGAGAGAGACAGAACACAGATTACTTCATGTCAGTGAAAAACTCTTAATCTCTGAGTTCAGCTAAAGCAAAAAGAAAGAGTTTCAGAGCAGGAGTCCTCAACTTTGAGTTTTAACAGAGCGAAAGGATGTTTGTACATCAGAGATAGCAGAAGTTTTGATTAGCTACCGGGTGATAAAAGACGAGTTTGAGCTGAGATATTATTTCCACAAGTTTGATATTCAAACAACTATTTGATTGGCTTTAGATTTTGCATCACAACCCCAACTGAGCTCAAACAGGACAATAAAAACAGATGGTAGGAGAGAGAGCTTCACAGGCGCACAAGAACTGCACATTGTGGACTCGTTAGGCTCTTTTTCCCTCTGCGACAGAAAACAGACAGCGTCATAAATACTAGACTTATAAACTTATACACCAAGTCAATCAAAAATAAGATGTAAGGTAAAAGTCACTAAATTACAGAGTCACTCAAATGGGTGTGCAGTATTGACAAAATTGTGTATTGTGTGTGTATAATGTATTGTTTCTATGTTTTTAAACATCTGCCTTAGGACAACGGATTAAAATGTGCATTTATGCTTTCACTGACATGTCAATTATCATGCATTGCCCTAATCAATAAAATAAAATAAAAATAAATTCAATTGCAATATTTTGGGGCATTTGTGGATGAGAGTTGACAATATTTTACTTCCCTTAAAAAAAAACAAAAAAAAACAACAACAACAAAAATAAACGTAAAAGTCTTACACTGCGCTAGATCCATCTTTTTAACAATATATTGGATGTTATTGATATATAAAAAATTAAGACTTTGAGATTTAAGACGTTAACTTACAAGAGTAATTACATACAAGAACAAAGTCATAATAAAATCATTACTTACGCAATTAAAGTCAGAATAAAGTCCTTATATTGTAACCTGTTGTTTAAGATGACAGTTGTTGAAATTAGAGCCATGAAGCATTTCGTGAAAATGTAATTCAATATTTGTTTCTCAAACAAGGACATACTAAATCTTTTGGCACATCAGCACCACATTATCATCAGTATCATAATGATTTTATTACGACTTTATTCTCATAAGTAATTACTATTTTATGACTCTATTCTCGTTAGTAATGACTTCATTCTTGTAAATTAACAACTTTATTCCTGAAGATATTTGTTTTTTTTTTATGTGGCCCTAATACTACATCATAGTGTTAAAATAGATTCTCAAGGTGATTTTTGATAGACTTTTGCAATATCAGAGACACACTCACATCCTTTAAACAAATACTCAGTACATCGTGAACTCCTTGTGTATTTTTTTGTCATTTTGGGAAACACCATGTCTTGTAAGGAGGAAGAGTTTTGGTTTAACTATTAATAAAGAAATTCAGTATTTTTAAAAATATACGTAAGTGCTGCTGATTTCTAAGTGTCCTCAGTTTCTCACTGTTAATCATTAATAATAATTCAGTGGCGCATTAAACAGCAATGGCTCAAAATAAGGAGCTTTTCAGAGGCTTTTGTTCACAGAAATAATCACACATTACATCCAGAGTACACTCGACAATAAATCAGGAACTGCCTTTATCACAAAAACAAACTTGTCAAGAAAATGACTATTTGTCAAAAGTGCTAAAATAAACTCTGGGACACATATTTCCAGACAGCTCATTACGTTCTGATTTTTCTTGCCTCGGGAACATTTGTAGTTTAAAGAGAACAACAGAAGGAGAAAAATTGCCAATCAATGCAGCATTGTGAAAGTCGGTATCTGGGGAGGTACAAACAGTGTCCCATGGCAGCTGAGAGCGAGGCTTTGTTGGAGTAAACATCTGAGATTGTTCTCCGTCTTTTCTATGACTCACGTGGATTAAGGTGTAATAGGTGGAGTCCTCCGGTGTGTTGAGGGTCTTTGGCTGCTGGGTCCTGCGGGGGGTTCGCGACAGTCTCTTTTCAGCTAAAAAGCAACAAAAGGCAGGAGAGAAGTGTTTATGAACTTTCTGTTCACCACTTTTCTTAAAGGGATATTACGGCGTAAATTTGAGTTATGGTCACAGAGTTAGACGCCCCCTTCAGAGATGAATGTTGCTGCTTGCTTCTCTAGTTATACCAACCTTAGTAACGGCCGCACGATAGCAATACATGGCGGTCTACGTCTCCACACGCAAACCTCAACCAAAACGCCACTCTAGCCACCAAACATCTTACTAGCTCTGCCTGGTTTCTTTAGCAAAGAGACCAAACACAACTCACCCACTCCCCTCCGGCAGCCACTTGTTTGTGGGGGAGCCCTGATGAGTCGATCACCGAGTGTAGCAGATCATTTCCTTGAAGTAATAATCATCATATTAATAATTTTGCACTGCAGACATGGTAGTTTTTCTGCCATACCGCCTCAGTCTGATTACATTTTCATGAAGTAATGATCATAAATGTTCTTCCTTGAGCTGCGAAACTCCGCTTCACTCTGTGATTGACCGTGTTTAGTCTCTTTGCTGAAGAAATCAGGCAAAGTTAAAAAGATGTTTGGTGGCTAGTGCTATGACCCTATTTGTACTGTTGATGAAGTTAGGTGATCTGAGCATTATTTGTGGCTATTGAGTGGCGTTTTGGTTGAGGTCTGCGCATGGAGACGTAGACCGCTGTGTATCGCTATGGTGCGGTCGTTACTAAAGTTGGTATAACAAGAGAAACAAGCGGTCGGCAACAGTAATCTCTTGAGGGGGTGTCTAACTCAGAGTTCCAGTGTGTTTGACCCTAACTTATATTTACGCTGGAATATCCCTTTAATACTCAACATCAAACTTCATATATAAGGACTTTTTTTTAAATAAGACTCCTGTAATTTAGAAGGATTATGTTTTATTTAAGGGCTCTCCCCGACCGTCACACTTCTACAGCTAAAGAAGTGTTATGCATGGTTAGTTGGACCTCAATAGAGACTGCTGGGCTTTATCTGACTCCACGCTGACCTTCTGCCTTTGTTGTACTTATTGAGCTGCTCTCTATACATACAGCAGTTTAACCCTCGGGCCTTTGGGCAGAGAGAATTTTCCAACTGAGATTATGTGAAACAACCTTTGACACATGCAAAGTGACCTGTAACTCCGCTCTGATCCATGTTTGATTCCCTGCTCTGTATTGAATATAGAGAGGCTGTCTGCATGCATAACACCCTCCATGTTGTTGTAGAGCATGTGTTGTAATCTTATATATCTGTCAAGCCTGATATACTCTGCACAATGATCCTATTTGGGCATGTGATGCGGCAATTATGAGCATTACATATACATATTACAATGACCTTTGCTTGTTACTTATTATTAATCACTGCTCATGCGAGGGGGAAAACACACAGGGGTAAAAACAATCAATCACGCGCAGAAGCTTTCAGGTGACGGAGGTGAAAAGTTTGTAATATTATTGAACAACTCCATCTAAAGGTCATTGTGTATTGCTCAAACAAGCAAAGCCAATTTCACACAGCGTCTGATTAATTCCTGCCATAATTGTTGGAATCACTCGCTCACAAAACGTGATTAACATTCGATGACCTTTCCCATGAAGAGCAGAGTGACTGCTGCTTTCATTGTGATTTAAAAACGATTCTGACGGAGTTTATTGTGTCGCTGAAATGTACGAGGACAGCTTAGCTCTGTTAGAAACGTCCTAGTGAGGCTGGGAAAAATATCAGAGTTTCATAAGGAGTTGAGGTAGCTGCTGGAAATAACACAGATAATTCATTCTGCTTCACCTCAGGGGACATGCCGCGCTAAAGAAAAGCCAGTAAAGGGCAAACATGCCTGCATTATGGGAACACTGTACTGGGCTGTACACATGAGGAGTAATGGATGGATAAAATGTCAGTGTTAGATGTTTTTTTTTTTTACCATAACAACAACAAAAAATAGACAGAAACAGATTCAAAAAGACCAAACTTCTGTGTGGGTAATCACTGATCCTGTGTCTGTTTGGTAAATAAAAACTGTACCATTAGCTTAGCTTAAGGAAAAAGATTAAAGGAAGAAGCTACTACAGCTCTGACCTTTGCAAACAACATTACGAGAGCTGCCAACACAGCTGTCAAACAATGAATTTCTTAAACTACAATCAATTCCTGAAGCTAGATAGTTAATTGAGATTAAGCAGGTTGTTTTTGAAATGTGATTTTCTTGCATTTCAAACAGTTTTCAAGCTCTTTAACAATTCAAAGCAATTCTTATCGGTCTTGGTTTAGAAGTTAAATGAATGTAATGAAATGTACTCAGCGATCTTTATTTATATTTATGCTGCACTGCATCACTGACGTGGTCTGAAAGCATAATTTGGAGGCAGGACACAGCTTGAAAGCAGTTCTTATGAGAAACAGTGTTTGTTTGTTTGTTTAGAAAAATATGCAGAAGTACATGTACGAAAAATCGAATCAGTTTCAACATGGTGTGCAGAGAAAATAACCCGCTGATGTGCAGTGATTCCAGGTTAAAGAAACAGTCTTTGCACTTTCCAGGAGCTCCAGTTTGATTTCTTTATTTTTTAGTCTCATCGATTGTTTCCCTGTGATATCATTAGGGCTGTCAAAACTGCTCCAAAATGAGGTTTGAATACTCGTTCTGAAAATAACACATAGGTTTGAACATCTTTGAATATCTAGCTTACACGGCTTGTATTTCTTCCGTCTGTCTGCCAAAAATTAGAAGAATTTCCTTCTCTCCAAGTTTGTCTCTGAACATCCCACCATCTCTCTTTGCATGTGCCACAGATGGTTTTTGTCAAGTCTTCCTGCAGGTGCAGCTCCTGTAACCTGTCCCTGACCCGTCGTTATAGTGCGCGCACTCGCAAAACAGCCTCTAGTTTTTTTTTTTTTTTCGTTTTTTTTTCCCACTCAATTTATTTAATAATTGGATATTAATTCCCAAATTTGATTTTCATTTTTTAAAACTATTCGAATATACAGTCAAATTTAGAATATTCATTGACAGTCCCAGATTGCATATCACAACAAACCAACCTGTCTTTTAGATCCTAGCCACAGGTCAGTGATACTCACTCCAAAACAATACTCTGATGCACTTTAATGCTCAGCTGGTGGAGGGCTGCTTAAACTCAAAATACTCTGATGACAAAACATGCATAATACTTCGCTTTCAGTGGGGGGGTTACTCTCTACCACAGGGTGCAAAAAGCACACATAAACAAAATTAATTAATCTAATCATGATTAACACATTAATACTGACAGACTAAGTTATCAACGCCTAAACTTCTCAAACAGTGTGTCTACAGAACAGACATTTTGATATGCAACTTCAACATGTTTAAGGTCAAGTAAAGATCATGCACAAGATGAAAGCAATCACTCATGTTTGTTAAAGTGTAAGAAATTAAACTATTATTTATGTAATACACATTTAACATGACATGCGATTAACTTCAAATGTAATCTTTCAATTCTAGTCATATTAAAAAGTTAAAAATAAAAAAATTAAGGATCATACAGATGGAAATAAATACACTCACCACTTCTTAGATGTAACAGAGACACTAAAAAAGCCCAAATGTCCCAATAATCATGTTCCTGATCAATCAAAGGCCATCATTGCCTTTATTATTACTCCTTCATTATTACCTTCTTTCTCTCATAAGTTGTGACATTTTCGCTGTCAGCTCCGTTTTGCAAAGATGGTGAACTTTCAATTTCGCCGCCCCCGCCCCCTCCTCTCCACTCACCATCCTGAAAGCAATTACACCTATCACCTGTGCAAATCAAATTTTATTTTTGATGACATACTGGGAGGAGAAGCGCTTCCTGTTTTGGCACTTGACTTTCCCAGGTTTCCTGATCTAATCACGCCTCACGAGAGAAAAGGAGAAAGGCGCCCGTCGATAACATCGCTGTCTTCTGAGAGACGACGGTAATAAATTTTCTATATATTAAGAGAAAGGACAGCGTGGAAAAGGCTGACACAGGCCTGCACACCTCTATAATAATCCCGCTTCATATCCTGGATGTTAATAATCTCAGTTTAAACAGAATCTTTTTGTCTGTAACACATATTTATCGCCCTTTTTCGCAGTGGTCTTACTTGTTTGGTGATTCTGGGTAGCGTAGCCGTTGATCGCCCTCCCTCTCCCTAATGCGTCGTTCTTCTCCGGGTTTGATTGACGGTTCTGGATGATCTCGTTCAACTTCTGCTGCAGGGCCAGAAAGTCCTGAGAAGCCTTGGAGATCTGTTAGGAGATGCCGCAAAAACAACAAATGACAAAGAAAGTGTGACTGAACAATATGCTCGACTCAGTTTTCCAGGATATTTTGAGGGTTTGAGGGACCCACAGTAAAACAAAAGTTTGATTCAGTAAGACCCCCTGAAGAGGTAGAAGTGGTTAAGTCTTTGTAACATTCTTCTCTTCTGTTACCCGCTGAGTGTGCAAAGAATAGAGGAGGGATTATCCATTTATGTGTAAACATGAAACCCATCGTGCAAATCCTTCTCGGCTGGACCCCGAGGAAACAGTAGATGCATCTCCATAATCTTCATTTACCTGTCATCAATACGCTACCGTCGTAAGAGAAGTAATGATGTCCAAAAAGAGGAGTCGAAGGGAGACATCGCCCTCTGCGTTTTCAAAAAAGGGGAATCGAATTAATCCGAATCATCCCTTCAGTGAACTGATTTATAACTGAACATAGACTGTTAAAAGGAGCACCACAGGTATTCACTGACCATGAAGCCAAAAGATTTAGAGCTCCCTCTACTGGTCATAAACCCCACCTCCTTCATATTAACAAAGGTGTTGTTATGTCATTGTATTAGATTTAAACATACTGGTCCAAGTCCAAGAACTCATTTTTCTGAAAAGTTCAGATTTATAAGATTATCTATTTTAAAATGAGGGGGCGTGGCATCATGATTGACAGAGCAGAGGTCTATTCGTAATGTCTGCACCCATGGAAACGTTATTGATACTTGACACAGTCGGTGTTAGTGAGACATCTATGTTCCCATTTCTAGGTTGATTCAGGTCTTTACCTGTATGGAGAAGCTCTCCACGTCTGCAGCTTCTGTCTTTGCCGTCTGCTTGTTGGCCCTCAGGTTCTTCCTGTCCTTGTACCCTCTGAAGTTGCTCTGGATCCTCACCGCCGCCTGCTCTTCTTCTTGCCTTTCTCTCTCAGCGTCCGCGCTGTCTTTCCGCTCTATCACCACGTAAGAAACATCCAGGGCGTCCTCAATCGCCTCCTCTGCCATGTCGTAATCAACATACTCCTTCACTTTGTTTCTCGCTTCTCTCTCTGCTTTCATTTTTTTCCGTTCTCGGTGACCTCTGAAGTTACTCTGGAGGACAGTCGCGGCTTTTTCCTCCTCTACATCCGACTGTGGCGCAGGTTTCTCTGCCTCTTTCTTCCTCTTCTTCGGTATCTTTCCTTCCTCTTCCAGTCGTTTACGCTCCTTGTGGCCTCTGAAGTTGCTCTGGAGCACCACGGCTGCTTTAGCCTCCTCTCGGTCGTCTGACTTCACATCACTTGGGGACACGTCAGCTTCTTCTCCAGGACTTTTCGCTTTCTTCTTCTTCACCGGGATCTTGCCCTCTTCCTGCAGCCTCTTCCTCTCTTTGTGACCTCTGAAGTTACTCTGGAGAACCGTGGCAGCTTTGGTTTCATCTTCTGTGCTGACGTCTTCTTCTTCTTTTCCGTTCTGTAACTTGTTCCCATCCTGCTCTTTCTGCCAAACATCTGCCTCCACCGCGTCCTCCACCGGTGCTTCTTCATCCACGACCGGATGCTCTTCATCGTCTGGCACCTGTGTGTTATCGCTGTCAAAATCCTCCTCAGCTTCGTACGTGCTATCATCTTCATCGTTCTCTTCCTGTTTATCCTCCGTCTTCTCCTCCTCCTCCTCCTCATTATTGCTGGTTGGCTCTTTCTCAGCTTCTTTCTCCCCTTCTTCTTCGTTCTCTGGCGACTCTGTCTCCGTCTTTGCCTTCTTCCTCTCCTGAAACTTCTTCCTCTCTTTGTAGCCCCTGAAGTTGCTCTGGAGGACCACGGCAGCCTTCGTTTCCTCCTCTTCGTTGTTGGAGGAAGGGGACTTTCCTTCATTGAGGGTCTCTTCTGGTGCAGCCGTTTCTTTTAGCACCTTCTCTGATTTCTCTTTCTCTTTGGCTTCCCTACAAGAACATTAACATCTCAGCATAAAAACAAAACAAACATCCTTTAATTCCTTTAAATAATGAGTCATCTTCTCTTCTTTTATTTTTACCGTTTTCCTTTAAAGTTTTTCCTTTCTTTGTGCCCTCTGTAGCGCGCCTGAATCTTGGTGGCAGCTTTGTTCTTCTCATCCACCAGCTCCTTGTATTTCTTTTTTGCGAGATAGCCTCTGCAAACTGAAGCCGACACAAGGAAAAATCAATCGAGTAAATCAACACCCAAAATGAAGTGTAGTGTGCATCTGCCAGAATCTCTTACCGGCCTGAAACTGGACGATGAAGGCCTCCAACTTGACTTTGCCTTTGTCATCAGCAACCCTCTTTCGAGCTTTGTGTCCTCTGTAAGCTGGAGAAAGGAGAAGGCGAGAGTTGGCGCGATCACTTCAGCATCTTATGATGAAGATTTAAGTCGGGTGACCATAAAGAGGACACGACTATGCAGAGGCGGAATCACAGAGTCGCAAGTAGTAAATTTTGAGAGTTTTTCAGGTCGGGTCTAGTGTTTTTTACGCGCTTCAAATTCAGTAAGTCCGCGTGACACAAAATCAAAACTTTGATACAAAACTCTGGACATTTGAAGGATTTTATAAACTCCCCCGGACAAGGCAAGACAGCCCCAGAAAAAGAAGACATGTCCGGGTAAAAGAGGACATATGGTCACCCTAATTTAAGTGTTCAGTTTACAAACCTGACTGCAGCACCAGAGCGCTTTGTTCTCGCTCTTTCATTAAGCGTCGGTATCGCTTTGCTCCCAGCCATCCTCGGACGTAGGCCTGCAGCAGGACGATCCGCTGCGTGGCCTGCTGCACCATCAGGTTCAGATGTTCAACATGGTAGTACTTCAGGAACACCTGAGCGGGGAGAGAGCACAAAGACAGACATCTATTTACTTTTGCATATCACTAAAACACGGCAGGTCATCTCAGCTGAAACAAACTTGACAAAGGGCGACAATAAAAGTAGGTGCAGGACTGTTTGTTTGGGGCTGTTGCTACCCGATCCGGCTCCAGGACTAATGCTGAGCCATTCGCCAGAGCTCCTGCCCAGCGCGGTGAGACCTTTTGGGCCACAGAGAGCGCCACAACCTGGTCAAAATCATGGTTCTCTGACTTTTATAAGCCTTTTATAACGACAGAGGCAAACATTTAATTGTTTCATAAGAATATAATCCATCCAAAAACTCGTATGAAATGACTGAGATGATTATAAAACATGCCGGCAATGCAGGATAGTTGGTGCAATACTACACAGACTCAAACTAAAACCTTTATGGAAGAGACAAAAACAGAAAGCATCATGTTTCTCTTTCAGGTCAGGACAGGCAGCCTGAGTGCAAGTGCATCTTGTTTTGCAAAATCCTCCATAAATGTTCTGGGTCTAGTGCCCCTAAAAATAAATATGAGTGAGAGCTCTTGAAATAGTGAATGAGTCCATTACTTAACAGTGGGTCAAAAAAAGCCATCTACTGGCTCAGAAGGTCCACGTACAAAAGCTAAAAAACTCCAGAGGCTGGTTTGACCCCTGGCCGTGACCTCTCACTTCTCTCTTTCCCCTCATTTTCTGCCTCTCTTTGCTCACCTTCGTCTTCCCCATCGCCCAGTTCTCCAGCTTGGCCTTCTCCAGTATTGTGGCGCATGTTTCTGGAGACACCGCCGGCTCCTCATGAGCGTGGAAAGCCAAGATGTAGTACCTGGAAGAGCCGCTTTAGTGAGACGGATAAACAGTAATGAATAACCTTTTCTTCAAGGTCTGAGAGTCGGCTGACCTTTTGATGAAGTTAGCGAACAGGATGCGGTGGGAGTAACCCAGTCGTCTGATCTTGGCCGTCTCCAGGACTCCGGTGTAGCGCAGCTGAACCAGAACCTTCTCCCGGTCGAACTTGTTGGCGTGGCGGTCGTTGTTCGGTTTGATACAGCGGACAAAATGAGGCTGCCCGGCCACCATCTTGGACAGCAGGTCCATCAGAGAGTACTAGAAAACAGTGAGGCGGATTAACTACGGGTGTACAGGGAGCTTTCTGAGAGACCGTGGACCTGGTCTTACCCTGAAATAGGAGGCCACTGTCTGGGTTCTCATGTTGGTGGTTTCTCTTGGGTGGTATGGAGTATCTCCAGAATCACTCGGCTGAATAAATGAAAAAAAAGACTCGTCAGAAATCAAGTAAGCGGAAATATTCTCTGAGGGAAAGACAAGTGAGGAGATGGAGGACGGTTCAAAAGATGAAGCAGCTTAAGTAGACGAAGTTAATGTGGGAGGGGGTGAGCAGCTTGTGAAGTAGTTATCATCCGTTTATCGTTATCGAGGTGAACTGATCAATATATTGTGATATTGCCCACCCCTAGTTCAGAATAAGAGTGAGGTGTGTGTAATTCAGCTCAACACTTAATACGAATCTTATAAGTGTGACCTCAAGCTGCACTCTGAATGTAACTGACGGCCCACAGCACTATCACTTTGGGTGGGGGGAGCAGCACTTTTCAGTAAGCTATCAGCCTAATTCTGTTTACAGCGTTTCAGACGCTCATTGTGCCTCTTAAGAGCTGCACCTTTGATGAGCTTTTTGTCTAACATATGCAGATGAATGGAAATAGATTCAAGAACTCGTCAAACAGGCTGCATGTAAATGTTGTTGCTTCTGTCAATTGCTTTTAGGGGAGCCAACTGCCTGAAGCTTTTACTTCAGCTGGAGCTGCGACGTTAAACTGCCACAGTTTAAAGACTCCGCTAAAAGAGGAGGTCGTTTTTTTTTAATTAAGTTTTATTTGTCTGTCGGCGACTGTCAGAGACTCTGGGTGGTTCCTTCAGGCTTTCAATCCAAAATGCAAAGATGTCCCTGTGTCATAAGGGGATCTTTTAGGAAGTTATTCAAAGATGGGGGCGCTCTTAGACATTTCAGGGACATTTACAGACTTTAAAGTGAACATACTGAATGTTTCTGTAACACATGTCATCATGATGATCCTTTATCATTAACTATTAAACCAGATACAATAAATCACACTGTTATATAAGAGGTGCAGCTTTTTTTTTTTTGAGGTTTAAACTTGTTTCTGCATTAAATTTATGTATAAGGTTAAGCAATGTGCAGTTTTTGTGCACATGTGTAGCTACTCAAAGTAATGTCTATTTTCTCTATGTTACCAGCTACTTGTGGGCTCAGCCTACATTAACATTGATAGTTATTAGTATGAATGGACGCCCTACTTACCCTTAACTGGTCACTTGATTTAAATAGGATTTTTTTCAATCACACCATAACCACACAAGTTTTTATTTTTTTATTTTTTTAGATGCATTATGACTTGATAAAAGTGGCATCGCTATGTGATCACTTGCGCCATCTTCTGGGTAAAAATATGGTAACAAAGTAGAAAACCTCGCTTTGCATTTTAGCTGTACATCAAATGCATTTAATGTTCTCTTTTACACCAAGTTTTGTGATTTTTTTCATGATTTTTGTGGTTTTTTTTGGTTGTGCTGGATTCCTGTCGTTTGAGGACACTCTGAATCCAGCTTTATGTCACATCTACTTCAGATCTAGCTGTCACTAGCTCTATAGTAATAGAAATAGAAATCAGCTAATTTTTTCTACATTTTAATAAATCTAAAGTCTACACTGTTAATGCATTACATAGGTTTAGAAACTAATCTAATTTAGAGTTATGTGTATTACCTCGCTGAAAGAAAAAGAACTGTACAAGGTCAGCATTCCCATCTTTCCCAACAGAAATGAAGAAACAGAGAGAAAAGAGAGAAAAACACAGAAAAAAATTAGATTAGGACAGAAATAAGAAACACAGTCGAACAAAAGAGGCTGAATTTTGATCGAAGAGCTGGATGAGGTTCAAGAAGAGAAAGAAGGAAGAGGAAAGAACACGTGGAGCAACTTTTCAGGGGGAGTTCATGATGTGGGAGATAATACAGAGATAAAGCAGACAGCATAGTAGTAGTGTAGTACCTTGGCGAAGGTGATGGTGCGTGACGGAGTCCGCAATGTGTTTATGCCTTTACCCTTGGTGTGGGCGAGGTTACCTACGAGATAAATAAAGGCAGTTAGCAGAGACTGGAGAGTTAGCTTGTTTGTAAGTGATGGAAAAATGTACAGAAACATGAATTTTATTAATGTAATAATTAGAAATATGTAATTTTGGTAAATTACTGTAAAAACTCCTCTAGTTACTGCGTTAAAATTTAAATAAATGAACTCAGTGAAGCAGATACCACAAGAGGTCAGGAGCCGTTTCTTTTCAGAGTTACTCTCTCTTGGAAAAGAAGCAGCGCCGCCCAGTACGACAGCTTTAGGAGGACTTTAAGAGAGTGATTATGCAATTATTGGCTTTGTAATTCGATTTTGACAGAGCTGCCAACCCGCCCTGCCAACAGAGGATTCTTTCACTGCCAGGGCAAACCCATTACATCAAAAATCTGGCAAACGGGAGAAGAAAGCCACACTAAAATAGGTAACAATGGCTTGTTGTGACTCAGAGAGCGTGTTGTATAATGTGTTCAGTCGTTGCAGAGAAGACTCGTTAACCTGTTTTGGTGAGGGGATGGGTAACGAGTCTACGCGTGAGCTCGTTCTCCGATGACCTCAGCAGCAGGATGATGTCTGCCGGTAGCGTGTCCCTGTTCTTGGCCAGGAAGCCTGCAGCGTTGTAGATCACCTTAAAGTTTGACACAGAGGGATAAAAGTAATTTGAAGGCCGACGCAGATTTAAATCTAAGTCATGTAGATGCTTTACAATCAAATAAAATTACCTTTCCAGCATAGTGGTGGATGCCAAAGCCGAGGTCCACCCTCTTTGGTCTCCAGAAGCTTTTGGTCTTGAGGTTATCGTCGAATTTGTCTGAAATACCAAAACAAACATCGATAAACCCGGTTCTCTTCTTTCTTTTGAAACTTAACAGACACTTTTGTTTCTGATCGCCAAAAAAGGGATCAGACGTCTTCAGCACTCAAATGAGAATGAATGCATGAACCAAATTTTGTTGAGACTTTAGGACTGAAAAGGACTGACCTACGAGGGTCTGGTCTGTGGCCTGTGGGAAGCGACTCTCCTCGTCCAGAAGTGAGAGCATCCCCATGGGTTTCTGCAGGAACAGGTCCAGGAGGGGTCGGTTGTCCTCATACTCAATCATGCGAGCCTCCACCTCCTCGTTCAGATACTCATCCTGGATAGAAATAACAGACACTATGATTATGAACCTACTGTGTCTGGATTAAACAAGAGTTTGTACTCAGTTCAGACTTTTTATCCTCCAATTTTCCGTTTTCAGTCCACTTAAGAAGCAACCATATGTTCAGATTCAAAGTGAATTTTAGTCCTCTGGTTGGGCTGAACAGACTCAGTCATTGTTTCATTCAAGTTTCACAATAACTGTAAGCCAAACAGACTCTTAAAAAAAAGGCCCAATTTAATGTGATACCCTTGAAATTAACCGATCTTCAGTTTGATAACCAACGAAAACAACACGCTAGGGCTGGGCAATAAACCGAAAATTTACCGGTAACAAAATTTACGACAAAATCCGACATCATTTTGCCCATATCGGTATATTCTGTGTCAAAAAAATAAATAAAACATGGTTTTAGATGTGTGTAGGTAGGCTATGGTCTCATTTCCCTTTAAGACACTGTCCTACGTCAGAGATGTGACTCCAACCCATCCAGTCCGTAACAAAGAGGGAAAGACAGGTGAGGAGATGGAGGACGGTTCAAAAGTTGTAGCAGCTGAAGTAAACAAAGTTAATGTGGGCGGGGGTGAGCAGCTTGTGGAGTAGTTATCGTCCATTTATAGTCATCAAGGTGAACTGCTCAATATATTGTGATATTGATTTGAGGCCATATCGCCCAGCCCTACAACAACGCGATACATGATTTTAAAAAGTCAACAACAGAGACAGAGAAAGATTTATCATTGGATCGATCCTTTTTTATGACCTCTGCACACGTTAGCACAGATGATATCCATGATGCTACATTGAACTATGCTCCACCTGCTGTAGCTCTGGACTATTTTTCATGCATCCACTAAAGCCTGTTGGACTACGATCCTTTTTTTTTTAAACTGAGGTCCAACAGTGCGTGTTCAGACTCTGCGTCTCTGTGCAGAGTCTGTAAACAGAGATTATTTGGGGGACGTCGCTACCATTCTCCAGCTCGTAGTACCACAGGGCTTTCCTCATTGGGTAATAGACCACACTATTGTGTTTGATCACTAGGCTGTACATAATGACTTCACACTTTGATGATAATCTCTCACATTTCCTCATCTTAGCTTTATGTTTTAATGACAAACTTTAAACATTCAGAAGTGAGAGAAATCCACTGAAACATCACAATCAACCAACCAGGAAATGTGAGAATTTCTTTCTCCTTGTTATATAAGACTTGTTCACACATTGCCTTTGGATTAAAATAGTCCACGGGGGCAAAGTGAGCTTTGTTCTCCACTTTATTCTCAGCTAACCCTGATCACATCGGGGTTGACTGACTCTGCGAGCCCCCAGTATGACTCAGCAACATTACCGGAGACTTCTATTCTGAGAGGGAAGGAACAAACAACATCAAATCAACGTGCTTACTGTAGCATGAGCGGCATGCTGTGAAGGAAACAAGCTGCATTAGGAGCTCTGCAGGGATGCAGATAGATCTGGGGAATATCTAACCGCATGTGTGGACATATAAGCTGAGGAGGTAAAGGATATGATAGAGATATAACCTGAGCATACAGTAGGGTGGGCTAAATCTGCTTCATTTTACTGTAGATGGGATTTAAATAATCCCATAGCTCACTACAATCCCCACAGCTCTGTCTATATGGAGGCAGTATAGGACAAATGTATGTCTGGGACTGCTGCCAACAATACCCAAGAGTGAGATTAAGTCAAACGCAAACTGTCTTCAACTCCTAATTGACCCTCGTTTAGGATGATTTATGGCTCCTCTCTGTGGGTGAGACCAAATCATTTAACATGAGCAAACCGTTCTCTGCCCCCTCAAGGCGAAACACACCCACGACACTGCATAAAGGGGGAATCGAGGTCCTCATTCCCCCCCGTAAATAAAGACAGCAGCATATTTCGCCCTTGCCGTCTCTCTTAAAGCACGCAGTGACAAACGATGGCGTGTTATCACCATTTAGATGGAAATGAAGCTGTACCAAGGTGAAAAATGCATCGAAAGTGCTTTCCAGGAGGGTTTAAAGCACTCAGGAAGCGTTTTAAAATATAAGTCACTGTCAAAGGTGGATGCCGGTCAAAGCCTGTACCTGCTCCCAAGCGAATATGTGCTGGTTGAAGTAAAACTGGATCTGCTCGTTGGCGATGTTGATGCAAAGCTGCTCGAATGAGTTCTTCTTGAAGTTCTCAAAACCAAAGATGTCCAGGATACCGATGTTTAGACCCTTGTCCTCCTCTCTGAAGGTGAGAAATGAATGTAAAATAAAAAGTTAAATAATTCTTTTATCGGGGTTGATGTTTGGCAGCATCCATGCCTCTATAATGAGAATATATAGGATGTTATAATCATCCTTGTTAAAATACCACAAGGCTACACTGTGTTTCTGCATTTTTGGCTCTGATTCCAGGACATGAGGCCCCTCATTGTGCATTCATGAGTGCCAAACACTCTACAGCACACATCCTGCCCCTGATCTCACCCCGGGTCGCTGTCGGGCCGCAGCAGCGTGTTGATGCGGTTGACGATCCAGCTGAAGAGGCGTCCGTAGAGAGCCTTGGCCATGGCGTCCCTCACCACCCCCGATTTCTCCACCGTGTTAGGCCTGACGATTGTCTCTCCTCGGGCGACTACGCAGTGAGAGGTCAGGGCTTCCTGGAGCTCGTCTGAGCGAATGCACAGCAGTGATGCCACTAAGAGGAAATAAGGTTTATGTTTATTAGGCGGGATGGGACAGATGTGAAACCGTAACACTTGTGTTATTCTGCTTTTCTGAAAACACCACATCAGAGGAAAACCGTGTACATGTTCAATATTAATGTTCCTGTAAATTAAAACAGCTTGTATGCGTTTGAATCTTTGTAGAGGAGTTTAAAGGGGAGTGTGAGAAGTAGGAGTGAAACAGAGGAAATTCAGAGTAAATCAAGCCTCTCTCTCTCTCTCTCTCTCTCTCTTTCTCCTCTTACCATTCTCCAGGACAGAGATGTTGGAGATGATGCTCTTGTCTGTTTGATGCTCCGAGGCGACGGGAATGAACTCGATATCGCCAGAGTTAAGGATGGCTGCCAGAGTGCTGTAAACACTGCCCAGCTCCTGGAGGAATGATAGACAGCTATTTAATCTGGAAAACATTTAACCATGGGACGGTATTTGATATAAACAAAAAAAACCTTCAGCTATGCCTTAAAACTTAAACTGTGAACTGAAAATAAAGTTTTAAAAGGAACATTTATGCACCGTCACCTTTCAGTTTTCCTCTTAATTCAGTAAGTTTCCTGTTTCACCACCTTCTAATAAATGCTGACAGTCTTAGGGAGATTATTGTGTCACTAAAACTGCCTTCAATTATTTTGTTAAGTGCAATTAAACTTATGATATTGATGATTAATTTTAGTACCAAGATAAACACTTAACACTTGAAAAAAAATCATATTTTAGAGAAAAAGATGGATTAAATTGGCCAGGATTGTGGTCACTAACAAGATGAAAACACTTAAGTACTGCAAGTATTAGTCTGTGGGAAAAGGGCTTTCTGACGGTCCCTAAAAGTCCAGCAAATCCAGCATAACCTCTTAATGGAGACCTGAATCAGATAATGGTTTAAATGACTTTCAATCGAGGTTTAAATCTCAATTTAAGTATGGAATACTTTGTTTCTTCACCTCAAACAGACAAAACTACATGTGGAGTTCCCCAAGGCTCCATCCTGGGGCCTCTTCAATTTCACATTTATATGCTCTCACTTACTGAGATCATATAAAATAACAAAATAATGGTTTGAATGACTTTCAAATGAGGTTTAAATCTTAATTTGAGAACAGAATACTTTGTTTTGTCACCTCAAATAGACAAAATTACATGTGGAGTTCTCCAAGGCTCCATCCTGGGGCCTCGTTAGTTTCACATTTATATGCTCTCACTGACTAAGATCACAGAATATACATCAACAGGTCCATGCATTTTCAACCTAAAAGCAGTGACAGTGTCTCAAACAGTTGCAGCTGATTAACAGAACACTTCAGCAAAGAAAGCGGATCACATCAATCCAGTTCTGAGGTCTTTACACTGGCTTCCTGTTTGTCAGAGAATCGATTATAAAATATAATGCTTGTCTGTAAAGCAGTAATAGTTTAAGGCTAAAGTATATCAGTGAGTAGGAACCAAACACTACTATAGCCACACTACCAGACACCGTTGTGTTTGACACATGACGTGTTTCATAAACAGATAAGCATGCTTCAAAGATCCTCTACGTATATGTATTCTGTGATTTCATGCAAGATAAGAAGTGGGACGTTCCTCCAGTACAGCAAAGTGATTTCAGGATAAGTACTATTGACGTGTAGATCCCAGAGGCAATCAGTTCTTTGGGCCTCATTAGCCTTCACAATGCCAGCAGCTGACTGCCTACATGCAACCGCAGCTTCACGCTCCATCTCATGCTACACAGCTGACATGAGGATCTATTTGTACTCTTGCTTTAAAGACATTTTTACTGGGTAACTGATTCATTTGATAGTCTATACACTGTCTCTTAGTTGTACACAAAATTCCAACGATAAAGGAGTGAGAGCTTGTCTGCAGGAGTGAAAGGATGAAGGTTATGCTGGTAAACCTTGAGGGAAAGCCACTTTCAGCTTTGTGCCCAGTAATTAATGCAGCATTTTGTACCTCCAGGGTGAATCCAATGACTTTGAAACACTGCTCCACTGCATCAAACTGCTCCTTGTAGAAGTTGTTGCTCACTATGTCAGGCCCCAGTTTAATGTGGTCATTACACAGGTACCTGCGGATCAACGAGGTAACATAAAGATCAGGGCTGCTGTCTCTGGACGTAGGATGTTTGCTGTGTGAGCAGACGATAACAGCATTCAAGAGAAGCTCGGGGGATGTCAAACCTACTTAGGTGCTTTGCTGTCAGAGAGCCTGTAGTGGGCGAGTTTCTTCCTGTCAGCCAGGCCAGCATAGATGTAGTAGAAGATGTGGAAGTTTCTCTCTCCTCTGTGGAAACACAAAGACAGAGACTGGAAATCAGGTCTTGAAGGTGCTTGACATGGAGTTTGATTTCAAGTATGAGGAAATAGGATAGGATGAACCATAATACACAACTAGAGATGTGTAACCATCACAGGTATGTGTCATGTCAGTGAGTCAGAATTTAGCTTCCTGTTCAAACTAACAGGAAATAAGTCCAAAAATAATGGTTTAAATGGTGGTTAAAATACAAGCATATAGTAACAATTATATAACTTATAGTGCTATAAATCAATGTTTGTAGAAACCCTCACTATTTTATAGGTATAAGGACAGTCCTCAGAAAAAAAAACTGATTGAAGAAATACAGACATACAATCAAAAATCCTGTTTGAAAACTGACAAAAAACGTGTTTTTCAGTTCAACAACTTTTTTATAACAAGCTCGAAAAGTGGAGCTTGTGTCTGTTTTCGAACAAATGAGTCACGTCTGTCTCCTAAAGAAACCTGCGAGACCACAATCTCTGATCAGACAGGAAATAAGCCAGCCCCTCAACTTGACCCGCTGGTCTCCCCAGACACACGATAAGAGGTGAAGATGGATTGACTGGAGTGTAGGTTGAAGGCAAATGTCACCAGTTTCAGACGTAGGAGTGAAAGAGGAAGGAAGAGAGACAGAATCCATTACGCACTGATCCCTGACCAGCAGGCTGAAAATGACCTTCTTGGTTATGCTCTGAAAACATACAGGCGCTTGACTCAAGTTCCTATGAATAATCTTTTCGAATGACGGTCAGCAAACTCAGGAGTGCCAAAGGAAAAGGTGTGATACTTACACAGCCTGGTGGATGACTCGAGATTTCTCCAGCAGGTACTCAGATATCTGCGCTCCCACCACAGTCCCTCCACAGGTGAACTTCATCTCCAGGTATTTGCCGAAGCGGCTGGAGTTGTCATTAATGACGGTGCAGGCATTCCCAAAAGCCTCAACCAGACTGTTTACCAGCAGGATCTTTTCCTGGAGTGTCCGGTTATTGGCCTGAAAAAAAGTATATCTTCCAGCTGAGTAACTGATTTTTTTTACTTTTGAAGAAATACTGCAGGAATTTGCCCTTTCAGTTGTGCTATACCCATCAAAAAATCACACTGTCATTTCCAATTTCCTCCCTCCACTTGTATAAAATGCAAAAAGTAAATTGAAACTGGGCTGTCTCTCCTCAATCAAATCGTAAATCATGACTGGCATCAGCTCGAGCGCCTAACACACTGGTTATAGGAATGTGGAGCTGCCCGGACGGTGTGTTGGAGATATTAGTTTTCTAAATACAGATGATTGTAGAAGCACAGACAGCTTGTGAAAATGTACAACTCATAACTTGAAATGTGTTGTCTTATTAGTCTCAAATCCTTCAATATGAATGATTCATAACGTTTTCAAATAACCTGTCAGTCAAAGATTTGGTTGACTTCTCCTAGCCAACAGTCAAGTTGTGTAAGTGGAAGCAATGACTGTAAAATTCAGTGTATATATGCATCCTTACTTTCTTTTTAATCAGCTAAAAGAGATGTGCTTCCTATACTCTGGTGTCAATATACAAATGCTAAACAGGGTTTCATTGCAGTACCGTATTTTACCCAGAAGATGGCACTCTGAGAAACAAAGCAGGCTAGTTGAGCAATGTCCTTTCATTAGGTCAAAAGTTAAATCTGCTGGTAAAAGTGTTTTAGCTAAGTAGTCATGGGCAGCAGATCCATCTGTATCTTGCAGCTATCAACACCACTACAGGCTGTATTTAACTACTGAAATACTCTACAGGTAGCTGGCGACGATGAGAGCTACACGTCTGCACATAAACCGCACATTTCTGGATGTAATGTTAGAAACGCAGCTCAAGCTTTCTTCCCAGTAGGAATCCCCAAAACAGACTGCACCGTATTTTATTTATTTTGTTATTTATTTATTTAGATCCCAATTAGCTACCACCTAAGAAGCAGCTATTCTTCCTGGGCTCCGCAAGAAGACAGTAAATATTAGAATAGATTAAAATGATAAAAATCCAAATGGTAGAATTATAAAAGATGTTAAAAACATAACTAAAACAAGAATTATGATGACATTACATTTCCTATTACAGCAGACACCAATAAAGGCCAAGATAAGTGTACTAGTAATCAAAATCTCATTGGCATGAATGGTATGTGGTCACAGCCTATCCAAGGTGTTCTGTTTCTTATTTCAGTGATTCTGGGTCATTAGATATTGATATACCTTCTTTTTAAACACATGTTTACTAGTTAACCCTGTAATAAGACTATTCCATATTTTCATACCTCTGAACATGACAGTACGCTGTCCAGAGTTGGTATTGGTGAGTGGATGAATTAGTTTATTATTGTAAACCAATGCAGCTTATATTCTGCATAACTCTGCATCAAACATAACTTTCCTTCCCTGAAAACATCTGTTTGTGTTTTGCTTTTTTTGCTAATGTTTAAATCTGGTTTGATTGAACTTTCTCATGACCCACAGTACATCTGGGGCCGACTTTGTGATCTTTGTAGCAAAGGACTAATAGAGCCTTTAGGGCCAACATCACAGTGACACCGCAGTTTTAGTTGGAGGAAAAAAACAAAGTAAAACTGGAGGGAAATATGACTCATCATCCCGGGGCAGTATGCAACAAAAGAGTCTCAAATACGGCATTTTGTTCTGGTGTTGGGTGAGAGAAAAAGGAGTGATAGTAATGTACACCAGCTGCCACGGCCTCTGGTCAAATGCATAAAGAAGAGTCAGAGGCGATCAAAAAGGCTTTGTGGTTGCTGTTATTTTTTGTAAATGGGATGTTAGCTAAAAACAGAGAAAATTCTTTGTCTTCTAACCACAAATATAAAGACATCCAAGGACTTAAATGCCCTAAAAATGTCTTTACACTCTTCATTTGGGTTTCAGGTGAGTTTACCTGTCGATCCATTCCACCGTTAATAGTCCGGTATTAACTTATCAAAGTTAAACCTTTGGTCTCAGACAGCAAGTGGCCTCACATATTTGGAGAGACTCGCATTATCCTTCATCATTGTCAAAAAAAAGCTCAAAGACAGCTCCTAACTAAGCCCCGCCCATTGACAAACCATCATACAGTTTACTGAAGCTGAGAGGGTCTCGACATCTACTGTATGACTCACCTTTCCCAGAACAGTCAGCTGCTGCACCAACAGATGAGCGCTCTCTGTTTTCCCCGCTCCACTTTCCCCACTGATCACAATACACTGTAGACAGAGAGGCGCAGAGATTATTGTGGGGATGAAAACAAAAAGTGAATTAATCTCTGCAGTATAATAGACTTCATTAAAAAAGTAACAAAAGAAAGAAGTGTCTGCTCTCTGCACGCTTACCTGGTCGGCGTTGTAGGACACCATAGACTGGTAGGCGATATCAGCCACAGCGAAGATGTGCGGAGGGTTAGCCGAACGCTTCGCTCCTATGTAAATCCTATTGTACTATAAAGAGAAACAACATACTTGAACACTCGCACATATGCAACAGACATTAGGTTTCAGTTAAGAGTGAATAATGACGGTGTCTTAATGGGATATTTCTAGTTTCAACAACACATGGAAAGAGATTATTTTGTTGCTCTGAGAGGACAGGAATGAAAAATGGTTGCCAACTTGAGACAAAGAAAAACATAATGATTGATCGAAAACAAAGTCAGTGAGGTATTGCAGAGGAAGAGAGAGACAGGTGTGTATGTTTGGAGGGGTGAGGCTAAATGGGATGCAGCCGACTGAAGAATTGCAGAGGCTCTAATGAGATGCGCTGAGCTTCATTCAGTGCATTATTGACCAAATGTACGAGCACAGGTGCATGAAAGGAAACACAAAAATCTATACGCTCACAGACCTGGGGAGTGTATATCTCCATCTTATGGAAAGGATTGACTGCGATGAGTATGTCCCCCACATACGTGTAAATCTGATCTCGTCCGTAGCGGCTCTGAAGCTGCTCTGTGACGGTGTTCTGAGAAAGAAAACAAGCAAGATTCACTAAATAATCATGAAAAGAAAGCTTCCTGAACAAATTAACACTAAGATCATTGTCAGGGTCGTATAATAAGAGACAACATGCCTCAAGTCAGGGCCTGCGACGCCTGTTACGTCAGTGTCATAGTCATATAGTGATTAATTCTCCAGTCATCGCGCTGCTCGGACAGGTACATTAAGAACCTCAACACGCGGACAAAGCCGCCTGTTTTGAAAGATGGCTGGAAATATCCGCTAGCAACTGGGACTGATTGTATCATTCAATACATCAATGCGGCACTCAGATTTGATGAATTGCTGTTTGTGTGAGAGACGCTGCCGTGAATTTCTCACAGGAGTTTGACAACAGGGGTAATCAAGGGAAGTGACGCCGGGTGTTCCCACAAAACAACAGAGAAACATGCCTGGCAGACCTGTGGTGCAAATCGTGAGTATTGTATTTCAATAAAATGCCAGAGTTATTCAAGTCGCTTCATTTAGTACATACCAATGAGTGTTTCAGTGATCCCAGCATACTCAGCTGTTTTAGAAAACTTATAGAATTGATAGAGTTTTAAAGAAAGCAAAGAACAGCTCCAGGCTGTCACCTTGAGGACTGCAGACTCTGTACATTCAGCTCCTGAGCTAACCCTGTGCCACTGTGAGCTCTCCACTAATTCATTTAGTCTGATCATTCACTTACTGATGTCACCGTCGAAGCAGATGAATGTTTGCAGCAGTTCAGTCCAGGAAAAATTTCCCTGAGGGGGTATAAAGTGTGTCCACTGTACAGTATTGTGTTGTGTTGTATTGTATGATAGGGTGAGATCTCATATTGACTTTATGATGTGTTCTAACGTAACATATCATAAAATTGTACTTTTTATCATCTCATACTGAATTGTTATTGTATCGTATTGTATTGTTATCTTAACTGTATCATACAATATGCTTTTGTATCTTGTATAGTTTCATTTCATATCGTATCTTATTGTATCTTTTTGAATCGTTGGTGTATCATTAGTGTATTGTGATTGTATCATGTTGTATTGTATCATGTCATATTGTATCGTGATCTTATCATTATCATATCATGATCGTATCATTATCGTATCGTGGCAGTACTGTATAATTTCATTCCATATTGTATCATGATCATATTGTCTTTTATCGTATCATATCGCGATCGTATTGTTATTGTATTATTATTGTATCGTGATTGTATCGTCTTGTAATCGTATCATATCGCAATCGTATTGTTATTGTATCCTGATTGTATCGTCTTGTAATTGTATCATACTGCGATCGTATTTTTATTGTACCATGATCATATCATTATTGTGATTTTATCTTTTTGTATCATATAATTATCACTTTGTCTATTATTGTGATTGTATTGTATAACTTAATTTCATATTGTGATCATATTGTGATTGTATTATATTGTTATCATGTTGTTATTGTTATTTTATTGTGGTCATTTCATATAATTTCGTATCGTGATCATTTTGTGATCATATCATTATCGTTATTGTATTGTGATCGTATGATATCATTAAGTTTTGTATTGTATCCTTACATTTTGAATGTTACCATTCAGCACTGTGACATACTTTGTCTATTGTCTAAGATCGTCACTTTTTTTATAATTGAGATTTCTGAAGTCTTATTTTTTTTACCTCATCAAGGACTTCAAGGGTAGCAAGGTCATCCACCTCATCCGGGTCACTCTGCATCTTCATGTGGCTTCCTCTTTTAGTGTGGATCCGTTCATGCCTGGAACTCACAAGAGTCTCAATCAGGTCTCCCGCTGAGCAAAACCATCACTGTATACACTCTATATGACAATGTTAGCAATCTAAATTCAAATCTAACACGGTGTGTGCACAAACTGTATCAGCACGAAGCAATGCCGTGGGTGATGGTGTTTGCAGAGGGCAAAAATAAGCATCTCTTGGATTGATGACACAATGTAGATATGATCAACAGCTAGGTTAAGCTTTAAGTGTATTATATAAGTAGAGCTTCTGTAGTGTTAATGCAGAAAAAGTGCTTGAAGCTAAACTTTAAAAATTAAAAAAAAATCTCACTTTAATTTTAACTTTTGCAATTCAGGGAAAACTACCTAAATAAGAAAGCAGAAAGTGCACTGCGGACTCTGTATTCCCTGTTTACATCGTCTACTTCTCCCCATCCTCACAGTATACTTTACCTATGCTTAAATTGGAACTATCTGAGTTGTTACAACCCCTAAAATATACCTAGTGTGTCCTAAACTATCTGCAGACTTTAGGTGCACTTAAAATACGCTAAATCAATCTGTGAGTTGGAACCATCATCAGCTGGCAGTCTCAGCAAAGTATTTCTAGACGTGTTAGGACTATCTAATTTAAGCGGTAACTCTTGACAACAGTAAAACCTACAGTTGACACGCAACAAAATATGAAGTGATAGCATGTCAACAGGTAGACCATCCAAATGAAGTGCAGAGCTGATACAACCATTGAAAGCTCAAATAAAATCTATCTTTTAGAAATGTCAGACTAATTTTGCCAAATTCAGATGACCTTCAAATTAAAGACATGCTATCGTTCAGTTAACGATGGCGGTACATCACACAACTATTGCGCTGTATCTCTTCGAAAGCGTGTTACTCATTGAAAGGTCGTTGACCTCAAGGGTTTTTTGGAGCTTACCAACAGCTGTGGTTTGCCAACGTCAAGGCCACTCACCATAATCCCAGTTACACCACAGCGCTAAATTGCATCAGGTTACCAAGTCTTAAATGCTTAATGTACTGCTTTTATATGGCGTTTTGTACAGGCCATGAGAAAAGGTTAGTATAAAATAGAGGTCAATACAACAACAGGTCGTCACAGAGAGCGGGCAACAATGTTAACAGCAGCAGGGTGGCAGAATTAGGAAAATCTACAATCAGCCCATGTAGTTGATTTCAAGTACATGTTCGATCACAGCTACAGGAACAAGCCAACGATCTTCTACTCCTACGGTTGCACGAAGGGTTGTATATTCAGTCGTTACCTGTCATTACTGTCTTTGCGCCTGTCTGTCTTTCCATGATGGCTTAAACGACAGAAATAGGATTAACATTTCATGACTGTACGGCTAATACACACTTCCCTGAGCCAACATTTTGACTCATACTGTGCAGCCAGCGCCCTGAGTGGAGCTGGAGCAGGACTGAACTGCTGTTTACAGGAGGGGTGACTGGGCTTGTAAAACATCCAGCAAGGAAGGAAGGTAATTTGGATTAAACCGCCTGCAAGAGTTAAGCTGCAGCCTGACGTTTGAAACCGACTGTCAGGGAGGCTCGCAGACTTTCTTGGAGTTTGTATCAAAAATTTAAAGATGTGCGGGTAAAACTTCTGATATGTTGCACCACATGTGGAAAAGTGAGGTTTGCACAGTACCTTGTTTTTTCAATAACTCCTATTTGTTGGTTGAGATCGATGAGCTCGATCAATTGTTTCTGCAGGATTTTCTCTTTGCCGACGATCTGTTTGATGAACACATGCTGCAGCAGGTCTAACACATTGGGTCTGAGCTCAAAGTCCTTTATCAGACATCTAAAAGAAGGCAGAGGAATGCAATGGATTCACATTCAAAGTGCAACTACTATCGGTGTAAATATTTATGATTCACAGGGACACTCGCATTCACACTCACTTGCAGATGAAGTCATTAAAATCGTCTGACCAGAGCTCGGGCTGGTGGAGAGTAGGCGCTGGATTTCTGTAAAAAAGAGAGACGTGGAAATAGATAAATGGAAAGATAAGATGAGATGGGATTTACTCAAGCGGGGGCGGAGAACAAAAGGCCGAGGCGCAGAGTGGAGCAGCGGAGTGCAATCTTAACTATTCATCATCAGAGACATCCAGAGGTGTTTCTGCGGTGGCAGGAGGCAGTAACAAATAGCTCTCCACCCGTACAGCCGGGTGGTTTTGATACAGCTGATTTCATGTCGGAGAAAAGTAAAGGTCCGCCGCACTGGACTTCAAATATATACCCAGATCTTTAAAGCGCAAAGTTTCCCCAATGAGAGGCTCCTTTAGACAGACAAACGCATTCAAGAGGTCAAGCAAACACGGCCTCACAACCATCCAACAACTAAGCTAATTTGTGTAATTCCTTGTTCTGCTTTAAGTACCTTTTTACAAGAGGGTTTCTGGCAAGTGCTTAGGAAGTCGATGCCGCCTGCTAATGCACTGTAGCCTTTTTCCCATTGGCTCTGACAGCGATAAATTGGCCTAATGAGAGGGCATACATCACCTGTTTATCACACAGCACAACCAATAAAGACAGCAGAGACATTTATTTGGAGTCTGCTCTGCTAATGCCGGGATTATTAAAGTGTTTTTCTTATCTGGAAGACAAACAGGGTCACATGAGCTGTTTAAAATAGGAAACGTATCGGAGGTTTTAATGAGGTTGTATTTTTATCTCATCATCCTGTTTGCTGCCTTCTCTCTCTGGTTAACTTTCTATTCATATCCACTAAACTCTATACGCACGGCTGATTCATTTCTTCTCTTTTACACATAATGAAGGATAAAAGCTTAAATCTTTACACCTGTGCATAATTAGCGGAGCTCTCTTAATCTTTCACCTGCGTGCGAGAGCGACGCTCTGAGGAGGGATTTGACTTATGCTCATTGTCATCCCAATCCCACTTGTCTTAATCTGTGTCTGTCTTTTAAAGAGTTTCCCCTTTTTCTTTCAGGGTTTAGGTTCATCTAACAAACCGACTAACAAACTAACTTTTTAACAAACTAAATAAACTAATGAATAACTACATAAATAAACTGGACTGCATGTAACTTCATACAGGAGTAGAAAAACACAATTCAACAAGAATAGAAATGCTCCACGGCTCTCATTTCAACAACTGTCATCTTAAACAACAGGTTAGAATATAAGGACTTTATTCTGACTTTACTCTCGTAAGAAATGATTTTAAAACGACTTTATTCACGTAAAAAATGACTTTATTACAATGTTTTTAAACTTGAAATTTGGACTTTATCCACAAAATTTCGAGATTAATCTTGAAATTTCAATTTTTTTATTTCGACGTTTTTTAAATTCGACTTTAATCTCAAAATTTCAACTTTAACCCCTTAATACCTTTTGTATCATATTTAATACATACTTTTAAATACTTCTATCAAATCAATACGATCAAGAAATTACTAAAAAAACACCTGAGTACAGCCTGATAAATGATAAAAATGTCCTGTTGTAGTTTATCAATTTCCGAACACATCTGATGTATCAAACGAGATAAATAAATATATTTGTTAAATTTTTAGGACATTTTGATTTTTTTTGGTTTTCAGTAGAAAGTGAAATCAACATTTCAGCTCCAAAAAATGTTGAATTTTCTGGCCGTAATTTGTGGTGTCAGGCATTAAAGAGCTAATCTTGAAATGGACATTAAAAAAATCTCCCTCCAGTAATTATTTTTTTTTCTCTTCCTGTGGCCCTAATCCATAAACTTTAATAGCAACTGACTTGAGATGATCTGTTTGCAAATTTATGATCAGACGTCTCAAGTAGTGAGAAACTAACCAGAGCTAAGCTAGCCAAACCAAACTAGCTCTGTTTAAATGAGAGGATGGTCAAAACACATATTTATGTGATGAATTACTCAAAATTAAGGTAACAAATTCATCTAATTCTCCTAAAGAGCAAATCACAAATGGATCTCTGCATGACTTTACTGTGAGACTAAATGTTAGATAACTTGAATAAGGTGAAATAGTTCAAGCATTGCCATGTCACGTCTATAAAGTGAATTTTACACGAATTTCCATATATTTCGCATATTTCTTGATAATGCTTCAATCTGTTTGTATGTTGCCATCTAAGCCCCGCCCCTTTTTTAAAAATAGGACACGGTGCAAATAAATGGACGACCTCAGTGTGGCTCCTCCTGAGACCGCTTCACGAATGAACCCCGGGCACTGAGAGGAGAACAGAGAGGAGTGTGAACAGACAGCCTGGAGCTCTGGCTGCAGCAGTCACAAAGATTGTGAGAAAGCTGCGTGACGACTCCCGGGGAGCACGACCCCCACAGCAAGCACACAGGACGGCGGTGACACAGGAGCCGCCGCCTCTGTGAGTGTGTGTGTGTGTTATATGTTTATAGAAAGACGCACAGTGATGGACAAAGTGCTGCAGAGATGACAGTGACGGTAAGTGCTTATGCAACTTGAATCGAGAGATAATAAACAATTACTTTTCACCTTCAGCTCACTATACATACAGATGGAAAAAAAAAAAAGAGGCTGCGCTCTCAGCCTCCCACCGCAGGTCGAATGGGATCAGCGCCAGGAGGAAGGAGGGGTTTACGGATAAAAACCCTGCAAGCTATTGGAAATGAACAGACTGTACTTTGTCTGGTGACAGTGTGTATATAGAAAAGAAAATCACTGTGTTTGGGAGCAGGACTGCAGTACGACCACTGTATTACCCTGTCTCTGTAGCCTGACAGTCTGTCTATGCAGAGGAAGGAAAAGGACCTTCTCTGTGCAGCATTTTCTTAACTAAACACAACAAAAGTCACGTTCTTATACATCTATTTGATACTGATTTATCTACATTTGTATGTTTCTAAAAGATAACCTTATGAAAAGGCTCTGAAACCTTTTAGTTAAAGTAAATAAGACTAATAAGCACTATCACTCTAAAGCTAGCATCTATTTAGCACCAAAAAGCTGTAAAATGAACACAAACTGGTGGAGACAATGATTGACGAGATGGTTGTCTAGGTCTGATGGGGGCTCACCTGGGTATTTTGAACAGGGCTCTCATTGGGTGGAGGTCAGACAAAGGTGGGTCTCCGTCTCCCAGCTCGATGGCGGTGATGCCGAGCGACCAGACGTCACAGCGAGCGTCATAGGTGGAGTCCAGCTGCTGCTCACAGGCTATCACCTGAAGGAGATGAAGTAATACATGATACTATGACATGTAAAACCAGCAGCATACTGTTATCGGTTAAACACTAAACTTACAAAAAGTCAATAAAGCATTTCAAGCAAAAGATACAATGAAAATAATCCCAGTGTTTGCGATTTTCACAATCAAATCTGAATTAAACCATCAACTGAAACCAAATGACCCTCCTCTGCTAAATAACCATTTGAAGAACAACTTTAGTTACCTGACATGCTTTTATTTTGAAAATAACAGTGGATTAAAAACTTGAAATCACTGCTCTGCTGTTCAGGAGTTTGAGCAAGCATCCCCCAAAAAAGGGAGATAACTACAGAGTCGGGATGTGGCTTTAAACTGGTACTGACAAAAACTGTCTCTTAAAGAAAAACTAATTATAATATTGAGCTGAAAATAAGCATAAAGTAACACTGGGTGACTGACTGGTTTATGGCAGTGGGGATAGAGGTTCGTTATATAAGTTTTAATGAACTAGCATAACCCAATCGATTAATCAATCTTCATTTATTTATTTATTAAGTAACTTCAAAATAAAAGCATGTTTTTACTCACAGGTAATGAAGTAATAATAATAATGAAACAGCTTTAAGAGACACCGTCTTCTTTTGTTATTATTTTATTTAAAGGTAAAATCTGTGATGTTGTGAATGTCTTATTCTCCGGCAGTGTAAGTGGTTTTGGATTTTGGCAGCACTTCCCTGCACACCTCATTCACAACCATGAAGAAGGGAACAAAATATACAAAAATATGGCAGAAGCCCAAGTACAGTATCCTCTTCATCATCATCATCATCATCATCATCATCATCGTCGTCGTCGTCTGCTCAGGGCAGTTTGGTACACAGACACACATGTACACACACAGAAGCTATCATCTACATCCTCAGGGCAACATGGTACCCAATCAACAAAATGAATCATCTCTGAGCGGGAGGTATGTACACACACACACACACACACACACACACACACACACACACACACACACACACACACACACACACACACACACACACACAATGTCTACAATCAATACTATTTGAATTCCCGATAGGCATGTACATGTGTACACGGACAAAACACCGATAACACGTCATGTTCAAGTGTTCACACAAACTCCTTCACTACTACTACTTCAGTCACATTAGACCTCCAGAGAACTATTGTACAACAAAAACAGAAGTTTGAAGAGATAAAAAAAGTTTCCTAAAAGCTTTTCTTAAAAGTGACACTTGTCCAAAGTATGAAACTGCGCAGATGCGAACTTACCCCGCGACATAAAGGAGCCTAATCTTCTTAAGAAAGTGGGTCAGACTGTGTCTAAATAACTTCCACGATGTTGTTTCCTGGATTTTTACTCCACATGAAGATACTCTTGACCGGACTATCACTACCTTTCTTCGAAATATCACAGAGGATCCTCCAGGACTCCAGCCAAGACCTGACCTTCAGCTCAAGACTTCATGCTTTGAATATTGAACCCCAGCTGCGCTCTGTCGTCCAACTTTGTTGATTAACATCTCACACAAATCAGATTAAAATCTTCTACGGCTGAAGAAGCAGGTCATGCAAACCTCATGTAAAAATGTCTACTTTGACTCGACCTGTAGGGCTCCATGCTGTGTGAAGGCTTAATAAGGAAACCCTTTTAAAACAGATATCAGATGAGATGTGACTTTGTTTGAACTGCTGGTGCACTGAGCAGACAGGAAACAAACGACGGAGGCTGTATTGGTTTTTTATGCACATCGTGTTCGACAGCGTTATCTCTCTGAAGATAAGTAACTGTGGCCCACTGGGATCTGCTCCAGGCTAATGTAGTGGAAAGAGACGAGGCTGAGGGGGCGCTTATGGGCCATTTTTACTTTACCTCAGGCGCCATCCAGAAGGGGGTTCCCACAGAGGTATTCCTCCTCAGGCGGGTATTTGTCAGCTGGGCGGAAACACCTGCAGGGAGGAGAATACACGCTTTAGACATTTTAGCCGCACTCTCACATCGTGCACTCAGCGTAGAAAATTTACTGCATCTCTGCAACTGTTTTTTATTTTTTCCTTGGTGATCAAACGCACCAGTGGAAGAGATGACCCATGGACAGAAAACAGAGCAATGCTTCTTAAGTGATATAAGGCTGAGGGGATCTTGAAACTTTCTTGTATCCCTCTAATAAGGCTGCCACGAGAGTGACATGGAGGGAAAACAAAACATGACATGCAGAGCTCCATTGCAATCTCAGCCATTAGGCTTCGGCGCTGTTCCCCTTCAAATCGATCACTTTGACTTACAAATGTGCATGAGACTGCGCGCAGGTCTGCTGGATTTATCAAGAAGAACATTTGAATAGTATTTCACTGTGGGAGGACTTCATGAGTCAGAATTTTAATGCTTCTTCTGCAGTATGAAGCACTCTTACACAAGAAGGAGACAGGGTCAACAAAGAAAGAAGAGATGAGAGCATCAGGTAAACTTAAACTAGTCAGCACCTGAACTACTCCAAAGTAACGATCAAGAATTTACTGCTGAGAGGAGATCCACTGCAACAAACCAGGAGAAAACACAATGTCAAAACAATCCGCTTAACAATCACATTTTTATCATTGTTGGTTTGTGTAACCTGTTAGCTGGTAGGGGGTAGGGCTGGGACGATATGCTTCTCTCCCGATTCTCAGATTCTTCAACGATTTTTGGATGCGAATTTGATTTGTGATTCTACGATATTGTCGATTTTCTAGATCTTTAGTCTGCATTTTTAACATCAGTGAAACAGTTTAATGATTATGATTGTCTACTGACTATTCCAGGAACCATATTTCCCCCAAAAAATACACATCACATGTAGGTCAGTTTTAAAGATTTATTCTTAAATTTGAAAGAAAAAAAAAAAGATTTATGAACACAAAAATCGACTTAAAAATTGTAAAACAAAAAATTGTGAAACTTATGTGAAACAGTTTTTTCTACCACCCCTAGCCCCACGATACAATATTATCACGATACTTGGGCCATGATGCGATATTATTTCATGTAGCACATCTCGCAAACCACATTTATATATGTTTGTTATACTAACTTTGTCCTGCTCTATGTCTCTATGTCACCTCTGCCAACCTCACTGGACAAACAGTTAACTTTGTTTTCCCATTATCATAGATTTGACCTCATATTAGCAATTCATTTGAAAAATCGATACTTGGTAAATAAGATGATACGATATATCACCAGACAAAACATTGCGATACTATGCTGTATCAATTTTTTCTCCCACTCCTATTAGCTGGCTCCATGCTAACTTTTTCGTCATATTTGTAGAGCAGTGAGGACTACAAAATAAAATATAAAATATAGAAACATGTTTGTATTTCTATGAAAGAGGATTACGGCTATAAGAAGAGGAAGATTTTTTTTTATTTACATTTTGAGACTAAAGTCAAAATTTAAAAAAAGTCGAAAGTTTGACTTTATTCATGTCGATCATAACCTCAAAATTTTGACTTTAATATCCAATTTTTAATTTTTTAATCTCAAAATTTCAACATTATTCACAACAATTCGATTTTTGTAATCTTGACATTTCGACTTAAATCTCAAGATTCCAATTTTCAATCTCGAAATTTCGACTTTATTGGCATAAATTAGATTTTTTTGTTGAAATTTTTACTTTAATCTCGAAACATCGACTCCTTCCTGTAATTATTTTCTTTCTCATCATGTGGCCCTAATCCTCTTTTATAGTATTTCACTTTCAGCAGGTTAAACTCTGCTTTAACTCTCATTTTCTGGGCTCTTTAGTTTCATTTGCTGCTTAATCAACATATTACAGTAAAATACTGTTAAAAACTGACACTAAAGGGTCTGCAGAGACAAAAGGGGAAAACTTGTCGGTTTGAATGTGAGGTAAAAAGCACAGCGAGGAGCATGCTGACCCACAATCGTGACTTCGGTGCAGTCCAGACGAATCAGCGTCACAACATACTGGCTCAGCTGAGGCAGCAACAAAAGCAGAGCCTCCAGACAAAAGCAGCAACCAACAAACAAAGGTGATCTGCTGATGTACGACATACGCTCGCACAGAATTTGACAATGTACCAAAGATTTCGTCCGTGTGTAAAAAATCTGTTCAAAAGACGATTTTACACAACAACAGAAATGCAGTTTTAACACCGTCAGGGAGTGTAAAAGCTGATTTTCAGTACAGTGACAGTGACAGTGCTGAAGCTTTGATGGCACTGGTGGGTTACAGCCAGGGGTGGAGATGGAAAACGGTTCAGTGTCGAACATCTTAAGGGATTAAAATCATGTGCAAGAGGGGAGATACGCCTAAAACTGACATGCATGGAGCTAAACAGCTACACAGTGAGGCTTTAACCCACATTAAAAGGAGCCGACCCACAGTTTTACATTGAAAACCAGCAGGCGTACCCACAAATAACGATAAACAAACCACCTCAACTTACACACACACACAATATACATGAGGTGTGTGAGTGTGTGAGTGTACAGGAACACAAAGAGCCTCCTCACTGCCTGTCTCTTTCCACTACATTAGCCCAGAGTGGAGCCTGGTGGTCCACACTTAATAATCATCACAGAGATAACGCTGTCAATTAGAATATTCATGAGAGGCCCATAAACGAAGAAGGGCTCCTCTCCTTCTTCCCCCTCGCTCTTTTTGGGTCCATCTCTTCGCTATTTTGTTTCTGTGCCGCTGATGAGTCACTGCGGGGGTTTTATCTCTTCAGCTGCTTAGTGTAGCGTGCACCCATCCACATGAAAAACCATTAATCGCAGCGTGACGCAGAGCCTGCGTGTTCGACTCGGCTCCCCGTATATATATATTCTTTTTTTTTTTTTAAGGGTGTTTTCGTCACTCTGCACATTCCTGTACACGCCTAGCTTTGCTCCTGGGATATTTTTTCCCCTCCTCTTCTGATGACGCCACGACCAGAATCAGATAGAAAGTTCGACTGTCAGCACTACAACAAAGGATGTCGTTTCTCTACCTGCTGTTTCCTGCTCTGGGCAGAGGCTGAGAGAGATTTCACTACAGAGTGTAATTTGTTCTCTGAATACAGCCACTTTTAAAAGGCTGCTGATAACACAGAGGTCCACATCTAAGCCGCTCAGCTCGCTGCCACCTTTGTCTCCGGTGAATGGCAAGACTTTACTCTGAGTCATCAAAAGCTGGGAAGCTGACAGACGAGGATTTTGCATTTCATTTCAAGTCACACATGTGTTTTTCAAACCCTGATTAAAAGGACCTGTGGGTCTCTAACAGAAGATAAAGATGGATGACACTCTTTAAAAGTGAAGCCAAAATAGGCTCCTGATGGAGGATGATATATTGAGGCTATTGAAAACATTGAATATTAACAGAAAGTACTTTTGAGAGGAGAAATGCTGAAAACTTTGGTACTGGTCTCGTCTCTCCATGACGCTCAGAAAGTCATTATCATCGGCTATTCATAGTCGTTTCCTCGTCACAGCTCATTTATATTTCTCATTTAGATAAGCAGTACACCAAAGGTGCTCGACACAAATAAATATTAATTGTTTGCCAGCTACAAGCAGAGCTGGATCGATGAAACAGTTTCTGAGAGCTTTTATGTCCCATGATTTCAAAGCAAAATCTGTGTACAGGCAGAATCCAGGTTATATTTGATTTTATGTTTGTTTAAAAAGAACCGGCTGCCTGAGTTTGTCAGAAAATACTCACTGGGATTGTCCATGTGTTTTTTTAAATTTTATTTAAACTACACTAATAACTTGGGGTGTCCTAATACAACTTTCAATACGATACAACACAATACCAATATTGTAGCCTTCAGTATTGGCTGATACCAATATTGACCTGCTGATATCGGACATATATTCGATCTCAATATCGTATCAGGACATCCCTTCTAAAAAGGGGTGCTTATTTGGCCCTGTGACTAAGTTTTGCACCTCATATATAGAGACTTCAGTGACGAGACTAAAACTAGGAAACTACACACGAAAGTATGTGAGGTCGCATTATGACAACCCATCACACACTCGGTTTGTTTGTCCACTTTGGTAGAAACACTTCAGTAGACTGTCTAACTTAAACTTTTTTAATGTCATTATTTGCCTAAATACATGTCAGAGCTGCTGGTTGAGTACAAAGCATCTAGACCCCTCAGGTTGTCAGGAACAGGTCTACTTATGGTCCCCAGGGTCTGAACTAAGCAGGGCGAAGCTGCATTCAGCTTCTATGGTCCAAACAAACTTCCTGAACACCTCAGGTGTGCACAAACTGACAGCTCATTTAAATCAGGGCTGAAAACATCTTTTCCTTCTACTTTGATATCTGCTATTCTGTCAGTTTGAACTGTTTTAATAATTTTAAAATACATTTTTATAATTTATTGATTTTTAATTGTTTTAATCTCTCTTTTTTCATTTTAAATATATCTCCTTGTATTTGTAAAGCATTTTAAATTGGCTTGTGTATGAATGTTGGCATACAAATAAACTTGCCTTTATTATATATATTTATATATTTGCTCTATAGGCCATTGATTGAATTTGGGCTCTAAATAGCCACTAATGGCAGTTTTCATACTCGCCCCAAAATTGACCAGTTAAGAAATCAGAATCGATGTTTTTACAAGGAGAGGGACAAAATATCCATATAGCAGAAACATCATCCTGACCTTAATGAGACAGTTACCATATGTCAAGACTTAACGCAGTGATGCCCACTTTATCATGAGTTACATATCCTATTGCATTATAAGTAACCTTGCGTTTCCCAACCCTAGTCTGTACCTTAAGTCAAAGTAAACAAACTTAGCAACACCAAACGTAAGAGTAAGAGTAACGTAAGTTCAAGACTAAAAATCAGGGGATCATTAAAATCATCCTGACTCATCCTCTGGAGATCATGATCATCTCTACTGACGTCTATAGCGATCTATCTGACAGATAGATTCGCCGAAGTGCTGACTCAATAGACTAACATGGCTACCCGTGGAGCTAAAATGCTAACAAACTTTTTTTTTTACAGGGTTCAACTTTTTCACCATAAATTAAAGTCACGGTGACACTAATGTTGCTTTTGGCTTCAACTTCTCACCTCCAATTAACACTTCTATTCTTACCTCTCCTTTGTCTTTAATGGCGCTCTTTTCACAGTTTGGCATAATATCTGTCACAACAAGAAAGCTTTGTATCGTGACTCTTATCTCAAAATTCATTAGGCACAAACACAGAGAGGAAACAGCAGCGAGTATGCAGCCTGCGAAGATAACACAGAGCCTCGTTTGTCCGTTTATTTCAGACTCATTACTCCAGAGTCTCAGAATTAATGATTCGATGACTTATTGGTGATAATACTTCAACTCTTTTATCTGTTTTAATGAAAACAACAAAGTGAATCTGATTTTTTTGGTAACATATTTCCTCTCTGGTTCAGTCCTGGAGATACTGTACACTTTTCAGATTTATGAGTTTAGCCAGAGAAACCAAATCTCTAAATTAGAACGAACGTTGAGGTGTTTTTTTGGTGATAATGACTAGAAATAAGTTAGTCTTCAAACTTTTGTGTTAAAACTGTAAAAGTTTGTGATTTTTGCTCCTATATGTTATTTTGTTCAGTCAAGCTCCACGTGTTCGTGAAATAACGAGCTAATTTCTGAGCCGTTTTCTTCCACATCACCGCTCTGTGAGCTTTAGGTTCAGGGATCATTAGTTATATAACCTGTTCAATTTTTCAGATTTGTATGGGTGGTTTGAACATTTGTGCTACACGATTAGTGTTTTCTTTTGTCGCTCTATCTGTATACATAAATATAGTATGGTACATTATATTAAAAATGGTTTTAGCCGAAAAAAAGCAGCTTCAACCAAATTTTTCTTTATTGGCCGTTAGTGTGCGATAATGTAAAGTATCTGTGATAAATAAAAACCTACTTTTTAGTTGATAATTCACCACAGTGGATGTTTTACTTGGTTAATTCGATGGTTTTAAGTCTTCACCAATGCAACATAATGCTTATTTTGTTCATTTAAGAACTGATAACAGGATATGCTGCTTCCTAAATATGGTCCTATTTGTAGTAAAAGACATTGGCTCCAAATCTTAATCAGTCTTTATTTAATGTACTTAAACTGTGAATTAATATGACAAGGACACATAAACTAGAGTCTTATCAGCAGCTCTCTCTATTATAAACCGATGACGGATCCGACCAACAGACTACAATAGAGGATTCTATACTTTTCAACATGGGCTGTAAACAGACGTTCCTGTTTGTCATGAACCAGCAGAGATATGTGACTGCCACTCTCCTGAAGAGGGACTCATGATGCATTACCGGCTGAGTGTCTTTGTCAAGGACCCTTTCTAACAGCTCAAGTGGCTCCACATGGACACACCTGGCTGTTTACGGATCGTTTCTGTGATGTGGCACTAACTGATGGTTAAAAACTAAATATGACACATTCAGGTCGGTATGATTCAGTACTTTTTGTTCCGTTTTCTGTTTCTTCTACAAACAAAATTCTCAGACGCTGCGACGCTTTGAGCATTTGTCGTTGTCGTTATTTAGTTTAAAGTCTAAGTAAGCGATTGACAGCTTAATACTTTCAAATTGACATTGAAAGAGGAAAAATTGTGGTTCTTTGAAAAAGAAACTGAACAATCTTGAGATTTGTTCAACATGTTTTTACTCTTACATTTCTGACCATGAGATTTTCTGCTCTCAGAGGATTTAATGTGATAAATAGTTTTTATTATCCAGCCGCACAAATGAGAAACAACTCAGTGGAGATGCTCTGAAGTGACTGATTGAAAAGTTGAGCTCCAAAAACGGAGGGTATAATCCTCACACAGATGGTCCAGGTTCAAGTCAGACCTGCAGCTCTACTCCTCCCTCACTTCCTGTTTCCAACTCCATCCTCCGTCCCATCCTCTCAAAATAAAGACTAAAACCCCAAATAAATCAGAAAACAAAAAGTTAAAAGGAAATTTGAATCCTTATCAATCAGTTATGGGAGTCTGGTTTGGTGTGGTACAGTTTGATACTAGCGCTGCACAAATTTGGCCAAAAATAAAATCCCTATTTTTTTCTCTGAAGACTCAATTTCCGATTTCAATTTCAATTTCATTATTCAGGGACAACTTCACCAAACTTCACTTTTGGATAGGCGTCCACATGGAGATAAAATGGTGGTCGTTTACGGATTTATGCGCTCTCTGACTCATTTTCAGAAAGTACCATTTACAGTCACCTAAAATGCCGTTTCCGTGTAGATGAAACACCGATATGACAAAAAACGTTTGCGTTTACTCTTAAATTCAATTCCATGTGGACGGGTTGATACCGCTTGCAGACATACTTTGCAGGGGGGAGTGGTTTGCTCTTCATCCGAAACTGCGAAGCCGAACAAATTCCACAAGACTTACTCTTGCACCTTTTAGCCATGAAATTATCTGCCTCTTTTGCAAACGCCATATTTATTTACACTGGTGTCTGTAGGAACTGGGGAGCGCTCTTGCAGGAAGGGGGAGCCTACGGTGACCTGGAGGAGTGAGACACGATAGAGAAGAAAATCGATTTGACGATTTTAAATTTTTTAAACATCAAAATTAAATAATCTGATTATGAGTCAAAATTGATTAATCGTGCAGCCCTATTTGGTACCCTGATCTGGCTTGAGTTCCCACCGCACACCCTGACTCATACAGTCAAGTAGACCTTGTGCGAACAGTCCCAAAACAGAACCCTTCAGACCACAGCTGTTGCCGACTCAGAGTCTCATAGAAACCCGATAATGCAAATGTCAATTTCAACAAACTCAGGAATATCAGAGCCGTGGAGGAAGTCAGCGCCAACAGATGTAGAGTTTCGTTAGTGACAGCCTTGTGAGGAGGAGGAGGAGGAGAAAGACAGAGGATGGCCCTGCTCCATATTAGCTACTTCACATTCACATAATAAGTGAATCCATTAATACCCCCCCTCCCTCCTCTTCATGTGAGAGCTCTGCACTTTGTGCTTCGTGGTTAGACAGGGGGCTTTTAAGAGAAGCCCACAATTAGCCGCCTAAATGCAAACCTACACATATGTTGAGTGGAGATTTTATTTGTAATGAAAACAGGCAGCTGGTTTTTCAGGCCCTGAAGAAAACAGGAGTGAGTCATCCCCTGGAAATAGTCACATTCACTTCGCCATTATGCGCCTTCAGTCCAAGAAGTGTGTTCGTGCTGCTCTGGGCGCCTCATTTGGTTAAGAAAACCCAAAAGCAAATGAGTGCAAACACAGGGAGCATAGCAACAATGTCTCCTGCTGTCTGCCTGAAAATGTAAAAGATAGCGTGTAATGGAAAAGTAGAACCGTCTGCAACCCTGTCAGGATTTGTTAACGTCTCACAACCTCGCAAGGAAACTAATTAGTGTTACGATTTATTTGGTGGGTGGCTGAAGGTAATGGATTTGACCCTCTTCTGTTGAATAGAGGCATAACATGATTTCGGCTGATTACAGGAGGACAGTGCAGCGTTCAAGCATGTCTGTTGGGAGAAAATGAGACACCCGGCTTACCGAAGTCCACAAGTTTGATCCCTCCGTGCGTCGTCAACAGGATGTTATTGCCTTTGACGTCACGGTGGATGGTCTTGTTGATGTGCAGGTGCTGGAGGCCCTGCAAAACAAGATGTTACAGTGTTTGTCTGACATGTACCCAACATCATTATCTTTTTAGTACTTTTTCTGGTGCCACTTCACAAGTAAGCATCACTGATGGTATTTAAACTTGTTTTGGAGCATCCAGACTGTGCCTTTTATCCATATTTCCTCAAGACAATGCCAGCCGAGTCATATTCTGCACATATGACAACGGCATGGCTCTGTAGTAGAAGGGTCCAGGTGCTAAACTGGGCTGCCTACAGTCTCAACTTGTCACCCATTAAAAAATTTTGGCGCATCATAAAACAAAAAGAGAAATGAGACCCTAAAGAGCGAAGAGGTGAAATCCTAAATCATGCAAAACTTTAAAAACTAGTCTTCTGGTTCCAAAATGTCAACAAAGTACCATTAAATGAAGAGGTTACAGTAAAAATGGCGTAGGTACCAGATGTGTTCAGGCTAGGGCTGGGTGATAAACGGAATATTTACCTATACCGAAATTTATGACAATAACCAACGCCATTTTGCCCATGTTGGTATGTTCGGTGTCAGAAAAATAAATAAATATAAGTTGGTTTTGGATGTGTGTAGGGAAGGCTATGGTCTCATGTCCCTTTCACCCCATCCAGTCCGTAACAAAGAGGGAAAGACAGGTGAGGAGATGGAGGACGGTTCAAAAGTTGCAGCGGCTGGAGCGGCAGCTGAAGTAGACAAAGTTCATGTAGGAGGGGGTGAGCAGCTCATGGAGTAGTTATCGTCCATTTATCGTTATCAAGGTGAACTGCTCAATATATCGTGATATTGATTTGAGGCCATATCACCCAGCCCTAGTTTGGGCTGTCAGATCAGCTCAGGGCCCAGCGTCTGTTGAAGACGTCACACTACGGCAAGTCCACTCGGACAATCTACATTGCGCTTCGTTTAATAAGTCAAATGTGCTCGGTTAAAAGCCCCTCGCAATTGTTTATTCAATTGACCTCGAGATTTTCTCTCCATATAATACAGAGAATTACAACTTACAGTACTGTAATTTTTAGATGGCTTCCTTTTTATATGTTAACATTTTTAACGGAAAAAAAATGTACGCAGGATCTCCGTTTATCAATAAATAGTTTTGTTTTTATTCCACATTTCCTTTGACGACCTAAAAGCGGTAGCCCGGCTGCCATAAATCCCTTATGGTAAGTAACGATAGATTGCTTCGTAAAGTTCGTCCAAGAACTTTAATTCTATGAAACCTTATCTGGTGAAAACCACTCCTGTAATGTCCAGACCAACCACAATCTTCTACGCCATCTGAACCAACTTCCAGCCAATCATATAGCGTGACGTCATCAGTAGGCGCTGGACCCAGAGCCGATCTGGCAGCCCAAACACATCTGGTACCTACACCGGAACTTTCCTGGAGTGTGGTAATGAAATCTGAGCATAAATCTGTCATGAAACAATAAAATTTTCCACCCTCAGCTTCAAGTATGTTTTTTTTTTTTGCTCTCTTTTGCTGCAAAACATCAAATTCATTTTTTTTTTTTAACAACATTTAACACATTTTTCCTACTCTTATATAACTATAATCATTTCAGTATTGTCTCCATTCACACATCCAAACTTACCATAAGGGCCTCATGCAAGATGTAAGCAATAATGGCTTCATCCATCCTGTCTCCTCTTTTCAACATTCCTTTAGCCAAATCCGTCACAGAGCCACCGTTGCAGAGCTGCAGCAGAAAAAAAGAAAAATGACAAACATGACTCAGCACTTACTTCTTCTGAAGTTATACAATATGCTGAAATCTTTGAGCATCTGAGATATGCTGAATGTAAGGCCGGGGAAAGGCAGAGGATGAAAACGTTTTGATCATGAGATTTCACAACGGGGGGAACAGAGATGCTGAAAGTAATTGTGTCAATCTTTAGCAGCTTATCTTTCTGAGGCAGCTTAGCGAGAGGTGAAAATCGTGCCTGCGGGGGGAGAATGTACATTTTTGCATGCAGGGTTTAATCTACGCTTTGATGAATAAGCAGGGTAAACATTAAACATGCACAAATCATCTTAAAATGAAGTACATCCTCTTATGTTTTCAAAACAATGCCAGGGTTTATATGAGGAATTACACGCTTTTCCACGGGACAACATTTTGTACTGCAACAGACTGTACTGAGACCAAAATCACTTTCTTCCTCTCATCATAAAAGACTCTACATACGCTGTAAATACGAGTGTTTTCCTGTAGTGCACCGCGTCTAGATGGACTCCACCATCAATAGCAACCCCGCTCGGAAAATTACAGAAAATTGCCCAGTAGGTTGCCTTGGCAACAATAATAACCCTTAATTTGGGCCTTTCTTTGGGAGATGCCGGCGCTATATGAAAATAAAAAGCTTTAAGATGTCAGACACAGAGCTGGGGGGGCTCGTGGATCTTCCAGATCCTGGGTGCAGATGTTGTCTGTAAACACTTTTTTTCACCTCGTGTGTTAAGAGATATAATCAGCAACCCAGTAAACAAACAAACAAACAAACAAACACATCATCTTTCCTTATTTTTATATAGTTCAACTCACATCTGAAGTCCCAACTGCATGGAAAATATGTGTTTTACATGAATTATCCTTCATTTCCTCAATGTATGAAACACTTGCTCTCGTATAATTACACCAATTTCCTCTCCTTGTGCGCTGAAAGATTAATTAGACGGTAGATGTGCATTTCTTTGTGGTTATTAAAGATAAGAATCAGTCGCCCGGGGTGAGCGTACAAAAGAGATCATGCAGCACACACACTCAGAGAAGAGAGAACTGAAATCACAGCAGGATTTTACGTACAACATTTTATCAGAACTGAATTTTTATACACAACAGTAGAGTTTGGGTTCATAAGTCTTTCTAAATCCTCATGCTACTTTAAAACATGGCAAAGATTTAGTAGGGGGACCATCAGAAGTCACTGGGAACAATTTGGGGTTTCAGTGTCTTGCTGCAGCAGGTGGGATTCAACCACCAACCTTCTGCCACAGCTACCCAACTAGGGCTGGGTGATATGGCCTTAAATCAGTATCCCGATATATTGAGCAGTTCACCTCGATAAATGGACGATAACTACTCCACAAGCTGCTCACCCCCTCCCACATTAACTTTGTCTACTTCAGCCGCTACAACTTTTGAACCGTCCTCCATCTCCTCACCTGTCTTTCCCTCTTTTTACGTTGAGTCACTTCTCTGACGTAGGACAGTGTCTTACAGGGACATGAGACCATAGCCTACCTACACACAAACAAAACCAACTTTTATTTATTTATTTTTAAACAGAGTATATCAACATGGGCAATGATGATTTCGGTATCTGTAAATTTTCGGTTTATCGCCCAGCCCTATACCCAACATGTGTGATATTTTGAGAAAGTCCTGAGTGCAAAAACAGGAGCATCACATTACATGTTACATTATAACTTTATAAACTGGGACCTTTTCAGTCTTTTCATTACATTTCCACACACACAGAGCTCGATTGCTTCTGTACATATATTTCCAAAGTGATTCTAACTGAGCTAACCACAGGAAGCTGTGAGTCACTGCAAACACTCACAGCTTACAGCAGAACAACAACTTTACATAGAGCAATGTAAGATGACTGTAGGGATGGGGCTATGCTTGTTATCTCCATGATAATGTATTCATTCTGCTGGACTGCATGCAGGCCAGTTTACTACAGGATCTGGGCTCTCCTACTGCAGAATGTGGATTTGATTGACAGTCTGATTGAAATATGTAAATTCCCCGGAAAAGAAAAATCTAGAAAGGAGCATATGTTGCTCTAAAAACTGCACATATTGTTCAGCAGTGAAGGAGCCTTGAACCATCAGGGATACTGGTGTCTGAGCGAAAAACAAACATGGGACAGTAGCGGCAGTAGCTCAGGAGGTAGAGCGGTCGTCCAATGACCGGAAGGTTGGCGGTTCGATTCCCCCTAATCCAAGTCTGAACCGTTGTGTCCTTGGGCAAGACACTTAACCCACCTTGCTCCCAGTGTGTGTCCTCCACTGGTGTATAATTGTGAGTGTTATGTGGTGGTGGTCGGAGAGGCCGTAGGCGCAGAATGGCAGCCACGTTTCCACCACCACCAAAGTGTGACTGTGTGAGCGAATGAATGATGTATCCAATGTAAAGCGCTTTGAGGGTCTCTGATAAAGCGCTATATGAAATCTGATGCATTATTATTATTATTATTACAAAGCGTCTAAGATTTCCAAAACGGAAGTCCAATCGTGATTCATGAGACCACATGATAGGTTTACACCACACCTCTCTTCCCACCGTCTTCAATTCAACCTAATTAGTTAATAATACGCAGCATCCCAAGTTTTTATGAATTTGGGTTGTAAAGGCGTTATCTAATACTTAAGTATCAGACTCTAGAGATGATAGGTCCTTGGGTATAATTCCGAAAAGAGCCCTCATCCCTCTTGACAAGTGAAACAGTGTGTTCAGTTTTGAGACATTTGAGGTCGTTTTTCATCTCTTCAGCCTCTTTCTTTGTCATGATTTTCTCTCTGCTTGTTTTAATTGCTTCTCTATGATTTTTTTGTAGTTGTCTGGTTGACCACAAGAAACCACAAAAGCCTCTTCAGTAATCTTCTCATGCTGTAGATGCTGACAGCGAGGAAAGATTTTGACCTTGAATATGCTTCGGTATAAGTTTTTAACGCCTCGTCTCTGTTTTCTATCTGCCCATCAATCTACCTATCCATCAGGAGCCCAGAGAGCTGTTGCAGGATGGATGGCGAGTATCTCAGCTGCCACATGGGGAGCTTAATCACTCCTCCTCTCTGCGCTCAGACGTGCTGACAAACTGCAGTTAAGCGGAGAATACCACTGAGGCTTTCACAGAGAGCTGCGCCTGACGTCAGCGCATCACTGCCGCCATATCACCTGTCATCATTAAATTACACAGGGCAGACAGAGAAATCCATATTAATGAGAGGTCCTGCGCCCTAGTTTAAGTAGAGCTAAACGTTAGCGCTCTCACCTCAGCCGCAGAAAGTGATGAACATTAATTATTCAAGGCGGGGTGAAGACTCAAATCTCTGCGAACTGAGAGCAAAAGATGAAAACAGAGCGTGGTGTTAGTTCAGGCAGGCTGCAGAGTCCAGGTGGTTCATCTGATCTGGATGCCAGTTCATATCAGCTGACATCTTTGCTGCTGCAGCTCATGTACGCACTTAAACAGACCTTTACCACCAAATGTAACTCAATGCATACAGATGAGTTATAAGTGAACCGGAAGTTGTTTGATCCTTTCAAAATAAAAGCAAATATACTCAGAGTACATTTCTTTTTTCAAGTCCAAAGTTGATTCGAAGCCTTTCAAAATACAAGCAAATATACTGGAATACATCCAAAGTTGATTTGTAGCCTTTCAAATAATAAAAAAAAAACCGATATATTGAGCAGTTCACTTCAATAACGATAAATGGACGATAACTACTCCACAAGCTGCTCACCCCCTCCCACATTAACCTCGTCTACTTCAGCCGCTACAACTTTTGAACCGTCCTCCATCTCCTCACCTGTCTTTCCCTCTTTATTACAGGCTGGATGGGGTGGAGTCACGTCTCTGACGTAGGACAGCGTCTTAAAGGGACATGAGACCATAGCCTACCTACACACATCCAAAACCAACTTTGATTTATTTATTTTTGTGACACCAAATATCCTGATATGGGCAAAATGAAGTTGTTGTCTATCTGTAAATTTTTGGTTTATCGCCCAGCCCTACACAAGACTTTAAAAGGAGGGTCAGCTCCAGTGCTTTTTTAGCTGCCTCCTCTGTATTTCTAACCAGGACTTTCAATTTCCAAAGAAAAATAAAACAGATGACATTGTAAAGTGAGAAGGATGCTCTCCATTACAAATGAGGTCAGGTGCTGGTTTAGTCATGTAAATCCAAGTATTTGATCTAAGATGTGTCAAAGACACGGATGAAACGGGGGACAGGATCAAACACGCCGACTTTACCTGCTTTTAAATACAAAGGTGCTGATTTTTAAGTCACCTCCTTTGGTGCGCAGATGTATGTATGTTTCCCCTGAACATTTACCCACAATCGTGTTATCAGATCCATGCAGGCGCATTGTGTTTGCAACACTAAATAATCATTTGTGTTCTTTGTGAGCGTGTGCACATGACAGGATGAGAAAAACGCTCCTATTGTTACAGCGGCCTTATCGGTTACGCCGACATAAAGGCTGAGGTGTCCACTTCCTGGCGTCATCACTCAAACAGGGAATACTATTTTAACCTCATTGTCAATTAAGGGCTGTGCAGTTGATGTCGGGATATGAGGGCAGAACAATTTAGGACAAAGACTGAGAAGGGTCAACGAGGGCTGAGCGGTTTAGTTTTTGACTTCAGTAGAAACACAGCTTGATACAGAGGACAAACAAAAGGCTCAGAAACCAACGCACACAAGGAGACGTAATAAACACCAATTTTAATCTATTACTATTTTGAATTTTGATTTTGGATGTGCAAAAAATTTAATCTGCCTCGACTAGACCAGCTGTTCATCCTTTTGTTTCTGTGTCACATTACCGGCTCTTCCCGACTGGGAGATCCACTGGATTCAAGACCTGCTTCTAACTGGTTCTGGAGGGCATACAGGTCCACATCCAGTGTCATCTGGGCTTTGTGCTCTGCTCATTGTCATGCTGAGAGGTAAATCTGTATACAAGCTTACAGAGTGCCTGCCCTCTCTTAAGCTGTTTTCTCTTATGGACCCCGGAGAACAAACCTTGGAACAATAAGGTTGGGTCAACGTCCGGAGACAATCTCCTCTGCACGAAGCACATATGGGGCATTGTCTGCACATGACGTCCTAATTCAAGATTACTGTACAAGAGTTTAACTTTTTATCTTTGAGACTGTGTCCACAATGAAGGTTTTTCTCCTCCACGTGATGCTACAAACTCTATCTGACTGACATGTTCCTCTTTCTCTGCATGGAAGCTGAAACTCTCAAAGATGCCCGTTCACCTCTGGTCCTGGCACACGGCCCTTCATGCCCAGTTACTTCTTCCATTGCCTAATGACAGAGGCCATTTATTATTAAACACTCGCGGCTCTTTCAGCCTTCTCAGTGTTGTCACTATCAAATCTCTTCTGCCATTAGAAACGCACTGAAGAAAAAACAGAGTCCGATCTGATTAAGCACGCTGAACAGCTGTTCTATCACAACACACAGGTGCTGAAGTGCTACTTCAGATTTAATAACATCATAAAAAGATTTTAAAGGTGTTGTGAGGATCAATGAGTGTCACAAATAAGTTGGTTTACTGTATAACAAGTATATTGGTCTGCTGCAAACCATTTAAATCTTGTGTTATACTGCAATGGTGCAAAAAGCAAGCATCCTTGAGGGGTTTGCATGAATGTCAATGGCATGTGTAGATTGCTAGGAGGATACAGTTAATGTCAAACGTGGGTATCCAGACAACATATGCAGTATTTTGTTTTTTCAGCGAGGCGATGAGGTGAGAGGCATTATACTAGGGTGACCGTCCGTCCTCTTTTACCCGGACATGTCCTCTTTTTTGCGGTCTATCCGGCGGTAGTTTATAAAATCCTTTCTGTATGGAAGTTTTGAGTTTGTGTAGTGAAAAATTTTGCGGGCAACTCCGCCCCACGTATTGGAGTCCTCTTTTTGGGGATTGAGAATATGGTCACCCTACATTATACATCAGCACAGCTCTATGTTCAAAAAGTATGAGTGCCTTTTAACTTGTCACCGCTTAAACAAAGACGACTCAAAACCTGCTGAGTGACTGAAAACCTCTATCATGGGTCGACACTGAACTTTCAAAACTTCAGAAACTGTCCTCCACATTTCACTCCAATGTAAAAAAAAGGGGGTGCAACACAAATGTCAACATGTCACTTCACATCAAATGTAAAAAGAGCGTCTATTTCTCATAAGACAACCTACATTTATAGTTTCAGAGACTGAAAAGACTGAAACTGTTTCTGGTGCATCTTCATGACCTTAAAACAAGGTTCCTACACACGTAAAGAAAGTCTGGAGAAATACAGAAGTAATTTGATCAATTCCAAGGTCTTCAAAAGTATGGTAAATGAAAAATAAAGTATGGAAAAATATTTAGGTTTCTAGACTATTACCACAGTTAATGAAAATACTGTTTTCTACAATAGAAAAGTACGTATTTCCAAAAATAATTCTAAAAAGTAGGGTTTGGAAAAGTACTGTATAGAATGTTAAAAAACAAGACCATCAGCAGCAAGACCAAAAACATCTCTGTCATGATACTGAATCCTCACAGTGAGGGATACATGCATGTCATCAGGATTAGGTATCTGTCTGAGAACACCACTTTCTCACTGCAGCCTTTATTACAGGTTTTAGATAATTATACTTACAGTTATAAATATCTTTCACAGCACAACCCTTCCGTTGTTCATTCTCAGCTAACTTTAGCTGCTGTCATGTCAATTAAACTGCACAGCTCTGTACTAACACAAAGGTGTTAATATTTATGCTGTAAATAAATCACATCTTTTCATGCAAACAATGAAATCAGCAGTAATGCTGTTTAATCTAGCTCCTGGATATTGTGACTTTTCTTCTGTGCACAATAAAAAATGAGAAACGCGTCTCGAAGCCGAGCTTTTAAAGACGGGACCAATCATTTCTCTTTATTATACAGGATCCTCGGATAAAACACGGCCGCCCACAAATGAAACGCACTTCCCAATCATGTTTGTATTTCCAATTAGAGAATAAAAGTCGCTCCATCATTGCCATCTTTGAAGTTTTTTCACACACCACAGGAGCAGAATTAGGCCGTCATACATGAAAGCTCGCTCTCCTCTGCCCATATCCGCTATCATAAAGGAGCACACAAAAGAGGCAAAGCCAAAAGCTCACAGACCCCAATGAAGGGCTAACAAAGAGGAGGATGCAATTTGTATGAATTGGGTTCATAATGAGCGCTGTGCTGTCAGCGCGGGGCAGAGAAAGGCTCTCCTCAGCACAGCTAAAGGATGGAAAATTACAGTTTGGAAAGGAGGGACAGTAACCATGGTGAATGACCACCTCACTGCCTGCTTTCCTGTCTCTTCACTGCCAAAGCCCCTTCAGAGTACACACACATGTGCACACACACACAGCTCCACACAGCCACTTACTAAACTGTCAGGCTGTGATTTCAGCCTCTGGATTAGCCACCAGATTTGGACTGCTGGCTGCAGATTTCTGAAAGAGAAATCTGAAAATGGTGATGCAAAACCACAGAAGGGAACATGGAGTAAACAAAGAAACCCGAAGCTGAAAGAACATGGAGATTCAATTTTACACAAAAAGAACCGAGTTCAGGAGGATAAAAACCGCCACGATACAGAACTAACAATTACCACCGAGCAAAAATAAGAACCATCTGTCAGAGAGAAGTCTTTGTCTCTGTAATGATTGTTCTGCGTCTTGGATTGTACTTGATATCTGAGCAAAGTAATTGAAGGGTCCTCGGAGAAGGTCAGGAGGAAGGACGGTGATGAAAAGGGAAGGAAACTCAAGCTGGAGAGGTGAAAACTATCTACTGGGTTAGCATAACACCGCTGCTGTTGATTCAGAGCTCGCTGAGCTTCGATTACAGAAATATGGACACTGTGTTCTCGCGCTGATAATGGAAAAATACGGCACAATGTGGAGAGCAAATGAAAGAGACGGCTCCATCTTTTCACAGAGCGTGGAGAGAATCTTGGTCGAGAAATGTCTGTATGTTCAATTTACTGTAGATCAGAGAAGAAAAGACACTTAAATTAACCTTTATCCTCAAATTAATTAGCTTTTTTTTTACAACTTTAAATCCTGTGTTGAGAGTTATAGTTTTAACTATAAGCTGTTAGTATTTGTGATCCATCTGCTGCAGTTTTATGCCAAAACAAGGACTCATATTATAATACACAGACTGAGCTCAACAAACTTCTGCCACACTGAAGATCTCAAAAGTTTATCTGTGAGTTCTCAGTTAGGGATGGGAATCGAAAACCGGTTCTTGTTGAGAACCGGTTCCAAATGGTTTAATCCATCGACATCGTCTACATTTCGTCTTAACGATTCCTTTTTTACAGGTGCCTTGAAAAACGGTCTTGTGAGATCTAGTCTACACGAACGAGAACAGAGACTTTGAGGAAAAAAACATGGTGGATGTTACAAAAAGTAGGCAGAAACAATCTTAAGTGTGGCTTTATTTTACTAAGAAAGATGACAACAGGTTTTATATTGAAGTTTTGAGCTAGTGTAGCGTGGACTAACGGAGTTAGAAGCGCATAAAAACACTTGACCCAACCTAAAAAACACTCAAAATATTGTGCTTTTCCTCTTTTTGGGGTTTAAGAATATGGTCACCCTAATTTGACTTAATACCTACCAAAGCAAATGCTGTACAAATAGATTGAGTTAAGGGTGAAAACCTATAGTCTACTTTTTTTCCAAATCAAAGAAAAGCATTGATAAAGGAATCATTAAAGAATTGAATCAATTAGCAGAATCAATAATGGCACCAATATCGATAAAATCTTATCAATTCCCATCCCTATTCTCAGTGTTTTCAGGCCATCAGCTGAGTTTGCACTCATAATTGAGCAGCATGTTGATGAAAAACACACATAGCGCACTGCAAAGATGGTAAACTCAAAGACGGTGTCTCACTCTGAGGTTTAAAATGCCAAAACGTAAGATGTGGAATCATGCAGAACAAAACGGTGACCTCAAACAGAGTTAATCAAAGTACAAGAAGTACAAGAAGGTGATGAAGAGGAGGTTTCTGAGCAGCTGGTTTGAGATTTGTTTGATGTCATTAGTTTTCGCCATAACCTACCACTCAAACTTGTGGGTAAGTATCTTATTTGACTTTTCTAACTGGTGTTCTCAAGACAGAATGAGTCAAAAAATATAGATTGGAACTATAATATTTTTTATCTGACTTTTTTTGTTATCGCCAGAATGGCAAAACTTATCCTGCTACATTTTTAGCCCATATCGCCCATCCCTACTGATGAGAAACATACAAAATTGTCTTAAACAGAAACAGGAAAAAGATGATGCTAAAATCAAGGTTGTGATTCTGTCATCAGAAAAACAAGATGTGATGTTTTTTCCATATCGGTCACCCCTAAAAGATTAAAGGAGTGAGAAAAGTGCATGTTTCGGTTTGCAGAAGGACCTTGTTGGTCAATTTCAACCGTTAATCTCATGACTCCACCTGCCACATCACCTCTGCACAAGCCTTTGCATTATCTCCAGCACACGATAAAAGTGCGAAAGTATGTGGCGATAATCAGGAGGTGCATTTTCCATATTCCTTTACATTCACAGCTCTTAACTGATCAGCAGGTCACATCCCCACTGCAATTACAACACTGCGAATAAAAGTGCTTTGTTACATCGACTCTACTTCAAATTTTAAACTGTGCTCGAATTCTTCTTATCAGCTCCTCGGTTTTCTGACCCTGTTTACCAGACCTCTTCTGCTCTCTATCAAAGCAGCAACACAAGTGACACGGTTAGAAAGTCAAGAGGCAAAGAAAAAACCCACGACCGTCACCGTGTACGACTCCACAAACACTTTCCCTCCGCAAAGGCTGACCTCCATTACATGTTTGTGTACAGCCTGACATTTGATAAAGGCTGCAGCAGGCAATGAAATATGAAAGACACAGAGCTGGGGAGCTAGGGCGCTGCAGGCAAGGCTTTTTTAGACGTACGGGGAAGCAGCTGCAGCAGCAAGGTCCCCTTGAGCTCGCACATAAAATACAAACAAATTCAAACTTGCGCACAACCTTTCCTGTATGCCAGCAGGTGCACCAAAGCAGCTTCAAAGTCAAATAGTGGGATTTGGTCAAAAAATGGCTCAATAAATTCTAATTCAGAGTCGAGTTTCTGCGCCGTGGTCAATATTCTGATAACTGGAGATGATAGTTAATGAGATTTCATTAATACTAGTGTCAACATTGTCTTTTATCAATGCCCGTGGATTCAAGAAGGTTTTCACACTGCTGAGACAGCAGCAAAGGCCTCTGATTGGACCTTTACAGGTCAGCTGATAACAGATAGAGCCTCTAATTGGTCTACAGGCCAAAACAAAGATGGCAGCCTTCAATGAGCATGTTTAGCCAACAGCAGAAACCACGTTATATCACTAAGATCAGTTCACAGACTGCACTTGCTTTAGAGAGACTGGACCTGGACAGTCTCTGAAAAGTCTAGTCTAAAAGATTCCTATCTGTAGTGACACACAATAAAACAAACTTTATTCAAAGAAGATCTATGCTGATCTGTATTTCTAACAAATATGATGTTGCAGTGTTCGATGTTCATCCTTAACTACAGCAAAGTTTCCCTTCTCTGGATGTCTCTTTTGAAGGACTTTGTAAGATTTGGCCTGAGCCTGATGTCAGGGTCTGCCGTCCTATCAGAAAACGGGTAAAGGACACGCCCACTTTTCCAAAAGATAAAGAAAACTGTGAGAAGTCACAGGATTTATAATGTCGCTTTTTGTGCTCCCCACTTTATTGGTGACAGCTTTGTAAACAAACATCACTAAAGTTAGATTTGCATCTCAACTTGGAGCTATTCTATCTTTGAAGACCATGCCATGTGTCCAACTGTACGGACGGTCTTTGCTGTAAATCATGCACAGCTGTTCAGTCGGTGTCTCAGACTGAGATAGCGAAAGGTGAAACTGAGTACAATAGGTCTCCTTCTAGGGTTTCCATGTCTATCAGCCGATGTGTTACACAACACCGGTGTTTGTGACATGCTGCTCCTTAATTCAAAACAAATCCAAAAAGCACCCCCCTCCTCTCCTAAACAGGCACCGAGCCATCTGAGGGGAGCTGATAGCTTGCTTAAACTTCAATGAAAATGGGGTTAGAGTATTACACTCATTCGTTCATCAAGTACTTACACAGTGCGCATGCTGAGTGATAAAGCAGTGCTATTCCACATCAAATAACTTGAAATACAGACTGTTTCACATGCATAAAGAAAACTGTGATTTATTCTGCGACCTTTAACCTGAACAGAGTCAAAATATTCCTCTGCTGCAAGCTGCCAAGTGTATAAACTAATGCAGTGAGACAGCCCCAGTAGACACAAAGCCCTGCTCTGCTGCACTCAGCAGGGAACCCATGACATGCAAGCTAACCACATCCCCCAACACGTCCATGTTGTTGGCCTGCGACCACGTCTCCCAGGTGGCCCTCCAGTTAAACTCCAAGACTGCCTGCGGTGGCTTAAACCGTTACATAATCCCATTGCCGGATTTGCTCACTGCTTCATATACCTGGCGAGACATGCTGTGTGAAGTGCAATCTGACCTGTAATCTGCACTTATTCGCCCTTTTGTCTGCATGCGACGACTGCAGCAGACAGAAAATGTCATTTCAGGTCTCAGGTGTGTTAATCTTACCTCGAGTACAAGCCACAGCTGATCTCCACATTTGATGTCTTTCTTGTAGTACATCCCGTAGAATTTGACCACGTTGGCGTGGTCGGAGAGCGCTTTGAGGATGTTGTACTCCGCTTCGATCTCCTCGTCGATATCCTGAAAGTCAAGTTTTGTGGAGAGACATGTTTTGTCATGAATAAATCCTTATTTTTGACAAAAAAGACGAATTTTTTAAAGAATTGGATGTGATAAAAACAGCACATGCTTGTTTCTATCATCTGCACAGGTTTGACGTCTATTTTTGATACACATCGTGCTAGACTGGGGACCTTGTCTTGATTTAAGTTAGGCTAACAGTCCTCTGAACCTATCTTAATATTTAACTGTCAGTTATAACAGAAATATCACTCTAATAGTCCCGTTTGCACTTTTGGACATCAATCAATCGATCAAACTTAATTTTTAAAGCACTTTCTATACATAGAGTGTAGCACAAAAGCTGTCCATTCACGCAGGATATTAAAAAACTATGAAATAAGATAAATAAAAACACAAATACCAAACCCCACCTACCCTCCCAACCAAGAATCAACACATACAGCACTCACACGCTCACACACACAGATGCACACACAAACAACCAGGTAAGGACACTTCAACTTGCCACAGATGACTCAGGAAATGCTATATTGAAAAGATGAGGAAACACTGGATCTAGGACTAAAACGATAAAACCATGATAAAATATAAGATAAGATATAAGATAAAACATTAAAAGTTAATGAAATAAAACAGTCTTAAAATTAAACAATAACAGGAAGTAAATTAAAAAAAGAGGTAATAAAACACCAACTAGTTACTCTAGGACTAAAATAGTGTAAAATCATGTAATGCAGATTGACAGATTAAAACAAAATTCAGCTAAAAACCAGACTAAAAAGTTTGGTCTTTAGTTTACTTTTAAAAATATGAACATTAGGTCTCGCTCTCAGGTCTGCAGATGGGACTGTAATATTGAAACGATGCTTCACCATATGTTTTAGTTTTTACTTTGGGAACAATTAAAAGACCACCACCTGAGGACCTGAGGGCTCTACCAGGCTCATACTATAAAAGCAAACCAGACAAATAGGAAGGACCAAGACCATTAAGAGCTTTAAAACGAATAAAAGAGCCTTAAAATCTGCTCTAAAAGACACAGGTAAGAGTTCACGGCTAAGAGTTCATCGCTTCACTAACGTTTCCGAATTCCTCTCCAGGGTGTTGGAGGGGTATTTCACATATTGCTGTTATGCATATTTAATGTTAAGGACATACAAACCTATGTTCACCACCTCCGCCATTGTCGTGTCAGTCAACGGCCTCTTTACACAGCTCTGGGTCAACTCTCCTTACTCTGGTCACGTAATAAGTGAAATCTGATCCCGGCTAATCTCTGCTGCGGCTGCACGGAGCAGACACTTTCAGTTTATCTCTTTTGTCTGACAAAGTATTGATAACATGCGTTTACAGGAAAGCAAAACAAGAGCGGAGGCGGTGGTGGGCTGAGTTATGTGATCCATGTTGAGTAGCTTGATAACACCGACTACCAGAGCGGGATTGGTTTTATGTCAGATTTAGAGGAGAGTGTGTTTTCTTGGAAATCTATCGTAGCTTCACTTTAATCCCTCTGTGCATGAAATCATCAAGACTGTTGATGGTAATGATTGTCTTCTTAGTCTAGTGGTCTGCAGATAATCATTTCTCAATAATGAGAAACGGTAACAGCTTAATGAGACTTTCCTGGCCTGGATGCCTGTTTTAATAGAGTCGAGGACTCATCTTTAGAGCAGTTAAATCAGCTGTAAAATTCACCGTACCTTCAAAGTCGAAGAAAGAAAAGGAGTATGAAGTTAAAAACATCAGTAACTGTTTAAAAATATTGTTCGTCTCATCCTGCTGTAATCGGTGAACCCTGTCACAGAAGAGGGGTGCTCTAAAATTACAGACCTTTCGCTCGCTGCCAGAAGTAACATCGTGTTTCTGTGCTCTGTGTCAAAATGTTCTCGCCTCGGGAAAGAATTTCGCTTCACACGCTCCTGCGTAGGTGCCAAATGTGTTTTGGATGATTTCTAAAGGCCCGCACCAGCACAGGGGGCTCAACATGGTCAAAATACGGCTATGACACTCCACGCTGATGAAGCTTCAGCTGCAGTTTGCTGAGTTGATCCTCTGAAGGATACAGATGGAGGAAAAGTTCATTTCTTCACCTCATGAGCAGAGCAGCGTGGGTTATATCTGGCCAAGGGCGAAAATAACCTCTTCTAGGAAACCGTTACATACTTTAATGAACTTTTCAAACCTTAGCAGCTTAACACATGTTGTGCAATTTCATATTAAGGCGTACTTGCTTAGATTAAATGTTGTTTTGCATCAAGAGTCTAGATGTTTCATTGTTTTTCATTCCCATTTGATATTTATGAGAGTAAACAAGGGCTAAGGGCACGAGACAGAAAACGCTGCAATAAAATAAAACACTCTCTTGTTAAAGGGGAAAGCTAGTCAGCACATATTACCATCATGTGCCGTTTTGGGGGAGTTCGACGAGAGCCAAAGTGATTAAAAGTTTACTCAGAGTTTGACTCATGACAAAGATCAGGTCTGGAGATCTGATTATAGTGATTATAACACAATGCCTGAGAGAAAAAAATGGATTTAAACTTCTCAGGGCAGCGAACAGACGACTTAACAGGTAAAATATATGAGTTAACAAAGAGGAGGAGAGATGTTACACAAAATAAAGGTCCTCCTGACGTAATCTGAGTTAGTAAAGCTGATATAAATCCTACAGCTTTAGGTTAAAGGCAGGGATAGTAACTCATCCGTCTTATACAAAGGGACAGTATATACACACTTTAAGCTAATAGCTGCTTCACCAATTAAAAAAAGAGTACGAATGCTGATAAACACAGTCATCACTAAGATACTCTCCACACAGGAGAGTCCACTTACATGGATGGGATCCAGTATCTTTACAGCCGCTTTGCTTCCATCGATTTTGTTCAGCACCTTGTAAACTTTTCCGTAGGTCCCTTTACCGATCGTCTCGATTATTTCCCAGGTGTCTGTTGGATCTGGAAAGTTGTCAAAGACGATCGATTTCCCTGATTGTGGAAACATGTTTAGGAGAGATCTCCTGTGGAAAGACACAAACACATGGATCACTGTGAGAAGGTGGTACAGGCTGATATCTTACACTAGTGAAGACAAAGCCTCCTGACAGCACAGAAACACAACAATAACACAACTTTTTCAGAAAAATCAACATATTACCTCTCCTTGGTCTGCAGGTGGAATAATGAATGCATTTCTTATTTCCTTAACTACGCTACAGACAGAAGAATAACCTGATGAGAGGCTCACCGACTGTCATGATTGTTTGGATTTAAACTGGAAGCACGTCAAGTGTTTAACTAGAGGATAATCCAAGTTAGGTGGTTAATTTTGGGGGTTTGGACCTATAACACTTTCTAAGAAACTGCGCGGTGCTGCGGTTGTAAAAATAAACAATAGACTTAAGGTTATAAAACTTAATTTGACACCTGATAAGCATACATCTTCACTTTTTTCAGACTTCTAGTCCGCAGAGGCAGTTTGTAGGACAAAATTTGAAAGGCTGGTTTAAGCTCAAAGTATGTATTGGCATGCAACAAACTATTATTCGCATTTACAGTCTTTATCTGAAAGCACTCACTATCAAAAACAGTCAGTTTGCAGACTGATGTTACTTCCTGTTATGCTGCATTTAACGTGCAAGTGCTGAAAGCAGATATGATACTGAGGATCACCCTGTTTTATTTTGGAGCAGATCTGACTCATGGTGATTCATGGAGCATTATAACTAGGGGGGTTTAAAGATATTCAGATTGCATTAGTGTCATGTTGGAACATTTAAAGCCTTTAAAATAAATATGACAGACATTAGTTGAATAACTTTATCCCCGGTCATCAAAACAACTGCAAGAATTCACTTGTCAACTCAGTCTCTCTACGCCTGTCTATCCATGCCATTGTTACAGCTATCAGGTAGTCTACATTCACTAAATGCTATTCTAAACCCGAGGTGAGTAAGTGCAATTAGAGAACAAATAGAAACCTGACTTTGCGTGAAGACAAAAAAAGATAGATTAGCCGGAGCCAATCGCAGTATCAAAACAAACAAACAAGCCGAAACACACATCTCACCAAGCTCTCTTACTCCTTCAAAGTCCTGCATTCAAAACACAGACCAAGAAACAGCAAAATAACAGAGTAAAAGGAGAACAACAAACTTACATTTTTTTCTTTATAAGACTTGGAACATCTTTGAAAAACAAATTAATCCATTTATGTGCAAAAGGTTAGCTTGGACGTGTGGCAGGCCAGCCTGGCCTGGCTGTAAACCACAGAGGAGGAGCCACTGCTCGCTAATCTCAACAGCAATTCCCCTGCGCCGGGGCTGCCATTGGAAACCATCGCTAAGTGGTAGGCAAAACGGTGGGATTAACAGGAATTAGCCACTGCTGCAGCATGAGCCTTTCCCCATATAGATGCCCATTCATACAGAAAGGAAAGCTGGTTAGCTGCCCCGAGTGCATAGGGCTGCAGAGGGCAGCGCCTCTCTTTAACAAAGTGGCCCCTTTTCCTCCTCACTTGAATGTCTGAATGTTTTCTGTGCCTGGCAGTTTCCAGCTATTCTTTTTATCTACATTATCTCAATCTAATTATGATCTCTGAGATAATTTGATCAGTTTGATTCAGTTACTGTAGATAAATCACTCAAGACGGAGATCAAACTGGCACATAGGCAATGTTTTGCAGAGCGTTATCAGTCATCGCTTATGCAAAGCAATTAGACCCCCATACATGCATCCACGCGTAGGTAATTGTACTCATGTTAGCCTAATGTACAGTACCCAAGTAACTGACGGCCCCCCCTCAATAATACATCAGTGTCTCTATATGTGACAACGTGCTGTGACACATGAGACAGGGGAGCGAAACCAAAGGACTCACACTGCACTGGACACCTCCAACAGGAACACAGGCTGCAGCGTGTGTGTGTGTGTGTGTGTGTGTGCATGGTGTAATCCAACCTTTTCAACCCTGGAGCACTAGGTAGCTGTCACTTTTAGTTTGTTGTTTAGGGCTGACACAGTGACTACAGCCACAGATTAAAGTGCATAAAATAATAAAGTGTGTGTGTACAGTATATTGAAGCAATTACTCTCTGTTTGCACTTCTTTGGTTCTGAATATAAAAAGAATTCAAAAATGTAAAAAAAAAGGCCTGTGTCTCTGGTGGCCCTACAGGTCAACTGTATAAACGTTACACGAAACATGAGCGCACAAGAAACTGTTGAACTGCAAAAGGATTAGAGTAAAACTAAAATATTTCGTGAAACACAAAATATTTCTCAGGGCACTTTATTCTTACTAAAATACAAAAATATTTCAAAAAACAAACTATTTCTCTGGGCACTTTTTTTTTACTAAAATACAAAATTTTTCATAAAACACAAAATATTTCTCAGAATCCTTTTTTTATAAAATTCAAAAATATAAAATATTGAATGAAACACAAAATATTTCTCAGGGCACTTTTTTTTCTTACTTAAATAAAAAAATATTTCATGAAACACAATAACATTTGTAGTACAAAGATTTTTTTATGTGGCGTATAAAGCAAAAATAAAAATACTTCATGTAATTCCTAAAAATCAGATTTTATGAATCAGAAAAAGTCACGAAATGCAAGACTATTTTATGAAACGTAATAAAGCCCCAAGAATTAAATTATTTTATTAAATAAAAATTTTATTTACTCAAAAAATGTTAAATAAAACAAAAAAAAATTCACCATTTGGAGCAAAATCAGTTCAGAAACTATGAAAAATATTGTATAAAACGCAAATTGTTTAAATTGAAAATCAGATATGTCATGAACTCAAAATGGATCAACAAAATATTTACAAAATTCTTGCAGACCAAATAAATAAGCACTTCAGCATTAATATGTCTTTGCACAGGAACATAAACTGTATTTTCCTGAAATATTTTTTTAAGGTTAAGCAAAACATATTTCCACTTCATCAAACATTCTTTCATTTTGCAGAACTGTTTTGCATTTCATGGTTTTGAATTTCCCGTAATGGTTTTAGCCGCTATGAAATGTTTGTGCAGTCAACCTTCAAGGCCACCGCAGACGGCAAACGAAGACCTTTTAACGTCAGACTCATCAAGCCCTGAGTAAAAAGTACTTTTTTGTTGCTTCAGAAGAGGTTCAGCCACTTGAGGCTCTTAGAGGAAACACAAGATCCATTTGGTAAAAGTGGACACCGACGTGGACTAATCTGTGACGCTGATGAGTGGGTTAAAGTTTCAGCTTAACCCCGGAGACATACAAGTGTCGGTCAACAAGCCAGAAGGACGACGAAGCAGGACGCACAGAAAACACTGAACATAATCCTTGTTGCTGTTCACAGTCACACGTTTACTTTCTTTATTTCTATCTATTAACCATTTCATTATAAATATTTACTGACCTGCGGTTGCTGATGGTGGGAGAAACAAACTGAACAGACATGCTTACATGCTTACCCACACACACTCAAACATACTCTAAGCACAGGTGAGCATAGAGGTGTGCTGAGCCACTCCTTGAGCTTGCAAATAAGAAATCCAAATAAGGCAGCCATGCTAACAAAGAAAAGAAACCCAGGAGCACACTTCTCATTGTAAGTAGAATAAATAGCATGTAAAGTGGCCAAGAAAAACAAAAATAATCCATCATACTTACTCTGTTTTAGTGCTTTTACATGCTTGAGTATGCAGTTGTAGATGATAGCATTAGCAAGCAGGAGCAGGGTAAAGTTCCCGAGTGCCCAACCTCCTCTGCTATGTATTATACATCAAGATTAAGGAACACAGTATTGCAGAGCATACCAAAGTTATTAGGCTCAAGTAATTAGTTTAAGTAATTAGTTTTAGCATGAGGACCTCCAGCAGCCAGCGGCCAATGAGTCTGATAGTGTCATAAATTAGCCTGGAGAGGACAAGCTAACAACAGGAGAGTGCATGGACGGCAGTGAGGAGCGAGTCAGGTGCAGCAGGCCGTGACAGCACTGGAGCGCTCTCAGCATCGTTTAGCAGTGTCCCATTACACGGGCAGTGCTGGGGGAAGAGCCAGAGATGGACCGGGAGTTTAACAATACAGCCGAAATCATCTTGAGATAAAAGTTTATGACCTTTTCACCTGCTCTATTTGTTTTGGTTTCAAGTACTGGGAAAGACAGCGTCCTACCACAAGGTTTGCGCCAAACTTCCCTTGCTAATTTGCTAACTGGCCATTTCTACAAGCTATTTATTTACAGTTCTGGACAAAAACTTTCCTCAATCACATCCTCAGAAGTTTATTCATGAAGTGGAAAAAGGGAGATTTCATGCAGCCATGACTTGGGCCCTGCCGTACACGAATTATTGATTCTGCTCAAACTGTCAGAAGCTAATTGCTCAAGCAGTGAAGCTGTTAATTTATCACCCTGACTAACAGATGGCACAGTGATTGTTTTCTCCGAAACAGCAAGAGGCATGTATCCATCACAGAGAAACTCGCTCTGAGCCGTCTCTTGTTAGTTAACAAAGCGATAATGACGGCGAGATTCGTGTAATTGTTGTTGCACCAGCTCGATCAACATTTTAAATCCAGTAACTGAAGCTTTTTGAAAATAAATCCAATCAAACTCTCCCTGACGTCTAGATTTGTTGTCTTATTTGGTTTAAAGGGAGTTGGCGATCTTGGAAACTACAAAACATCTTCAGGTTTTAAGAACTTATGAAGGCAGGTGTGGACGTTAACAGCTAAACTTGAACTTGGGAAGATCCTCTAAAACCTCTCCTTGAAACGGCTGCAGAGAAGTTGTCATTTTTCATTTTAAACAGAGGAAGTGTAATAGCGCCGACGCTCAGACCGTGCAATAAAACCTCATCAATCAGCCGCTCTGGGGGCCCTGGATTTTCAGCAATAATAAATCTGTGCCCCCGTGATGTCTCAGTCCATTACGAAGCAACTGTAAACCTGAGCCTCTGTCTTCACCTCCACCTCCAGATGATGACCACCCCCGGCCCTCTGTCTGGGACGCACCCTGCCTGATCAACGTGCCGGCTTAAGTGTGCCTCCCCCAAGCCCGTCCTCCAGGCGTGGGCAAACCAACCTCATTTCCTGCTCCGCTGCTTAACAAATGGCCCCTGGAAGCTGAACCAAGACTAAGGATGGAGATGCACTGATGGCCGTAATAGCCGTATGATTAGACTGGGCAAAGGTCCAGCTCAGTGTGCAGACTAGACAGACTCAACCCTCCACCCCCACCCCTGGATACTGAACCAATTTTGGAATATACATTAGAGCTGTTGTGATATCCCTGAATCATCAAAAAATAACATCCTCATATAGGCAAGCATAGCACCATTCATAAACAAGGCAATTCATAGTGCTTTACAGATGCAAGGAAATACATAACAATTTTTAAAAAGGATTGATTAAAAATATTTAAAACCAAAAAGACCTCAAATGATTTAAGATCAAAAGGACAAACAGATATATATTTAGGTCTGTTCCATGTTCGCCCTGAACACCATAAAAACAATTGTTTCCTGGAAAAACCAAATAACTCACAAACTCTCGGACGGTATTACTTTCCTCTTCGTTTATCTTAGACCGGATTAGTTGTATTGGTTTTCTCTTTGTCTGTCTTGGACTGGATTGGTTGTATGATTTTACTTTACGTTGATCTTGGACGGTATTAGTTGTAGAAGTTGTCTCCTCGTGCATCTAGGATGATATTACTTTTCTCTTTGTCTATCTTGGACGGTATTACTTTTCTTTTAGTTTATCTTGGACGGGATTAGCTGTACTAGTTTTCTCATCTTCTATCTAGGACAGTATTAGTTTTCTCTTCGTCTGTCTTGAACGGTTTTAGTTGTATTTGTTTTCTCTTTGTCTATCTGGGACGGTGTTAGTTGTACTTGTTTTCTCTTCTTCTTTCTTGGACATTATCAGTTTTCCCTTCATCCATCTCTGACGTTATTATATTTATTTTCGTTTACCTGAGACGGTATTAGTTTACTCTTTGAAGCATCTCAGCTTTTTACCTGTTTTTTCCATTACATTAGATAAGTCCCAATTTGGCGCTTTTTGAGATTCGTGACGACAACAAAGTGAAAAAGTGTCCCTCTTTTGTCGGATACTGTACGAAATACTGGATGAGAGTGGATTTTGTACACAGAGCCAAATGTGTGAGGTATTATGTAAGCGATTAATCGGCTTAATTTCCCGACAGGTAACCTACATACTGCTCTGCTGTGTGCCTGACTCCTCTCCTCACTGATCCGACTGATGCTGTGCCCCTGTGAAACACCTGACTGCACGATCAAATCATCTTTTTCATGCATGTGCTCCGTAGATTTGACTTGTGAGCTTGTAGACTTTTACAGACACATCAGGGAAAGCTTGAATGATAATAAACTTTTACATAAACAATGAACAGTATCCAAACTCTTGAAAGGACAGAAAATGCTGCAAATTTGCACCAAGTGTGTGAAAAATCTTACACTATAAGATGAAAACCGTGGTCTACATCTACACCTTAAAACGATCAAACAAAAACAACCCTGCGGTCGCACAAACAGGTAACCACTCTGCTCTTATACGGCACAAAAGCTGCCTCCAATTGCTTTTATAAGTGTTCTCTCTCTCTCCGCGCTGAATGGCTTTTGTATTCCTCTACGCGTTAGCAAATCATGAAAAATCCAATACGTAATTGCTGAGACTCACATCCAAAGCGACATAAAGCCATTAAACACAAAAACACATCGAGATACTTTGATGTAAAACAAGCGTGAGGAAAGGTTTATCGAAGAAAGCGTCTTACCTGAAATTAAAAAAGCCGTTTTCAGACATATTCTCAGATCTACTCTGCTGATAGATTATTTGTGTGATGTGTTGAGACTCAGAACAGTGTTAGGGGTTGAGAACAATTATGTTGTTGAGAAGTAAGTGGCACCAGAACCACAGGCAAGTCACTCAGCTCCGAGCCCACTCAATGAACTATGACTGTGCTGTCATTGTGGATATATAAGTGCACTTCCTCTGCTTCGCTTTCGACAGAAAGAATCAACACTGTATGACAAAGTTAACCGACGCAATGGTGTTGCATTGAAACAACACATGGAGGAAAATATCGGTCTGACGTCACGCAACAGTTTGGCTGCAGCAGAAAAGGTTTGAAGGACAAGCAGCAGTTCATGAAGGTTGATGAATCGATCGATTGATTAACAGAGTCTCTCCCCCTTTGTGTGTTTGCCCATGTGGGGATCAATATCAGCCTCATATCGCTTCCTACATCCTCAATGCCCCGCAGACTAGACCCTGCCCTATCCTGCACTGCCATTATAAGGTTAATGAGAGTTAAAAAGACTCCGCCGAGGTCAAAGAAGGGCAAAAAGACAAAAAAACACAAATTTCTTATGGTATGAATGTTGTATCATGCAGCTCATCCTTCCTGTTTTGTACACTGCTGTACACATGGTTAAACAGTGCATCATTACCCTGTCCTCTTCTATACCAATCAAACAGTCACACTCCAAGAGCGCGGGGAGGAATTATGGCACAGCGTCGGACACAATCAGGAGAAATCAGAGATCACTTCAAGGAGATTTAAGAAGGGACGCTCTGATTGTTGATTCCTCTGTGATGCAGATCAGCGGACAGGAGGTTGGGGTCTGCGGCGCCCGAGTCGGCGCCGTCTGTGAAGGCTGATTGAATAAGGCTACTGATGAGGCTATTGTGGCTGGAGATACGTGGTGTGAATGCCTGACAGGCCCGTGGCTGCTGTCAATGACTGGCTGCCATTGTGGCGAACCAGTGGGCCGTGACTTCCCCAGCTGTGGTATTGAGCATATCGTGAGCCACTTAAATGAGTATCGGGGTTGTGCAGTTAATAGAAAGATCATTAGGATATCATTGAAGCTCTATTTTTCATCTCCTGACCTGACCTGATAAATTCGGCCGGTTTCATGTTGCTGCAGCTCCAACCGAACTCCTCGATCCATCATTTGCATTCTCACCCTCTCTCATTTGTACAGAGGACAGTGCAGCTTGACGCATTTCACCTTGTTTATAGCTTGTTTAAGCCGTGTAAAGACAAAAACACCTCGGGGTTAAATGGGGAAAAAGATGTTTGCATTACCAAACGCAAGCTTGAAAGTGAGCTAATCTAACTGTAGAGGCGCAGGCTCGCATGTGGCGGTAACGAATTAGTTGCAGGTTGTGATATGTGAGCCGTGTGAATGACAGTGTATTTATAGCAGCCTTTGATGCACAAGTATTGAATTCTAATTTAGATTTCCATAATCACAGTTCTGAGCACCGAGCTCCTCTCAAACGTTTTGTCGAAGCTCCCTCTGCATTGCAGCACCGGCACAATTTTAACTTGTTCTATGAAAATGAAACGAATTTGAAGATAAACCTGGTTATAAATGTAGAAACGAGCACTTCTACTGAAGCAGCAATCCTGTTTAATTCCCTTACTTTAAGATTTGAATGAAGAGTAAAGGAAATGTGATTAAGACGAACCACAGTCCTCCTATTTGAACCTAATGGCTTCACCAGGAAGACAGGAACTGAAGGTTACAGCTGAAATAGTAGTTGCCAAGTTAGCCAACTATTTGCCATCCAAAGAGCAATGACTAAGTGCATTTTCCACATCAGACGCAGCATGACCAACAAAACTGCTTCTGCTCACTCTTTTCCAACCCACATCAGTACAATCAGCAGGGTTCGTGACCCGGTGCTGAGTATTCCCAACAGTGACGCATCACGAGAACACAGTTTGTCCTCTTCCCCACAGGAGAGGAGTTGTATAACCTGCTGATGCTCATCACTATTCATTTCCTCCACCAGATTTTCTGACTGTATATATATGTTGGTCTATTTTTGTTCGTAAAAGTTTAAGGATTAAGATCTAAACTTTGAATATGGTGTCTCATAATTTCAGCTTTTAGAGGTGGCCTGATTTTAGTAGTACAAAGAAACCAGAGCTGTAGCTTTAAGCTGACAAAAGCCTGCAGATTTGTACTTCAACTTTACATTCACTTTCCATCACTGAGTGTCAGCACACATTAACAAATATCATGTTTAGTTTTGGCGTCTGCACAAACATTCAGACAGGTATCGGGTTTTAGAATTGGAGCGCTGTTTCATAACTTACCTTTACTCGTAGGTGATGACTCCTCCAGGATGATGCAGACATGTCGCAGGTCTCAGGTGGGGCTGTCTGGCAGCTCTCCTCCCTGATGCTGACAAGGAAATAACAGTGGGTAAATTTAGCACCTGATTCCTTCAACCCAAGTTTGGAGCATCCTCTCAAACAACAATAGTGTTAAGACTTTTTCAAATATAACTAATAAACTTACGGATTGCGATGGACTTGTTTCCCTTGAATAAAAATAAACATAAGTATTGCACAGTTTTAGGGAGCTACTCAATTTTCTGGAGCTGAAACAAAACATGTTAATTTTTCATGATTAAAAGGCCGTCCAAGCAAGAAAAGAAGAGGAGGAAACAAAGAATTTTATAAAAGACAGGTGTTTTAGGCAGGAATCAATACATATACAATAAAAAAACAGTTCGTTAAATTTCACTTTTAAAAAGTTAGGCATATTTATGTAGATTTAAGTAGCTAAGTTAACTTTGTTTGTAGTAAATGACTTTATATGTATGCAACAAAATTGAAAAGCCAATGAGATACAGCCAAAGAAGGAAATTAGGCCTTACTCGAAGGAAAAAAAGCATAAAAACAGGATTAAAAGAATCATTCTGATGAGCAGGATATATGTAGTGCTCTCTGATTGGCCAGTTGCAAGGAGCCCCCTGATTGGCCAGAATTTTTTTGTTACTTATTCCAGTTTAATTTCAATATTTTATTTTTTAATCCATCTTTCCTTAACTTTCTGGAGACCTGTTCAGAGTGTACCCTGCCTCTTTTTCAGCTGATCTTGTCTCGAGTCTATGAAACGACCTAAGTGAGCACACAAATTAAACTAAATTCAAGCCTCTTACATACATGCAAACCTAAGTCCATGCCCAGGTCAAGCTGGTATTCAAAGCTAGCCAAGAAAAATGCACCTATCTCTTACACGCTTGAATTATCAGCCGAAGAGTATGCAAAACACATGCTTTCTTCTGCATTTCTACAGAATGTTTATACGAGTATGTAACAGGGAGTGGCAGTGCATGGGGATGCAAAACAGTGTTACAACAACAGAGTCAGAGCGTTGGCCTACGCCGTGTAACTGGCTTCTGTTACAAGAACATAAGTCATATAAGAGAGAATTTACCGAAAAGACAAGCTTTTTCTAATCTGACAGAATCCCTCCAACCGAAAGAGAGAGAGAAAAATACGACCAGACAAGACCTTGGCTGTAAGATCATCTTGCAAAGACAGAGTGTGACATGAATTCACCATCATACTCAATAGCATATCTTTTTCACAGAGCTCTGACTTCCAGTGGGCAGTACAAGGCTATTATCAAGGCAGACAGTCAAAGCATTTCCCTTAGGGCCAAACCTCCCATCAATCTGTGTTTCCAGATAATATGACAGCCCCGATCGGTGGTTAATGGCCAGTGGCTTTTTAGCCATTTCAACTCTCAGATTTATCTTTTTTTCTTTACTTTCACATTTTCCCGTCATTATCTTTGCGAAAAAAAAAGGGACCTACAGAACTGTGACTGAGTCAGAGGAATCAAAGAGCGTCTCATGCTGGGACACATCAGGAAATAGACGCTGAGCTGATGCATGAGTACTTTGGCTCGCTCAGAAACACGACACATCATCCTCAGTTCTTAGCAAATGTTCAGGAACACATTGTCAAGCTTTCTCATGCAGAGTTGTGTGTCTGCCTCCAATCCAGTCTCCTTCAACAGTTTGATTTTTTATTTTTTTGTGCCGACGTCTGCTCCGTTCTGCGTCACTGAAGGAATAACCAACAGGATTTGAAGGTGGGTCTGGGGTTCCTTCATGCTGTCATCTTGCGTATTCGTCTGCGTCACATCTCCTCTGTGTCCAGATGATGCATTCGCAGACGTAGCTGTCACATGAGTTTGCTGGTTTCAGGGCAAGAAATGACAAAAAAAAAAGCCTTATTCATATACTGATGTCTATGCAGATATTTTTTCACCCTGGTATCCTGCTGTTTTGGAATACATATAAAAAATTGACTCTACGAGACCAGTATGCACATTGTACAGTTGGTCAAACATAGAAAACCATTTATCATTTTCTGATCTGTCTTCTCCCATGAGGCACTCCTGTCAGTCTGGGTACACCCGAGGGTTCAGACAAACAGAAAAAGTCAGTGTCTCTGACCCTGAAAATAGAGGTCCTAACAGCTCTACATGTCAGTGCAAAAAGACGGTTTTTGCAGGTGCAGTGCTGAGAAATAGATCAACTCTAGTGCACAAGCGAACCATATTCTCTCGCTTTGCTCCGTTATTGCGCTCTACATGTGCAGTGCTAGGTCATGGATATGCCTCATGTGTTTGTGCAGCCATCTTGTCTCTTCAGGAATAAAATCAAGCTGGAGGCAATCATAGCTGAAGCAGCATGATGTCCCCCCCCACCCCCCACCCCTACAGGCAACATGGAAGAGGCTGTCTTCTGCTCAAATGTTCTCAGAGGGGGGAGAGGATGGTTCGGTTTATAGGGCCCTGTTTGCTGGATTCCCCTAGAATAAATTATGCCCCCATCCTCCCCCTTCCCGCCCTCCTGCTTTTAAGCTCGCAAGACTATTATCCAGCAGCCCCCAGTAAGTTCTTATCAGCAGCAGCCAGATGGAGAGCGCACAAGCAATACCTCAAGACTTGTTGATCGAGCAGCACTAGCAGGAAAGCTGTCATTGTGGAGAGGTTCTGTGGTTTCAGATAAACATCTCTGCTTTTTTTTTGCAAAATTTATAATTGCCAAGAGAAGTCTCATTAATAGCTATTATATCATTGGCTGGATGTATTTGTCAGTTTGGACAGCTTGAAGGGTTTAGAGAGACAGAAGGACATGAAAACAGGGATTTTGTCTAGTATGGATTGTGTAAGTGGGTATCTGTTTTCCCATCCATTCAGCAGACTTGGTGACACTGACACAGTTTCCTCTGATATCACTATGATGGCTCTAATGCTGCTTTAATATTGTTTCTGGTTACATATTTGTAGGGAGTCCTACCATTTTGCACACATAAACATATCCTGTTTAGTGTATTTGTGTTGTTACTGGTCAGAAACACTTGCAATACGGCTCTAAAATCCCCAAAATTCAAATTTCCTATGGCCCACAAACCTTTAACTTTAAACTTGGACAAATAATTTAACAACTGATCCATATCATTTGCAAAAGTTCTCATTTTTGTGCCTATAACGTAAGATAACAGATATAGGATTTTACTTTTCAGCACATCCATTGGCCATTTTTACTGATTGGAATAGTTTTGAGAGAGGACAACAAAGGCAAACGCAAAGACACAAACCTAAAATTCCTCACAGGAGCTTTAACTATATTAAGATTGATTAGTGACAAGAGTTAATTTTATTTCTCCAACAACATGGACAATGGATGAAAAAATCCAGAGGGATGCCATGCCATATTACAAGTTAAAACACTAAAAACTAAAAGCCCATAAGTTACTGTTAGGCAACAGCTTGTTTTGGTATAAAACCAATAACTGTGATTTAGCTTTAGGCAAGCTTGTATTAGCATTTGATGGAAGTTATTGATTTTACACATATTTACACTTTTAGGAAGCTACAAGGTGCTAATGTTGTGAAAATGTCTTCCAGCTGCCTGTGAGTCAATATGGTGAAAATGCATATTGCCTTTCCAGCTATTGATAAATCACAAAGGAATCGATCGATAAATACTTCTCATTCTCTGTGATTGTTAAATCTGAAAGACAAAATTCTCAAGTCTCCAACCACATGCACAGGGTCCACAGATGGAGAAGCTTCTTACCCTTAACCAATCAGACTGAATCATATCAGCTGCAGTAGATGTAGTTGTGTTGGGGTCAGCATGATCTGTCTGACAACAAAAACAAAAGATGACAGGAATGAACAATGCTGTTTACTATTAGTAGATGGGTGCACCAAATAAACACAAGCAATATGCATGAGCTTGAAGAACACAAACACGTCCGTTTGTATTTTACCTCACAGTAAAAAGTCGATGAAGTTCTGACTGTGTGCTAATGGAAACGGTTGTTGACTGCTCCACCAGCCACCTCAGCCTCTGCAGGAAAAAAAAAAGACAAGAACAGGCATCCACCAGCATGCATACACCGGCCCCCACCTCAATTCTACCACAGGGGGAAATACCCACAATGCACTACTTGATGCTTTTGTCTTGAATTGGCTTCGCATTGGTGCTCTGACCTACTTTTGCCAGCAGCAGGCAGGTTATTTTAAGATTTCATTAGTGAGAAGACTGAGGGCAGAGGAAAGGTGAAGAGGCTCAGACACACTATCAAAGCCAGTGTCCACTTATCTTTGAAATTCTAATCTGAGAGAGCCTGGGTGCCACGAGCATGTTGCAGGACAAAATATGAGTAACTCTGATGATTAATATGTTGCTAAATCCTCTCGTCATAGGGACCTTGATTATGCTTGAGGGGAATGTATCATCAAGTTTAAAAGACACCAGACACACCCAGTAGACATATAAAGTCATCTAAAAAGCATGAGTAACTTGGGTGTTTGGACAAGGTGTGAAAATGTGCTAAACTAGAACATGTGCATTTATTATTGTGCAGTGTATACAACAGAAGTTTCTTATAAGAACAAGCTACGATTTTGTCCTAAAAATATAATTATCTTGTATAATAAACCTGTGTGCATGATACAAATCACTTAAAAGTTTAAAAAGTTAATTTCTTGCATGCAATGGTCAATATCTTGTGTGTGAAATACATTTATCTTGACTTTTAGGAGCTGCTATGATTATTGTTTTACACAGGGAGGCTACTGTTGCAGCATTTATGCTGAGTTAACAGTTGGCATGGAAGCGGGTGGGGGCAGCTAGCAATGAAAAGCTAACAACCTCTTATATTCACTGTTGAACATTATATCCTATCACTGGTTAACCCTGTATGGAAAATGTTTAAACTATTGTGTTGCTTTTTGACTGGCCATGGTTTCCCTGTTATTGAATCTTTTTTTTTTTTTAACATGCTGTCATCTTGCACCATTTTGGCGCAGCCGTCGTAATGGCTCCCATGGAAACAGCTAGCTGTAACATCTACAGGTGAGAAAACGTCTGTTAGGCTACTAAGGCTACATTCACACTGCAGGTTATGGTGCACAATTCGGATTTTTTGTTGAATCCGATCTTTTTGTGCGGTCGTTCACATTACAATAATGAATGCGGCATCTAATGTGAACTTAATGCATACGTGAAGTGACCCGCATGCGCACAAATTGCTTTCCACGCCTGTTTGTGTTGTCGAACAATGGCGCCGTTTGTCGCATATTGATGACGTAAAGGTTGGATGAACGCGACCTGAATGTCCACACGGCAGTCATATCAGATACATATCCACTTTATATCACCATACAAAAGAGGCCTAGGTCGGATTTGAAAAAAATCAGAATTTCACTGTTCACACTTACGTGAGAAAATCAGATATGTGTCACATATGGTTAAAAAATCAGAATTGACCTGCAGTGTGAACATAGCCTAAGTTGTTTATGTTACAGATTTCTAAGATGAGTTTTACTGTAAAAAATGATTTTTGGTTCAGCACCTCTTAATCTGAAAAACACAGTTGAAAAGATCGTTAAGATGGAGACCCGAGCCGTTCATTTTCTTCCCGAGTTGTCATTTTTTATTACAGAACTAAAAAACACATTTAAAAACATATAAAACGTTACTCTGTGCAGGAGTGTCTGTATTAGGATGTCCATAGTAAGAGTGTCCATGTTTCTTTAATAAAGTCCGATTCATATGGCTTCTCATATCTTCAACATTCACTAAGTTCTTCTCAAAAGTTAACAATGAATTGTAGAAAACTTCTTCAGGTTTTGTCAAATCATACAAAGCACACGAATCAATACAAATCAACAGGATGCCAGAAAACAGTAAAGCTGTACAATAAACCTTTTGCTGCAATATAAAACTGCATTTATCAAAACTGTACAACATCTTGCAAAGGAAATATTTCTTATTCTCAACAACAGTTGAGTTTCAACCCACAAGGAACACAAACAATTTTTCTCACTATAACAACATACCCCAATAACCTTACTCCTGAATCGTATAAAAATCTTGTTCACACCAAAACAAGTAATATTAGTTTGTATGTCAAGTGTCAAGGGATCTTGCTTTAAATATAATGTTTGGAGAAGCAAATCTTAATGCTAACAGTGATCTCAAATCTCGCGGTACGTTGTAGAATGATCGCTTCCCGCGCTAAACGGCGGCGCTATTTTTAGCTTTCTTTCTAAGTTCGAATAACAAGCTACAGTCCGTCAACAACACACTTCAAACTCGCGCTACGTTTAATTTAACATTGTTTAAATGTAAGGGTATAATTTTGTGGACTTCTCAGCGTACAAACCTGAAAAACATATTTGAAAAGATCAGCAAGATGGACACCCGAGCCATCCATTTCCTTCCCGAATTGTCTCCGAGGAGGGGGCGGTCCCTCCAGAAAGTCATCCGGGCACAACGCACCCCGGCTCATTAATTCCCCTCTCCATTCTCTTCATGAACTACGGTATCTTCATACCTCGAATGTGTTTAAAATGAACACTTACGTTTCCAGCATGGAATGAAAATCTTTACATTTAATGTGTACGCTATTTAGCTCGTTAAGACGCAGGTTAAAAGAGACTCGCTGTGGTTGAAAAAGAGGATGATGCCAGACTTTAAAAAATTATTTTAGCAAACTGGCTTGTGTTATCACTTTATGTTTGTATTTCGAGTTTCAGAGTGGCATCTTTTAATTTTATATTAAACTGCACAGAAAAGTTGACTATTTTCAACCACTGCTCCTTTCTCAAAAGTTATTGGCTTGAATGAAGCGACGTTATGATCGAATATCAAACGTGAATCAATTTTTTTTAAATAGTAATAGATAATATAGTTTTTTCTTGAATTTGAAATAAATGTAAATGTGACAGGCTCCATTTATGACATTTTTCCCTATCCATTTATCATGATAGTCTGCAATGCACATTGAATCTCGGTCAAGCTAATGTTAGCATTAGCTTGTCGGAAGTCGGAAATTTACTATTTGACCCGTTGGCTACTAGCATTGTAGTGAAGGAAACTGAAGTGCAAAATATACGAGAAAAACACAAAAAATATCACATTCATCCGCAATCATCACCAAGGAATAAATAGTATAAAAGCGAGGCCAATCCCTATGGTATTGGGATAATATTAGTTGATATTTTGGTAGAATAAACTCGAAATATTATAGGTAGGCTTATTAATTTAAGAACTTTTAATTAAATTAAATTTCTGGGGGGGGGGGGGCGTCACTGTTCTCAGAGTGGCTTCACCCATCGAGGTGGCAGACGGCGTCCATTCTATATACGGTCTATGGTTGTGGATGTTGTGGAACAGACAGTTGTGGAATGCTTGGCTCTCTGGCTCTGCAGACAAGTACTATTGGTCCAGACAGGAAAAACTACCCAGGGCTGTCAAATGGTAAGACATAAACATGCTGTAATGAGAACAAGCCCATTTTCCTAGTTTGCCATTTAATAAATAAAGTGTAGGAGCAAACAATAGACCAAACACAACAGCTTGCTTAATATCTTACAATAATCTCAGTAATTTTGAAAAGGTGTCACTATTTACAGCCAAGAACTATTTTCTCTGGAGACCATACAATCAATTGTTCAAGCGTAAGCTCTTTTACTCCATTACAAGCCTTGTAATCCTTTATATAATTTGTCTGAGGTTTTCATTGCGCAGCGGGTCTTGCACTATGCACACTATGCCAGTATAACAGCAAAACATAACCTCAACCCATCTGAACCCTCTAGTTCAAACACCATTTACTTGCACCATTACGAAGGTGATTGGTGGTTATTACAAGCTAATCTCAGTGAGAACATCCAGATGCTCTTTTTGTCAAGGTCAGGATCAGAGCTGGACAGGGAGGAAGAGGAGGAGGAGGAGGGGGGTTTGATTTTGTACCCATCAGGCACTTGGAGCCCCTGCAATGACGCGGCACCTGCAGCCGGGAAAGACATAAAATGGAGTCCCAGCTGGCCTCACATCAGTGTGAGTCAAAAGGCCGGGGGAGGAGGAGGAGAAGGAGAGCGTGCTTCAGGCTCGATTAGGCCTACATCCTATCTCCATCTTCAGCTCTGAGCACCATCACCATGAGTCATTAACACCAAATTCACAGCTGTCACTCTGGAGTATTTGCAGGTGGAGGCAGCGTTTTGTCGCCTGCTTTGGGGAACAACAGGGGTGGTGTGCAAAAATGAAATAGCTGTCTACCTCGAGAACATCCTGTGCCTCACTCTGTGTCCTTTTTCATTTCAGGATAAGCAGAAAAAGCTGCCTCCACATCACGTGTGGGTGACAAGGAGAGTGGAACTGACATTTGCGTGCCTCAGGAGGTGGGAAGAGATGAGGGCTGGCAGAGAGAGACACCCACCCTTTTCCACCTCATGCTGCCAAGCAGACCAGCGTGCACCTGTCCCCTCCGGCTGAGAGGAACTGTAGGTCACTCGCTATTGCCTCTTCCGGCCAAGAAATGTACTTGCACTCTCAAAAACTCTACAGGCTTTTTTGGTGATGTAGCAGTAAGCAGAGAATGACTGAATGAGTTCATAACAGAAAACAGAGGTCTAGAAAGAAGGGACAGAAGGACTGGGATGAGAGAGTGAAAGATAAGCAGATAGCCCGGGTGTGAAAATGGGAGTGACAGTGACGGAGTCCCGTGCAAAGATAAACAGCCCGGGTGCAGCCCTTGTAATGGCTTTGAACGAGTAATTTGTCACTCCATGTGAAACACAAACAGCAGGGTGACACTTACCATCGCCCAAGGGTGTCTCACCAAGACTTTCCATCTGTCTGAACAACTGGTGATGTCCATTCCTCTGGTCAAGAGACAATGAGAAAATCTGCCTGAAACAAGGCAAGATTTAAAGCTATGTACAGTTGAGCTGCACTGCATCAAAGTTATGTAATTGGGTGTTAAGCAGTGCTGATATTCCCTACAGGGGGGCTTAAATTTGACCCTGGTTACAGATTTAATAGCTCTGTACAGCAGTATCAGTCACAGCGGTCTCATACAATCATACCTCAGACAAAAATCTTAAAAAGTCACTGCATGTAAAAACATAAAGACAACATTTCTCAGTGAATTCTTTATGTGATCCAACAGTTTTCATTCACATTTGTTGGCAGCTTTAAAAACAAAATCACACTTTGTAACAACCGCAGTTATTGAGAATCGACAGAATACAAATAACAGAATAAAGTAAACAAAATTATTTTCACAAAGTCAATGAAGAGAAAGCCAATGCTTTAACAGACAACAGGCACTGGGAAATGGAAATTGACTTTCCACCATTTTGGAGTGAATGACAACTGGAGTAAGCGTGATCCTATGTGTAGCTACTGCCATCTAGTGGTGGATTTCAAAACTAAATATTTTCAAGTGCCCTTAAATACAACCCCTGTTTAAAACAAGTTGAGCTGCTTTACAAAATGTTTATAAAAACAAAATCTGGTGGTTTGCAAATACATTAAAGCTTATATTCTTAAAATTGTGCAAAGACAACAATTTAAATATTGAAACTGAAAAATATTTCATATAATCAGCTGCTTTATAATTTGGTTTTTACAAGTTTCAGAACAGATGGGACGGGGAAAACTAAACACTTAAAAACCTGGACAATAATCACTCCACTATCTAGGTTAATATGCAACAGGTTGGGACTACAATACTAGACGGCCTTGATCTTTGGGCTCTCATGCAACATTATATTAAAAACAGACATGACTCTGCAGTGGAAATCACAGCATTGTCTCTAAATCACATATTAAAGCATTGTCTATAAACATTTTCCTTCTGCAAGTGCAGGTTAAATCTATACCATTCAAATTTAAACATGAAATGCTAACAGGCCATGGTTTCATGCGTTGTTGTCTTTGCACTACTTTTAATCAAATATAGGGGTTAAAATAATTTGCAAATGATCAAAATCTTGTTTATGAACCTTTTATTCAACATCCCAGATCTTATGGAATTGGGGTTGTAATAAAAAAAATGTTGATGAATTGGTGAAAGCAGACATGATCTTTTTTCTGTGGCTATCACGTACAAAAACACATCCTAAAAGTGCACAAAAGGAGATTTAAATGCAAATACTGAAAGATACATCAGTAACATTTTGGTTTCCCTGGAGAAAGAAATCTGTTCAGAAAATGCTACATGAGTTATTTTCAATCTGTTCTGTTCTGTTCCCATCAAGGTGAGAAAGACTAAGATAAGCTTGTGAGGACATTCTGGGCCTGATTTACTAAGATTAAGAATAACAAGTGCTAAATTGTGTGAACATCCCAACAAATTGCATGTTTTGCTTGCTTGCGTTTTGCGGGTGATTTACTAAAAAGAACTGCGTTGATGACTTCAGGAGCAAAAACTGTAGAGGTGGTGGTATTTAAATTAAGGTCTTACGTGTTTAACTCATTGAAGCTATGGAGAGATGAAATTCAGCCCTATGAAATCTGAATATTAGTAACAGAAGGGATGAGATATGGGAGAGTACAAGTGAGGAAGTAAATGCATGAAACAAGGAGAACCAAAAGGTGAAATTAAAAAAGAGACGCCCGTCTCGTGAAAGAGGAAATCCTTGGGTAGAAAGAAAACAACTGGTGAAAGTATGAAGACATAAAAGTTGATTTTCATTTTCTATAGGCTACCGTGGCTGTAAAGTTGCCACAAATATACGCCAGGTTATATGTATATTTTTGCTGTGTTTGAGCTGTACTGGTAAGTTGGATTTTCTGAGTTCCCATCCTGAAATTCATCCGGAACGCCCCCCTTGAAGTCGGATTTCGGACTCGGAAAGTCAGCACTCTTCCCCTGGATTTGCACCTTCTTTTCAAAGGTGTTGTATTTGCTTGCAGTAAAAATAACAACTATTTCCAGACTCAGGAAATAAAAAATTATGTGTTAAATTCCCCTTTTTGCATTTTCCCCTCCCAGCATTTTTCACAGCAGGGTGGAAACACCCTTCACTCCCCAATGCGTATTATTTCATGCGTTTGAAAGATGCAATCTTGTGTGTTTGTTTGCGGATGCTCTGAAGTCTGCACACGTTTTTAAACACACAAACCTTTAGTAAACCGGGCCCTATGTCTCACCCCTTCTCTGTTCAGTGAAATAAACATTAACCTATTACAATGCTGTCTGCAGCGCCCCCCAGTTGCTGCATGTGAGAATGCAACAACCTGGGCCTTTTCCCTGAGATGGGCAGAAGCTCTCCGTTCGCTTTCATCTGGTCTATTCTCCTCGACAGGTCTGCGTCGGCGTCGATGGCCAGGGTGCACCTTTGGGCGTAGCTGACCAGAGTCTCTTCTCCTTGGCGAAACATGCCAACCAAAGGGACCACCTCTTTACCTGCCAGGTGGAGCTCGGCGATCGATGCCGTGTTGGCGATGGTGTTCCGGTCGATTCCAAGGTGACGGAAGGCTTCGCTCATGCTTTTCTTCTTGACGAAAGCTGCGAGGACTTGTTTGTAGCGGTGGATGACATACTGGACATCAGTGGCTTGGGGTAGGAATGACAAAGAAAGTGTAATGAACGTGCTTTTCAGAGCAACACAGGTACTCAGAAGAAAAAAGGGAGGAGGAGGTTGTTACTGCAGTTACACATGGGTTGCCAAACAGCCTATTTTTAAAATGACAACTTCCTACAAATACTCTGGATTACATATTTTACCTCTCTTCCTGGTGTAGTCCCTCCCTCTCTTCGATCTCTTCTTGTCTTTGTGGTGTTTTTTCTTCCTGTGGTCACTCGAAGCTGCAGAAACCTCCGAAGAGTCTGATTCTTCAGAGCTGCTGTTGCTGCTGTCAGAGGAACTACACGAAACCCGCTCTCTTTTGCGGGATTTGTTTTCTGAGTGCTGCCCTTTGCTGGATTTTGGAGCTGGGCAAAAAAATGACATGAATTACTGTTCACCTCGAGTAAATAAAACCATTCTGGAAAATACATGTCCTTACTCTAAACACAAACCTTCAGAGACTGGATTGGGTAACGCAAACGTCGGCATGGAGCGGCTACTTGTGAGGTTTTCTATTTGGCTCCTCAGGAACTTGCGGTCCTGCATCAGGTCCTCCACCTGTCGCTCCAGCGCTGCGATGCGCTCCTGTTTGCTCTCCAGCATGCACTGGAGCTTAGTGATGGTCAGCAGCACCTTCGGAGGAAGACTCTCGACATGTGAAGCTGCCAGAGGAAAGAGTTCAATATGTTTTAGTCTGAATGTGGGGACCATGTGTGCACAGCTTTGAGTCAAGGGGAATAAAGTGTATTATATTGTAAATCCACTTATATCAAACTGGAGATCACAGTTTAGACCACACTGATCTTCACCAGCTGTATAAAAGCGCTCCTACCTGACATGGCGCTGCTGGGTGTGTTGTCCTGGACAGCGTCAGTCGACGTTCCCGACTGGAAATTCTCCCACTTGATGATACGGAGTTCATCCTGTTCCTGCTTCAGCCAGGCCGGAGAGCCGAGCCGGTCTTTGCACCTCACAGAGCTGGAGTCGATCTCTACGCAGGAGGAGAAACCAGACGGCTCCTGCTGCCACACGGACATCTCTTCACACCTGGAAATAAAAGGGAAAAACAGCTTTTATTTGCAAAACTCAGAAGTAGTTTTTCTGCAGCGACTGTACATAAAACTGGATGACACTTTTTCCCGTTGTGCAGAAGTATAGCTTATATGTCTCGCGCATACACAACACAACATAAACTCATACTTTACTATGAAGCAGTGACTTGCAGAAGGGATTGACTAGTAAAGCTGCTGTATTAGCTTTTTACCCCTTTTGCTAACCAAAACACATTCAACCCACTAATTAAACACAAAAACTCCTTCAGGATGGACTCAGTCTACAGCAGAACAGTGTCTTCAGTCAGATTGATGAAGATACACATAGTAATAAAGTCATGTTTAAGAAGAAAATGTTCAAAGCTGTGGGAGGAACCTTTTGTCTGCATCAGTTTGTACTTATTTAATAAATGCTCATTAAAATGAAAGAATGACACAATAACAAATGCATGGACACAAGTGATTTTATCATTACAATAATATTCAGCATGTTTAAGACCTCCTGCAGTTAAATGACCCGAGCATCAGCTGAATATGTTGGTCTTCATTAACTCTGTTTAGTGTTATCTTACCATGGAATCATCAGTTAGTGTTCATGTGTTGAATTCATTCTTTCTAATGATTGGTATCTTCAGTAATTTCACTGCAGCAGTATTAGAGGCTTTGTAGCGAAACCCGATCATTCATTAATCCTCATCCACATGAGGTCTTTATATGTGACGCATTATAACATTCATTAGAACAGGATGAATCATGCATAAGCAAAGCATCAATTAATAATTAGCAGGGAGGCTGTTTGTACACTTTGGAAGAAGGCTGCTGCATTTATGTCTCATAATACAGAAATGTTATTTTTATTATCCTGTTGGCTTTTTAGAGGTAAGAAATGCAAGATTAAAAATTCCATCTTAGTTTGGAGTAGAGTGACATACTTCCAAAATATAAACCGTCTTTCATATAAAACAAATCAATAAATGAATCACAAAGCATCTCTCACTTGACCCCTGCAGCTTAACCTTTGTAAGAAAGTATAAACATGAACTCAATGCTGAGATCTCCTCCTGAGATTTAAAATGACATTTCCAACATTAAATGGAAGACATTTAGGCCATATAAAAATGGGTGTAGTGCCCCTTTAATCCATCACCATCTATCTTGAGCACTTCCACATTAATGATCCATTAACTCGTATTAAATCATCATGAGTCATGCATTAGTAATGCATTACTTCAGTTATTGCCGTAAATGGATACAGGCTAGGTGGGCTGGGTGGTGCATTCAGGTACACGACTTGTAATCAGATACTTTAAATTAGGTAAGAATAAAATCAGGTTTCACCAGGCTGAGCTGAATATTTGTCTCTGATTCTATAACACACTCCATAGCAACGGTCTGATATTTCCCTCTGGCAAACCGTTGCTATGAAGAACACATAGTTGCTAGGGGATCCCTCATGTCTGGGTCCTGCTCAGAAAATGTTCTCTTTTCTGTAGTCTACCTCCTTGTGTTTGTTTAAGGAAGTGGACAACATGTTAAACTTCATGTTTCCATGGTGATGAGATTTAACACGTGGTAGCATCGGAGCCTGATCACCAATAAAAGTGAATGCTGCAGCGATTAATCTGAATCAAACACCTGACACAGCGTGTTAACATGCGAATTACCCAAACTACCGCATTCTATAACAATATATAATATTTGTTTCAGCTCTGACACAAAGAAAATGCATTATATACGTTGAATAATGTAAAGATAGATCTCAATGATTACTCTCAGTATCCCTGTTGAATTATTTAACAAATAATTTGAGGAAAATAAATGGTGTTTATATTTATATGAAGAGGTTGTCAGACGTTGTAATCCTCATAAAACACACAAAGGTTGGGGTTTGTTTGAATAAAAGGCCGACCATGTCTTCTTGCAGTGGTTTTAATTAGCTCCTATCAAGATGGATGCTAATGACTGTAATTATCAGCAAAACGAGAAAAAGGCATCAACACGGCTCGAGAAACACGCAGGAAAACGTACCTTTAAAGGAGTCCGGATGATGAACACGGTCTCAGGGATAGTCGAGTGTTTTTGCTGATAAATGGAGAAACCTTCAGTCGTGTTCTGTGTCCCGTTTTTTACAATTACAAACACAAACGATGGTGAAAACCTGCGAGACTACAACATACATGTCAGGAGAGGGGCGGGGCCACAGGGAACCGACGGCGCTCAGATAGAATGATGCCTTCAAGGACTCGACGCAAAATCGTACCTATCAATTTTTCATGTAAAAAAAATATTTCATGCCTTTCCTCTCCATCGATATGTTGTTGAATACGGTGAATACGGTGGCCGAGAACTGCCACTGCAGAAAAACCAAGTTATTTACTGCAAAAACAAAAGGATAATTAAAAAAAAAAAAAGCCACAACAAGTGAGCGCCAGGGACCAATAATCTTGATGCACCAGTGTTTTACGATCTAGGCACAGAAGAAGACAAGCAAAGAAGTTCGTGGAAAGGTTATTGTTTAATTTTGCTCTGTGTGCTTTTCAATATGTCATTTGTTTAGGCCATGTAGTGCCTGAGTCAATATGCAGTTGCTCTGGAGGATGTCGGTGTAGTGTTAGCTTCAGTTCAACTTCATATTGACTCAGGAGCAAAATGGCCCAACCAAATGACACTTTTTTTTTTTTTTTTTTTGCATCACCACTTTTTAAAAAACATTTTATCTGCAGCAGGCTTCAGTTTCTTTTTTTGCATTGGTAACTTCTATTGTGACTTCTTTTTAATTTTTTTTTATTTGCACCAGTGGTGGTTCTTGGCCACCGTAGTTGAGCGACTCAGCATGATCTGTCTATATTCAGAGTGGGGCATACTTAGGCGAAGAGCAGCTACATATCATTCAAAACTAAAAAATTGCAGAGTTTTCAGTTTTAAATGACATTGTGTTTACATTCAAGATAAACACAGTTTTTTTTTCTCCAGGTTTATACTTATATAAAGAGTAATGTACGATATCCTGAATTACTTTTCCAAAAGTCTAGATAATTTGAAAGCGCCCTGAGTAAAAATTTGCATGTTTCCGACAGCTTACAAACGTATCAAATGTCTTTTTAGGGGGCGTGTCCTTGAATTAAAGGAATAGTTTGGAGTTCACAAGCGTGACTGCAGCTGGATTTTCTGCAAGATTTTCATACTAGAGGTCATTTTCATCTATTATTACAACTGTGTAAATAAATTCACGACACTCTGACAGTTTTTATAAATATAACATTTAAAGAAATCTTCATATTATGGTCTAAACATGTAATGTATCCTTTTAATGCCTGACACCACAAATTATTGCCAGAAATTTTTATTTTTTTGGAACTGAAATGTTTATTTCACTTACGACTAAAAAACAAAAAAATCTAAATGTCCTTAAAATTTAACAAATATATTTATTTATCTTTTGATACATCATTTGTTTTTAGAAACTGATAAACTACAAGAGAACATTTTTGTCTTTTATCGGACTGTATTTTGTTGATCATATTGATTTGATAGAAGTATATAAAAGTATCTATCAAATAGGACACTAAAGGCATTATAGGGTTAAGAAGACACATTACACAGGTAACAATAAAAAGAAACTGGCATAGTCATGATATCATAAAATTATAGACAGAAAGAGTTCAAACACATTAGATGTTATAGGGAAATTTATTTGCAGTTAGACAATAATTCTTTGGCTATGGAGAAAAAAAAACTAATCCCACAACCCGTCTGATGTTCTGGATCATGTTTAACCCTTCACATGTACTTCAGTTCACTTTGAGTATCTCCTCAGCTTCTTCTAAAACGTTTACAATAGTGGTCATTTGAACAAATCTCAGCTGCCTTATAGAGAAACAAAATGACGGAGACTCTTCAGATGTTGTCTCATACAGGTTTCTTCACATTTATACTCTCTGGCCTACCTAAATCAGTAAACTAAATAACATAATAATATATTAATCTCTATACTGTTAGTAGTATAATAAAAAAAAAAGTAGAACAAGGTGAGGTGAATTTGGATTTGTCAAGTTTTTCTGGACGTAATTGAGGACAAAACTGAAACAATCAATAAAAAAGTAGATATAATATTCTTCTCTGTGAGGGGGATTCATCCAATCTTTCACATGACAGTTCAAACCTTCATCATACCAACATTTTCCTTCATGACTAACGTTCATATTTCTTCAAGCTTCTCAAAGAGTGATTGCATTTGTGGTAACAGCAGTAAAATAAAAAGTCGCTGAGTTTAGGACATGAAGGGTGACGGACAGCAGCTCTAGACAAAAATATTCAACATTAATATGGAATAAGTTGGTTTAAAACAGTTAATACTTCTACATTGATAATAATGTAATACTTTGAAGTACTTCTGCAAATGCAGCAGCAGAGTACAGACAATTATATGCTAGCATTCAAACATATTACATCTACAGTATGGTTACCATGCGCCATTGTTTTTCCTATTGATGCATATATGTTTGTTAGCAGTGGCTTAAACTGACCGTGTAAATGCTGGTAAATCTGTCATAAAATTAGCGCTAAAAACTGGCTTAGAAACAGGCAGTGTTTGACAGAAATTGTACTTTTAGAAACAGGAGAAAAAATCCAGTTTAATGCCGGTTTTATAATTAATGCCTGTGGAAACGGTTAAAAATGAGAGCCACCTACGATCACATTAACTATGAATTTAGACAAGACACAAGCTGCTTCCACCCTCCTGCTCCCTGCATAACCTCACCTGGAGAGACTGAACAGTGTTAGTGTGTTACACAGAGACCAGCAGCGCCCTCGGTATGAAAACACTCGTCCGTCTCTGCCGCTGTCTTTTACGTCTACTGGAGGTGACTCTCAGTGGCAGATGGCCAGGAGGAGACGTTTGAAGTCGCCGCTGCACTCGTCTCTTAGGGCGTCCTTCAGGGACACGTCGTATTTCTCCAGGTACATGTCTTTGATGGTCTCCAAATCAAACTGTTGGTACAGAGGAGGAAAACAGGATGATGTGAACACATGTGTTACGCTGTTTCATGTTACTGATACGTGTAAAAGTTACAGATTCAAGATTCAGTCTCCTGATCCTGCCTCATGGACTTGTTCTTGAACATCCAGATAATCTTGATTTTATTACTAATCTTGCACCTAATCTTGATCCTGCTTGCTGAACCTGCTGCTAGTTATTCTCTCATCACTGATCTTGTTTGTGCTCTACCTAAGATCCCTTATCTTGTTTCTTACTCAGATTCCTTTTTCTTGAATTTGATTCTACTCCCATTAAAACTCAAACCTTGAAATTTACACTTAATCAATATCCTGTGCTTGTCTTTAATCTTGTTCCTGATCCTTTAAAATCCCTTTAATAACATAAATCTTGTTCTGGATCCTGTTTTTGATCTTGTTCCTGCTCCCTTTTAAAACTCAAACCATGATACCTACAACTGATCAAAATCCTGAATCTGTTTCTAATCTTTTTGAATCTTTTCCCTTATAAAAATTAAAATATAATATAATCCTGAAGTTCTTGATCCCTTTCCCTTTAGAAATAAAAATCTTCTCTCACTTGAAAACGTCATTTTTTATAGACGTTCCTGATCAGAGTCATCAGTCTGTCGGAGGTCTTGCTCTTGATCCAGTCTCTTTTAATCATGATCTTGATTCTTTATCTTGACTGTAGAAAATCTGAACCTAAATATCTTCATTTATCTTCACCTCTTTCTGGTTCTTGTCTTGTTTTTGATCCTGTTTGCTTTGAATGTTGTTCCTGATCTTGTTTTAATCCTGTTTCCTTTGATATTAGAAATCTTGATCCTGGTTTTAATCTTGAAAATCATCCCACTGAAACCTGAAGCTAATCTCAGTTTGACACCTGTTCCTGGTTCTTATCGCGTTCTTTGTTTAACACACTCAAAACCTTTAAAATCAATAAATATTTCCTCACGGACTCTTCCAGCACATTAACATTCTTCCTCCTGCCAGTTACACCTTCAATGAGGTTTTCTGTACTGGAATAAGGAGGCATCATTCAGCCTCTCCTCATGTGATTTTCATCGATTTTACTCCTGGTCAATGTCACGAGTTGCAGGAAAAGACACACTGTACTCCTGCGCAGGTTTGACATCCCAGGAGGAAATGAGCCAGATTGTGTCCAGACCGAAAGGTTTTCAGTTCCCTTACCTCGGAGCGAACCACTATGATGCGGATCAGGGTGTCCTCATCAGTGCCCGCTCCTTTCATCGCTTTGTTCAAGCGTCTGGCGAAGTAGAGCTGAGGGTTCTTGGCGACTCTCACTGAGGAGAAGAGAAACGGACATATCATCAAAATCCCCTAAAGTTTACTCAAATATACATCACGTCCCAGCACAGTCTGACCCTGGTCTGTGTGGTCTGTTTACCCAAGACTGGCACAGCTCGTTCACATATTTCAGTCTATCTGTATCTGCGGCTGCTTTATCGTTTCTGTTTGGTTTAGCCGTTCACTTTACCTCCACGTATTGTTTAGAAAGGATTTATTTGGCTCGGGCTTCAAACTTACCCAGAGCTTTGTAGCATTTTTGCAGCGTCCCAGACGTCTCGTTCTCAATTGCGTCCAAGATTTCAGTTCCAGAGAGCTGTGGAGAGAAAACATTAAAGTGTTTAGCATTAGCAACTTAGCATTTCACATTAAAGTGATTTAGGGATTTAAAACAGAACATAAAGAGCGTCAAAGGAAATTAAATCGCATTTAGAAATAAGACATTAAAATCAGATCAATTTAAAGCTCCTTTAAGGGAATTTTGTTCGTGCAGATTTTGGCGCCCCCTATGGAAAGCATCTTGTCATGCTGAAGTCATGTCTTCAGATGAAAAATCTCCTCCTGCTGACTGTCAAATGAACATATGTAAATATCTGATCCAGGAAATGTGAAGACAGGGCTGTTTTTTCAGCTGCTTGGCTGTCACTTACCCTCTCACACTTGTTTTACATACTAAAAATAATGGTAAAATAATGTTAAAACCTGTAATCTTAATGACAATGGCCTGTTTTTGCTTTTGTATATTATAAAAATGCATCAGTATGAATTTCAGTCCAGTTCATAAATGTGAAAAAAATCCTTATAGGAGCTTTAAAGATGTCAAATTAAAGTAGGTGCTAAAAATGCTTTACGACAAGTTTAAATCAAAGCACTTCCAATTATCAGAATTCATTTAAGAGCATTTCCAGGTCTATTATCTCCTCACATTGTCTCCTAAAAGTTTTAAATTTTTATCCGTCTGCTTTAAAAGGAGCATAATTTGAAGTCCCCGGAAAGTGCAGGTCAATGAGGTTATTCAGAGAGATTATGTAAGACACCAGCTCTGACTTCCCACATGCTAGCTGAAGACACAATCTCAGGCTGCTTAATCTGATATGTATCATCACTGCAGCTATGCACAGAGTGACACCAGAACCCACCTGCTCATATGTCTTGAATGTGGCCTGCAGCTGCAGGTAGTTTCTGGTGGCCAGGATGAAGCTGAAAGTGGACTCATCAGTCCCAAAACAACCCTCTCCTGCCTGCAGTGGATATTAATGCCATCCAAGGTTAGAGCGTATTTATGAGATCATAAAGAGTGTGCATTAAATATTAAAGCGGTACCTCGAATAGAGAGGTAGCGTCCTGTTCAGCCAGCTCTTCGTCCACCTCGTAACTCTCGTCTCTGTTGCCCTGAAGAAGAAAAGTAAGATGACTTATGCTGTGAGACTGCAGCAACTATATCTGGCCTCTGTTTTACTCATGAGAGGCTGTCTGGATCGTGTCCAGCGTGTGTGTGTGTGTGTGTGTGTGTGTGTGTGTGTGTGTGTGTGTGTGTGTGTGTGTGTGTGTGTGTGTGTGTGTGTGTGTGTGTGTGTGAAGGGCCTGAGTGGGCACAGAGAGAGTGAGCTCAGTTTCAGTACAGCTGCAGTCAGGAAGATTTAAGTTACGTGAGAGTGGAAGAGAAACTAAAGAGCACGAACCTCCAGAAGAGCCATGAGCAGGTTTCTAACGTCCCCGCTTGTGTCTCCTTCGATGTCTGCTTCAAGATCACGCTCATGCACTGGAATAAACACACAATGTACACAAACAAAAGGTTAAAAGGTCACTGTTGAGTTCATGTCTCAGTACATACAAGATTGTAAATGACTATCAGAAATGTTGTGATAAGAATAAGTACACCTGCTTTCACTTAGCTTGCTTTTTCTATCGAGTAAATGATTGTCTGACATTATAAAAGCTTGCCAGATTAAAAAAAACCTCCTCAAGTCCTTACCCCAGAGCTTTTTGCTTAAATGAGACCTTCACTTAGCCTCTGTCTGGCTGTAAAACAGGATTTTTGACTTTACATGTCAGCACATTTATGCAGGGACTTAAAAACACATATAAAAAAAGCAGACTGCCCCTTTAATCTTCTTAAAAGAGTCATCATCAAACTACACAGAAAAAATGTGGACAAAAATCAAAGGTAGTGGTTGCAAACATTAAACTAAGAAGTCCCACACTATCATTAGTAAGATAATAACTGTAAGTGTTTGTTTGAATAAGTCAAAAGTATATTTCAGTATTTTTGAAGTGAGGTTAAATAAGATGATGATGATACAGTTCTCATTGGTCATTGGCTTTTATTCAGGGACATTTAACAGAGAAAAAACATAAACAATGAAAAGATCTGTGTAGTTATAAATCTGGTAGCAGTACTCTTAAAAACAGAATCTACTAGGTTCTCCTCTCTTATTTTTGATGATTTTGATTGGTCAGCTGAAGAATAGTGATGTTGATGAGAACAGCAGTGCTCTAAAAGTTGAACTATTTTCATCTGACCACAGCATGGACCGCTGACCCCTTGTTTTTTTAGCACTAAGAACGCTGAATATTAAAAATGCTGAACTGCATCAGTTTTGTTTAAAACACCAGTGCTGTCCATGCCACAAACATTATTACATTTACTGATGAAGGTGATATTTTTACCATTTAATCAGTATTTTTAAACACTTTCCCTTTTTCTTTTGTAAATAAAGCTCATCCTAATCCTTTATTATTTAGTTTTTCTTTTAACTAAATTTTACATCTTAATTTTATATCATAAACTTTTTTTTTTAAAGTATTTTAGCATTTATCTCCTAGCTTTAAGGACAGGATAATCTTTTATTTAGCTATTTTGGTGCTCTTATTTAAGTATCTCAGATTCTGTTAAACATGACAATCAGAACCAGAATCACAGTAAACAGGAAGTTACAGAAAGAGGGGCGTTGAGTAAACATGGTGTGACAGTATTTTACGGGACTTAAGGGTAAGAATAACCCAGTGAGTGCTGTATGTGGGTCTCAGTGAGTCACCATCAGCAACTTCCTTGTTCATAATAGAAGGAAGGGAAACTGTGACACTTAACTGATTAATAAGTGAAAAGTTCAACAATACGAGTTTCAGGAATCATAAGATCTTTACTAACTGATCACAGTGATACAGAAGGCTGGACTTGTTTTAGGACTTAATTTAAATTTTCTTATTCTTGCTTAAATGAATAAAAAATAAAAGGGATGACTCGACTTCAATTTCACTTTACCAAGAAAAAAGACAAAGATCCAAAGGGAGGCAGGCCATAAAGCCCTGGCTAAAAACCAAAATGCAGCCATCTGTTTGTCACTCTCAGACCCTAACAGTCCATATTTATGTATATGTTTTAATCTTTAAATCATGAAGGATAAGATATTTTAAAAAATCCCCCCACGTAAAGTATAAACAAAAATGAAACTAGCCTTTCAGACCATAAACATCATTTTGAACCAGGCCGTAAACATGTTTTTACTGTAAGATATTTCCATTTAAAATGCCTGTCAAAGTCAGTGCCCGAGCTGGGCCACCCCAGTCAACTGAAGGTGGATCCGCCCCTGTAAGCTTACCTTGAAAGTAGCATTCCTTGAACATGTGGATGTCCTGTGAGAGAAAAAAATAGCTGCCATAACTACAAAGTAGGAACATTATATGATCTATTATTTCAAAGGTATCTAACCTCAAAGATGACATGAACGGATGTGTTTATAGTTTAGTTTAAAACAGTATTTTGAATTTATGACTGACATCATTAGTGGCAGTGCAGAGGATCTCCACCAGGACGTCTTCATCAGTGCCCGCCCCCTTCATGGCCTTCCTCAGCTCCTTCACAGCGTAGATGATCGGCGGGTCCAGCATGGCGAGGATGGCCTTCTCGAAGTTCCCTGACAGCTCGCTCTTCAGCACATCCACCAACTCCTGCCCCAGAGACGCAGCAGGAGAGCAAACATTATAAACAGAAAATAACGTTTCCTGAAGTGGAAATAATGTAAACGCTCTTGAGCAACACTTACATCGTCATACTTGTCAAAATAGGCCTGTTTGATTTCCTGACGCTGAAATGAACAGCGGTTTGCCAGGATGTCGATGATGGCCTGTTCATCAGTTCCTTAAGAGAAAATACAAAAACACGCTAAAATGTCAAAAAGTCAGCTTGAACACAGAATATTAAAGTTATTCATGAGTTATTTTGACTCACCAAACCCTTTACAGGCTTTGCGGATGGCTTTAATGTCAGCGATAACATCAAAGTCCTCATAGGGCACGACGGTGGGCTGAGAGAGAGAAGGAACATTGTTATGTAGGTGACTGACTGACTGACGGGCTAAAAACAGCTCCTCATTTCACAGGCTTCATCAAACTGATCATTGTTTCAGTAAATGAAGACATGATAGCGATGCAGGAGCAGCTGGCAGACGGGGGAGGGGAGGAATGAGGAATTCAGGGCCAGAAGTCTTTAAACAAACTTGGTGGGGGCCGCGTGAATTACTGGCAGTTTGCAAAGGGTGGTCCGGGGGCCAGAAGGGGTCTGAAAAGCTTTTCAGAGTCACATATCCTAAACAAGTACAGGTCTGTTTAAGAAACTCTTGATTATAGTAATAAATATCAATTAAACCTACCTTGTAATGTTGTCATTTCATATTTTTAATTACATTTATACACATATAAGGATTTTTCCTACAGTTGTAGAAATAGCAGACCAAAACTTGAAAGAAAAATAAATGTTTTTCACTGTGTTTTGGCTGTATTGTCGTTTACAAGCATGTATGTCTATCACATTTACAAATTTTCCATATAATGAAAGATTTTCTCTCTGTTTTTTGCAATATTACTCAAACTTTTGCAAAAATGAAACTTTTGTTGCGACGATCAGATCATTTTGGTGTTATTTTTATACCTTTTGTTACAACAGAAAGCTAAAAAATACAAAGTAAACACAAAAAGAACTGCTAAAATGTATATTAAATGTCTGAGTCTGTTTTAAAGCTTTGTATTTCTAACTATTAACAAATTGAGTAGTTTTCTCTTGCTGTATCATACTTTTATTTCAAAATACGCATTCTTTGTATTAAATTATAACTGATATCATTTGTTGTCTTTTGTGGTAATTTCAACACATGAATTGATTTCTGGGGATAAAGGGGCAGATAAAATGAGATTAATCTTCTTTCTGCTCCCTTTCTTTCTAAATAGGAGGACGTTTGTATGTAAATTAAACTGTTTCTTTTTATTTCTAAAGGAATGAAATAAAAAGTAAATGCGTAACCAATGCGTAATACATTTTGTGTGAAATGTCAATATTGTTTACTATATTTGGTGTTGTCATGACTGAATAAACGACTACTACTATTACTATTTTAGTTATTTTAAATATAAATAAGACGTTTACTTCCGTTTTGGGCACTTTTTGGCAATATAAATTAAATCTTAAAAAGCAAATCTGTTATTCATATGCTTTCCCATCAATTTTTAAAATTTTTATTTATACACTTTAATGAGTTTTTCTTGAAAGAAAGGCTTTTTAGAAATATCCAAGTCCATAATAAAGCCAAATGTTTCGTTTATAATGATTAGAGGCGACTTGATTCACTATTACCGTATTTTCTGTATAAAATGAGGCAAAAATGATCAATAAATCAAGAAATAGAGAACAGACATAGTGAGAAATCGTATTTAAATGGACACCATGTCCCCCTCCTTTCATGCATGGACTCTTGCATAACACACACTCTCACACACACACACAGCCTCAGTCATTCATGTGTTCACACACACTCTCTCTCTCTCACACACACACTCATCTAACGGAGCCGTGATGAATTCCGCAGGGGAGTGGCTCTTTTCTCTGCGTACACCCAGACACGGTTGTCTGTCACTCGGTGTCATTTTCGTCGTTATATCGGCTCCATTTAAAGTCACACTTAATGTTCAATCTGAAAGTGCAAGTCACCAAAAACTGATGAAGATTTACCGTAAGTTAAACACTGTGCGCAACAGACAGCGAATACATGCGTTTCACTGGTGGATAAATGGTGAAAAATAAGGAAAAAAAGCCGAATAATGAATCTGATATAAAGGGAATAACCGGATAAATAGTTCTTGTCATTGACTAGATCAAAATCAGGCTTCTTCTCGTTATCCCGAAACTCTCCCCCTCTCACTCAATACGAAACCTAATCTACCGATTGTAAGATTTACTTTTCCACGGGCCTCGTGTTTTTAAAAGGCGCTGTTTAGGAAAACGGTACTTACTTGACAGTTGCCCATTTTGAGGGTTTGTATCCGGCTGTGGTTGGTTTTCTGTAAGACGAAGCGGTAGGGTACTTCGGCCTCTTTGGTCCTCCTGGTCAAACTGCGGCCCACAGCAGCAGCAGAAAGGAGCGTGTGACGTCATCGCGTGGGGTTAACCGTTTACGTCCAACACATCCCTGAGGTATCCCATGGTGCCTTAGTGAGGTACAAAATATCACGTTTTCTTTGTTTTATTTCAGTCTACTAGGTCACTGTGCAGCATTATGTGTAAAAAGCAACAAGGTGCATTTTATCCAAGTGCTGCTTCATAAGATGGGTGGTTATTGCACCATCACCTACATGAGACAGTATGGGTTTTTTTGTGCAAGATAAGTCACATGATGCAGTACAGTAATAGTGTTTATCACAGTACATAGTTGGCTCAGCTGTAACTCACAGCCAGAGACTTTCTATCAATTATTCTGGACCTGTAAACTCGCTCAAAGTCTGTGGTAGGGATGAGCACAGCAGTTCTTTTAGATGTACTGAATCACTAGAATCAGTTCAAGTTAAAGTTAGATTAAAGTTAATTTTCCCCCTTTAATGATAACGTCTCTCGCGCATACTGAATAATATCTGTGTATTTATTGGTAGATGATTATTTTTAGCTTTAAACATTATTTGAGTTGTTTGATATTCCACTATGTCTGTGAATTTTAACAACTTGGACAGCAGAAATAAGAAGTGTGTGTGTGTTCCTGATAGCCAACATTGTGTATAACTCGTATTGCTCTTTTTTGAATAGTGGTTATTGTCTGTAGTGATGTTTTTTTTGTAGTGATGGTTTATCTAAACACTTAAATCTAACTCCTGTTACAACAAAAGACACTTAGATATGACTATTTTAAGATGTTTGTTTATTCTGTTTTGTACTTGTTTTAATACCATTGTTGAATGTGTCTCACCTCTGTTTACAGGAATGAACATAGTCTTGGTCAGGTTCAACTGGCGGCCCGTGGGCCTGGTGTGGCCTCTTGTAAATCTTGTATAGCCCAGCCTACACCTCAATCAGGTTTATTTACAGTATGATGATTTTTACTAAGGGGGTTTCTTTGAACATGATCTCTAATCTTGCTGCCCAACTAAGTGCAGTGTATTTGGCACACTCCTATCTCTCTATAAATATCTATACATAATACTTCAGTGGTATTCTAAGGAGAAAAGCTCACATTTTAGTCGCTCCACTCCACAATAGTTCCTTTGCTTCCAGTGTACAGTGTCAGTGTGAGACAACAATGACCTAAAAGGTGCGTCCTCTACAGTATTTAGACTCCTACAGTATAATTACCAACCTTAGCAGCCTCCACTCTAATTATTGGTATTTCAGTGCTCTTTATAACTGTTCCTGCATCATAATTATTGTGGAGAAAAGCCGCCGCTGCCCTCCACAATAAGGTCCTTAGCCTGTGAAAACGAAATGCAAGCACACAAAGCTTCTGCATAAACTGTCCCAATTAAGAGCACGCTAACGTCACGTTAACAAAAGCATGTAATTAAAGAGGGGGGCGGGTCTTCTTTCTTCACTGTGTAATTATGTAGAAATTACCTGGCAGATCAGTCAGAGAGACTTTTTGGAGACAGATAACTAAGAGTGTCGAAGTGAGTCAAACAATGTAGAAGTCCAGCAGCTTGTTCATTAACTTCTCGTGGGTTCTTCTGTTACTTCCCAGCGGAGACCAGTTATTCATTACAACCTCTTTATGCTAAACAGCTGCAGCTACATGTTTGTAGTATAGAGATGTGTGATTAGTACCGTCTTTGAACTTAATCTGAGCAAAGAGCAAATAAGCTTATTATGCCTCAAGTTGAAACAGCAGCGGTATTAGCTTTATTATATACATGTGAAAAAAACTCAATTTTCATATAAAGACAAGGAAGGGAGCTTAGCAGCAAAGACCCTGAAGATACAGAACTCTTTCAAACCTGTCTGCCTGCACCAACTTAAAGACTTCACCTGTATTAACATCTGCTCAATGTCACTTTTTTAGCAATAGTTGAAAACCTTTTACAGCCCTGTTTTTAAAGCTACAGTCAGTAATGATGAACACTCCCTGATTCAATCTAAATTGTTAAATCAGTCAATGATGATTGGTACAGCAGTCAGAGAATCTTAAAAAGTTTCCTTATGTCTTGTTTGGACCTTGAGAAGATTCGTTACTCGGTAGCAGGCAATGACAGAAAATTCGAAAGGATCTCATCATTTTGAATCAGCACTCTCCTCTTCTAACTGTTTTCTTTTTGAAATATATTTCTGTGATGTTTTATAATCATACAATTTAAATTCTTATCTCTTTTATGGACTTTTTGAGTTTTCAGCCACTTGTCTACATTTGTATTTCTCTTAACGTACAGTAGTTCATATGACTTATTCTGTTTTTACTTTTTAATCCTCAACATCTTAAGTATTTCAAGATCTCCAAAACCTGAATTCCAGCACTTACTTGTATTTTTTTGATTTCTTTCTTTTTTTTATTTTTGTTTTAGCTCCATAATTAGTTATTTAAGTACAGTAATAGGAATATCCAGCAGTAGTCGGGGTTTTGAGGGAGAGGGAGTGTTTGTGATGTGTTTCCTTTGTGTAATCTGTATAAAACTAATACATATATTGTAAAAAATAAAGGTTGAGGTACTCAAATTAAAAGAAAACCTGGCTGAGGAGGATGGATTTCAGTCCAAAACATGAAAAAAATATGATAGGGAAGAGCATTTCAGTTTGTTGGTGAAACTTTTCCTTGTTTGAAAACTCTAAAAAAGTCAAGAAAAGGTCACCGTGAGTGCACGGGAATATTGAGTTCATATGTAATCTCTGTCTCTGCCAGGAGGGGGAGACATAAGTTGTACAATGTTCATCTGAGATTGAAGATTTTCTTTTAAGGCTGAAAATCCTCTCACTCAAAGAAGATGTGGGGTTTGAAAGAAGTTGGATTTCAGGAGGTCAAGGTGGTCTAATGGAAGACTTTGTTGAGCTGCATCATGGGAATTGTAGGCTCAAGTGTGACCTACCTTAAAAACTAAATACAAACTGCACTTGTTCATTGAGTACATTATAGCACTCATTAGTTTTGTTTTGTGTTGCTTTGTGTTTTATTGCCACCATCAGAACTTGCTGCTGAAAATCCCAAACACTGTAAAGGCTGAAAACAGTCAGAGGACTTTTCCCCTGACTGCTCCACGTCTCTCTCTCTCTCTCTCTCTCTGTCGTCTCCATTCAGGGATGTGTTGGTCTCTGTTTCACAGGGGGTGGAAAGGGGTCCCAATGAAGTCTGTATCACGGACCTGAGAACAAAGACAGCATTCAGGATTGCTGGTCAAAGAAACAGGCTGTAATGTCACGCTGGCCCAGAATCCAGACTGGTGTTATGACCTCAAATACAGCTTGTTTAGAGTCTAAGCGGCTCCCACTGTTAATGACCACAGACCGGGGTTCGAGTTTCAGCTGCTGTGAGACAAACGAGAGATGTGGGAGAGGAGGAGAGAGGAGTTTCACTTTCAAAGACGTGTGGGGAGGAAAAGTAAAGAAACAGGACGGTTTCTCATATTTTGACCACATTCTTGCTTTTATATGTTGTCTTGCTGTTGTGGTTGTTTTTATCTGTCAAACTTTTTTTTCCTCTACAGTGCTGGGATTCTAAAAGTCAGCTCGATCAGCAGACTTTCCGAGCACAACAGGCTTTTGTTTTATGGAACAATGCTGAGCCAATCAAACACTGCACTGATCACTCGCCCTGCAGACGCTCATGGTGGTAGTTTGGTGCCCTGCATGGTCTCATTGTGCTGGAAAATCATAAAACCATAAAAAAGAGGCCCTAAGCTGCACTTTGAATCACAGTCCTGTTTTAAAATCACTCACCTTCTGTTCATCGGCAGCGTTTCTTCTTCTCTCCTTCTCCATCTGTTGTTTCTTCTCCTCCTCCACCTGCAGTCAAAGCTCTTAGTGATGCAGACTTTTTCCTCTCCTGAAGGAAACACTGAAGTAAATTTGACTCAAGAACTTTACAGGAGAAAGTTGGTGACTTTACACAGAGGAAAAGTTTCATTACAACATGTTAGCTGATGTATAAAAGCCTCCTACTCAGTGTTAAAGTTTCATCCTGTTGATCAGGTCGTACTGAAGCTTTGGCCTGAAAGATAAAGACCTGTCATTATAACTTGATGCCTTTTTGCTTTTACTTTGTGCTGAAGTTTAAAATCTGCAAACATGAATTAATGCTTCCATCTAGTGGTCATATGTACAAACTACAAATCCCATGAAAAGCCCCAAACCAACAATACATTTATCCTTCCTGACAGAATGACCTTTTTGACCCTAAACAGCGTTCTCGTCTGTGCTGTAGAGCTTTATTTTTTTTTCCAGAAAAACATCTAGCAGCTGTATTTCTCCTCCGGGCAACAAGAAAACTGCTGCGGTAAATTATTTCAGGTCAACCCCACTCACTTTAACCCTAAATTTGTATTAATCCACTGCTAAAATGAGCCCAAAATTTGCTTTTATTCTTCTTAGTCACAACTACTATTCTTTCTTTCTTTCTTAATTTTTTATCTCAAACTTTAAGAACAACAAAAAAAAAACAACTAGAAACAAAAACACCAAACAAAATAATACATATGTACACCAAACAACTGTACATGTGAAAGATAAATTTACACAACATATGTATGTCAAAATAAACAGTTTGAGAAGGAACAGAATGAAGCAAAAAGCTCATCTAGAACCTGCCCCTTCCTCACAAATTAGAGGTTATAGAAAAAAAAATCATCACTATAAAACAGGAGATCGATTATTTGTCACTTTGAAAACTGTTTACAGGAAAAGACCATTATATTTCAGGTGCTTATGACTTTAAGACACAAAAACAAGCCGGAAAAAATCAAAAAAGTTCAAGAAGGTTTTGGCTTTTAAAGGGATTAGTTTGCAATGGAAACAAAGCGAGTTTTTGCCAACAAGGAAATAATGATTATATATATATATATATTATACATATTAAATAAGCACCTTAAATAAAGAAGTCCTTTTAGGGTCTGTGCTGATCAACTCTGTTAGTGTGAGCAAAGGAAGAGGATAGAAGAAGAAAAAAACAAACAGAAGAAGATTAATTTTAATATAATTTTGTGACTTTTTGTGTCCAAAACGCTGCTTTAAAAACAAAATTAGCTCTGATTTAAGTGTGAGGTTTTTCTGCCTTTCCCCATTTTTATATCATCGCATATCATCAAAGTTTTTTCTTGTTTTGTGAAAAATTTAAAATCTTAAAATGGCGTTTAAGCTACGTCACATTTTCCTGAAATTTCATGAACCAGCAGTATAAATCATTAGAATAATACCCAGTCCAGTATCCAGTGCCAAATACAGCATCATGCTTGATCATGATTAGAGTATTGCATACGCTCCTTTCTCCTCATTTTAAACTCTTCAAAGCTCCTGATATTGCTCCTCAAACGCTCCTCAAAACTTGAAAAACATTCAAACTCGCGCTGTAATAAGAACTAAAGCCGGGGCTGAAATAAATCAATACATCTATTCTCCCGCCCAGACGCTCTCGTCCTCGGAGAGTCAAAGATTCTCTCCATGAGAGTCAGATTTATCCGTTTATCTCCCACTGTAGTGAAGCTCTCTCATCACAAGTTGTACTATCAGGCTGACTCACGCTCAGGCTTCACATGAGTGGAGGTGTGCGAGTGAGTGTGTGGAACTGAAGAGCTGAATTGTCAGAGAGGACGTCATTACATCATGAAAGAGTCTCAGCCTGATGATATAACTGACTCATCACTTCTGTGGGGTGGATTTAATCCTGCTTCTGTTCTCCTGACGACGCAAACACCTTTTCATTTACCTTCTCCGTACAAACTCAGAGTTAAATAGAAACCACACCTGCATAACACCGACGATATTCATGATGACTCTCTCCCTTTCTTCAAATCCAGACTCAAAACCCACCTGTTCAGATCTGCACACTCCTTTATAATTCCTTATGTTTTCTCTATCCCTTTTATCCTGTTGTTTTTACTCTATAAAGTGTCCTTGAGTGTCAAGAAAGGCGCTTATAAAAAAATGTATTATTATCATTAGTATTATGTTTTTTCATAGTCAAATCCATGTTAAACCAGAACACTGTACCCTTGAATGTTTTCAGACACTCATCAAGTTTGATTTCAGGCCATGATTGAAATCTGAAAAAACAAAACAAATAAAAACAGACTACTCAAGGCTCTGGGGCCTGTTCTACGAAGCAAGTTCGACCTAGCGAGGTAGCCTTGAAGTTACCTCGCTCAACTCAGCGCTCTCGCTAAACGGTCTTACGACGCTGGTTATCAACCTCGTAAGTGGATGCAGCTTTGCTGTGAGCGCTTGCACACATGTAAGGTGGAGCCCACCGCATCTGACCAATCGTGAACATGGACCAGTCTGGAGCGTCAGAGCAGGCCCGAGACCGAAAGAGAGCGAAAATCTTTGATGCCATTATCACCCTGAAATAGCACTGTTCAACATGCGCTTTTAACATGCACCAGACATGTCTAATTCATTTCCAAGATGAATTCATTCATTTGTTCATTTCCACGTATTTACATTTTTTGTGTGATATGCCATATGAGCCTTTCATAAATGTGGTCATCCAGAAAAGTAAGTGGGTCCATGCTGTCCCTGAAAACTCTCGTGCCAGAGTGCTCCTCGGACAATGCGAGCACCGAGGTCTACAGGATCCTCCAAGAACAGTTGTACTCAAAAACGTGACAAAGACAGGGCAGTGCAAAAAGCTGAATGGTGCCTTAACTTTAAGAAACATTAAAAATACTCAATCACAAACTGCTTCAGACATCTCCAGCTCGAGTGTTTGAATGACTAACTGTATGAATGATTTCACATCAGTCCCTCAAGAGACGGCCGCCTGCCTCTCCATCAGTCTGTGTGCTACCTGGAGGCAGAAAAACAGGAAAGACACAGCACAGTTACCTTCTGGAAATTGCTATAATTGAGTGATTAAGAGCGATGACGTCAACTGAAAGGCCGTTATTTTGACTGAATGAGCGCTCACTTAGCCCGCATTCACACACACAGCGGTACAACTGTGACTCACCAGCGTCCTGGCCTTGGGCTTTGTGCTCAGCATCTGTGTTTGTGCTGCAGCAGTCCCTGGTGAAAGACAGAGCGACGGTGGTGAGTCAAAAAAGGCTTTTTTTTTTTTTTACAGCATGTGTGAAATCAGCATAAATTGGATTATTAGATGAGTGGACCTGCCTTTGTCTTTTCCACGCCGTTCGTCCTTTTGTGATGCCTCCACTTTTGCGTGAACAGCGCCATGCCTGTGACGATCGGCAGAATCGTCATCGCTGTACTGTAGATGTACAGTTTTGATCGCAGTACGTCACTCACTCTCAGTTTTCACCATCGACTGTATATAGAATGGACAGCATCTGCCTCCTCGCTGAGAACAGCACCCTCTGTTGACTGGCTGCAGTATAGGTCATAAATCCCGCCTCCGCTAGCCATCCTTATGGAGCTGTGGACAAACTTTAGAAATTTATTACACAGAATATACATTTTTCTCTGCCCTGCTTGTGGTGTTGACATGTGGTTACGGTAAAACTGGTTTGTGTTCAGGTCCTCTTTTTTCTGTGCAGCTCCATTTTTAATAGTTATTAGCGGGTTCATGTTTTCTATGATTGACACTTGATACAGCCTATGGACGTATGAAGATTGCATAGCTCACCCCGGGGATATGCTGTTTGAACTGAGCGTCATCACAGTGACTCTCGGCGACTCTCCCGCCAAATGCGTACAATGATACTGCACAATGTTGGTTTCAGGAAGTGGAGATATAACGCGGAATTACCGAGAGCTTTTCGGTTTCAAATCCGTATACAGGTGGAAGGCGGAACCAAGTTGTCCATAGCATATGCAGTCTGTGGTTTGGAGGCTTAAACGCCCAAAGTTACCTGAAGGCAGCCTCCGCACTTCTCCTGCCCTGAAGAAACCACACAGTTAGACAGAAATCTACTGAAGACGAGAACGGTTGTGGATTATTTTATCCTTATTTTTCGTTATTCTCGTGATGAAATCCTGACGTCACGCTCCGTTTGCACATGCGCATTACACTTCCAACATTCACGCATGGCAGTTAAAGGTCTCGATGGTAAAAGTGTAATGTACATGCACAAAATGGAGCGTGCACTTGGCTTGCTGTTGATAATCCCACTGAGCAATAGACGGCTATTAGACGCCATTTTTTTAAAGACCTAATTTCAACCGTCTAGTTTCTGTATATTTTTAGAAGGAATTTAGACGTTGAACTTTAACACATTATTCGATAACTATTTATTTCAAAAAGCAACTGTGAGTTGAATAACTGATCTCCAAGTACTTAACCAAAATAAATATGATAGCCGTTGAACAATATACAGTTAGACCTCTGTTAGCCGACTAGTCTAAACTTGGTCTAAATTTAGACGTCTAAAAAAACTTTCATTTTTAGACCTGTGGTAGCCTGATTTAAGACCAGTCATCTCGGCTACATTTAGACGTCTATTAGACCTCTTTTAGACCAAAAAATGCTCAGTGGGATGGTGGCTGTGGCGTTTCAGAAATATCCCAATCTGGAGGGCATTTTTAAAAGTTACCGTTGAGGTCGGCTGAAACAACATTTCCATTAACACGGGCAAATGCAAAAAAATGCATTAGAAAAAAAAGAAAAATCCATGGTCGATCCTGCCTTCCTTAGTTCTCATCTTCTGTAGAAATCTAAATTAAAATACAGGTTATTAGTGAAAAATGCAATTAATTTAGGATAAATATTAGACTTTAATTCCTAATCAGAAACGAAAGTGGTGATTTCAAGATTGGAAGGCAAGTTTATAACTCAGAATAGATTTAAGGTATTTGTACTCGACATTTTTATTTTTATTTCCAAACATGATGATTATTGTTGGAATTGGATGTGTTGCCATTTCACATCTTTGTGTGTGCGTGGGTGTGGATGAGGTGTTTTCTCTTCCACATTGTCTGACAGGAGCAAGAAGAGGGTTTCTCTAATTGGCCAAAGTGTCAGCAGGCTCCAGCAGTTAATCACAACAACGTAAGGAGAGAATCACAGCCGGGAGGGATTCAGCATTGTGGGGAAACGACCTCTTTTTTCTCTGCCAGAGTTTGCACGGCATATTCACGGTCTTCTGATACAAAGCGAGTTCATATAGAGACGGTGTCTGCAGCAAAGGCAATTACTGTAAAGAATCATCTTTACCTCTCTGTTTTTAGCATTTGAGAAGAAGAATTGAGCTCATAAATATCTAATAGGAACCGGTTGTGGGGGAGGAGTTCAGACAATGATATCATCTCAGGTTTCAGCAGCACAAATAACATCATTGATTGCCAATATTTAGAAACTTCATCTCCACAAATACCGCGTGTATTATCCCGGGCCAAAGCCATTAACCAAAATTAGTCCCCCAGTCACACTGAGACGCCAAAACCGGCCTCTTGCTGTCAATCAGGGAGATAAATTACCTTTTAGCCTTTTGAGTTTATGATAATTTCCAGCAATCAATCATGTTGTGAGAATATGTGTCAAAGAGAGGCTGGGTTTATTTTTGAGTTATAATAAAAAGGTTGTATTCATCAGGGGCTCTCTGTGTGAAGCGGGCTGTAATGGGTCATCGGTCTGCTGATGACATTTTTCCTGAATTTAGTTACTCAGGAATATTGACGCAGATTTTCAGGTGAGCTTGTGAGTCTTTACAGACGCATCAGCAGTTGTTTAAAGCCGATCTGCCTGTACGAAGCAGCAGCAGAATGACGCAGATTTGAGAGTTATTATGAGCTTTGTTTGCGTTTGTTCGTGTGTATTTTTTTTTGGCAGAGACAATGACTCACTCATTGTATGACCTGTTCATTACACACACTTATGCCTGCGTAAATAACTGAGCAGTGAGTGTGCACCGGCATGTTTAATTGCGGTATATAAACGCGTTCATGTCCGCGTTGTGGATTTGTGATTGCCTGCTCCTCTAGATGTGGAGGTGGAGGTGGTGGCAGAGGACCGTGACACAGGCTTTGTGTGAATCATGGGTGCTCAAATCACCGGGGTGGGGGTGGAGGGCTCTCTACCCTCGTTGAACTCTCCCTGCCTGAGTTTTTCCACTTCTCCTGAGCTGGATTTGAACCGAGGACTGTTTCATTCAGAGGTAGCAGCCGTTTTCATCGTACCACAGACCTGCCTGTACAAACACACTTTTCTAGGCTCATTTCAGAATGTTGTTTTTGTTGATCCAGAGCACAGAGCAGCTTTTTAGAGGAAAACCACAGGCCAGGATTTAAACAGGCAACTCTTGGACCAAGAGATATCCGTCTTCATTTGTTCACTAAAAGGCACTCTCTGATTAGCTGATTGAGAAGCGTGTTCTGATTGGCTGGTCATAACAAGCTTTCTGATTGGCCAAATGTCAGAAGCTCTCTGATTGGCAGATGTAAGGAGTTTGAGTCAAAATTGATGCAGTTCTTTTAAAGTCTATTGGTGCGTTCGAGTTACCTCGGAAGTCGGATGTCGGAGCTGGGAATGACGTCACACCTGAGTTACCATCGTCTCAGTTACCAAGTAGGAAAAAAGCAAAATCGGAGGCGGAAACAAGATGGCTACATCTACGAAAGTTATTTTAGTGCTCGCTTGTCCGAATATAAGCAACTTCTGGACAAATATGTGGTCCTTCTGCGACATGCAAACACGGTGGATGGAGAGGCAACACAAAGGCGATTAGTATTTCATTGTTTAGAAAAAGTATCTATCGCCGTTTGACCGGTCATCAGTTAATAACAGGCGAGTGCTCTTAAAAACTGCATACACGCATTATGTCAATTATAAGTTGAAATAAACAAACAAAAAAAAACACCGGCTAAAGCTACCAGGTTAACCTTTGTTAGCCACTGTTAGCACGGTGGGCTTTGTAGTTCACATATACACATGAAAATGTAAATTGCAATATATATATACAGCATTTCTATATAAATATATACATCTAATAATACTTTTGTAGCCTGAGCCTCAGGCTGACTTATTGTGACAATAAATAGTGAAAAGTGTTAATAAAAGGATTATAATAGGAGCCTCAACTTGCAGTTTACAACCGGCGCCATCGCCGTCTTTAAACGTCAACTCGTGTTGATCATCCAACCTGCAAGTCGGAAATCCGACCTCGATGCTCATTCCAGTTGAAAGTTCTGAATCGGAGCTCATAAATTCCTACCTCCGAGAACAACCGGAACGCACCATAAATAAAAGGAGCTCTCTGATATGTCAATTGTAAGAAGCTTTCTGATTGGCTGGACATAAGCAGCCCTTTGGTTTATGGATGAAAGGAGCTTTCTGGTTGGCTGATGTGGAAGAACTTTTTGATTGGACGAATGAAAGGAGTTTTCTTATTAGGCAAAATTAATCGAGCTTTCCAATTGGCCATAATAAAGAAGCACCCTGATTGGCCAATTGTAAGACACTCTCTGATTGGCTAATTCTAAGGCCGGCTAGCTCAAGTTTTTCCATGCATCTATCTTCCTGTGTATAACCACACACATCTCCCACTAAAAGCACCCCACACACCCTCCCCCTCTGTATGAGTCATGAGCCCACTATGACACATGAGATGTCCTGAACATCCCACCTCCTCCCAGCCCCCTCCCTCCTGATCATCCCTCTATATGAAAGACAGATGAGTCAGCGACAGAGCACGCAGGCTTGTGCCAAGTGATCAGCTTCCTCTCATCTCCTGTCCCACCTCCTCCTCCTCCTCCTCCTCAACACCACCACAGTCCATCTCTGCCCACATGGCTCTACCTCAAAAGGCTGTGATTCATTCACCCATCACTGTCTGAGGGTTAAAAATAAGTGCTGCCCTGCTGGGGAAAGTGTCCTGCTGTCTCGTACAGACAACAAAGAGGCTCAAAAATGTCCTGCTGTGATTCTTATATCCACCCCAGGTAATCCTGAGGACTCTGTTTGCAGCGTGTGTTCGATGTGTCTTTGCAGCTTTGTTGTGGTCTAAACCGGGACAAAGAGATCATGTCAATCTCTAGAACTTCTCTTTGATCGAAAACTTCAATGTTAAACCTGAACAGAGATTAATGTGCGTGTATGTGTTACTTATGGTCCTGGTCATGGTGAGTAGACTCTGACGACCTTCACACTGACTCTGACACGATGCTAGATTGGGTGATGTGTGTTTAAAGTGCTGATTGCCCTGAGCACTCAAAGGTGTTTTTATTTGCACAATTTCGACTAATATCAGCAAAAGACAATGTGTGTCTCAAATCTTTGGTATAACAAATGAATAAAGGAGCAGTCCAGAGATTTCTATTGTTTCCTATGTAGGGAAACTTACTCAACCATCCTGTCTGATCCTTGATTAAAGTTTAAAGGCATGGTTGATGACTGGAGAGATTGGTAGTTATTATGAACCTTATTTAAAGGGTGATCATGGTCCTATAGTGCGATCTCCACAAAGTGAAGAGAGATAAGAATGGAAAAAATCCTGCAAAAACATTGACCAATAGGAGCCATCTGCCCCGGACAGCTCCTATTGGTCAATCTCCTGCTCCGCCTCTCCATCCAATCACCTCACTGTATTCAACTACTCTCCCGTAGTTCTGACTCGTCCCCTCCCACTCTCCCAGCCATGAAATATTTTCCCGCCCTCCTTTGCCTTTGATTGGCCAGAAGTGGTGGGCTCCGATTGGATGTGAAACGTCATCGTCTGTCAGGTTAAAGTTAGGATTAGGGTTAGGATTAAGGTTAGGAGATTGAGAAGTGCGATATTGTTCTGTAATGTTCGGTCGCATGAAGCGTGAATATCTTGGAAGAATTGTGCACTGGCTGACTACCACTGACTGACTTCATGCTGTGAGAGGCTGGAGAAAAACTGTGGAAATTTTCCAGGTTGGCTGTCCTGAAAATTTCCAGACTTTTTTAAGTGCATATTAAAAATGGGACTGTAGTCCACCGCTTTCTTTAGTGGTGTTTCTTTATTTCAGTCCCCTGCAGCAGCAGCAGCCTGTATTGATCGTCTATTCATTAGAAAGGCTCCTAAAGTGCTCTTGTAAACAGGAATCGATGCTAACATGTTTGCTCTGCACTATGCCCTTTTGCAGCGTTTTCTGCTGCATCACTGCCATATTTAAAGCAATATCTCTCCTGTGTTTGTGATCTTGTAGAACTGATAGGTTGAGAAAGTATTAATAGATGAAGAATGAGTTTATCCTCGGCTCAGGGAATAAACAACTTCCCCGTGACCTGTAATCACTTTTTGAACCCGGTAATAACAGCCCTCACTTCTCCTGCAGAGGTCTGGAGTCAGCATTTGATACCATCTTGTATCTTTCGCTTCCGGCACGGTCTCCATTGATCTCCGTCCAAAAACAAAACCCCACAACGAGCTGTAAAAGCATTTCAGGACAGTCGCCAAGACGCACATATCCTAAAGTGGTTATGATGCACGATGCTTTTAAGGGCCCGGGTTCCTCCTACTGTGCATCTGCAGGAGGAGAAAGCAAACACGACTAAGTTTCTGAGCACCAATGCATCATGGGAGTATGTTGTATCAGATTCTAGCGGGAATAGACAGGAGAAGAGACAGATCTTTGCCTCAGCGCTCTCAGCTGGAGACGTTTTTTTTGTTTGAAATGCAAATTTGACCACATTTTTAACCGCATTAAAACACCCAGAAACAGACTTTGTTTTCATATAAATATTTATTGCAGAGGAGGTATCTTTTATGTACATGCTATCACAATATAACACAATATAAATCTACCAAATATTCCCATATATTGATGCTATAAGCTTGTCATAGAGCAATAGTTATAACAAGCACATAATACAGTGGTTAGGGACAGTATCACTCACTATACAACTTGTAACAGTCCATAAAAGATCAATTTTTTGTCTTTTTTGTTCTATCAAGGGCAGTGAAACATCGGTCCTAGTATTTATTTTTTATCTTGAATTCATGCAGAAGCCACAAGATTTACAACGTTACAGCATTGAATAGTAGTAGTAGCAATAGTAGTAGTTGTATTTGCCATCTGGTGACTCGATTTGGTCACAATATGAGAAGAGGCGTGAGGTTTGAAATGAAAGCAGCAAGCCGACAGATGCACCATGGTCGTGATCGGATAGAGCTACGGGACACAGTACCGTCCATATCAAGGTGGTACGAGGACAATGGTCTGGATTTGAGGTTCAAACTTGCACTGATTCATCCATCAAACGGCTAAAATGTAATGAGAGTCTGGGACAGTAAGACACTTGGTATGTTTACACCATTGAATACACGGACCTCTATGGACTGACTGAACTAAGTAATGCTACAACAAGCATACTATCGGAAATCGTGCAAATTAAACAACAGAGAAACTGGCTGAACATGTGTCATATTCCATGGTGTGACGCAGGACGATTGCATTGTTTCTATCAGGGGCGGATCTAGGCTTTATAGACCAGGGGGGCTCTGCTAAGATATGGGGGTGGCATTTAAATGATATTATGTCATCTCTTTAAAATAAAACTCCAAATGTGTATCTCCAAAGCTGAAAACATCCATGAGGAATTTTTGGTTTGTGTTGATTTTGGTGCCCCCCTGTGGACAAAATTTGCTAATCTAATCCTGTGCATGCATGGCACAACAGGAGATGCATCACACATGGAAAATCTTCGCAATCGAAAACATAAAAGAAGCAATTCATGCAATGCTGAGAATTTTAAAAAGTCGAAACCTTGGGTGGCCAATCAGATGCTGAGTGGGGCCCCTGGTCACTTTTGGATCTGGATCCGCCCCTGGTTATTATTTTCTTGACTGTAGTTGCGATTTCTTGTGCTCCAACTATCTCTGGTCTCTAAATCTCATCGGCGGAGAGTGTAAAAGTTTGAAATATAAATAAATAAATAAAAAGCTAAATAAATATAAAAATAATAAATACATAAATATGTCACATCATATTGCTTGTTGTGGTTCTTTTCTGATTGGGTTGAATTCCGTCAAAATAAAAGCTCGTCTAAGTGTGTTAACGTCATAGTTTTTCAATTAAACGTTATAAAACATGCGCTTCTCATAAATTTGAACAAACATAGGTTGAAAATACACGCATAGTATTTGTCTCCCAGGGCAGTAAGATCTAATACGGCAGTGATTCTGGAGACTGAAGTCGGTTTTAAAAAATGTGGGGATTTGAAATGTGGTTGTTTGTCCCACAGGGGATCCCTGTGTGTGAAATGATCCTACAACCGCCACCACAATGCAGATGATGGATGACGCCTAACATCTGGTTCATAAATATCAAATAGATCCATCAAAGCATCACAATCAATCCATGCACGCTGACAGTCCCTTTCCAGACACCGTTCCTGAAGGAGCTCATAAAACAGAGGTGGTGACAAATCTCACCCCGCGAGGCAAACACTCTGCGTTTGAAATATTTCAGGGGAGGCACCCACGGGTCAACGGCAGAGGTAATTCCTCAGCAGGTGTAGATACGAGACGCAGCATCTAAATCATGTTTATAGAGGCTTGTTTGATGGTAAACAAAAGTGGTAACACACTGGATTATCTCCAGTTACACTGTGGCGGAGAAATTCAGCAAACTGTGCTTCCGTTTAGTAAATTTTCACTCACAAGAAGGATTTTTTTCTTTTTAAACCACATTTAGATATTAATCCTGCTGAATTAGGATATTCAAGAATTTGACAGCAATTATAGGTTATTACAATCAGTGACAACATTCAGTGATACCATGTTTTCTCACAATATACTGTAATGTACTGCAGATGCTCTATTGATACACAGTCATCCTAAAGTTACTATGTCAGGTGGTTAACAGATTTTTCTTTTTTTGCTTTAATTCCAGGGTGGATAGCATGTGTGAATTTTAGACATTTTGATACAAAACACTGAGACACCTTCAAAAGGTTTAGTCGCATTAATTATCGACAGACACGCTGCAGAGTCTACTTCTAAAATGATCAGTCTTGGTAATCACTTGGACTTTAGCCTACTTGCTCTAAACCACCAGAGGGGAACATGCAGGACACCGCTTGTTAACCTTCATTGAAGAAATACAAGAAAAATAAAAGTGTTAAAACAACAGTTTGATTTTGAATATTAGAGGGTAGATGTTAATTGGAGAACCTTTTCTTTTTTCCTTTTATGACAACTGTTTAGTGGCTCTGTATTGACCAAAGTAAGATCTTTAAACACGGCAACATCATTACAACAAAGTCGGACAAGTCGAAATGTAACTTGACAATAAAAATGAACACATCTTCACTAATTACTCGAGGTACCTGTACTAAAAGTCAAATATTTTTTACAGCTTTTTCATATTTTAGTCATAAATAATGCTGTCTATGCCAAACGGTTATCTTTCATGTTAAAAATGAAGCAATAGTAGGAGTGCTAAAAAAACTGCAGTTCATCAAGTGTCCACTAGAGGCTGGTTCTGAAAGTTAAGGAATCCCCATTTGGTTCAATGTTAAAATATTCATTATTGAAGCGGAAATAAACATTCTCACAGCCTGGTACAGAAAACAGTTTTGGTGTCTACTGGTCACGTCTTTATATTATTACTTATATTTATATTACTCATAAAAAACGTATGGGGAGGAATTTTTAATTTGTCCATTTTGATTATATTGAGAGAAATTAAATGAAAATGGAGAAGTTGTTCTTACGCTTATATAATTGGAGGCTTGGCCAAGTAGACTAAAAAGTAGTTTTAGCAACGTAATCGCTACGCCAGTTTCTAGCTTGACTAAAAGCTAGTTGGATTTATGAGTTTCCAAGTTTGCAACACCTCATTGGGAAGTGGCATCAATGACATGATCTCCATATTGTAGTGGACAATGATTTAGATAAGTTGGATCGAGCCTCTCAGTCTGAAGAGTGTAGCTAATAAAGAGAAGCTAAAACCGACATTACACCTAATGGCCAGCAGGGGGCGACTTCAGTTGTTTTAACATCCACTTAAACATTGCCTCACTTACTTTAAAGCTGATTACAACAGAGCATGATGTTTACCGTCAACTGTAGTCCACTCACAGGTGAAACTGACTTCAAAGCTGACTATGCCAAATGGTGTGGGTACATGTTATCGCCATAGCAACCCTTTAAAATATCTTTAGTCAAGGTAGAAGCGTTTGTTGCAGTGATGTCGTCTTATTTCTAGATCTCACACATATTGTTTTTATGAGGTTCTTTAAAGCTACACTGTTTAGTCAAAGTGGTGACCTGCTGCCATTTTGTTGGAAACTTGTAGTAGCCAAACTAACTGTGAGGTTTTGGTCATTTACAGAGTTCTGGGGGTTCCAAAATAATAATTTAAAAAAAGACATTTTCACTTTTAATTTGTCAAGCTGTGTCCACAGACACATGCACACACATTTTGGTGCAAGCCAACACAAAGACCCATGCTGGATTCATAAACAAAGCTGGTGCAAATTATGTCCTCGCTATTTCACTAGTATTTTTCAACCCTTACATTTTACAGAGTCCATATGAGACATTTCGACACACGTTCAACCCTGAATGAGCTTGTGGAAACGAGAAGGCAGGAAAATGAGAGCCTCTGAAGTGAAATAAAAGAATTAAAAACAACTTTATACAGTATATCTGTCAAAACATTAACTGCTTTAGTCGGAGAACATTGGTGGGTCCAACTAATCTCAATACCTGGCTGTGCATGCTGTGTATATAATTCACTGACACAAAGTGCTGAAGGGGAAGCCACTCGCTTCCCTTCAGACTGGTACAAGACAATGCTAGTTAGTTAGGCACATACAGTACATCTCTGCAGACTTGGAAGCATTTAATCTGCAGAGAACTACAATTAAATAGATCTAACAGAAAAAAAAAACAAAAAAACAAAACATGTCTGAGTTTGGTCAGTGTGTGATATCCGGTGGAATCATGCTCAAAGTCAAACTAAAAGGACAAAATGTACAAAAAGAAGTCTGTCCTCTTAATCTGTGGATTTGGCTAAAGTGCAATAGACTGATTCCCCACTGAGTTCTTCCCTCCGACCAATAAATTCACTTCAACACCCCACTTTGCAAATAGTCACATATTCTTTGGCTTTCACTTTTGCTGTTTTTACATCCGTATATTTCATACTACTTATTCCTTACACCCTCTACCCTCATGTCGTATTTGAGACCGTTAGGTGATGATGGTAAAGCACAAAAGAACAGAGTAAGATTAAAATACAGAACAAATGAACTGTAAATCTTCAAAATTGCTCATGACGTGAAAAGGCTGAATCAAAAGTTGCATAATTCGTCTAAGATTTAACTTCAGGATTTTCCTGCATTAATCTGGAATGCTCATCTTGACTTTGTTTTTTGTACATTTTACTTATTTTTTAAAATAGGTAAAACAGGAACGAAAATCTCGGAAAGGAAGGCAACTTGTGGAACTTGATCAACTTTTCTTCCAAGTCACCGCGCTAATATTAAAAGATCATATTGAACGATTTCAAAGTGAAAAAAAGTATACATTGATAACTCTCGTTTCAGCTGTCCGTTAAGGTCGAGTGTCACGCCTTTTTGCTGGACGTGCTTTCCTCAAAGTCCCACGGGCAGACATCCGCCTTCTTAGCAGCGCTCACAACCCCTCCTTTAGGGTTTGTGTTGCTCTGTTTCACCACAGACGCACTTTTGTCTGTACCTTTTTTGTCTGACGTATCCTCATAATCCCACGGACAGACTTCAACCGGCTTTGCTTTGGCGGCTCCCACATTCGCGCTTCTCCTCTTTTCTACCACCTGCACTTCCTGTTGACTCTCTACATCCCACGGGCAAACCTCCGCCATTTTTGGTTGGCTGGTGTGTTTCTCCGAAGATTTGCTCTTGTCTTTTGCTTTTGTTCTACTTTTCTCCTCCTCAGCGTCTTTTGGTTTCTCTTTCTCAACTGTCCTTGTTGGAGAGGTCCCTTTCTTTTTCGAAGGGGACTCCTTGGTTTTGGTCTGTCGGGATGGACTCGGTGTCCTCTGTCCAGAATTTGGAGACACGGCTGCGCTGTCATAGTCCCATGGACATACATCAGCTTTAGATGTTGGTAGCTGGAGAGAGACTCCAGTTTTGGATGGTTCTGAAAGGGAACTTTTCCCTTTCCCATCCACAGGAGAGGTCCCTTTTCTTTGTTTTGTCATATCCGGTGATCGAGCTAACTCTGTTGTCTTTTGGGGCTCTTCAAAGTCCCACGGACAAACCTCTGCCCGGTATGTTTTGGCGCCCTCTGTTGTAGAAGGAGGCTGCTGCGTCTTCGCAGGTTTGCTCGCTTGATTTATTGGTTGTTGCTTCACCCCTCCTTCTTGACCGCCTTGATTTTCGCCCCCATCTTCCCAGGGACAAACCTCAGCTCGAACAGCTGTTGTCTTCAGAGTATCCTTCGAAGGTCTTCCACTGGTTGGAGACTGATCGGAACCTTTCTGCTTCTGCTGCTGGGATTTGCTCCCCTTGGTGCTTCCCCCGTGCACCGTGGTCGTTTCCTTTGGTGCGATGGACACGTGTTTTTGGACCTTGTTTTCAGAAGGAGTAGGGAGATCCTCCACTTCCCAGGGACACACCTCTGACAGGTCATAGAGGTCCTTTCCCTTGTTTGGATCTTGGCAGATTGTAGGCTGGCTGCCACTCACTGCCGGCTTCATGATCCTGCCTTTAGCCGCAGTTTGTTTGTACTCGACCGACTGGCTGATGATCATCTTGGGTTGGCAGTCACTCTCTGGCTCCTCATTGACCTTTGTGTCTTTGGTCTTTGGCTGACTCTTCTTGTTGCTGTCCTCTGGACTCTGAGTCTTCCCTGTCAAGCCTAAAGTCTTCTCTTTGGCGCTGGCGATGACGCTGAGAGACTTCTGCAGCATGGAGGCTCTGGAGGGAATCGGTTTCTTGTCTGCAGTGAGGTTATGGGCGCTCGCAGATTTGCACACCAAAGGAACTGACTCTGTGGACTCAGTTTGGGAGTTCAGATTGTCGCTGGACTTCTTCTTGACCAGCTTTTTTCCCATGAGGGTATCAAGGAGGGACCCCTCTGCTGTTGTCACCTCCATCTTGTCGGTGGCAGAGCTGTTGGAGTCTTCGCTTTGGTCACGGACGTGGTCGTAGCTGCTGTGGGACTTCTTCAAGGAGAAAACCTTGTTCTTGAGCGTCTCCTCCTTGGCTGGCTTTCCCGGATGAGTCGGGTCAAAAGGGTTCTTCTTCAACATGCAGATGCTGTTTCGGTTACTCCCATGTTCTCCCGCCTCCTTGTCTTCTCGGCTGCATTGCCGATGCACCGACTCTGGGATCTCGGTGATGCGCCTCATTAGCGAGCGCCCAAGTCCTTTCTTGGAGCTCCGCTTCTTCTGGAGGTGAGGGTTGTTTGCGAGCATCTTTTTCCTCTTGTAAATCTCCAACTGGGAGTAGAGTTTCTTCAGCTCCTCCTGCACATTCAGGTAAGAAGTAACGGGAGAAACAAAGCAAGGTTTGAGTTGAGTGATTTGAACAAACGGCTGAGGAAATGCCGTCTAAATACAACACTGTTGCAAAAAAGCAGAATAATCTACTGCACAGAGAACATGCAGTACAAATTCAAGACACTCGACTACAAACTGGAGATAAATGATGCACTACGGAGTATCACATGCTAAAAGAAAGCAAAGACAGGACGGTTCTGGACAGCATCAAATAAGTTTTGACGTTAGGTCTGAAATAGCCTCACAGCTCAGGTCTTGAATTTGTTGTATTTCTGTTTGTATGCCCAAACTCTTCAATGAATGAGGTCCAATAATAAGCAGGTTAACTTTTGGGAGAGAGACTTCTTCAGCTCTAACAGACAAACAGAAATCTCTGCTCACGTTGGTACGTTTTTCCCAACGACTGTCGCAAGACCTTACGCCACAGCCATTAATAGAACTGAGATGGCCCATTTCCTCTGGTGTCTGCAATAAAAAACTGCCATGGCTCAGTATGTTTCTCTTGGATTCAGAAGATTTGACCAGGTTATACAATATGGAGGCAAGTGTTGATGGAAACTCCTCTCACCCGAATGTCCTCGGGATCCAAACTGTGTTCGCTCCACGCCGACGTGATGCTGCTGTTGAGGTAGGACCCGGAGCGACCCATGTCCAGCTCGTCCTCGTAGGCCTCAGAGGCGATATCGTCCCTCATGTGGGTGCCAGCGAACAGGAACTACAGGAGCGAAGAGAAGAAGAACAAAAACTAGTTCTTGAAAAGACACTGTGCAGCTCTCAAAACACTTTTAATGTTTATTCAGAGCGTAAACGAACGCTTAGTTACACATATGCGTTTATGAGCCGCTTTCACAAACACATTATCTGTTTACTCCGAACAGCTGGGTGCTGTAGTTTGATAAGGACTGTTTTTGTGTTTCAGTGAGTAATAACAGCAGCAGAGCAAGTGTGCGGATGAGTCACTTTTACTATCTATGAATCACAATCAACTTTTGTTGCCAGTGTCAGACCATTTCTGTTTCTGTTGAGCTACGGAAACAATGGAAAACATACAGTCAAAAGCAACTTACAAAACTTAGAGACAAAAACAGAAAAATACAAATACACTGTTTTATTTTTTAACCATCCAACATACATTTGTTCTTTTTAAACTTTTTGTAAAGTACTGGTTTTGAAGGGACAAGGTTTCTCCAACTGCAGCATTGTTTTAGTGGAGCATCATAGAATAGTCCTTTATTGTCATTGTAACCAGTACAACGAAATTAAGAAAGTGCCAGACAGTCAGTGCATCATTAAAAACAAATATAGTAATAAATAGCAGTTCTGAATAAATAAAGTAAATAAGTACTCAGTCACTCCTAGCCTTCCTTAGGGCATTGAGGGTAGTTATTGCTGACGGAAAAAAACTGTTTTTAAGTCTGTTCATGTCAAGGTTTACCTTTGGGATGAGAAGCAGACCCAGGGTCACTGTCACTGTCAGGTGGGTGTGGGTGAAGAATAGCAGCAGCATCCAGTCTGGGTGGAGCTCTGGAGCAAGAGTGAACCTGGAACAAATAAGGAAGATGAGGTTCAAACCCAAGGGGCGCCACTGGCCAAGGGGTCAAAGCGCACGCCAAGTATAGACCAATCTTGTGTCGCGGCCATTACTGCGATGGCAGATCAGTGTCTACAGACTGTGTGGATCGAAGAATCCTGAAAAAGAGCTCAGGGTTATATTATATTATCAGGAGATATTTATTCACTTATTTGTACCACAGCAGGGTCGTAACGATTAAACACAGCTTCTCACCGGACAATGAACAAAAAAATGCATTTCCTTTTGAGGTTTATGCAAAGTCAAGATAGTTTCTAAAGACTGATATTGAAGCTGAAACACCACAGGTTATTCCAAGTAGGGCTGGGTGATAAACCGAAAATTTACAGATACCGAAATTTACAACAATTACCAACGTCATTTTGCCCATATTGGTATATTCGGTGTCAAAAAAGTAAATAAATAAAAGTTGTTTTAGGATGTGTGTATCCAGTTCGTCACAAAGAGGGAAAGACAGGTGAGGAGATGGAGGACGGTTCAAAAGTTGTAGCGGCTGAAGTAGACGAAGTTAATCTGGAAGGGGGTGAGCAGCTTGTGGAGTAGTTATCGTCCATTTATCGTTATTGAGGTGAACTGCTCAATATATCGTGATATTGATTTGAGGCCATATCGCCCAGCCCTAATTTAACGACACCTACACTGTCATTATAGGCAAAGTTACAAAGACAGTACCAATATAAACCACTTCTTACAGCTTGCAGTAAAACATGCAGATATTTTGAGTCGTCGCCACTGCAGTAATGGCAGCTTAACTTCCAGTAGTTTGTCAGATTTGTCAGAGTTTAATCTCTTGTCCCAAAAAGCTCCAAAAACAAATAAATCATAGACAACAAATCAGGACATGAAGGTGACAATAATTCAGAATGGCTCAGTCTGTAAACCAATCATTCAGCAGTCAACCAAACGTCTCCACCTCTCTTTGTATTTAAGGGTCCGGTTCACACTCTCACAGTACTCGAGAGGTGTTAATAGACTTCCTAAACATCCTTTGACAGCTGACGTTAAACTTCAAAACGTCCAGACTGTAACTGCAGTCGACTCTGATTTAATTATGCTGCGATATTCTTGCACATTGCTCCGTCTGCAGGCAGCCTCTTAGCTACAGATGGGGCCGACAGAGACACACAGCAGTAGACTTAATGTGTTTTCAGCCAAAGTAGATTTATACACTGTCTGTCTAGGTGTCAATTCCACTGCCTCATATAGTGTTCCACTCGGGTGATCCTTCTGCAGGCAAGGACGCAATATTTCCCTCATTTTTTCCTTCGGATTCGCACTGAAAGGGGAGTGACCTTGATCTGGTGGCAATATTCAGCCTATTTATACATCAGAGGGTGATACAGGAGGCCGGCTGTGGCGCAGCAGTCGGTGGGAAATGAGATAATTACTGGCAGAAACAATAGTAGTGAGAGGAGCGGCTCCAGCCTTTCATTTATAGAGAACTAACAGGCTTTGAGCGCAGCGAGCCCTCATGTGCACGAAGGATATGGAGGTATGTCCTGTCAGATGCTAATTCAACCACCAGAGAGCCTCAATCCACGCTAATGTCAGCTCGCGGGCTCGTTATGTTGTCGAAGCCAGCGAATGGCTAATTAACAAACAGTTACTGGTAATAGCTCTGAGGCGTGAATGAAGGCGAAGGTCCAGCGTATGAAATGTTCCCGAGCTTCATTCATGAGTCTTTGTGTGCAGATGAGGATTTAATAACCCCGGCTCGATTTGTGACTTCCACACCTCGACCTGGCGGAAAACCTGATGACCATCACGGCGAACGGGAAAGCCTGAGCTCTAACTGGTCACTCAGGGATCAAACGGCGGCTTCTGTGAGAAACACAAATGGATGGTGGATGCCTCTAACAAGCGCCAGTGTTCGGTGCGGTCTCTGGTGGCGACTTTCAGATTTATTAGGGGTCTTTTCTGGCAGTTTTCTGCAGTGAAAAGCTGAACAAAGAGCTGAGGAGGCGCAGTAATCACAAAGATCCCAATCTCAGAGCCCATTGTCTGTCTTGACAGCGATACACACCTCTGGGAAGGATGACAAACTTCCTGAGAGTTCTGGTGTAGCCGGCAGTTAGCAATAAACAAATCCCAGTCAGACTTTCTCTTCTGTGAGCTGGACTGTTTACAGCAGTGAGTAACGCAAGACAAGGGTGTAGAATTGGGGAGGCGATTTTTTTTTTGTGGGATGGTAGGGGAAGGTCCCGCTCTCCTTCGCCTCTGATTGGCTAGAAGTGCTGGGCTCAGATTGGTTATTCCTAATGGCTGTGAAACGTCATCGTCTGTTGGGTTGGGTTAGGTAGGAGATTTAGAAGTGCGATGATGTTCTGTTCAACGTACAGAGCCGACAGCCTGTGTTTGGCTTGAGCGTGTGATGACGTTTCCAGCTTTTCTAGCCAATCAGAGGCAAAGGAGGCGGGACTTTCATTAGTTGCTGCAATCTATAACATGAGGAATGCATTAAATTCTTATTTTATTCTAATTTTATTCTCTTAAATTATGATTGCAAATGCAAAAAAAACAAATTTACAGTAGGACCATTTTGTGTCCCCACCAATGTCAAAATCAAACCGACTCCCTCGACTCAAGATACAATCAAAACAAACCATGAAACTCAAATCTAGACCCCCAACAACAGATTCTGTCGACTCTATCAGCAGGAACTTGATGTGCGATAAAAACTATTAAAACTTTGATTTCCTCTTTAGGTTAAACACCAACGACAGACATGTTTTTTTAATGGATGTTAACTCAAAACTGGAGTAATGCTGCCAATAATTCAGCTATTTATGCCGTCTTGAAAAACATAAATCACTCTGACATGCTTCATTATTAAATAATGTGATGGAGCTGAGCTCTCAATTAGAGGGGACTCCAGCTAGGAACGGCTGTGGCGGTGTCAGCTGAAACGTCTCATTTATAAACTGCATGGAGCAGCTATTTGACATGTAGACTGGAGGGAGAGGGACGATCTCACTACAATAAAAAACAACTCCCACATGAACACAGCCTCACATGGACGCTCGTATCTGATGGAAATGAGAGCCTCTGCTGGAGGACGTGAACGTCAAAATGACAGCAGAGATCAAATCAAAGGCTCTGATATTAAATATGAAGCCAGTAACTGTGGAGCATGCTGGGAATGCAAGTGACAGTATCTGTATATTGAGGAGAAATGTTGCACTAAGTAATAATGTTTGTGTTATTCTCTTGAGGCCTTCGATGGAGGCCTGTTTCTGCTGAGAGACTATTAAGATAAGACAAGACAACTGATATTTATTAAAGATTTTCGACGCAGGAATGGCCAATAATGTGAATTATGGTAATATAAATATAGTCACATGAGTGTAATGAGGCTGTGTCGCTCTTTGAGAGGCTCCAAAGGTTGAATTATACTGTGTCCCTGCATTAAGACTTCCAACGCATTCAGCAATGTGTAAGTTTCATGCAGACGTGGAGCAAAAAAAAGCTTTTAATATCAGTCAATAGTTATTAGTTATTGATGACATTTGGTTATATAACGATATCGCTGTGTTCTGTTATGTCTGTGAAGTCAACATTTTAAGATTCTTTAACGGTCCGCTCTTTCTGACTGTAAACAAAGCCGTTCTCCACCTCCCCGACCTGATTGGTTATGAGGCATGCTCCATGTTCTTGAATAACGTTCACAAGCCTAACGAAAGTTTCCCTGCTTCAATATCGGACAGTAGAAACCAACCAGAAAATTCAGAAAATTGTCTGAATCCTCCTTTAGCCACGACTGCCAACACAAGCAAGAAAACAAAGTAAATACCGGAAACTCTGGTGGAATAACGGGCACTCAAAAAAAGGAGGTCGACCACCTGGACAAGAGCTAAGTAGCCGGGTCAACATAAAACAATGGGGGACGCTTCGGGATCTTACGGACCCTGTAACCTTTCTGCTGGACAGGTAAACTGCTTTAACAAAGTAATCTAAGTGTCTCTAAGTGAAATGATACGAGCGCGCAGGAGCGTCTGTTTGTGGGCGGGGCTTGCTGGAGCAGAGAGGGAGGTGAGAGGAGGAGCTGAGGGGAAAACTGGTTTGGAGGGGTAGAGTTTACATTCAAGATTTCTCCCAAAAACTGGCACTTCCTCAGATCCTGCCAACTCCATCTTTAATAACTCATTGAGGGATCTGGATGGTTCGAGGTCAGAGTTACCTGATGACGTAGAAAATCGCAGACAGGACGAGCTCGTTGTGCACGGCGATGGCCATGTAGCGAGGCTCGTGGAACGCCGATGGCACCGTCCTCACAGCGTAGCACAGGTACACCGCCCACAGCAGGAACAGGAACTCAGCTGTGAAGGAGGAATGAGACAGGACACCGAGTGATAATTCAAATGTATGCAGTGTATAAAAAAAGACACACACCATCCAGGACAGATCAGCGTTAATGTACAACACACGTACAAATGAAAACACCTCGTTCAAAAGACTCGATTGTAACAGCTGTGGATGTTTTCTCTGGACAATAAATAAATCGCAACGATCCACCGCGACAACCCCATGTGACGTCTCCTAAGTAACCACCTGCACAGCAATAAACATGCAGCCTTTTTACCAAAACCATCATTTTTTTTAATCATTTACAACATTCATGTATTCTTCATTTAAACTAATGTTTTCATAAGATGCAACTGGACCCTTAAAAAGTTATCATTTGTCGATTTGTAAAAGGGTTTTTAAAGGCCAGAATATGTAACACAAATACGTAAAGTTAATTAGTTCATCTGAAAAAATCTTGTTTGAAATACTCTTCTGTTTCATAAATGAGCAAATGCCCCAAAGTAGAAACATCACCTGTTCTTTCTAAAGGAAAAAAAGAATAAGGAGGGTCATGACTTTTAAGATTTTTGTAGAGGAAAATATGGAATAATACTTCCTTGATGATTTGCCTTTAAAAGTAAAAATTAGCGGCTTCTTTAAAATCTCATAGAATGCTGAGTAAAGCGTATATTTACAGCTAATCAAAGTCGGAGAACTTTTTGATAAAAAATTCAGTATCCTTGTGAAAGTCTTGCCAATTTTTGCTGACAGTTGAGTGGAATGAGCGAAAACCCAGAGCTGTGATTCATCAGGATATAAAGTTACCAAAGTCATCTTAGACTATTTTCAACATACTAAAAAGTTCCTTCTCCCTCTTTTGGACTTTTTTTGTGGGTTATGAAAAATTTAGCCTCATGATGGTGATTAATGTTTGGACACAGAGTTTGATAAAAGTCTCACCTGCTCAATAAAGGTTCCTAATTTTTAGTCGTATCGTATCCTGGACTTTGTTGTTGGTCCATCGGGAGTATGTTTCCAGAAAAAAACTAAATAAGTCATTCTCAACTGTATACTGTCGACAACTTGGCTCCGCCTTTTGTCATTATTCGAATTTGAAGCTGAGTTGGTCTTGGTATTTCCGGAATTTTCTTCACTTCCTGGAACCAACAGTTGCACAGTAACATTGTACACATTTGGCGGGAAAGTCTCTGTGATGACGCTCGGGTGAGCTACGCAATCCTCACTGTATCAAGTGTCAATCATAGAAAACATGAACCCCCTAATAATTTTAAAAAATAGAGCTGCACAGAAAAAAAGAGGACTTGAGGACAAACAAGTCTGACAGTAACTACATGTCAACATCGAAACAAGGGGGGAGATAAATTTATATTCTGTGTAATTAATTTCTAAAGTTTGTTCACAGCTCCATAGGGTTTGCTGGAGGAGGCGGGATTTATGACCTATACTGCAGCCCGTCACCAGAGGGTGCTGTTCTTGAGGTGGGTTCACCCAGCGAGGAGGCAGACAGCGTCTATTCTATATACAGTCTATGTTCTCAACTTTTTCAATTTACGACCCCCAAGTAAAAATACGGGACAAATTCAGACTTCTGAGATGAGCCACAGTCGGTCTGAAACAGCCTCTGCTACAGTGTTAAGAAGACTGGAACAAAGCTCTATAAGCACAGTCAACATCTCGTTTCTTCTTTACTGATCTATAAAGTTAATCACTCATCCATAAAGGATCACAGTACGATTTATTTGCCTCTAATTGAATCACAAGTCACAATTTATCGACCTTTTCTAAATGCCGCCTCCTTGAGAGGACTTTGTGAGCTGCTTTGACGAAATTAAACATCTGTCGGAGACGAAATGACTCGACCAAAAGGCACTTTTTACACTTCATAAACCGTTAACACAGTTCAGAGCCATACATATTCATGGCGTAAAAGTGCTGATGGCTCAGAAACATAAAGCGATATAATTAAATTTCATGTAACATTGCAGATCAAATGAACTCATCATTGCATTGCTGTAAGTGCTGCTCTGCTTGTGCGTGCTTTTGCTCGACAATAATTGCTCACTGGTTTGAATCAAGCTGTTTGCATGAAAGTTTCTGTGCAAAATCAGTAAAATATTTATAATAATTAGACCGCTGGCTGTGAGTGTACACAGACGCAGAATTTTTGATCAGAGGGATTCATTGTGTTCTGGTTTGTGTGTTTAGTTTCTGACCTCTACGCGGGTGACATCAGAGCTGACTCGCGCCTCCCTAATTCCAGCCTATTTTTACCTCCTAATAAACAGAGAAAATCTGTTTCCAGTATACAGTAGCGCAGCATGTGGGCTCTGTTGGGGGTCCATCTGTTTTCCCAGAAGTCAAAAAGGACCGTAGTTTTTTTCTCGCGGAGCCTGAGTCAGCAGACGTTAAAAACAGCATGCAGATTTCCTCAACTGGAGATGCTGGCCCCCACTGGGCATCTTTGATTCCTCATCTGTTTCTATCTGCGGCTGGTTGCCTCCCTCCTCTGTACAAAACACAGGCAAACATCCAAGAGTGGAGCACCAGAGGAGAGGATTAATGTCTACATTTGGCAAAGTAGGAGCTTTGCCAAACCGTCTTCCTCATCCAACTTCACCTCCTCACTCTTATGAGCTCCGACTGCACCAAACAAATTAATTCTTGATAGAAACCTCAAATAACTTGTGTTTTTCACCATTACCGCCGCTCTTACCGACAGCCATCATGTAGTCCCAACGATCCAGCAGGCACATGCTGAACTGGAGCCCGTCGGGCGTGTAGCCCACGTCTATGAGCGCCGATTTCCTGTCCGGGTTCTGACAGACGGCAGATGTCCAGGCCACCAGGAACCAGCAGACGATGAGCAGGATGATGCCCAGTAGACGCAGCACTCGCCAGCTGGTCATGTAGGGGATCCTCTGGGCTGTACGGGACAGGAACACCTTCAGTACCCTGCAGGAGGAGGAAGACAAGGATTGAGACAAACTAACCGGTCATGTAGACAGTGTTGGGGGTGACGCACAACAACAGTAACGGATTACAGTAATGATTTAACTTTTTTGGCGGTAACGAAGTAAAGTAACGCACTAACGCTCTCCATATGTTCAACTAAAGCTCCTTAAAATATGTTGTCCTTTGTTCTTACCCTACATGGAATCTTATTCAGGTCAACTAAATGCCAGCAGAATGCTTGAAAACGTGGACGACTATATTTACTTGAGCAGTCTCAGACCAGTCTTTGTTACACTTGTGGCACGATGAAGCTGTAACCCAGATCTGCAACCAGTAAAGCTTGTCAAACTGACCATTCGTAGTGTAGTGGTTTGTGCGTACGTGCTGCTTGTGTGTCTGTTTGGGGTTTGGTGCTCATATCATAAGGATCAATGTCATCTCTTTTAGTTTTTCTTGATATCAAGCCTTTTGACCGTCGTCCAGCTTGTCTCCGTACACTCTGACAGTCTTTTCTTTCGTGGGATTCATTTTTCTTGGTTGTTTTTTTCTCACTGTCTCGCTATCTCGCAGCCTCCCTGTTGAATGTAAACAAAAAGTTGCCCGCGAAGATGCGTTGCGCAATCATGCGGCCTTTCAAAGTCCTCTGGAGAGATCGATTTGAGTGACGTAGCTGCTGATGTGAACGAGAGATGGAAACGGAGACAGAGACGGAGGCGGATGACACAGGGGCTTTCGCCAAGTGGCGATACTCACTTTACTTTCGCTATATTAGTCAAAAGGACAAAAATATTCATGTGAAATGCACTCTACGCCAAGGCGACATTTATACAATAAACAAAACGATGTGGACTATGCTTAGTGATGATTGGGCTATTATGTTTGTCTATGTACCTCTGCACGATAAATTAAGAAACAGTAAAGTTAAGTAACAAGTGGTGAAGTTACTTTTTAAATGCAGCAACTCGTAAAGTAATCTCATTACAATTTACAGAAGTCACTAGTTACTAGTAACAAATGACTCTTTTTGAGTAACTACCCCAATACTGCATGTAGACACCATATTACCATGGCGACGATCAAAATAAAGAGCATCAGTTGGAGGAAAACTCTCCCTCTCTTTTCTTTAAACCTCAGAGGTCTTCTTTCAAACTTTTAAGACAACTAATAATCATAAATATTGAGGTGCACAATGCTTCATATACCATAAATATACACAATATTCTTACCCTGCTGCAGGCTTTGGCACTCTCAGAACAGAGTCATACTGCCAAATAAAACTTATTTCCTGCAAACATTGACATAAATTTGACTGACATTGTCCTGAAACACATTTCTGTCCATCTACATTCAAAACATGATCCCAGAAGTGCTCAGAACATGTCTTACAAAAGCTAAAGCAGCATTTTTATCTCATTTTTATGCATCACACAGCTGGAGTGTTCTGCTGTAAATCACATCCTTACTCACATTTACTGCTCCGCACATTTCTATGTGAGGTTTCATGGCTTCATATCAACAGATAAATTAGACGACTGGGTCACGGATACTAATCTGTGCTCAAACACATTACCAGCCTCCGCTATTCTTAGTCTCTGCCCTTCACACACATTGATGAAGTGTCCACTGCGCTCGCCACTAATGAGCCCCCCATCAAAAATTGATCTGTGCAATATGTTAACTTGCACCTCAGAGGGTTTACTCGGCTCAGCCACATCCTCTTAATCAGCATCTTCATTAGGCCGTTTTTGACAGATTCACCTGACAAAAAAGCCCCGCGGATGAACAATTTTAAATGTGCAACTTTAAATACAGTACACCCCCTGTCTCATTATCAGCCACTCAGTACTTGATGACCCCCTCTGCTCTCCGTTTCCTCCAGCAGTCCTTTCTCTTCCTCTGATCTCACACGCGTTTATCTCTCGCTAACCATCGTTCACTTCCAGGTTATACATTCAGTTCATTTGGGGCCAAAGCACCTCGAGTCTTCTTAATTAATTTTACTCTCTGTTTCCGTCTCTCGTTTAATAAGGCAGTGAGACATAAGGACCAGTGTAAGGTGGAGACGAATTGTCCAAGAAACACGATGTCTCGCTTCATGAGAATCGTACTCGATACAAGCGAAGTGTAATTGCCCTTTAAGAGATCAGTGTAACCCCACAGACATGAAACGGATTAAGACGCTGGACAAATGTGGAGATGTGTGTGTAGTTTTTGTGAGTTACCTGTACAGCTTAAGAGTCAGAGTCCCGTAGACGGTGGCGAAGCCCAGCAGTCGGACCCATCGCAGCAGGATGCAGCGGAAAACACTCGGCTGGAAATACAGGATCCCAACCTGGAAGAAGAGAAAACAGGAAGTCAGAAATGTTACCGCCAAACAGACAGGGTTTCTGATCGAGATTAAGGTTATGAGGAGTTCATGGTCGACCCTCCTATTTGGATATTCCAAGGAAACCCTCAAAGGAGGGTGCTCAGGAGGCATCTATATCAAACGCACGAATCACATCAAACACTCTGAGTTCCCCCGATGTGTCCAAGCTCCAGACTCTTTCTCTAAGACCCAACACAGCTAAGCCATGAACCAAGACACCTGTCGATTTAAGAGCCTGGTGAGTGCAGGAATAAATCACAGCTGACACTGCGGGCATGTTAAACTGAGAATATGCTGTCGGTGGACACAGGCCCTGAAGTAGCAAAGCCCTCGTCAGTGATCACTTTAATGGAGAAACTCCAAACGGTTAAGTCCTGAACTTGTCATGACCTTTTCATTTTTGATTCTTCAGGATAACTGTGGGTCAAAAACACAACATATAAGAGCAGTGTCATTTTTTTAACCATCCTTTGCTTTGCACAAAAACATTTAATCCATCCGAGCCTGCGAACATCACGCAAAGCTTGCCTTTGAGACAAAAAGCAGGGCATCCACCCATGTTTGCTGAAATGTTGTCCAACCACGCTAAGTGAAAAATGAAAGCGCTGAGGTTTTTTCCAAAGACAGATGCAGCACCAAAACAAACCCACACAAAAAATGGAAGAAACAAACATCTGAGGAAACGTAATTATCTGCCCATTGCAGATGTGCAGCGATTTCCCCTGTGGGATTGTTAATGTTAATCGGATTAGCCGAGGCATTATTGCGTTCCCTCCGGCTGCGGGGAAGACGCAGGCATGTGGATATTTTTTGCTCGCTGGGTTTGAAGTCAGTCAGGGGACACCGAGGACCCCACGGGAGAAAGGGTGGCCCACATCCTCATCCTTTGTTCGCAGATACTGACCGGGCAAACACACACAAACTTTGCTCCAGTTGACTCAGCCATGCAAAAGAAAACTGGCGCAGAACAAATAATGAATAAACAAGATGTTCATCTTGGATGCATAAAGAGTGTTTCATGTTAAATTTGACTATAGAGAGAGAAAAAGCCTCATAAATTGTGTTTTAGAGGCACAAAAGCTCATCAGTGAGGTTGGAGATGATATCTGAATAAGGATGCGTGACTGCTACTTAGTGAATTCCTCTGTTATTTTAATCGAGAGGAGAAAGCTGATAAAGAGATATGAGGCCAGGCAGGCGCCGAGCAACTTGCTGACGCACATTTCAGCCCGCAGGGACAGAGGAGGGCAGAGGAGGATGAGTAAAACTGCACCAGGGGAGCGACAGCTCACGACTCCTTTTTAAGATAAACTAGAAAAGAGCAGCTGGAACTCCGTCACGTGATGGTTTCAGGCTGGTTTCAGGAGGTGTTTTGAGCGGCGCCGCTCCCTCGAGGCGCTCGCTCCAACTGCTCTGAATGAGTCGTCATAAAAAAAGTTTTTAACACATTTAGCAGTTTAAGCTCCTCTTTTAATGGAGTGATCTCACCCGCTGTTCTTTTGGTCACAAACTCAAATGAAGACGGTTTAGATGAGGAAGTTTAAAGACTCTGATTCGCTGAGGAAAAAGGAAAGTTGGTACTTACAGAAGGGTGATCTACCACTATCAGTTTTAATATTGTTTCTGACTCTCCTATCTCCTTTTTCCTCTCAGGTCTTGTAAACATTTGAGCTCTTGTGAAGCCACCCTTCCCTACTTTCAATATCAGTTTTGCATTTTAAGATAAAACTTTGTAATGAAGATCACCGTGTAAGGAATGAAGCTGAGCACAATGTTTTCTGATTGAGAATGCTGACAAACTTATGTTTTTGCCACAGTGTCAACAGGCAAAGGAGAAACAGACTGGATTCTTTGGCATTAATTGACTGAGTATGAAGTATCTGATCAAATTGGAAATGCTTATGCTTCTGTTTATTAGAATCAAGTATTTGACAAAGCTAAAGAATAGCGCACCAATATGGAGTCTTGGAAAACTTCTGGAGTTTCATGTTGACAGTGCAAAGCTCTGTTGATTCATGTTTAGTCTCAATTGAAAGGCACGTGTGATGTCCCTCAGGGCCACTGTCGGGCACTGCTGGACCGTGCAATACGCACCTTTGGTGGCACTTCCACTCTTTCGCCTCTCCCTTGCTCCTTGGTGGTGGCTATATTTCTCTACCTAAATGTATGAGGAGATTCTCCTACACTACCCGATCTGTCCTGGAAACCAAATTTGTGCTGCGCATGTGCGAAATAAACGTCACTTCGTCTCTTCGTATTTCAATGCATTTTACGGCAGTTACTTGTTACTGTTGCTACCTACCCCTACTGCGCAATTGCTAAGAAAAACTTTGTTTAAGCTACCGATCGATTTCAGAAACCAGCTGGAATGTGGCAGGCTAGCTAGCTGCAGGCTCCAGGGCTAATGCCGAGGCATTCGCCAGAGATCCTGCCCAGTACGGTGAGACGTTTTGGGCCACGGAGAGCGCCGCCACCCGGTCACCTGGCAAGCAGAGGAAGTGACGTTTGTTTCGCACATGCGCAGTACAAATCCGGTTTCCGGGACGAAACAGGTAGCGACAGCGGCTACGGGAGCTAGCTTGTTTGGCGCTGTCGACTCGTAGCTCCACACCCCAGACTGGCGTCTCTCCTTCCACGTGAGTGCTCAGCCGTCTTTTCGTTTTACTGTTGGCGCATTTACGCGCGTTCTGGTCACACCGCTGTCGCTCCTTGCTGTGTGGCCGACTACTTTCGTCGGGGACAGGCGGAGTGACTCGCTGAAACCCCGCTGTGTAAGAATACCTGCTTGTGCTCGTACGGAGCTTGCGTCTGGTCTGCCTGGTTTCTCTTTTGTTTAATTAACTCGGTTTTATTTCCTCTGATGTTTTCCTTTCTGGTTTCAGTCATCCTTTTTTTTTATATCCGATCATCGGTGGTGCGCTCGCCCGGAGCGCCATATACGGTGGCCCTGAGGTGCAAAACACATCAGTAAATCAGAAAACACAACACAAAACAGAAAACACAAGGACAGTAACCATTGTGTTTTCTGTTTTGTTTTTGTGTTTTCTGGTTTGCTGTTTTGTGTTCTCTTTTTGTGTTGTGTTTACTGATTTGCTGTTGTGTCTTCTCTTTTTGTGTTGTATTTGCTGTTGTGTTTTCTTTTTTGTGTTGTTTTCCAATTTGCTGTTGTTTTCTCTTTTTTTGTGTTGTATTTGCTGTTATTTTCTCTTTTAGTGTATAAAATTTTCTCTATTTATTTAGTTTTATTATTTATTTAAGTTCTTCAGAGACAATGTTTATTTTTATAACTGCATTTTTGCACTTTGTCTGTGATGCTGCTGTGACAAAAAATGTCCCCCATGGGGGATCAATAAAGGAATATTCTATTCTCTATTCTTCTAGTGTTTTCGTTTTTTGTGCTGTGTTTGCTGATTTACTGTATTGTTTTCTCTGTTTGTGTTGTGTTTTCTAATTTACTGTTGTGTTTTGCACCTCAGGTCCACCGTACCCTCTGCCTCGGTCCAGTAGGACTGTCTGCTTCCTGGGCTCGCTCCAGTAGCTTGAGCGTGGCATTGATTGATCTTGGGCCTGCATGGTGCCTGCGCTAATTGATAGGGTCCTCAGTGGTCCAACACTGTCCTGTGTATTTTTTTTTCATTCAGAAATGTACTTCAGTAATTTCCTGTGGTATATTGGGTTCAACTATTGTGTTAATTTTGTGTATTCTTTTGAAATTCTTTCTGTTTGTTTTTTTTTTTTTTTTGCATTGTTTAGTTATTAGATTAGTTCACATTCATTTGTTAGTGACTTTTTCTGGCATGTTTTATTAATTCTTTCTTTTGTCTCCAGGTGCTGGGCTCCCCTACAGCAGTCAGTCCCTGGTGGAGGTGTCCTTCTCACGATCCCTGTTTTTTTCCCCTCTTTGTGTTCGTAGTGTCACAAGTGATTCATTTGAAGACTCTTTTCCCCCCGTTGGTTGCCCTGCTGCATGGTAAGACCCAGCCTGGTTTCACCCTCCTTTGCCTTAATTCTATATTTTCGTACTTGTTAATTTGTATTTGATTTTGTGATTTATATTGTGTTCTGAATTATTTTGCTAAATAGAATGTATTTGATTTGAAACGTCTCGCCCCTGTGCTGTTCGGGTGCAATACCTCAGTTGGCATTACTGCAGCTGGTAAAATTGTCATAGTTCCTGTCTCGCCACACATGCAACGATCATATTTAAGTTAATGAGTGTCAAGTGTTTACTGCTCTGCACATTTCTACGTGAGGTTTCATGGCTTCATATCAACTTAGTGATTGTTAAGAAACAGCTGAGAAACTCTGTCACTGTAAAAGTTTTTTAAAAATATGACACTCTGGAGAAAATTAGACCATGGTTTACTTTGACAGAGACCTTCTCAGAAAGCCTCGATGGATTTGGTCCGTCTAGTTTTGAGTATTTCAGTCAAACTCCTGGAAAGGTGTCAGAAATATGTTTGGTTGAAACCACCCACTTCAGTTTCTGATCAGCTCAAATTTCTTGCCATGGAATAAAACACTGCAGAGAATCTGACGCGGCCTGAAATCTAGTTCCAGTACACGCCACAACACAAAACCAGTAATGCTCTCCCTTCTGTCGAACTTCATCTGATCCACTAAGGAAAATTCCCATCCTCTAGTTAGTCGATAATTTCATTTCAGGGCAGAAAAAGCTCCGTCGTTGTCCTCAAACAACGTCGTGACCCTCAGATCAGGCATTGCTGAGCAGAGATGTGTTACATAAGCCCTGCCTTTCCAATCAGCAGAATTTCGGGGAAGTGACCGGCCCTCAACCTCCGACAGGTTTCTCTTAACGCCAGCGTGCATACAGAGCGAGATCAGATTCTGCATCCTCCCCTTTTATTTTGAAACCTTCCATTAATAATCAATGCTAAGTGCTGGAAATCGGAGGTTCAGCGCTGTGGGAAAGGAGAGGGATCGAGTGTTATCTGCGAGTGGAGGGATTGAGAGGATCAGGGTGCTGTATACCTACCTAATGGACATCAATATGCAGGAGACTATTATCAACACACTTACTACTCCTCTGTTGGCCTCCTTCTGTCTCGGTTACAGCATGGCTAAAGGCTTCAGAAATGCTGAGTAAGCACGGCGAACATTTCAGACCTCCTTTTTAAAATCGCCGATCATTTCTGAGAGGTTCATCAGAGGTCTGGATCCGGTTCTTGGGTATTTTGAAGAACTATCCGGGCTTTTCTAGCGCCGTATAGTAAAAACACCCCGGCTGGATGACTGCCCTGATCATTAGTTTCATCTGCTGACCTGGTCTCCGGCCTCCCCAGACACCTGACTTAACACAACCTGGCTCTGCAGCCGCCCCCCTGAAACAAAGTCGGATCCTGTGGAGACTACAAAACAGAACAGTGTGTTCTCCAGAAGAACCCGCGAGGGCGAACATTTAGCTTCGATAAGCAGATCTGAAGTTTTTTCAGATGTAGAAGTGCACGACGGCACATTTCAGGAGCGTTAACTAGCTGACCAAAGCTTTGTACCGTGTCCTTTATCATTAGTTTTTTAATGATATATTATTAATAACCACCTCTCTTTCCAGACCTGTCCTCGCCAAACCTCTCTGAAACTGCTTATGAAGGAAACTTGGACAATGTCTTTAAAAAAAACAGTCGGTAAATCTGTCCTAGAGCAGCAGACCATTGAAGGTGTTGCATTGGTTCAACCAGCCAGGAAAGCGAATGAATAAAGAAACTAGAAATAAAATGTTTAAATGACGTGACTTGACGAGGCTGGAGAGCAGTAAGGATGAGCTAATACCTTATTGAATTTGGATTTTGAGAAGAGTGGAGCTCGGTCTTCAATCGAGCTGGGTTTCCATCCATGTCCCTAATGATTATTGGTCTCCTCTGTGTAAACGGTCTTTGTTTGATTTGTTCAACCAGAGATAATCTATAAGTCACAGGTAGAGACGAGAGAAGAATAACTACAGCTTTGTACTTTTGACTCATTTTAAACCTTTCTCTGACCAAACAGTGCTCAATTAATCTGGATTTGGATTTGGAAAAGGTTCTCGACCAATAACCACAAAATAATCTCAGTATATCGTCATCACAAACTCAATGTATTTGTCATCTTTTAACGAGGATATCCAACAACGATCATGAGGCAGGACTGGTTGGAGTTGAAAGAAAGAAAGACAAAAGATTCACACACTCATCCACTTACTCATTCAATCAACAATCACTCATTTAATTTGCAGTTATTTCTCATTCCCAATCATCTCTGAATTTTAGCACCCACCAGCTGGCTGCAAACACAGAAGCAGTGTCCCTGATGATACAACGGTGACGCAGGCCAGCCAGCTGTGGTGTGAGTAGCAGCTCTTTAGAGGGCTGATTTTCTACTGTTATTCTCAGGATTAGTCCGTCCATGTCACAATGAGTCTCCGTATCAATACTCAACAAATGGGACAGAAAAACGCAGAGGGCTGTCAAAGTTGAGGAAGAGGCCAACAAAAACTTTACCAGTTTTCTGAAACTTTGTCCTTTTTTAAGTTACACTTGGCGTGTTTGCCTTGATTAGATACAACAGCTTAAGAGAGAGTCAGGAGTCGTGATCAGGAATTGAACCAGCGACTACAGCGAAAAGTAGGGGTGTCCCAATATTTGATATTGGATATATCGGCCTGCATCCAAAATCTCCGATATCAGCACTCCGATACAAGCGGTCCAGTCCAGATTCCGCTCCGGCATCTCTATCTGGCAGCGCCCTGATCCAGCAAACTGAGCCAACAAAATCACAACAACAGTGTGTACTAAGGTACAAAGTAGCAAGGAGTAAAAGTGATGTTATTGAAGGCTACAATATCGGTATCGTATCGGAAGTCAAAGAGTTGTATCGGGACACCCCTGGCGACAAAGACTATAGACTTTATACCATAGACTGTATAAACTATGGACAACTTGGGTCCACCTTCCATCATTATATGAATTTGAAGCTGAATTGCTCTCTGTATTTCTGCAATTTTATCCACTTCTTGGAACCACCACTTGCGCAGTAGCATTGTACGAATTTGGTGGGAGAGTTGTTGTGATGATGCTGATGGAGAAGGCGGGATTTATGACCTATACTGCAGCCTGACACCAGAGGGTGCTGTTCTTGCGATGGCCTCACCCAAAGGAGGAAGATGGCGTTCATTCTATATACAGTCTATGCTTTATACAAAGAGTGCTTAGACAACCAGGCCACAGAAACGTAATCGTGCCGTGCTGATAATTGAAAGCATTACAGCAGAAGATAAACAATCACACCCATCAGAGGCTGTTTTGTTTGAAAGAGGGGGAAAGATTTGCCAAGATTTATGAACCAGCGCTTTGTTGTCTTGTTTTGTTCATGGCACATAAGACGAAAACAAATAGAGATCTCACAACATATATGTTAACCACTCTGGGATGGCGGTAATGAATAATTCAAACAAGCGCTCCCGTGGGGTTTCCACTGGCTCAGCAAAGCAGCTCATACTGGTTTCCTGAAGGAGGCGGCTCTGGTTCTACTGGAGGACTTGAGAGTGCAAAACTGCCCATTTGGTTGCTGCTGTGGTGGAGAAAACCCGATGAAGTGCCCTTTTCATTGGTCCAATGAGGAGGAAGATGTCATGAGGTGTCCTTTAGGGAGCCTTCCTGGTGGATTAGATCCATATAGGCTACACTACAAGGTATAACATGGCATGAGCAACTTGAGTTTGGCAACCTGGTTTGATGTTTTCATGCATTCATCCCATTAACATGAACACAACTGCTGTTATGGTCCAACTTTAAATCCATTCAAACGCAAAACCGAGCACCCTGAATCCCCAAAAGGCCTCATGAGAGAACGCCAACACACCCACCGCCAAAATATGGCGCCGAACTCCATGAACCACAGAGCGTACACAAATAATTTTGTGCTAGACCGCTTTGGCTAATTAGCTCTGCTGCGGGGCAAACAGGAGATATTCAACAAACAACGCTTTGAAAAAGAAAGTGGGCGGTTTCTTTTATTAGACTAATGCGGTTGGCAGCAGAGCAGCAAAAAGCAGCCGTGTGTAATTAACTTGTAATGTGTAGACAATAAAAATGCAAATGTGTGTGAGTGTGTGTGTGCGCTCAGAGGGTCGATGCGGAGGGTGAAAGCTTCAGGGATTGATCCCCCTCACTGTGAAGGTCAGGGTCCCACAGGGTATCGATCACAGAGGATGTCAAACCTCTGGCTTAATGCTGTGAAATGAGTTTCAGAAGAGACTAAAAATACCAATCTGTTGACTTCTCCCTGCGTTTAATAACTCGTATGATTCAAACAGCTGTAAACCTGCTCACGTTTCAGCCTGTAAATCATGTTTTATATTCAGAAGAGGTTAATTCATAAAACCATTGTTCATTGTGCTTTGTTTGACAAACTATGCTTTTATTTTGAGGTACACTACTTTGTAAGTCACAGAACTGACTGAAACAGTTCAGAGAATAATTATAAAGATAAAATGGTCATTGATTTTGTTATGTTTGGTCCAGAATTGGTCTGCCGCACTTTATCAATGTTGACGATAACTCTTTGAATGAAATAAAATACTTACAAATAGTTAAATATGAGCGTTAACAGAGTTTTCGTTAATTTAAAAGTCTCCGTCATAGATGAATTATGACTTTTAATGTCATTAGAGATAGAAAATGACATGTAAGTAAACCACCTGTGTTTCTAAACAACAGCTTTAAAAAACATGTTAAAATTGAAATTTTAAGATTGAAGTCAAAATTTTGAGATTAGGAAATCGAAATTATGTCAATAAAGTTGGTATTTTGAGATAAAAATTTGAAATCTCGAGATTGACGTCAAGATTTTGAGATTACAAAATGTGCATAATGTCGAAATTACGAGATTAAAAAAAATAAAATTTTTAGAATTAAAGTCGAAATTTCAAGATTAAAGCCGTCATGAATAAAGTCTAAATTTCGATTTTTTTAAAATTTCGACTTTAATCTCGAAATGGAAATAAAAAAAAATCTTCCTCCTGTAATTATTTTTTTCTCTTCTCTTGGCCCTAATCCTCTTTTGTAGATTTGCCTTTTGCACATCAAAAAACTGAACTTTTGTCGTACTGAACTTCTGAAGTCATTATATGGATGTGCTAACTTTTCCCAAAGGTTGCTAACCAAGTGCAAATTTCAAACTGTTGGATGGCGAAAAAAGGAAAAACTACCCTTTCCCCTATGGCTAATCCATAAATTAAAAGACAAAGAAAAGTACCTCATTATGTTGCACACTTGTGGCATCATCCATGTACATACAGACCTGTGGACTCCGGTCTTATACATGAGAGAAAATGAGACGTTAACCCTGCATTGTTCTGGTTAAGTAATGAGCTCGTTTTTACTGAATCTTCATAAATATTATCTTCCATAGTCTCACGTCTCTGTTTAGAGCCACAAACATAAACTAATTTGTGTCTGCTCTAATCTTAGAAACAATCATCTAATTAGTCCAGTGTCTCAGAATAAACCAGGGCATGATAAAGTTCAGACGCTGTTACAGTTACTCTCATGAATTTAATGCATCTGGTCTGTGCTTCTGTTTGACTAACCAGAAATTTAAATCACAGTTTGAACGTTAAATTATTATTAGGGTTGGCAGCTCTGATGGGTAGGAGAGCAACCTCATGCTAATGGAGCACTTAACCAAATGAAAATGCCAAAATGAAATATCATATATTCGTCATCTGTCAATGCAGCAGTGTAAACACATCACATTTTCAGGTTTCAAAATGACTGCAGCGAAGAAGGATAGCCAGTTCCAGTCAGGAGGACAGACGGCGCTGAATTTCAGGCTTTTGTTATCACACTTTTCTTTCGCAGACTGCTGCCAGCTACGAGGGAGAAAAATGACTTTCAGCCATTTAGTGTGTCTGTCTCCATCTGAGTGGAGAACGGTAGGGTGCAGCCTCGGGAATCATCCTGTCACAACAATGATCTCGTGCTACTTTTAATGTTTTGACATGACAAAGTGAAAGTCATTCGGTCCGCCCATGCCTGGCTTTTTCTACTCATCATCTCCGTGTCTCTTTTTCTTCTTTTTTTCGTAATCTCAAAACACCTTCAGATTGAGAGAGTAGGAGGAGGCACCGGTGGGAGGTGGGAGCAGAGGAAAGGTGCTGTGTTGTAATAGCAACGGATCCATTTTTATATGAAAGCCGACACTGGCTGCCACTCGGGATGGGCAGCTTTCTGGAGGGAGGTAATGGTTTCTTCTCCTCTCGCTGCTCCCTGAGGTGGGCAGAGTGTAAATTACATCGAGTACGGCCTCTGAAAAAGCCAAGACTGGAGCTGGCTGGCGCTCGCCGCCCACAAATCCCTTCCCTCCTCATCACCGGTTAGATCCTACGAGATACTCTTGTCTTGCTTTGGCACAAAGGGATGTAACAGTGAGGGAATAGTCTGCCTACATGTTCTCTTGTAGACAGAGCCGTGCTTCCTCTTCCTCGACTTGGCGAGCGTATGTTTTGGGAGACTCCGCAGCACTTTGCAGGAGCGTGAAGAGAAGCGGGGTATGGAGAGAGGGCCGGGAGTACAAACAGCAACCCTCCTGATTCACTTAAATCAGATTGAAAGTGTCAGAACAGCTTGGATGGTAGGCAGAGCAGAGCACAGGAGGGAAGAAGCTGGCAGACTGAGTTTCATGGCCTGTCAGGTCAGGATACATTATCCCTTCGGTCGTACCATTTCTCATTAGCCCCCTGATGTGCTAAGAAGCCCTTCCTGCCTGCCTGCCATGAACGCAGAGGCCCTGAGTTGGGCTGAGGTGGCACCTTGGCTCAGCTTGGCACTGTGACGATGCAGAGATTGGACAGGTGGAGAGACAAGGAGGGATGAACGAGGGAATTATACCCAGAGGCCAGAGGTTTGAAAGTTTGTCTTGAAGAAGAGACTGACAACCTCAACTCAATCTCAAACAGGAAGTTTGAACCGACAGCAGGAAGTGGAATCATTTATGAGCTCTTTTGTGATTTTTGCCCTAAATTTGCCAAGTCAGTACCATTTGTTATCAGATTTAGTAAATGAAATCATGAGTGAATCTGCAGGATACCGTAACTCTAACAATGTCTGAGATCACAGCCTGCTTTCAAGCGTTGGCAGGAGAACTTTAATATTCCTCAGCATGGAGGTTAAAAGCCTCTCTGAGCTCCACCTCTTTGTCTCTTGTCTTGTCAATCGATTGAGTCGGCATTTCCAAATCTAAGAACAGAAACCGATCAGATTTTGTTGTTGAGGCGTTTACTGCCTGGATGCTAGCAGTCTCACAAAGCGAGTGGATTTTACAGCAAGTTTTTGGAGTTGATATCAACAACGACTTGTCTATGAAGAGTCTTCTGTTGGTCATGATTACTTACTTGGTTGTCATTCGCATGTTTTTCCCATTCAGTGGTTTTCACTTCAGAAATAAACATATTTATGACCAAGAACAGAAAACTGTTTCAGCCCCAAAGCCCGCCTCAGCTTCACCTCCCTGCCTGTGGTTAATCTGAATTCCCAAAGACGCTTAATTTTCATCTTTTTCAAAAATAGACTGGTGGAAACGGACTTCCATACAAACTCCGGACATTTGAAGGATTTTATAAACTCCCCCTGGACAGGCCAGACAGCCCCCCAAAAGAGGACATGTCCGGGTAAAAGAGGACGTAAGGTCATCCTTCATAATCTGGTTGTATACTCCAAAATTTATTTTGCTTTTGCTTTTTTATTTTCAATTTCCCTCTTCAGCTAAAAGCAAGTAGTTTCTACGGAAAAGGATTAGGGCAACAAGAGGAGAAAAAAAATAATTACAGGAGGGAGATTTTTTTAATTTCCATTTCGAGTTTAAAGTTGAAATGTCAAGATTAAAGTTAAATTTTTTAAAAGTTGAAATTTCAACTTTATTCATGTCAACCTTAATCTCGAAATTCCGACTTTAATCTCGAAGTCTGACTTTATAGACATAATTTTGTTTTGTTTTTTATCTTGAAATTTCAACTTTAATCTCCTTCCTGTAATTTATTTTTCTCTTCATGTGGCCCTAATCCTCTTTCGTAAGTTTCAGATGTGTAGCTTGTATATTGGACCTTAGTTTCAAACAGTTCAGATCATTTGATATCCTTAAAATTGAGTTTCAGAGTTATGTTAGAGACTGGATTATCTTCCTTCACCTTCAAAAGGCACCTTGAGAATTCCACATAGAGGTAGATTTATACGTTAGCCTTTGTACTTTGTTTTCCTCAGACAATGACACAGGTAGACTTATAAAGTGAGCAGTATATACAAAACAATACACTCTCTATCAGGAGCATCCATGGGAATTACTTTTTCTCCACTCCCCTCTTGCCCTATAGTTCATGATATTCTCAGAAAAAATCAATAACTGCTGAAGTGTAAGACCCGAGCCGGTGTCAAATAAACAGAAGAGCTGTGTAGTCAACAAAAGCAGTTTAAGTACACACACAGCTGAACGAGTGCAGAAACAACAACAACCACAGAAACTCATTAGCTATTCCTTTTTATCAAAGGTGAGTCAAAGTCTAATTAGCGAGTCATCTGCATTGCAAGAACTCAGCGATGAATGTTTAGCACAAAAGGTGTTGGAAAAAAGTATAAATAGAGGCTTGGAGATTATCACTTTAAAATGTGGATTTACATCTCTGAATGCATAAGCAGCAGAGCAGGAGGTGTGACACATCTCACAGGGGAGAACATGCAGGGTGAGGACGGGTGCTGTCTCTAGGGCAGCGTACACTGCTGCACGCACAGATGGGAAGGAAGTGCCGAGGAGAGGGAGGGTAAGACTCACAGGGTGTTTACATGCTGTTATTGTCGGCTTTGTGAAGTGAAAGTCGACTTTGTAAACAGAAAGTTTGAATCAGAGTTAAAGGCATGGTTGATAACTGTAGAGATTGGTAATTATTATGAACTTTGTTTCTATGGCGATCATGGTCCGATAGTGCGATCTCCACAAAGTGAGAAGAAATAAGAACGGAAAGGGTGACTGAAAAGGGTTAATATTAAAAGATTTCTTCCTAAAACACCTGAGCTCTCGGACATGCATACGCTTAAACAAGAAAGTATTTTATTTTTGCATGTTAGACCCCGGACAGATGGTATAGAAAGGGAGGATGTGCATTTAAAAGTTTGACTAAAAGCTGATAAACCCATTTGCACAGCTGAACAGCTTTCTGCAAATTCCAAACTTCTGTGCATATACGAGAGAAACGGCGCCCTTTTACTCCAGAGAAAACTCGACAAGCTTCAGGATGACACAGTTTGGAGAGGAATCAAAGGGAGAAACAACATAAGGTGTCTGAGTAAGACATCATGAGCCTGCAGAAAAAGATGGCATTGATTCTCAGAGTCTGCGGATCTCAAATGGAGGGAGGAAAATGGCACTCCTCCAAAAGCTCTTCACTCATTTGGGGCTTTAATGACGGTGAAAGTGAGTGCTGACGCTCTAAATTGTCACGCAGATGAACAATTGGTTCGACGCCTGGTGCATACAGAGTCCACCACACACTGGATGGAATAACAGGGCTGCCAAGTTTCAGAAAGTGACGAGAGTGAGACCTCAGCGTTGTGTTTGGTCGCCGGAAAAAAGACGTCAATCTTTTTTAACGTCAATTTATACCTTCAGACTGATGTCCTCACCTCCATGCCATCTGCTCTCCCTGCACTGTGACCTCCTAATGCCAGTCTTAACCTACCGTCCGTCTTCAGGAGAATATCGAGTGGGTTTTAAGTGACGGCGCTGTTGTGTGAAAGATAGGTAGAGACGCCAAGACTGGCCTTACGTTGCTTTTGATTGGTTTATATTGTGTGGTGCCTTTCGTGGTTGGTTAGATTTAGGCACAAATCTAGGACTGATGGATTGGTCTGGGATTGGTTATATCGGTCAGTCAATCAGAGTTACTCGAACTACGGCAAGCCAAGGTTATTACCATGAAAAAAATAGAACAATTAGGGACAATAGGGACAATTTAGTTTAGGTGCTTTAGAGGTAGAAATGTCTTCAGCAAACCTAAAATAGACATTAGGAAAGTCTTCTTTGCACCTAACACTGTGTCTTTTGACAAGTTGAGACAAAGTGGTACCAGGATGCACTGTCTCTGTATCGCTCCTCTTGTTTGAATAGTTTTTTTTAACTTGACTGGAGGAGATTGCTGCGTCTGAGAAAAACAAAGTAGCTACAGCAATCCAAACTCTGCTCTTTTCACCCAGTCTAAGCCTCCCCAGCAGCGTCAATAAGAAGCTGCAAAGAGACAAACGCAGGGCTGGAAAGCTAATCCAGGGATCACATTGTGAATCACAAATGCGTGTCCGATCTCCTCCTCTCTCTCTCATCCCACCAGCCAGACAGAAATAGCCGGCTTTGGCAGTGCCATGATTTTGCCTCTCTACTTCTGCATGCCTTGTTCTTCCCTCTCTCATTTTGGAGCGAGGAGGTCTGAAGATATTGCAAGTGACACACTCAGGGGAGAAAAGAGAGGGGGGAAAAATTACATTGCTCTACAAAGGCCAATGCCACGGGAGCAGAATGAGCTGCATCTCCTGCTGCTTAATAACAGTAGAATTATTTAAAATAGAAGCGGCGGCGGTGGTGGCGGTGGAATATTTCTGAATCTATATTTAGTTTTGGAGTGATGCGTCTCAGCCTCGGCTCATGTGGGATTCACAGGGGAGACATGGAGATGCATCAGGGTGGAGATCAATCTAGCGTGCAGCACAAAGAGGAGCAGTTTTCACATGATCGGGCTGAGATATCTTATCAAAGCGGTGTTCACGGTGGCTATTTTAGCATAACTGTAACCAAATTCCCTGTTGTTAAACCACTGAGACAAGTTAGCACTCACAGAGCAAGCTGCAAAGTTCCTTTTTTTTTTTGGCATGTTTTTACAAGCATCTATTTTTAGCAGTCAGTTCCAATGCTACACCGGCTGTATCCGGGATTATCTTCAACACCCATTCACTAACCAATAACCAGACTCCCAGCTCGCTTTCACCCTGCAGAACTCAAACGTTATTACTTTCCAGAAACCTTGTTGCAGCAAATTGCATTGATTAACCAACTCTAAATCAGTTGGCTTTAATTACATCTACCCAAGCATCGCTCTGCTCAGCATATAGCTCCACATGATTGCAACTAAATTGCAATTAGCCAATGCACCGAGCACCCATGAGGAAGACGTGGTGGTAGATTCATGTTAATCGATAGTGTGTGGGTGTCAGACAGAGTCAGGTCATCTGCAAGAATAATGAGGTGCTTCAGGAGTGAGCAAACGCTGTCACTGATTTTAATTGATGCAAAAATCAATGGTGAGTGATGCAGATTGTGCTAATAACGGCTAAGTATTGTCTCTACATGTTTATGTTTTATTACTCTGCAGTAACATTCATGAGAGTTTGAGCCTCCAGTAACCAGTGGCTATTTCCATTCCCCGTATCGTCTCTTGTGGGACGTCTACAAGAGTTAGCCACATTCAGATTTAATAACACATCATGATTCTACTTAAATGTTTCCATAGCAACCCAATCACATATATTTTTTGGTGTTTGTCCAGGATCTTTATGTTCACAGTGGGCGCTATTATGTTTGCCAAATTTCCATGGAAATGTGCCGAGCTTACAAGGTTATAGAGCCGCAATAGAAGAAGTAGCAAGTGTTTCCTCCTTTGCCTGAATCTTTTTCTGTTAACATCTTTTGCAACTGGGTTTCGATAAAGGCTAAAACGTACAGAATGCGTATGTGGAGCGTGGCAGCAGTGTCGCGTATCACGCAGCAAGTAGGTTGCTATTCTTATCAATGCGGCATCGCATACAGGACGCGCATCAGAAGCGTCTTGAAAGCAGCTCTGCTAAACATTCTCGACAACTGTATTTTCGCTGCTCTACGCTTCCATTGTGCATCAGTCCACACAGAGAAGAGCGTTCTAGACAGGAAGTCAAGCACGAAAACTGCGCATGTCTTCCAGTATTTCAAAATTAAACACCATATGTGACCTCCCGACTGTGTATCAGTTTGTGTAGATGAGAAATACTTCTTGGTTATGGATTTATCAGTAACACAGAACTATCCAATGGTCAATCCCTGATCCATGTGGACCCCAACAGGACTTTTAACTGCTAACTCTGTCTGAAGGCTAACAGCACAGCATAAAGGAACAAAGATTACTTTATTAAACACAAGTAAACCGGCAAAAAACCCAAAGAAAAAAAATAATTGCCAAAAAACGTGTTTTGTTGAATTTCGGATGACCATCACTAAATGGAGAATAATTGCTGCAAAGGTTAAGGCAACAGTCAAAGTTGCATCATGAACCTCATATAAAAATTGTTATGCACAGTTTGGTTGAAAAGCTCTGAAAATATGCTGTGGATTAAACAAAATAATGTTCAGAATTTTAAAAAGTTTGAAAGGACTGAGGTTAAGTTAACTTTAAGGGAGTTTATTCTGTCTTTAAGCCTGATGAGCTCAGTCTGTATGAAGCAGCATGAGTGTCTGGTCCACAGATGGTCGTGTTGACAGGCTGCTGGGTTCATTGGCCGGCTCTGTGTACAGTTTACAGGGGGTCACCAACAAGCCCTGGGATGTTTGTCACTGCCTGTCCCGTTTTATCACAGGCGCACCTTGGCTGTGAAAGCCTGCTTATCACAGCTCCATGCACCGGTCAGAAAAACAAACAAACAACAGAGCGGTATGATTTATGGACTCAGGTTGGTGCTATCTGACAAGGCAAACACACCTGCTCTGTGGCGTCGCTGCGGCAGATACCAAACTTTATTCGGAGCTCTGATTCTGTTTGTGATGAATGAGCGACGGAGTGAACTGAAGGTCAAAGCGAATGCCAACCTTCAGTCAGGGAGAAGATTTTTGTTTCAGCTCAAAGGAGTGTGGTATGAGGATTATCAACAAACACGTCAAGAAATGATCACAGAAATGATGCAAGACTCACACACACGCACAGGCGCACCCACAGACTAGCAGGTGCTTCAGGCTTACCGGGAAGTAGAGAAGCAGAGCTCCACACAGGATGGCTTCCAGCAGGACGAGACCTGATGCTCTGATACTCTGAAAAAAAGAATCACATATTTAATTTATGTTTTAAATCACGAACTTCAATCTCTATTAAAGTTGATTTATAGCCACTTTGACTCTGTACAACAACCTAAAACAAAAACATTGTATGTCTTCAAGATCTCTTTACAGATGGGTCTCTAATCATCCATCACAGCTTTGCTGCATAAGTGAGGATTTAGGGTTGAGTTTTAGCTTGCTGGCAAACTTTACAATAATGTTTAATATATGTTTAAGCTTTGTTTTTGTCTTTATAAACTCCTCCTGCCTAAAGCTGAAAGCCTACATTTTTTATACAAAAACTAACTTCATTATCTGGAGGTTTGTGGTGGAAAGGTTACATGCAGCTCATCCATTTAAGTTTTTCTTAACCTGGGAGACCTTTAAGTGTAAACCAAAACACTTCAGATGTGTACAGTATCCAAAACAACAATGTCAAGTGAAGCAGAAAGAAACTCTGGGTAAAACTTTTGTTTTTCACTTTAGATACAAAATACACAGGACTTAATAAAGTTCCAGTTGTCATGAGAAAGTTTCAATCCATATAATAAAGAAATGGAAACAGATAATGAAATTGTATATTTAGAGATATCCAATATGCTGATAATTTTAAACTCATTTTGGTAGGATTGAATACTGGGACCAAGACTGACACCAATAATAAAATCTATACTGATACAGATAACAGTGTCAATACTGATACCAAAACTAATACTGAAATTAATGTTAATACTTGTATCAATACCCATACCAATACTGATATCAATACCGATACTGATATCAATGTTAATACTGTTATCAATGTCAATACTGATATCAGTGTTGATACTGATGTCAATACCCAAACTGATATCACTGTAAATACTATCAATACCAATACTGATATCAATATTAATACCGATATCAATACCCACACTGATACAGATCTCATTACCGATACTGATATCAATATTTATACCGATTTCAATACCGATAGTGATATCAATGATGATAATAGTAATATAAATGTTAATACCAATATCTCTACCAATACTGATTTCAATACCGATACTGATATCAATGCTGATACTGATATCACTACCAGTACTGGTATCAATGTTTATACCGATACCAATACCCATACTGATACTGATATCAATGTCGATACTGATACCAATTCCTATACTGATACCTATTCTGATATCAATATCAACACATATACCAATATTATAACCAATGCTGATGCCAAAACTGATATCAATATTAATACCAATACTTATGCCAGTCTAAGAACATTATTAACCTGAGGACGCCCACATAGCTGATAACTGAAAGTAATAATTTCGATCATTTTGTCGTTGTCCTGTACCTTTGGTCGGTCACTGCTAAAATGATTAAAATGAATCAAGAGTATGTAAAGGAAAATAGCCACCACGAGAAAAAGCCACTTCCTTTGTGTATTACAGTTTTCATTTGTTTTGTCCACAAATTTAAACGGTGATAAACCTGATGAAATAATGTTTTATCTGTTCATGAATGAGATGAAGAATGAATCATTGATAAGTCTAAAGCAGCGGGATATCATCAATTTTAGAGGATTTCAACAGGAACAGAGCTGCTGCCTTTGTTGGTTAATAGAAAATGAAGCATAAACAAAGCGTCCGCCTCAAGGACTTTCATCATCGGGTTCACCATCTGAAGCACTTTGTTTGCCCCTCTTATGTAACGTCTTCAAAACATACTTTCTTTAACCAAAAAGACGCTTGAGGGGCTTTAGTGAAGGAAACGACTGTGGCCCCCATTTAGAAGCGGACAAAAGACAACACAAAAACCTACCAACATCGATGTAACCCAGATGTTTATCCAATTCAAAATGTACCAAATATTAAACTGAAAAACAAATATACCTGTTTGTTGTTGTGAAGATAATTTTAAATCATCCAATTTATCAGAGAGAAGTCAGAGAAGAGCTTCGACTCAGCTCTCAAACTTAGTTTGATAAGATTAATGGGGAGCACATAAATGGGGATTACATAACAATGACAAAGCCCTGGAGCATCTCAAACTTTTATCTGTTTTATTAATGGGAGCGGTCTTTTGTTCACCTCTGGTCGATAACATGGCAGCGGGTTCAGGTGTGTGGGAGATAGAGCAGCGAGACGTTCCCCTGTCAGGAAAGTGCTGAATCTTCAGGCTAATCCTCACAAGCTGGAGACAAAGCCTTTAATTAAGCCAATTAATTGACAGAAGCAACTGAGGCTCATGGGATTTTATAAGTTTGGAAAGTTTACACAGGTATGAAGTGAACCCCATCAATAAAAGACAACTATAACAAACTTTAATCTCAAGTGAGCTCCCCTGATAACAAGACTTACTTAAACTTTATTTACTTTTTGATTTTTTTTTTGGCACCAGCCTTTTTGTCTAAAACTACGTATTGTCCTCAAACATCTAAGACTGGGCGATAAAATCAAATCTTTATCTTGTGTAAATAATAGATAACTTTTAGAGACACATTATGTGAGGTAACAGACAATTCAATTTCCCTTCAGCGATAAATAAAGTTCTTCTAATTCTTATTCTTATTCTTAAACCGAAAAATTTACCATTACTGAAATTTATGACAATAACCAACGTCATTTTGTCCAAATTGGTATATTCGGTGGAGGTGAAACAGAAGAGCTGCTTCAGAGGAGCTGATGAAGTCAAAAAGTTTGGTCTTTATGGATGACACTGAATACTAAATAAGGGATGGGAGCAGGTGGTTAAGGTGGATGGAGTCCTGATGAGTAGGGCCGGGCGCTAAACTAAAAACTTAGTGATATCAAAATTTACGACAGAAACCAACGTCATTTTGCCCATATCAGTATATTTGGTGTCAAAAAATTAAATAAATAAAAGTTGGTTTTGGATGTGTGTAGGTAGGCTGTGGTCTCATGTCTGTTTAAGACGCTGTCCTACATCAGAGACGTGACTCCACCCCATCCAGTCCGTAACAAAGAGGGAAAGACAGGTGAGGAGATGGAGGACGGTTCAGAAGTTGTAGGGGTGAGCAGCTTGTGGAGTAGTTATCATCCATTTTTCGTTATCAAGGTGAACTGATCAATATATCGTGATATTAATTTGAAGCCATATTGCCCAGCCCTAATCATATGTATTATTTAATGTGAGTATTTAATGTGGAAATTGTAAAAACAGGACCATTTCTTCAGCTGTTTGGCTGACACCCATTAATGCCAATTTGAGGCATAAAAATGACTTAAAAAATCATCCATCTTGTCGCTAATGATCCTGTTTGCTTTTGTATTCCAAAAACAGGCATCCGTATGAATTTTAGCCTATTTAATGAATGTAAAAAAACTTCTCACAGGAGCTTTAGATAAGACAAAATTATCAATAGGGGCTGATAAGGAGGACGGTTCAAAAGTTGTAGCGGCTGGAGCAGCGTCTGAAGTAGATGAAGTTAATGTGGGAGGGGGTGAGCAGCTTGTGGAGTAGTTTTCGTGCATTTATCGTTATCGAGGTGAACTGCTCAATATATCGTGATATTGACTTGAGGCCATATCGCCCAGCCCCACAAACACCCCTTCATTTTTACCCAAATCAAAGTGCTCTCAAGCGCTTACGGAGCGGAGGAGGACAAACTTTTATGAATGAATGAATGAATGAATAAATCAGTTCTTGTAGACTTGGACAAAGTCAGTCATCCAGTCAAATTTCCTAAACCAGCTGAACCTGATTTCAACTGTGCATGTAAATGTACTTCATATAAACTGTCTTTTAAAAGTTTATTCAGCTTCCTCTTTACCGGAGCACAAAGACTTTAGATTACAGTAAAAACAGCAACAACCTGCGACAATTTCAGGGGATCTGAATAAAAAATTAGTCGAGTCGTGCGGTTATATCACTGCACGACTGAAAGTGAGGCCAACATCTACTCTGAGGGGCTGAATCTGAATCTTTGCAGACCATACACTTTGCAGAGTTTTTGACTTGTTAAGCAGTTTTATCAGTAATGGTGCAGCAAAGACATTTCTCACTTTAAGAACATGATTTACTGTTAAACAAAGAAGGCTGCTCGCAGACGGTGAGTCTGATCGACTCCTTTTAAAGTAGAGATGTAGAGTTGTTTCAAATATGTCATATGATTTAACACAGCCTTGTTTTTTTTTAAGCTCTTTGACGACATATAAGCTCTCAAATCAGAGGACATTCGCTTTGTTGCTCTCGTTCGCACGCTCTGGTCGCTGTCCAAGTGTTTGACGTTGACTTGATCTGCAGAGGCTGAGCTGTTTGAAATGATTTCAAAGCTGCATTGTGACCACCCACATACGGATTCGCAGGTTTATTGATCCAAGTGGCTTTGATGCCCGTACAGCACGGCAAACATCAAACACGACGCTGGTGTAATGTTGTAATTGTGAATTGGATAAGTGTAGTTTTAAAGCTTTTCTCCTCATATTGATACTTCAAACACCTGGAAAGCTAAAAATAGTTAAAAAAGTGAATGGATTTAACTCTAATAAGAAGAAACTGTGATGATTGTGTTACAGTACACTTACCTTATTCCTGCGAAAGTGGTAGATGATCACCATGCTGACAAAGACGATCAGCAGGCACAGGCACTGGAAGGAGAGCACGGCCATGCGGAGAGCGCCGTCCTCTCGAGCCACACAGGGGGTGTCGTCCTTGCAGTAAGCACAGCCCTGCTGGCATGGCAGGCAGTCGCTGGAAGACCCCTCGTCTGCGTTTGGACCGCTGTCTGCAGCTTTTCCCTGCCTCCCCATCCCTGTCAGACATAAAACAAAACGGATCAAAATGAATGGAAAAACTTCTGTAATCTCTCTGTCATTTGTATCGATCAGTCAGCTTATCAACCCTCCACAGATATCCTTACTTTTACGCTCTAGGGCAGTGATTAGAAACCAAAGATACCAGCGTTCCCTGAGGATACATAAGAATCAGTGGCGATTGCTCTAAGACTTCAAGGGAAGCTCGGCTTCCCTTAAAATGTCACCCCCCAAAAAAAAGAAAAAGTGGTGAAATACGTACGGCTGTGTGTACATTTCATTAACTAAATACGCACTAGAAAGCCTTCATCTTTTGTTCAGACACTGTGATAAGAAGCTGATAATCACAGGTAACCGGCATAATTTCGTTCTCATTCATCCTCGCAGCGCCTCAGCGCTTTAAACAGCCGGACGCTGGGCTTCTGCTGACTTCAATGTGGAAGCTAAAAGTGGGTTGTTCCAGCAGCGAAACTAGACGCTCATTGGATAAATGCTGGGCTTTGTCCCGCCCATTGGAAGCTAAGCTTCACTGGAGTTCTATGGCGAGAGGGCGGTCCCGACTTTCTCCCGGACTCCGAGCTTCTGCATCCATGATTGGATATGCTGTCTGAGGCGAAATCCTTTTCTGATTGACAGCTAAACAAGCGAATCAGCGATCTTGAAGAATAAAACATCTACCAGAGTATTTTCCAAGTTATTCATTCCGTTGTTCTTAACTGCTCCAGAGACTTTACCGATCCTCAGCGACTTTAGTCTTTGTTAAAAACGACTGCCGTTGTGTTTGGCGACTCTGTTCTGTTACATACTAATAAACAAACACAATTATGATGTAGGCCAGAAAAATGAGCTTCCCCTCCTTGAAAGACCAGCAGCCGCCACTGCTAAGAATTGATGAAAACAGATCATATGTACCCATGACAGAGCGTCAAACCTGATTAGGCCGAGAGAGTCGGCTAAAAGGAACAGATACTTGGTCGAATAACACATAAGTACAGTTTCTTTTGGTGTCGGCCAAACCAAGAGAGGGCAGTAGCTGAAAGATAAAGGGATGGCACTTTTAATCGTTGGTTTAAGTTTTAAAATTGTAATTTTAAAGTAATGGATGGATACATAAAATAGAGAGTATTTTATTTCAGAATTTAAAAGCAACTTAAAAACATAAATTTCACAATATATTTGATATAAACCTGGAGTGGATTTAAGAGCACTTTTGACAAAGAGAGGGTTGTTAACACAAAAGTGTCGTTAAAACCTCTATAATCGCCTTTTAGCTGAGCCATTTTAGGTCTATTTAATTCAGCACTCGTTTCCTACATTAGCATATTTCACATCCACATGTATAACTCTGAAAGTGCCTCATTCTGTCCTTCAGTTGTCGCTCTAACACGACCCCACTTGTGCGTTTGTTCATTATACTGTATGTGCATGACTTCTACAGAGAGGAGGAGAAGGTTGTGCCGGCTGTCATTTCCATTCCCAGGTTTCTCTGTTATTGGATTTTTCCTCTGGATCAGCTGAGACCGGTATTAAAAGATAAAAGAGATGAGGTGCCTGTTTGACAAACCGAACCATCCTGGGTATATGTATGCTTATCCCTCTCTGACCCTACAAGGATTCATCGACATTGTGTCAACACTAGGGGGAGGGATCTGTATGTGCGAACATGAAGAGTCAACACCGCCGCTCCTTGTTCAGTCGTGGGCATATCATACAAGGCTGATAACTGCAGAGAAAGTACATACAGAGACATGCCTGTACAAAGTGATTTTATCCTGACAAGGACAGAGGCGATGGGGAGTCTAAAGACAGGGCAGGATCGCCGCCACCATGATGGATTTATTCTTTTGGAAGATAAGCCAAAGGAGGAAGTTAGTGTACAAAAGAATAACCGCAGAGGTGGAGGTGAAACAGAAGAGCTGCCTCAGAGGAGCTGATAAAGTCAAAGAGTTTGATCATTATGGATGACACTGAACACTGATGAAGGGATGGGAGCAGGTGGTTATGGTGGATGGAGTCCTGATAGAGTAGAGCTGGGCGATAAACCCAAAATTTAGTGATACAGAAATTTACGACAATAACCGACGTCATTGAAGCGGCTAAAGTAGACGAAGTTAATGTGGGAGGGGGTGAGCAGCTTGTGGAGTAGATATCGTTCATTTATCGTTATCGAGGTGAGCTGCTCAGCATATCGTGATACTGATTTGAGTGCACAATCCGAGCGCACAATCTGCCATCGGCTACCCAAATCTTTTCCTCCGTTTATAAGCAAACATGCAAACAGAGTTTTCTAAAATCTCCACTCTGGCCAGAGTTTTTAAAAAGTATCGTTTTCAGGGGCGAATTCTCCATTAGCATCTAAACGAAGGGTGCAAACGATGACCAGAATCAGCGGAAGTTAACATCAATGTTAGCGTTAAAGTCTCTCAGTCCACATGCAACAGAGAGGGTCCCTCTGATCCAAGTCCAGATCCACTGATTACTCAAGTTGTTTGTGATCCATCTTACCGTACTAGAACAGGGTTTGGATACGTCCTCTTTCTTAGGTTATCAACCTCAGTATAAATGCCACAAGTAGCTACGTTTACATGTGTAAAATTTCTGGATCCGATGAAAAATTTGAGGGATCGGATAATCTGAATCCACCGTTTATATGGGCGCTAAATCAAATAATCCCATCATGACGTGCGTATACATGCACCAAGTTTTATTCAGATTAGAAGCATTTGGACACACGCAGAGTTGGCTAATTTTGCTAAAACAACCGCAGAAGAAGAAGAGTTGTATTTACGTCTGTGCTGTCAACAAACCAACAAATTCCGTATCATTACACTGTATGTACGCCTCATTATGTTATCGGAGGAGCAGACACGGCACCTACAATCGTGTTTTATGCCAGAGTGTTAATAATATAACCTCCTGTACTGACCTCAATAAATAAAGAGTGAAGAGCGAGTCAGATTAGAGAGTCACGATCGGAATAAGTGTTAACATGGACGCATTTTGGAATAACAATCGGCATAAACCACCCCTCTTGATCAGAGTACAATTTCTGATCAGAATCTTCTGATCGACATTTTTACATGATGCATTTTTATTCAGATCGAGCATTTATTCTGATTATTTGTGTCCATGTAAACATGGCTAGCGGTGAGAATTCAGTCTCATCAAAGCTTCGGCATTTCTGTTCTCCTGCTATAAATCTAACATTGAAGAAAACCGAAACAGAAGTATAAACAGTTTTAATAATCATTTTTAGTTCCTGATGTGTCTGTTTAAAAAAGTAAGAGATGAATTCTCTCACTCCCTCCCTCATAATGTGAAACACAGAGGAAACACTCAGCAGGATATTAACGTCCAGGTGCTTTTAGAAAACTGCGAGTCATCGAGTCATGCATCTTACATGTAAAACAACACAATAACGTGCAGTAATACAGAACTTAAGCAGCATGGACATTGGAGCCTGGCTTGGAACAGCAAAATCGAATCCTGAGTCAGGTACGGCTGTAAATCTCCTCCGCTGAGGTAATCTAAGGTAAAACCCAGACAAACTCGGGGGACAACAGGGAGCTGGAGACCTGCTGGTTTGTATAGAAATCGCCCGAAGGATGCCCATATGGTTGAACAGATAACGAATGGTGGCCTTCTATAGAGCTTTTATGAAGGCTGTATTGGAAACAGCCATTGTCTCAGAGATTTGCAGGGATTTTGCCTTTAAAAAGAAACTGGCCTATTTTCTAAAGCTGTGACTCTGCACATCATTGATCCCTTCAAAAGGACTACTTATCTCTGTGGCGATGACTCATATCCCGTGGCTTATTTTCGTTGGTTTGTTGCGGCTACAGTTGACAGAAAGAAGAGAACTTAGCTACAGTAACTTTACAGCATTTATCATTATGCCAGATCACCGAGAGACAAAGGAAAGTGAGCTGCACTTGCTTCCTCCGCAAAGGAGTGTCAAGGATGTCCCCATGTGGATTAACAGGCTTGTTATTGGCCCCATGGTGGGCCAGACTGCAGCACTACGCCTCGCTAACAGGCTTGCCTCTCCTCTATTATTGTATCCTCAAAGACACGCACACACTCGGCTTTCATGCAGACTCGCACGCATGAACATGCACGGCGAACGGCACAAACAGGCCGAGGCAGACAGCAAAGATATCCAGCTCTCTGAGAAAGGAATCATGGAGTGTTTTTGCCTCTCTGTGCATAAAGGGAAATGTTTGAGGCTAAAAATAAAACGCAGACAATAAGATGGTGCAGATATTGAAAGAAGAGGGGGGAGGAAAGAGGTAGAATTGGGATAGACACAGAGGAACACACTAAATTAGGTTTGAGTGGGACGAAGCGGGAGGAAAAGTGGATCAAACAGAAAGTACAGGAGAGAGTTTGAAGGAGGTCAGGTGCAAACCACAGGAGCTCTGTGTCTGCAAAAGCCTTTTTTAATTGACTCGCTGCAGACAGAATAAACTGGGAAAAGTAACTCGCATTAAAAAGAGATTTCCCATCTTGAACCTGATTAGCCTCCCCAGGTACTCAGGCCACTTCAATTTCCAGACAGGGCGCTAATACGTGTCTCTGCACTCTGTCATCATTGGGAAGTAAAGACGTCATACAATACAGAACATTGTTCTTTGGCCTTTCTGCAACTTTCCAGCTGAGTCAGTGACTATCCACTGAGCTTGTCTGTGTCATCCCTACCAACTTAGAGGAAATGAAGTGAAATGCACAGAGCAGACTCTTTCAGACATACTGCTTTGGGGATTTAAGGTCATGACATCCGACGTCAAATGGCTTCTTATCTTCTCTGCTCTTAAAAAATGAGGAATAAATTACAAGATTTAACTGGACAAAAGTGCAAACACCAAAGTCAAGTTCTGTGTAGCGGTGTGAGCAGTAAAGGGAGTGAAATCTGTTGCATAACGACGTCATCATGTTTAAATTGACCCTTTTATGTTGCTGTTGCTGATTACCATGTGAAAAAAAGTGCTTATATATACCAGACTGAATTATCTTTAATATCATGTACAATATTCCTTTTTAAAGGTAAAGGAGCTGTATGCAACAATACTGATCCACAATGCATAAACACTGTGTGCAAAACTACTTTTCTACAACTATAATGTGCAATGTTACCTAAAATTTCACATGTAATTTTCTTGTAATGTGCAACACTTTATTCACATTTACTATCATGTGCAATAAAACCTTTTATATGAATTTAAATATAACTTTCTGTGTCACTTTCTCTATCTTGTGCAGAGTTCATGTCATGTGTTGTGTTACTTTTTTTACACTCACTATCATGTGCAATAATCTACGATCATGTGCACCATGTGCTGTATTGCTTTTAGCTTTCAAAAGGTCATACTAATTAATTTGTCTTAAAAACACCACCATGTGCAATGTTACTTTTTAAATCATGTGCAACATTACCCCTCAGATCATGTGCAATATTACTTTTTAATTAAAGGGGCCATACTAGATAATTAGGGTAATCATCACAATAGGTTATATCACTAGCTCTATCATAAGTCCGAAATTACTCCTCATATCATATGCAATATGACTTATTATATTAAATGTAACATTTTCTTCCATAACATAGGCAAAACTTATTTTTAAGTTCAGGGGTTTCGCTAATTCATCAGGTTTAGAAGAATCATGTGAAATATCACTGCCGTTTTCTACTCTAAAAGGTGATTTTGCTTTTTGCAAAATGTGCAACATAACTTTTAATATCATGTGCAATAAAACTTTCACTTGCACTTTTATACCTGGTATAACTTTCAATACTGTGTGCAATATTACAGTTCAGTTTCACAGGACATACTGATTCACTATGCTAGGTTACAACATGTGCAAAGTTACAGTCACTGTTACTTTCATGTAAAACCAGTTTTTATATCATCGTAATATATATTTTTTCCACTTTCACTATGATGGACAATATTACTTGTATAAATTGCAGTATCTGCAGTAATTTGCCACCATGTTCAATATTTCTTTTAATCTCAGGATCCATGTGTGATATTACTGATGCATCATATTTCTCAATACCACACAAACACGAGTTTATCCTCGAACTTTCTGGCCAAAATGAAAATTTAAGGTCCCTTATTTGTTGCTTTGATGGTCAAATAGCAAACTTTACTCAGTGATAAAAGAAGAATTATTTTTCCAGCACTAAGGATGATATTTCAAGTTCAAAACAAAATGCCCTAAAATATTAAATATTTTCTTGAATTAGTTAAGAGTCTGTTTTGTATCCTCCATAAAAAACTAAAGAAATACACATTTTTAAAAACTGTAATGAGCCAGGATTAAATACTTTAAACCCGATAGGTTAACTTTTTCACTCTGCTGATAAATATTGAATTGTACTCACTCGTGAAGCTGTTGACCGCCACTCTGTTGGGGTGGTAGAAACCTTTCTTGCAGTGGCATTGGTATTTGTCCAAAACAAATCCATGACCACGGATTGGCAAACACTGTGAAGAGAAAAACGATTAAATGAACCACGCAGACAAAGACAGAGGAAGCCGTCTGTATTTAAAATTTTTGGACAAAGAAAAGTGAGAATTTCAAACACTCAATAGTTGTAATCCACAATGATTAAACGCCAGTATAAAAGCAATTAGAATATGTCAATACAAAACCAAAAGCAGGGAAAATCTGTGAGCAGAATAAGGGATCAAGTGTCTTGTGGGAAAGGACGAGGGTCTAATTATTTAAGTTGCTCAAGACTTGTCTCTAACTGTGCCTTCTCGACACTCACGATTAAATTAACAGATCCATTTTCATTTGATTAAAAGTCTGATAGGAAGCAGAACGAGGGCATTGGGGGCAGCCTTGGCAGACTTTGTGTGCTGTTTGCCAAATTACAAGATATAATTAATATCTAAATTAAGAACAGATTTATTTGCATGATTAAAGGAGAACAATTTATTCCATTTCTCGTGGGAATGAGACTCAGTTTTTGCTTTGAATAAACATGTTTGGGTCACTGATGTTAAGCTCTAATTCCTGAGTGTAAAGTCTTATTTTCACACAACAGGGACATGTTTTATCAAGAAAAGACGATGATAACAACAACTTGTGTTTCTCCAGACAGATAGACCCGAAATAGCCCCAAACTACACGCTGTAAAGCACACCGTGGAGTGTTTGTAACTCAACCACGAGATCTGACAGCAAAGCCATTCCTCTTAAATGAAAATTCAGTCAATGTGAGGCTCTTCACAGAAAACTGCAGCTCTTCTCAGACGGCTATTTCGGTCCGTCTTTCCAGGTCCTTAAAGAGGTCTGAGTGCGAGAGCGTAGACCCTCAGTCAAAGCTCTGGAGAGGATGGAGCGGGGCTCCGGAGCACAAGGTAATTACCAGGTTACCATTCAGAGGACAACTTCTTCAAACAGATTTCACTGAAGAGACCAAAGCGATTAAAGTGGCACTACAGTAATCTGCAGAAGACGGCCCGGATTCAGAGGTGACAGACTCCGAAAAGGGTCTTTCTGATCTTTAAATCTTGAACCTGTGCACCGACAGAAACAAGTTCAACTGTTTGTTCAATTTAAAAGACTTCAACTTAAGATTGGCTTTCGACACATTTGTAAGGAAACTGTTGACTCTTACCCATATCAATATCTCATATCAAATTATTTAAAGCTCCTGTGAGGGGTTTTTGGTAACACTTTACTTGACGCCTATCTCTATAACGCATCATAAATATATGTATAATGTGTATAATCACATTGTAGCACTGTATAACTATAGTTATAAACACTCATAAATGATCATAATGCTTTATAGCAATAATCATAACTCATTATAATACCTGACCTTGTAAGTCATGACAAAATGCTTTATAATGTATTATTTTAATTGCTATAAAGCCTTATGATAATTAATGAGTGTTTATAATGATAATTATACAAGTTTATAAGCTATTTAAAACACATCATAAATAAATGTATAATGCATTATCTGTGTGGGCATTGTCAGTGAGTTATTAACAGTTATAACACATTATAATATCTGACCTTTTAAGTCATGATAAAATGCTTTATAATGTGTTATAATTATTGCTATAAAGTGTTATGATCATTTATGAGTGTTTATAACTATACTTTCACAGTGCTATAACATGATTATAACCCATTACACATATATTTATAATGCGTTATAGAGATAGGCATCAAGTAAAGTGTTACTAATTTTTTTACATTTATTAAATACAAAAGCAAACAGGATCATTCGCAACAAGACTGATGATTTTTTAAGAGTCATTTTTATGCCTCAACTTGGCATGAATGGGTGCCACACATCCAAAACCAACCTTTTTTTATTTATATACCGATACGGGCAAAATGATGTTGGTTATTGTTGTAAATATCAGTATCGATAAATTTTTGGTTTATCGCCCAGCCCTACATATAATGACAAAAATTATCAGGATGAGAAGTCACTTCAGAAGGCACTACTTCAACATGTAGAAGTTAAAGTTTAGCAATGACTGCTTTGTCCACAGGGGGCGCCAAAATGGGCACAAACCAAAAATTCCACACAGGAGCTTTAACAACACATTTTTATACTATTTAGAAAGTCAAAAGAAGTCAAAAGATTTGGTGCACCCACTACAGTGAAATCACCACAAAGTCTGTAATAATTAAAATGAAAACGTTTCAACAGATTTCAAGTCATTAAATGCATCAATCAAATAAAATTTTTAGAAAACAGTTGTTCGTTTTGAAAGTGGTGGGGTCCCTAAAGCGCAGAAAGTCTGGGAACCACAGCTGTAAAAAAAGAAAAAAAAGAGCTCTGCTAAAAATAAGAGAGGGTTCTAACTGCACCCTGACATTAAACAAACCAGACACTTTGAGGGATTTTAGTCGAAACCAAAGAGGCGTATCTCACATTGGTAAATTAGCCTCTCCATGTACTACATGCTGACTCACAGCCAAGTTAGCTTCCACTCAGAACATCCTTTGGGCGTCAGAGTGTACAATTTAATTGTGGCAAATTGGATGAATTGGCAGGATAGATATTTTACCATGTTGGTGCCAGGATTTTTTTTCCTCTGGAGCTGTGTGTCCCTGCTCAGAAATCAGCTGGATGCTGCTGAGAATGAGCTCTGTGGTGCAACGTGAGTCAGGTTATCTGGTTTCATCTCTGATCCCCCAGTAGTTGTCTCCTCAGGACAGGTGGAGCGTGCTGCAGCTCGCTCCTGCCACTGTTAATATGCCCACCTCAGCCACAGACAGGTGTGTGTGTGTGTGTGTGTCTATGAGTATGCATATTTATCCTGTGTGCGACAGTGAGGGCCAGGAATAGCCCAGGCAGAGCATCCCTGTCCCGTCTGCTGCAGTGATTGATGTAAGGTTTTAGGGGGTGGGGTGTGTTTAACAGGGAGGAAGCAGTCCAGACGGTGCGGCCCGCCTCGGAGCTACCTGCTATCAGTCAAATGTGATCTTAGCTGCAGCCACCCAACCAGAAGCCAGACTCAAAACAACAGGCCATAAAGTGGAGCTTATTTGTTCATGTCACCGAGCACAAGAGCGCAGGAAACACCCAGGATGAAGATCCAGGGTGGAGTTTAATCACAGTGAGTGATGACTGAAGAAGTTTTCTTAGAGGGGGCTTGTTAAACTCGGGGGTTAAAGCACGTGATCCACATACTGATGGTATCGCTGGATCTTAAGGCCCTTAAAGGGATATTCCAGTGTAAAATTAAGTTAGGGTCAAACACGCCGAGTTAGACACCCCCTCGAGAGATGAATGTTGCCAACCGCTTGCTTCTCTAGTCATACCAACTTTAGTAACAACCGCACGATAGCAAAGAACTAGCCACCAAACATCTTTTTAACTTTGCCTAATTTCTTTAGCAAAGAGACTAAACACAACTCACCTACTCTCTTCTAGCAGTCGCTTGTTTGTAGTGAGACCTCAGGCCAGTCCATTACAGACTACAGTGGGGTGACGCAGCTCAAGGAAGAACATTTATGATCATTTCTTCATGGAAATGCAATCAGACTGAGACGCTAAGGCAGAAGAACTACAGCGAGGAAATGATAAAGTAATCCACAGAAAAGTGTGTTTAGTCTCTTTGCTAAATAAATTAGGCAAAGTTAAAAAGATGTTTGGTGGCTAGTACTGTGGCTGGGACCCTTTTTTATGGTTTAGGAATGTCATTGGCATTTTCACAAATTCCTGCATAAAATTCTGTGATTATGTACATACAGTGCTCAGCGTAAATGAGTACACCCCTTCAGAGTTGTCAGAAAACCTTTAGTTTCCATTCAAAATCAACATTTTGTATGTCAGACTATACAAAAAAAAAAAAAATACTCCTCCAAATGTAGGCCATTAATTGCAAACAAGATTTTTTAAGTTGCGTATGAAAAAGTATTTTTTTCAATTAAAAATCAGGATGCAAAAATAAGTGCATCCCAATCAAAGTTATGTGAGAGAGCTAAATTTTTAGTATCACCCTTTTTTTCATCTTACGGTAAATAAAATATTATGTTAAACTCAGCTTTGTAAAAACTTTGGAAATTGTACTTTTGTTCATCTATATATTGAAAAAAAAATTGAAAAATACATACGTATATGTCTTTTGTGATTTTCGATCGACACACAGTTCTTGCATTTCAAACAGAGCACACATAAGCAGTGACCTACTTCATTAAACAGGACATCTGTTATTTATGATGTGTGTTGACGTTCTATTGATAGCGGGAATCTTGGGTAGCCATATTGTTTTTTCTTCCATAATGAGCTGTGGGCATCAACTGTGCCGCCAGAGAGCAGAAATCCCATCGCATTAAACTGATCATTAATTAAGCCGGTGTGATTGAGAGTAATCGGTTTGACTTTACAGAATCTAAACTGCTTTTCTGATTAAATCTGACAAGAATTAGATTTCTGCTCGGACTGATTGTGGGTAATGAAAAATAAAGCGTCTGTTTGAGCGCGTCTATTCCTGTCCGCTACCTGTGGATGCAGAGATGAGTCAATACGATCCAGCTCATTTATTTTTTATGGCAGTCACATGTAGGAGAGACACTCAGAGCTTGTACTGTGTGTTTCAAACTACCCCCAAGTCCCTCCACTGGAGCGCACTCTGTGTTGTTTACATCCCAGCTGTGGCAGCTGTCAATCACACGCACACTCTGACATACTAATTACCATGGTGACATGTTTGTGGCCGTGAGCCACGGCTTTTTTTATGGTAGTGCGTCACGCTGTCAGAGCAGTGTGGTCTGCCGGGCTGTGACTGTGTTCTTACAAAGAGGGCTGCAGGAGTCAAAAATAGACACACACACGTGCAGTTTCTCTTGTTTTCCAAAGATAAAGCTCTTTCATGGGGGAAGTATCAACTAGCATCAGTACCCAACCTTTCAATAACTGATAATTTGTCTATTTTGAATTACTTATATTTCATTAAACTGCAGAAAACGGACTTCATTGTATGACCTTCACTAAAACCCTAACAGTGGCCGTTGTGTTTACCGCTTTCGCTGAGATTTACGACTTTGCGCAGGATTCCAGTTATTGGTTTTCTTTTTGTTTATGACTTTGGGTAGTTTTAAGAGCCACACTGTTGACCCTGACCCTATTTTTTTAAGACTGCCTGATATTACACAGTGCATGACCTTTGAACTATACATTGACATGAAGCGTGGCCTCTTCCGGCCATGAGAGTGCTGCTGTGATTCAGCTCGGCAGATTTTAACACGGAAACAATTTACAATAACCATAATTAATAAATGGTAAATAGATAGTTTATTAATGTTTAATCATCATTGTAGTATAAAAATAAATAAATAAATATTTTAATAAAAAATAAATTTTGGTATGAAAAAAAAATCATTGTATGATGTGTTAAAAATATCATAGTATAGTACGATAAAAATTCAATTTTTGGTATGAAAAAAATGTCATAGTGAAGTATTTTTAGAAATGTCATGGTATAGTATGATAAAAACATTCAAATTTTGGTATGAAAAAAATCAATGTATAATATGTTAAAAAATTTCTTAGTATAGTACGATAAAAAAATCTAATTTTGTTATGAAAAAATGTTATAGTATAGTACAATAAAAATATCATAGAATAGTATAATAAAAATGTCAGTATGATAAAATATCATAGTATAGTAACAAATGTTGGCATCGGAGTGCTGTTATCTGAGATTTTAGATACAGGCCAATATAATCCGATATTTGTTTTTTGTTGATATCAGACTGATACTCTATACCAATATTGTATCAGGACATCCCTAGTGGACGTGGCATTGGTAGCTTTAACATCTAGGAAACTGCCAAACACGGATTTTGGAGCAACATGCGCTGCCATCCACAGGACTCCACTTCTTTGCATCTGCTCTAAGTTTCAATCCGTTTTACCAACCTGCTCACTATACATTATCTTTCACATTTCTTCTGTGCATAACTGCTTCACATCTACATAATTGTTGCACTCCCTGCATAAAATAAACCGCACTTTACATTCATCTCCTTACGCTGAACAAAACAGTTCTCCTCCCTCACCTTTCTGTGACATGAAGCGGGGGAATAAATAACTCAGAGAGGAGCACTAATTGATGCTAAGGCCAGGCATCTTCCACCTGACCAGGAACTAGCTGGATTCTGCCGGCTAATTAGGGCCTGCCGAGGACTCTCCGTTGCTTTGAAATAAGCCCACGCTCTTCCGGTCCAGCACCGAGCCTAATCAAGCGCTAATAGGCCTCTGTAGATATTTGTAATGATCGTGAAGAGAGAATCGCAAACCCTGAGGAAAGCTCAACGCCCAATATTTACAGATGGAGCTATACCATGCACCGAAACGGAGACTAGGTGTGGGGGTAATTTACTAGCTGTAGCTACAGCATAAACTGACCACTCTGAATGTGTATGAGGCACCAGGGGGAAGACGAGTTTAAAAGGAAGCATTTAAAACACAGAGGAGGAGTATCACATGCTCTATTTCACTAAATAATCCAGCTGTGATTCTTTTTAGCTTGACACTTTGCCTAACGAGCTTCGTTAAAAAGAAATACATGCACACGTACGCTTCCACTCCACTCAGTTGTATTATGTCTTTGAAGCTCCAGAGTAGGGCTGCACGATATGAGAAAAAACTAACATTGCAATTTTTTTTCAACCCTGCGATTTATATTGCGATATTGAAAAATACAGGAATAGACACCAGATGACCTGAATAGAACTTTACGTTGAAATCTTGTGGACAGTGAACCTTCTGTCTGTCTTAGAGATATTTTTAGCTTTTATTGTGCTGGGATTTGTTATCTCTCGTTGTGACAACAGATGTAAGGCACTGTGGACACAAAACACGTTGTTTGGTCGAGATCATCTTTCTTGTAAGCAAAATAATTCCAGATAACTGAAGTTGCTTTTGTTTTTGGCAACATATCTTCATTTTCGGTGGTTTTCTCTTGTTCGTTGCTTATTTTGCAATTGTTGTTGTTGTTAGCGGTGTTGTGCTGAGAAACGCATGTCAGCAGAGAATTGCAGGCAACTCGCGGAAACGCACACCGCTTATAGTAGAGTGGTCCACGGAAATGTACAATTTAAACCCATACAGTTCATATTTGTGGGGCTTAACAGTCATGAGGAATGTTCTGAAAGTAATTCTCAGTGGGTATGCATTTCTCAGCACAACACCGGCAGCGCCAGCGACTCACTCCATGTGTAGGGGCGTGGTTCCCTCCTCTCTGATTTTGACTGACGGCTGGTAGGGTAGTCTGATTGGCAACTGAGTAAAGAACGAATGTGATTGGTGGATCGCTGCACAGCACATACAGAGTCACATGCAGTGTAACTCAGCTACCCTTGAAATAGGATAAGTGTTGTGTTGTTCGTGAACGATTCGTTCAAAAGAACCGAATCTTTTAAGTGAACGTACTAAACCGAATCACTTCCTCAAGTGATTCATTGGGTTCTTACTTCAGTTGAGCTGAAGTGAGAAACAGCAGTGAAACAGTGAACGAGGGACCGCATGCACCGACACCTGAATCACTTGGCGAACGAATCACGCATTGAACTACACTCTCTGGAATCATTTTTGTCGGACAAAACTACACAAAACATCATGACTTATAAACAAGTTCATTTTTATTTTAACTGATCGGCTGTGTATCAGTTCAGGAGGTCGGAGTCACAGGCTTCTCCTGCCAGGCGCTACATGATTCAGTGATTTGGTGAACGAATCTTTTGAACGAATCTTTTTAGTGAACTGATTCTAGTGATTCAGTACATCTAAAAGAACTGCTGTGCCCATCTCTAAATTAAATGAGTTCATTCACCTCCTACATTGCAGGCTCTACAATGTGACTATTGCACACACGTACTACATCACGATGATGATGCTTAAACAATATATCATGCAGCCCTACTCCAGAGGGTCTTTTTTAAGACCTGGAAAATAACTCAGGGAAGTCACCAGGGTTATCTCGCTGCAGGCTGTGAGAGATAGCACTATTTACCAGGGACAGGAGGTCACGCGAAGACACATTAGAAAGTTGTATTTAGTGACATGCAGGCTTGAGGGCCACTGAAGTTTCACTCAGTGTGGTCTCTGTGGTCAAGGGATAAAAAAAAGTGGAAAGCCCCTTTAACTCGTCTTTACATGCAGTAAAAGAATCCCAATTTCAGGTCTATGAAAGGTAAATTACACAAGAAAGTGAAAGTAGGGAAAGCCCAATAAAACATTCCCAAACCCCTCTGGCTAATTGGCTGTCGTTTAGAAGATAAAGGGTGCGATGTACATTTTGTTTAGCGGCTATTAAACGCCTCATAATGACCAGGACTGAAAGGGGAGCTGGCTCTGTGTGCGTTATTGTGTACGGGGAGAAAGAGAAAGGACCATTTTTTTTGACATCGATGTATTTGCTTCAGGCCAGGCTCATGCTTTTTTAGCTGTCGGCACGGACAAGGCTAAACAAATTGGTGCTGGATGTGGCTGGGAACACAATTTCAGGCCTGTGCATTACTCTAACTCACACACACACAAAGCGTGATACACTGCAGAGAGCTGGCCGTGACTCCCCCCGCTCAGAGGGGCCGCTACATCGCCAGCCAGGCCTTTAAACGAGGTCAACTAGCTGGAGTTAGGCGGAGCGGAGCTGCCCGGACAGCAGGGCCTCGTGTTGGGTGCCTTCCAAAGACCGAAGCCTAAACACCAGTGAGATAAACACTCTGGCCTTGAGGGAGCCGAACGCTGCCACCAGGCTGGGACTAGTAAACACACAACATACAGCACCAGGGTATAGCTTTCATAATCAACACTGACAGCTTGTGGAAGTGTCAAAATGAACCAGCTGGCACCGATTCATTCCATGTTCTTGCAGCAAAAAGCGCAGTAATGTCGACTCTTGCGTCGTGCAGCTGAGAGTCTTGCGAAAAGATGAAACGCATGCACACACAGAGAGCAGAATCTTGCGAGAACGAGGACAATGAGCAGAAGAAAAAAAAAAAAAAGGATCAGGCGTGCACAAAGTTTTCTGACATCCTCGCAGCAGCCTCCAGCAAAAAGAGACATAAATAGACTCATGAAGAGGGAAGTTTGTTGCTGTTGTCCACTCAATCCACACGACTGCCCTCACGCAGTTCAACGTTACTTTATTTAACAAGAACCTTGTCATCTTCACTTGGAGAAGAAGGGTGATTCATGTCCCAAAGACGTGCTCCACAAAAAGTGAAGCCAAAAGGAACCAGAGACGCTAGAGCCCCTGATCCTTCCCTCGGACCAAAGAACACTCATGGGTTTGGTGTTCCCCTCCGAGTCTGAAGAGGGGCCTCGGTTTCTCCCATGAGGACCAGATTTAGTGGCTGAGAAGAGTGATGTCTCGACATCTTCCTCAGCTTATTAACTCATGACACGGACTAAGAGAGGGGACAGAAAAAGGAGGAATTTCTCAAATCTCACTGATTTTCTGGACTTCAGCGCTCCCATAAAAAGATCTTCCCGCCAAGTCTCTTACTCCTTTTCTATTTTTATAAATTGCAAACGTTCGGCTGTACCCATTTTCACATCCAATCTCAAGGGTGCCTAGATAAATGTTACCTCTACATCCCACTTTTTACCATCCTCCGTGGATTCAGTGTTTGCTTTCTGCTCGGTTTACGGTTTGCAGTGAAGACTGGGCAGAGCGGAGCAGATATAAGACGGCGCCCAAGGGTGAGTGCACCGAGTCTTCAAAGCCTTTTCATGTAAATTCAGAGTTCAAGCATTTACCACTGAGCCAATTAGAGCGACAGTGGTTAAGAAAGGGCTGCAGGGGGCCAAAGTTAAAACCAAAGTGTCCTGTGATCTCTCGTCCCACTGTGTAAAAGGACTCAAGATTGGTGTTTTCAAACATCCCACAGGAGACAGGGCGGGGGGACAAAGAGCTTCTTACTACTATCCTGAGTTTGAATGTTCGTATACGCTCTTAACTCGAGGTAAAGTTCAGCATCCTGGGTTCACGATATGGTTCTTTTGTGACTTGACAAGTGACCCAGTTTTTGCGTGTAAACACCCCCATGAGGACAACATCTGCCTTCCACCATGACATCATAGCCATGCGCAGCTTCCTTGAAAATAACAACAACAACCATGCTAGCAACATCCATTTCGACCTGTACAGAATCCTCACGGATCGTACTGCTCAGCAGAGGAGGCGTCTGAATTATTTGCATCAAATAATTATTGTAGAACGGAAGTTGTTGGTCTGCGTTTCCATTAAATTTTTTCGCAAAATAAAAGCGATGTTTATCAAATTTCGACAAAGTACAATTGCGATTTGCGGGTGTTTCCATTGAATCGTGTTCAGTGCATAAGCGAGCCGTCTGCCTCTCGCGAGCCGTGTTTGAATGGCCGTTGCCTAGCAACGAGGTAAACTTCCTGCCCGTGCGACCTCGTATTCCTTAAGCCTTTTTGCACACCAACATGGAGGAGATACAAAACATTTTGCGTTTTGGAGCAGCTGTTTCTGTGACCATTACTGCTGTTGCCGCTGCTGTCATCAGAAGACGAAGGCAGCGGGTGATAATTCAAAGGCAAAGCTCGTATGTATGGGAGCGAACACGGATGAGCGATTTCTGGGAGAGGATCGATTTTTCTCTTTTATTGTTTGTAGAAATAACTCCGTCTCCTCCTCCGTCCACACATACCGCGCCATCTTTGCCTGAAATGAACTGGTCACATGACCCGCTACGTCACGTCCGGTGATGTAGAATTGCGAGAATAGTGTTTCCATTACACTTTTGCGATATACTTCTATATCGACACCACCTCATGAGAGCATAAAAACTTTTTAGCGATATTTGAGAGGTTTTTCGAAATTTAGGTGTTTCCATTACCAGTTTTCTATTGCGATATTTAGGTTTTGCGCAAATCTATGGGTAATGGAAACCCAACTTGAATCAGAGCGCAGTCACACAGCGTTTTCAACCAAATTGCGTTTTTGTGTAAACGCAGCATAAAAACTGAAAACGAAACGGCACTTTTCCGTTTTCTATGGAGACCGTTTCCATCTAAAAGTGGCCTTAATGTCCCGTTTATTGAAGACTGTTTATCCTCTTTAAGTTTTATAAACGTCGTGCAAAATGGCTCTTTTCTGGGACACTAAATGATCAGCATCAGAGTTGGGCATTCAAGAGACAATATTTTGTGTATTTTGGCTAAAATCTTTCACTGGATGCTCCTCCACACTAAAAAAAAAAAAAAGGTATACTCTTCTTCCTCCGGAGCTGAAAACTTTCAAAAACAGTCTCACTTAGATGTAACACTCGGTCCATCTGCCAAACTGGAGATAGCTGTCTGTTCTCCTTCATCCCTTTTCCTCTCGAGCGGAAGAAACCCACATTTATCGACTCTTTTTTTTATTTCTAGCTCCTCAGTTTGACTTGTGTCTCTGTTACATTACAACACTTGTGCGTAATTCACAAAGCACAAAAGGATTTGCTCAAATTAAAGGGTGAATTTAAATCTGTGGGTGCACACAGTGGTATTCTATTTCCTCCCCTATCAAGCACTCTTATCAGCTCTGAAGCATAATCACAGCTTTGGTGAGATCACTGTAGATAATTAGCAATTACCCTATTTATAGGCTCCTGCACATAGTCCTAATAGGCAACATAGAAAGGAACGTGGTTAATTAGGACGCTTTAAGGCTTCTCTCTGCGCACAGATCGCTGAGACGAGATCAGCAGGTTGAGAGGGGGCTGTGGCCTGGAGTGAAAGTGCACCAGACGAGGAGGGTCCCTTTGGGGAATCCCTGCCCCGCTACTACGATCCTGCGTTTGTACGAGAATGGGGGAATACCCAAGATACTACAAAGGCTGCTATTTTTGTGTTTCAAAATGCAGCGATGACGGGGTAAGCAGTTTCGTTGAATGAGCGTTAAGGGAACGCTTGGCTGAGGGAGCTGTCAGAGGAGCATGCAGATAAATGTTACTCAGCAGATACCAGTCACAAAGACGCTCGGGGAGTGTGCAGAGCATGCATGATGCCAAATGAATAATTAAGACTCGGTTTAAAGGATGTTTTTCAACGTGACATTCAAATCTGAGCCCTTCAGGGATATAATCCTTAAAAAAATGAGTTTTTATTGTGTTTTTGAATGCGTCACCACCCCGATATGAGTAAAAAGTAAAGGTTGCATCATTGCATTTTAGGAGTTTGGGCAAAATTCGAACCTTTCTCGAGGATGAGGTGACGTACATGAAAACAAGATGCTTTCTATAACCTTTGTGTGCAAATGAAGCAACAAATCAATCTCCTTTGTGACACAATGATTAATGAATTTCAGCCGGTAATCAGTTTCCTAAAGGTCTAAAATGAATCCCATCAATTGCTCCTGCTGCACAGTAGTGGACCCGCTTTAATAAGGGCCGGATCAGTTTACTCAAATGTTTTAGATCAAGAGTAAGAGGCTGAGAAAAGGTGCTCTGTATGGAAACATGTAGCGTGCTTCACATATGATCATAGTTGTCGATACCAGACGTGACCTTTGTGAGTTATAGGCAGCTGTGAGTAATGATTGAGACGAAGGATGTAAATAACAAGGACAGTATATGACAGCGATGACTCAGGCTGAGAGTCACGATTGGGGTTAGCTTCCTTCTACATTTTTTTGTTGGCTAATTTTTTCCGTGTTTGATAAATCACAGTGCGGGTGCTAAATGACTCCATTTGTATCTGCTCCTCCCAGAATTTTGCGCTTTCTGATGATCTACACACATTCTGCATATTCATAAAGGCAAACACGCTAAATCGATTGCCCATTTGACAGACCCGGTTAGTAGATCAGGTTTGCGTAGCGCTATCAAGTCTGCACATGTTTTTGCATGCGCAAACCTTTAGTAAATCAGGCCCTTAATGTTTACATGGCAGTCTTACTTCTTTTTGCTGTGTGCTAATGTGCAATTTGTTATTTATTAATAAATAATATTAAGTAAATTTATATCTATGTAAATTTGTTACCTTTTTTTTTAACAAGGCTAATGTCGAGCCAGGTAGCGAATTTTTTTTTTTTGTAGAATGGTAGGGGAAGTTCCCGCCCTCCTTCGCCTCTGATTGGATAGATGTGCTGGACTCTGATTGGTTATTCTATATGGCTGTGAAACGTCATCGTTTGTCAGGTTAGGGTTAAGGTTAGGATTGGGATTAGGGTTAGGGTTAGGAGATTCAGAAGTGCGATAGTGTTCTGTAATGTTCTGTTCGATGTACAGAGCCGACAGCCCGCGTTTGGCTTCAGCATGTGATGATGTTTCCAGCTTTCCTAGCCAATCAGAGGCGAAGAGGGTGGGACTTTCCCCAACCATCCTACAAACAAAATATCGCGCCCAGGTATCGGTATCAGATTGGATCAGAAAAAATGGATCGGTGCATCTCTCATAAATACGAGGAGGAGGTGGAGGCGGGTTGCGAAGTCATTTACAGAAACACAGTAGTCATGGTTGAGGATCGGCCTCCTGTGAGTGAATCTAACTCACTGTATTTGCTCACAAGTGAAGACAGCGAGGGTGTTCCTGTGCCTGTGCTGCAAAAATAGGAGTGGGAGAGACAGCGAGAGACGGACCAGAGAGAGACAGAAGGTGTGAGCAGGAGGGAGGCAGCAGTTGTTTAACACTGATGGCGTTATTAATTCAGCAGCACACGCTACACCGAGGAAAAATTAGCGCGTGATGGAGATGATAGAGCCGGCTGGGCCGGGACGACCTTGTGAGCCAAGGTCAAGATTTTACAGTGATTCAGTCCTCAGAGCCGAGGTTCCCACTCCAGCTATTTAACAACAGAGAGAGCACCACAGGGAGGCAGAAATACAACACACAAGCTCCATATAATGTAAATATATACAGAGAACAAATCTGATCGGTGGGATGGGAATAAAACGAACACGAGGACAGAAGAGTCCCACTGGACGGAGGGCGGTTATGAATCTTAACGATCCACCTAAAGTTTGTGTTGAGTGATTCAGGTTTTGTAACGTGAGGTCTCACTGTGATGTTTGACACCATTTCAAGTTCGCAAATGTTCACATCTGCTCAGCGGCCCTCACTCCTCCTCTCACTCAGCAGCTCTCAACATGAAACAGCGCAGAGTCAGGAGTCCTTGTCATTTCCCGCAGGAGTAATCATTCAGGTTATGTGTCACTGCCTTTCACGGGCTACAGTCCCCCCGGGCTCCACCACTTGTTCTGAGCAATAAGCTAATTGATTGAAACATTCATCATCATCCACGGCTGCGTGCTCGTATGAAAGGTACCCCCAGGGCGGGAAAGTCCTGGACTTTTGAAGAGTGAAACACACTAATGAAAACGACGCTGTTAGCGAGGGATGAGAGGAAGAAAACATCGACCTCAATCAGAATATGTGCAAGTTTAAAAACAGGAAATGAAGTCAAGAGTCTGGGTGAAAAACTTGGGGATGTGTGCTTGACTCATCAAACTTCAGCATGATTGGCATTAGTCAGAGCTGCTGCGACTTTATATGAAATCAAAGGAGTTGGCTCTTTGCTCAATAAAGGCAGTGACAGATATGCAGTCAGAGTTTATGATTATATTGATTGCCATATGTTAACTCTGAAGGCGGCGGCGTTGGTTTATTTCATAGAAGTTTATTTAAATTGGCGTTGACAAACTGTATTTAGCCCTCTATGGAAAGTTTTAAAGTTAATCAATGATTTGTGGATTTCCTTGATTTAGGCACTTATATTTTTTCTGCCCTCATTAGAGAGGCCAGCTGAAGAGAGGCAGGAAATGTTGGGAGTAGAGAGTAAGGAAAGACATGCAACAAAAGCTCTTAGCCATTGGCACCCTATGCTTTTACAATTTTAAAGATCCACTCTTTTCTTGTTGTCTACATGTTCATATGACATTTTTCTGATGCTACAGGACAAATAAAACTGAAACTGCAAAATTGCATTTCTGGATATTTCTGCATTCAAAAATCTCTGAATCTGGTTCAGATGCAGTGAGATTTCTTACATCACAACTCCAAGCTCCGCCCCCAGAGCCCCACTCTGCAGGCAAGACTTGGAGAAGTAGAGAGGGCAATTGCGGAACTAGCATGTGTGTTAGTGGATTGCTATGTTCGTAAGAAAGCAAACTATAAAGTAGGGTGACCATATTCTAACTTCCCAAGAAGAGGACACAATTACGTGGGGGCGGAGTCACAGAGTCGCACCAAGTTAATTTTGAGAGTTTTTTAGGTCGGATCGAGTGTCTTTTTTGCACTTCTAACTCAGTACGTCCATGTGACACAAAATCAAAACTTTCGTACAAAACCCCGGACATTTGAAGGATTTTATAAACTTCCCCAGACAAAGGTGGACAAGGCCAGACAGCCCCTAAAAATGAGGACATGTCCGGGTAAAAGAGGACACATAGTCACCCTATTATATTAGCTTTCATCATGCCCCTAAAGACATTAGTGTCCAAGAGCAAAATAGTCTCTATGTTACCTGCTTCTTCTACTACATCTGCAATGTTAGGCTGCTAGCTAACGTGAAGAGGAGTGTGCAGAGCAGCGCTGACTCCGCCCACGACTCAAAGGTGAATTGCTAATGAGCTACTGGAGCTCTGCAGAAGAAAAGCCCTTAAAATGGCACAGGTAACGTGATTTTGGCTAAAAACTTCAGAATCACAACTTAAAGACCACTGAGAACACTTTAAGTAGTAAAAAGAAAAATGATCAGAGTGACACTTCCTCCGTCGTTCATTTTAAAAACACCGCGCTTTAGAGGGAATTAATCAGTAGCGAAGGTTTTACTATTGAGTCAACTTTTATAGAGAAAGAGAAGTAAGATTTAAGCCCCACTGTTCAGTTTTGAAACATCATCTCCCTCACATGAGCACAGGTTTCTGACGCTGTTGTGTTGTTGTGTTTTCCTTGTCAACAGTCCGAGCCTCATTTCGTTTCGCCTCCCCATGCCTGCCTGCTGAATCAGTCATCCATAGCAGCTGCCTCCATCTGAGTTTGGGCTGCCTCATGCTTGGCTGGGCAAACAGCAGCTTGAGAGGCAGGATGTGAGGGGAGGCTGGGGAGCCGGCTGGCTGGCTGGCTGGCTGGCTGCTGGCTGGGTGGTACGAATGCATTTTATCAAATTCAATTGGTAGAATGGAGGCACTTAAAAGGCTGCTGAGGAGCAGGGGAACAAGGGTGGACGTGTGAAAAAGGGACTTTATGGATGTTGGATAAATCCTGAGGATGTTGTGCTTGCCAAACAGAATGTGGAAACACCCCACAGTGACAGAAGGCAGTCTCCGTCACGATATACAGTACTGCTCGCACAATCTCTGGTGGAAAGACATGTCACATATAAAGCCCCTTATACTGATTCTAATTTTTCAATTTTAAGATTTATTTTCACCTTGAAATTGTTTCTCGCATCGAGATTTTTTAATCTCAAAATTTCAAAATTTTTCCCGTTGTTATTCACAACATTTCGTAATCTCTAAATTTCGACTTTAATCTCGAAATATCAATTTTTATTCTAGAAATTTAGACTTAATTGACATAATTTTGATTTTTTTTTTTTTAAATCTCAAAATTTCGACTTAAATCTCCTTCCTGTAATCATTATTTTTTCTCCATGTGGCCCAAATCCTCTTTCGTACCATTTACAGTTTTAATTCTTGTAACACGCTTCAAAAAAGTTGGCAAAAACAACAAAACACTGAAAAAGTTGTGTAATATTAAAAAAAGAGTTAAAGAGAGAGTCATTCTTTCCATATTAAAAAAATAAATAAAAAAATGGAGTGCTCAAGCTTTTCCTCTCTAACAGTAGACTGATTAATCAGATTTTTTTTTAATTGTCTTTCCTTTGCTGTGCTCTAGTTTGTAATTCCTGCATCTGTCTGTTTTATACTTAATTGTGTCAGTTAAATCTAATTCTGTGACGTTTTATTTTTGGCCCCTTTAAAGGATATCGTCTTTTACATGCCGAGCTGTGTTTTCTGACAGTAAAAAAAAAAAACCCTGCTGTCTGTAACAGTCGAATGCTGTTGAAAATGAAAATGAAAAAAAGCTGTTAATTGCTTCCTCTGACACCTACCCAGTGGCAGCGATCACACGCATTAAAATAACCATGAAGAAACAGTCAATGTTCAACCAAAATGGCCTAGTTTTCCTTTATGGGACACAGAGCGCAATCAGTATTAATTTCAATTAATTCAACAGATCACTAAAACTCATCAGAGGAGCTTTAAATACATAAAAAACTATTAAAGAAATACTAAATTTAGAGTGCAGTGGAATCATACAGCGTCTGAGAATTGGATATGTGACCATGACAATGAAACATTTTACTAAATTACTCCACTCCAACACCGTCTAAACCAAGTACCTCGCCTCTAATAAGAGAAAAACGCTGCTACTGTGGATTTACAGCGCCCCGTATTATGTCTCTCTTATTCAAACCACCCGAAAGAAACCCATTAAATGACAATTTGCTGCTCGTGCGGAGGGAATACCTGCAACGAAACACGGCAATAACACAAAATGAATCCCTGTTTGCACAAATGGGGCATCCCTCCAAATGCTGTTTTAATCACATTACCACACACACACACACACACACACAGCTCGACAAGACTTTATTGCACTCTGGCTGAGATTTCTATTCATAGCTGGAGAGACATCAGCCTCCCACGTCATCTCTGATTTACCTGGTGGTGCACTTTAAACCCGGGATGGTAGGTTGTTAACTGTAACAGATACCCAGCTGGCTTGCTGTAATTCCTCTCCGCACAAGACTGCTATTATACGGAGGGATCTTATGAGTTACGAGCCAAACTCTGGGGTGCACATTCTCCAGAGATAACAAGGTGGTTAAAATCATTGCTGTCTCTGCATTTATGCTCCTACCTCCATTCCTCTCCCTATGCATGCTGTTTATCCCAAAGATATGATAGTAATGAGACACCGTTGTATGATAAAGCTGCCGTACGAGACAGGACGCGTCCTGCAACATATCAAGACCACACCGGATTTCATCATCCTGCTGTAAACAAGCATTCGGCTAACACAACTCCTGCTCTGTAAGCACGCAGAGATCATTATTCTGCAGACAGCTGGAATCTATAACACTAACAATGTATTTCTCCTCTTGTACACAACCTACACACACACATGCTCTCACACACACACTATGTCAAATGTCTCGGGCATTGACTGTCCACACAGAGGTGGAAGTACTCAGACAAAGAGAGTGATTAATTATTCAAAGAGGCTCACTGCAATCCATTACATCACATGCATTATGAAGCAGTCTGATCTACAGCACCTCTTCAAAATCTATCTATCGCTCTTAACGACGAGGCCGAGCTCGAGGGGTAAGAAGAAGCATCAACCAGAGGGCGAGCTGCAGGGTTCGCCGGTTAATCAGTGCAGAGTTAGTGTCAAAAGTTTCAGCCAATCAAGATGTTGTTTTGCAAACATTCACAAGTTTGAGAGAAATTTCTTCACTCATGTTTTTACCTTTTGGGAAGATAAGCAAAGCAGCAGTGACAAAGACAAAGAATGCATCCGTAAAGAAAGTGTTTGCACATCTATCATCTGGGCTCATTTACATCCAGGTAGTAGAGAATTATGGTCCTTAACATGAGCTACAACATCAGGTAGAGACAAGTGGCTTTGCTACAACTTAGACACAGCATATGACCATCATTTAGGGCCCATAATAACGAGAAGAATAATAGTCATGTGTTGGGCTGGGCGATATGGCCTTAAACCAAAATCACGATATAATGAGCAGCTCACCTCGATAACGATAAATGGACGATAACTACTCCACAAGCTGCTCACCCCCTCCAACATAAAATTAGTCTACTTCAGCCGCTACAACTTTTGAACCGTCCTCCATCTCCTCACCTGTCTTTTCCTCTTTGTTACGGACTGGATGGGGTGGAGTCACGTCTCCGACATAGGACAGCGTCTTAAAGGGACATGAGACCATAGCCTACCTACACACATCCAAAACCAACTTTTATTTATTTATTTTTATATATATATATACAGTCTATAGTTGTGCTTTTAATATGTTTCTGCTGTCTACGCAAAACAGCTGCAAAAAATCCCAATTTTTTTTCTTTTATCAGCTGGTAATTTGCGTCTTTATGATTAGATTAAACAAATGACAGTTTTCCACTGAATGTAAAGTGAGGCTTAAATATTGATGTCCTCTTTAAAAATAGCGAAGCACTGAGAGTTTCACCATCTTGTCCAAGAGCTCTGCCCACATGTTCCAAGGCCTTCAGACAGGCTATTTTTCAGCAGTATGAATATAGCTGGGCTATTTTCTCCTCTGCCAATGCTGCACACGTTTTCAGCTCTCCAGCCCTGTGCCCATCACTTCCACTAAGTTAAATATATGCTCTGACCCTGTGAGAAGACTCTAAATAACCGAGACAAGTCTCTACTGTATCTTTGTTAAAACCTTAATGTCTACAACAACAACGAAATGGATAGATAGACAAGCTTTTGGCACATCTTGGCACACTGTAGTACAAATGCATGTACACAAAAGCAGTTGTTAAAGGTATTGTGTGTTTAACAGAATAAAAGCAAGTCCTGTCTGTTGCTGTCACTCTTTGCATCGACAGTAATCTGCTTTAGAAAAGAGTCGAACTAATTCTGCTTTTTATGTTTCCACATAAAGCTCACAGTGTTTGGTTTACACACCGGTGATGGGTTGTAAAACTACCACTAAAGAAGAATCAGGTCCCTTCACGGTGACATGTCCAGATTTACTGCTTTTCCGTTTAGTGCCCGGTGAAGATGTGACTGAGCGCATGTTCCTTACAGATCACTTTTCCAGAGCGAATCAATCTTCTGTCTAATCCACGTGTTCTGCACACTCACCTCCATAGTGGTCAGGTTGCATCGATGGGTTCCAGCAAACCAGCCGTCAGTGGAGCACTGGTCGATATCAACATCCTGTAGATTAATGTCAACGCGCACCACGCCCCTGCAAGACAGGAGGACACCATTAACCCGGCTGTGGGAGAAATACGAATGTCAGTGCAAAGTGGGGGATGATGCATTTTTACAGGTCATAGCCTGTAAATTTGAGAATGATGACTTCACTGCAAAAACAAATCAGTTTAAACATGATTAGAGGTTAATGTTATGATGGAGGATAGATTTTTGACTGTATTTTTCATGATTCCTCTGATTTGGAGCCTTGCTTTGAGTTGAGCTTCTGTAGGACTGACACAAGCGGAAAAAAAAACATATCACTTCTTTACATGGATGTGTCACTTCTGCTATTTTTTGCATATGTGCAACCACGGCATCTTCAGTTCAGAGTATTCCCATAGTTTCCATGTGTAGAAGTGATAAACAATTAACAGAAAGATATCAAAAGAGCTGCTGTACAGTGGAAGGTGCTAATACAGATATTCAGAAGCAGGCTGTTAATTAAAAAGTCATCTCATCCGTTGACGCACATTTCTTTTTAGCAGTTTCTCGGCATCTCTTAACAATCAGATGAGATTTCTCTCTTTAACCTGCTATCTCCTGGTCAAAACTAAACATTAAGACAGAAAAAGAGATCCAAAAGGGTTATACCTGCTGACAACCATACAATGTAGAAAAACATTTTCCTTTCTATGAGCGTAAAACCATAAAATCAACCGTAATATCTTCATATTTCAACTTCACGTTTAATTCCAGATGTAAATATAAGGCCTTTTTTTAAAATAAAGAAATACGTTTGAAGAAATTCAATTTTGTAGATAAATAAGTAACAAATTTTATCTTTTTGAAAGGCAGAAATGATCGTCTTCTTAGCCACGATGAGCGATTTTAAACCAGTTTAAAGTGTGGCTAACGGCTAGCTTAAAGAGCCAATTGTGGTACTTGACACATGTAGCGTCTCCGTTGCAGCAAAATAACTCGGTCAAATTTTAACACATTGACATAAAACACATATTTGTGGGTTCAGTTTTTACGTGGATGTTACTTTGTTGAATACCTATAGCGTATTGGCGTCAAATAATCCCCTTAAGTGTCATGGGAAAAAAACGCTCCATATACCTCCAAATCCCCCCTGAAAAATGTCACGTTTTGAATTTCTCTCGGTATTACAGTGATTTAATTAAATCTGTGCTAAAATCTATCAGTGTGGGTCAAATATTAACTGCTTATAGTCAATTCAGCATAATTAAAACACTAAAATCATCTAAAATTATTCAACAACAAGGGATGCAAGTGAGCGCACAGCTAGCTAACCTGACTCCTAGGCAACATTGAGACCAAGAACTAGATGATAAAGGTAATTTCAGGGACAGGGTCAACTGTGTTTTTTAATCTTTCACTTAGCTTCAAAAGTCACTTTAAAGATAAAGTATGTCTCTACTTTAAGTTTTTACTTAATACCACCTTTATTCCACTTTAAATCTACAGCAAGGACAAACCAACATCTGAATTCAGAGTTTGTGTAGAAGGCTACTAAGAAGGATAAGCAAGTATGCAGTTTTATTCTGTCTAATGTACTTCAGACATGCAGCTTTATCAGTCAAGAACCCCTGAACTGTCTCTCTTGGTGACCTCAGCCCACGTACAAGTTTTTCCTCCATGCAGAAAATAGAGCTCACCTCCAGGCCAAGTATTGTCAGATAATCTATACTGACTATACTGAGAGGCTTTTTCCTCTCCAGGTGTAATAAAACTGAAATACTCTAATACAGTAAAAAAGAAAAAATCTCTGAATCTCCTGTCAGGGCAATTCTGCATGCATGTGGACTCATTTTGAATTAAATACCAGAAAACTCAATCAGAAATTTTTATTCATCCATTGATTTAAAGTTATTAAAAAAAAATAAATAAAAAAAATCTTACCCAGCAGGAAAGCCGAGATAGAGAGGCAACAAAATATCCCATATTTAAACTCAAACCAAGTCATTTAACAATCCATAAGATATTTCCTAAAGCATTCCCAGATACGAGTGAAAAAAAACCTACCCTGATATAATCTGTCACACCGAAGCATGTAAACATCTTGTCCTGTCTACTGCTCGGTTTTGAGGACACAGAGAGTGTGGTTTCCATAGTAACGCCTCGGCGAAACCATCTCTCGTGGTGACTTAGCGAAACAACAAACACTCCACAGAGTGGCGGAGGATGCTGTCACTGTTTCTTTATCACTTCGGGGATGAAAGAGTTTGAGTTTTTCTGTGATTAAAGGGGAGATGGCTAAAAAGCTTTGAGGCCGTGACGAGCTGAAAACTGTGAGCGCAGCAGGGACCAAAGAGAAGTTAAAACTCACTACTGAGCTATATTAGGCTTCATTACAAGCAGGCAGTTTGACATGTGTCAGATAAAGCACAGGTGTAATTGATAACATGATTCACATGATATGAACTTAGTCAGCAGGAGGTATTTTAAACTCCTTTTTTCCACATGTCAACGTGTCTGCTGTAAAGAGCGTTAAAAAAATAAATACATAAATAAGTCATAATTAAATGCAGAAATTCGTTCTTTTTTTGTCATTATGATGGATGGTGTGTCTGGACCTTTCCTTGTTGTATTCTGCTAATCTGATGCACACAGGAGACAGATCTGTCAACAGAGCTGTCAATCACAGCTTTATGCCTCTTTTTAATGCATTTAATTTAATAAGAAAAGTAAAAACTTGGGAATTAATGAGCAAAGTATGGACTAATGATGATTACTGAGAAAAATTTTTAAAACCTGCTTTTAAATTTAAAGTTTAAGTCTTGTTCTTATCTGTTTTTATGGAGAAGGCAGATAATGTGACCTATACTGCACCCTGTCAGTAGGGGGAGCTCTAGATATTATGTCTCCATTAAGGAGTTGTCATGAAGGTTCATCAAATTGTTGTTCCTTGCACTCTCACACAGCCTCTCACACAATGGTGAACCTTTCACTAAATTTACCTCTCCTCTAATGTGATTCTTTAGGAGAGGAAACTCTGTGTTTTTTGGCATTCGGCTAGTGCTGGGCGATATGGCCTCAAATCAATATCACGATATATTGATCAGTTCACCTCAATAACAATAAATGGACAATAACTACTCCACAAGCTGCTCACCCCCTCCCACGTTAACTTTGTCTACTTCAGCCGATACAACTTTTGAACCGTCCTCCATCTCCTCACCTGTCTTTCCCTCTTTGTTACAGACTGGATGGGGTGGAGTCACGTCTCTTAAAGGGACATGAGACCATAGCCTACTTACACACAACCAAAACCAGCTTTTATTTGTGTATTTTTTGACACCGAATATACTGATATGGGCAAAATGAAGTTGATTATTGTTGTAAATTTCAGTATCTGTAAATTTGGGGTTTATCGCCCAGCCCTACATTTGATGACAAATATCATCAGGTTGAAAGGTCTTTTCAGGAGGCACTACATCAACATGTATAAGGACAAGATAAGCAATGACTGCTGTGTCCACAGGGGGCGCCAAAGTCGACACAAACCAAAAGATCCACACAGGAGCTTTAACAACACATTTTTGTCGTAAATTTTTGTCATGTCGTAAATTTTGGTATCTGTAAATTTTCGATTTATCGCCGAGCCCTACATTCAGCTAAAAACAATTCCTTTCTGTTATAAAGCATGATGCTATGGATGGCATTTTCTGAGCAGATATTTTTCATAAAACAATTAAAATTTCCAGTTTCAGTATTAGATGTTTAGTACTGAGTCTCATTTAACACTTGACATAATTCGTCTTGTTAATGAAATAGCTCCAGCGCTCTCTGAAATATCATCTGGCACTTGCGTCACAAATTTAAACCCTCATGTATTTGGATTGTTTGTCAGTTCTATAGCCCAACAGTTACATTACCAGACTTTCTATGACGAATAAATATAGCTCAGCATCTTTTGTGGTTTTTGAACTTGGCAGAAAGAACAATAACTGACACCACTGAGAGGCTATTATTTTCTCTGTCCATTTAGCTTTCACTTTAACCCCCTTACACACTCACAAACACACAAAAATACTGCTGGTGTGGCATGTTCTCCAGGTGTATAGGAGCTGGTTTACTATATTTATCTCCCTGAGGAGACCAGGCGAGTGCAACGCTCTCTTTTTCCTGTACTTCTCTTATTAATAACTGCTGCTCCGGTCCTGCCTTGCTTCGGGGCAAACTGACCTCACTGTTTTCCAGCGCACTGCCGGTTGTTTTGCTGAGAAATTACCTCCGTTTCATTTCTCCGTTATGTAATAGAGGTAGGATACAGTCCACTAGAACGCAGTACAAGAAAAGCACCCATTGTTTTGGTAGCAGGATAGATCAAAAACTCTCTTTCTGAGGCAGCTAAAGCGCTCACATTAGCTTGGGTTTTCCTTGTGAGACTGAAAGGAAAGCCTTTTTTCCCTTCTTTTCTCATGACAATAGCCTCCTCTTTTTCTTCTGCTTCCAACTCTCCAGGCGATATTTAGCATCTAAGCCAAAGTGGACATATGGTGTTTAAATGGCATGGTGAAAAAAAGACAGAAAATGAAGAGTATGTTTGGAAATGCACGCAGCACAAAGACAGGGTCATAATTTGGCCGGGAGTACGGGCAGACGCATCATAGCGGCCATCAAGGCCCGCAGGCGTAAAGACCGGATTATCACAGAAAGCAGGAGATAGTGGTGCCCCAGGAAGCGGAGTGCTCTCTCCTTTCATCCTCCTTTCTTTGTGGGTCTAAAGGCCAGGCCGGCAAAGAGAGGAGCACCCCACCAGCAGGGGCTCCGGGCTTTCAAACAGAGCAGTCAGACGGTGCTAATGTTAGCCTCAGCATTATGGAGTTGACTCTGGATACATCTGGGTAATTGCCTATAGGCTACAAAAGGAGATTCAGTTAAAAACATCCTCAAAGTAAAGTCCTCCTTTGATGCATTTCTAAACGAATAGTGAATGTCAGGCTGATAATCATTGAGCTGTATGTTCCTACTCAGGCCCAGAGGATGGGACAGTATCACAGACGGATTTAGAGAACAGGACGTTTCATTCACAGTCACTTATGCAAGTCAAAGACAACTAAAAACAACATTTTTCAGTGAACTTGAACACTGTACTAATTTACAGTATATTTCCGTTACCAGTTGGTTAAAGGGATATTCCAGCCTTTGCGGATAGACATACAAAGAGAGAGAAATTTTTTTTTACAAACAAACAAAAAAAACAAAAGAAAAAGGGGTTCAGCGTTATAGTACTCAATTCACAGTGATCGGACATCTTGTGCTGTTAACATAGGACAGATAGGGGTTCCAGGTCTTCTCAAATGACGCATCCTTACCAATCAGAGTCAGTCTAATCTTTATACAAGGATACAAGCGGCCGAAATGGGTTTCCTTCGCAGGGTGACCGGCCTCAGCCTTAGAGATAGGGTAAGGAGCTCGGACACTCGGGAGGCGTTTAGAGTAGAACCGCTGCTCCTCCACGTCGAGAGGAGTCAGCTGAGGTGGCTCGGGCATCTGGTTAGGACGCCTTCTGGACGCCTCCCGTTAGAGGTGTTCCAGACATGTCCCACTGGGAGGAGAGCTCGTGGCCGGCCCAGGACCAGGTGGAGGGATTATATCTCTCACCTGGCCTGGGAGCGCCTGGGAATCCCCCCGGAGGAGCTGGTGGAAGTGGCCGGGGCGAGGGCCGTCTAGACTTCCCTCCTGAAGCTGCTGCCCCCACGACCCGGACAACGACAACTCAGATAATGAGCTGTTTTTTTAATCTGTTTCTGTTTCTACAAGTTGGTTTGAACAATGCAAGCACTAAAAAACAAATGTAGCCACGTCACATCTTTTAAAAGATTGTGTTCAGTTCACAATTTTGATTTAAATAAGTTAATAAATGGGGTTTTAACAGAATATTTGCAGGAGATAGTGGTTTCTTTTGTAGCAGGAGCAACAAAATAAGACCTCTATCGAGATTCAGTGACAGTGTGGAGATAAAGCAGGACTAATATAAAGCAGAGGTGACCATGGAAGCCTTTCAGGAGCTTAGACATGATCCTTAAGCTTATCCATGTAGCCAGAAGACTTGCACGCCCAGATGAACTTGCATGCACATCCGTCCAGCTCTGCTGTCCTTTTAGAAGGGCAGAGTTCAAACATTACGCCAGCGAACAATCTCGATGCAAGAACTATGCAAAGCTCCCGAAGAAAGAAGATGTCCCTGATACAATGAAAACGCATTAACCGACAAGGATGAGTGGAGGATAAGGAGAGTGTAGCCGATGGGCGAGATGCGGCATCTTAATTCAACCTGGATGTCAGAAACAGACACATCAACATGGCTGAATGGCTGTCACAAATCTACCATTAAACAGCACTTAGTCAGTGGTATTTCACCAGTATCTTTAAAATGGTAACCCTGTCCACAAATACGCAAAAAAGATTGAAATCATCAAAATGTGACTTTTAAAATAGATCAAATAAGAGCTCTCACATTATACTGGTATTGACAATAATTGTCTTTTTAAAAAATGAAATGTTGGTTTATGATAAGAGGGAGGTAGCGGCTCCTTACACTGGTCGCCACCCACCTAAAAACAGAGAAAAGGCTGCGGCAGCTCTCTGAAAAATGGTCAGACGGTTGTTTGTTTTGTTTTATTTTTAAAAGCGACTGAAAGAAAGTGCAGTTTTCTGATTTTTCCGACTCAACGAAGCGCAGCGCTCTCCAATCTGGGCCCCTGTCCTCTCACACCAGATTACTAGAGGATCAACCTTTAGTAACAACATTACAGCTTTATAATCCTGTGAGAGGCAGCGGAATTACATCACTGTAATAGTATGAAAGTCATTGAGATTATTCACATCATCAGCGGTATAATATCACTTTACAGTGAGTGGGAAAGGCTGTTGGTTGGATTTTCTGTAACACTGACATTTAGCGGCTGAAGGTGTAGTATTGACAGGCCACCTGACTGAGCAGAGGTGTCCCACTGACGTCAGCAGTGAGAGCAGACGCGCCTTAGGGATCTGTAACCCCTGCTTGCTCTGGGTTTGTCAGTGGAAAATCAACAAGACAAGACTCATTTCAGAGGGTGAGGGGGGTTATAATTAAATGTTCCTACATCCAAATAAAAACAGGCGTAATGCCCTGTAGTGCCACGGCTCCATTACCTTTCCTCACCTCTTTGATTTAATCATATTTCTCCTGCTCTTTTTCTCCTCGTTTTATCATCATACATCATGGTACTTAACCCCCAGGAGTTGTGGGGTTTCCTTCCCATTAATTTCTGGATGGTGTCCATCCGAGCAGATGCTTTTGGCTCCTCCTTGAGTTTGAGGCCTCCCACTCCGTTAGACAGCTGGGTGTCCCACAGCAGCCAGCCTGTCCAGACTTTAGCTGCTTGTACAGCAATTCGGGGCGCCTAGCCAAGCATAAATGAAGACCATAAGGCCCCTTAATTAGCACCTGTTTGGCCTTAGGAGAAAAACACTGAAAAAGGGGTACAATTGTTGACCGTTTCCTTACTTTACTGTAAGTTTTAAATAGTTTTATTTAACATAAGAAACTTTTCGGAAGAGTTGAGCTTGAAGGAAAGTGTTGGAAGTCAGATGTCGGAACTGAAAGTCACACTCGAGTTTCCAGCGCTTCAGTTACCAAGTTGGAAAAAAGAAAAATCGGAGGTGGAAACAAGATGGCTACATCTACGAAAGTTATTTTAGCACTTGCTTTGTCTGAATATAACAAGGACAAGGAAAGTGCTAAAATAACTTTCGTAGATGTAGCGATCTTGTTTCCATCTCTGATTTTGCTTTTTTCCGACCTGGTAACTCAGGTGTGACGTCATTTTTCAGCTCCGTCATCTGACTTTCGAGGTAACTTGAACGCACCATTATGTACAGACATCCTTCTTTCAAAACCAGGGGTCTGTGGGCAATTTTTGTTCGGATGATGTATGATGTGACTAAGCAGCATCCTCCAGTCTAAAGCATTAAAGCTAATACAGAAGTTCCACAAACTGCAGTTCCTCAAATGTCCACTTGAGGCTGTCTACAAAAGCCTCAGAAGCCACATACACACTCACTCTAAAAAGCCCATTTTTAAAGCATAATTGAACATGTTTACAAACTGGTACAACAATAATTTTGGTCTGAACAACATTTGAATATATTGTTCATTAATTATTAATTCATTCTTAAGATCTTGAGGATACGAGTTATTCTTAACGACGGCTAACTTGAATGACAGGTGGCAGGTGGACTGTATGATAGGTCGACCTGATGCTAAGGTGAGATTTTCACTTTCAGAGGTAAATGGCAGCCCTGTGAATGTTCTAACTTAGCTGACGATAACACACCCATTTGTATTATATGAAGTAGGGTGACCATCGCCCTCTTTTACCCGGATATGTCCTCTTTTTTGGAAGCTGTCTGGCCTTGTCCGGCTTTGTCTGAGGGAGTTTATAAAATCCTTCAAATGTCCAGGGTTTTGTATGGAAGTTTTTAGTTTGTGTCGCGTGGACTTATTGAGTTAGAAGCGCATAAAAAACACTCGATCCAACCCGGAAAACTCTCAAAATTAACTACACGCGACTCCGTAACTCCGCCCCTGCATAGTCGTGTCCTGTCTTTAGGGATTCAGAACATTGTCACCGTATATTAAGGCTATTAGTTATGCGTAATCGGAGGCATGGCTCACTGTGGCTGTTTGTTAGGCCATGACCTTGACTTCACCTCTATGCCTGTTCCGCAATTAGCCAAAAGTTGGCGGTAACGGTAGAAACGCTCATGAAAACAGGAAGTCCTCTCTCTGTGCTCTCGATTGCCCTCCTGCAACTCAAATGCAGCTGAAGATACAGTTACAGAACAATTGAAGAGTGAGAGGTGTGATTTCTTACACCTTTAGAGAAACAACAGGTCGATGTATCGCTAACACATCCCCATGCACCCCATGCCCTAACAAGTCGCAGGAGTTGTTTTACCTGCACGTTCGACAAAACTGACTCCGATTTATAGTTTTTCCCAACAGCCAAACGTATAACACCCTGTTTCTACCGTCATTATCACCCCAAACAGGGAGTGACTGAAGCATTAAGGGGCTGGAATCAAGATGGCCCATGCAGGGTTGTTGTTCTACATCTTTCATTATTAATTCATTGTTGTATTGATTGTGTATTCAACTGGAGGGGAAGCGGAGGAGAGCTGCTGTCTGAGGCGGTTATATTATCCCCTCTTCTCCAGTTTCTTATCAGGCAGAGGGAGGATGCGGGATGAGACGCCTGCTAGTTTGATATTAGCGCCTGAGACACTTAAACTAGAAGAAGGACAACACGTGGAAAAAACGGTCATGAGAAGGTTTGATTTTACTCTTGTAAATGACGAACTATTTCCAGTTAGCATGTCGTAGTATAAAGTTTGGCTAAATCAAAGTTTGTACCAAAACAGAAGAAATACCGTATTTTGCATATATGTTTAACTACAATTCTCTCTGAAACCAACAAGTAAAAATGATGAATCTTTGACTGGTTTCGCAGTCTTTACTCAAAGCTATGCTAACTTTCCGTTGGCGGTAGCTTTGTGTCTATAGTAAAAACTTTAGCTGAGCAACTACAATCTGTTTAGACAGTTAAAAATCCAACTCCTAACATGGTACCTGGTTATTGGTCTATTCTTGCAGAATTAAAGGGGCAGTTTCCAACCCTTTAATGCCTGAAACCTCAATTATGGTCAGAAAATTTAATTTTTTTGGAGCTGAAATGTTTATTTCACTTTTGACTGAAAACCAAAAATTTTAAATGTCCTTAAAATTTAACAAATATATTTATTTATCTCATTAAGAGACCATTTTTAAAATTTATCGGACTGTATTCAGGTGTTTTTTTAGTAATTTGTTGATCACATTGATTTGATTTGAAAAGTATGTATCAAATATGATACAAAAGGCATTAAGTAGAACATACTTAGTCGTTATAAGATATGTTAAAATTATTGCAAACAAAATATAACAAACATTGAATCTAGAGCCTTTTTTCTTCACGGGATGGGGCCAGTTCCACACAGTCTGCCATGTTTCTACAGTAACACACAATGGACAAACTAGTAACATACACGTTTTTGTATTTAGCATGAAATGCACCAGTCAGAAGATGAAGAAAATAAAGTGCACAAAGGAATTAAACATGGGTGATCATGAGCTTATTGTCCTCCAAAGGTACCGACATTTGGCCTGTGGTAGGGGTGAGCGAAGGAGCATTTCAACCTAGAGTCTGTCCACTAGATGTTGCTTCAATTTTCCTACTTCTACAAACATTAATTGTGTTACCTTCCTGTATTTTGCTATCTTAGCATGCAGTCCACAAGGAACAAATTCCTGTTTTTCTCCCTAAACACAGCAGCATGTGTCTTACTGCTGTTGACCAGGCCACCCTCCAGGGACATAAAACAATACCGAACACCCACGCGTGTCACACCTTCGGTCCTCTGGAGCGAGCCTCAGAAGGGGAAAAACAGACGACAGCGACATAAAGCTGATCATAAATTTGACTGTGTGAATCCGCTGTAAACCGGAGCTCTGTTGTAAAGTAAGTGGAGTGTACGGGCTAATTTTATATCCAATTGCTTCTGTGGGAGACGGAGACCGAGTGAATGAAGCTGCTCTGAGATAACACCAGGTAGCTGAGAGTGCATTACAGTATAATCACTGCAGGTTTGGACTCATTTGCAATCTGTGCCTGCCTGTGAGTGACTCCAGTGTATCAATTAAAGATTCATCCCAGGCAGAACACACACAACTAGTGATCTGGATTAAATATTCATTGGGAAGATGTCGGTCAGGAATCAGGATCATATGGAGCCTTTCCACTTAACTATTCCTGTGCATACCAGGACCAGGATCACATTACAAGGAGGCTGCAGCAGGGGTGGCTTTAGGACATGGATCGTACAAAACACCATACATGAGACACAGTTTCATCATTTCTTTCTCTGCCGATGCGTGCTGCTGTGATTCTTCTTGGGAAAAAAAAAGGAAAAAATTGGCTGCCTCTCATCAGGAGGGTTCTGACTCATCGCAGATTTAGCAGCCGCCCCCTCTTCAAGAAAGGGAAAGTAAAGGGCACACGGCGTTTCCTGAGTAGTAAAGCATGCAGCAGAGTGAGTTTGAAAAATGAATTAGGGCCTGCAGCCAGAGGTTTCCACCACTGCTACATCCAGTAACAGTCAGGGTTATTTTTAGCATCCCGCCGCCTTGTCAGACTGGAGGAGAGAAGAAAACCCCCCTTGTGTAACAGGCGGGGGAAGCTGCGGTATGTTTGGGGAGGAAAGAGAGGCAGGTATGATCACCTCGGGCGCTAACCAGGTTATTGGAAGTGGTTTGGAGATGGAGATGGAGATGTAGTGGTGGTTAAATCTACCTGAACTCACCTGCTGTGAATATGAACCACAACCACCGAAGGAAAGAGCTGCTTTTAAAAAGAGGCTCTGTTCGAGGTGTTGTGCTGAGCTTGTTGTTTTTCCAGGTTTTCTATTTATAGCATCATTACGGCTCCGTTTTCAGCCATCTGCGTTACAGGGTTGACTGATCATCAGCCCGGCCAATTATCGGGGCCAATATTTGTCATTTGGATGATTATCTGTGCCGGCATTTTATTCTACCCATCTCTGATTACATTCAGCAATAAAAATGGCTTCACTTGCCCAGGATATCCGATCCGGAACGGCAGCGATTTCCACCATATGCCAATTCCTACCGGATCCATTTGTGAGGCGAATTTCGAGGTGGATTACGGACAGCAGGAATCGCAAGAACCCTCAAGAACCTGTAGATTCTCGTTCGATGGCGAGTCGTCTTTAGCCACATAGATAACCATATAAGCAGTAGATTGTGTCCTTCCAGAGGAGGAAATCTACTTCTAGACTTCTAGAATCAGCGTCTCCTCATCCATGGTGTCATCGGGGTGAAATGACGTCTATAAATCTTTCACTTGTTCGTCTACGCCCGTTGCATGATGTTAAGTACGATCCGCCTTAAACGTGTAGTGTTTTATTTTGAAAACAACCCGGATATTTTATTTTGTGTCTGTGCCCGACTTCCTTTCCAGCACGGGTTAATCTGTGCTGAATTTATACGGCACGCTTCGGCGTCCGGATAAAACAGAACTCTTGCGATCAACTGCGAAGTCCGGCGATCCGCAGCAGAATGGAGAAAAGCCGGTGGAAATTGACACACTAACTTGAATGGTTACGATCAGCTACAATCGGCGGAAATGACCTTTTCGTAGCTTCCTTTCCAGCACGGGTTAATCTGTGCTGAATTTATCCGGCACGCTTCGGCGTCCGGATAAAACAGAACTCTTGCGATCCGCAGCTGAATGGAAAGAAGCCGATGGACATTGACACATTGATTCGAATGGTTACGATCAGCTACGATCGGGGGATACAACTTTTTCGTAGCCATTCCGGATTGCGGTGGAAACTGGGGGTAATTTTCCAAAATCAAAGTTTGGACAAAATCAAATAATAAATATCAGTTTCAAATATTCGTCATCGATCTCTCCTCTGACAAACCAATATCGGTCAACCTCTGATCGTTGCACCTACCTGAATTCTGGAGCCAGGTTGTGCTTCAGGCCGTAGAAAGCAGCCGATAAGGTCAAAAGCCAACGTGGAACAAAATTCCCATTCTCACACTCCAGGTAGGGCGCAGACCACCTCACATGAGTCTTGTCCGGGATAAAACTCTCCCCCCTCTTTAGAGAATTGTCAACTGATTGAAACTCTTGGCTCAGCACCTTCTTGTGGAAACTTGGCTTCTTCCTGTCTTTGACATCATGGTACCACTCTGTCTCTGCCGTGCGGTTGTGCAGGTGACGGTGGGCCACGCTGGAGAGGTCTTGGAGGACTATCTCTCCGCCGGCCCTGGTGGCTTGTAGAAGCACGGTAGGCCTTGACACGGCTGAATCCGCGTTGAAAGTGACAACAGCCCGGTGGATCTTGGCGTCTCCCTCCAGTATACTCCTCACTAAGGCGTGATACCACTCAATGTCTCGCCGGAGACTGTGCTCCCTGGACCTGTTGGCTTGCAGGATCATGCTGAGGAAGTTTGTGGCGTGCAGCACCGTATCCAGCACGCTGCTCATGGAGTAATGCGGGGTGGTTTGTGACCTTCCCCGCAGAGAGGTGAGCTCGTATCTCCGCGAGCAGTTGGCGTGCTTTAAGGTGGTCGAGTCCCCCGAGTGGAGGAAAGCCGTGACCACCCTGGGGAGATGCTCTTCTATTTTCTGCGGTAGCTCCTCCGTCTCCCCGGGTGGGTGATGAGGCGCGCGGAGATGCGCCAGCTGCCGACTGCGCGTCTGAGCGCCGTGAATCTCCTCTCGTGCTCTGATATCCTTCCCATGCGCCGACCATTCCCCGTATTTGTGGTTTGATCCGATCACAAATCCCACTTGCAGCAGCAGCGACAGCCGGAAAACAGCCATCTCCCTGCAGGAAAAGCGTCCACAGATGTTCGCTGCTCGGAATTAGAGTGTCGTTGGGCGGGCGTGTTGTGGAGAAAATCTGCTCCGCTAAAACATCGCTTCACCACTTGTAGGATAGTCTTGCGAGCTCCACACGCCTCTGTTCTTTGAATCCAAAAGCGGAGGAGGGAGGAAACCTCGCTAAATCCCCTCTTCTTCTTCTTCTTCTTCTTCTTCTTCTTCTTCTTCTTTACAGATTCCTCATACAGCTTGTTGATGTGGAGGATCCGCTTGCAGCTGTTTCCTCCACCTCTCTCTCTCTCTCTCTCTCTCTCTCTCTCTCTCTCTGTAGACAGTCTTGGCTCTGCTGTGCGGCGGACGCTCTCCTCCTCTTGCGTGTAGGCTACATAGACTGAATCAAAACGAGGAGGAAGGGAGGGCTAAAGGGGGCAGGTTGTTATTATATTTATATATTTTTGAGGAGGCACCAGTCAGGGAGCCTCTCTCACTTGGATGACAAACGCACTCCGCCCTCTTCCGACCACAACAAGCATTAAGTAGGCCTACAGAAGCCACGGAGAGATGCATCAGGAGCCGTGTGTTCATAAAGCCCGTCTTCTCAATCATCTCATAGGGGCTCCAGAGGCGCCATTGATCCCGCGTATGGCTGCGCACTCTGTCAATCACGGCGCAGCGCTTTGGCGGCGCGGAGAGGGAGCTGTCCGGTGCTGAAAACCCCCGACGAGAGAGTAAACAAGCTGTCCATGACTGAAACCGAGAGAGCGAATTATGGGCTGATTTATCAGAATAAACGTCTGATTAGAGTCAATAAATAGAGATTTTTTTCTCACAGAAGTCGTTTTGTTGATGTTTAAGTTTGAATTAAATCAATTTTCCGAGGTTGTAAAACACTTAACAGGAACCTGGTTTTCTAACCTAACCCCAGTTTACACCAATCTGACAGAAATGCAAAGGGTTAAAAGAAAGATGAAGTGGGCTAACAGCGTATTAGGTACCTGGAAATCTTGTAGCTACTTTTAACTTTGAGGTTAAACTAAAAATTGAACTATGAGAATAAAATTTGAGCTAGGCTGTGTGTGGAAAGATTATATGCTATGTAGATTATATTGAATATAACAGTGCCTGTTTAAAGTTATCATACATATCTCTTCTTAAAGGGATATCTTGGCGTAAAATTAATTTAGGGTCAAACAGACCGTAACACTGAGTTAGACACCCCCTCAAGAGATGAATGTTGCTGACCGCTTGCTTCTCTAGATATACCAACTTCAGTAACGACCGCACGATAGCAACACACAACAGTCTACGTCTCAACCAAAAAGCCACTCTATAGCCACAAATAATGTTTAGAACAGCACCTAACTTCATCGACAGTAAAAATAGGGTCCCGGCCATAGTACTAGCCACCAAACATCTTTTTAGCTTTGCCTGATTTCTTTAGCAAAGAGACTAAACACAACTCACCTACTCTCTTCCAGCAGCCACTTGTTTGTAGCAAGACCCGGGCCAGTCCATTATGGACTACAGTGGGGTGACGCAGCTCAAGGAAGAACATTTATGATAACTTCTTCATGGAAATGCAATCAGACCGAGACACTGAGGCAGAAGAACTACCGTGTCTTGGTCTGCAGTGCAAAATGATTAATAGTAAGTAGTAAGTAAAGTAATGATCATAAATGTTCTAACTAAGTGTTACGGTGTGTTTGACCTTAAATTAATTTTACACCAGAATATCCCTTTAATAACTGAGAAAACTCAAAAGAAAATAGACAATAGTACGAGTTTGGACAACCATTGAGTCAGCCATACCTTCTCTTCAGCCTTGGCATGTTTTGATCAGTAAACTGGTTTAAAATTGGGTCACTCATGTTTAAGCTAAGTAACTTCTATTTTTTTGCCTCATCATCCATCCACCCGTCTTTCTCATTCTGGGTTGACTCTCTTTTTCTCTATGCTGGATGCAGTGGCATGTCACGTCACACTGTGTTGGGCTGGAAGCGTCTAGTTCTGGAAACAGGGCGAGGAAGACAAGCGTGACGGAGTGTGACTGAGCCGAGAGACGACCTGTGTGCTGAACGGGCCACCGGGAACGGTCGAAGTCAGAACCTGCAGACCTCATAGAACCTGCTGACCAACCTTCGGCACATACAGCTGCTCCTGACGGGAACTAGCAGCTGCCAACAACGTACAGAAAATAATCAGATGTATTTAGCAAAGACCTGAGCAGGATCTGAGCTAAAACTTTGACAGTAATGCTTCCAAAATGCTGCAAGGATGAAAATTAAATCAATTCTTCAGTCAAGAGAGACATCACACCTTTTTTTCTGGAAGTGTGAACCATCTGCATGAACAATAGTGTCCTAATGTTAATGAGATCCCAGCTGAAGACATTAATAAACCATCAACGCTGCATCCCAGACTTAGGAAATTGTGGTGCGGCTTCATCACATTCAATTTAGCATTTTGTGATATTTAAAAAGGATGTCGAACTGCTGTTTAAAAGCGTGAAATCTGGTTGTCAGGATTGGTAGTTTTATTGAGGAGTTGTGATAAAATAGAAAGAGAATAACCAGCCGTTTACATTCCCCACAAGTGACCTGGTCTGAAGCTCCTTCACCGAGCTCAGAGGGAAATATTAAAATTACTGTACATTGTTTTTAAAGGACTCATCTATGAGTCATATCTCATGAAGTGTTATTATAAACCTGAGAAATTACAGTTTAATTCATATTAACATGTTGACCTGAATATAAGAGGTTTTGTCCCTCAAAATACATCAGTTAAAGTGTGATTCTCTTACATACAAGGTGGGGTAATTAATGGAGTTGACCCTGTATTACACAACATATTTAATGTTTGTAAAGTAAGCTCGAAAAGTAAAATTGTAAAATACATCAACTTATTTTAAATCCACTCTCTTTGTGTGACCGGCAGCTCCAGAGGAGATCAGTACAACCCAGAACCAATCCCTACACAAAGGTTTAGTTTTTTGTCTGTTGACCAATCAGAGGCTGTATCTAGAATCCAATGAAAAGCTGCTCACAGTCAGTCACTCTATAAAAAGTATTACCTTTAAAATGGGTCAGTATGATATGTTGTCTTAACCAAGGCATTTTGTGGTGTGATGTGCATGTTAAAGCTCCAGTGAGAGAGTTGCAGTATGTGTTGACTTTGGCACCCCCCGGTGGTTCTAGCTCCTCGTTTTACAGATTTGTCATGTATATGAGTTTTTTTAAGTATATTTCTAATCAAAGAATCTAATCAGCTGTTTTTTAAAGTCACATTCATCTCCTATTAAGAGCCTGGAAGTGTTTTGTTTTGAAATTTCAATACAGTTTGTTTTACTTTAATCATTGGTTTCTGTCTATTAATTTCCACCCAGCTCCAGAGCCACAAGCCACTTACCCAAGATTTACTTTGTGTTATAAGTCATATTTATTCATAAATAATTTCCAGGGTTTCTACGCAAGTATTCAAAATATGGAATAAATTTGATCAATTTCCAGGTCTTAAAAAGTACAGAAAATAAAAAATAAAGTACAGAAAAATATTTACGTTTCCAGACTTTTACCACAGTTCTAAATTACTGTCTTAGAAAAGTAGGTACCTTCAAAAATAATTCCAAAAAGTAGGGTATGTGTAGGAACCCTGAATTTCATGAGTGTTACAGTATATATGTATATATAAGAACTGCACATGAACACATCGTGGCATGAATGATTGAATAGAAAAAAAGTTGTTTTTGATTCATTCAGAGCAACAATTCACAGAAAACACAGACAACTTGATAAAAAACAGAGGCCTTTATTGTCACATGTTGAAACATTGAAATAGTGCAGAGTCTACAGTTGAGATCTTCAGTTTTATTTACTATGATTGGATTTTATACAGAGAAATCTATCTCTGAACCTCATGATTGTACAGATTGAGAAAAGACAAAAAAAGACAACCAGAAATGTAACTTACAAAAACACAACATAACTTAACATGTCCTCAAATAAATAATCAGCAAAAACCTGTTCTGGATTGGCAAAGATTGGGTTTGTCTTAGAGACGGCAAAACTAGCTACCTACACATGACCGATTTCGTAACAGGGGTCAAAATTTGCTGACTTGGTAAACCTTTTCTACGTTTTCCTCTTTCTTTTCATGTGATCGGGTTGTGAAAAGTGTGAGAATGACTGGAATGAAAATGAGGCCGTGCAGCATCCCGAGAGACATGACCAAGAAGAAGATTTTCGAGAAGGTTCTGAACGTGTTAAATTCAGATGTGGCCAACACGGACACGCCTAAGATCGTCGACAGAGCCCCCTGCAGAATGGGATAACCTAAATTAGAGAGCGCGTCCACGGCCTTGTCATTGGGAGAGGTTTTCTCACTGGAGACGAAGGCGTAGGACACGTGAGCCGAGAAATCGACAGTGAAGCCGATGCAGACTGTGAATATGATCATGGATATAGAATCGAGATTGACGTCCCACAGCCACATCATACCGGTGACCCCCACTGTCACCGAGCCGATGGAAAAAGTGACCCACAATGAGCAGAGGGGGTCTGGGATCAAGAGGAGAGAGACCACCAGCATCACGGCCGTGATCACGGCCACGTTTTTAATCGTGCTGTAGACCACTACGTCATACTGGTCGTAGAAGATGAATTTCTGGTTGTAGACTTGCAAAGATGCTGCGCTGCATTTTTCTGCGGTGTCTGTGAGACCGTGAAGCATTTCCATCTCTTCGGTGCCGTCAGAAATATTCACAGTCTGGATGAAGAAGCGGGACGCATAGATGGCATCACCAGTGAGGTTCACGTCTTGCTTGAAAAACGGATTCAAATCGAAGAAATTTGAGAGATTTTTAAGAAAGAGCTCTTTTTCATCCAGGTTTAGATGCGACTCATCTCCGTATGAGTAATAAGAGTCGAGCCAGGATGTAAAGATCTCTTTATCTACAAACTCGAGCTCTTTAAAGTCCTCGATGCATCCCTCAAGTTGTCGCCTCTTTGCTTCATCCCAGTATGGGAATTCCTCACCTACAATAACCATCACTGTCGGACCATAAGCAGAGAAAAACTCCCTTTCCTTCCTGATATATGAGGTAACGTGAGAGTCATCAGATGCTAGATCATAGAGCTCAATCCCCTGTTGTACATGGAAACAGCCATAAATACTTACAGATAAATATCCTACAAAGAGTAAGATTACCGCTCCCTTGACCCAGGGTTTGATCAAAAACGGGCCGTAGTAATCCTTAAAGAAATTACTCGCTGGCTGTTTTTTCTCCGCTCCAGTGTCGGGATCATAGCGGCCTCCCACACAGCAGATGTTATACGTATCAGAGTGATCATTGAGTTTGTCTGAGGGTACTTTTATGCAGGTCAGCCAGTGCCGGTTGTCTGCTTCTCGCTTCCCGTTCAGAGCCAAGAAGGAGCCGAAGAAGGTGATTGTGTAGAAGTAGCAGAAGACGATGGAGGCGCTGGTGTAAATGCAGAAGGACTGCACCGCCGGGAAGTCGGAGGTGACGCCGATGGAGAACTTGAGGAGGTCAACCAAGGCGGTGATGGTGATGGACATGACGGCTTCTTTGTAAGAGTGAGCCATCCGGTGAGGAACTGAGTCTTTGACTTTGGTGTGCTGCCAGTCGGATATTAGTACAAACATGTTGTTGAGTCCAATCCCTGAAAAATTAACAAAAGTTCAATGTGAAAAAACATCTATCATCAAAGTTCTATCATCCTCAAACCACTACAATCTGATCTGCCTTGAAATATATGCAGCTAGTTCTACAAAATTTCTGTAGATTTTGGTTTTTAGACAAAGATTTTTCTCACCGAGTATCAGGAAAGGAGAATTTGCAACCGTAATAACAAACGGCACTCCGATGTAAAGCAGCAGGCCAAAGGAGGATATGATAGCCAGACCAGAGGAGAAGACGCCAAAGACAGCCACCCACACTTTGTTCCTCACATTGTCCAATCTGACAGGAGGAAAAAAAAACATGATTATTTATCAAATCATGCAGCTGATAAGATAACAACGTAAGTGGATTATTCTGTGCAATAAAATCATCACACACATTTGTATTTTGTATTTGTATTTTGTTTATTTAGCACAGATTAAAAACAGTGCAAGGAGGGAACGAAGCCGATGGGCTTATACAGAGTTCCACTCCCGTCAGGTCAGAGAAAACATAAGGTGCAGACAACTAAGTACACAGACTGGAACACAGACAAATCAGCAAACAGTGATAAAGAAAATAAAGTATTTATAAAAAGGAAAGAGATATGATCATAACAGATAATGATGTATTTAAGACATGATCAGATGAGATTTTAATGATATTTTAAAGGAGTTAAAGGATGATATTGATTTTAGAGATGCATCAAGATTATTCCACAGTTTCGGACCTCTAAAAGTGATGTTAGACTGATGACTAGAAGTTCTACATGAAGGTAACTGAAGATGGCCATTTTGTCGTGTTGAGTACGAATGAAGGTCGGATGAAAAGGTAAAAAAGTTTCGGAAAGTTTCAGGGAGTGGCGTTTGTCTTTTTGACCTTCGACTGTATAAAACGTGGACATAGTTTTGGTGACATATCTTATTGGTTTCATTGGTTATTCTGAAAAACTCCTAACCTCAATATCTTTAAAACAAAACTCTTATTAAAACAATGAATACCTCATGACAAATTTAGACCATAGCTAGCCTTACATTAGCTTAAAGTTCGCTAACAAGCTAACAGTAACTATTTTACCATCAAAGTTAAGGAAGCAGGATTTTTCTGTTTCCTGTCAGATTTATAAAGATTGCAAATGTGTGTTTACACCATAAACTGGATTCCCAGCGTTGAAACGAGCGTGTTTTTATTCAAGCAATAAAGTTTAAAGTGTCGTAAAAATAAGTTTCCAGCAAGTTATTGCTCATTTTGATGTTTTGATTCTGTAGTTTATGATGTTTTTGTGGAAATGTTTCGTCTCAGGTGTTTCTTTAGTTTAACCTTTCTACGGAGCTCCTGAACAGATGTGATAGAAAAAAAAAAATAACAGATTTTCCCGAAATCTTTTGCGTGCTCTCGAAAAACTATTGCGAGATCTCATAAATTTGTCAAAGATTATAGATCAGTGTATTTCTTCCTTGTCGAGTCAACCCAAATGATGGAACGCACACACCTGTGGGAGAGGTTCATCGCATCTTTTTTGAGATTGGCCTCAGATAAACAAACATTAAATCAGTTCTCTGACGCAACGCTAGTCACGGAGGATAATTTGAAAGAATTCCTACGGTCAAGAGACATCCTGAACGAGGACATTATGTGAATGCAAAGAGACATGGTGGGAAGAAAATGAGTTCAAAATAAAATTCAACGAACCTTTCCCATTGGTTGCGTCAGTCCAGTATTCTTGTTGAATTAACACAGAAGTAATACACTGACCAACAACTCTTGGCACAACATTTGCAAGACCTCACAATAAAATTGCCAGATCCTGCAAAAGAATGACTGTGAAAATTCTTTTTATTTTCTTTTTTCATCCATGTCCCTTCTGGGCCTCCTTACCTTTCTACTTACGACCCACGTAGAGTTAAAATACAAAAATTAAAAATGAAAATTGAACTTTTACTCTTAGTTGAAAATAACCATAAAGCACTGAACGAAAAGTGGAATAGTGTCACACTGCAGTGATCTGGTGATGCTATAATTGTTATAGAGACTTCATGTAACCTGCCGGTGTCCCTCCTGTGTCTGTCACTTTGATAAACGACGGCTCTGCTTGCGTCTCGTACCTGACGTGCATTCAGGAAATCACTCAGTGTATGACAGTCACTGATCACGTCTTACCTCAGGCAGGATATCACGGAGAAGGTGATCGCGCAGGCATAAGTGATGAGGAATAAAGGGGCGCCATCTGTGGTGTGACTGTCAATCTCCTCCTGCTTGGATTTGGAGGTGTAGTAAGACACCTACGGCAGAGAGAGGACAGCAGAACGAAGCCAACGTGAGACAGAAATGTTTACACAAAGACGTCACGACAGCAGTGAGAGCTGCGTGATGATGATGGCGAAGCTTGGATTTTCAGGACAAAGCCGTGCCTCTGCAACCTTGCCAGAGTAAAGACAGAGTGGGGGCAGACAGGCTGTGACTAACATGTTTAGAAATATATCTGCATTTGTGGGGCGCCTACTCCTTTATTAGGAGGACCTGATGGTGGATTTAGAAGGAAAGAGGTGAAAGAGAGTGAGAGGCAAAACTGAAGAGATGAAACTGAAAAATACATGTGGATATGTAGAGTAAAGAGGACATTTGTTCCTGTGACTTTAAAGTATAAAAAAAAAACTTTTATTAATGAATTATCTGCAAGAAAAAGTTCATTATCCTGCCAAATAAACAAACTAATCCTGAAGAAATCAGATCTAAGTCTATTAAAACTCACAGTAGAAAGAGAAAAACGTACCTTAATGTATCTGCTGTGCGTCCACTTTGATAAGAGGCTTTTAAACCCCCTCAGCCATGACCTCGCAGCATCAGCTGTGTCCTCCTTATCTTCTAAATAGTAGAAGAGTTTTACAGCCCGAGCGCTGATGACCGAGCCGTTTTCCTTCATCACCACCCCGCCTAACACAGAGCCCAGAAACACCGGACCTGATGAGGATGGGTGGAAAGGGAACACGAGGCCGGTTCGATTTTTGGAGCTGAAGATTTCCAGTATCGTGTTTGAGACACAGTCGCTATTCGCTTTGGCGCACAGCTGTTTGAATCCCAGAGTCCCGTTGTACACGGTGATATCGAGGACCTCTCTGTTGAGTCTGATGAGGTCCTTAAAAGCTCCATTTTCCAGTATATTCTCGTCATTTTCTGCCTGAGCGATGAGAGATGCGAAGATGCCCTGGTCGTAGAGCCTGTCCTCTGAAAACATCGAATCGTTGAAGGGGAAGTTTTCCTTCACCAAAGCTCTGGTAACCTTTGAGGGTCCTTTCTTGGGCGTGTACTGCCGTTCGAGATCATTATCCTCGTTGTCTTTGAGAAAAGTGAGGCCTCCACCGAGCGCTGCCGTTAGTATGAGAGGAATTACAAAGAAAAATAACGGATAAGAGCCGACAAGTGATCCCAACTTCTCAAAGAGGCCTGACAGAGGCCTTGAGAGGCAGTCTGTGCGCCGTCTACAGTTCATCTTCAAAAACCAAGACAGACTGCTGAGATTTGGAGTAAGGTTGTTCTTTTAAAGCCTCCGTGGATTACAACACTCCCTCTACATGCCCTTTTTTGTAAACGGTCATCAATCAATAAATGCCCCACGGCACGGTAGCCTTGATAATAAACAACAAGGAACAAGATTCTGTGTGGCGAGAAATCACGTCGCTCGGAGCTGTAAAATGATAACAGAGATTCTTTGTGTTGGGCCTGAGGAAGAAGTTTGATCAGAGTTAAGGATCAGCTGTGATTCAAGGCAGAGTTAATATTTGTCTGAGTTGACCCATTGACCAGCTTGACGGAGTGAGTGCTCACAGTCACAGGTGAGTCACACCTGAGTTACTGTGTAACTCATAAAGTGTGAATTTGCTGTTTGATTCAGTATAAAACTTTCCAACATGAAAACAAGATTATAAAAGTTTAAAGGTGATCATCGCGAAAGGTGTCTGTTTCCGAGGGTTACAGTTTAACTATAATCATCATTTGTTTTGTCGGATCTCTTACTTATCCTTGACATGCTTTCAAAAGTCTAGAGGTTCAGGTTTTTGTCATTAGAAGGGAAGAAGTGGACGAAAATCATCAAAATACACTTTAGCAGCTAAATAGAGGGAATAACCACCAACTTTCACTGCATCTGGAACGGCCATCCGCCAATTCCTACCGGATCTGTTGGTTAGGTTATGAACCCAGCCACAGAGGCTAACCATGAAAGCAGTAGATTGTGTCCTTCCAGAAGAGGAAATCCACCTCTAGACTTATAGAATCATAGAACTCTTGCGATCAGCTGTGGAGTCCGGTGATCCACAGCGGAGCGGAAAGAAGCCGGTGGAAATTGACACAACAACTTGAATGGTTACGATCGGCGGATACGGCCTTTTCATGGTCGTTCTGGATGCGGTGGAATTTGGGGGTAAGACTAGGGTTACCATAATCTGACTTCTCAAATAGAGGACACGACCATGAGGGGGTGGAGTCACAGAGTCGCACAAAGTTAATTTTGAGAGTTTTTTGGGTCGGAGTGAGTGTTTTTTATGTGCTTTTAACTCAGTAAGTCCACGTGACACAAACTCGAAACTTCTGTTCAAAACCCCGGACATTTGAAGGATTTTATAAACTTCCCCGGACAAACCCAGACAGCCCCCAATAAAGAGGACAAGTCAGGGTAAAAGAGGACGTATGATCACCCCAAATAAGACTGTCGCTCTGTTGTGACTTTTTCCTGTCAGGAATCGTTGAACCTGCCTCTGCAATGCTACATCTTGACCCCACAATGTCAGTCTAAAAGGAGCAAACAGTTGATGCTTTTCCTCAGGTATCACTTCATAGTTTAAAGACTAAGTTTTCTGATACAGCTTACATAAAAACCAATAGTTAGGGCCTGAAACCATCCGTCTCATGAAGCTAATATTATCCTGTAGCAATCATCAAATCAGGTCAAACTCTAAAGTTCAACAACTTCTGAGTGAGATCCTGGCGCTCAATTTTTATATTACATGTGAGAACGTTTGACAGGCGCAACAGCAGTGGAGTACGGCGAATAACAGTGAATTACAGGAACATCTTGGGAGTCTAGTGACAGCCGGCCGCCATCTATCAACCCTCTTGTCGCCGTGTAGCATTTTAACCTTTAGTTCCACCTTATATTTAAAGTGAGAGTCCGAGAGGGTCCAGTTTTACACCTCCAAGCCAGTCGGCCTCTTCCTGCCAGTTAACCCCTGTCAGTCAGCTGTCACACGGAGACCTCGCCGAGTCCCACGAGACGGCGCTCATATCTCATTTCACACAGACCCATCTCGGGGTCATTGATTTCTCATTCTGCGAGTGAGAAATGGATTCTCTTTCCTTCATTACAGAAAAGAGGAGATCATGGCGGACTGTCGCCTGAAGCCTGATGGAGGCATCGGTAAATCTGTTTCAGGACTCTTCAGTTATTTCGTTCACCTTGAATCGAATCACCGCCGCTTTTTTCTGCGCGCGTCTCAAAGACCGTTAACAGCAGATAGGTACTGATGAGTATTGCTCAGCCTTGAGCTTGCACTGAAATGCTAATTAGCTCAACCTAACAACAATCATTTTCTGGTAGCATGCTCCTGTTGACACCTTCGTTAGCTCTTTTTTCTCTCCTCCTCTTCCTCACACTTTGCAGAAGGAAGCTCGGGGTGAGAATCAATGTCTAAGGTAATTAGCGGGGAAGCCTCAGGTGAGCACGATGTTGAGATGTGTTGGCTGATTGTTTGGCTCGAGCTTTTAGGAAGAATCCATTGATCACGGCGAAGAAGTCACCCTTTATGCGATGATAATACTCCTCATAGGGCGTCAGTGTAAGAAAAAAAGGCAATTCGACACATCTGAACGTGCCGTTTCTACCTTCACTCAATGTCAAATGTACATCTGAACCCGCGGGAATCAGAGAGAGGAGCTCATCAGTGAACCCATCAGCACGCTTGGACGGTATATGGAAATGAGCAGAGATATAACTGTAACATGAAATTATACTTTTGTTTCATTCAATCTGACACGTTTCATTCTGTATTTGAACACGGAAAGTGTGACGGCCTGATAGAAAGCTCTGACGGGAGCGTGCATCGCTTAAATTTAGTAGGAAAAAATCACAGCATTTATTGATACCATTGACTTTTAATAATGGTACTTTTGATAATTTTAATAAAGATGGACACTGTGCCTTCCCCCCTCAGTCTTCTTCCTATGCTGAACCAAATTCACTAAGCATATGTGATGATGGAGGAATTGATTTTATTTGTATCAGTCTGACTAAAACTGGACTATAAAAATACGAGTAAGGGTGTTACTCGTTACAAGGTCTGAACCAAAGTCCGTGTTTTTGTTGCGTTGTTTACATTTGGTTCGGTCTGTTTAGGTTTCACACTTTCATTATTACAAACAGACTAGCAGACTTTACTAGACATGCCTACGTGATATCGTCATCAACTACTTGCTTTGCGTGTCTCTGTAGTTTACATAGATCGGTCATTTGGCCGGCAGGCATCTTGACGTCAACACGTTAAAAAGCGCAGGTCTTGAATATTGTAAATGTGGATGAAATCGTCATTCCCATCATTGTACTATTTTTGATTTTCTACCTCCAACAGTGAAAACTTGAAGAGCTGAACATGAGGCTGGTCCGAGGAAGACTCATGAATTTGATCATTAGGCGACAACTATATCGACATCGACATGCAATCCTACGAGTCATTGCAACACTGGCTGAAAAGTATGCGAAGTAAAACTCTTGAAAAGATAAGCTGTTATTAGTGAGGTATAACTTTATCTATGATATTATATAATTTCCTGTGATTAGACAATCCTCATTCAACATATTCACAGATACTTCTACTCCTCGCAGCATTTCCTGTCTTTGGTACAAAGATCCGAACCTTTTAAAGTTATGCTTTCACACATGAACCAGACCATGACTCAGTTTGGTCCAGACCGAGACCCCCTCTTTTGGTCTGTCCAAGGTTCTGGGGAGGTTTCACACCTAACATTTTGGAACAGAGAAGTCTGAAAGTCCAGACCAAATGACGTAGGTGTGAGAGCCCCATAAGTCAAAGTCAAATTTATTCTTTGAATAAAAAGCCTATAACAACACGGTTGGGGATATACACTCACCGGCCACTTTATTAGGTACACCATGCTAGTAACGGGTTGGACCCCCTTTTGCCTTCAGAACTGCCTCAATTCTTCGTGGCATAGATTCAACAAGGTGCTGGAAGCATTCCTCAGAGAGCTTGGTCCATATTGACATGATGGCATCACACAGTTGCCGCAGATTTGTCGGCTGCACATCCATGATGCGAATCTCCCGTTCCACCACATCCCAAAGATGCTCTATTGGATTGAGATCTGGTGACTGTGGAGGCCATTTGAGTACAGTGAACTCATTGTCATGTTCAAGAAACCAGTCTGAGATGATTCCAGCTTTATGACATGGCGCATTATCCTGCTGAAAGTAGCCATCAGAAGTTGGGTACATTGTGGTCATAAAGGGATGGACATGGTCAGCAACAATACTCAGGTAGGCTGTGGCGTTGCAACGATGCTCAATTGGTACCAAGGTGCCCAAAGAGTGCCAAGAAAATATTCCCCACACCATGACACCACCACCACCAGCCTGAACCGTTGATACAAGGCAGGATGGATCCATGCTTTCATGTTGTTGACGCCAAATTCTGACCCTACCATCCGAATGTCGCAGCAGAAATCGAGACTCATCAGACCAGGCAACGTTTTTCCAATCTTCTATTGTCCAATTTCGATGAGCTTGTGCAAATTGTAGCCTCAGTTTCCTGTTCTTAGCTGAAAGGAGTGGCACCCGGCGTGGTCTTCTGCTGCTGTAGCCCATCTGCCTCAAAGTTCGACGTACTGTGCGTTCAGAGATGCTCTTCTGCCTACCTTGGTTGTAACGGGTGGTTATTTGAGTCACTGTTGCCTTTCTATCAGCTCGAACCAGTCTGGCCATTCTCCTCTGACCTCTGGCATCAACAAGGCATTTCCGCCCACAGAACTGCCGCTCACTGGATATTTTTTCTTTTTCGGACCATTCTCTGTAAACCCTAGAGATGGTTGTGCGTGAAAATCCCAGTAGATCAGCAGTTTCTGAAATACTCAGACCAGCCCTTCTGGCACCAACAACCATGCCACGTTCAAAGTCACTCAAATCACCTTTCTTCCCCATACTGATGCTCGGTTTGAACTGCAGGAGATTGTCTTGACCATGTCTACATGCCTAAATGCACTAAGTTGCCGCCATGTGATTGGCTGATTAGAAATTAAGTGTTAACGAGCAGTTGGACAGGTGTACCTAATAAAGTGGCCGGTGAGTGTATTTTGTTGACTGTTTTGGTATATGATGTGTCATCGAGGAGAAGGTTTAAGAGTAGCTGAAAGGGGACGTCAGTGAACTGGTCCTCTCCTGGTGCTTCTGTATGTATGTGTCTTAGTAAAACGAAAACAAAGATCCCTCAGGTTGGTTGTTTGCATCTTTGTCCTAAAACCACAACACTCACAGAAAAATCCTAAAGCGACTGTGTAATGATGACATGATGACATGACAGAGCCTAGGTTCGTTTTTTAAAGGCCTTAAAGAGCACATGTAGGTAAGCGCTGCCAAAGCTTCACGCTGCTTATCAAAATCTCAACTCAACATCTTGTTTATTAGAGAGACAGAGAGAAAAAAAGAAGCTGTAGACTCGAGGATCTCAGGAGCCGATCTATCTCTCCTAAGTCTTCGGGAGCGTTAATTTCCTCCTCTCTCCTTCTATTTCCCTCCACAGTGAGAGAGCACTTTCCATTATACCTCAGGTTCACATTAAGGAGATGGGAACAGGCTGGTACCTGCAATTATCCCTGCTCACCCAGCCGTGGGCCACTAGGTGCCGAGCAACAGCTGGCTCTCTCTCCCCCTCCGCCGCACACACACTCGCACACACTCACGCGCACCTGCACACTTCCTCTCCTCCCCCTTTGGACTCTTACCCGCCCATTCCTCACATTCAGCTGCCAAGCAGCGTGATTAATAAGGCCAATGCAACCACAGACTCAGAGGGGAGGAAAGGAGAGAAAAACAGCATCGAGGAGGTAAAAAGGAGAGTACAGTGTGTGACCATATGTTGTGTAATATATTCAGGCAAAGCAAGAAAGCATCCGTCATCCCGTAAGCATGAAACACACTAAAGTATAGTCAGAGGAGTGATCGTAAAATATTGCACTGATTCAAAGAAACAGCCCAGGTCATAATTTATCTTGATGTCCCTCTCAGCCCCTCTCTCTCTCTCTCTCTCTCTCTCTCTCTCTCTCTCTCCCCCTCTCTTCTCTCGCTCTGTTTTCCACCCAATAAAACCAGAGCGCTCAGGGACTATGGATCGACTCAAACCACAGAGTCTCTGTGTTGCTTTTTTTCTTTCTTTCTTTCTGACAAGTAAACTGGAGAGTTTCAGTGTATGATGCACTTGTCTTTCTAACACTCGGTCCATCCTCTCGCATTTAAACTGCTGCAGACTGGTGCAGAAACATCAGTGGTACAATATGTAGTGATAAGTAACCAAAAGCTTAACATATAATTGCTGTAAAAATGACCCTTTTGTTGCTTTTTAGTTTTAATTACACTGCAAGAATGTCTCATTAAAAACAAGACACATTCAAGCGAGGGATAATACTTAATGAGGGGGTCGTTATCAAAGACCCGCTTCTCTGTAACAAGTCCTGTGACTCCAGCAAAGCCTGTTTTATGTTCCTGTATGTGGTTTTCTTCAATTTGGTAGATGTCTCTTTCACTTGCTAGTTTCTGTGCTGTCTCCCTCCTCATCCTCACCCCTCTTTACTCTCTCTGCCACTGACTCGTCACTCATTAACCACCAACCTGGACGGCCCTGAGGTCTAAATGCACACAATGCGAGGACTCTGCTGGAACAGGAAGTCTGGAAGCGAATTGTCGTGGTGTTGTGGCGAGTTTTCATACGTGGCCGTCAGTGTATTGTTGACACACTAAAGATTAAAAAGTTAAAGACAGATATTTTGTGTCCAACTTGAATGTCTTGCCATAAAACAGGAGGTTAATGTTACATCAATGTACAATGTTCAATTTGTCTGATATCTCATTTATAGGATCAAGGATCACCGCTGAACACATTTATTTGCCGAATCATCACCTACCTATTGGATTAGATTAGATACACTTTATTGATCCTTTAGTGAAAGTTCCTTTAAGGACATTAACGTCACAGCAGCATCTGAAAAAAACAACAAAATGATTAAATAAGTGAGAAATAAAAATATGATAAATATTAAAAAAGAACACCTGTAGCAACTCATCATTTAATTACGTCATAAGTGCATAACATAGGTTAATAACATCTTTACATATTACATGAGAGATATTACGTCATGAGTTGCTACAGGCGCCCCCCCATGGAAGAACATGGTACTCACTTTAAGTTACAATGTCCGATTTGCTTCAGTCTTCACAAGTTCGGTCTTGGTTCCACTCTGAATTCATCTACATACACATTTTTGTCATAGATAGGGCGACCATATTCTGAGTCCACTACTACGCGGGACGGAGCTGCGAACAAAATTGCGCACAAAGGTTTTCAGGTCGGGTTGAGGCTGAGTTTTTTATGCGCTTCTAACTCAGTTAGTCCACGCAACACAAACTCAAAACTTCCGGACATTTTAAGGATTTTATAAACTCCCCTGGACCGGACCAGACAGCCCCCAAAAAGAGGACATGTCCGGCTAAAAGAAGACGTATGGTCACCCTAGTCATAAACTGAACAACCTTGATATGATGCCTTTTCCTGGACGAATTGTCTTCATTCCTGGTGTTGATTAATTGGTCCATTATAAAGAGTAAATGACCACTGTTTTTGGATTTTGACCAACCAATGTTTTTACATTATAATACTGAGACTTCAACCCTGGAAAAGTCTGATAAAATTCGCTTTATTTTAACGCCATACTTTCAAAAACATCAGAGCTGGAAATAAACACAGTAAATTCACACAAACAATACAGTAAAACCAAAGTTTATACCACTAAACTCTTCGATTGACCTTGAAATGTGTTAAAGATTAGCTTGTTTCATTCCATTCAGTTTTTGTCAACAAAGCAGGAAACCGTTCACTTTGATAGTCTGAAGGAGTTCAAACAATTCAATAAAACATGTTTTTTAACTTTGATCATCCACGTCACATTTGGACCAGTCCCAGTTCGAGCACATGCTGGAACGGTGGCACAGTTTAGAAGAGGTTTATGTCTCCACGTTTACTCCACCTGATATATTATGACTTCCTCAGATCTGCTCGCGTGATTTTAATGAGCTGACACTTGTTTGATTCTTAGTCAGTATAAAGTTTAATGTGCATTAAGGGGGTCATATCATTGTCAAATTTAGGGCAGTAGGTCACTTCTATAGCAGCTCACACACGAGTGATTGTTATTCACACACACCTTAAGGGTCAAACTGAGCAGTATAGTTGTTAATTGACAGGTATCATAAAAGTATTGTATATTTTTAAAAGGCTGCTGATGAAAATGGGTTCTCATCTATGAATACAGATATATAAAGTGTGTGTTTAGAAGTATAGTAAAGGGCAAACTCAGGTATAAAAGTGGAAAAACACTTTTCTCCTACGACCTGGCAAAGACACAGAAAGACGATGATCTAGATCAGAGTTTGAGCACTAAAAGTGCTTAGTTACCATCTCGACTTTTCATCTTTTTCAACATCTGCAGTGATAAGCAATCCTGCAGATCTATGAAACTTATCCTCCCCAGCCTGCTGAGGCAGCACCTGGTCTTAAATGACTCCACTGACAGCTGCAGAGAGACAAATCATTAACGGACGCTGTGGTCGGTTCTGGTTGGTGTGAAAAACTACGTGACGAGTCTTCAGTTCTGACACACGTCCGGTTTAAAAAAAGTTAGTTTTGTTGAGTTCACAGTGAAAACTTTAAAATCCTACAGAACTTTAAGGAAGGAGTCCTGGATCATGGCCTCCACCTCCTCCACCAGCTCACCGTACTCTGCCTGACACATCCTATGTCCTCTCACGCCGCTCTCCTGCAGGCGTTTCATCATGTCCCGGTGTATTTCTGGTTTCTTCACGGTCGATGCGAGTGTCCTCAGCTGCTCCACGGGGTCTTCTGGAATATTCTGGATTTGTAAGGCTTTGAGCACAGCTGGGGCGAACTTCCCGTAGTGCGCGGTGGAGCAGATCACCACGGGGCACGAGCCGTCCTGCAGCCTGTCAGCCACCACTTTAGCCACGGCGGTGTGAGTGTCCATGACGTAGCCTGTCTGTGTGTAAAGGCTCCGTATGGCGGCCAGGCAGTCGTTCTCAGAGCACCAGCCGGCCTGCACTTCCTGCTGCATCCTGCTGAGAAGAGGCCGAGGAACCTGGAAGTGCTGCTGTCGCTCTAAACCGGAGAACAGACCCCTGACAAGATGGCCATCCCCGTGTGAGGCGTGATGGATGAACCGCTCCAGGTTGGAGGATTTGAGGATATCTATGGCGGGGGATTGGGAGGGGATCAAAGGCCGACCTCGGAGGTCGTACTCTCCTGTGGTGAGGAAGTCTGTGATGATGTGGTTGTGATTGGACGCACAGATGACTCTTCTTATCGGGACGCCCATCTGTTTGGCGTACACAGCTGACATGGCGTTACCGAAGTTACCGGTGGGGATACAAACATCGATGGGCTCCCCGAACTTGATTACACCGTCTCTGCACAGATCCAGATAAGCTGAGGAGTGATAGACCACCTGAAGGGAGGAAAAAAGGACTTAACTGAGTCATACCTGAGGTTGAAAATCATAAGACAAAGACAGTTTTTGGTAGAATTGTTGAAATTAAAATAAATGTGTTAGAAAGTAATTAGAAGATCAGAAATGTTGTCAAATACACTAACTTTTTACTGCTTTAACAAACAGTAATGACTGTCTGCACGGCAAAAAAACACAAAACTACTCAAGTGATTTTGTTGTTTCTAGAGAAAATATCTCATTAGACTTATTATAAGCTTCTTTTGCCTGACAAGTCCCAATAAATATCCTTCTTCATATACAATGAGCCAAAATTAAGACCTGGATTGCCTGTAGAGAACACAATAAATCTGCAAAAGAGATTTAAGAAAATTCACTTAAATTAATTAATTTTCCTCATCTCAAAAAAAATCAAGCAAGTACATTTCACATACATTTTGCAATATCAGCAGATTGATTTAGAAGCAATTTAGGTCTTATTTTTGACTCATAGTATCTTAAAACAATAGAACAATAGAACAATAAACAATAAAACAGTTGATTTTTTTTTTTTTTTTGTTGGGATGTGTCAGAAATCTTCTCCAGTTTTCATGAGGAGTCGTTCGGTCAAAATCAGATTTTGCACTCCATCTGTTTTGTTTCAGGTTCCTGCTTACTGAGACACTTAAACAGAGCACAGTATGTACGGAATCAGATTTGTGTCAAAAATAATTAAACAAAACTTCTTCAACATCAAACAAAAATAAGAATTTGAGAGAGAATAAAACTCACTGAAGCAAAAAAAAAAAAAAAGTAATCTCAAAAGTAAAACTGGTAACTTGGAAACAAATTATTAGTGCAATTGTATAAACCACTGGTCTTTTACTTTTTGATATATATCCTTTTGTTTACAGTCTCCTCTGGTTATTTCTCGCTGACCAGATTTATGCTCTCACTGCCAGCTCTCTCATTTGACACAAACCTCTCACGTGGGCAGGACTTTTAAGGGGTGCGGCGCCATTGGCTTGTGAGTTTTTGAGTGACAGCTCAGTGGCCGGTGTTGTACCCAGAAACGCATGCCTGCCGAGAATTGCATGAAAGTAGATATCTTTTAGTGTCATTTATGTTGAATAGACCTTATAAACATTTTATCAACCGAAACGTTTGACTGGTGAGTGATTTCATTTCAATGCGGAAAACGCAAACTTATGATGATCGATTGAATTGAACTCTGTTACTCGATTGTTCTGTGGTGATAGATCATTTGGAAAACAAGCAACTAAAATCACAGGGTTTCACTAAAAAGTTAAAGTGTTGTCGGCGGATGTAATATGAACCTTTTATCAGCTACACATACTCTCTCAAATTCTTATTTTTGTTTGATGTTGAAGAAGTTTTGTTCGATTATTTTTGACACAAATCTGATTCCGTAAGTATGAGCTTTCATGTATGAAGAAACACCTGAATCTTTCCTGATTTACTGAAAATATCTGCTATAAACAGAGATTTATGAACTTATCTTGTCGCTCTATTTTTTGACCTGCTCACCTGTGGCAGCAGCCGTGCCCAGTTGATGGAGTTGGCGGTACTGAGGACTGTCCCGTACTCCACAGCGAGGTGCCCCGTCAGCCCAGACTCCCCGAACATCCTCTTTATCGACCTCTGGCAGAAGTCAAAGTCTGAACAAACACTGACGGCTCTCACGTTTCCCTCCCTGTAGCTCGTCATCTGAAGCTTCTGGATCTCACTCACACCTTCCTCTGGGAAAAACACCAACACCCCGGTCCTGTGTCTATCTGTGCCGGTGAGACCATCGAAACCACTCAGTACTGCACTTCCTGTGTCCCCTGATGTGGCGACGAGGATGAGGTAGTTGCACATCGGAGGGAGGCAGTGGGCGAAGAGCTGGGGCATGAGCTGCAGGGCGAGGTCTTTAAATGAAGCCGTGGGGCCGTGGAAAAGCTCCTGGACGAACTGATTATTCATGAGATGTTTCACAGGTGCTACTAACTCGCTTGAAAAGTTTGACCCGTATGCTTTGAAGACCATTTTCCTCAGATCTGAAGCAGACACTTCTAAAGGGTGGATGCACTTTTCTAGCAACACTAAAGCTCGCTCTGGGTAGGACATGTCTACCAATCTGAGCCATTCACTCGCAGTCATGTTTGGGAAACCATTTTTGGGAACATAGAGGCCTCCATCGTTGGCGAGACCCTCGATTACAACATCACTAAAGTATGTTTTCTGTTTGGATGATACCTCGCCATCACACCTTGTTGACATGTAGCTTTCTTCTGCGTGGTTTTGATATCTCTCCACGGCTTTCAAAACCTTCTCAGCCACCTCCTCCACCGTGTCCCCTGCTCCACACAGCACCCTCACATCCACCCACTTCTCATAAAACTGCTTCCTGTAAAGCAGAATGTCCCTCATGGGCACCCCTGCCTCCTGCCCCACAATCCTGTTCACCTTCATCCTGGTCAGTCTCTGGATGATGTCTTCACTGTCCACATCCAAGTAGACGACGAGCCCGGAGTCGCTGACGTGCTGCATCGCTGCAGAGTGGAGAGGGTTGGACCCTGTGAGGGATACGACACACCCAGAGGTGGAGAAGTTACACAAAGCTTGACCCTCCTCCTCCAGGAATCGCTCGCCACCAACTGCAGCCAGCTTGGCAGCCACGGGCATCTTCCACGCCGCCTCCAGGACATCATCATCCACGTCAACAGCAGGGAGTCCCAGTCTGTGGGCCACCATCCTGCCAACTGTGGTTTTCCCAGCTCCAGGGGGACCCATGAGAACAATGTTCTTGTCTCCCAAATGGGAGGCTTTGGTGGACAGCCATGATTTGGGTTTTGAAAAAGAACTTAAGGAGCATCTGACAACTCTCACTGCAAGCTGACCTGCACTCAATAAGCCCATGGAGGAGTCTCAAGATCACAGCTAGCACCTCTGTAAAAAGGGAATAAGGAAAAAATGGGACATATGAATGCAGAGACACCTTTAAAATTCAAACCTGATACCAAAAGAGTTTAGGATATAGTGTAAAATGTTCATTTAAGACAGAATTGAAATCTGCTGTGAAGAGTTCTGTGACATTTAAGAAATAAACTGCAATTCATGTTGTTGTTTTCCCATGATGTACAAAAGCAAAAAGACCATCAGTAACGCATTTTTTGGGACCTGACTCTTGTGCAATGGGCTGTGGGTGGAGCTGCTGAAGAAACAGGTGGAACTGCATTTAAATCAGATATAACTCTGTAGTAGACATCACCACATGGGCTAAAAATCACTCCTCAAAACCACCGTCTGTGACACCAATTTGTCACAGCTCAGATACCGGCATCCGTAATGATATGGGGAGATGTTGTGCATCCCTGCAAACCAACAGAATGAGTGTAAACATAACTGTCTTGATAATATAGCATGCAAAAAAAAGTGGTCTCCTATGGTCAACTTACCCCGTGTATGGAGTAAGTTGACCATAGAAGCGGGGTAAGTTGAGCCGTATCCCTATCATGACTTTAGTAGTCCTCTAAGCTAAAATGGTGAACTTTTATGTTAGGTTTTTGACCTCATGTTGTAGCTCATAGATACCACAATTGACGTATAAAACAAATTTAAAATGATCTTTTTTGGTCTGAACACAATTCTAGTAAAACTTATGACAGACTAAATTCACTTTCAAGAGTGAAAAATGTTTTTTTTATATAAATAAATGTCTAACCCCTTCACCCATGTGCTTCTAACCTTCACAGACTCCATGTATTGATGCCCATCGCCTAAATATTTGGTCACATGATCAATTTCTTTCACTATTTTCAAGCAAAAAGCAACCCTTTGGCTCAACTTACCCCACTCTCCCCTACTATCCTTTGAAAACAGCCTGAAAATTATTGCAAATCACCAAATCCTGTCTGTGAACATTGAACAGAACGTTCCGATTTGTTACAATAAAACAGATTACTCACTATTTATTTTATAGTGCTGCAATAGGATGAGTAAAGTAACACGTGCTTCAGAGCCAGGACAGTAGCCTAGATAAATAAGCTGCTATCGTGAAGTGTTACAGGTAATAGTTCAATGGGAGCAAGACACTCACGTTTAATGTTTTATGTCCGGACTTCACGCTCTGTAATAATGTTTTAGTACGGTCTAAAGTAATCACATGCTTTGATTTATCAGGCAAAGTTCAGTCCGACTCCCTTCGGTTTACGGGAAGAGCTCTCTCTGAAGCCAAAACAAACAACTACGGTCAGCCATGAGGGACAATCTGTTAAAACCTCCGCAACTAATCAAATACTGGCCAAATTCCCGTTACCATGACTTTATGCATACGCTCTGTTATTTTTATTTTGTGTTCTGATTTAAACATACATTGAAAATGTATATATACACACACAAAACAGTGAATATTTTAGCTGCGTTTGCGGTTTTCATCAAGGAACCAGCCGATCTCTATGCTGCATTCAAGTGCCTCTGGAAAGTTGTTTTTCAGAGCTCCTCATCGAAAATTTCGATTCACGTTGACGTTTCCTTTCGAGTTCAATAATAATTCAATTCCTTTTTTTAGAACAGACAAATCAAATAGATATATCGTGGATACAGGGACGTGTATTACGATGTTTTTGTTGTTTCTTTTGATGTTACTCTTTCGCGTTTCGGGTGAGGTTTGATAAAATGTGGAAAACAAGTCGCAGAGAAAATATTGACGATGTAGTAGAGTGAAATTAGATACACGTATTAAGTTAGATATCTTAAACGAGTTTTATTAGAGGAAAATGTAATTAAAACCAGTACAGTCCGTCAATTATACGTTAACATAGGTCAGTTGACTTAACTTCAATGTTCACAGTTATCCGGAAATGCAACATTTGCTTCTGTTGTTGCCCAGCAACCACTTAGTATGTAGCGTTGTCAAACCAATCAAGCTAACTTTAAGTTTCTTAGCCCGAGATCCATCGTCTATCTGAAGTCCTTCACCATGTCTGGATTTGTTTATCCACTCGAAAGTGTCTACAGTGTTTTACCCAATGAAGAGATCGGAACCCAGAAACCACCACGGTATGCTAACCGACAAAATTAACAATTTATCGCAGTCCTAGCTTAACCAATGCATTAGCAAAAACAGGTTAGCATGACTAGAGAGTTTTAAAAGTTGTAAAAAACGGTTGTGATGCGTCATAAATGAGTTTATTTTCAGTTTAACCCTAGAACACTATCGCTAAAATTACAAACACCATCGGGTGATTTTTACCCGAAATAATAATATACCCAAGAAAAAGTACTTGTCATCAAAATAGGACAATCCATGACAAATTAAACTAGTTTTCTTTTATTTTTAACTGTGCAATGTCAAAGGGGAGGGGAAAAGGGCCATGAGGGGACCAGATAAAAATGCTAATATATATTTATATCATGTGAGTCTTCCCTGGTTTCAGGCTCATTGTCTTTGGCACAATAACAGCTGCAGGAGAAAGAACCAAAATATGGCATTTGTCAAAAATGACATGAAAATAATGACAAATAAGCTAGAGCAAAAGGGAAAAGGAATAGCTGTTTTTTTTTTATTTTTACATTGGGTGAAAGTAAAGCAGCAACATATGTGTTAGAATAACAAGCCTATGCTAAGGTGCTAAAACTGCAGTTCCTCAAGTGTCCACATGAGGATTGGTCAAAAAGGCAAGAAAAAAGCCAACTTGTAAAAGAAAGTAAAATAAAAGATGTTTACAGCCTGGTTCATTCATGTTTTTTGGTTGATAAGTAGCTTTCTTATTTATTTGTAGCACAGAGCTTTTTTCAATTAACTATCCATTTTGATTTAATCAACAGATCTCTTTGCTGTTGTCGCCCTTGCCTAATTGGTCATTTACAATGGATTTTATTCACTAATGTCTCACTAATGTGTTTATCTGAAGGTATATGTCAAAGTTCAGACCAACAGTCATTCTTGAGCATAAATCCACCAAGGATGTCGCAAGAACAATGGGACCAGCAAAAGTAGAAATGCCATCCCCGGACAAATACCTTAAGAAGCACTCAAAGGAGTCCAGATTACCTGAAAGTGAGTCCTCCTGTCATCTCTTTGAACTTCATGTGTCTTTAGCGATGGTGTTAGCTTTCACATTCTTGTTTTATGTTACACAGAGGCACCGGGTTTGAGAGAGACTCGTTCCTACTCTGCGAGAAAACCACCTGTTCCTGCAAGGACCGATCAACCACTGATGGGCCTCCAAACGAAGAGAGACTTTCTAAAGACGGCCCCAGCAGTTCCAGTGAAGCCCCGGCCTACCTGTGTGGACACCAGAAAGGGACACAAGCAGCCTCTTGAGAACTCAGGACTCCTCCCCAAGTACATTAAGAAAAAGGTACAGACTACACACGGAGAAACAGCTAGAAAAGAAAACCCTTCTATAAATGTAAGACATGTTTTATTCACAGTGGACATGCCTCGAGTTTCCAGTTATTCTTTTTAGGATTTTGGAGAAGTACCGGAGTACCTGCAGCAGCGCAACGCAGAACAGCGCAGGGCTCAGGAGGAGTTAAGAAACTTTTTGGAAGAACAGAAAGAGCAGGGAGCCATGAAGCAGCTGTCTGAGGAGGAGCGACAGAAAATCCTCGAGGTACACAAACACATAACTGCGCGATGGCAAGTCTTTTTCTCAATCAGCGGGGGGATTGTACAGACATCTGGAACCAGTGGAGGAGAACAGGGAAGAACAAGAAATTGACGATTTCATGTCTACGAAGTTATTAAGAAAGCACTTTTATTCAGTGGCTGTGATTCTTAACCATATGCCCCAGGATTGTGCGTCTTGTGTGAGCATAGTTTGATGATATTGAACACTGAGATAAGCAGAGTTAACTGTATTTTTGAGCTGCTACTCCAGTATTATAGGGCTTAAACTAAGCATTAGTACACAAGAAGGAGTGCTGGTGTACTACAATTCAGCACAGGTGTGATTAAGTCTGTGGCCTCGTGCCTTTGACCAAATCACCACCCTGGTGATAATCAGTCCAACAGCACAACCTAGAGTGTGATATTGCTTTTATAAAACAGTTCAGCAAACAACATTTTTTATTATTAGGTAGAAAAAGAATTATTTTTGGTTTATTTATTCTTTAATTTAGCTGCACAAACACAACAATTTCTGCAATTTGGCTGGAATTCTAAAGTTGTAAAGCAGCGCTTAAAAATGTCTCCGAGCGCTGTTCTCGGAGTGGCTTCACCCAGCAAGGAGTCAACATGTCCACTCTATAAACAGTCTATGTTCGTTCGTTGTGGTGCGGAGTGTGATCCGTTCAAATTAAACAACAACAAAAAAGCAAAGAAATGATGTTAACACAATTCTACGGACATGAAAATAAGGACAAATGAGCTAAAGAAAATGGAAAAGAATACTAGCAACATATGTGTTAGAAAAACAAGCCTATGCTAAGGTGCTAAAACTGCAGTTCCTCAAGTGTCCACATGGGGATTGGTCGAAAAGGCAAGAACCCCCATTTGGTGCCATGTTAAAATGCCAACTTTTAATAGAAAGCAAAATAAAAGGTGTTTACAGCCTGGTTCATTCATGTTTTTTGGTTGGTAAGTAGCTTTCTTATTTATTTCTACGCACTGAGCTTTTTTCAATGAACTATCCATTTTGATTTAATCAACAGATCTCTTAGCTGTTGTTGCCCTTATCAGGGCCAAATGTAGTGCATCTTATGCAGTCAAACAGCCAACAGTAGGAAAAAAGAGCTGCCTTGACTGCACATAGAATTCATAATATAAAATATATGTTAGCTTTCGGATAACTGTTGGCTAAATAAAATCACCAAACTCTGATTGTTCCTTTGGCATTGACTTGATAGTGACTGTGGTGGGTTTCCCTGTCTGCGTCCACTCCCCAGGGCTTGAAGAAGAACTGGGATCTGGTGTACCACGAGTACCAGGGCATCTCGCTCGTCATTGACACCATAACAAAGAAAGCCCATAAGATGCAGCTAGAGGAGAAGATGGAGCAGCTGCATAAGGATATCAACCTTATCGAGAGGTTCAAGACCATCTACATCCCCCAAAATTAGGACAGAATGAACTTATACTCAGTCAGATGTTTTGTCCTGTCCTGTATTTAACTGTGAGCAGAATTTAAGTATTTCGTTTGCAGTGTTACACTCTGTCAACAAGACATTTGTAATTTTGTGACTACAAGTATTTTAACACAGGCCTCATTTGTGAGCAGTTTGCTGTTAATGCTCTGAAACTGTTTTGTAAACTCAACATCACCCTGACTGAATAAAATTTACTGCATGGAAACGGAGTCATTTCTCGTTGATTTTGTCCCATTCTCCGTCTGCCACGTGTGATTCCTCTGCAAGCCAGCATCCCATCACATGAGGCTGATTATCCCCGTAATTCTCCACTGGACTCATAAACAACGCTGTCCTGTTCAGTACAAATGACTGGAGCGTGATCCTGCAGGCTAAATGGCGGGCTCAGACCGGACTTATTTGGATGTCTTTTGACTTCCTTTTGCTCCTTTTTGTTTGTGAATGTTACTCAGAGGGAGGCAACCAAACAGTAAGTAGTGCTTTGACAATAGCTCTGCTAAGATCAACCACGGATGCCTTTTTTACGTGAATATCCAACCTCAACCTGACAGAGCCTCTCTTCTTCTTCTTGTTTTCCTTTTACATCTTTGCAGTAAGATGTAAAACTTTCATTCTTATGTCCAGTCTCTCTAAAGTAAACTACTTGTGATTTCTACTCAGGGCCACTGCAACCCTATCCTGGATCTTTACCTCTCTTGGGACCATTTTAACCCTCTAAGAATGGACAACACGGGGATGAACAGAGGAATTGTGGTAAGTTCAAGTCTACTGCTGCATATAAAGATTTATGTCTCATTTGTCAACTTCCTTATCACCTGATGGCATTTTTTTTGCAAGACTTGAGACTTAAAATATGAACTGTTATAGGAAAAAAAAACATGTTTGTTTTCTTTGACTGAATTCTTCAGGGTCCTTATTTTATTAATTTGAACTCTAAGGAGCTTTTAAATCAGCTTTATTTGTTCTAGGCGTATTAAAAATATGAAAGGGAAATAATTATAAGTATAAGGTTTAAGAATAAGGATACTAGGGGTTAAAAATCCTTATCTAACCCAAGGAAGACAAGGTTGCTTTATGAAGTAGAGTAATAAACTAATATACAACGAATGAAAATGATAACAGAACACTGAGACAAGGGAAAAGGTATGAGGAAGCAGAGTTATGGGAGGTTATAAGCTGATAGTGTTTGAGTCTTTTTTTAAATATGGCCAGAAGTTGAGCTTTTCAGATGTCCTATGAACTCCTATATTATATTATCCAATTTTAATAGTCAATTTAATCACAATTATCCCTGATGCAACTTTCAGAATTAAGTTTTAGGTTGTTTTTGCCATAATGACCTTTTATAGATAAACGATACCATGTCATCCGATAAGCTTTATGATTTACACCCTTTAATGCTCCTGCGACTTTTTTTTTTAGGTTTATGACATAGACTGAAATTAGTACTGATGCTTTTTTGATGATACATGAAAGCGAACAAGACCAGTAGTGACGAAAACTGAAATTCTGTTCTGCAAATTTTTATGTCTCAAATCAGAAGGAGTAGGTGTAAGCAGAGCCTTGTTTTTGTGACTTCCACATAAAATATTCACAATCAATGATACATATGACTGTCAAAAGTCAGCAGTGGTGAGATTTTTGGTCCAAAGACAAAAGACTTAAGCAGAAGAAGGACAGGATGTGCATGGAAATACTTGCAAAACTCGATTCCAACTGACTTCATGTCATCGAGCTGGTATCTCTCGACTCTAAAACTGCTGCTCCTTCACCTCAAACTGTCCTAGATTAAAGATGACTGGCCTGGTTACAGCCTGGACCTCTTCACATACCCTGAGCACTACCATGAAGACATCGAGAGTGTTTATATTCCACATGGGGTAATCATGAACAGGTAAAACACTCACACTCACACACACCTGTAAAGTCTTCTTTGTTTTCAGCTCATTTGTGTGGTTTCTCTGTCTCACAGGATTGAGCGTCTGGCCCGCTACGTCGTGGATGATTTTGGAAACAACAACATCATGGTGCTGTGTGTCTTAAAGGGAGGATACAAGTTCTGTGCAGACCTGGTGGAGTTCATCAAGGTGCTGGGACGGAACTCCAACAAGTACCTGGAGACGAGGGTGGAGTTCATCCGTCTGAAGAGCTACCTGGTCGGTTCACTCGATCAAACGCAGATTCTGGCAACTGTAATGATCCAAAGGGCAATTCAGTGTCAGTGTCAGTGAGTTCACAGACAACAGAAAAGCATGACCTTTGTCTGAGATGTTATCACGGTCCTTTATCTGTAGAAGACTCTGATAGATCACATGGACTATCATTTTAATGGCGGCTTAGTCTAAAAGGGTGAAAACAACCTTTAAAATCACAATTACATGTCCAGCACCACTCAGCTCAGCTCATATTCAGGCTCTGACCCGAAAAAACTTCCTTCATATGTAGTTGGACTGGACAGGACATCAATTCAGATGTGATGTTAGCACTCAGCTCAACCACTAGATGTCACTGTTGTCTCTGTTTTGCATAAAGAGCACTCTCAGGTGGGATATGAAGCAGAAGACGGACGACTGATGAGCGCAGATCTCGGGTCATAAACTGCACTGATAACTGGTGCTGCTTCTGCCAAGAGGGTCCATTTACGACACTGTCTAACACCTGGAATGTATAAAACGAGGATTAATTTGGGGATTTATGTGTCACAGCTTATATTACTATAAATTGGAGCCACAGCCAGTTCTTATTCCTGAGTGTGTTTTGGCTCATCCAGAATAAGGTGATTTACTCTTCTCTGTATGTAGGCACATTCCTTCCCTCTCTTTACAACACGGGGGATGATTCAGTCTTTAAGATTTCACATTCAGAGAGGATTTAAGAAGATTTAAGAACAGCCTAAATCAAATTACACATTGTGTCTTGCTTTGCAGGATTAGTCCACTCTCAGGTTATGTTTTCATCATCAGAAAAGAGTGATTTAAATGATTAAATGGGACAAAGTGACAAAAATACACCTGCAGAAGTCTTTACAAACGCAAAAATCAACACATCAATATGAATAAAACTCAAATACAGTAAATAATACGGGCAAAAAAGCATCAATCTGATGTCAACAAACAGCATGTCAGTTTGTAGCGGTCAGTACTACCACTCCAGAGGACACTGTGTGAGTGATGACTCTGTTAGTCAATCCCAGGTCATCATGGAGTCATGTGACCCGCCCCCAGGGCCGGGATTTTGTCCATGTCACCGCTCCCTTATCCCAGTGATGCATCTGTAGCCGAGTGAATCTCACTTCAAAGCCCGTCGATCTTCAAAGCTCACCGCTGGAGTTACAAAAGAGAAAAACTGAGCCGCGCTCTGTTTGATTTGGAGGTCATATTGTACGTTCAGAGTCTTTGTGGAGAAATTCTCTCTTTGTGAGTTTGTCCCTCATTAATGCAGCCGACTAATGACTCTCAGACTGATGCATCGTTGTATGAACATCCACAGGAAGTGTCTTTTTCTCACTCTGACAGAAAATAAGTGGTCAAAATTTTGACATTATTTAGCCCACACCTACTTTCTCTTCTGTAGAAAACAAGATCAGTGTTTCCGACATTTCTATAAAATCAGTGACCGATATATCCATCAGATTCCTCTTATAATATCTAATATAACTAGTCTTTTAATTTCCATCTCCTCTCTCCAGAATGACCAATCAACAGAGGAGCTGCACATCATCGGGAGCAGAGATCTGTCATTTCTGCGAGGAAAGGTGAGCGGCGTGAAAAAGTTCTCAGTATGTTCTTCTGTCCAAACATCAGGGTTATAGTTTCTGTTGTTGTGTTTGTGTCCTCTGCATCAGCCCAGTGTAGTTGACTTTTACCATCCTGGTTATGAAACTCCAAAATAAATATTTCTACTCTACAGATTCACAGACAGATTTGTTCTGAGAGAATGCACAACCCTCCTTACTGCGTTATTATCTCAGGTAGATATAAGATAGAGAACTCTGCTTGCTCAGCTTAGTGCAAATATGACCATGTGCATTTTTGCAGAGAAAAAAAATGATACTGAACTCCCTGAGGATGTTCTAACAAGGACGCATCTCTGCAGGTGAAAAGGTCAATAAGTGTAAGAGTTCGGAACAGCTCACCACCACCTCACACTAAAAACATGAATCACTCCACTTTGTCTGCGTAATGTAAGTCGACACTCCTGTTTCAGTCCTCCCAGGAGGTCTCGAACATCATCAGAAAGAGGAGATAACATGACTGTGGAGCGACTGTCACTCTGTCTGCTTTAGACGATGTTCATCCGTGTCCTGATCGTTACATTTTCAACTGATGCCATTCACAATGTCTGTGCAGATTTTCTTTCCAATTTCACAGAATTCACATTTTCAGTGAAGTAACCGCCGGGATATTTTAATCCTGACATTTAAAGGTTATTCTGAATATTTTTAAAGAAACGTAACACAGCTTCAAATGTGAAAAGGAGTCAGAGGAATGAGTCACTGGACCTCGATAAAAACAGCTCCTTCTCTGTTTGTTGCTGATCCAGGCTGATCAAACTTGACCCAGCCTTTTACATTCACACAGTAATTAAAGACAAATCTTTCACTCAGCACTAAAATGTTGTTTATTTGAAGGGTCTTGAGAGGAACTTTGGGTTTGTGAGGATTTTAGTTCCCCAATAAACAAAGATATACATCTTTAACGGTTATTTAGTTTACAAAGACGGTAACTTTGGGTTTTAGGAACTTCATTAGTGATGGAACTGGTGATGCAGCATCAGAAAAAGCAGGAGAGTTCCTTTAACTAGGGCTGTCACTGTATCAGATATTCACGTCATGATGATCCTCACCGTGAAATATCACAATACTATCATTATTGGGATATACATATGGAAAACTTGCAGTTATAACAACCCAATCAGCCAAATTGAGGGAAGGGAAAGATGAACTTACATGTCAACGTCTGTTTCTAATAATATTCAGATTTATGATTTATCAGCAGCCCTGCGACTGAAACTTCTTCAGACAAGTCAGTGAAAACCATTGCTCATCATGCTTTTGTTTTGACATTTTTTCTATCTCCGTTTCGGTTGTTTCGTTTCTGCTGGTAGATCGTATCTTGCAGAACGGACTGAAAACAGTCAAAAGAAAAAACAGAAAATGTTCGGTTCAACAGCCTCAAAAAGAAGAATGAGCTCTCACATTGTCTTTGGA